GGCGATAAGACCCACTCATCAACTGATGAGCCCGGAGGATATCAAGTGATAAGTCCCGGACTCATCAAACGATAGGAAGGATTAGATATATAAGACAGTCATTACCCACATGTATTTAGTTCTTCACGATCAATCTATACATTGTTACTTGGAACCCAACAGTTCATTCACCTATCAGTTTCGTACAAGACAAACCCCTACTAGGAGAGGTATCCTTGGTCTCTAGTCCCTCGACTCAGCACCCAAGTATAGCTTGACTAGGCGATACCCTCTTGGACGCAGAACCCCCCGTTGAGTCTATTCTATAGACCCGAGCCCGTATAAGGCCTAACGTCAACTGGCAACGGTACGGTTGCGAATCGACGACTCAAGGATTGAGTGTCTACTTGGTAGGTAGAAGCCCTAACGAACGATACTCACTGTGACCACAGAGCGTTGCGTAACACCAGGGTAGACATTTTAGTATGGCTCGAACAACAGGGTTAAGGGTTTGCTCAGCATATGTAGCTCCCAGCACCAGATTGTGGATATAGATAGTAGTGAAAATAATTGTTTCAGAAACTGTTCTAGCTGGGTTGATGTTATCTAATAATCAAGAACAACCGATGAAATTGGCGTAGTCTAAGCCTTGAAGAACAACATCGACTTTCTGTCCCGGGTGTCTTAATAGAAGCTAGTAAGAGTGACTACGAAATACTGTCATCTAGTGTAATTCAAAGGCTGCTCCAAACACCCCCAGAATCGGAAGGTGTACAAGCAGAGCAAAGAGCCAGAAATAGGTTGATTGTGTCACAAACATTACAAGTACTTGAACTGGACTCGGGAAACCTGACATCGGGCTCAGGCTTCTTAATTCAATTGAACTCGACAATTTGTCACCTGATATAGACCTTTATAACTATATAGGATTTACTAAGGATATGGGCGATTTTATAAATCTTTCATGTATATCTGATGTACTAATAACCCAATGTTTTCAACTATAAAGGATTTAGGTTTCCTAAGGATACACACAGTAGTAATATACATTCAGATACATACAGCCCATGGTTTTGATAAAGAATGTACTATGGACATGCACATGCGTAGTTCTATAAGTCTCTGATGTATATCTGATGTGCTAATAACCCAATGTTTTTAACTATAAAGGATTTAGTTTTACTATGTAAGGATACGCGCAGCATTATTCAAGGGCTTTAATGTAAACACGGGTTACTATCATGCTAACACGGGTCATATGACGCGCTAAGCATAATCGGGATGCATTGATGTCTTGATCTGCCTCAAATGCCTTCTCAAGTCTATTCTCAAGTCTATTCTCAAGTCTATTATCAAGTCTATTCTAGTGGTTTATATACTAAAACCTATGATTTATATAGACTTTTTTCTTCAAATATTAAAGGATACTATGCACATGTGTAACTTATGTAGTTACTACTAACTAGTATATATATACATTCAAAAATCACATCACCTCTTTTTAGTGCTGCTAGAGGGGCTGACCCGTGTTAGCATGAGAGTAACCCGTGTTTACATCATAGTCCTTATTCAAATGTTATACATTCATATACATACAGCTGTAACAGCCCTTGGTTTTCATATAAGATTTACTAAGGATATGCGCAGCATTAATATACATTAATATACATCTATCCCTTAGTTTTAATAGAGGATTTATTAAGGACATGCGCGATTTTATAAGTCTCTGATTTGTATCTTATGTACCACTACCGATAAACCAATCAATTTTTTCGGCTATAAAGCACTTAAGGATTTACTAAGGATATGCGCAGCATTAATATAAATTCAGATACATATAGCCCTTGGTTTTGATAAAGGATTTATTAAGGACATGCGCGATTTTATAAGTCTCTGATATGTATCTTATGGATAAACCAATCAATATTTTCAACTATAAAGGATACTAACATTGGATACGTGCAGCTGCCAGCATTAATATACATTCGTATAGATACAGCCCTCAGTTTATCATCGAAAGCCCCCGCCCAATTGATCGCTTGGCGCACGATCGGGTGGAGGTCACTCAGGTATGATCCTCCCAAGGTGATCGCTCCGAAGCCAAACTCACTGGTTGCGGTTACTTGAGCGTTGACTTTCTTGTTGATCAGGTATCCGATTGAGGTCGAGGTTCCCTCCGGAACGAAACAATAGTACTGCTTGTAGATGATCACAAATGTGAGGCAGTGCGCGGTGATTACTGGGATCGGTCCGAAAGGAGGGTAAGAGGGGCGTATGGTTCCGTTTGCTGCGAAATTGGCGGCGTACAGATGGCCGCGTACCTTGGCCGGGAGACGCTTGATCGCCTCATAGGCTAATGAACTCCCCAAGACCACAGCCGGCGGTGGGGGCCATGAGCAGGGACTTCCGCGGGTAACACCATCGAATACAGGCCATGAGGAAGTATCCGGTTCACCGGTTCCTGGTACCGCTGGGTCGAATCCGACCGAGCACTTGGAGTAACCGGGCTCATAACCCGGAGGACCCTGGATCGAAACCAGGACATGCTACCAACTATTACGTTGTAAGCGTAAGTCGGTACATGGATGCATTATCATCGGGCGATCGCCCGCTAAACTACATGCTATCATGTGATATGGGGCGGTGACGCCCGGCAACAATAGGGGGTGACCGGGTAACACAGTTTCAATACATGTAAAGGATTATTAAGGATATGCGCGATTTTATGAGTCTCTGGTGTATATCTGATGTACTGATAACCTAATGTTTCAAAAAGAATTCACTAAGGATACGCGCAGCATTAATATACATTCTACTGCATATACCCCTTAGTATTAATAAAGGGTTTATTAAGGACATGCGCGATTTTCTAAGTCACTTAGTGTATATCTTATATACTGATAAACCAATCAATGCTTCTAAATATAAAGAATTTACCAAGGATACACGCAACATTAATATACATCTAGATACATATAACCCTTGGTTTCTATATAGATTTTACTAAGGATATGCGCGATATCATGTATTCAGAATGTATATCCTGTGTACCGATAAAACAATCAATATTGTCAACTATAAAGGATTTACTAAGGATACGCGCAGCATTGATATACATCCAGATACATATAACCCTTAGTATTTATAAAGGATTTATTAAGGATATGCGCGATTTTATAAGTCACTTAATGTATATCTTATGTACTGATAAACCAATCAATGTTTTCAAATATAAAGAATTTACTAAGGATACGCGCAGTATTAATATATATTCATATACATATAACCCTTGGGGTCTATATAGAATTTACTGAGGATATGCGCGATATCATGTATTTAGAATGTGTATCCTATGTAAAGACAAACCTTTCAATAAATAAAGTATTTAGCAAGGATACACGTAATATTATTGAATGCCGAAGCTTCTATGATTGCGATAGAGAAGCTAGCGAAAAAGAGGTGTATTGTAACAACCCAGGTTCACCATGATATAAAGTAGAAGATATCAGCAGTGGAGTGTGCCAACAGTTAGGGTCTTTGGAGAATTAGACATCGAAAGACTAGGCGTGCTTTATACCCGTGTTGTAGAAGGACACAATCAATGCTAAGAACACAGGGTAGATGAGATTATCAAGCATTCGGTGTCAAAAAAAGTGAACCCCTGAGTTGATTTCCAATCAAGAGCAAGGCTGTAACTTGGAATACTACTAGTTAATTCGACCGATGGAGAATTATCTACCCAAAGTTACGTCGGAGATAGGCCTGACCCACTAAGTAAGATCGGATATAGTTAACTAACTAGCATCATGCCAAGAACTGGTTTCCAACTTCCAGTGGAAGGCTTCACAGAGCCAGCAACTACGGAAATGCCGGATGCATGGAACTTTCTGAATGAGAAAACATTTGATTTTTGTTAGGGCAAGGATCTCCCAGTGGACCTTCTTTCTCGGCTTCCTCAGAAACAAGAGCTGGAATTCTTGTTCGATTTGACCGATGAGTCCTTTGATGAACAGTTGAAGTCTTGATTCTTACTATATTGAGTGTGTGCATATTGAATTGTGAATTTTAGTCCCTGTCCAATTTTCGCGTGGCGACCCAATCATTCAAAAAATTCCGAAATGTTGATGCATTTATTATAATCCAAATCAATATAAACCAATCAAAGTGCCATATAAGTGAATACCCGGACTATTCAATCAAATCAGGACAATGCGTTCTTCTATGCCCCTGGATATTGCATTCTGAGCACCTTGGTGACGCTCTCGTTCGTGGTTGTGAACGTGGTGAGGGCCGTCTCACTGGACATGAATTTGCGGCTACTGGAGCTGAAGTTGAGCTTTCAATTAGGCTCTGGGCTTCCAAAACCGTTAGGTCTTTATCACATTCTAGTTGCCTTGTAGACCGCGCTTCTTTTTGTTTCTCCTTCTCATTTTCAGCTTTTAAATCACTAATTTCTTTTTCAAGAATAGCGACTGATTGCATAGTCATTTGACAAAATTTTGAAAGCTGATCAATTGCAGAGTCGAGTGCATCTTGTGAGCTCTTTGAGCGTTGTTTTAACAAGGCATCAATCAAGGAAACTTGTTTTTGTAGTTGAATATTGTTTGAAGAGGGGTTTGGATCTTCATTATTCACACGCTCATCAACATTGCCTCTTGACAATAGAGCAGAGATCTCAGGCGATCGTTTCACGAAATTATAGGCCCAATTTTCGCCAACTGTTGGAGGGGGAGTTGATCCACGGGCAGCGGGTAAAGTATTCGCCATATCTCGTATAGTAGAAGGCCGAAGAGTAGCTTCACGTGAAAAGAAAGAAATAGCCCATTTTTGAAGGGACTCTTCTTCAATTTGGGTTAATTTATGGGAATTCGCGCGTAAACCAACGCGCGTTTCTCGTCCGGATAGCCGGCTTCGAAGTGTGGTTCGGGGTACTCCATATGTGAGTGCTGCTTTGTGTATAGAGAGCTTGTCTTGGCCTTTTATAGCTTGTATAGCTAGTAGGATCCTACCCTCTTGTTCCACTAAATGTTGAGAGGATTTGGCGCGTTTTGGTGGCATGGTGGGTGGTTGAAGAGGAAACGGGAAAGGGAACTACGCGTTTTTGTTTGGGTTGCCATCTTGCTTCCTACGTTGCCGACCCGCTTAACTACCGGTCACGTTAGTTATTAGTTCAGCCATTTCTTACCACTGTTACCAGCAGTAGCAGCTCTAATTTTGAGAGGCTTGGGAACGTCCAAGCCCTTTGCCACGGCATGCCTGGCGTTGAGCATCCGCTCCCATCTTACAATAGCTGGGAACTCAGTCATGTCAACACCAGCAAACCCAGACCAGATGACCCAGCCGACCGTGGTGATATCAGCAAGTGAGATATGATCACCGACAAGGAAGCCAGACTTGGACTGTTGAAGGCGCTTTTCGATCACAGAGTATAGCCGTCTCACCTCAGTCACGTAGCGGTCAATCGCATATTGAATCTTCTGAGGCGCAAGGCGGAAGGCGGACAAAGTGGTTGACTTGGCCTTGCATGGGTCCAAAACCAGCATTCTGGAAGAACAACCAACTAATCATCTCGTAGTGTTCAGCAGAACCGACTGGGAAGCTGATCTTGTGGTATTTTTTCGTATTGTTCGGCGAGATAGATGAGGATGCTACCAGACTCGAAGATGCCATCTGCGAGGGTATCGGTGATTGCGGGAATTCGGCCATCTAGATTGATCTCAAGGAACCAAGGTTCCTCTTGTCGGCTGGTTGAGATGTCCAGATGCTCAAGTTTGTGAGGTATTCCGAGCTCTTCCAGAGCAATGGACACCTTCACACCGCTGGGAGTGGAGCTGGTGTAGAACTTGACATTCGATTCCTTCATGTTTGCACATGTGGCATTTTCAAATTTTAGGATATGGTTTGAAATGATTGTCTCTATCTGAATGATCGGAAGGGCTATAACCTGCGATTTATAATATTTACCCAAGATGGGCAAGACAGTCACCTGTGCTGCTAGTAGATTTCGTTGAGGGCGCAGAAGATGGCGGCCATGGCCAGCGGTTGCTGGAGAGCCTACGACCCTAAATTGACAAACCTAACGCCCGTGGTCATGCCTCCATTCAGATCACGCGAAAAAAGGTGATCATTTCTTCAAAGGAGAAGTCATTTATAACAACCATCAAGGGCAGTGTGGCGAGATTGCACATGCAGAGTTTGAACTTGAGATCAATTGGTTGCTGCACTGTTCGCTTAGAAGGACTGATAAAGCAAATTGTGTGCATCCTTTGACGCTTACTAGTAAATCTAAGGGCTCTGCATAATGAGCCCATTAGAATTTTTTTCAGTTGCGTTCCAAGGTTTTCAGGCCTTTATGGTAAAGTTATATAACCTTCTGTAAGTCGTCAAGAACGTGAGATCCAAATCTGGAGATCATATCTATTCTTATCTTATTTACCAGGGTATGCTTAACGTCGCAAAACAGAAGCTTTCAACCCTGAAACAGTCCTGGGGCTGAGGATTTCACAATTTACAACTTGCCCTTGGGAGGAAAGTCACGTCTGTTCGTCCCACTTTGCATCTTCATGACCATCTTGCCTTCTTCTGAGATTCTCAGCATATCATCATCCGAGTTCCGGCTGCGATATCCTGCCCAGAATTTCTCATCCGCCAGCCAACCCTTGTACCATCTCTCAACCCACTCACCCGCAACACTCGCGCACCATCCGATCTGCTCAAAGCAGAGGAAATGCTCACCCTCTGGTAGGAGTGACTTTTCTACTGCCCCAACACGAGCTCCGCCACTTCCGCCCACCCCAGTGCCGGTATCTCGCATTTTCGAGTCCTGCGAACTCGGCGACGAAAGATAGCTCTTACCACCAAAGATCCACTTCACACTTGGTCTGAGGTATGGTAAATTCCTCATGGCCGCCCAGCACTCTGGCCGGGAAAACAAGTACTGTCTTTCCTGTTCACTGTGCCAATCAGGTAAAAGAAGCCGATCCAAAGATTCCGGCTCCAAGTTTGGCGTGGTGAAGCTCCATGATTCTTGATGTTTGGTTGTGGTCAATGTTACCGCTTGCGGGCCCACTTCTGGATCTGCGGGATCATAAATAGCAGTCGGGACGCTACGGAGGCCGTACGTGATGTATTTTTCTCGCGCACGAGGATCCCATCTCCGAAGAGATTTTGTGAGAGACTCTTTGGCCTTTTCGGGGGTGGGCCAAAGATCCCTGCGGCGACTGGAGATAATGGCTGGGTTTGGGACCCCCAAAGCAGCCTCCACGATGACGGGCTCGATGAGAATAAGTGTGGAAAGAAGACGCGGATGCATAATCGAAAGGTTTACCCTGTGTTTTCGATTAGATATCTTCCGATTGTTTCAAGGTTGATAAGAAAAAAAGAGCCATACAGGATGGCACAGCCCATACTATGTGCGACACCAATGATCGGGCGAGGAATCTGGTCGCGAAAATGGTTTATCATATGGAGCAGGTCACGCGAATGGTCGTTCCAGCCCGCTTTATATTATTGTGCATATTAGCTTGATGTGTTCGAGTTTAGGTATCGTTGGGAGGAGGGAAGGGAGGGACGGTACTTTGATCACCCTGGATATGTTCATTTAGAACTCCACTTGCTCCTTGATTTGACATGTCCGCTACCCAGATCCCGCGTATTGGTATTTCTTTTTGCTTCAGTTCGGCATAAAGATCTTCCCAGACAGGCTCATACAATTCTTTTTGCGTGCCATTACCAGGAGCTCCTATGATGGTGATTGCATTTTCGGGGATCGGCGTGGGAAGATCCAAGGGGACGTATTGTTTGATAACGAGGTGAAGAGATGTTTCTTGTTTCACGCTCTTCCTGGTACTGTGGGGGTATTCTCGGATGTGTTGACCGGGGATTGTATGTTCAATTATGTGAAAGGGGAAAGGCATGATAGACGGAAAATCAAGATTTAACGCAGGCCGACTGATGGTGTTTGCAGTACTATTGTGGTGAGTACTAAGTAAAGTAGTACCTGTGCAGAAATTTAAGTGATAAGGGGTTGAGAGACTTGTGAGTTCAAAGTGACTCGTGGGCGGGGAAACTTTGGGGGCGAAGGGGGCCGATTATTCACTAATGTTGCGACTCTTACAAGGCTCATGATAGCAATAGTGCTTTCTGGCAGCGCCAAATATCATTGCCATGATCTACGCTCGTTACCCTATCCCTGCTGTGAGGTAGTACTCATAGAGCTTGCCGCCGCAAATAATCTCGACGCATTTAATTTTCGCTCGATACGGCTGGATACGGCTGCTCTTAATTCGAAGTTCCAGTCAATGTCAATCTGTAATAACTAGATCGCCGATCACCCGGTGACTAAGCCACTTTGGGTTACTAAGCCTTTGTGGCGGTGCATCATCGCCACCGGGGTAGGCTGCCTTAGGACGTAACGTCTTCTTCTCCCCACGCTTCCATCACCAAGTACAAGCGTACTCTTGTTATCACTCAAATCATCAGCATGGCGCCTGCAAATGGGCACCTGCTGCTCCCCAAGATATGGAGAGCAGCAAGGTATGTCAACTACTCTCATCGAGCATCTGACTCATCGACTAATCGCAATTCCCCAGGTTTGCCTATGAGAAGGCCTCTAGGGCCATCCGAGCCAAGTTGCCAGAACCCGCTCCCAACTCCTCTCTACAGTATCAGCCAGTCTATGCACGAATCAACAGACAGCCCATTAATCGTGCCGCTGCTATCCGCCAGGCACGCAGTCGTCACTTCTCGACTCGCGCAGCCGGTGCTTTTGCCTCGGCTGTTCGGGGTATCCAAGCTGATGTCGGCACCTACAAGGCTACCCGCGTCGCTTCCAACATTGGCCGACTCACTGTGCGCGCTCCGTTCGCATCGACACTCCGCCCCAACCTTACTGGTGGTACATTGGGCCGCACAGCGGGAGGATATGCTATTGGCGCCGGTCGTTTTGGCGGGGCTCGATACTTCTCCCATGGAGCCGCAGCCCCCGCCCAGGTCATCCAGAATGTGTCCCAGGGTGTCCGTGCGTTCTTCTTATCCGGCCAGAAGATTCGATTCGATGGAATTGATCCCCGCACCGGCGAGAAACGCTACAAGGCTGTCAGCGCTATCCAGGACCAAGCTGGTCGAAACATGAGTGCCATTCCCCGCGCTGCTCCCGGCTCATACATCGACTTCCAGCTTTCCCCGACCATCACTGCGTTTGGCGTTATGGCCGCTCTCAACAAGAAAGCCGGTTTCGCCACTGAGACCCTGCAGTCAGAGGGTCTGATGGATGTCCTCTCTGGCGACTTTGCACGTGCCTTGAAGGAATTCGCCATTGTCTTGAATGATCTTAAACGTCTGTCAACTTTGGGCGATATGCCGATCACTCTCCATGATCAATCTACTATTCGTGTTCGGTTCCCTGGCTGCGACGCCGAGACGGTCGAGAGCCTTTGTGACGAGATCGGCGTGCAACGCGGCCGCATCGTCCAGGACGACGACTTTGATCTTCGCACCGGTGCCGATCTGGCACTATTGTTCCCATTCGCACCCAGCATGGCCCCATCATCCGATACTGAAGACTTCTTTGAAAGGCCCTCTCAATCAATCCAGCCTTCTACTGACAATCTCGACTGGCACGCCATGCTCACACCTGAGGGCAGCCCATTCACTTACAACTCGCGAGACTCTGGCAATGCCGTCAGTTTCGACGACAGCGAGTTGTTTGGTGAGAACCCGTGGACCTCTAGATCAGCATACTCCAGTGTCAATATCAGTGAGCTCGGAGACCGTGCCTTTTTCCCAGAGATATCTAGTTCCTGTGCTAGTCTCTCCGACAGTGAATCTGTGTGTGGTGACGCAGAGGGAATCCACAGATTTCTTGCCGATTGTGACTTAGCACGGCGCCGATAGGGCTTGGAGCTCTTGATTTAATATGTATAGTTTTTCATCTTTCATCTTTTGTTTTTGTTTTCCTTTGATTGATGGACCTTTCTTTTGGCTATCCTGGTAGATGCCAGATCCATGATGACAGCGCTGATACCACTCCACTCACTTCATCTTTCCTTTTTTGTCTTTGCTTTCTGAAATCCCGGCGATAGTGCAGAATTCAATGAATATCTTGAAACCATGAAACCATGAAACCATGAAACAGATTCTCGTTTCCTTTCACAACGGGTAGTAATATACTAGTAGTAGTGGTTGATTTATTTGCTCAATGACAACACAATCTTATCGACGAGCAGATAGCTTCCTTATCGCCACGTGATACCCTACGTCATCGCTCCCAGGTCCCGTTAAGCTGATTGACTCTTGGGTCTTGACATTCTTCCAAATCCTGATACCACAAGAGAATCAACCTCAATCTTTTTATCTCCCCAATCCAAACTCAATTGTTGAGAGTTGTCAAAATGACCTTCATTAAACTCCGTGCGAGAGCGCCGCTGCGTCTCAGCAGCCTCCGATCCCCACGCCTAAGCTCCTCCACACTTCTCCGGAGCTTATCTACCCGAACAACAGGGACCATTCAACAAAAAAACCCCCGAGTCACAGCTGTACTCCCTCAATCAATCTGCAAACTGCCATCAACACCATCGCTGCGTGTAAACTGCCTCAGCACGCCCCTCTCGCGTCAGTACAGCACCGAGACAACAAAGCCAACCGCAGACACCTTAATCGAGGAGCTCCAAGATCTCTACGAAATAGCCAAAGACGAGTTCGAAATCGCAACCGAAAGCACCGACGGCGGCACAATTTACGCGGCCTCAGACCGCGACTCCGCCCGTGACGCTTTAAACGAATTCTGCGCGACCTACTTCCTGTATACCTGCCGTCCGGGAGAGGAAGATACAGGTGTGGTTTTACGATCTGGGGAGGCTGTGAGTGGCAGTCGGTTGCTGGAGGCAGAGGTAGTGACGCTTGGCGAGGAGGAAGGCGAGGGCCCTGTTGTTGATACTAAGTTTGACCCTGCAAGCGTGGAAGTGAGTGTCAGGGATGAGGTTAGAAGACGGATTGGGCAGCGGGTCAGAGAGTTGAGGAATGCTGTTGAGCTTTTGGAGGAAAGAGCTCATTCGGAGTGATTTCCTTTGGATCGGCCCTACTGTTCAACTCGACAGACTGTGAGCTATGGACTATGTATCCTTTAGTCATTATTCATGATGAACAAATATCCATGGGTACAGACATTCACATCATACATGCAACCTTGAAAGGTTGGGGTATCATCCATGGATATACATCAGGTGAGAGCTGTGTGCATCCATATTTGTATCAACATTAAATTGAATTGATCTTTCAATAATTTACTTAAAAACCTGTCTTTTTGAAAGACTGACAATAATTCAAAGCACTTTACATAGATGTATTTTCTCCTACGTACTCCCATTCAGACATGCACTCCAGGCATTATCAACAAGGTGGACAAGGCCTAGGACGAACTTAGCCATCCCACTCCTCAGCAACATTGCATCCTTATACAACAGACCTCCCCCGCCGCCTATCCCAACCTCCAGCAAACCAGCTTACATGTATTAAGGGCAGCTCACGCTGTGAACCCCAGATCAACTCAAGTGCTGGCAGCCCAATCTACACCCTCAAGCACCAGTATCCGCCGACTTCCACCATGAACAGGGCCAAAATGGACGGGGCAACAATGAGTCACAGAATTATGTCGACAGCCCGCAAGACTCACTTCACTCAAACCAGGGCGATGCGGTGATCGTGCGCGCCCTGATCAACCACGGGCACCCCGACCTCGCCTAAAAGTTCACCAGCGCCAGACTGTCAAGCCACCAGACCCTCAGCCGACCACAAGGTTGTCGGCCCCGAATCACGGCGCCGATGGCTTAGGGTATTTGCACATGTGGCCTGCCTTTTGGCTGATGCCTAAAGATTTGTTTAAGTGACCTAATGATAGCGAAATCGATATCATGGAAGCATGAAACAGCGATGCTGTTAACCATACCTGTCTGTATTGGGGCCACTTGAACGGCCAGGACTGGAACAAGCACCGTGTTCTCGAAACTCCCATCCCTGATATCAGGGGGCGTTTGGTCTGGTTGATTGAGGGCAGGCCCATCATGAGAGCTGAGAAGCCGTCTGGTATGAGGAAGATGAGCGACTTCAGGACTCTGCAGATGTCCTCAACATTGCTGTTGGAGGCAATATTTGCCAGGGAAATATGCACAGTGATCGACACTAGATACGGTGTTTCATGAGTTGGCTACATGTATGTGGGACGCGCCGTCTGGGGATTGGAATGAGTTTCAAGAGATGTCTTGGAGGGACACTTGGGATGGTAGTAATATATGATGAAAGAACATTGCTAGGGAGTTGGATAATGCTCACACACATGTATATACTCTGTATCCTAAAATGTAAAGTTTTCAATCTACAATGCCGTCTTGTCTTGGATAATCCCAAGTCCAACCTATAATTCCAAATATCGTAATTGTCAATCTAGTTATCATCCTGTTAGGAGATTGAGATCAATAGTCAAGAGTAGGTGACCATGTGTCTTTCATTCGGTAATATAGGCGGAAGAGGAGATTTAAGCGAAGTTTATACGAGACAGAAAAACATCGAAGAAGATGGATAAGAAGTTGGATTGGGTCCGGACATAGCGCTACTAAGCTAGATACAGCCCATAGTAGAATTCTACTGTATAGTTCAGCATTTGGTTTGGGATTTAATCTAAACCCGGGTTACTCTCATGCTAACGCGGGTCATATAACATTGAATGTATTATGTGTCAAGCCTAATCGGGACGTATTTCTCTGCCCAGGGGCTGGCGAAAAAATAAGTTATGTGATTTTTTCATGTATAAATAGCTAGGATATATCATTTTTAAAGAAAAAGTATGTTTAAATTATAGGTTTTAGTGTATATGTAGTAAACTAGAATAGACTTGAGGATAGACTTGAGAAGAGACTTGAGAAGAGACTTGGGAGGGGACTTGGGAGGGGACTTAGGAGCGGACTCAACATTTGAAGAAGGGATTATATGACTAGGACATATGCCCCAGGCGATTTCTTTCAAATGTTTGCTAATGATTACTACATATATACATGCATGTGTGTACATAAACGGGGCAGAATCTCAATAGAAATATAAATCCCGGGTAGTAATTCATGCCTAGTAGAAACTTCACGAAAAGCATCAATACTTATTCATATATGCACATTTGTCAGAGAGAGGGGTTATGTGAGTCGTGGGTCCCCCTATATTTAATGCTGGCCTTTCTCCCTTTTCCCTTCTTCTTCTCTCCATCTTCCGCCGAGAGAGATTGTCGATAGCAGATCCAGCTGCTTTTCTCTCTCCGTTCAAATGTTCTTTCTATCCCCTGAACAGTGGCTTGGTATTTCGCTCCTAGCAACATTTGAATATATCTTTACCAAGATACCGGCATTTAATCGATAATCTCTCGACTTTTTTCATTCGACGAAATCAAAAGTTTGACGGGGATCGCAACAAACATCACGCTGATGGCGGCGTCGGTTGTCACCATCCTGAAGTACGCCGAGGAGAGGCAAACAACCTCACCACCAGCGATTCCGAAGGGGGAGCAGCCAACCCAGCCACCGTCGCAAGACGCCGTAGCCACTCCCCCGGAGGAGCCCTCGAGTGCGGCTGCACCGAAGCGTTGACCGCTGAATTTGCTCGCCGGAGAGCCAAACAGCACATACACCCAGGATATCCAAAAACATCGTTCCCACATCAATATCTATACATAGATATAAGAACTTCATCTATAGAGATGCCGCGGTTTTTTTCATTCGACAAAATCAAAAGTTTGACGGGGATCGGAACCGACATAGGGGCAATGGCAGTGTCCGCTATCGCCATCTTGGAGTACCGGGAGAGGAGAAAAGCGACATCTACACCAGCCATTCCAAAGGTGGAGCCGCCAAATCGGCCACCGTCGCAAGACGCCGTGGCCACTCCCTCGGCGGAGCCCTCGAGTGCGGCTGCACCGAAGCGTTGACCTCGGTCACGCTGAATTTGCTTGCTCGCCGGAGAGTCAAACAACACATACATCCGGGATTGCTAGTTTTCCGGTGGATACTTCCCCGACTCCACCGAACCACCGGATTGCTCAACGGTCTTGAGTCTGTATGCTGTGTTTATGCTCTTTGTTGTTTGAAGGCAAGTGCAAGAGCCATAGGGGCCTGTACTCCGGTGGATACAACTCGCTCGTCAGACCGTGGGCGGTTGCAAGACTCTATGAGTAAATACTGAGCGCTTAGGGCGAGTTAGCATGTATAAAGCAGTGTAAAATAATTATATGGACCTAGAACTGTGTTACACATATGCGCTTATCAAAATTGGGGGATTTTGAGGGGTACGGGGAAGCTAGACGGTAGGTATACCTGAAATCGTCGTGCGCACTATAACGACTCTCAATCTACAAATCGACAACATCCAAAAATCATATGAGCCCAGTGTTGACGATTCTATAACCATTCAGGTTATGTAAATTGGATTCCGGGAGTAATACTAGGCCCCATGCTCAGCATGTCCTCGTATCCGCCCATGTTGTGGAGCGCCCACTAAGGCGTGGTTCATTGTCATCTGCCAAATCTAAACTCTATTCCGTCAGCCCCGACCGACCCCACTGCTGTGGAAAGCGCCTCTGAAGAATCATCTCGTATTGATTACTATGGCCAACATTGAATTTCATCTCGTGGTTGATTCTAAACGAGAATTTCTTTATGAAGAAGACTATTTCCGTCGCATCGATGGTCTCGTTGCCAAAAAACAACATCTTTGGAAGGCGCAACTCTTGCCTCTTTACATTATTTCTCCACAAACAGAAAAATCTCCTCGACTAAAAAAGAGCTCTTGACATCCTTCGTCATGTCGCATGAGACTGCAAGCTATAAGCGAATCATCCTCTGTGTTGACGGCACTTGGCTAGCATCCGATGAGGGTGGCAGCGAGGAGTCATCCAATGTCACGAAGATAGCTCGCGGTCTTGCAAACAATGGCCTAGATACCGATGGCAAGATTGTTCCTCAGATTGTTTTCTACCACTCTGGACTGGGAGCTGGAGATTTACCGTTTCAAAAGGCGATTTCAGGTACTGCTGTCTCAGAATCTTTAGTACGTGGTCGCTAACACTTCTTGTGATGTAGGAGGTATCGGTTGGGGCTTGGACCAGGATGTATGTCGAATTTATGAGTTCGTGTCCGATAATTACGATCCCGGTGATGAGTTGTTTCTTTTTGGTTTTTCTCGCGGAGCCTTCACCGTCCGCTCTGTGGCGGGCCTGATTTCTGACATAGGCGTGCTATCGTCTGAGAATATGTCGCATTTTGCGGATATGTGGAAAGCTTACCGAGAGAATACGGACGGGAAACCTTTCTGTGATTCTGCTTGGTATCGGAAAAACCAGACCATGCTGAGCCTGCGGGATGATAGTATCCGAATCAAGGTGGTGGGCGTCTGGGACACTGTTGGAGCTTTGGTATACCACTCCGAGTTACCCCTGGAATGGAGAAGGAGTAATTCGCATTTGATGACGCTAACAAGATTCTTGATTAGGGGATCCCAGAGTGGCCGTGGGTGGAAATGGCATCAAAAGTCGGCATTCCGCTGAACAAGCAGTATCAATTCCATAACACAGAAGTGTCCAAAAGTATGAAACCTGGCTTTCCGCTGTTATTCCATATAACTCAATTCAATGTGAGCTAATCAATAAGTGAAGATGTTGATTACGCCTTTCAAGCTCTTGCAATTGATGAGAGACGGCTTACATTTCCACCTACCCTGTGGCACAAGACAACCGACGCACCAGCTAAAGATTTGATACAATGCTGGTTTCCCGGAGTCCACGGCAATATTGGAGGCGGAGCCAAGGATCCCGAAATCGCGGACATTTCATTGGCCTGGATGGTAAGCATCGACGCCAAATCGAATCTTCACGCTTACAAGTTTATGTTTTATCTTCTGACTCGAACCTTAGGTGGACAACCTATCTGGCATGTTGGCTTTCAAGAAAGTCGTAATGGATGGAATCATCCAGCAGCACCGAGATGCTCGGGCTGAACGCATTTCTCCTGGACGCAAAGGCGATGACAGCTGGGGTTGCGATCCCATCGTTTCGAACTTTGCCGGTATTGAAGGAGCATTTTACAGAACTCTGGGTGTCAAGGACCGCACGCCTGGTGGATATTCCCAAGGGTCAGGCAAGAATGGAAATGCCTCCGACACCAGTGAATACTTCCATCCCATCGCTCGGATAAGAAGGACCTATCTTGGCTCTCAATATGACCCGGCCGCTTTAACTGGCTTTACCTTTCAGCAGCACGATGGTGATGAAAATGCCCATGCCGATTGGTACTGGGTCAAGACAGGACTGAAATCAGCAATACCAGAATTTGTTTTACGTCCCGAGAAGAAGTTGTTGGTGGAAGATGGTTTTAGTTATACCTATCAGGAGAGCCTATCCAGAAGCATGTGTCCAGAACATTTGTTGGCGAAACTCGACCGAGATGATGGGGTGACAATTCCTGTTGACTAGGGAAAGGAAAGGACTGCCCTGAAGGATATGAAGTGTTTCAATTCAACTGGTTTTAGGATGAAGCTTGACCTCCAGCTGTTCGAATTTGAGATTCAAACTACATAGAGGCTTATGCGTAGGGTGCATTCTTCATTTTCCTAGTTGAATGTCCTCGACAGGACAGGGTAAACATAAATCAAAAAAAACTTTTCAATGGCTAAATTGCTGGAAGGCAACAGGGTCAAGGAAGATAAAGCTCCAGACAGAAAAGAAATGCGAAAATGGTTCACTCATGGTAGTTGGCAGCAGAGGGCCATTGAAGCTGTAGCACCTGATCGCTTTGGATTTGCCTTGTATCCCACATCCAATCCCAAGGAACCAACTCCTTAGCATGGCATATTTTCAGCTTCAGCTTGACGAGACTGTTCACACAGACGGGATTTCCGTGGACCCATTCTCCGCACCGAATGACTTCCTCGGTGCCATCTGGAAGTGAAACCGCGAAAAGAAGATCCGGGTGGTTGATGTTGTAGGGGTTGTACATGATTCCCTTGAAGCGATTGAACTCAAGAATTTCATCAAGAAGGACAATGTCCAACACTTTCATCTAATGCATCTCAGCTGGATGCATGATTGGAGGAATTGTTGGCGAAGAGTGACTTACAGGAGTTCCTGGTTTACGCGTCCTGGTAGGGTGAACGACGTCGGGATCGGCTTGGCGCGACTGAGGAGGACCGGTAGCCCACTGTTTCAGTAGGCGAATGAAATCCATTGTGGTTGTTTGGGAGGTGAGGATGAGATTGAAGGGTGAAGACATGATGATTTGAATATTAAGTGCAGAGTCGATGTAGTTGTGGAGGGTGTTGAAAGAATCAAGAAGCGAAGTAAAGAGCACGCGTGCACAAGAGTTCGGTTGCAACATTGAATGAGTGGTTCCGCGACTTTCTAAAAAATGATTGATTGATCCTTCCTTCATTCACTAAAATCAAGTGTTAATGCCTGTCAATAGAAGTCTCCTAAATCCACATCCTCATGTTTATCCGGTCATGTTTTCCGCGAGCAAGATCGTCATATATTTCATAGCCGCTCCCGATGATCGAACTGACCATCTGTTTCTGGTAAATAAGAATACAGTCCCCTCGCCATGGAGGACTATGAGAAAGGTGTTCAGGAGCTCAAGCCGCCATGAGTCTAGAACCCGAGTGTTAATGTTGAGACGGAGTTTGTCATTGTTCATTGGAGAGTGTTCATCTCTTTTGCAGCTCCATCTTCCCCTATTTGATTCAAGATTGATTATCAGAATCAATAGTCTTCCCGGTCTATAGATAATCTATGGCGTAGCTCATTAGAAACTTACAGCAATGAAAGAATCATGACCCCACCTGGGAAGTAGATGTCCTGGTGACCAGAGGCTCTCATCGATAAGCATCAGAACTTGCTTCCTTTATCGCGTCATACCTGTAGGCTCTTACTTGCTCTTCAATGAAAAGTTGGCGTGGCACGCTCAATTAATTTCAGTAATCATTGAGCCTGGATATTACAATCACCCCAGCAATGCAATCCACCCGAACAATGCGACTATTCCTGTCTCAATGATATGATATAGGACTCCGAAGACCCGCTTTGGAGTTTGTGGGGACAGCTCCACTGGCCAAACTTCGAAGTGGATAGCGAGATGGCGCTAGCGGCTAGATTCTTGGAATCCAGGGTCTAAACCCGCTAGAAAATACAACACGATGTGCGGCGGCCGATAGAGGCCACCCCTGGTCAAATCCCAATTTCAACTTTCCGAGTAATTCCAAATTCATATTAGTTCAATGTTTTTGAACTCCATTATGTTCAGGCATCCCACTTTTTCTTTCCTTTCAATCTTCTCTTCTTCCAACTCCCTCCTTCTTCCTCACCCCCTCCAACCTTATTGATTCCTACGTGTTTCTCCTTCCTCGACCGTGTGACCGTTCTGGTCACACCGTTCGAGAGTTCTCAATCTTGCTGAGCTTTTCAGGTTCTTCCTTCTTTGACTACTCTAGTCAACACATTTTCTCAGACCGTTATTCAGTACCACCTTGCTTCCGGTCGCCGATCACCATTATTTTACCTGCCTCATTTGACTCGGCATATCTACACTTCATCGATTACCTTCGAGTCCTCCAACCTCCCTTCGCCCATTTTCATCCTACGAGAAGTTCCCGAATATGGTTCAAATTGCAGTTTTCCCTTGGGCAGAGTCCAAGGACAGTATCCTGGTGACAGTTCAGCGCTGCATTATACATTAAATCCTTGAACTCTATTATATATTATTAATACTCTATTGTATTAACTACTTCTCTTTCTCAGGTAAATTATCACAACAACTGGCAAGAAAGAGAGGCTGAGATCCTAGTCATATAATCCATTCTTAAGTCCCTTCATAAGTCTACTCTCTCAAGTCTACTCTCAAGTCTATTCTCAAGTCTATTCTCAAGTCTATTCTCAAGTCTAAATGTTCTAAAAGTGACCCGTATTTAGATCAAATCCCTTAATATATTCCTATATATGATAAATACAATACAGGCGGGAAACAGGGCGGTAAAGTTGGAAACTGAAATTGGGATATGACCTAGGGGTGGCCTCTATCGGCCGCCATACACGATGACTTTTCAATTTCAGTATTATTTTCCAGAGCAAATCATGTTATTCCTGACTCCTGAGTCCTGGCCAGGGGGTTGCGGCTGCGGAATAACATGCATCCGCGAGACCTGCATGAGGCTGCATCTTTTCAGGCGGTCAAGGACTCAAGGACGCGAACTATCTCATTCCGCGGGGTCGGCGGTTCATCATCATTACTGAATACGGACAGATTTCAGGGCGAACATTGGTATTTCTCAGCGTTGGACAGTCTAAATGGACTCTACAATCTATCTCAACAACATCATCACCCTATCTTTGCATCCACGCATGATATTAGCATCGGTCTCTCGCGTGTGATGACACGTTATTGGTTGCCAGAAGTGGAAGAAGTGATAGCTACGAAGCTGAAGCAGAAGGAAGAGTACGAGACGAACATGTGTAAGTACCAAGCAATTTACAATCAATCACTCCAGATGTCTAATTCTATACAAACATCTATCAACGGAATATAATAGTAAAACGTCTTAGTATCATCAATCATAGCTTAATCCATGCCCGAACCGGAAGAGCGGATCTTTGGTGTCATATGGCATATCCGATCTGGACTGCTCCACAGCTTCAGTTGATGAAGGAAGATCAAACGGAAGCTTGCCCTGCGGCTTATAGACTCCGAAAACAACATCCAAAAATGCGTCTGCAGTGGCACCGTAGTTGAAAAAGATGGCAGATGCACCTTGCACAATCTCCGGGATAACGGCGGGTCGATCAACGTACATATCCACAATCACAGTGGGCACAACTTCAAAGATCTTAGCCTGGCGGGCTTTTTCTTCTTCGGTATATTCCAAAGATCCAGCATGGAATAGAGACTCAAAAGCACCGGGTCGTGGCGTAAATGGCGCCTTCAAACGCACAAGAGCAATATCTGCGTCTTCTATATCCGAAACAAGATTCAAGCCGCGCGCTTGAGCAACTTCGGGGGAGATTCCGTCGAGATAGAACTTTTTACCCGCGTCGGCAGTCAGAGGGAGGACGCTCCGGTGATTTGTGAGAAGTGTATAGCTGCGCCTTTGCGTCTCATTGGCCAGCTTAACGAACTCGGCATTACCAACAATCTGCTCTGCGGCATCCTCGTCAACAAATGGAGAGTCGAATAGTCCCAGTATAAACTTCTCGCGGAGTAGTCGACGGACGGATTCATCGATTCGCTCCACAGAGACTCTTCCATCAGCGACAAGGCCACTCAGAAGTTCGGGGCAAGATTCGCCTCCCATTTGATCACACCCAGCATCCAAAACCTTCACCAGGCGTTCCTCAGGCGACAGATGCTCGACTCCCCAAGCACGCGCAGGCATGGGCTCCCCAAAGAAGCTCTTATCAGTCAAGACCGCCCAATCTGTGCAGATGATTCCTTGGAAGCCGAGTTCTTCACGAAGAAGACCAGTCATGATCTCCTTGTTGAATGCAAAGCCCACCTCCTCGTACTTGGTGCCGACTGGCATTCCGTAGGAGGGCATAATTTGTCCAGTACCTGCCTTAATAGCGGCACGGAAGGGTTGAAGATGTCCCTCCCAGTTATCCCCAGGATACACCTGCTCGCGGCCGTAGTGGAAGTGAGGATCCTCCCCGTCCTTCTGGGCACCACCGCCAGGGAAGTGCTTGGTCATCGTCGATACCGACTGCGAGCCAAGAGCGGCACCTTGGAATCCACGGATGTACGCCGTGAGCAGCTCCGAGGTAAGGCTTGAGTCCTCGCCGAATGTGGCTCCAATGCGAGACCAGCGCGGCTCTGTCGCCAGATCAACCTGGGGGTGCAAGGCGAGACGTAGACCGATAGCTAGGTACTCCTGGCGGGCAATGTCGGCGAATTTTTCCACGAGATCTGCAGAGCGAGTTGCGGCGAACCCTAAGCTCTCGGGCCATTGGGAGAAGATCCCGGCTTTGAAGCCCGTGCCCACGTTGTCGGTGAAATGGTTGCGCGGATCTGTGGATAGGGTGACGGGAATTCCTAGTCGTGTGCTTCGTGCGACTCGTTGGAGATTGTTGTGCCACTTCGCAGCTGCTCGTGCATTGGTGACAGGACCCAAGAGATTGAAGTATGACATCTTTCGTTGGTGCACTATGTCTTCATTGCTGATCATGTGGAGATGGGGTTGTGCTGGGGCAAGAGCGCCGTCTTCTCCCATGACAATCATGTCCTGGAACATCAATCCGCATTTTTCCTCAATTGTCATGCGTTGGATCAAATCCTCTACACGTTCATCAACAAGTAGCGTCTGGTCCCAGTACGGGAAGTTATCTCTTTCTTCGCTCATCGTGCCTCTGGTGCCGTGTAAAGTATATAACGACCTTATTCAGGGCTGAGGTGCGAAGATAAGAGGAAATTGAAAATATCGTCTTGTGAGAAGATAATAGTTCAGGGGAGAAAAAAACGAATATTCGAAAAAAGCTTCTGGCAGGCAACAAGCCGAGTGATCTTCGGATTGAAATCCAAGGGTCTTTGCGATCAACCGAATTGTGGGGCAAGTAAAAGCTGGGGTGCCGGGGATTCGGAACTCCACTCGAGGCCGTGTCGGTGTGACTCGACCCGAGCAACGTGGTTCAGCTCGCAATGGCCCTGTCTATTCCGAGATTGGCCCACCGTCGGGCCATTCAACCGCGAGCACAATCCCAAGTATGGCTACCGAATAAGATAATAGAATTCGGGAAATATAGGTATGTTTTCGGCTCTCCGTATACGACCCGGTATTTCAAGTTTCAACAGAGCCGAAAAACGAACGCCACTGGAGCCCCAAACTTTCCTGTCCTGGCGAGAGTAACTGGCTCTCACCTCCAATGCTTACATAGTACATGTGCCCAGGCCCCAGGTGGATCATGTTGGGGCTGGGTCGATGAATGTAGGTACCGGGTGATTCTCGGCCTTTTCGCGATTTTAATTTCCCCATGGGCTATGGTCGCTTCTCATGGCCCTCTTAACATCTAGAGTTTGCAATATACGAACCTGAATTCGATTAGTCGCCCCGCAATCCCCGCTTTCTTCCAGGGTGACCCTGAAGTGGTGTCTAATTGTATGGCAGCGTATCCGTATCTGTGGACTCAAGTTCAACGGTAGCAGAGTGTGTGATTGGTTCAAAATGCCCAGGTAGATGGCTAATGCTTCTAGGTGACCCACTGGAAGCTTGGGCCACATCTATGGATATCTCTACATTCTTGGCAGGGCTTAGAGCCATGTTCTGGCACATTGAAACATATCCCTGGTAATTCATTAGCACGTGTAGCAGATGGGCAGGTAGAGAGAAACATAGAATAAATTCGCATTTGAAGCCATTAATTCATGGAGTAACCGTTTCACGCGTCCAGATGCCTGTCGCTATCAAACTGTAAACAGCTATTTGATCAGGATTCAGGTGAATCCACTTCGATATTTGCGGGGCGTAGAACGTCAAATGGAGATGCGGCGGGGATCCGATGGGGAGCCGACGCAGCGTACCCCAGCCTTAAGTCGGATTCTACCAACTTGGCGGAAATTTTCAACTCGTGTTCCTGTGGGGTACCGGCGCTTGTGACTATGAGGGCTGATTGACAGTTTACCAAATACGGCTGCTTCTCGAAATATTGACAAGGCATATGCGCACTTTTGGTTTACATGGAATATTGAACGCTACCTTGCAAGAGTATATAATCCTGCCATTGATCTGCCTGCCATAACTGATGGCATATTGTGTCCACCAAATTTCATAACATATCAGTGGACTTTTAATCTTTGAACATTTGAATGTCCCTTTGAAGCCATGGAGATGGAAGAGAAGGCCACCGATGCCCACGTGGAATGGACTGTCAAGTCCGGGGCAGAGGTCATTACCGATGATGAGGATCCAAACGAAAGTATCTTGCAAGCCATAAAGAAGAATACCTGGGCAATCATCTACTGCTGCTTCATGACTGTCAGCCCCTTACTCTACGGATACGACGTGATCACTGCCGGTGTAGTGACGGCAATGCCGGGATTTCAGTATGGATGCACCTTTCAGTCGATAACCGGCACAATTTGTATCTTTGCTTACCAGTAATTTCACAGGGAGTCGTTCGGAACCTACCAGGGAGATTATTCGTGGCTATTACCGGCAATGTGGATCTCACTGTGGACTACCATGATGCCTGTTGGTGTCATGTTCGGCTCCTTAACCTGCAGTTACATAACGGATCGGTTTGGAACAAGGGTGTCTAGCATTGGTGGAGGATTCATTGCAATTGCCGGTGCCTTGCTCAGCTTTTTCTCGGATCTCCTTCTTGAACTGAATGCTCGACGGGGTCTTTTCACTGGTTCCAAGGCGATCCTGGGTTACGGCTTAGGCTTGATGCTTCCTGCATCACAGACCTATGTCTCAGAGGTAGCTCCAGTTCGCCTGCGCGGTGCTCTTTTATCTCTGTTTACTATTTCTATGGTAAGTCCAACTTGACTTTCTGGGTAGTTGTCTGTGACAGACATTAATAACGTTCTTCCAGCTCATCGGGCAAATCATTTCAATCGCAGGAATTGATGTTCGGCTCATGAATTTCACCCCTGACTCCTACCGTGTAAGTATCAGGCAATGGGCTCGTGACTTCAACGACTATGAAATTGAAACTGACTAATCCTGTATTCTTAAACAGATTTTATTTGCCGCGGAAATTGTCCCTACCGGTGTCGCAATGATTCTAGCCTTCTTCTGTCCCGAAAGCCCGAGCATTTACGCCAAGCTAGGCAAGCGCGCCCAGGCAATCAAAGCATACTCCAGACTTTTCCCTACAAAAGATGCAGAAGAGGCGGTTGCAAAGATTGAAAGTTCCTTGGAGCACGAGAGACAGATCCAGGCTAGCGAAGAGAAACCAGGCTATATGGAATGCTTCCAGGGAACAAACTGGCGACGTACAAGAATAGTTCTATATGCCAACATGGTGCAGAACTTTGCTGGAATTGCTATGATAGCACAGTCCACTTATTTCATGGAACTGGGTGGAATGTCCTATACCATTTCGCTGAATGTGACCACCGCGCTCCTTTGCGTGGCGATCCCTGGCTATATTTCCGCTTGGTACACCATGAACGTCTACGGCCGCCGAAACACTATGCTTTGGGCCTGTATCGGGATTGCGATACTTTGGTTAATCATCGGTATAATTGGATGTTTCAAGGCCGAGCGTGCCTTCTGGTGAGTTCTCAATCCCCTATTAACTGAGTGAAGTTTGAATCTAATATCTTGCAGGGCGGTTGGATGTCTTATCGTGGTGGTCAACTTCATTTATGCCATGGGCGTGGGTAGCGTTTACCCCGTCATTGCATCAGAAACTTCGACTCTAAGGCTCCGAGCCAAGACCCAATCAGTGGGTTTCTTTGTTCAATTCCTCACAACTTGGGCATTTGGATTCTCTGTGCCTTACATGTACGAGACCAATGAAGGTGATATGGGTGGGAAGATTGGTTTTATTTTTGCATTCCTCTCGGTCGTCGCTTGGGTGGTATTTTACCTGGAGGTGCCGGAAATGATGAATCGCACAATCGCAGAGATCGACGAGCTGTTTGAGCGAAAGACGCCAACGAAGGAGTTCAAGAAGACTGTCTTATAAGGCCTCTCGTCCGAATCTTTCAAAGCTTCCATCTGCAACTTCCAAAGTTTGTTCCTGAAGCAAAGTAGATACGATGGAAGATTTATTGATATTGAAGATTATTTCATGTTAACAATTTTAAAACATCAATACCATATATTTTTTTTCTCCGAGCCCTGAGCCGCTACCCCTGTGTTGTGTTTGTACCCAACATTACAGTATTGTATTTTAATTTCGCCTGATTCCCGCAGAACGGAAAATTTCGTAGTGATTTTTGCTTATTGGCATTACACGCCCCAGTCTCGCTTCACTTGTGAGAGATCAGAGGTAGTCATATCGTGTATATGGGGCCCCGCACTTTCCAAGGTGAGGGGGAAAGGGTAAACATTTGTTGCCCCAGGCCCCCAGCTTTCTACGCGGGTCACGACTCGCCTGCCGAGTGGACCGCCGGCAATACCCTCACGGGCCTCACCGCCGGATTTTGCAACTCCTCCACCTCCCGTAGCCCAAGGCGAGGTGGAAAGAAAAGAAGTGTTTCTACAAACATGGAATGTCACTTTTGTAAAGAGAAGTTCAGTCGCCGTGAGCACCTCGAACGTCACCTTCGCCGCCACTCCGGTGTTCGACCTTACGCTTGCCCGTTATGTTCGCGGTCATTCTCACGCCAGTCAGTATCTAGTTTCTCTCCTCTTTTGGGAAATAATAGACAAAATTTTATATTAACGCGTTATTCTTACAGGGACACTATGGCTAGGCATGTCATGACACATGGCACAGAGGCTGAAGGACTAGTCGTCCGCACAAGAGGCAGCAGCGCTTGCCAGGGCTGCTCTCAAGACAAGGTGAAATGTAGCGGCGGGAGTCCCTGTGTTCGATGTATAAACAAAGGCAGAAGTTGTCTCCAGCGGAGTCGTAACCGGGGCTCTGGTAGCCGGCTATCTTGTGTGGAGAGTCGTGTGAGCCAAACTCGAGATTCGGACTCCGATGTGCCAATAGATGTGCCAATGATCACCGATGAGGCCGTTCAAATGCCAGCTTCCCCAATCACACCGTTGCCATCTGGCTCGGAAAACTTTCATTTGAGCATGAATAACATGCTCAACTCACAAGATGACCATGTCATATTCAGGGCCATTGACCGCGTGTCACCGACTGGCTTAACCATGGGCGCTGAGTTCCCCTGGACACTGGAATATTCACACTTTTTCCCTGAGGGTGATCTAGTACTTGATCACCACCGGAATGAACCAAATCCTTTGCTAGGGTATTCTCCTTACCCGTTTACCCCAGGCGCGGGAATTCCTCAACATGGCGCTCTTGATACCCCAATCCCCCATACTCCCACAGATATGCAGCCCCCGAACATGGGCCGAGAGCCTTGTATGCCCGGTCAACAGCAGACGCCACGCTTATCAGGGAGTTCAACGCCTGTCTATAATCCCGCTATGCAAGCCACGGATGATGACATCACAGTGGCAGAGAACTTCTGTCACGTCAGGACGCAACTAGCTGACGCCTATCAAGCCATCCTTGCCTTCTATGCCCAACAAACCGACCCTCGTTTTAAAAATACCCCATTCCCTTCATTCTCGGTTTTCAATTCCTTCATTCAACTTTACTTTGAGTATTTTGATACCCAGCTGCCATTCATTCACCGATCATTGTTAGAGAAGAAGGATACACCCTGGATGCTCGCGTTGGCTGTGGCATCAATTGGGTGCCAGTACACTCGCCTCTCCAAACGGTGCCACTATTCCTCAATTCTACCAGATCTTTTGCGACTGGCCATTCCTAACGATGTATGTTATCCCTGGTCTCTTTCCTTCTATCAGATTCACTAACCCGCCTGCAGTTCTTGAGATCTCGGGGATATGATACAATGACATTAGCACAGTGCTCTTTGCTCGTTGTTGTCGGCCTCATGTTCATTGGTTTCAAAGATAGCCTGGTCAATTTGCAGGTCCAAAGAGCCTGGCTAGCTTCACTAATCCGTCGATTTGTCATATCATCAAATGATAAGGACACCCTTTTATCCACTGAGATGAACAGTGTTGAATCTCACGGTCAATGGCAATCTTGGATTCGTCGCGAGTCAGAAAGGAGGCTTGCATACTGCTTTTCTGGTAAGTTCCAATATATTCCTACTTTAAACGCGCCTTATCTTCAAGACAGCCGTTGTATTCATTCTTGGATGAACTGACGAGATTTCTTCCAGTGGTGGATTGTTATTACTTCATTTTTCTCGGGGCAGAAACTTGCTTCTCCGCCAAGGAATTTGAGCAGATACTCCCATCGTCAGATAATCTGTGGGTTCCCCGCGATGAAAATGAATGGAGGAGCCGGTCAGGGTTGAATAATGGTCAGTAAATTTTCACATCTCACAGCATTCATCAGCTAACGTCCCTGAACTTCATACAGTGCAACAAAATAGCTTAAATCAGCTTTTATCCATGGACTGGACGTCGAATGATGCCCTGCAACACTCATCAGAATTATGCAAGCTGGTTTTGCACCTGACTTTGTTTGTGGAAGAACGTCGTGCTATTAATGCCTCCCAATCTTGTGTACTGTTTGACCTGGGTCCCGAAGACGGAGGACCCGTCCCAAATGCGCGCCTATCAACTTCGTACAGGAAGCTAGACTGGAAGTACGAAATTCTGACCCCAGCGACATACTCACCATCTGAATCCGTCGGCATCTCCGAATCTAGGAAGATATTTTTCCATTTACTTGGAATTCTCAGACATGTTCCATTGAAGCAGCTTTACGCATATAGCGGATGGTACGCTTCAAAGCAGGATATGCTAGCAGCAGAAGCTTACCTCTCCTACTGGATGAGTGAGAATCCAATACCCTCAAGACAATGTGTTGCACATGCAGGGGCTTTGATTGGTGAAATACGATCAACCCCTATCAATGCTTGCTACCATTCCTTCTCTCTGCTTATAGCTACTTTGTATCTGTGGGTCTATGCCCAATTGCAGCCTGAGAGGTCCGAAACATCCGGAGAATCTATTCCTCTCCACCCCCCTGCCAGTTTACTCAAGATTGACCAGCATCATGAACCGGGGGTGCGAGAACGTTGGATTGAAACTGGATCGGGTATATTTGTTCATCTCACAGGCGTTGGGATGCTATCAACCCCAGGCAGTTCACATCGTTTATTGAAGGAATTCCTGCGGGTCCTCTCTGCTAGAACAGGGTGGCCTACTCTCCAGAAAGGCTTAACAATGTGCATGAGCGAGCTTCTGAATGACTTCACATCTCCTATGAAGGCTCTGAAACATCGAAGCTGAAAAATGTATTACTATTTGATGAATTATGAAATGGTCGCCGTGGATGCATCTTTCACCTGCTCTTGTAAATGAACACAACCATAATAATGTGCATTCTGGCATGACCAGCAGCGAGAACCTCACACCCATGGCTGGGATATTATGGTTTGCCTTTCATGCCACGTCTATATCTAATTTCCATGCAGATTGATCAGATTAATTCTCAAAGCCGGCCGGTGTGATCGGTAGAATATGTTATCCGACACACGTGGATCTCATCAATTCTCCGCGGGTATGCCATTGGTCCTCAATCCTCACCAACCAAAACCCTATGTGCATATATTGCCCTTGATAATTATCGAGTCTATACCGCCGATCTGCTGCAGTAGGGCCTCCTGTACTGTAAGGCAGTCATGGAAAGACTTCCTCGGTTGTTCTTCTTAAGGAGCTCGAATAGATGGCCTGCCACAGCTTCCATCCCCTTGAGGTTTGGTGAAATACGGGACCGCGCTTGAATAGCAATTGCAAGCTGAACCCTTCCACCCAAGGGTCCGCGGAGCCAAGAGCATGACACTGGCTAACCTCGTGCATCGGCAATCTTGTGCACCATTGCGGTCGGCTAGAAGACACTTTCTCGTAAACAGATTGCAGCCTGGAAGCAAGATTGCGATTGTAATCAATTCTTTCCTGACCGAACCCGACATCTCGTCCGGGCTTGGTGTCACCGTGTCGGCACCCAACACAGCCAAATATTCAACCAAGATGACACAGGCGTCGGGGAACTTTTGGTGTATCTCATCAACAACGGAACCCATTCGCTCTGCCAGTACGTCCGGTGATAAAGGCGGCTCTGGTTCAGCCTTGGAGGATCTGAGCTTGCTGGCAGGGTTTATGAAGACGTTCACTATTTTGCCTAACGGGGAGTTGTCCCGGGTGCATAATCGCACTAGGCTGAGAAAGTAAGACCTCCAGATAGAGCAGACTTGTCGTAAGTCGGCTTGGGCATGCCCAATCCTGGCGTGATTGGGTGATCATTCATCGGGTTATCAGGATTGGCCAGGATATCGTCGGATTCCAGGATAATCATCGACGACCAGGCTTCGAGATCCAAGATAGTCGGAAGGAAGTTCATATCTGGAACAAATTCACTTTCAGTTTCAAAGATGCTATTCGGCAGCCCTGGTTTGCTGCCCCTAGCCACTACTGGTGGGGATCCTGTAACAGTGGCTGGAGTTTCGCAATTGTGGTTGGTGCGGTTGGCGGAGGAGGATGTCTCAGCAGAGGTCTGATTGGGTGTAACGCGCAAGTGGGAGGTGGCCTTTGTGGCAAGATGAGATGCGGCAAAGCGATACGAAGACTCGATTGTATCTGGCTGCGACAGGGGTCGTTCCTGCGGTCCACGAGAAGAGTCCAGGCGATTGTGAAGTTCCACCAAAGCCTGTATGGCCAAAGGCATCCGCATTTTGCCTCCATTGGACTCGGATTCTTCAGAGTTGTTCCTCGTTGATGAAGTTGACCAGGGGTCAGAAATTTTGTCATGAGTCGCGCGGTGATGTATAAACTCGTCGACGAGATGTCGGGCCAGGAAGATCTCCCCCGGGCCCGGGAATGAATGGAGGTAGATTAGCGTGATGAACACACATTGAGAAGGCCCATAATGGCTGCAGCAGAACCATGCATACGGAGCAAACGCAGGTGTTTGGTGGAGCTGTAGGTATATACGCAAATAGTTCACGCAGAGCTGTACGATGCTATATATTCGATCACTTGTAAGTAGGCTTGTTGCCACAACGAGGTGAAAGTGGACAGTGATCAAGATATAACCGGGTCCATCTCTGGCTGCAGAGCACACATATACTAGCAATACATATGAGGGGGGAGCAGTGATGAACTCGAAAGAAAAAGAAGTACCTAGTCCATGATTTGCGTGATTGCGGATTCTCATTGTCAGGAGGTACCAAAAATGGTTTCCGTAGTAGTATCGCGAGTTCAAACTTCATCAATGTCAACATAATGCGCGTCCATGCTGCAAAGACAGTCGGCTGGCTGGCATCGTCCTTGTACATCGACGGATGGGTGAATGGAGACACATTGGCTAGTCGGGATGAGATGTAACCCCTTTCCGGGACTGCTTGCGTCGAAAGAAGAGCAATAAGCGAGTTCATCTTCTGCAGAAGCTGCTTTGCATCTGTGACAAGCTTTCCAATTCCCTTTTCTGTCGGACCCTGGGGACTTTGCAGGTGCGCGACGATCCATGCTTGTAAACGAGCCATCTGAAAGCGCCCGATGGCGTATATGATCGCGACTGACTGTCTACCAGCCATAAAGTCGTTAGATGGATAAATTTCACTAGGGAGGTCGCTAGTTTCTTCATCGATCGAGTCCACCATTCTCACGGTCTCGAGGGTCTCGGTGCCACAGCAGAGGTCCAGCCCGGTGGAGATACTCGACTGCACATCGAGCCAGACAATGTGCCACCAAACCCGACGTCGAATTTCGCGGTCCACGGGATTTAGCATAGACCACGCCCTTTCCCGATGTAATCCCATCATTTTGGCGATACGGACCGTGGTGCTTACATGAAGCAAGTTACGCATCGGTTCCAGAGGGCGGTCCAGAAGTGGTTCAGTCAGCAAACTTGAAATCAGAGTATTTAAAGTCGGATGTTCCTGATGCTGACACAAAGAAAGGCTCGTCATATATGCCAGCTGGAGGTGGCTTACGATTGTCTCCTTTTGTAGACCCTGGAGGTTGGAATGTGTCCAGCTGGCCGCTGGCGCGGCGGATGCGCCGCAATAGAGGACTGCAAAAAGAAGACAGATCAAGGTCGGGTCATCAAGGAGCTTTTCCGAGGGTAAGGCGTTATCGCTATTTCGACACCAGTCCCAGAACTGGTCGTAATCTGCCTGGAGGATAGGCGGGTGCAGAAGGGACGACAGTGGCCATACGGCAACGAAGAACGACTCGAGCAGGGCATCACTGACAGGCTTCGTGGGTAAGGAACGGAGGAGATTGAACATGCCCACGGAGGAGATATGAGGCAAAGGTAGGCCGGGGGGTGTATGATGATTTTCGTCAAAGAAATCATCGCTCAGACTCTCCTGTAAGACATCCGGCGAGGTCAGCTATTGTCATTGTTTTCGATATAAAATCCGCATGAAGAATGAAAGATGGCACGGAACCGCTCTTCTTGCAGGGCGCAGCTCACTTTTCCAGCAACGAAGCCCCAGAACGTTGGACCGATGTATCGCACATGGCCGCCACGGCGTAGACTGAGATAATCGCCATAAAGGGGAGTTGGTCTGGGATAATTGGGATCCTTGGAGTTTTTAAAGGGGTATGCGGCTGGCTCTGGGGACTCAAAAGGACCCCGGGACGTTGCTGTGCTACCGTGCTCGCAGGAAGGGTACGCATCAGGGTCATTGGGTAACTGGGTGGCCTCTTCCCACGAGGGCACGGCCGGGTCGGACGGGCCCACGGACTGTTGATGCGGATGGGGATGTGGATGCGAATGTAGGATGTGGGGTCTGGGATCGGATAGGTGATTCGAGCGTGAGGCCGGTCTCGAAGGAGAGGGCTGACCAGGCCGGATTTTGGAATGGGGATGAGGATCTGATCCACCGTAATGACAGTTCTGCGGCGACGGGGATAATGGTCGTACACGGCCGGTGGACTCATCCCGAGTCATGGCCTGGTAGACGCAATTTTCCTTCATCCGCACACAGTTGGCACATTCTGGCTGTTCGCGGCCGCAGCCAACCTTGCGTCGGCGACAGACAATACAACTCAGGGAGATTCGGGGTTTTTTGATCGGGCGGGACTGGGGTGCTGGCATCTTCCGACCTGTGACCTGAACCTGAGAGCTGGAGCTGGCATCTGAGAGGAGGACCCAGGACTGCCGGAGGAGTTTCACCGGCTCTTTGTTGGGACTCAGATCAGTACTTTTGTATATCTCGCCGAAATAAATGCCATCGGACGCACCTTGGGTGGGGGGGGGGGGGAGGCGAGGCGGAGGGGCGGGGAATTAACGCAACCTCACCCTCTTGCGAATTTTTGTTTCCGAACGCATCACGCGTGGGGGCGGAGCAGGGATGCGTGGTGTGAATGTTATAGAGTGTCTAGACTACTGCTGCCACTGTCGTTAGATTGCAGCGATATCCAAGTGGGTCGACCGAGACGGCAGATCGATATCGATCCAGTCAGAACAGGCGGACGAACACAGATAACAAATGTAATAGATTAGCCCGTCAGCGCTTCCTGTGGGCCACCTGATTGCCCGTCAGCCCCCGAGTCCTTAGACCCGGCTTTATGGAGTGTTCAAATGAGGTGTAATATACTTCCCCAGCGAGTTTAGTGTGCCTCATATTACCCCCCGGTAACGTATTGCATATTAGGAATGTATTCTAAATATGATCACGCGCCAATAGCTACTAGTTCAAATGTTATAAATCGATATATTAAGTCAGTGTGCAGTGTGCCTGTCAGAGCTAGATCACTCCAGGCAGTCGTCACAATCATTGCATCTACCGATCGGCCGTGGCGGTGCCAGAAAAGTTTGTTGCGACAGCATGGGAGGTTCTTAAATGAGTGTCAGGGGCATTCCGAGGTTGCTGTGAGCAGTGTAGAAGGAGAGAGTAGATGGGACATGTACTGAATGAACGGCAACCGAATCAATCGGCTTGTATTAGACAACGTGGCCCTGATGCTGTCAACTTAGGTATAGATCTGAGCTGAAGAATATAAAGGCTCAAGAGCAGGCAATCCAAAAGTCTATTTAAACTCCGCAGGGAGGGTGGTCAACTGATTCATCTCGGCAACCGTCTCTTCCCAAAGTTTCTTCTGGATCTCCTGTCCCTTCGCCGACTGGATGAATGCCGATTTGCTACAGTGAACGATCCGTCAGTAATTGAAAACACACAAGAATGTCTCGGAAAAGGGGTTAGAAGGACTTACCCGGCGATGGTCTTGTCCACCAAGAACTTTCCATGAGACTCCGGACCTGCCACCAGTGCGCTGTTCAAGATTATCCAGCCACCGGCCTCAACGGGCCTAGCGCGAATCGCCTTGACGACATTCACAATCATGCGCAGATGCAGCGGAAGAACGTCGCTCATGTTTGTCTTCACCATACCCGGGCACATCATGTTGAAAATAACTTTCTTAGGATCAAGCCGCGGCGCCAGACTATACATGAACAGAGCGCAGAGAAGCTTAGAGTCCCCGTAGCGCTGAAACGGCACAAATGCTTCATCCTTGTCCATGTGCTCTATCACAGCTTCGCCGGATTCGATGGGGGATTTCTTCTCGAAGCTCGTAGCTTCATGCGCACGGCTGCCAACCCAGCTAATGCGCGCGGGAAAGCCCATTCTCTCTGCACCGGCCTCGAGATACGGCAGAAGCTCCGTGATCAGCAGAACATTAGACTGGTAATTGACTTGTGTGGTTCGATCATGGCCGCTTGGGGTACGCTCGAGCTTCAGCAGGCCAATACCTGCGTTGAGGATGAGGATGTGGACAATGGGGATCTCGTCGCGCAGCCTTTTCGCGAATTGCCGTACGCTATCGTAGCGGTCCATGTCGAGCTCCATGACCTTCACGGTAGCCTCGGGGTTGTGGTCCTTGATGCGAGGGTCATGACGGAGGGAAGTGGCACAAGACTCGCCTTTGGCGACATTGCGGACAGCGAGGACCACAGTCGAGGCGCGAAGTCGAAGTAGCTGTCGGGTCACTTCTAGGCCCATGCCTGAGCTAGCGCCAGTGATGACGACGGTTTTGCCCGTCAGATCAATGCCCGTTGGCAGGGGGTCGACCTTTGGCTGGATAAAGTTGACCATGATGGAAATTGGAGGGCTGGAGGTTGAGGAAGAGAGAACCAGGGTCAACGAGAACAGTAACCTCACTGAGCTCTGAGAGGAGAAGAAGCCTTGGTTGACATGATCGCTTACTTTGCTTTGCTTTTTGTTTCATCGTGCTCTGCTGTAGTTTTTTGTTTGCTGGCTGACAAATGGCGCCGGTCACCTCTCATGGTTGATGGTGTTGACTCTTGAGTAAGCATTCGGCCGAAGCTGCGAGTAAATACTGTACTGTAATGTAATTTGGAAGCACCGAGGTGGACATGGGCGAATCGGCGGCCCCAAGTTCCCGTATTAATTACGGCCGTATTAATTACGGGGACCGATACCGCGCTCTCATTCGGACGAGGTGTCGCTGAGTTCGGACTTGGAGTTCTAATGTTTAGCTTAGTTGGAAGTTGGGCGGAGAGCCGAGGTTCATGTTCGGTTCCCCACAACGGCTGCAAAGCTTAATTTCGGGGATTTGTTCGGGGCCGAAGTATAACGTTAACCTTATATGAAACAGTATCAACTTTTTGTTTTTGATTTACTCCAGTAGTATACACAGTAGATTGAAAGCTATTGTTATGATTCGTAGAGTTTCTGATGAACAGGTAGGTCAGGATACTAATGATTTGGATGGTCATATTCAAGTCATTGTGATTTGTGATCCTGCGTGCCAACTAGTACTGGTCGATTCTACTACGTCAGCCATCCTACCAGTCTTTGTGTTGATCTAGCGTGTGTATGGGAGATGATCCTGCAACTGTATAGTACGTTGATTTCTACGCGTTCTTAGGCGAGTGTGATCCTGATCCTTGGGGTTGATTGGTCGATGAGGGTGGTGAAGGTGGTTGTGATCCTGCGATCCTATAGGTCCCTAAGCGATCTCAAACGCGTCTGATCTTGATCTTCGCGTGCCTGATCTGATCTAGCATTGGGGTTGTTTGATCCTGACGCGCCATTGGTCGATCCTAAGCGAGGTGATTGATCTGGGGGACGCGTCCAGGGTCTTTCCTGGGGTATAAATACCCCGTTCCCCCCCCCCCCCCCCACCTCCTCTCCCTCTTTCCTTTTTTCCCCTTCCCCAAGTTTCATCACTCTTCACTCTTTTCTTCATCTTTTCATCAAACTTCTATGTCATTCTTCCTTCTTCCATCAACCAACATACCTTCCTTGACATCCATCATGTCTACACTTGCCTTCTTCCAACATAACATTCATCTTGTATGTTTGTGTTGTCTTTCCTTTCCTTCTTTCTTTGTTCTTTCTCTCTCTCTTTCCTGTTTTTCCAATGCTTGCTGACTTTATCGAAGACATCAACCTGTTGAGGCACATCCACACCTTGGTCACCTTGATCATATCTCATCCACTCTTACCTTCTAACATGTTCATCATGTCTCTTTATGTTTGCCAGCATTCTCTTTCTTTCCCTTTTCTTGCCTCTTGCCTACTGACTATTATCTTGCAGGCTTCAAAACTCTTGTCATCATTGACATCTTGCTCTCATTGGCAGCAGCTCAGATCATTCTGATCAACGTCGACAATAACGTTGACAATGTCAACAAAGAAGAAAGAAAACGCCCAATGCAACATCTGCCTTACAAGGTTGAAAGGTATCATGCAGTCATTGCCTTTCAAGTCTGTTTTCTGACATCTCACCTTTGCAAGGTCCGAGTCCTTCTGTCTCCAATGACAATTCCACAATCTGCCTCTGTGCCGGTTCAGTTTACTTTCAAAGCAAAATACAAAAGAAAAAAAATTCGACTTCATCGGCTTCATGAACTTCAACCTCAACTCCTCCTGAAGGCTTTAAGCCTCTGGTCAGTTCTTTCACTCAATTATTCGAACTCGCCATTCAAGTTTTCTCAAACTGTCTGTTTCTTCTATGGTTTTCTGGCTTTGTGATTCGCAGTTGGAACTGCGTTTGGGGACTCGGAAAATATTGATATCTTGGTTTCTACTGTGCATTTACCTTGCGCTTGCTTGTTGGCCTGTTTTCTGTGTTGCCTCTTAGCATCCCCTGGCTGATAGTTCCTTTTTCGGTTGGTTCTGGCGAATTTTGCTGGCTTTGGTTGACACGCCCTTACTTTCTGTTGGTGACTTCTATTGGCTTGGTCTCTTCTGGTTGTCTGCTCGTCGATGACTCAATCTTGTACTGGCTATCTGTCCCGTTCTCTTTCCTTGAACACGCTGACTCGATCTCTTCTGGTCTACCCTCCCCAGTACTCTCTGGAGATAGGGGGTTTTCTGGATCTGCTCGTCAAGGCTGCAATCCCTCCCCGACCTGATGTTCCGGACTTCCCTCCCCATTACTATGGAGATAGGGGGAAGGAAGATGGTTCTGCCTGTCTCGGTTGGAAAGCACTCCCCACTAGAACACATGCTGATCCCTTGACCCGATGTTCCATGAGCGCCCAGAATGGGAGTCGCGTTTGACGGTTCTGCTTGTCTTGTGGCTCTCAGCTTTGTGCACCTTTTGGGGGGAGCCTAGTGATCGGATTGTGCAACCCAGGTGCCAACACTTCCATGTATACTAGTATAGTTTCAGGGATGATCTTGCACACAGGATGGCCTAGTTAGATTTTTGACTGCTGCTTCTTGTTGGCTTGGCTGGCCTTTCGTTGCCTGCGTGTTGTCTGTTGTCTACCAGACTCTAGCCTTGCCAACTCACTTCCTTACTTCGCAAGACAATACAAATGCGTGGTAAAGTCAATGTGCGGATTCTATCCTTGAGTATTTGTAGTACATTCTAGTAGTACTTAACCAACCAATTTCCCACTTCCATCAGTACTAGTATTATGTACTTTCAAGCGCTGGGCATGATTTGGGACATGAGGAACTTTCCCTCAAGTGCTGGCGCGCGGATTCAGTAATTCAGTACTAGTCTTGAAAGTGAATGCAAATGTGGACTTTGGGGTTCGAACAGTCAAGCTCACATGCAGGTACAAACCTTGAAATTTAGAAACCCGTACACGAGGTAGACATATGGATACTAGCAGTATGTATCAGCATCAGTTTGTTGCATATGTACCTATGCACGTAGCCCTGTCGTTTCAAATCAATTTTCTGACCTTACAATTTTGGGCCGAGGATTTCAGACATCGGGACATCTGGTTTCGACCTGGCACGTGCGGAAGCATTTGAATCAATTGATGCATACATACCCACACGTTCACACCAGTTGACATGTGCATGGGAATTCCAGGTACTGGTGCTGGGCAGCACTTAGTGAGCGCCGACGCCTCCAGTCAAAGTCGTGTCTAGAGCTACATGCACATATTATTTATGGTGGCATGTTCAAATCGATTGATATTCAGAAGCTGCGCGGCCCCAATCAATGTCTTCAATAAACAAGGTACCTCAATTTGGCTGGCAGAAATATATCAATATCTACGTGAAATACTATTCAAAGGTCCTGACATTGAATAGCACTCCCTCAAGGGATTGATGTATTCAACCTTGAACTTTGGAAGTGTACATCTACTACACATGTGCATAGTACATGATTAATATTCGATGTTTCAAATGGAATGGGCATATACTAAGTACTCACATGCACATGTGTATAAGATGAGTACCTAGTACTGAGTAGTGGAAATGGGGCACCTGGGAGGTAGGTACATATGTATAACAACATTGAAAATATCGATGTTCAAACGAACATTCAATGTTGGCTCTACCTTCCTTTGAACTGGTATCTCCAGACGGCATTGCAGGTGTATGGAGGGACATCAGGTGCGATATCATACTACTGATATATGCTTGGAATTAATCAATCTACAGAACTATTCAAAAAATCAGACCACGTGAATGGACGTGAAGTTTCAATCAAAACGTGGAATAGCATGGCACTTCCAATTCTTATTTTCAACATCGAAATTTCCAGCCTGCTGCAAACCACTTTCGTGGCGAGAGGGGAGGTAGATTATGAACGAGGAGACCTTTTTTCTCTCCTGGTTATCATTAAACACAAAGGATGAAACAAAATTCCAGAATAACCATTTCAATAAGCCGAGATACGCCCGAACACATATCGCGCCATTCCATATTGGGATCATAGGATCGACCAGGTAATGTAACAGACATAGAAATCGTAATAATCAAATCGGTAAGTTGGGGGATGAAAGGTACAAGAAAAGACAATCATGATTCGAGTTCGTTAGACCATGGTGAAAGAGGTAAGTGTGAAGGGGTCGGGGCTAGGAGAAGGGAAAGCGGAGCTGGGATCTTTGTGTGTCGTGCGTTGATGGCGCTTTAATTGGTCTGAAGTGGTAGAAAATTAGTGATTGGAAGGGAGAGTTGATATTCAGCTGGGGGACATACCGGGTCGAGTAAAGCTCTTCGTGCAACCGGGGTATGCACATTTGTGTTTGCGTTCACCGTGGGCTGATGTGCGTTAGTACGAAATTTTGACATGGTCTAGGTGTTGTAAATACATACTCAATCTGTGGCTCGACATGTTTGATGAATCCCCAGTCTCAAAATCGCATCCAGGGTATGTACACTTGAATGGCTTTTCGCCCGTATGGGTTCGCGAATGCGTTTCTATGAAAATTAGCCACGTCCCTGGTGAATGAAATTCAGTGAAAAATCACTTACTCAGCTCGCTACTATCAGTAAACATTTTTCCACAATCCTTGCACTTATATGGCTTGTCGCCTCGATGGCTGCGCTCATGGCGGTCAAGGGTCGCCTGGCGAGCAAAAGTCTTGCGACAGACAGAACACCTGAAATTCTTGTCTGGTGAAACGAACGATCGAAATTAGCAGGTGATGGAAAACGTGACATGGATGACTCGATACGTACAGTTGCTGTGTGTGAGAAAATGGCCTTGCAGCTTCGACTTCTGCGAAAACGGTTCATCTGGACGATGACATCCGTCCCAGCAACAGTAATAACCGTTGCCCTTGGCTCCATCAACCGTGTTCATGTGATTCGATACAAGATGGTCTTGTAAAGCACCAGCATCGGTAAAAGTGGCCCCGCATGGAGTTTTCACCCCGTGTATATTTGTCTTCCATTTGCACATATGGATATCGTTTTCCTCCGAAAAATCAGGCGTGGTCAAAACTGATGAGATGCCTCCGTCCAGCGGGGGCGGGGTTTCGCCGGGACTTGAAATGAAGTGGGAGCTGATGCTGGACCGGGATTGGCGGGAATAAGGAGAGTAAGGGTGTATATGAGAGTGTTGGTGTCCCCGACATCGATGGTGATTACGATGGGGTCCTCCGGTGATATTGAGGTTTAAGTCATTAGGGTTTTTGAAGTGGCCATGAACATGGCTGTGCTCGCCGTGTACATGATGGTGTTCGGGATGTGGATGGAAGAAGTTTAGAGGGTCGGAAGTGTTGCTTTTAAGGGTTGGAAGAGCGCCTGAAATTGTGTGATCATGAGTAAACTGATCATTGGGCACAGTGAAATCGGGGCATGTTCCCAACAGATGAAAGACATCGGCTGGGTTAACATCGGTCTGTGTCGGCAATTGCTGCATGGGGAAAATTCCTTGCAAGTCCTTCTGGAAGTCATGGCACTCAAAATGATTCGGGACACTTTGGTCGCAATGAGTGGCATGTGCCTGATACGACGACAAGAAGTCTTGGTGATAGCAAGGATCAATCACACCGGGCAGGATATGTTCAGGAATCTTCCCAGCTTCGCCAACAATATCTTGGCTCATGGTAGCAGAAGGCAAAGTCCCCGAAGTATCCAATGATAAAGGTGTAGTGAGACCGAAAAAAGAGTCGAACTCGCAATTTTGCTCCTCGAGACCATCACAGCAGTGATCTTCATAACACGCAGGATCCGTGCTTTCGCAGTGGTTCCCATCACAATGAGTATCGTCACAATGGGCAACAGAGCAGACGGTGGAAGCATCGCAGTCCACAAACCCGTCGCATACTGACCCACAGTCTAGTTGGCATTCTTCCTCGCAGTCATCCTCGCAGTCCTCCACGTCACAGCAAGCCTCGTCAACCTCACATGGCGCAAGACCCGTGTGGTGCTCCTGGTCTAAGCAATCCCACTGCGACCGAGTCTGATCGCGTGGGACAGTCTCATCTTTAACGTCAATATGGAAGTCCTCCCAGCGACACTCCAGACAAAAGTCTCGATTTGGCGGTTGAGAAGCCATGTTGTGCACGGTTCAGGGACGGTAAAGGTACGGGAGGGAAGAAGAAGGCTAGCACAGGGGGAAAGCCAGGGCCAGTTTATCGTCACAATCAGGCACAGGGGAGAAAAATGGGGAAGAGGCGATAGGATAATCAAGAGGGGGGTGTGCGACCGCAAAGTGGGAGATGGTTTTCGCCAGGTACATTAGTCTCCCTAACAGAAATCACGTCACTGGCCAGAAAAATCCCAAAGCCGCCACGATGAAATTCCACTATGGGGTTATTAGAGCCCCAGAAAAGCTGAAGATCGTGTTTCTACTGTCCAATGCCCACAGATGGTTTGGAAGTGGTGTCATGCGCTAGGACCGCGGAAGCACTTTGCAGAGTTCGGAGAGGATCAACGACGCAATCGGAGAATTGGCGAGCAATCGTGCAGGAAGCGAGGGCAGTAGAGCGAGGACCTTGGGAGGTTGAAAATTAACCGAATTCTACTTGAAAAGGGGATCCAGCCTATGCGCATCGACTCTCAGAACTGTCGTGGGGACCTTTGGGGACGGCGGAGAGAAGGTGAGGACCTTGGGGGTTAGGCGTCATAGTTTTCGAACGAATTGCAACTCGGCAGTTGGTGAGCGGTCAACCAAGGCGTTTATCTTGGTTGTAACATGGTCGCGAATGAAGAGAAACTGATAATTGTAATGTTTCCAGCATCTGCGCGGAGTAACCCTGAGAGAAAAGAAAGGATTGAATCTCTGGGGGAATTTTTTTTTGGGGTTTATTCAGTCCCCTTGTCCGATGACTAACCGGAGATCTCTCGCGCCCCGCTGGGATCTTTAAACTTTCAATACTTTCTAAGGGCATTGGCGCATACATTACATTTGAACGACCGACCTCGTTATCGTGCATGATTCTGGTCGCATGAACTCTGCGATCCAACTCCAACAACCAGAATCCTCCATTCTATATCAGCCACGAAGTATATAGATCAAAAGTTGCATTCCTGAGATGCTGACATAACCCCACGTGCCCCGGATCGCCGGCGATAGCGTATCTTATCGCGCTTATCGTTATTATCGCTCACCCACTGCACTGACCACCTCAAGTCCAGAAGGCCAGAACTTAAAAGCCTCGATCTATGAGTCCGGAGTTTCTCGCTGACTTACAATTCCTCACCCAATCACAGCAAACACCCTTGAACCACCAATATCTCAGGTCCTAGCTTGGTACCTAGCTCATTGCCGGCGTCAATAAATCTCTTGGATCAAAGCACCCCAGCGTCGCGCTGACTCGCGCAACCCCTTGGAAGCATCTCCGACCCCCGCACCAGTATCAACATGGGCAATCTATGTTCTCGATCCTCCAACAACGACCCTGAAGCCTTCACAGGACCAGGGCGCGTGGTCGGAACATCCGGTCAACAAAACCCGGCCCCCCGCGCAGCGCCTCCATCAAATACAAACTGGAAGGCATCACCGGGTCGGACGCTCGGCGACACCTCCTCACCCGGCGGGGCGCAAGGGGCTGGTGACGAGGCTCGATCCAATGCCGCAATTGCAGCACAGGTGAGTGCCATGTTTGAGCTTGTCTTTTATAGAAAAAAAAATGGTCTAATGTCTCCATTTTTTTTGGTTTGTAGAAACGCGCCGACTCCGTTACAACGGCGAGCAAGGGAAAGCTCGGTTCCAAGCTAGCGGCGCAAAAAGCGAAGACGCAAACTCAGACTTTAGGTGAAGTTAGTCGCGATGAGAGGGCGGCGCGGGATGTAGATCAGGTGGAGCAGGCGAGGCAATGGTCTTGACCTGTGAAATCTTCTTTGTTTCCGTCCGGGCGTTTGGGATGTTCATTTCTTCCCGTTACGTTATACATATTCTTTACGGCTGCGTTTGATAGCGTTGTTGTTTATTTTTCCTACTCCGCTGCTGTATGTGGATTACATTGAGCGGACCAACCTCGAGTATTCATTTACAGGGCTTGCAGTACCTGAATGGATTGTCGCAAGGTTTGATACATTTCCCCGTGGCCCTGGAGGCTTCCAAGGTTGGAATTACGAATTTTTTGGTCTATCGTTGTTTGGAGAAGACACATACTACTTGCAAACTTGCCGTGCATGCATCAGAACTAGTCCTTATCCATCCAAATGTCCATGGTAATTCTTTATCTTAATTATCGTACAGCCACACAAATGCCATGCAGTAAATGTCGAAAACATCAAAGGTCATCAAAAAGGGGCCAGAAACCACTCGGGAAGGTGCAGAGGATTTTTATTCAAGCTCAAACAACGCTATAACGACCACTGGCGGGTGCGCGGGCATCGCTGTCGGCGGCTGCAATGGTACCCTCCTTCAGTAAGCGCATAAGCTCACGCATGGCAGTGGTGACGGTGATCTCTGTTTCACCCTCAACCAGGATGTATAGCTTAGGCGCTTCCTCGGATGCAGGTTCTTTGCCAGCTGCATAGAAATTTCCCTTGGTGGTGATGGATGTACCGGTTGATTCGAGGATCTTGGCGACATTTGTGCGGTTGGTAACAGCCCAACGAGCTTTCTCTGTATCAAAATGTTAGAAGATGTATCTGATGGTTGGATGGAATAAAGGGGAACACTTACGGGGGAAGTCATTGATCTCAAGGGTGGCGTGGAAGGCACCGGCATCTGGTCCACGGTTGTCAATGGGAACACCGGATCTCATGACGCCGGCTCGGCTCAAACGAGCGTGGATATCGGCTACAGCGGAGCCAACCTTGTCGAGTGCGTTCTTTGCGCCACCCGCCGGGTCCTTCTCGGTTCTGTGCACAGTAATCTTGCCATCCAGATCAATACCCTTGGGTACGCCAACAAGCTGAGGTGTGGGAGCGGCAGCGGCAGCAGTAGCAGCAGCAGCAGATTGTACGGATGAAAGAGCCTTGTTGAAGCGGTCTTCATCCTTGGCATTCTTCTCTTCCTTCTCCTTCTCATCATCCTCATCGCCCTCTTCACCGGTTTTGTAGGTGCGACGCTCGCGATTCCGTGCCGTTTCGCGCTCCTGGTCAAGTCGCTCAAGGCCCTTACCGCCGAATCCGGAGCCACTCGCCTTTTCTTTACCGGCCTTGACTTTCTCTAGGAAACCATCAACCAGCTTTTGAACGGGCTCGGGGATCTCTTGGCCACTCTGCTTGAGCGCCTTGGCAATGTCCACAGAGTACCGTTCTTGCTCGTCTGTAAGGAAAGTGACAGCGGTTCCGGTGTTTCCAGCACGACCAGTTCGACCAGCACGGTGGACATAGTCCTCCAAATGGTTAGGTGCATCGTAATTGACGACGAGTTTGAGTTGTTTCACATCAAGACCACGGGCTGCAACAGAAGTGGCAACCAAGACTGGAAAGATACCTGCTTTGAAATCTTCAATGGTAGAATCACGATCGATCTGGTCTTTTCCACCGTGAATGGACATGCATGGATAACCCTTGCGCATGAGCTCCTTCAGTAGGTTATCGGCAGATTCTTGACGATCAACGAAGATTAACGCCCGCGCATCCTCATTTGCATCATCTTCATACAGGTTGCCGAGTAACTCCAAGAGACGGAAGAACTTCTGGTCTTCATTTCGGACCTCGACAATCTGCGTAATCTCGGGCGCGACAACACTCTTACCACCAACGACAATCTCAACCGGTTTCTTCAAAGTCTTTCGGGCCAAAGCCTCCATATTTCTAGGGAAGGTGGCAGAGAAGAGAACTGTTTGACGATCGGGTCTCACGTTGGCCATGATTTTCATAACTTGGGGTTCAAAGCCCATATCGAACATACGATCGGCTTCATCAAGAACAACGTAGGTTACTCGTCGTAAATTAATCACTCGGCCAGCGTTTGCCGCAAGCAAATCGATCATCCGACCAGGGGTACATACAACGATCTCTGCTCCACGCTTCAAGTCAGCAATTTGGTCCTTGATAGGAGCACCGCCATAGGCGCAGACCGCGCGAAGGCCTAAAGCCTTTAAAAACGGCTTGCAGTCCTTGTGAATCTGAGTCGCTAGTTCACGGGTTGGTGTCATGATCAAAGTGATCGGACCTTCCATATTTTCAAGGGGCCGTTGATCTTTAATGTGTCGGAACATGGGGATGAGGAATGCCATGGTCTTTCCAGAGCCAGTCTTTGCGACACCAATGACATCACGGCCAGCCATCACGGAAGGAATAGCCTGGGCCTGAATTGAAGTAAGGGACTCGTAACCAAGTCGCTCGACGACATCGAGAGTTTGGACACCTAACCCGACTTCAGCCCATTTCTGTACGGGTTTCGGAATGTCAAGACCACGGACTTTGATGCCGTCCAATTCAAGACGAAGGTTTGCAGTCTCCTCCTCGGTCATCTCCGCAAGGTGTGCTGGCTCGTGGTAAAACGTCTTCCGGAAGGGTTCATAGTCGGCTTTGGCGTGATCCACAGCAGGGATTTCCTTCTTCTTTTTCTTGTTGGCAATAGCAAGAACATCCTCGGCGGCATCTTCTCCTATGGCGGTGATGGCTACATCTTCTTCATCGCCGAACATGGCCTGAGGTTGCTGAGCTGCCCTCTTCTTGGAGAATGTTGCCCCAAAGGTCTTCTTAGGCGGGGCGGTCTCCGCTAGTCCTGACATGAATGCATCCAAAGGATCAATGTCCTCATCCACTTCCATTTCAACCTCAGGTTCATGCGGGTGTGTAACATCGGTCATCTGAACGTCCTCCTTCGATTCTGGCTCGGGTTGTACGTCATTTTCAGGCTCCATAACATTCTGTAGTCGCTCCTCTCGGCGCTCCGCTGCCGCGCGCGCAGTGGCTTCGGCGTCCTCCTCAGCTGCATCTTCCTGCATATCCACGTCGTCGTCACCAGCATCGTCCCCGGCATCATCAGCTGCATTATCTTTGCCATCATCAAGGGGAGGAGTTGGAAGCCTTTCGAGCTTCTTACGTGTAGATTCCTCTTCACCAAACCCAAGTGTTCGACTGGCTGCAGATTTCTCTTTATCAGAGCTTGTCTTTGTGCCTCCCAGTCCAAAGCCACCAACGTTGCCGATGGGCTTAACCGAAGCGGAGGGTGATGTTGATGGAATCGTAGGTTTCGCTGAGGCCTTTGTAATTTGGGGGACGGCAACATCGTTGCCAAGAATACCGGGAGATCCAGCAGAGGTTGCGACATTCTTTGCTATAGCTTTCGGGTCGAACTTTCCAGCGTAGGGAGTGGACGTGGCTGAGTCGATAGGGGTTGCGGGTGTTTGCGGTGAGACGCCTGCAGGGGAAGCACCGGATTTTCGATCAATTGCGTCTAGAAAGTTGCGTGGGCCAGCCGCAGCTAGTTCTTGTTCTTTGCGTTCGCGCTCCGCCGCTTGTTTTGCTTTCCATGCTGCCAGCTTTGCAAGTCTCTCAGCTTTCTTCTGCTCGTCGGTCTGAGCGGCGGGTGCGGGTGCAGGTGTGGATGGTTTCGATGGCTCGCGGGTTCGAGAACTCGACTGCCGATTCGACCCACGGTCTCGGCTATCCTCCCGTCTAGACTTCGATTTCAGGTCAGCAGAATCATCCGTGCGCCTTCGATCGCGGTCGCGTGAATCATCTCGCCTGGGTCGGTAATCTCTATCGCGACTTCGCCGACGAAAGTCGTCTCGCTCTCTAGACCGTCGGCGGTCTCGGGATCTTTCTCGGCGATTAGGTCGGTATGTGTCTTCATCGCGGCGGTCTAGGGAGCGGTCGCGTCTTCGGTAGCCGGTTCTGTCACGACCATTGTCGCGACCACGGAATCGTCGCTGCGAAAGGTGAATTCTATTAGATGGAGTTCTGGCTATGCTCGAGGAAGGCTGTTTGCCACGTACCTCTGGACTGCGGGATCGGCGGTAACTGCGTCCTTCATCCCGTCGGTTTCGATCATAGCGATCATCGTCTCTGCGACTCCGCTTGGATGAGGATTGTGTGCTGCCTACAGGAGATGGTGAGCGAGTATCCCCGTGGCGAGCCATTGTTGCAGGCCAACGATGAGTGAGTATTACTGAAACTCAAGAGCACTGAGATTTGAGCACCAAGTGACAATATCACCAGAATCCCATATATTGCCCACTTATCAGATCAGTCAGTTAATTCCGAAGAGAGTCAAGAGTAGACCCAAATACGTAGAAACCTGTTGTTGATGCTAGTATTTTCCATGACCAGGATGGAGAGATCTACGTCACGTGACATTGCACGTGAGATAGCAATCCAAAAGCGGAAGCATCCAAACGGAAGCTCGGACGCGACCCTAACAACCAGCCACCGCTTGCGTCAGATACCCCTTCACACTCCTTCACTTTTTAATGTCATTCAGTTGTCCCCGACGCGTAATTAACTACCGGGGTATCAGCCCACTAACAATCCGCTACCTGTCAAAATAAGACCTTTTTGCAGACCCATGTCTTTGCAGTTGGCCACACGCGCAGCTGTGCTCAGGCACCTGCGCCTCGGCGAAGCCATTATTCGCCCTGGTCGTGTGACTGGATTGCAGAACCAATTCCGCAGTCTTACTATTTCCAGCGAACCTCGATTGACTCCGCGGGTCGGAGGTCTTTCTGCGATTGCCAATCAGCAGTCTCATACATATGCGACTGATGCGTCTGCTCCCAAGAAATCTACCAAGACCGCTGATGGGGAGCCCAAGAAACCCAAGAAGCAGATCAAGAAGAAGACAGCATCGCCGAAGCCGCGCAAGAAGCCTGAGCCGACGGAACGGCAGAAGGAATTAAAAGCAAAGGAGAAACAACGGGATCTTATCAAGAAGCTCAAGGAAACTGCGCTTGAACCCCCAGCGAAACTGAAATCGCAACCACACCACATTGCTTTCAAGTCCAAGTTTGCCGAGATCAAGTCCCAGTACTCCACAGTCCCAGAGGCATTTTCAGCTACGGTCGCGGCTATTAAGACAATCCCCGCGAACGAATTTGAGGTATGTTTACAGTTTCGTGTCGATTCCGCTTCGGGTGTGTGTTGACATTTCCATATCAGCGATACCAAAATCAAGCCGAAGAGAACCGTGCTGCCAACGAGGCCTCCTTCACTGAATGGCTTCAATCGTACACGCCCCTGCAGATCAAGGAAGCCAACCACGCCCGCCGAACTTTGACCAGACTTACCGGCAAACGCTTCCGCTCGATCGAAGATGACCGTCTGGTGAAGCGTCCCATTTCCGCCTTCTTGTGGTACATTAATGAGCGGAAATCATCCGGAGATCTCAAGTATATGGAGCCCCACGATCTGGCGCGGCGCGTTGCGGAAGAGTGGAAGTCATTGACTGAATCGGACAAGGAGGTAGGTTGCTCTCTTTCCAATGGCTTTCAAATATTGACGCTGACGCCCACTTAGCCATACCGAAAGATCCAAATTGATGACACACAGCGATACGTCCGTGAATACAAGGATGCGTATGGTGTGGAGCCGAAGCTCAAGAAGCGCGATTAAGCGTCAGAATTCTCAATTCTTTTGTACTATCCGGCGGCTGTGCGTTATAACGGTGTTCTCCGCGAAGGACTTTCCGAGAGTCAAGGAAAAGGGTTTGATTTTTTTTTTTGGAATCTGGTGGTCGCGTTGTCCCACCTCTTCCCTCGAATCGGTAGATTCCCTTTTTCTTTTGTCGTTGCATTGTAGTCTCGTTATTTGTGTATTTGTCTAATATCACACATCTGTACTCTTTGCCCCCTCTTTGTTGGAATAGCTATCTCTCCTTGACCTGTCATATTCGGAATGAATCCATTCTTTTCACGATCTGTTGTCTGATCCCACCGGGGTATTAGTTGCAGGAGTCCCGGAATCCTGCATCGCATTTGAATCCAAGCCGTCCTCCACTAGCGGAGAGCCCCCCGCACCGGTGGAGTTTCGAGTCGAGTCGCAAAGTGGCGGTGAGTAAAACCGCGTTGTCTGGCGTGCAGAGCAGCCCAAGCCGGGTCCTCTTTTCTTGCAGAGAGATTTTGACTGTGGCGAATTGTAGCAAATATTTTCTCCCTTTCAGATTCCCAAAATTCTTCCTGCGTGTTACAACCTAAGGGGGTGGAAAGAAGGGGGGTTGAATGGTGTGTGAGGCAAACATGAGTTTCCATATCAAAAGCTTTTCTCCGCAGCCCCTCGTCCCTGCGTCTGCTGGGATCCAACCATAGCCATTCTATACTAGTCTACAGTATTCCAAGTACATACTAGTATAGACAAAGGTATGGTATTGTTTGCAGACGGGCGTACCCGCAATCTAGTCGGGCATCCACGGTCGAAGCTAGTCCGATCCACGGATGAGGGGTTCATGGGAATTCCAACCTTCCAAGGTTGCGGTGAACCAGTATCAGATGAAAACAAAGTATATACATGTTGGGAATCAGAAGACCTATAAGAAAAATCCAAAATACATAAGAAGATCATGACGATATCCCCTGCTTCTGGTTGGGGCAAGGACCTCCCCTTCTTGTTTCATTTTGGCTGATGGAGGGGGACGCTCGTTATCGATAGGCGGGCCACTGGTAGCCACTGGCTGCATCATGTACGTTGCGCATATCATGTCTGTGCGACGCCCTCGAGCATTGCATTGTACATTGGGGAAATGTAGGAGGCTGTTGAAGAGTTTTCCTTTTGCATATCTACTCCGTAGCAAATATCATTATACAAACTGCCAGTCACCATCCCACTTCATCCCAGCCTTCGCGTTTCCTTTTTTTTGGCTCTTTTTCTCACTTTAGCCTATTTGGGCTGGAGGATTTAGCTCAGGTCCCCGAGCAGGCGTTCGTCTTGAAGCAATTCAATTTGAATTGGTGATTTAAAGAAAACAGGGCACTCGCGTGTGGCGGAGACGGAATTTTTCCTAAAGACGAAGCAGAAATCAAAGGTGATTGTATAAGATAGTTCCAAGGGTACCGAAAAAAAGCGACGATTTGTATGTGATGATCATCCACCGCCCCAACTCTACTTTATCCCTGCCTCCTGATCCGTTTTTCCCTCGAAACTTTTATCTGATTCACTCTTCTCCCTCGAAAGAATACCTGCTTTTCCTCTATTTCCGAAGAATCTTACTTCAGGCGCAATCTCCCGCTTGATCGAACCTCGAACCATCTCGTTATCGTCTTTCGGTCCCACGCTATCCGAATCTAGCATCGAGCACCGAAATCGCGCCGGTCGTGCAGGGTGGCTATTGTGTCCTTTTGTTTCGCCTTTCCACGAGTTCAGACGCCCCTTAAAACCTCCTCAAATCCTCACGCCATACCCTGCGACACGACCCGCCAGAGAGTCTACTCTATCGGCCCAACACTGACTCACCGCACCTGTCTCTCTCCCGCGCGGGGATAGCCACCAATAATTCAAATACCCACCCCATGTGTTCTCACCCAGCGGCCAAGAAGGGCTGGAGACACTAAGTGTCCCGGTATTGCGGAATATATAAATATATTTTTTACAAAAAACCGAAAAATAATCGCATGCGACTACACCATGGCGACTGTCGCGAGCGCACGCTATAATGAATGCGCCTACTTGGGAGGACTACAGCCGAAATGCTGGAAACTGGCGGTGAGCACATTGGTTGATGACGTGTGGGCGGCACTTGTCGCTGGAGATTGGTATCAGGGTAAAGACGACAAAAGGTCCCGTCGGCCAGATTTTGGTACGGAACTGAGTTTCACATCTCCCGCACCGCCCTCGTACACCCAACCGCCACCGTCTTACGAAGATGCCGTCAGCGATTTGCCGCCGGGATATGATACTCTGGATGCGCTTGCACAGCGGCAGACTGGTATGCTGCCAGTCGCGCTGCCGTTGCTGGTTGAGAAGTCGAAGCCCAAGCCAATGGATTTCGATTTGCCCTCCGCATTGAAAGATCGGAAGACAGATGCTCATATTGACTTCGAAAGTTTGGTGGGCATCCGGGAACATAAGAAGAAGTCTGGTGGAGCGAAGAAGAAGGGAGTGCCTATGTCGTTGACTCCGGCGGCAAACTCAGGTGGCTCGGATGGGGCAGAGAATGACCCACCCAATGACGGAGGCAGTGGTGATGCTGGTGGAGGTGGAGATTCTGGTGCGGGAGGAGGTGATGGGGGGATGGAGGAGGTGGAGGTGATGAAGGTTGGGGAAATGACTGGTCTACATCAGGGTCTAAGAAGAAAACCAAGAAGGAAGAGGAGGAAGAGGCAGAACGACTTGCCAAAGAAGAGGAAGAGCGCAAGGCCGCCGAAGCATCTGCCGATAACAATCTCAGCTGGGCTGATGGCGGTGATGGCGGTGATGACTGGGCTGGGATTGGAAAGAAGAAGAAAGGCAAAGTAAGATATTGACTACGGTCTACTTCAAAATGTTGCATTTTGTTGATACAATCTACAGAACGATGCACCGATGGACAACTTTCAGGATATCGGTTTGGACGACGGTGCACCACAGCTCGACTTGAATTTCGACACAGGCGCTAAAACTAGCGGGACTGGTTTTGGCTTTGGCGGATGGGGCAAATCCTGGAATACTGGGAGTTCCGGCGACAATATGGGACTTGGGGCCATTGGTGAGTCCGCCTCCAAAGAGGGATCGAAAGATACAAACCCCTGGGGAATCGGCAAGAGTCAATCAAAGACCCCTGGCGGGTTTGACTTCGGTGATCTGGGATCTCCTCCGGCCAAGGACTGGGAGTCTTGGGATAATCCAAAGGACAGTAAAAATTTGCTTGATCCGGAGCCCGAACCTGAGCCCATTGCAGAGCCCGAACCTGTGTCTGAATCTGAGCCTGAGCCTGAGCCCATTCCGGACATCACAAAGGAAGCGTCATACCTTGCTCTTAACAGCAAAGACAAACGCAAGGCGAAGAAGGAATATGAAAAGAAGGTCAAGGATGCTAAGGCGGAGGCCGATGCTAGGGCGGAGGCAAGAGCGGAACGCAAGGCAGCCAAAGCAGCCAAGCAGGAGGAAGAGCGCCTAGCAAAGGAAGCGGAAGCCATGAAAGCTCAAGAGGAAGCAGAACTAAAAGCCAAGGAGGAGGAAGAAGCTAAGAAAGCCCAGGAAGAATCCAATGACTGGGGCTGGGGAATGACAGCTAAGAAAGACAAGAAAAAGAAAATCGATCTTCTGGCTGATCCTTTGCCCGCGCCAGATCCCCCCTCCAATAGCGGATGGATGGGTGACTGGGGAACCACTGGGAAGTCGAAGAAGTCCAAGGACCCAGAGCCACTTCCCGAACCCTCCAAGGAAGATGAATGGTCTGCATGGGGCACTGCTACAACCAAGGAAAAGAAGAAGGGTAAGGGGAAAATCGACATTGAACCCGAACCCGAGCCTCAGCCTGAGCCGGAACCCGAACCTGAGCCGGAACCAGAACCAGAGCCGGAACCAGAACCCGAACCTGAACCTGAACGAGAGCCACTCGACCCTCTTTATGATGATTGGACTACTATAAGTTCAAAGGAAAGAAAGAAGCGAGAGAAGCAATTGGTCCGTAAAGGACTTCCTATCCCTGGCAAGGATGGCTTTGAGCTTCCATCTGATAAAGGATCTGAGCCTGAGCCTGAGCCAGAGCCAGAGCTTGTACCTGAGCCGGAGCCAGAACCAGTGCCGGAACCTGAACCTGAACCGGAGCCAGAGCCAGAGCCAGAGCCAGAGCCCGAACCGGTGAAGCCAGTTGAAGAAGATACTTGGGGTGGATCTTGGGGTGTTACTAAGACGACCAAGAAGAAAAAGAAGGGCAAGGATATTGAAGAACCACCACCTCGTGCACCCACTCCTCCTCCTCAAAGTCTAACTCCGGAGCCAGAGACATTTAATGATGGGGCTGACGATATCTGGGCAGAACTTGCCCCAAAAACCTCCAAGAGCAAGAAGACAAAGAGTATCGAGCCACCGAAAGAAGAGAAACCCGCAGCTAAGGGCTTTTGGGCTACGATTACTGGAGGATCAGCACCTAAAAAGTCGACGAAGAAAGACGAAGCGCCACCAGAAGAGGACCTTTTGATTGACGTTGAAGACGATCCCCTTCCGGAGCCAGAACCCGAACCCGTACCTGAACCGGAGCCGGAGCCAGAACCTGAGCCAGACCCAGAGCCAGAGCCAGAACCTGAACCAGAGCCAGAACCGGAGCCAGAGAAGCCCAAAGCCAAGAGCAAAGCCAAACTATCTGTTGCCGAGCGTATCAAGGCCTTGGAGCAAACCAAAAAAGACAAGAAGGAGGGTTCTAAGTCAAAGTCCAAGGAGAAAAAGCCTGAACCCGAACCGGAGCCAGAACCTGTCATCGAAGAACCAGTGAAGAGTTCCAAGTCTAAAAGACATGAACAGGAAGCCAATGATGAAAGAGAGAAATCAAGAGACTCTGTCCCTGGTAGCTTCCCTGACGAGCCTCCTGCTGAGCCTGAACCAGCACCTGAACCAGAACCAGAGCCCGAGCCCGAACTTGAACCGGATCCAGTGCCAGAGCCAGTGCCAGAGCCAGTGCCGGAATCTGAACCTTCAGGTCCTGATCTGTCTAAGATGACTAAGAAAGAGCTGAAGAAATACAAGAAGGCCCAAGCGGCAGCCGAAGCCGCCAAGGAGTTTGCTCCGCCCCCACCCCCAGAAGCGCCGGAACCCCCGGCGCCGGAGCCCGAGCTTGAGGCTGAGGCTGAGGCCCATCCAGCTGAAGACGTTGATGACGGAGCTCCCCCGACACCACCCCCTGAGGAACCTGAGGAACCTGAAGAGCCTGAAGAAAAGCCTTCTAAATCTTCTAAAAAAGATCGCCCACGCGCTGAACGTAATAACACGTCTTCTGGTTGGGGATTTTGGGGTGCGTCGCCAGCACCAAAGAAATCCAGTAAAAAGGAATCAAAGCCTCCAAAGGATCCAGAACCGGAAATAGAGCCAGAGCCAGAACCTGTCGCTGAACCTGAACTTGAACCTGAGCCAGAAGCCGAACCTGAGCCTGAGCCAGTGCAGGATCCGGAACCAGAGCAGGCGGAAGTACCAGCCCCTGAACAGGAGGCGCCCAAGGAAGTTCGGTCCTCCAAAGAGAAAAAGAAGTCTTCCAGGGACAAAGAGTCGCCTTCCAAGGAAAAAGAATCCAAAAGGAAAGATAAAAGTCGACCGGAACAGTCTTCCACTCCTGTCCGTTCGAAGTCGACAAAATCTCGACCACAGGAGCCAGAGCAAGACATAGAAAAATCCTCAACATCAGACCGAGAGAAGCGGCGAGAGCGCGAGGCACGTGCCTCGAAGCAGCAGCGTGCCACAACCTTGTCCAACTTCATTCTTGGCGCTCCTCCATCTGCGCGAACTAAATCGACTCGTAAGCCGGCCACATCAAAATCCGCATCCAGGCCAGTTTCACGGCGACCATCAGTTGATATGGATGGCGAGGGTTCCATGCCATCTCCACCGCCGGACGATATGCCTTTGCCCGACAAGGCAGCTAAGTTGATGGGCATGAGTGGTTCAAAATCAAAGCGTGAACGCCCAAAGACAGAGAGACGAAAATCAGGTGAGTAAAGATTATCAGTTCTCTAACGGTGGCCTAGCCTAATCTACTTCTATTCAAGCGCGAGATCCGTATGCGATCGAAGATGACGACATGGTCATGGTTGATCGTGAAGATGCCGATGGTCAATCGCCTAAGGAGGGTTCCAAAGGATCTGCACCGTCAAGGCGGAAGTCCAGGAGAGAGGTAAATAAACACATTCCATTCACTTTGTCTTAGAAATTTGCTAAATCCCCTCATTATAGTCGCGCCCAAGGCCGGACGATGAGGATCCTGTCATGGTTGATGCAGATGGGCCAGACGACGCTGTGCTTGTCGATGCCCCAAGAGACCCTAGAGAGAGACGCTTAAAGCGTGCTAACACAGCTCCACCAAAGAAGCAGGATTCCGGCGGTTTGATGGGCATGTTTAATTCCTTCCGAAAGAATACTCGTCCAGAACGCCCGGAACGTCCGGAAATGCCTGACCGACGAAAGTCCCGCTCATATCGCGACGATGAAGCAAGGAATATGACTGAGCCAGAGCGCGACGATCCTCGACGACCGCGACGTGATGACCGTCGTCGTCGTTCAGTTCGACCGGACACAGATGTAGAAGGATTCACCACTGATGCTGCCGGTGCGGCGGTAGGTGACACAGAAGCTGAAGATGCTGAAGCTCGTAGGGCAGCTCGGCGAGCGAAGCGTACATCTCGACAGGCCCCCTCTGACACCCGCGAGGTGGAAGCACGGGAAGCCGAAGAACGGCGTGCCAGGCGTAAGGAAAAAGAGAGAGCACGTGAGCAGCAAGCTAAAGAAGAGGAAGAAGAGCGCCGTCGTATCCGCCGTGCAGCACGAGAAGAGCGACGTGCCCGCGAAGAACAAGAAGCCCGCGAAGCCGAAGCCCGTGCAGCCGAAGCCGCAGCTGCAGTCGAAGCCGCCGCCGAGGCAAAGGCAGCTGAACGCCGCGAACGCCGACGTATGCGCGAAGAAGAAGAACTGGCCGCCAAGGCCAAACGCCGACGCTCACGCGCCGAAGACCCTCCTCCGCAACAAAACTTTTACCCTCCCGAAGAGCGCCGACGTGGATCCCGCACTGCTGATGACTCGAAGTCCCGTCGCAGACCCAGGCCCATCATTCCAGATACCCCGGAGGAGCCTGAGCCTGTTATGGCGGGCGGTCTGAACCACGGCAAGCCGAAGAAGGATAAGACATCCTCGTGGGTGTACTCCCAAGCTGATGAACCGCCAGAGCCCCCGCAAATCGTCCCAACTTTCATCGATATGCCTCCGGCCGCGGCTGCAGCTGCAGACAACCTCAATGCACACTCTCTGTCGTCGGATGAAGAAGCTCGCCGTGCTGTTCGTCGCCGAGCCCGCCGTCGTGCCAAATATGGTGACATGGCTGATGAGGAGATCGATGAGAACCGTTCCCGTCGGCAGCCATCGCGTCGTGATCCCAAGAGCAGCTCTGGCAGTGGCGACTACGAGCGTGATCGAGGTATGAGATCGCATGGAAGTCGACAGGGTAACCCTGTTCCTACAACCCCAACCTCTGGAGCGAAGAAGTCAAGCTGGTTGCGCAAACTTGCCAATTTCTAAATCCTTAGGTTTATCTTTCTCTGTTCATCTTTTCTGGTCTTGTTTTTCTCTTTTTTGTTTCACTATGGATGGAGGCTTGTATTTATGTATCTCTTTTTGTTTGATTATTCCCCCCTCCCTCTAGCCTTCAATGTTGGCAATCTGCTCTACTCCGGTACAGGCACCCCTCTCATGATATATACGAAATGATTCTTATGATGTGATATGTACTCAAAATGATTTATTGATTTATTGATTTCTCATGACCCTTTTTCTACATGATCTCTCTACTATCTCTCGTTTTGAAAAATTTGACATACCCATGTGCAGGAAGCGTAGAGCACTTGAAACCTGGGATGGGATAGCCGGCTATTGAGATGTTTCAGGCTCTTACGATCAACAATATACTAGTACTTACTACAGTTGGCATCTGAGTACATAACCGCGCCAACACGGCGACGATACATATAGACGGTCTGCCTTCGGCCTTTCAATCAAGAGGCTTGCTGCTTAAGAATTCGGACAACAACTTCAGCCAAGTTTTCCTCCCGCGACCCAAGCAACCCACCCTTCGCAAAGTCCACCCCTCTATCCACATCATCCGCATAAAGCAGCATCAAAATAAGCAACTTCGGCCCATCAGTCGTATCAGGCATCATCATCTTCTTCGACGCATCCGCCGATGACATTCTCCTCACCTCCCACTTCTCCCCAGCCGCCTTCTCCAGCTCCTCAAGAACCTGCCCCTGAGACACCGTAAACGAAGCCACAAATACTGGCTTATCCTCCGTCTGCTTAGGCTTCAGCAGCACTTTAACCACCGCCACACCGGCCGTCCCAAGTATCGAAGTCGACCACGCCTTATCACCCGATTCGTAGATACTAACTTTCCTCTCCTTCAGGTGGTAATCAAGCCACCCAGCCTCGAGCCCCCAGTCGAAGAACTGTCCTGTGCTTAAAGCCATCCAGATCAAACCTACGTCTTTGTGCTTTTTGAGGTCCGCGATGGTCTTGGCATTTTCGGCGTACAGCGTACCGAGCTCAGCCGCTGCCACGCAGTTATTGTTGCCGTATTCTGTTGGTATGAAGCGCTGTACGCCGGCTTGGATTGCGGCGTCGATCATGCGCAGGTGCACTGTGTAGGGTCTGCCGGAGAGGATGGAGACGAGGGCATCTTGGCCTTTGAAGGCTGTTGTCAGTTGGTCGATTGGGTAGTCGTCGTCTATTTCGTGGACTTTGATGTCTGGGGGGAATTTCGAGGAGCAGGACTCGCAAGAGAGAATTGAGAGGTTGAAGGTGCCTTCTTTTTGGAGTGCAGAGAGGACTTGGGTGCCGAAGAGGCCTTCGGCCTATGTCAGGTTTGGGTTTCAGTCAGTGCTTGGGTTGCGTGTATCAAGTGGTGTTTGGGGGGTAAAAAGATAAACTTGCACCCATTAGCATGACATTTTTGAAGCTTTTGGCCATCGTCTCTAGCTGATTCAGGGTTGTTGTCTCTACGAGTTCACATGCTGACAATCTTCAGGGTCTTTGTAGATCATTTCGACCCCGCACTTGGGGCTGTGGGGGCTCCACTAGTAAATACGCCAGTGCTGATATGTATGGAATTCCACTTGACTAGTAAGAACCCTACTACACATCTGCATTGTGTAAATGCTCAGACATAGCAAGTATTATGTTGGCATTAATACTCTTTTCTATCTTTAAATTACCATATCTCCATCTTCGTCTCCTCTTCCAGCTCCAACACCCTCCATCTCGCGACGACGGTTCTCCAAAAACATTCTTCCCCCCTCATATAAACTCAGATATAAGCTCATCGAGACAGCAGTCCACACAGACCGTATTGCGCCACCTTTAAACAGCCCTCTAACCCCTTCCTTACGGAACGTCTCCTTCCCAACAACCCAAGTCCCCTTCTTTGAACCTTGACGTTGAACTCGACTTGTATCCCCCTCCGTCCTCGCTATATCATCAGCAGCCGAAAGCATTACCCTCGTCTTCACAACATCAATCGGCGTCGTCACAAAAGACGAAATGGTACCCGCCACACCCGCCGAAAAGGCCGTAACCCCTGCCCGCTCAATGAGTGCTTCTCTCTGTGCAGATGACGACAATGATGATGGATGAAGAGCGGAACTATCCCTCCCTAGAGAAGACCGTCCCTCTCCTTTCCGTGATTGTCTCCAATCAGTAACGCGCGTGCGGATAAACTCAAACATAGGAAACTGCAGTCCAGTGAAAGGAAGATTGCGTCCCACAAGAGCAGTATATCCGCTCCAAAGGCGCCAAGGGTGGGACTTGAACCGTGAAAGAACTTGTCGCATCGCCGATGTATTGGTTTTATAATGCTTGTTGGTGGATGCATCTTTTGGTGTAGATCCCGATTGTTTTTGGGGACTGTTGATCATCTGCGCGTTTTGCTTTAGGACTTCTGCTGGTGTAAGCAGGAGACATGAGACCATCTCGGCGGATGAAGATGCTATGGCGTGGATGATTGGCGTAGGGAGGGAGTGGTCGAATGGGAGACGGAGTTTGGAGCGCGAGCGTTGATGTTCAGATTCTTGTCTTGCGTTGGTGGATGAATTGTAGAATGCATATTTGACTGCTTCGTATGTTGTAAAAAATGCTCCAGCTGACAAATTAGGATGGGCATTAGTAGGTACTATATGAATAGTGTATTGCCCCGAGCTTGTAGGTGGAGATGAAAACCTCGGTGTCCATTCCAAGGTTGGAGGAAACTCGGGTACGAAACGAAGATTTGGCTTTGAAACTTGAAAGCGTTTGAAACTTACATGAGGGAATCGTGGAGAATACGACACTCCAAACGCCCTGGTATAATCCCCGAAAAAGCACATTTCGTTTCACGGCACCTGTACGTGCATCTTTGAACACGCGCTCATAATTCGGGGATTGAATGCGGGTTTTCAAGGTGTCGACAGGGTAGACAATGAAATCGACGACGACGGCAGCGAATGCGCCGGCCTATGTAGAAACATGTATGCATTAGCTCGAATTTCCACCATCTATATCTGTGGAAAGTGTAGGTATGTTGAAGCTAGACATTGGATATGCGATAGCTCTGTGGTGAGGACGCGAGTAGGTACCGAGTTACTCTGCCAGTTCAAATTTCAACCTTGGAACCTTGGAACACGGTTATGAATTCATTCCCCGCATATTGAGGCCATTGGGATCAGCCTTGGAATTGGTCGTTCATAGAACCATTCCAAGGTTGATGTATGGGTGTAGGTAAACATTGAACTGGAATCAACCAGGTGCTCGTGCTTCAAAACTTTCATCTGGAACATTCATGTGCTGGAACTTCGAAGGCTTGGAATTTGACTGTCGGGATTTTCAAAGACGGGGTTGCTTCAATGCATGTATATTGTAGATCTCCGGTGCAGATGTGGATACACTTACTATCCAAATATCTGTATGGCTATTGTACATTATCAGAAGAGCCACCAACCGAGAAGTCAGAGACGGAATAGCGCGGTATTATGCGCGCGAGGAACATTTAAACTATATTGCTTCCAAGAAATCAAGCCAACGGTTCCTCGACATGATGTATGACGATGAAGTCATACAAGTCACGTGACACGATATACCCTAGATAGATTAGGGCTGGATATTTTACTGATAGATAAAAGATAAAGTAGTATAGCTGCCCCGGTGGGAGTTAAACATGTAAAAGCAAAAACGTGCAAATAGATATTCATGTCTAGTTAAAAAGTCATTGTTTTCTATGAACGGATGAGTCCATATGTGCCAAAAAATTAGACAAGAAAGACTCAACGTCGTCATGGACACTAAAAAAAGAAAAGAGGAAGTCGTACAAACATCCCAGAGAACATTTTCCCTCCCTACGCCGTAATAAGGTCATGCAATCCCAGAAGCCTCAGGTCCACACATATTTAGTTCGCAGTCTCAGGCAGCAAGTTGCCCTTGGCAGCGAACATCTTGCCGGTAGTCGAAGAAACAAAGCTGTCGACCTGGCGAGAGAACTGCTCCACCTGGCGGGTGTTGAGCATGCTCTCCAACCGGCTGGGCTCGGCGGGGAGCTTGAACAGACGCTGCCACTCGTCCTCGGGGAGCAGGGGTTGCTTGAGGGTGGCGCGGGTGGCGTTCTCCTGGGCGCGCTTCTGCTTCCAGTTGTTGATCTTGGTCTGCTCGCGACCGAGCACACGCTGGTAGTACTGGTAGTTGTTGACCTCGGTGTTGTGGGCCTCGATGCTGTCCAGCAGGAGATCGCAGTTCTTCTCCAGGAACGGGTCAATGCTGAGAGACAGGTTGTCGAAGTTGGGGGTGAGGGTGTTGGATTTGTTGAAGGGGCCGGCCTCAAGAGCAGCGAGCGAGGGGGGAGGTCGGTCGAGCTTGAGGGGGCGGGGTTCTGCAGCTGGTGGATGAAGGAGGTGATCAGGTGCGAGTTGTGGATCTCCACGGGGAGCTCCTCGAAGATGTCTTGGTAACGGATGTTGGACTTTTGCAACCTGTAGTGAGACAGTCAGTACATAAATTCTGTAACCTCTGGAAACACAGAGAGACACAGAGAGAAGAAGAAAGAATGGCACATACTCCTCGGAGTTGAACTTGTTCTCCTTGAAAGCTTCCATGAATTTAGCGGAAAGGCGGAAGGCGCGTAGGCTGAGAGCACCCTGGGCGCTGCGGCTGACGTCGTGAACCAGCGCAACTGTCCGCTCGTTCAGCTCCTTCTGATAGTAAAATTGGTTCTCAATCACGTTCATGTTGACAAAGTTGCCCATGTTGGCGCTAGTGTACCATCCGACGTTGTTGGCGTCAATGTTGACCTCACGGATCATGCGAATCATCTCAGCCTGGTAAGCGGCGTTGCCCTTAGCACGGGGAGCGGCGGCGGCCGGGTTCGGGGAGGCGTTGTCGAAGTGCGACTCGGTGGGCATCTCAACAACGGGGAAAGGGAAAGAGTTGGTGATCTCGAGGTTGCTGTCAAAGTCCATTCCGACGAGGGAACCGGTCGCGGTAGTCGGGAAAGTCTGGTTGCAGTGCTTGATGATTTTCATCACCACCTAGAGAGCATCGGACATGAGTATTTCTTGCTGGCGAGGGTAGGACAGATTTTCAAGATTTGGAGGGGATCGTACCAGGGCCTCAACCTTGACGGCCGCGAGGGGGGTTTGTGTTCTAGACGATATATTAGTGGGAGAATAACAAGAAGGACCTCAAATTGAACGTACTCGGCCATATTGACGGGTGGATGAACCGGGTATGGGAGTGGGTTGAGACTCTTTGATGATGGGGAAGAGGCGGTTTGTGTGAGAACAATTCAGACGGGTGGTCCAGATCGGGCCTAGCGTGATACGAAAAAGATGTTTCGTATTACCAATAGTTGCTCTCCACAACACGACCAATGAGGGGTATTACCGTATGATAACAACCAGAGTTCCTCGCTGCAACTCCACATTGTGCCTGACAGACTCTAGTTGTGTTTGAAACCGTCTATTAAATGTCGAAAGGATCATTTAGACTCATACTATACGACTTTACCTATGCTGGATTTCTCAACTAAAAACAAAACCTCTCATCTTTTGTACTTAGTTACTACATCAGATGGAAAGGACCCTTAGTCATTCCAAAGCGGAGATGTTCCCACTTCCGCTACCGTTACCTATCGATACCATTTATCACGCACGTATAACTTGAGCTTCTTTCCATATCCTGCTGGTTCCTGCAGATTTCTGCACCATGAGCCCTGAGCTAGCCAATCCGGTGACAAGAACTGTCACCTATGGGAGATCTCATGTTTTGCAAACTATAAATGTCACATCACTTAACACAAACCAAGATGGTTACTGGGTGATGTACGACTCCAAAGCAACCCCACCAACCATAGATCTGACCAAGACGAGAGATCAGTCCCAAGCATGATGGAGCATACTTACTAAAATCCTAACCTCAAAAATAGCTATATCCATGGCGGCGCATGGCGAGACCCAACGATAACTGCATCCTCCTTCGACAATACTGCAGCCATCCTCCGCAAATCCCCCGCTCTTCCGATCTCAGGCATCGCTTCAATCTCCTACCGATTGAGCGCACATGCAGAGTTTCCTCAAGATCCCGCGACCACCCCCTCCAATGAATACCGCAATGCGAAACATCCGGATCATATTCGAGACGTTGAGGCTGCACTTGCCTTTTTGCAGAATACTTACGCATTTGGGCCCCGCTACATCCTTGTTGGACATAGTTGCGGCGCTACGCTAGCGTTCCAAGCGGTTATGGGGGCCGTGGCGAACCACCGCGAACAAGCCTTCAACGGGGGCGCGGACGACGACGGGGTAGGCGCCGAGCGAGTCTCAATGTCCCCCGGTCCGCTACCGCCGAAGCTGTCGGCGCACCCTCTGGCGATAGTGGGTGTCGCGGGAATATACGATTTGCGGAGGTTACAAGATACACATCGAGATATTAGCGCATATAGAGAGTTCATCGAGGGTGCATTCGGAAACGATGTCATGCTTTGGGATGGGGTGTCGCCGGCGCAAATGGTTGGGTCGCGCGGCGTGGAGGGTGGCTGGAAGACTGGACGGTTGGTTGTGCTGGCACATTCAAAGGATGATGAGCTTGTGGACGAGGGCCAGGTGGAGGAAATGCGGGAGGCATTGAAAGGCTGGGAGGCAGGTAAAGCTCAGATACCTGTGCGAGAGTTGTCGAATCGCGATAGACGGGTCCAAGAACTGTCAATCGAAGGTTCACACGATGAAGCGTGGATCAATGGCGATGGACTGGCGCGAGCGATCAAATTTGCGTTTGTTGAGCTACAGAAGATGGGGCTGGCACCTGAGCCCGAGATATTGGGCGGGACTAGCGGTATATAACTACTATGAATGATCATTGAGCCACGTATATAGAATTACACACGATTTATATGAGACAGCACAAGATTCTTTCATTCGGTCCTGTTGGAGATGGGGAAGATTGATGTAGATACAGTCGAAGATGGGCCCAGGCGGGCCAGAGAACGCCATTATTCGTTAACGCATGTCACAGAAGATCAAATCCTAGGAAATCCCTCGGTACGCCGAATTTGCCCGTAAGAGATCCAGTGTGGGGTGCAATTAGTTGCCAAGATCCATGCGACCGGAGGCCGCATCTCCGGCGACTTTTTCGGTCTTTGCTTTCGATGCCTCCTCGCCGTACTCGAAAGCTTCATCTTCACTCTCACTCTCTTCGACGAACTTGTGGACCATATCAAATTCGCTTAGACGCCAGTGGAGGTCCTCCCGGTGGCCGTCTTGCCAGCGCGCGAGAGCGGCAGCTGCGTGTACCTTGAAGCCATAGATACGGGGCTCATAACGGCGGAGGCTCTTCTCAGGGTTCAAGGCGGGGTATACCTGGAAGAGAATAGAGTGGAACGAGGTACCGAAGTAAGCACCGTCGATTGAGGCATGACGGGAGGATTTGGGGTTGTAGATATCCTCGCATTTAGGGCAGTAGAGTTTGACGGTGGTTGAGTTGGCGAGATCGGCCTGACCCATAGGCAAAAGTGGGTGTCCATCACATAAGACACGTGGGCATTTCCCAAAGTCGCACTTCTTGTATTTATCGAGCTGAATATGAACATTAGCTTTCATGCGTCAAGTGAGTGGCTCTAAAGGATCACAGAAACGTACCATTTTTGCCAACCCGCGAGTGGTCACGATATAACGAGCATGAACCAATCCATAAAGATGGCGAGCGGACTTCTCGATCTGCTCTCGGAGATCATCATCGGCATCAAGGTCGAATACATCGGTTACAAGGTCCAGCGCATATTGATAGTATGGAACTTCGGTATTCAGGCCCGTCAGGTTGAACCGGTCGGTCAAGTAATCTTCATCAATTTCGCAGAAGTACTCATTTCCCCGCGAGGAGACGAACTAGAATTCGGGTAACCGGATCAGCGCAATTCATCCACACAAACCAAAAGGCCGTATTTGGCAACAGGCAAGGGTGAGGCAGTCAGACAATACACGACACCCGTAGTGGATGCGTTAGAAGTCTACCACCAGACCGCTCGTTCAACTTCCAGCTCGTGCCTGTCACACATAGAATTGCCTTGAGGGGCATCACATGCTAGACCCTTGGCCACAAAACGCGCCTGCGGGGGCACATGGGTTCCCATAGCAGCTCTCAAGAAAAATCACCTACCCAGTCTCTCCAGTAGCTAGTGTAGTCACTGTCTGTCTCACTGTTGAAGTCCTCCATCATGGTGGTGGCCAGCTGATCTCTTTCAGGTTCGGTTTCGGTTGCTTCCGCGGAGTCGAGGGGTAGGTGGGTGAGGGTGACAGCCAGAGATTGGGTGGATCAACCCCGGGGTGCCGTAAACCCCCGCGACTTTTCAGCCTGCAAAATGAAAGCTCAGGGTATGTTGGAAATTGAAAATTCACGGTCGGAGTGTCCGAGAAGGCAAGTAAGCGTAACTGTCGATGGCTGGTGGTGGTGGTCGTCGTTGATGGAAATGATTAAAGTGCGACTTGGGCGGTGATGATTCTGATGATACTGCCGGATGATCCACTGCCGATCTTTGGCCATGAACTTGGAACAGCACCATTCAATGTTTTCACTACGGAGTACAGAGTATCTACTTGCAAATCATCTTGCTGGTTTTTTTTTTTTCTTGCATCAATCTTACCATGTCAATTATTCTTCCAAGTCTTCAATGCCACATGCACGAAAGGCGCGCAGGATAAGTTATCTTTACCGAGTGGATAAAAATAGTTATATGTATATGTGGAGCATCAGCCGCTAATGACAACCTTCATTTGGTTTTATCAGCCTGTTTTACTGATCTCCATCCGGATCCCAAGGCGCCAAATGTGGTCACGCAGGCGATTGCCACACCAGTATAAAACACCTTCACAAGGGCATCATTGTACACGGACAAGGCCTCGGTGAGATACTTTGAGGGAATGACCTTTCTAAGACTCAGCACACCTGAGTTCAGAACGAGGTTAGCATCAAGTCCGGGGACTTTGGTTGCCAGACCAGAAATCAGTTCCGCAGCAAATATATTCTGTGAGATGGCGAGCATGACCACGCCGCCCAGAAGCTGCCCAAAGGTCAGCACCACGATCGCCGACGGCACATCGGCTGCAGGCGTGGCAGTCTGGACCGCGATATAAGGTTGCTGCCACGCGAGTCCACACCCAAGACCGAAGATGGCTTGATATACAATAATGTGGGAAATGGATGTGGTAGTGTTGAAGGTGGTTGTAAGGCCAGCACCGATTGACATCATCACTCCCCCGAGTATCATGTACGGCATATAGTATCCCGTCACGCTTGTCATTGCGCCGGCAAAAATTATGGCAATGACAAGACCTATTATACGGGAGAGATCTCTAACACCGGACTGCATTGTTGAAACATCACGAATTGCCTGGTAATAAATGGGTAACTAGGAAGATTAGTTTCTCACACGTAATGATCAAGGTCTTCCAACTCACATAATATGTGAAGATATAGAGTGCACCTGAACAGGCAAAGCTGACTGCAATGCTGAAAAGCATAATTCGAGACTTAAGCAGTCTAGCAGGCAGTGTTGCATGCTCTTGCATGTATGCCTGTTGCACTGTAAAAGCCACCAGAAAGGCTCCAGTCAAAGCCAGCGGTACAATGACCTGCTTGCTACTCCACGGGTATGCTGTTCCGCCAGTTTGAAGTGCCAATGTAAAGCAAATGACCAAGGGGACAAACAGGGCCATTCCTACTGGATCAAGTTGCCTCAGTTTGGTAGTGGGTGAAGATTCCGCTTGTTTATCTGTCTTCGGCAGTCGTAGGAAGAAGAGTACCGAGGTGATTGGAATGATTCCCAGAGGAACACTAATCCAGAAACACACTCGCCAGGAAGTGACATCAGCGATGGCACCAGCAAGCAAAGGTGCAGTTGCCAGTGCAATACACTCCATACTTCCGATAAAGCTCTGATAGAAAGGCCTCCACCTCAGAGGAATGATTCTGGTGGCAATACTGGCGACAGGTCAGCATAGATCTGATATAAGATGCGCGGTGACAACGCGAAAATCATCGTACATATTGCAGCCGGAGAAGATCCCAGCGTTTCCCAGGCCGGCCACTGCCCTTCCCACAATAAAAGCGATAGATGACTGTGCCGTGGCACAGATGATGGAGCCGATGACAAAGACAAACAGGGCAGACACGAATACAATTCCTGTTGAGTAGAAGGAATAAAACTTGCCAAAGCTGAGAATTGTCGCACAGGACGCGAGCGAGCTGGAAGTCCAGTCAGAGATTATAGTTGGAGATCTTCGTGCTGGGGAAGTGACTTACTATGCGATTCCATACCAACTCACGTCATTGAGAGAGTTGAACTCGTCACTGATAGTTGGGGCAAGTGTGGCAACACACGTGGAATCCTGGTTGATATCAGTTAGGTCAAGACTCTATGCCAACTTTCGAAATAATTGACTGACATAACCTGCTAAGAAACATGCTGAGCATAAAGAGATTAAAATAGTAGAGAACTTCCAAGTTGAGAGTTTCACAATTTCGCTGTCGGGTGCTTTTGCTACAGCGGGAGCGTTGTGTTGCTCACTGCTTAGAGTGGAAGAGGCATGTTCGTTATTTGACGGAGCAACTTGTTCCAACTCCATTTCCATTTTGGTGAGTACAGTACTAGTTTGTAGGTCAAGTATGAATGTGAAAGCCTTGAGTACCTGAAAGATAGGTAGTGAGATAACACATGTGATGATATGTGGAAGCCTGATGCGAGATATCGGCCAATCCAATCAATGTACTCATCCATTGAGATTAAATGGCGGATGTAACGTGGTGATAACATCTGTCTGTCCGGAGATAACTGAGTTGAGTCTAGCGCTGGCATCCTTGTGCTTTAGGCCACTTGTAAAACCTTAGAATTCAGGCCTGGGTGTGAATCAGGCAATCATCACAGTAGTTAGTAGTGATCGTAGATTAAAAAGACAAAATGAATCATTGAATCATATAACATCGCTTACTACTCATAACTAGTACAGAGTCTTTGTTGATAGAACCGCCATTTACTCCGTATGGGCTATAAGTCACTTATCTCACTTTAGATAGCTCTTCTTTCTCTTTCTTTCTTCGCAGCTTCCGAGGGCCGAGTCCTAATACACACATCAATTGCACTTGCCCTCCTTTTGCAGTAGAATCTAAATACTGAACTTTATAATAGAATTCTACTGTATGGCTGCATCTAGCTTAGTAGTGCTACATCCGGTCCCAATCTAGGCAACCGACTGTATGTAAATAATATACTAGTACATTTTCGATTTTTCTACGTCATAACTAACGCCGCTACTCCTATTTCAAAGACAAAAATGAAAATCTCATTAAAGAAAATTAGTATCTTAACATCCATTCAAGTTACCTCTGATCTACGACCAAAATGCCACCCCGAACCTTTTTTTGGTGGAAATGGAGGCCATCTTCAAAAATAGGACCATTTCTCCCAAGATCAGCAAGAATTTTTCTTTCCATATGTGTGGTACTTGCGGATCAAGCTAAGTTACGTGAGAGAAAACGTGAGAGCCAACGAGAAGCTGAACGAAAAGATACCGAGCTTCAGCCGCCGATGGCAGCGCCTAACTCACTTCAACGCAGGGAAGATGAAGAAATCTATCCCCTTGGGTAGAATACCTGAGTTTATATTCTTGAGGCTATGCTGTGTCTGTGTCTGATCTATTTCTGGCTACTATTCTCTTTGCTGACAGCCTGAGATCATATTCTTGTATCGATATTAAGAGATGCTCTGAATTTTGGGCTTAATGATTTTAGACCCTGAAGCACTGTCTATGTATTTATGTTGCTTAAGCAGATGGGCTGACGAAAACGATCCCTAAGCTATTTACTCTAGTATGGCTTAACTATCTTCTTGCCTACTATCTTCCTTGATATTTTATGTCTCCTAAAATAAATAGTGCTGGCCTAAGGCTGCCATCAGGGGGCTGAACTGGTAATTTTTCATATATGCGGTGCATGTACATAGCATGGTACCACCTGGTGTCATATGATGAACAAAGTCACTTCAAATTTGATAATGGCTATTTTGTACATTTCTTTCTGTGAATTTTTTTTGATACCCAGTATGGGTCAAATGCCCGAATCCCTTAGAGAGCCTCACCTCGTTCAGCTATAAAATTCACTCAAATCTCCTCTTCCCCTTAAATCCCTTGAATTGTTAAGGGGATTTGAGTATATCCTTAAATTGTACCAATTTGACGACCTTTAAGTCCGGTAGGCCTAAAGATTGATCTTCAAATATCTTGATTATCCGGTAAAGATTGCTAGTATTTCTTGCCATAATCTTCCTCTTGATCATTTTGGGATACGTAACCGTTGTTGGTATTGTTGATATTATCCGGTTGCCCTGTGTCAGTTTCCACTTTCCAGTGTGTTGTTGATGTTCGATATCAGCCATAGTTGTATTGTGATGACACGTTTTCCTCTTTTGCCAGTAAGCGCTCTTGTGAATCGCGGAAGTCTCCTTGATCAAGCAATATGTCTCTGAAAATACTGGATACTTGCTTGACAACATTGAACGACCAAACGGATTTTCCGATCAATGATCAATAGTGCGTGAAAGTTTATGCAAAGTCATACTTGAGATGAGCTGATCGATCATTCTCAAATAGCGATCAACCTCATCGCCATTTTTTTGTTCATTGGCAGACCGCCAGTCCAGTGTCGTGTCCCACATTCAATGTTGGCAGCGACTAAACCTTGCCATTGTCCCTCACTCAAAGTTTTACTATTCATAGTAGCTTTGCTGAGTGCAAAGACCCCCTGCATGTCTTACAACACGTTTTCTGGTCTCATGGGTGCCCGGTTCATGGGCGACTGATTTGAAGACCTATCCCTAGGTGGGCAACTTGGAGCCATGGATTGATATGACAGCAGTATAGCGCCAATGGACGTGATGGCGTAAGCAACTTCTTGTCAAAAGCCCCTTGGATCTGCACGCCCAAACCCCGGATGATCAACAGGAATGCGATTTAGCCCCTTCCGGAGCGATCGACACCACCAGCACGCTCTTACTGTAGATCAAGATGCGAGGATCACCACGGGGAGTCAAAGCGTTGTATAGTAAGACATCCAATGCGAGGGCACTTTTATATGGCTCATAACAACAATTGCCCGGCATTGAATTGCGCAAAAAAAAATCACCATGCATGTTTTCAATCACGAAACACACTCTTTTCCCCGCAAGGTAGAATCGTACTCTCCTACCTACACGTTGGGACCGGTCCCTTGCAGCCACGCTCTGATCCCCAGCCAAACTCCATGACGCGACCTATTGACTGAGCTCAGACATCGCAATCGAAGCTAGAGAAAGCTATCCAGAGCTCCAATTCCGCTACGTAATGGAAAGCTTGGAGGTGTGGTCTACTCAAATATAAATACAGCTCTATTCGACCGTCTTTGAGTCTCCAGTTCATCAAGCAAAAGAGACTCACAAGATCCTCCAGATCCAAGAGTCACAGAAAACAAGCATATTCTCAAACTCTCCATTCCTATTTCCCCTATACGATAGCCCAGTCTACCATGCGCTACTCTTTGATCAATGGGTTTCTGCTTTTGGCAGTTTCGCCAATGACCTCCTTGGCCTTGCCAGTGGACCCCAATGACCAATCTGGAGTCTGGGACCCCAGTGGACAGTACCGCAAGGGCCATTACGAGAACGGCCAGTTTGTTCCTAACGCCGGCTCAAACTACAACAATGGCCAATACAACAACGGTCAATACAATAACGGTCAGTACAACAACGGCCAGTACAACAATGGTCAGAACACGAATGGCCAGTACAACAATGGCCAATACAACAACGGCCAGTATAACAACGGCCAAGACGACAATGATGAGTACACCAATGGCGAGAACAACCGCTACCAGCGCCGTGGCAGAATTGGTCGCCCATTCGGCAACGATCGCAACCGTGTTGGTGTTCCTGATGTCGGTGTCCCCGGCGTCGGTCTTCCCGGTATTGGCCTGAAGGCTCGCAACTGGCCTTCTGATAACACCAACAACAACCAGAATGGTTGGACCGATGCGAACGGCCAATGGCACTCCACCACCAACTCCAACAACCAGAACGGCTGGACTGATGCGAACGGCCAGTGGCACTCGAACAACAACCAAGATGGCTGGACTGATGCCAATGGTCAATGGCACTCTGACAACAACCAGAATGGTTGGACTGATGCGAATGGCCAGTGGCACGCAAATGCCAAGCGTGGTCTCCCTGCTGTTGGTGCAGCTGGTCTTCCCAGCGCTGGTGTCCCTGGTGTCCGAGGCACTCCCTCTATCCCCGGTATCCCCGCGAGCGGTGCTGGAGTGGGCGCCCTTGGTGCCGAAACTGGAGCTACCAACCATGGCGCTGTGAACGGCGCTGCTCAACTCAATGAGCCCAACAACCGCCACCCTGCTCAATCTGGTGCCTCTGGCTCTGGTCTCTATGTCCGCTGGAACCGTCCTGAGAACAACAACGACGACTACAATGACAACTATGACAACCGGAACGAAGACTACTACGGCAACGGTAATAACCGCGAGAGCGAGCGTGAGCACGAGCAGGACCGTGAAGAGGACCGCCAGGACGCCGCTGCTATCACTTCCGGTGTTCTCTCCAACCTGAAGGCCCGCCACTATCCCGAAAATGATTACAATGACTACAATGGCAACTACAACAACGAAAACCACCGCGAGAGCGAGCGTGAGCGCGAAGAAGACCGCGAGGATGCCTCTGATGCCGCTGATGCCGCCACCTCCGTTCTGACAGGCTTGAAGGCCCGTCACTTCCCTGGCCAAGAGTTCCACGACAGCGAGCGTCTGGATCGTGCTGCTGCTGAGTCCCTGACCCACGCTCCTGTCTTCGGTAAGCGCTGGTGGCCCTTCGGTGGCTGGAACCGCAACCACAACGACAACTACGATAACAACGACAACTACAATGACTACGAGGACAACGACAAGTGCAAGAAGGGTGACTACAACGACCAGTCTGGCTGGGACTGCCACCACGATTGGGATGCCAACCGCTACGCTACTCCCACTCCCCGTGTCTTGGCTCGTGGCCAGCAGACCGAGAAGGCCCAGTCTCCCTACCCCCAGGTTACTGGTACCACCGCGCAGGTGAATGGTATCCAGCAGGGTGGTGAGCGCAACGGCGAACACCACGGCGAGGACAAGAACCAGGAGGACAAGATCCTTAAGCCCACTGGTACCATGGCTCAGTAAATGAGTAATGAGGATTCGAGTTGGAATGGTGGATTTTTCCAAGATCCATCCTGGTACGTTGTTCACACTTTCTCTTACCTTAGATAAACATCACTAACATCCACTTCAGAAGAGGGTAGCACGATCGCAGGAGTTTTTGAATGATTTTCATGCAGTTGATGATTGTTTAATGATAGTAACGAACTATATACACTCTTTTATGTCATCAGCATTAGATTTCGGGAATGATTTTGATTATTTACGAGGGGCGGAAGTGGTAGCTAGAGTAGCTAGATGAAATGAAATGAAATGCTTATTATCAATTGATTTGAAACTCATCGTGTTTTACCAAAAGTCGTTCCAATATCCCCCCATCGGATGTTTGAAAATGTGACCGAAGTACCAGGATGTTCTGCCTGAATAAGAGCAGGATTCCCCTCAGTGCTATTGCAAGGACCAGCACTCCCGCTGTCCAACCAATCCATATAAGCACCGGAATCATTCCATATACTGAAGATCAGAGCCATTCCCCGTCCCAGAGCCTTCCCAATCTGCTTCAGACCCCCCATGTCCGTGAAGTACTCCGCCGTCTCAGAGCAATACTCGTTCGTCAAAGAATCGGTCTCCGTTCCCGTCACATTGACCACGGCATTCTGAATGACCTTGTCACCCTGAACATACAATCGTCGGATCTCAACTAGGGACCCCTTCGCAGTCTCATCGTCCGTAACAAACTGCGTCACAACCGTAAACACTTTCGACGTATCGACCACCTCTTTATACCCATAGTAGTCCGTATCCCCAAGCGCATAGGGATTAAACCCACAACCAGACTTATCACACACACCATCACTCCCACAGAGATCCCCCTCACAGGAATAGACACCACTGATATTGCACGCGTGCGGCGTATACGCCGTCGCCAACGCATTCGCCTCCCAAAGATCCATCTCATTACAACAAGCCCCACTCCCATCAACATTAGCAACCCCATTAATCCACGGATCAACAGAGCACTGCGCATCGCAATACCCAGTCCCATAAGCCGCGCCCGCAGGATTCAAAGCACCCCGTCCCCCCGACGCCTCCAGCTCAGCCAAATAAAGCGCCCCGTTCATCCCGCACACTAGCGTCGAAACATCAACGTCAAAACTGATCTCCTGATTCAGCATCCGCAGCATATCATAGTTCTCCCCGCTCTCATCAAGCAGATATACACGCGGCGAAACGGCCGTGACTGTCCCATCGCTGCTGAGATACTGGTGCAGAATAAGGCTATCGCCGCTCGTCTTCACGCCATGCGCCGCGTAGTCCGTCCCTTCAAGGACGCAGTTCTTCGCGCAGGACTCCTCCGTTGCGCAGAGCGTCGGGTTTAGCCCCGTGTCCCAGTTTCCGCAGGACACGCTGCTGTTGCCTACTTCGTGTAGGGGGTGCGAAAGCGCGTCTAGGACGACGGAGGTGGATTGCTGCACGCAGCCTGTGCGTGTATTGCATTTCCAGGTTTGGAGCTTGGGGTGGACCTCTGGGATCTTGCCAATCTGCTGTGCTGTGGCCAGCTGCAGGAACAGACATGCTGTCGCGAAGAGACGCGTCATTTTGGTCTTAATTTATGAATTATGCCCCTGGAAGAGTACCGGCGACTTGTTGGGCGCCGAGACCTCGAGTCGATGATTTTTTTTTTTCTTTTTGGGAGAACATTCTCAAGAGGTATTTATTCATTGCTCTTTCTTCAATAGTGCTCAGGGGTCCAATATGTTCCGAATGAATTTAGCTAAAGCCTAAATGGGGTTCTACCCCTGACCCTGTGCATGAGAGGAATCCGTTCCCAATAAAATACGGAGGGTCGATTGAGGGAAAGCGTGATGAATGCTCATATAGAAAAAGTAAAGAGTGTCGCGCATACGCGTGACGCGCAGCTAAAGTTCCAGGCATACTAGCAGGCTCTGTAGAAGCCCTGGATGTATCCAACCTTGAAGTTTACATACTTCTAAATTCTACGTACTTACTCAATACTTAGAATGGGTATACATACTCAGTAGTCAAGAATCAAGATGAATAGGTACTCAGTACTTGAGATACTAGGTATTGTACTCACGGGGAAATAACATGACGAAAAAAAAAACGCAGGGGAGAATAACTTAGACGCCCCTTCTTCAGGGGTCACGACTCACGGTCCACTAGTTAGTAGTGGCCCGTGGGAGCCTAACAAATGACCTCGGCGGAATGTCAGTGGAGCATTTGTTTACTCCCGCAGTTTTACGCGCCTGGTGAGTTTATCCGGTGACCATTCCACCAGTGATAAAAGTCATCGGTAATAACCAGTTGAATTCATTTCGAATATTAGCCTATTGGTTCTATTTCTTTTGATTGTGGTTACATCGAGGGGTAGTTCGAACAGTAACAAAACTAACCGTCTCACTTCCACTTCCTACGAAAGACTTGCCGAGATTAAAGATGCAAGAAATGACAAGGTATGAAACTGGAAGAAATGAATCACATTGCATAAATGAATGTATTGGGGTAAGATAGCAATCGTGAATGGGATGTTTCAGACTTGTCTCCTATTTGGAGTAACCGATCATGTTGAATGATAAGATTCACAATCTGGGGCAGGCATGTTGGATGACTGGAAGTAATATGAACACTGAGGCAAATAGGCTTTCCACACGTGTATTACAACGTCGGCTATTCTTACTTAGTAGTCATCTCCACGACTGATGACTTCTTTGCCGGATTCACCTAGCAAGATGGTCTAGAAAGCAGTTAGCGACATGGATCTTCAGAAGGCTAAAGGCAGCATACGTGTTCAAATTGAGCGGAGTACGACCCCTCAATGTCCATGAGAGGTGGATAAGACTCGACGATTCCCTGGGAGACAAGACTGTTCATCTATTCAATGTAAGTATGTCGGAGCCTGCAAGTGGAAGGGACAAGACACTTACGCCGGCCAGGTAACGATCGACACCAAGGCGTTCGAGATATCGGCGACAAAAGACAATTGTACCAAAGTTGTCGTTGATCGTCTTATACAGAGATTTCGCCGAGGCAAGAGGAGAGATAATCCTCTTTGGGGCATGCAGGTCTTTGCCATAACCATAGACACCAGGTCCGTCCCTGGTTTTTCCGAGGCCCGTAGACCCGAACGTCTCGATTGCAAAGACCTCCCCCTCTTCCATCTTAGTCTGATCCTTGGTCTTCACAAAGGGAATTGACTTTCCACCGTGGATCTGATATTGCCTGATATTGTGGCCGCTCAGATCTCTTACCGGCTTCACTGGGTATATCTTGCCTCTGATCTCCACTTCGTAGCTTTCCATGGTCTCCTGGATAGCAGCGCTAACGTCGCTGATTCGGACATCGGCACCGGCATTCTGCTCGAGTCAGTTGGGTAAATAAAATATGGAATGCGTGATATCCTACCCTGATACCAGTGTTGGTTGCATCCTTGACTGCCGCAAGTAAGTTGTCATACGTTGGATCGAATGACATGGTGAACGCACTGTCTACGATCCAACCGTTGATGTGGACACCAAAGTCCACTTTCAGCACATCAGTTGCTTGGAGGACAATGTCCTTTTGGCCTGGATTGGGCGTATAATGCGCAACGCAATTGTTGAGCGCAAGTCCCGTTGGAAATCCCATTCCGGAAACCAGGCAACTTCCAGTTTCAAGACCGGGGTTATCGAGCAGCGCTCTCACGCCATCGTCGATACCGTCAGCAATCTCCGAGAGAGTGCAACCAGGTCGCACGTTGTCTTGTGTCCAGCGTCGAACCTGGCGATGAACTTCGGCCGCTTGGCGATAGTTGGTCAGCCAGGCTTTGTCCTGAGTGAGACGGCGGGATTCATATCGGGCTTCCTCAGCCGTGGTTCGAGCCGTATTCTCAATCCCATAGCCCTGCATCTCTCCGGAAGGATACTGATCATTTTGATAGATCTTGTTTATCGGAATTCGAGGAGGAGACGACTGCTTGACTTGAGTCGTCTTCTTCTTCTTGGACTTCTTTCTTTTCTTCTTCTTCGAAGCGTCTGCCGGGGTGTTTTGCAATGTTAGCGACTCGGTAACAGCCCCGGGCTGATTGTCGCCATCATCGTCGTCGCTGTCTCCATCACCCAAACTTCCATCTCCATCTCGGGCCAGATGAGCACCACGTGGTTCTCCGCCAGTGGTGTTGGGCTGGGCCGAGCCTGACGACTCATCTGTTCAAAGGGTTAGCAAGACGAAGCACATTTGTTTTTTTGTATTTTTTTATGAGGATCCTTACTGCCGCCATTTTGGCCCTCATTCTCATTTGTCTTGGAGCCCATTGTGACATAAAGTAGAATTTTATGTTACGAAATGGATTATGGGAGCGTGGAAAAGATCGCAGTCTTGCCGCCTCTTGCGCAGATCATGCGTGCAGCGTGGGGCTGTCCAAGGGCGGTGTCGGGTCTGGCCATCACTTTACAAGTAGAGTACGGAGGCCGATAACCGCCACCCTACTGCCATAACCCAATTTCAATTTCTAACTTCACATGTGTGCACAGCCCTGGTTCCCGGCTGTATTGTATTTATCATGTATAGGAATATCTTAAGGGGGTCACTTTTAGAATAGACTTGAGAAGAGACTTGAGAATAGACTTGAGAATAGATTTGAGAATAGACTTGAGAATAGACTTGAGAAGGGATTTGAGGCACATTCAGGCAGATCAAGAGTCAAGACATCAATACGTCCCGATTATGCTTAGCGCATCATACGACCCGTGTTAGCATGAGAGTAACCCGTGTTTATATTAAAGCCCACGAAGAAATCGAGAATTGCGGTTTGTTGTCAAAGAGCTTTCTTTGCTTCACTGCACTCAGTGCATCCTTCATGAGTGGTACATTATTTGGGACACCTTCGGCAACGGTGACTACCTTATCAGACGCCAAGTGTGTAGTCAGTACCTAAGACCAAATGAAACGGCTTCTCCAATGATACTTATGTTTCCACAAGCTTATTGCCTTGACGTTATTCAAATGTTCGGCAGCAGCTCATTGAAGTTTCTCCGTCAGATCGTAAACACTTAGATCCTCGCTCATCCCAGGCAAAGCATAAACTGCACTTTCCGCACCCCCAAACGCCTCTAAAGCTGCAATTCCTCTCAAGCGCAACCCAACCTTCTCCAGAACTCTCCGACTATGAAAATTTGTAGAATCACAAAACCCAAATACATCTGAAATGCCGAGACTCGCTCTCGCCCACGCCAGTAACGCCTTAGCCGCTTCGGTCGCATATCCCCTGCCATTCATCTCTGGTAAGATCGCATACCCGACATCAGGGGCCAAGTAATGTCGGTTCGGCGGTGCGCCTTTCATAAGCGACACGGTGCCGATGGGTATTGGTGGGAACATGAATGGGTCTGTTCCTTGGTCTTGCAGCAATATGAGAAAAATGCCATGTTTGTGGCGTATGTAGTCTGCGACGATGCGATTACGGATGTACTCTGATGCGCTTGCGGTGTCGATGACTGGGGTGCGACCGCATGCATTTATGAAAAGATCTGTGTTGTAAAGGTAGACCAGGAATGTGCAGTGGCTTTGGTTGTTTGGGTCAAATGGGATGATGCGAAGTCGTGAGGTTGTGATGCTGAAGTCACTGGGGAATGGTGATTGTTGTTGTGGTTGTGGCGGGGAGGCCATTGTGGATTTGATTGTTTAGAAAAATAGAATTAATGATTTTTATTCCGATAATTGGCTTTCGAAGGTTCACGGAGATTTCTTTCTCGGATTTCGAGTTATTTCTGGCTTTTGTCGTTATCTAGGGATGACTCGAGTTGACTCAACATGGACCTCGGCCGAACTTCGGAGCTCGGAGTTCAACTTGCGACCTATCGCATCGAATAAATCACTCGTTTCAAATGTTGTCTCGCAGTTTGAATAGATGACCTCATCTTGTGCAAATTTCTTGATTGTTGGATGTTCCTGTTCGGAGTTCGTATATCGAAGGTTGATTCATGTGATTTTGAATCCATGGTTTGGTCTCCCGAGTTCGTTCCAAGATTTTTGATGTGATATATAGCAGGTGTCGAGCACATGATCTGCCCTGAACAATTGATTGTGTAGTTTGAAGGATGATTGAACCAGATGGCGCCTGGGATGTATGATTGACGTATCAAATGTCTTGGACAGGTATGTTCAATTTCAATATGTAGTAGTTATATAATGTTCCAATCAGACCGTGAGAGTCCAGCACTTGCGGGTTATCATCCATCACCGATTGAACTTCTTCAGCTCCAACCAGCGCATAGGCGGAAACACCAACATCGCCCACGAAACACCGACCCAGATCCCCAGATCCGCTCCATATTCTCCAACCATAATCGCAATAGGACCAACATACCAAATCTGGTACATAGAAACAATAGCTCCGGCCCAACCGATAAGGAACGCCGCCAAAGCCGCAATTCCGATCGGCAGCCGGGACGGATCAGCCCACGCATCCCAGTTGAACCCCCTTGTGCGACGGAAAATAAGATGCTCCTCAACCGCGATCATGAGGTAGATGGTAACCCAATACCCCATAAGTGACAAGAAGTTAGAGAAAATATCATACAAATTATTCCGACCGCCAAGTGCACAAGCAGTGTAAATGACAACACCAACACACGAGTAGAACCACCGCGGAAGGCGGGCCAACTGACGACCCATAATCTGGAATCCCAGGGAGGCGGAATAAGTGCCAGGAATATTATTGGCAACGAGGCCCAGAGCAACTAGCACACTCATGAACTTCCCGAATCCGCCGAGTCCCTCGTAGCCTGCTAGAATGAGAGCTCCGGATGAAGTATCGTAGGCCGTGTTCCAGCTTTCGTGAGTGAAGGTACCAGATCCCAGGCCGACACCCATGACGTTGGCAAATGTCAAAGCTAATCCTACTCCCAGGAAAGTCATGAGGAAAGTCTTCCATTTTGAGGTGGTCGGTGGGAAGTAGACGAAGAAATCAGCGCCCGCAGGAGCCCAGGCGACGGAAGCCGATAAGCAAAGAGAGAAGAACGAGAGACGATTACCGGCAATCGTCTCAGATGAGCCGGTTGAACTGATTGTGGTGTCGAACTTGGGGCCTGCACTTCCAACAAGAACGAAGATGGCGATGAATTGGGGGAGCCAGGCCCATCTGCATGATGGTAAGTTTTTTGATCGACAAGCATATTTCAATATCCCAAGGTGAGGCTTACCTCTCATAAATGTGGAATATCGTCATACCGAACAGAACCACCACCCAGGTCATGATGGCGATAATGATAATACCGACGATGACGGTCATCCGACCTCCAGAAACAGCGGACAAAACTTGCCCGCCAACAAGACAGTCAATCATACCATATCCCAGCATGATAACGATATTGAGCAGGCAAGCAATTTTACTAGGGTAATAACCCATAAAGTATCTTGCGACAACCTAATGAAGGCATTTAGCTCAACAGTCTCGCAAATTTTGGAAAATTTCGTGTAATTACCATAGTACGATTACCACTCGCTGGACCAAAAGTCCCCATATAAGCGACACCAGCGGCTCCCAGCAAAGCGCCGAAAGTAGCACAGAGAGCGGAATCGACAAAACCGAGATCATAGCTTAGTGGGCCCAGCATACCCACAGCCATGTTGTTAGCAGTAATATTAGTGCTGAACCACAAGAGGGTCATCTGCATATAATCGGCAGCCTTAATATCATGGCGCTCCTCAATGGGGACGCGTTCAATGCCGCGGGATTCGAATATTTTCATCGAAGTAAGCCGGGCGTTGAATCGGCTGAAAGCTCCACCGACCGGCGATGGAGAACCAGCCCCGACCGGCGCATCTTTGGTCGCATCTTCAGGTGAGGCTTCGACAATTGGAGGGGATTGAATACCCTTTTCCTCGTCTAGCACAGATTGCGCCATGATATCTCTGCCTTGTGGTGGACCTCGGGACTTGAGATGTCAAGGGGAAAAATCAAATCTTCAGCCGAGAATTCTCCGCGACATCTACCCGCAAAGCTTATCTTCTGAGTGGCGAGAGATCCCGCTCATCTTATCTTTGGACCCTTTATGATTAATAATGTGAAAAGAATTGATTTGTTTACTTCTTTCCATTTTCATATTGACAATTATTTTATTCTTCAGTGCGATATTCATAATTGGTTGGGTAGAGTAGCCCTTTTTTTTATACAATTAAGATCATTATCAACAAGTCAGGAAATGCCCCTGTCGTTCATATACATAAGGATGGCCTCCTTGGATGATCTCGTCATATCGCCGGCTGATGCGATCATAGTTCTGGCCATACCGACCAAGTTCTCGTAGGCGAATCGATACCCAGTCTTGATAGATCTGATCGGAAGTTGCAATGCCGGCAATAAACAACGGCCAGGTAATGCGAAGCACAAGATGGGGTCGGCTTCGATGAAGCTTCAGACTCAGCTCCAAGACATGAGACACGGCAGCACTAAGTGACATGAAATTGATATTGATCCGGGTTCCTGGTGCCTTATTCAGAATATCCTGGAAGCACAGGTGGAAGTATATCATTGTGCTGTAGAATGTGATGGAGGCCCAGTAGACGGTCTCCATGACACGACGGTCATTTCCGACCGACTCGCACGATTGGGTGGCCTTGGCGGAACCCAGCAAACTATCATATTCCTTCAAGGTGTTAGTAAAGGGCAACAAAGATAAAAGATGGTGTCTCCGGTATCTCACAATAGACAGCGTGTTGATCTCCTGGATAAGGTCTTGGTAGGGAGATATGGCTCCTTCCGTTTCCTTAAACTGGGGGCCCCGCTTGAACAGCTCGGTGATCTTAAATTGAATAACATGACTTCGGTGGTACAAAGTGAGACCGGGAAGATTTTCCATGTCATCAAGCTGGGCAGAGATGGGATAAGTCTCCCCCCAGAAGCGAGAAGGAGACTGTCGACTAATTCTATAGAGTTCCGGCAGAGTCAGAGGACCAGTGGTGGGAGATTCAGCACCCAGGAAAAATTGGAAAATATCAGTATCGAGTCGAGCGGTTCCAGGTCCAAAGAAAAGCGCGGCCGGGGTGAAGAAATATAAGGTCCAAAGAAGGAAAAGTGGGACAGAAGTACAGCGCAGTGTATCTAGGGAGTGATGTGTTGCATAGGGCTCCGGTGAGGTGGCATGCGTGCTTGGTGACTCAGTGGATAACTGTGTCTCGGGCGAGGATTGTTGAGAAGGCGTCTCATATTCAGTGGTGGTCGCTGGTAGTGAAGACGGCTTAGATTGGTCTGTGTCGTCTGATACTCGATCTTGAAGCAAAGGCACAATGTGGTTGTGGAGCAAAGTTTCAATTCCTCCAATGTGGATGTTAATCGCTGGTGCGCCACTTCCAAACCGGTTCTCATAGTCAATCATAAGCCATAGAGTGATGAAAATAGCTTCTATTTTCTGAGGAGATTTCACATCCTTTTTCAAAGCGTGACGTAAACTGGATAGAGCTCGACCATAATGCATTTGTCCACTCAGTTGACAGGACTCATTGCTAGCTGAGATACTAGGCAAGGCTTCTTGATCATAAAGTCTAGATCGATGAACCTCCCTTGCAGTAGTGGCTAGTATCATGCTCATGACCATCGGCTCCTTCACCGAGATCTTTTGGTATGCATAAGATACGATAGACCATGGCCATCGTTTCCCAAGAAGAACAACAAGTGTTGAGTTTTGGAGATAGTTCAAACAATCCCTGTCAAAGCCCGATAGTGTCAACGAGTTCGCTGCGATCACATGTTGCTCGCCATTACCACCATTAAATCGCTGCAAGGGAAGTAATATCAAGGGCGCTTTTTGAGAACCGGATTGTGAATTAGAATTCCGGGGCGTCGATCGCTTTCTAACGACAACTTGACTAGACTCGCCAGCCGTTTCAGTCTCTGGTGCCGGCGTTTCTCGGCCTTTCCTCCCCAGAGTGGGTGGTGAGTTTGCCGAAGCTTTCCGCGGAATAGGTCCGCCCTTCCATTCGCATAGAATGCGTGCAGACACGCATCGCCTGCATTGCGGCTCGTCAAGACCTGGCACTTGACGCTTCTCCTCATCGCATTTCACCTTGCGCATGCGACATGACCGACAGCCTGGAAAGCCGGGGTTAGTTTGAATTCCGAATCCCACCAAACGGAAAAAGGAGATGTGGATCCTTACCTGTCTTGGAACGTGTCTTACCCGACTGATGCATTTTATGTGAGTTGCCGAGCTCTCCCGTCACGCCTACATCTGATCTGTAGAGGATCTGGACCCGCTCGTTTAGCGATGCTGGGAGGCTTCTAAACCTGGGGTATTTAGCTTAAGCGACGATAATCAACGCTATGTGGGCGGGGAGTGGCAATTGACAAAAAATTATTGAGCTGAGGGGAAAGTGGAGGCCGGGGAAGTTTGCGAGTTCGCCTTATCTGCCGGGGAATAAAGCCAGTGATAACGCCAAGCCCTTTGCCGATTGGCTGCATCGCCAAATCTCTAGATCCCAACGATGCATTGCCGAGCAGACACATTTCAACGTCGCTATCTTTTTCAAGGTTTCTCGTATCTGCACCAGCCGAGATAGCCGGCATGATGGCAGGCTTGGCTTGGACTGGTCTTAAATTGGACTCAATATCTCCTCCTGTGGCGCGTCTACGCTATATTCATCTTTGATCCTAGAAACCAATCAAATCTAACCATGCACGTTGCCGAGTCGCAGAGAGCATTCCTGGATATCGTCCAAGAGGCACTTGCCCGATATGATACACAGCTAAGGGATATTAACCAAAAAGTATGTGAGCGCTTCCTATATCAATTCAACTCCACATAACTAATTTGGTGTAGATTTGGTCCAACCCGGAACTTGCATATGAGGAATACAAAGCCCATGATAACATTTGTGCACTCTTTGAAAGCCTTCAATCGAGTGGATATGAGGTCAGCCGAAAGGTATATGATGTTGAAACTGCTCTCGAAGTCAAGTACACCTTTGGAAAGGGAGGACGAACAGTCGCCTTTAACGCCGAATATGATGCCCTGCCAGGAATTGGCCATGCCTGCGGCCACAATTTAATCGCGACGAGCTCTATCGCCGCATTTATCGCCACTTGCGAGTCAATGAAAGCTCAGGCTCAGTATCTCTCTCTGCCAGGATTTACTGTTCGGTTACTAGGCACCCCGGCAGAGGAATCCGGCGGCGGCAAAGTGAAGCTGATCGACGGCGGAGCCTACAAAGATGTAGATGCCTGCCTTATGGTTCACCCCGTACCAATGGCCCCTGGGAATCCAGCTCTTTGCGGTATGGCGACTGTTGTAGAGGGTGGTTTCCTTGCCAATGATAAAGTCCAAGTGACTTTTACCGGCAAGCCTGCTCATGCTGCTGCCGCCCCCTGGGAAGGCATCAATGCCCTTGATGCAGTGGTCTCGGCATATGTCAGCATTTCGATGCTCCGACAGCAGATCTTACCAACTCAGAAAATTCACGGAGTCATCGTGGAAGGGGGTACCCGCCCTAACATCATTCCTATGTCTGCCACAGTGGATTATTATATCAGATCTCCTACCAAAAAGACATTGAAGCCATTGACTGAGAAGGTCATCAAGTGCTTCGAGGCTGCTGCACTCGCTACAGGCTGTAAAGTCTCATTTGAATGGTGTGTTCATCAATTCAATTCCCTATACTGTCAGTCCGAGCTAATCATCTGTTTTAAGGGGACCATCATATGACGACATGAAGAGCAATATGCCAATTTGTGAAAGTTATGTCTCGGCAATGAGGGCAATGGGACACCACACACTACTCGATAACTCACAACAAAAGGGCGCACTTGCAGGTGCATCCACTGATATGGGTAAGTCCGCAACACTGAAAATTGAAACCAATTTTTATTAACACTATGATAGGAAATGTATCTTATGTCGTACCTGGATTCCATGGTATCTTCTGCATCCCAGTTGATGGAGTCAACCACACACCACAGTTTACCAAAGGAGCTGGATCATCCGAGGCATACGAAAGGGCTATTGCGTGTGCTGCTGGTATGGCTGTAGTGGCTTGTCAGATCTTAGTTGATGATGAGTTTGCCGAGTCGGTCAAGAATGACTTTGAGCGAGAATGATAAGAAAACTCATATCTGATTGTGAATATGCATGTGCAATGAGAATTTTATTCAGATCTAGCTCACGGGTTTCCCCGATCCGTTATCGTATACATAGTAGTATGTATCCATGGTTCTTGAAAGCTGCGGTTGATACGCTTGAATTCCAACTGCATCTCCTATCTGGACAAGCTAGTTTCACTTTTACATCTAGGCATGCATCTAATCAATTTCAGTCCGAATTTCGCAGACGAAGTAAGGATATAGAGTTTTGTCGCTAAACTTGTCATGACCCTAACTCGCCAAGGATAACTAGTTGTGCCGACATGGCCAATCGCGAAGCTGCCGAGGTTGACCTACAGAACTCTCTTATCAAAAAGTAAACATCAATTGCGGGGTTGATCAGTGCGTCTAAAAAGGTCCAACGATAGTAGAGGTGGCTTCAGCTATATCAAAGCCTGCATATAAGTAGCACTGTATTCTGGGGTCTGCTTTTTGGGACATGCAGCCCTTATTCCAGCAATACTAACCTCTTTGTTAATTTTTCCAATCTGCCTTATAACTGTCATGGAGAAGACAAAAGACGAAACAATTCAAGATGTTGAGAGCGAAAACAACCATGTGGCTGTTGGGCAATTTGAGACCCGTTTCCAGTTCTCTCCAGAGGCAGAGAGGAGACTTGTTCGTAAGATTGATTTAACGTCAGTCAATGCCAAGGGGTTGTTGAAAAGATTTAATACAGAAGATACTGACTCCAAACGCTATCTAGGATCCTCCCCATCATGGCCTTCGCATACATGATGGCCTTTTTGGATAAGCAAACTCTCAATTATAGCGCGTTGATGGGTCTCCAAGAAGATCTTCACTTGGTTGGAACGCAATATAGCTGGACCTCAAGTATTTTCTACTTTGGATATTTGATTTTTTGGTACGCGCCTCATATGCCAACTATACCTAATGAGGTCCCTGTGCTGATCCACAAATACACAGCTACCCAGCATCTCTTCTAATGGTCAAGTTTCCCCTCGGAAAATATCTGGCTGTGAACTTGTAAGTAAACAATAAGAGGGGCATTCTTGTTTCGACTTTCCATTAATACGTGACCAGCATGCTCTGGGCAATCATCCTTGCTTGCCATGCCGCAACGAAGAACTTCGCCACTTTTATGGTTACTCGATTCTTCTTGGGATGCGCCGAAGCCAGCCTATCACCTGGATTTACTCTTCTCACATCGCTTTGGTACCGCACATCCGAGCAGCCATTGCGCGCGGGCATATGGTTCTGCGGAAACTCGCTCTCGCTCGTCTTTGGCAGTCTTATCGCTGCTGGGATTATACATATCCAAGACAAGCTTGCTTCGTGGCAGGTGAGAAAGTTTTAGCTAATTCACCGGAGATAGGCTGACGTGCTGTTTTATCACAGTGGTTGTTTATTATCTTCGGCCTCGTCACGTTTCTCTTTGGGATAGTCATGCTTCTGCGCTTGCCGGACTCGCCCACCGATGCGAAATTTTTGACGGAAGAAGAGAGAATGATTGCAGTGGAGAGACTGAAGGAAAACCAAGCGGGATATAAAAATAAAGAAATTGATCGTGGCCAGATTTTGGAAGCATTCAAGGATATGCAAACGTGGCTTCTGGCCTTGATGATGTTTGCAGTCAATATTGCCAATGGAGGTTTCACGACGGTTTGTGCATCCCTAGTGGTTGTCCGAGGAGATTCAAATATTCGCAAAGTATGAGGCACTGACTTGCATTAGTTCAATGGTCTAGTTCTGGAAGGCTTCGGGTTCAACCTATTCCACACCCTGCTTTTGGGCATCCCAGGAGGTGTGATTGTGTGCATTTTTGTTTTCATATCGTAAGTCCTTCGCCAACGAATGAGAATGGGCGACACTAATAAGCATCTTCAGTGGCTTTACATCATCAAGAGTGGATCATAGCCGATGTATCGTCATGACTGTCATGTTTCTAATCAGGTATTATGAGCCAAATCTGGGACTTTTTCTGATTACGCTAATACCATCTCATGTTCCAGTATCCTGGGAAGCTCTCTCGTCTACGCGGGAAAGAACATCGCTTCGCGCTACGGTGGACTGCTTCTTATGGGAATATACTCTGCTGCCATGCCAGTGTCAATGGCAATGATCAGCTCAAATGTCGGTGGCTTCACCAAGAGAGCCACAGTCAGTGCAATCTATTTTATCATGTACTGTGCAGGAAATATTGTTGGACCTCAGCTCTTCTTCGCTCGACAAGCGCCAAAATATGAGGTAAGAAGTGAAAAATATCTGAAGGGAAGCTCAACTAATCAATTGATCAATCGATAGAGTGGGTTCTTGGCAATCATTATCTGTCTTGTTGTTTGTGTCGTGATCAGCTTGACACTGCTTTTCTATCTCAAATGGGAGAATTCTCGACGGGATACACAGCAAGCGAGTGCCGACGGCGCTGCTGTGGAAAAGGACCCTGGAGCAATCACACAGGTTGGACTGTTTGATATTACTGATCGGAAAAATCCACTTTTCAGGTACTCCTATTAAAGGCTGCTGACAGTCTTACAGTATTGATAGCTAGAGGTCAATTCTATGGTACCTAAGTTCCGATAATTGCACTTGCATTAAGAAAAAGCCCTCGAGGTGTGTATGTATATTTCATCTCAATCACAATCCTAGCATACCGCTTTCCTCGATCAAACCGTGTAGCATCTCAGCCACCGTAATTGCAAATCCCGGGTCATTGATATCGCGCCTATCCCGAGTCACCTCAATACCGCTTCCCTTTAACTCATCCTCCAGCGTGGAAAAAAGAGCCTCGTCCGCCTCGGGGTCCCAAAACGGTTGGTCTGGAACATCGAGTAGACTGAGTCCACCAACCGGAAAGACGACCTTCGTCCTTGCAGAACCATGATGGCCACCCTTGCTTCCATTGCTAGCATCACCAAGGAGATTCTTCGCAATCAACTTCGCAATCCTCTCACATTCCGCCTTCGTAGTTCTCATCAGCGTAACAGTAGGATTATGCGAATGCAAAACGCGCCCAACCCCCGAATCCCCACCCCTAAAGCAAGCCGGAACACTCTCAGCCGTCCCAAAATTGACCATATCGCACGCCCCAGTACTCAGAACCCGCGGTATATTCCTTGCCGTCGCCGCGCGAATTCTTCCAGGCCCAGCACTCAAAACCCCGCCAACAACCTCATCCGCGATCTCAGTAGTCGTCAAATCAAGCACAGCATCCAGCTGGCCCTCAGCGATAAGCCTCTCCATCGCCCGTCCACCAGACCCAGTCGCGTGGAACGTATATATCTCGCAGGTCCCAGGAAACAAAAGTTCCAGGTGCTCCTTCGCCATCGTAGCAGCCGGCGTCGTAACCCCAAACATCGTAATGCCAATACGCACCTTGCCCGCACTCCCCTCTGCGGCCTTGCATCGAGTGAGGTACCCCCACCCCATGCCCACGATAGCAGCCGCCGCGTTTCCCAGGACTTTGTCCAAAACCCGGTTTCGCCCTGCAATGTCAACGACAGAGTACATCATCGCAATGTCCGTTTCCCCGATGTATGGCGCTACATCCCCGGATGCCATTGTGGATACGAGTAGCTTGGGGAAGCCGATTGGTACTGCGTCGCGCATGACTGCTGCTGCGAGCGCCGTGCCGCATGAGCCGCCTATGCCCAGCACTCCGTGTAAAGATGGTGTGAGGGTAGTTACCATGCGCACGGCATGTGGGGTGAGTGTTTTGATGTATGATTCTCGGGAGAGAGAGCTGATTTCGCTGGCATCGGGTATGTTTATGTTTACAGAATTTGGTGAGGATTTTCGAGCGAGTTCTGGATTCAAGATGTCGTGTTGTGTGATATCTATTTCTGGGTGTGAGGTTGGGGTATGGCCGACGTCCATGAGGAGGACATGGCTTTTCTGTGACTCGAGTTGCGATTTTGTGTACAGGAGCTCGGAGAGCTTGGTGTCGCATGTGCCAAGGAGGAGGATTGTGGGTTTAGAGGATGGCATTTTGTAAGGCTGAAGTGAGCTGGAATTGATTTAAGGGGGTTAGAATTAGTGAACACTGAGTGTAGAGAAGTAATTTATGAAGGGGGGTTTGTTGTGGAATATTAAAATGTGTCTGGGATGTACGTGGTGCAGGTGAGGGGCAGTTTTGTATTGTAACACATATCCATGTCCACTTTTCTGCTGTAACTAATGCATGTCGAGCAGGATCCCCTCATCAACTCCACAACACTAGTCTTCTTGAGGGGAGTAATACATAAGGTCTTCTGATTTCCCAGCCAGAAAGACTTTTGAGCAAACTCTTTCATACTATACGGTGTAGTTATATATCTCAACGTCAAAGAAGTTGTTTGTGCAAATTAGTCAGATCCATCTATGCATACATCAAAGACCAAAAACTCTTAGAATTGAACACTTTGCAGACATCTGGAAGGAAGACCTCCAGGTGTCGGGAACCTTGCACAGTTAAGCTGGTAGGTAGTAAGTGATTCAATTCATAGATCATGTTCCAAGGTTGAATCTTGATGTACAACTAATAACATTCAATGTTTGAACTAGAGTGGTATAAATTTGAAGGAATAATTGCATTGGCTTTCTGTGCATCTTCTTCTACACGTATTGATCCCTTCAATCTTCGATCTTCATTCTATTAATCTATCAATTCATAGGTCTATCCAGGTCCATACCTGCCATCCATACCCACATACCAGTTGACTAGTATCCAACGTTGGACTTGCACTGCCTTCCAATCATTTGAATATGTATGGAGCTCTAATATTCAGTAAGGCACATCTGCAATCCATGCATGTGCAGGTCGAGGACCTCAGCAATATCTACGATGTCAGTAATATCCATGACCTTAAGGAGGCTCCAGCACTTCAGAACATTCCTAATATCCGGGCGCTGACGATGTTGCCGATTATGTATGTTGCCAACATTTGAACGATTTCGTCGCCCCCTCAACATGAGTGTAGTATTGAACGTTTTTCTCGCGGGTCCCTGACTGCGTTGATTATGGCGTTGATGGTGTCGTTCGTGCCCTTTAAAACCTGCATCATTGGGCAGAGCACGTTGTCTCGCGGGTCCCTAGCCGCCTCGATGATGTCGTTCGTGCCCTTCGACACCAGCATCATTGGGTAGAGCACGTTGTCTCGCTGTCTCGCGGGTCACTAACCGCCTCGATATGTCGCCGATGATGTCGCCGCCCCGTGTGGGGAACAGGCATAATTAGATTGAAAAGTCCCCCTCTTAGTCCCTGATCACCTTGATCCTCTTCCTTTCTTCTCCCCTGCCACTCTGCCCGATCCCCTTTGCCCAAAAACGTGATCCGCTCAATCGGAAATCTTTCGACAAACCCAGGTATTTGAAACTTCCCGTTTCGTCTAAACAATACTGCCGGCGCATGGACTAATCTTGACATCTGATATCAGTGTTGACTGGCAAGCACGCAGGCGCATCAAGGATGTCAGTGACGTTTATGCCCCGGAACGACAAGAGGCCGACCCTCATCGGCCTCTATGGACTCCCCGGGTCTGGCAAATCGTTTCTGCTAGACAAACTCCGAGGATTCAACGGCGATGACGCCAAAGACTTCATCATCTTTGACGAAAAACAAGTCATTGAGACCGTTCTCCCCTCGGCCAGAATTGCAGACTTCGACAACTGGGCGGATGTTCCAAGAGCTAATCACCGTAAGCGTGGTCTTGAACAGATTCAGACCGACAGCTATGAGAACGGAAAAGGTGCCGTGATTGCTGGCAATGGCAAGTTATGGGATGGGGATGATCACTACCGTACGATGATCAGCACTCACGACTTCAAAGCATTCACCCACATCGTGTACCTGGAAGTTCCAGCTGCTGCTACCCACGCTCAGCGGCTCGCGGATCGAAAAGTCCGACCACTGGCATCGGTAAACCATTTGCAGAAATGGCAGGAGGCAGATATTGTTTATGTTGCCGATCAATGTAAGCGCCACTCGATCATCTTCACCAAGATTTCCGCACACACATCCATCCACAAATTGTTCTGGATGTTTCACGATTTCCGCCGCCACACACAGGAGTACAACGCCCAGCTGGCCGAGCAACGAATGGAGCGTGCTCTGAGTGCCCGTCCATCCAGGAAGTTAGATCCAGTCTTGGTGCTCGACGGGGACAGAATACTCGCTCCAATCAACACCCGCGACATGTTCATGAAGCGCATCCATCGTGGGCGTGGCCCAGGAAAAGAAAATTACTCATATGAAGCAAAGCGGCAAGAAACCATCCTGTGCGAAGAGTTAGTACCGGACACCGGCTACAGAGCAATCTGCGAGGAAATAGCCAAGGAGATCAGAATACGGGGTGACTTTGCGCGTCTTCTGCATAACGTGAAGGTGTATCAGCGCCACGTCCGTGTGCTCGTGCTCACGTGCGGTCTGCGAGAAGTGTGGAAGCTGGTTTTTGAGAAAGCAGGCTTCGGGGACACTGTCGATATCATTGGCGGAGGGCGCTTATCGGATGGCCTTGTCATGACGCCAGAGCTGAAGGAAAGACTTGTTAAGTACTTGCGGGTTCAGATGGAGCGGTTTGTGTGGGCCTTCGGGAGTAAGACGCAGGACTTGGGGATGATGATTGCTTCCAACCAGCCCATTGTGGTGTGCTGCAAGGAATTCAGCAATACCGACCTGGCGACTTACGTGTCGCAGCGTGTCGAAACCCATAGGTTTCGGCCATGGCAGGTTGTTCTGCCAGGGGCCTCGCCTCTTAGTGGCTCTCAAATTCCAGTGTTGAGTTTGGAGAAGCTGGTGGCCCTTGAATTCATTTAGGAGCCACCGGAAGTCTCCTGGCAATCTCACCCGGATTGTCAGCTTTGACATTGTGACCGCAGCATCGAGAGCCCGATATGGGTTGATTTGTTACTAGAAATCGAGGATTTCTTCAAAAAATTCCAACAAATTTGTAGAGATTATCGTGACAGATTACGACTACTAAGATCAAGAGTAAAATGAAAAGCAATAGTTTTGCTCTCAGCATTATTATGTTTCATTTAAAAATGAAGTGTGCCAGCTACATCAGCTCAGGCAGCACAAATTCAGGTATCAAGAAAAAAACCCATCCGGTACGCAGTGTTGAATGCAAGACCATCCCGGTCAAACCCACGCCAGTAAAATAGAAAACAAGCACACACAGGTTTGTGGAGAACCACTTTTTATGCCGTTGAAGGACAACCACTTGTGGGATTCTAAGTTGATAAAGAATCCCGAATGCCAATCGTTACATCGTCGAATCATGTTGAAAGTCTATATCTCAAGAAAATGGAATATCGGACGCAATTGGAATCCAAGCTTTTTTTTTGCTTTTTAAGAAAAAAAAAGTGCGGTTGCGTTTATCGCTTAGTAGCGGTAGATCTCGGGCTTGAAGGGACCAGCGACCTCGAGGCCGAGGTACTCAGCCTGGACAGGGGTAAGCTCGGTCAGCTTGACGTTGACGTGAGCCAAGTGGCAGCGAGCGACCTGCTCGTCGAGCTGCTTGGGCAGAACGAAGACACCAACGGGCTTCTTGCCGGAGGAGCCGAACTCAATGTACTTCTGGGAGAAAGCAGCATCCTCAGCCTTGAACAGAGCGATCTGGGCAAGGACCTGGTTGGAGAAAGAGCAGGACATGACGAAGGAAGAGTGACCAGTGGCACAGCCCAGGTTGACAAGACGACCCTCAGCGAGAAGGATGATGTGCTTGCCGTTGAGGAGGTAACGGTCGACCTGGGGCTTGATGTTCTGGACGGACTGAGCGTTGGCCTTCAACCAGGCAACGTCAATCTCAATGTCGAAGTGACCAATGTTGCAAACGATGGCATCGTTGCGCATAGCCTCGAAGTGACGGCCGACAAGGATGTCACGGCAACCAGTGGTGGTAACGAAGATCTGACCGATGGAAGCAGCCTCCTCCATGGTGACAACCTCGAAACCCTGGACAGCAGCCTGGAGGGCGTTGATGGGGTCGACCTCAGTGACGAGGACACGAGCACCCATGGAGTGGAGGGCCTGGGCGCAACCCTTACCGACATCACCGTATCCGGCGACGACACCAATCTTACCAGCGATCATGACATCGGTGGCACGCTTAATTCCGTCAATGAGGGACTCACGGCAGCCGTAAAGGTTGTCGAACTTGGACTTGGTGACACAGTCGTTGACGTTGATGGCAGGGACCTTAAGGGTACCCTCCTTCAACATGCGGTACAGGTGGTGGACACCGGTGGTGGTCTCCTCGGAGACACCGAAGCAACCCTCGAGCTGCTCGGGGAACTCCTTGTGGACGAGGGAGGTGAGGTCACCACCGTCATCGAGGATGAGGTTGAGCTTCTTGCCATCCTTGAAGGCGCTGAGCTGCTGGCGCAAGCACCACTCGTACTCCTCCTCGGTCTCACCCTTCCAGGCGAAGACGGGGACACCGGCAGCGGCAATGGCAGCAGCGGCGTGATCCTGGGTGGAGAAGATGTTGCAAGAGGTCCAGGTGACCTCAGCACCGAGGTGGGTGAGGGTCTCGATGAGGACAGCGGTCTGGATGGCTAGAGAGGAAAGTCAGTTCGAGTTCTCCTTTTGTGTACAGGCTTCTTGGGAGAGGGAGGAAAAAACATACTCATGTGGAGACAACCAGCAATACGGGCACCAGCCAGGGGCTGATCAGCACCGTACTTCTCACGGATGGCCATGAGACCGGGCATCTCAACCTCGGAGAGCTCGATCTCCCGGCGACCGAAGGCAGCCAGGGACTAGAATGAAGCAAGTCAGTCATTGAACTGTGATGATTGATTCACATTGACCTCCGGTGAGGACAGATAGAGACACTTACGATGTCAGCGACCTTGAACTGGTGAGCAGGGGCAGCCATTTTGTGTGAATGAAATTAAAAAAACTAATTGGAAAGGATTAGCAACAATTCCAGAGAAGAGAAGTCTTTATTGATGGAGCAAGACGAACCGAGAAAAGGGAGAAGGTGGATGGAGGACAGAAGAAAAAAAGAGGGAAGAGAAGAGAAGAAAAGGGAGGGGACTGCAGATCCAAGAGGAGGGGGGAAAAACTTCGGGGACCCATGAGTTTGTTTAGGTACATGATCCTACATGTATTATTGTATGGCAATACAAGTACCGGTACCTGCCGGGTCAGCCCACTTAAGCTAATGGTGGGGTCAAAGCTTAGTCATTGACATCGGCATCCGACACAGACAGAACCTGCCGAATAATAGGTCGAGTGAGCTGCACGACGGACCATTTGAGTTGAAAGGACCTTGGAAGGACATGATTCGGAGCTCGGAGGTCTTCGGGGGGCCATTTTTCTATTCCTAAAGGGACTCAAAGTGAGGGCTTCGGAGTATGGGCACAATCAATTATTGCCATACCCCATTTTCCCCATTTGACATGCCAGGACAAGACCCTGTTGGTCTTAGCAGCCTTGGTGGCCTTGGAGACGGTGAAGCAGTAGCTACGTCTAGTAAGCCCAGTCAAATCTGGAGTGCACTATGCAAGCCCCACTTGCCCCATTCTGCGATCTTCACTCGGGGAGGAAAAAACACATATTCAAACGTTCAGAACCACCAGGCGCATAAGAAATGGGGTTTTCATAAAATTCGCTTGTTCAAAAATAAGAAAATAAAACATATCGGCATCACCTGATTCAAAAACCAAACCTCGTCGCATCATCAGTCATAATCTCATACCCTAGCCCGAGGCCTTTCCATTAAAAAAAAGTGGGGGACACGCGAGGTTTAAAAAGCACTAATAAGATATCTGTGCAGGCTCACTAGATCCCTGATGCGCAAGGGACCCAGTCCTAGAAGGCGGGTACTCAATCTCATCAGGCCACCGATTCCGCTTAGGCGGGGCATGACTGTGCGAGCGTTGCCTCAAGTGTCTCTTCTTCGCCCGTTCCTCACACTCTGACTGGAAATGCTTATGTTCCTTGCGCTTCTCGTTGACTTCCTCCCATTCTGAATATGCTCCCTTGATACCCAGTGCCGCTAAACCCACACTAAAAGCATCGATCGTATTGGCCTTAATCTTGCGTTTCCGTGCCTCTTCGGGCGAGATCTTTCCCTCCTCGAGTTCCTTCATTCGCTTCTTCCGCTTCTCAATACCTCCATACACACTGTGCGCTGCATGGATCGTCGCCACAGTGGCCAAACCACCCGTCAACATCATGTCCCGCCTCATCTTCTTGCGTTGCTTCTTCTCATCATCACTGTTACCTAGGTCAGAATCGCTCTCGGAACTGGAATGACTACCGGTGCCTGCTTTAGTAGCTGCTTGCCCGTCGCAACCCTTCTCTCCGCGAGGCGCGCTACTGGGCACCGATCGTCTATCGTTATAGGGGTAGGGGGGTTGGGATTGTCTTCCATCCACGGAACGGTAACGACCTACATCTCTCGAGCCTCTGCTTCGTCTCGGATCCCTGCTGCTGCTGCCTCGGTGGTAATCGTCGTCGCTGTCGCCGTCGGAATCGGAATAAGAGTCGGAGCGATCGCCACGACGCGACTCGCGGTATCGGCGCCGATCCCCTCGCTCGCGTGAATCGCGTGAATCGCTTGAATGCTTGTTTGCTTCTTCGCCCAAGCCCAGGGCTGCCATGCCCTTAGTAAGGTATTCTGAGACGCTCTTGCTGCGCTTCTTCGTGCCGCGACGATCATCCTCGCTATCTGAAGATGCGTCTCGTCCGCGAGGACGAGACCGGGAGCGAGAAATACGATCGTAGATTTCTTTGCCGGCTGCCGCTAACGCACCAGTGGCTGCAAGGTCTTTGATTCCGCCACCGGAGGACCGACCGCGTCTATCGCGGGATCTGCTTCCCCCCCGTGACTGAGACCGGCCTCCATTTACGAAGTGGTTGGCGGCAAGACCTGCCAGAGTTGACTCGATCATGTGGCGCTTGCTGTGCTTTTTGGGATCTTTGTCGACGAGACCATCGGTTGCAGCAGCGGTTACCGCAGCGGTAAGAATTCGCTTTCCCTTGGCACCGGTCCATTCGCCAGGCTCCTTGCGAGCCCGGAAGGCTTCCACGGCACCGGCTGTCAGGGCGGTACGGGCAGCTTGAGAAATGCGGCCCTCGCTGCGCTCACGGCGCCTGCGTTCGCGGTCGCGGTCGCCACCGCCACGGCTACGTGATCGGGAGTCTGAAGAGTAGCGGCGATAACGGGATGAGTCGCGGCCACGACCATCACGGTCACGGCCACGATCACCAGCATATCGGGCAGCAGCGCCGCCTAGACCGATGGCACCTAGTGCTTGTTCACTGAATGACTTGCGGCGTCTATGGCGGGGCGGAGATGGGCTTGGCGATGGAGAAGAGTATTTTGAGCGGCGCGTTTCTGAGAAAGCCAGTCAGATGAATGCGCCAAAAGGACAAACATGAACAAAACAAGGCCAAAGCGAGATGGCCTTGTAAACACCAAGCAAGGCAGGATGAAACTTACGACGATCATCATATCCTCGAGACGGTCGTGCGCGCGAACGATATTCATCATAATAGGCGCCTTGGCCATTGGCTGAAGAAGCACGGCGCACATTCTCATAAACCGGGCGCCTGGATCGCCGTGAGTCAAAGCCACGCTCATAGACATACCCCTCACCGGGAGGATAATCACGCTGGATCTCCTCAACGGACTCATTAGGGTAGACGTCTCGCTCGTATCGTGAATAGCGAGGGGTGTCTTGATAGTAGTCCGCGGCGTAGCTCACTGGGCGGGCGCGATCGCGATCGCGCGGGGCAGTGTACCGGCGTTCTTCATAGTATGCCATGGTTCCCACGTGGGGCCTTTTTCCGAGAAAAAGGGGGCGGCGGGGAATGTAGGAAGATGGATCAAATCAAAGCAAAAAAAAAAATTGTCGTAGAATATGGAACTTGTCACCGTTTACAGAGACAAGAGAAAAAAAAAGTAAAGGTTGTCGAGAAGAGACGATCGCAATAAATCCAAAGTGAGAAAAAGGCGGCGGGGCAGGTGGCGTGACGTCGTAAGGCAGAGAGCAGAGAGCAGAGAGCAGCGGATCAAGTGAGGCTGGGGAGACTGTGGCTGTGGCTGAGAGAGGCTGTAGGTCCTGTGATGTTATGTTCCAAGTTAGGAGAAACGATGGATTACCTTCCCATGCTGTTTTTCTTGTGTATCTTCAAGAAATTGGCAGGAAATTTCGATAAATTTCGGTAAAATTGGGTCAAGAGGGGAAAACAGGAGAGGAAAGTAACTTTTTTTTTCTAAGTGAACAAGGGAGAATTCCACTCAGTCCTATATGTATATTCAAGATCACACAGCTGGTGTCACCGATATGACGTCGTCCCACCGTCGATACTCAAACTGTAGCTTCAAGGAAAAATGCTGTAAGGAAGAGATAGCCATCGAATAAGCGACGACTCGGATGATGCCGTGGATCCTCTATTGGCCTGTCATGGGCTAAGACATGTCGAATGGGTCGGAGCGTCCGACGTCATGCTGCATTTAATCTCCTAGTTGGTCGCTAAGCCTTGCCGCTGGGGGGGCTGGACCGTCGCTTCTGGAACAAAATCCACAGGTTAAGAATTCGCCAACGTCAAGGATATCAAGCGTTAATTTTTGACCGCCGTTTGGACATGGTATCCTGGAGTCAACTGGTGATAACATAAAATTTGGTTAGTCAGAAAGTACCAAGTACTAAGTAGTTGTACTTGGGCGCTAATGTACAAACCAAATGTCATATACTGACCAGCTTCAACCGGTTAACCTCAAGTGCTTAATAATAAGCAAACTCCCGTCAACATTCGTTCCACGGAACACACTTCGGCTAATCCCGTTTAATCCAGGAAATAGATTCGTGGAAATCACTTGCAACGGTTACTCTATTAATCAAAAAGAAGCATATATGTTGCTCGGTGCGGCCAGAACTGGTCGCACACATGGTCATTCCATTCATGGTGATCCTTGCTAAGTACTATACAAAAGTACATCACAGCACTTCAGTTTGCCCCCTCAGAAATGGAGGGGGCTTCACGTTCCAACCATTCAGGTTTTTCATAACATAATATAGAAGCAGATGCAATGATACATGGGATATAAAACAGGCAGGCAAAAAAAAAAAAGACAACAAGAAGCAAAAACTATCACACAAGTGAAAATGTGACGAAAGTCAACAAATCACAGGGCCCAGACCCTTGTGGGAGGTCCCTCTTGGTCCCTAGATCGCTCTCAGTCAAGTGAGTGACCAAATCAGGCAAGGTATGCATGTAGGTTTTGGCAATTAAAACAAAATAAACTCCGGGGCAGAAAATGCGCTTCAGAGACAGGACAGGATAAGGAGATGGAGCACTGCACAGCAGTGAGTCGGAGGATGTGAGGTTTTTCGTCAGGAGGTTTAAGAAAAGGGGGAATCAGTATGCAAACGATGGTGATGTGAAGGATAGCAATCCAGTCGGGGAGTAGGACGTGGATTGACACTATGCACGAGTCATTATGGGAGGCGTGGTCCACTGCTGGGAGGAGGCATGGAAGCATCGGTATTTTGGCTGACCGTGCGATGATGGGCGGCGGTGGAATAACCGGAATCTGGTCTTGACAAACCCCATCGTGACTCGCCGTCGGGTTCAGAGGTGGTAGAGCGCATATCGTCGGAGTGTGTGCGGTGGGTGCGAATGTGTTGCTTCATGTTATCCTTGCGCGTGAAAGCCTTATTGCAAATGGGACAATGCACACTTTTCTCGCCCGTGTGCTTCTTGCCATGGCGAGCGGCATGGCCCGAGGTGGTGAAGGTGGCCGAGCATCCATGGCTGGAAGCATACGGGCACGGATATTTGTTCTTTCGCCCCGTGCCCCGAAGACCAGCACCTTGGGATGATTTACCCTCTGATGGGGGAGCGGAGTGAATCTCGGGAGGTGTTCGTGGCGGGGCAGGACCGCGAGAAGGATAGCGGTATGGGTCCCGTCGCAGGTCCTGCCGGGCGTACGGGTGGTAACCGACTGAGGTCGGTTGGCTTAGTAGATAGTCGTATGCGGAGCCATTGGAGGAGCCTGGTGAGACTGGTTGGATGGCCTCGTTGACGGGGTCTAATGGATGGCGATATCCTCGTGGGGAGACTGTGGGGGACTCGGACGATGCTAGTGGCCGCGAGAAGTGTAGGTCGCTGACTGGCGGCAGGCGCTGGTGCTGCTGTGGCTCAGATTGCGAGTTCAGGGACCCGATCCTGGGGTGGGATCGGACTGCAAACGACGGGTTGTCGTCATTGTTAAGGATCGATACAATATTCGCCCTGCTGCTGACTGACATTTCCTCAGTGACCCGATGTACGGTCACCGGGGCTGGAAAATTATACTAAACAAGTTGGAGACGTATATTAGTATTTTCGTCTTCACTATGCCCGCTCGGCCGGGCCTAGGTACTCGAGATTGCTCTGACAAAGATTGAAGTTGCAACGGGGGAGGGCTGGGAAGACAACAGGAGGGAGATGAGAGGGGCTCCCGTGTGCCTCCCGTTGCAACCATCAAGTGGGATTGCAAACGTACCAGTGGTTCTCGGAAGATGTTTGTCTTTTGTGTTGTATAACACGTTGACAACATTAGGTCTTATGATAGGCACTGTTGGCCTACAGACCTAGCAAGCGCAAAAAGACTCGAAGCTGTAATCCTTGTCTTTGTGTTTGTGTTCACAGATGAGTGGCGAAATCTAGAGAGCGCAATGAACGCGATCTCACGAAAATACCAATGACGGTGCCGATCCTCAACTAAAAATGACCGGGGGTTGGATTGGTAGTGAAAGCTCGTGCTGGCGGATGTTGGTTTGAAGATAAGAATACTAGTTGAAGTCCGTTTTTGTTTTGTCCCCTGCGGCGTCGATGGCTGGAATTTCCCTTTCGAGGCTCTGGTCCCTTTTTCTCGCTTTTTCTTTTTGTGATTTTATTTTCCGGATTTTTCTCAAATTCGACGTGGGGGAACACAATCCTCAACGGCAGTTGCAAACCGGGCTGGAGGGAGATCCAATACACCAAATTTCCTAGGTCGTCTAAAACGGTTTGAAGTGAACACGATCTTCCAGCGAAGGTGTTCAGGGTACACGAGAGAAATCGAAGATGTTAGAGTAGCGTCTTTTATATGACGGATGCTGTGTTGCCAGGGAAAATAAAGTTGGTCCTTGGTTTCATATGATGGAAAGGTTGATAAGTGGCAAGGAGGGGAAAGGGCGAGATTCGTGATAGATAGGCGACTTTCTAAAGATAAACCGCCAGAAGAAATGGAGGGATCCAAAAGCTGAGATGCAAAAGGAATGGAAGGATGCAGCAAAAGTAGAAACGGAGAAAAGAAGAAAGTGACTAAATTTCCAAAGTCATGTTCCATTTCAGGTACTAAACATACTAAATAATGGCGCCAGGTAAAGCCAAGCTTCCAGGGTCTGTTCGGCGAGGCTCTCCCCAGAAGCTCCGTAATTTTTTGCATACGTTATTACCGAGCGTGGTAGTGGAGCTTGTCCACTTTGGAATCATACCAGGGGAGAACAGCATACGTGTGTAATTTTTGAAAAGGAAAAAAAAAAGGAAAAAGATTAAACGACAGGACCCCTAATCCACTAGAACTACTCTGCGCAGACCCGTTTCTGGGCTCCGTTTCTTCCGGCCCGCCCCTCGACCCTGGCGGGGACGGACTCGTCAGCTTAAGATCTACTAAGGTAATTTGCAATTTGTTCTTTTCAATTCCTTTTCTGATACTTTTGTTTCTTCGTTTTGTTGTATGTACTTCTTACCATCTCGGAGCTTGTCCACCGGGATTCCCGACTCCACCTTGAATTCCCAATACGACTAGGGCTTCGGCTGGGCCAAGCGAAATGTGTACCTCTCTACCAGAAACCGTGCATATCGGGTGAACTACGGCAAAAAAGACAGGAATACGAATGTAAAGATTTTTTAAAAAAAATTAAAGAAAATTAAGACGGCCCAGAAAGCTATTTTTCCCCTTTGTTCCATGGACCCTGGAAACGATAATCGGCGCAGGGACTTTTCCATTCCTTGGTTAGTTCGGGCAATTCTTTACCCATGCTTTTTTTTCCATTCGCCTCATAACCTACACAGACGGCACAAGACCGTATTATTGTCAATAACTAATACCAAAGCCTATCAAGAAAAGTCAACATATATTGATTTTAATTTTGAACATTTTTTAATATTTTTTTTAGAGGTAAAGCGCTGGGGTCCAGGGACATACGTAAGTGATGATGTTGCGCTCGTCACTTATCTTCAATAGGAACTCACCTCCGGGTCCGAGGTTTAGGCGGTGGGGATTCACCTTGAAAGACTGGATTACTTGCGAAGCCCTATCTTCCCGATTTATTTCTCCTTCCGTTCTGGTCCTGCAGGGCCCTGGGGGATTTCAATACGGAAAAAAAATTTGAAGAAAAAAACCTGGTATTGTACATACTGAAAAAGAAATAGCCCACTTGATCGACCGGACTATTAACTCGGAAATTCCAAGCTCTCAGAAGTCTAAATGCATATATCAACATTGAAATGTTGTGAAGAAGAGAAAAACGTGGTGTCCTTGACGTTGCCCGATCGACATGGATATTTGCTGAAAATAGAACTCTACACCGAGTGTTAAGTTCTAACTGCCGAAGCCCAGGAAGAGATTTTCACTTTCATTGAAATAGACGAAACATTTTCATATCAACGACCACGTAAGCAGATAAGGCCAGAAACAAGGCCTGTGATCGCTTCTCTTCTGCGTACATCCCTTAAAAAAAAAAAAAAAAAAAAAAACAGTGAAAGAAACGAATAAAAAACGGATTGGAAAGTCAAAAACCGCTATTTCGGGTCCAGGGGCCACTTGCAAGATTTCAAGATTTCAATTTTCGTACTCGTACGCGTCTGCCGCCCCGCCCCGTGAACCCATGCCTGCGCGGGGGCTCTCCGCCCAGCATACGTAAGTCAGCAACGTACATTAGGGTACACTCCTGTGTATTCAAGTATGTGTCAATAAGAAAGAATAGAAAAAAAAACTTGGGAAATAATTGACGGGGATCCATAACAGATGGCTTTCTTAACATGCCGTCAAATAATAAAAACTCGCTTGATTCCACCTTCACTATGCAGCTGGGTTACGCCTCCTAGCCCCTCAATGGCACAAATTAGCCAAATATGGTGTGCCGATCAGCCAAGCTTCTGCATCGATCTTGACCCTGGAGACACAAGGGTGTGTTCGTGCTGAATGGAGCAAAGAAAAGGGACAGCCCAAAAAAATAAATGAGGGGAGAGAGATCACAGGCCATACGGAGTACAAAAAAAGCAAATTCAAAACACCTAAAAAAAAAATTGAATTGCCAAAGAAATGAAACGAATTTGATCTGGTACACACTTTGAACCGTTGGGTGTATCAAGCCGAGCGATGATTTGCTCGGCGACGACGCTTGACGGGGTATACGTATGCAGTCTACGTATATCCACCCCCCACTGGGCTGAACTAGCCCCGATCCAGCAGTTATGCTTCCGTGCTTATCCTGACTAGTCCAACTAGTGCTCGCATCACGACCATGATTCGTACGTCGACCAGGCTTGGGAGATTACGCCACACGTTTTTTTGGACTTGTCAGGGACCCTTTTTAGTGTGGTTCCCTGGCGTTTCTGACTTTTCCCAAGCGGACCCTTTTTTTTAATTTACACCTAGTCTTGTGTATTGTCAGAATACACAGTATCATACCCTTTTTTTCTTAACCCTGAATGCAGGGACTCGTGGCCAGTCCCCTCCCTTATACCACCTTCAGCCTAGCTTGACGCCAATGGAGACCCGGCTATTCCAAGCCCATCCCTCATCTCTACTAGTGCTATGGAGCTGCTAATATTAAATTATGCCACTGCTGCACCTACTGACGCCTGCCCACGCGGCCTTTTGCTGCACTATCTTTCTATACGATATGCCGCAGGATCTGGGCTTGTCTTTTCTAGGGTTTGAGATTTTACTGTTCAAAGAAGCGTATAGTAGGATAACAAAGAGAGGGCAGATTTTGGACCCCAAGTTTTTAATTTGTGTACCAAAGAATACTTTGTAAGATTGAATAGATTTGATATCGGAAGATTTTGTAAAAAATGATCATCGTAATCGATCGATCGCAAAGGAACCAATGAATTAAAATTGAAGAAAAAAAAAAGAGGAAAAAAGTAACGAATAGAAATTGAGAAATCCGTCGTATTCCAAGCTTCCTTGGAAAGTAAATGGAAACACGTGGAAACCAAAGTTTCCCAATCTTCCGTTCTCCATACTAGTACTCAATGAATCTGTCAACTTCCCAGGCCACCACATTTAAACCTGCTTCACACAGCCACAGGGCCCCGTTTTCTTTGTTCCATTTATGTCTTCGAAGATACTGTCTTCCAGAACGTTTGTACCAATTGACGTTCATTCGCTCGGTACTCACGGGCGACTCCATAGTCGATCCGGCACCCGTTCTCCCGGCGTTTTTCTTTTTCCCGTTGATTTTAGCGATCGCAAATAATGCGTGCAACTTATGCCGCTGCCTACAGCTCCTTGAACTATGTCAACGCTCCACCTCAATCCCTTTGTGGCGCATGTCAACACATCTTGATCCGAGAGGAAAAAAGAAAACAAACAGCTAGATCCATGGATCTATTTCTGATGTGTTTGATGACACCCTACATACGGTCCCTTAGCTATAGCTGTAGCAGCTAGCTACAACTGCTGATTACGACAGATATTTCGTATACCTTCCAGACCCGCAAACCACCTCAGGATACCGACATCAATAACCCTCGAGGTTACTGTGTATTTACACTTCCACAGAGTACTTCCAGCTCGATGATAAGAAAATTGCCGGCAATCAATTCAAGCGTGGAATCATTACCCGGGCGCAATCTTCACGTGGAGTCGAGTGCGTATGTACTACGGAGAATAATGTCCATGCTTCCTGATAAATTTAGAAATCACTAGTACGTTACCCTGTCTCACTTTCAAGCTTCTTACGTATCAGATGCCGCCTTGGCTGTCGCGTCAACTGGTATCAGATAATACTTACAGATAGGGATGTTGCGTACTCCAGATCTGCGGCCAGATAATCAGGATCAACAAAGCTTCGACAACAAACAGCTCGCTTAGGCATTTACGACGAAAATCATTGCCCTGATCCTCGCTTGGAACGTGATCCACAGGCCCCATTCACTGCGCACGAGGAACAAAGTAGGGACGCGAGTAGCTTATGTACACGTATCGTATTCGTCGTGTCAAAAAAAAAAAAGGGAAGAAAAAGCAAATTTCAATATTTTTCAAGGTCATAAAACATCCCATTTCACTGTTTTTTAGCATTTAAAGAATACTGGTACTTTACATTGAAACTTGAGTCAGGCTGTCCATGCACACCCAAGCTAAACATGTCCTACAGATAAGTATCTGCAGGGGGCCTGACTGCAACTCAGCTTCCCCATAAATTCAATGCGAAGCCACACACACACGCCGCAAAGAAAGTGGATCACAGAAATCAAAAGTCATTTCGGCGCGCGAACGTGTTTCGCTCCAAATGTGTCCTTTGCTCTCAGGAATTCAGCAAACAAAGAAATGGAAACTCAGTCCCCCTGGGTACCTATTAATAATAGCTCCATAGATCATCTACTCTGTATCGCCGTATATCCGATCACCAAGATCAACAGCTCCCCATACCAGACCGGACTTCAAATCCATGTCAATCGTAACTTGACTACCCCTCAAACCCTATACAATCTAAAAGCGCATGCTACTATGCACAGTACTTACCCTAACGGGATCTCCGTCAAACACTCCGAACGGGCAACCCTCAGACCCCTGTATCACAACCCATATTAAGTAACCCGGACTGGACAGCTTGTTTGGAAGTAGTACCTTTGAAAACAATATACAGGACCCCTCCACTAAACCAAACCCGCCAACTACCTCACCTCACCTCACCTCACCAGATACTACCCTTTCCTCCTGAATCAACCCAACCCACATCCAGCCCTCCCATTCGATCGGCGCACCCAGGGTCCGGCCGAACATAACACAAGTGGAGACCCAAAGGAGCGGGGAACGAAAATCCCTGAATCGCGTCCGTGGTACTCCGTGCTTAGACGAAAGGAGGTGACGAGGCCAGCATTCGTACTCTACCCTGGATCCAGATCCAGATCCAGATCTCCTCCGAGCCGAGTACGAAGCAGACGTCAAGTATCTGACGAAGCTTTTGACCCGTGCCCACACGCCTCGGCAAGAAAACCATTGCGGCGATGAATATCCGGAAATCCACCTCGTCCAAAATTCCGCCGCTCCGTGGCGGTGGATAGAAAGAAAGTGGATGTGGCTAAGCATGTGGGCTGGGAATGAGGGTCGTGTGTTTTGTTTGCTTTTGCCTGCTGCTGCTTCGTGTGGATACAGACGACACGCCAGAATCCAGGCCGATGCAGTATGTAGTATGTATGGCACCGCACCGCACTTGGCCGAAGATGGATGGATACAGGATACAAGATACAAAGTGCACAGTACAACTACGTACTGTACGACGGTAGTCCCACGTCAAGACGGCCAGCATCCAGTCTCCATTGGACAAGTCGGATGATGGCAGGAAAGAAAAACGCGGAATTACTCCGTACTGTACGATATTCGGGTCCCGGGCCACGGTAACTGTAAAACAAAACCAGATGCAGGGTGGAAGCTAGTACTAGTTATTAGCACACCCGGGGCTGCGTAAGCAGAAACGTCATGTCGGTGGATGGGTTCCAGCAAGCCCGATAGAATCTTAGCGATTGTGCCCTTTGTTTCGCTTCTGGGAGATTAATGTGTCTGTTTGCGCTCTTGATAGGTTGGCCCCTGCATATTGGGTGGACATGCGATATCGCGGCTATGAACTGGTTACGTGGTGAAGGGCTTGATTCGGATGGGCCCTGCATCGTGGGTGTCTCTGAAGCTGGGGTCTTGGTGGCATGGGAAGGACTATGTAGGGTGTATATGGAACTTTGGAGGGCTTTATTGGGTTTGCGTGTCCGAGTGTGTTTGCGTGTCCGAGTGGTGATTTCTGAAGATTTCCTTTGCTAGAAATCTGGAAGTAATGCCTTTTCTGTGGTGCGGACTGGTGAACTGGCGCCCGTGGGTCTGAGCTATACATAGTACTTTGTTGTTGGTCACTATATAGTATGCATCAACCGATCGTACCATGTGCCGCGCAGAGTTGATCTGAAAGCTCCGCCTGGCATTCTGAGACTAGTGGCATTGTCGACGATTACTTATCTAACAGGCACCCATGGACTGGTGCTGCATTTTGCAGCATTGGGGTCTGATAGGGCGAAATGCCTAACAAGAATTTTATGAGGCTTATACTACACCCGCATTGGAAGTTGAGCTTCCTCAAGTAGGCCTAGGTATGCAGTTAATTCCTTTGATATCGACAGCCTGACATCAATTGATGGTGATTATTTTCCTTAATACCTATTAAGCCCATACACTCGTCCCAGGCTGACCCATTACTTGAATCGCCACAGCAAAGATATTACACCAACCCTGACTTTCTCCAGTCCAATCTTCGAATTTGTTACAATCCTTTTTGAAGACATTATCTCCTTCAGGTTCTGACCCTCTAGCACACAAGGAATCTCTAGCACACAAGGAATCAACCTTCATAATCGTTATTCGAATGACACAACGAAACAAGAAGAATAGGAGGATTTGATCGTTCACACCTAGGAACAGATCGTCAATATGGGCATCACTAGTCTGATCCTCGGTGTGCCTTGATTCATCAAGAGATTGACAATCACCCTTTCCTCCAGTGAGAACAATCTGACTCTTACTCGATTATGGCTCAGAGATCAATCGATGTATCATATATGGTGTACATCAGGGAAGTCGAAGTTCCGAGGCCCACGTTGCTTGCCGGGAGCGTTGCCTGCAATTCAAATTCATCTCTTCAAAAGGTTGTGATAGAGATAGAACAGTGGTAAAAACCCGAGTCACAACGCCAGGTGATCAATTAACATCGTATCTGATCGAAACAGCTTTCAATGTTTCTGAGGTAGCAACTATAAACGTGGGAGAGGTTTCATGCGTGGGTAGAAAATGGTGGCTTAGTTTTCAAGTTTACTAGTGCATACTAGTAGCACTTTAGTTTTGAGGGCAGCTCCCAAGTGGACTGGAAAGTTATTTGATCATGGAATAAGGTTGCGGGTGAGAATTAAGTCAGTATTTGAGAGTATAAAGCTATTTAAATAGTACAGGTTATAACAGCACTTTATTGAACCTCCCTCAAGTGCAGAAAGTCAGCCAGTCCTGACGAGGGGGTGCAAAGAGGTTGACCAAAAACCAAATTTCTCATAATCATAAAGGATTGATGCGTTTGAACTGGGAGAGAAGCCTGGGGTTGCTTACCGGGCTTCATGTATGAAAAAAGAGGATAGTACACATGTGATATATGTTTAGTATCTACCATTACCATGTAGTAGGCAGGAGAGGCTCTGGACTTGCCAAGAGTTCAAATGTAATGTTGTTGATACATATAACTGCATGTAGCACTTTCAAATGCTAGTGAATAAATAAGCACTGCACAGGTTACAGATCACCTCACTGTTTTTTTTCCTGGGGATTTTATCGATTCTTCTAACTTTACTTCTACCCCTTCCACCTCCGCCTTCGAGATAGCACACTCAGCACTGCCAGGTAATATTCAAGTGCTAATTCAAACTTCTTGATCCTCTAATATCTCCGCCTTTACTAGATAGTGCCTGTAGGCTGTGAGGTCTTTCGTCATATGAGTCCCCCAGTTGGTAGTTGGAAAGTAAGATGAAAGTAGGCACTGAACAGTGAGTCCAATACGGTCAATAACTATCTCAAGTATTGAGTAGGTACTCATCTCGAGTACTAAGTATAAGCCCATTCCAAGTATTCAAAAAGTACATCAATTGATAGTACTACTAGTAGTATTATTTCATGATGCAAAAAAATGGGGTCGGTGAGTCTATGAAGATCCTCCTCGATCAATGTGAGGCATTCATAGAGACCCTCAAAGCGGAGAGACTTATTTTGTTCTCCGCTATGGAGCGAGTACTTCGAAACCTTTTACCTGATCAACTTATGACTATTGATCTCGACTACTGGGAAGAGCTACGTGCAGCAAGGGACCCAATGCACTGGACCGCAATCCCAATGAAGAGAAGCCTAGCCGAATGAGAAGAAAAGAGCGAAGAGCGAAGAGTGGATGAGCTTCGGAATCGTGGGTTTAGCAAATATACTCACCCAGCCAACAATTCAAAGTCCAGGAATCTTAGTGAAGCTTTCAGAGACATGGAAGTACTTCAGCTAAGCGGCGAGACTCCTGTCCAGGCAGTCAAAAGAAACCCCAATAGCAGAGAAATTTACACACATTCTGTACCGAAGACAACAACCACTGATGTTTCACGGAACGGAATGCTCTGGTCGGTTAAAGAAGCTATGCTTCCGCATCTTCGAGATGTAAGTGAGACTTGACGGGAAATGGTAGATCTTGCTATAAAAGCCATCCTATGAATGGTGAAGCGCCTTACATCTAAGCCAGAAAGATGCCGATGATGCACTCTGCTTTTCTCAATCAATCTTTTAATTCCAGTGTCACCTTCAAGACGGGGAAAGAAGACTTTCATGCGCATCCGATTGAAAATCCCGACGATAGGTACATGATTCTCACCTCCCTCCAGCCGAGAGGCTCAGGCTGTCAAGTCCATACCAAATTCGGAAGCACAAACACGTCTCCATTAACCTCAGAACGGGTTTGATGCGGACCCTCACTCTGGGGGTATTTGGCAACCCAACAAGACCAAAATGTTCTTTTCCTGGGGGCTAAATTCCACATCTTGCCGGCCACTTAGCAAGGAGAAGTTATGGGCATCACAGGATTTCGACTTATAGACCGTGTAGAAGCATCGGGCTTTTCTGATCGTTGGTTTGTGATGTACAATCTGGCTCTACCGAACTTCCAAACAGAAGACTGGCTTGACTGTCCTAAGGACTGGGTATGGTGAAAATTATGAATGGAATACTTGTTTTCAATATGTCCTGTGCCCCTCATGCTACTTAGTAATCTCATAAAAGCGGCGGCAGTTCAGAGTCAAGATAGGAAGGCCCCACCAGATAATCACCTACAGTATCAGCATTGATACATATGAGAGATAGAATACTACACTGCACTTCCCCTCTTGAACACTTAGTCCGTCTCAGCCTTGGAACTGCTTGTTCAATCAACCCATTTGTACTCTCAATTCCAGTAGTGGTTCTTTGTTGACATGCCTCGTCCGACCAATCGAGAAGAAGTCCTCGCGCGACTTCGCAAAACAGTTGCCGATGGCTCCATCATCGTTGGAGCTGGAGCTGGTATGAGTTTTCCCATCTGATCAAACAATTAGTCTACTAAGAAATGAACACCCTACTAAGTACGCGATGACACCAGGAATTGGCCTATCTGCCAAGTCAGTCGAAGCAGGCGGCGCTGATCTCATCTTGGTCTATAATTCAGGCCGATTCCGCATGGCCGGCCATGGATCTCTGGCAGGATTGATGCCCTACTCCGATGCCAACAAAGTGGTTGTGGAAATGGTGTGTTTACGTGGTCTTCCAAGATCCATCTGCGACCGTCCCACCGTCCACGCAAAACCGATGCACCCACCATTCTATAAGCCATGACTAACACACACCTAAAACAAACCAGGCTTCGGAGATTCTCCCTATCGTGAAGAATGCCCCTGTCCTAGCGGGAGTCTGTGGCACCGATCCCCTCCGCGAGATGCCCGCATTCCTCGCCGAACTCAAGCGCATTGGTTTCGTCGGTGTGCAAAATTTCCCTACGGTCGGGTTGATTGACGGGCAATTCCGACAGAACCTCGAAGAAACGGGCATGGGATTTGACCGTGAAGTTGAAATGATCGCAGAGGCACACAGACAAGGGCTCGTGACGACTCCTTACGTCTTTAATGAGGAGGAATCGACCAAGATGGCGAAGGCTGGAGCGGATGTCATCGTCGCGCATGCGGGCCTCACGACCTCTGGCTCGATCGGAGCCTTGAGCGGTAAGTCGCTCGAGGATTGTGTGGGATTTGTACAGGGGATTCGAGACGCAGCTGCGCGAGTTAATCCCGATGTCCTGGTACTATGCTACGGAGGGCCAATTGCGCAGCCGTCGGACGCGGAGTATGTGCTCTCGAGGACGGTGGGGGTGCATGGCTTCTTCGGGGCGAGTAGTATGGAGCGGCTGCCGGTGGAGAGAGCGATCGAGGAGAATGCGAAGCAATTTAAGCGATTGAGGATTCGTTTGGAGTGATTGCGGATGAGAATTCCCGGCTAGTCTTCTGGACCTCCTTAACTATGTCGGGGAGAGAAAATGGATATTAGCCGGGATTCCCACTTGAGTCTCCAAACGGGCAATTTCTCCCCGCGTCAAGTGGATCTGCGGGGACAAGCAATTGTTATCGTCGGTTAAATTGGCGGGGTACAAAGTAACCAGTCTGGCAACTTCCAAATCAACTTTCTTTTTCAAGTTCTTCCTCTGCTATAACAATTCAAACATACTCAATATCAATCAATCCAAAATGGCAAACACAAACCGCGTTTTGGAGAGCAAGCTTGCTCTCGTCACTGGTGGCTCCAGGGGTGCGTCCAGTCCAGAGTTCCAGACCCTGTAAACAAAGAAGAATCCAATGCGCTAATGAGATGGTAAACAGGAATTGGTGAAGCGATCGCACGCAACCTAGCCGCAAAGGGTGCCTCACTCTTGCTAAACTTCACCTCCGAGTCCTCGCGTGCCGCCACAAATGAGCTCTGCGCCTCACTGGCCGCGGCCCACGGCGTCCAATGCGAAAGTGTCCAGGCCGATCTATCCAAGCCCGAAGAGGCCGTCAAAACCATCATTGCGGCCGCACAAGAAAAGTTCGGATCCTCCAAAAAGCTTCAGATTGACATTCTCGTGAACAATGCCGGTGTCTCAGCAGACCGCGACCTGAACGACGCAGTCAAGGGCCCCATCGACGCTGACCTTTTCAACTGGCACTACACCATCAACGTACTCGCTCCCCTCCTCCTCACCCAAGGAATCACCGAGTACCTCCCCACAGACCGCAGTGGTCGCATCGTCAACATTTCTAGCGTGTCTTCCGCAATGGGCTTCGTGGGCCAGTCAATTTATGGCGGCACCAAGTCAGCCCTCGAGGCTATGACACGTACCTGGGCGCGCGAGTTGGCCGATCGCGCCACTGTCAACGCGGTCAACCCCGGCCCGGTCATTGGTGACATGTACTTCAAGGCAGGCGAGGGCTTTTGGAACGATATTCAGGGCTTCCAGGATAATACCCCTGGTAGCAAGTTGGACGTTAATGACCCGGATACCATGTCACGGATTACAGAGGAACAGGCGGGTCTTATCAAGGAGAAGATGGGTGGGCGGAGACCGGCGTTCACGAGTGAGGTTGCAGGTGTCGTTGGAATGTTGTGCACACCGGATGGTCAATGGACTACGGGTAGTGTGGTCTGTGCCAATGGTGGAATGAGGATGACAGTTTAAATGATCCCGAATGGGTATTCCCTTCAATTGAAAGCCATTTGATTTTACATAATTCTCAACCTTTTCTATTGCCGTTGCTGCCAACCAGGCAATATCAAACCCCGGATTCATGACCTCGGCGGATGCATCGGGAGAAAGGCTGGTGGGGTGCATAAAAATCTGTGGGGTGTACAGCCAGCTTCTAGTGGATTGCTAGCTTCCAGGTTGCGATTGTGACTGTTCGGTAAGTGGAGGTGAGAAAGTCGGCAATTCGCACTCATCAGTCTCGCGCTAGGAAAGTTTATATGGTGCTCCCGGACTTTATGCCCTGGTGTTTACATCATATCATCATACGTCGGCAACTAGCTTGTACGGAGACCCCGGGAAACCCGGGGTAAATGCGGGGGTTATGGTCAATCAGGAAATGCCTGCCGATGATCTTATGCCATATGGAGGCGGCATTTGATATTCGGTTTTTGGTTATACCAAGGCACCCTGGAATGGAGACATACATTGGCTCATGTACCTTGCTAGGTACTTTTCCAAGCTTATGCATGATATGCATCTACATGACAATATATGTACAAGGTTCAATTCAAAGCCCGATTGCTTTTGATAGCCGTGCGAGGTGGGTATAAATATCGGACATCTGGACATACTAATGGATGTAGTGTCCACAACCTTGGAAAGCATTCCAAGCCTGGAGGCCATAGACAACTGACAGGAGAGGCATACCAGTTCTATCAGAATGCTATCTTATTTTTCTCTGCTGAGCCTTGCTGCTTTTGCTAGTCATAGCTATGCGTACCACAGTCCTATAGCCATTCCAGGGCCAGGAAAGAACAGCGAACCAGTGGAAAGAGATTTACAGTCACTATCCATCGAATTTGCATTCTTCCCCGACTATGCAGGCAACCATTCGCACCCGAACAAGTTTTCACGGAATTTGTTGGACAACTTGAGGAGAGCCACAGGTGTATCGCCGAAAGTGAGAGTTGGAGGAACTTCCCAGTAAGAGTCCAAAATTTCCCTCCACCTCAACTTAGAAGTCTTTTTGACCTAGGAACTCTTCAATCTAGAGATCATTCCAATTATTACCCCGATCAAGAAGAGGGAGTTCAGCTCATCTTTGCTCACCCTACCGATGACCAACCAATCGAAATAAAATATGGGCCCGCTTTCTTCGAGTCATATCACACCTTGGGCGATATCAAGTTCTCGCATGGTCTGAACATGGCCCAGAATAAGTCACTTGACCAGCTTGAAATGGCTGCTGTGGAAGCCTGCACCTCCATCGGCCCTCAGCTGGAGCTTTACGAATTAGGAAATGAGTGGGACCTTTCTGTGGGGGACTATCGTCCTGCAAATTATTCATTGTTAGATTACGTGCACGAATGGAACCGAAAGTCTGCTGTGATTAGATCTACAGTGGAGAAGGCTTGTCCTGGTCATTTCCCTGGGTTCATGGCACCGAGCTTTGTCTTTGTTGAGGGCATGACTACCTGGACAGCGGAAGAATTATACAATCTTGACTATGACCCGCATAACCTTACAAGACTCATTTCCTTCCACAAGTGAGATGCACGCTTTCTTTTCCATTATGAGTGTTCGAACGCTGACTTTTCATTTCAAGTTACATGGGTGTCTTTGAGCCGCCACTAGCTCCAGTATCTTACGATCTTCAAAGTAAGTTACGATCTATGTTCTAATAAAGTGTAAGAATTAATACTGACATGTAAAGAAACACTGATGAACCACACCAACATTGTCGACAACCTGGAATTGCAAATTCAGCGAATGAAGAACATTGCGCACATTGGTCATCCATATACTTTGGGCGAAACGAATTCCATTGCGAATCAAGGACGTAATGGTGAGACGAATGTCTTCGGTGACGCCTTGTGGGTAGTTGACTTTTCCCTCTGGGCTGCCGCAAATGTATGAATCACATATCCTGAGTACTCACTAGAAACCGTTAATGACGGGTCATTGACTAATAATCCTCAAATGCAGAACATCAAGCGCCTCAATTTCCATCAAGGCCTCAATTACCGATATGCCTCCTGGCAGCCTATTTCCAGCGAGGGACAGCCACCCACCACGCGCCCCCCATATTATGGTCATATTATGGTCGCCACCGCCATTGGACACTCAGACAACAGTCGAATTGTCAACATACCATTGCAAAACGATACGGAGGCTGCTTATGGTATTTACGAGGGCGATCAGCTCTCAAAGCTTGTTGTTGTGAATCTTAACGCATTTAACCAGTCTACAACTGCAGACCGCCCGAGCAGGGATTACGAGTTCAAGATTCCCAGTCACCATCAGCAGGCCACGTTGAAGAGGCTGATTGCTCCAGGCAGTGACGCTTTGACCAATATTACGTTTGGGGGTGTTTCTTACGACTATGATCTCAAGCAGGGGAGACCAGTCACCATGGATTCCCACGAGGAGATAGTGAAGATCCATGATTCAGTGCTTCGGATTGCCGTTCCCGATGCGTCTGCCATTCTGTTGTCTCTTGATTGAAGCATGTCCGTCTCAATGTCTTGATTCTTGATTCGCGGCTTCCATTTCTACTCTTTTGAAGTTCAATGCAATTACCCGACGACAGTTTCATATCCACCACCCCCTTTACTGAGTAGCAAGTACAACACCTAGTATCTCAAGAAGGGAGTACTGAGCAGGTACTCATCCTGAGCACTGAATGTATACCCATTCCAAGTATTAAATACGTGTTATGTACACTTCAAAGTTGGAGACCCTACCTAGACAAATGACTGGAATTGAACTGCGCATCGCGCGGATACACGGTGCTCTTTACTTGTATTGATTACCCGCAGAGTCCCTACCAAGTTGAAGCTTCTCTTCCTGCAAAAGCGTAGGGTCCAGCCTTAAATGGATAAAATTAGACGAACGAAAAAGATCTAAAAGCAAACAAAAAAGCAAAGTGCTTTCATTGGTTGGATTCCAGACTAATTACTTAGGCGGATCACAAGTGCCTCTTTCCCGCCCCCAAAACGCACTCATTTCCCGATTGAACGTGGACTTGGACCCCTGAGCCCTGGATCCGAGGCCCCAAAGGTACCAAGTCGAGATTGAGAGGAATAGGATTCTTACTCCGTAGAGTGAAAAACTTGTGAAAAATTGGGGATTATGTCTGGGCAGCAGTAATCTGTTTGACTTTTATAGATACCAAGGCGGCTCTGGATTTAACCTCAAAATCCGAAACCCCAACTTTTCCCCTTCTCCCAAGGGTCCAGCTTTGTGCATCCGAGACCCCAGAAAAAGAAAAGAAAAAGGGAAAAGGGAGAAAAGAAAAAAAAGCAAGATCCGCTTGAACGCCAAGCCTGAACAAGGGTCTGCTGCAATCAGCACACCAAAAAACCTGCTAATCAGACTATTTTTAAAACAGCTAGGTACTCCCAGATAATAAAAGCGAATGCATTTCAGCTTCTGCGTCTATGTCTACGTTGTGACTTCTCCTCTCTCATGCCCAGCATGGCTGAATCGAGCGAGTCACAGCGCTCCCTCCTACAAGAAGAAGATCTAGTCACAATGCGACCGTCCAACTCTTGGAACCCACTGGGCCGATCATCTCCAGAACCCGACTATGCCTTCGCACTCAATCACTACCCATCGCGCGATAGCTTCGCCGACGAAGTCTTCCGCGAGGTAGGGCTGGGACTGCGACTCTCGGACGAATCTAACGAAACCCTCACCGCGCGGGCGAACAGCCGCAAACATAGGGAAAGCCGAGACTCGTTCCTCTCAAATAAGGAATCTCCACCCACCGACAGCCAACCGACCACTCCGGGCTTCTTGAAAACGCCACAGGAGACACCGATCATTTCGACCCCGCAGCAACAAGTTCTGAACTGCCCCAGCCGATCGCCCGTGCTACAGCGGCGATTTGGTTGGGTTCCCATTTCAATTTTTGTTTTGGCCTTATACGCGACGATTTTTTCGGGCATATATCTCATTATCGCTTTTTGGAAGCCGCGATGGAAGAATGTGGGGAGCGGGAAGCCACTTTCAGCCGCAACTGCCAATCTGCTTTCTGCTTTCTTCGCCAAGACCATTGAATTGGCTTATGTTACTATCTGTGTGGCGTTTTTGGGTCAAGTGCTTAGCCGCCGGGCATTGACGACAAATTCGCGTGGCATCAGTATTGCTGATATGGGGATGCGGACATGGATTATGCAGCCGGGATCCATGCTCGTGCATTGGGAGACGATGCGATACTCGGCGCTGACATTTTTGGGGGCCATTGCCTTGACTTCGACATTTGTCGCTATGCTCTACACTACCGCCGCCGAGGCGTTGGGTAAGTCCTCGCCCTTGACGTATCCTGCGCATATATCACAAAGTAAGACTAATGATCGTGTTCAGTGTCACCAAAACTGAATCCCGGGCCACGTGAAAATACAGTCATCTGGGGGAAAGTGTCTGCTGCTTTTGCCAATGACGTATACCTTGAGGATACCTGTAAGACGCCGATCACAATATCGATGGATAAGGACTATAGGAACTCGACCTGTCTCGAACTCTTACATGTAGGAACTGCCTACCACAATTATCAACAATGGATTTCTTCTTGGAGCGAGCTAAGTCCTAGCAACATGTCAGACAAGCTTTCATCACGTCCTCCACCTACTGGTTCGATCTGGGACAACACAACTGTCACTGGTAGCTGGATCGAAATTCAAAACATAACTGAGTTATCGAAAAAGCATAACCGAATGATGAATAACGTTACAATGGCATTTCCGCACGGAAATGTCCCTGCAGCTGCAATGGACCCAAGAAACGACATTCGGCAACCACAAGAAGCAACCGGTGAAGGCACATACTCCATCGAGGCATCGGTGCCCTCGCCCGCAGTCAACGTGCTTTGTGTGGGCATGAATGCTACAGAGCTGAAGCCAATAATTTACAGCGAGTGGCCATATCAACATTTCAATGCCGTCACATGGATGCAGGACATATACTCCGACACGTATATTCCGAAATTGCCTCTGTATCTCAACAGTACAGTTGTCGACTCGATCTTTGGCTTTGGCCCGGAATACGAGCAAAGACCACCCACTTTCGGCACGTACCCCGCAGAATATAACACCATCCTGTACTCGACAGGCGTTTGGCCGACAGCCGCAATCTATCTTCTCGGGAAACCCTCTGCCTCCTCCCCTGACTACGTGATGTGCTCTATGAAAGCAAAACTAACCGGCGTCTGCTCAACGCTCTACGATGCCGATTCAAGTGGAGCTTCGCTCTACACCAACTGCGAGAACTCCTCCAACACCCTTCAATATAATCGCCATGTCGACAATTTCAAGGAAGGTGTCTGGTCTCCTGACTGGAAAAATGTCGCCGATACATGGGCTACCGCGGTGAACCTGGGCTCTGGCATCACGGTTGCCGATGCTAGTAACGAGCGCTTGATCATGCAAATGATGCCAGCACATGATAACAAAACGAACACCTGGAGCCTGGATCCAGCTCTTCCTTCAATTGCTGAGGCACTTGCCGTCATGGCAGGTAGTACGCTCATTCTCAGCACGCAAAACACTCCGTTCGTGCAAGGATGGAGCTACAATTTGGCTGAAAGCCTTGAAACCCCTGCATATGAGAATTTCACCGCCACAATAAAAGCAGTCAGCTACTTCTCAGGCGGTACAGATAAATGGCAGGGCGTGTTCTATGTTATTCTGGTTTGCGCTTTCCTCACCAGTGCCGTGTGCTTGGTGTTCATGATCATCGAAGCTCGCGGACACCAAATTACCGACTTCACAGAGCCGCAGAATCTCTTTGCCCTCGCGATGAATAGCCCACAGAGCGCCGTTCTTCGAGGCGCTTGTGGCTGCGGTCCTGTTGGACACCAGATGAAAGAGCGCTGGTCGATCGGCATGCAGGAGAACGACGAGCACTACTATATTCGTGCAAGGGCAGATGGTGCTAGTCCGGAAGCGCAATCAACCGGGTACTCAAGGGTTGATCAGATGGAAGTTGACGATTCAGAAGTGAAGCCTTTCAGTCCTGCTGTTAATGAATTTAGGAGAATTTCGAACCGAAATTCGTGGTTGGGGAAGTTTTATTAATTTTCTAGCGATATCTTTGGGCTCTTCTTGCATATGGAGTTTTATCTTGTCTCGCGTTTCATGCCCATGATGTGAATATCTTACTATATTATACCATACCCTTCTCCTTTGAATGACTCTTACCTGTTGTCAGAACAATTTGAGCTTAATGATTGCAATTTCTACTCATCAATATAATTTCCATGTGCTATGTATGATCTTTCAAATGTTCACGATTTTGCTGATCCAAATGTTTCTCTGAAATCAAGACTCTAAAGTCACCGAAACTCTCCAATTCCACAAATGCCAAAAAATAAGATGTACAGCACGTACAACAGTATATCTACTCCTTCTTCTCCATTCTTTGAATCAACCAATCCGGAATCTGAGGCTTCTGCTCCCACATGGCCTTCCAGTCCGTGGACCTGGTAGGCAACGCATAAACAGCAGTCACAAACCAACTCTCCTGCCCAGCCGCCAAATCAACAGCCAAAGATGGCAACAAAGTGCGCCCATGAATCAAATTCGAATTAGGGTCCGCAGCAACAATCCGCCCCGAACGTCCAATCCCCGAATTATAAAGCTCAGTAATACCCACCGCACCAGCAGCAGAAACCACCAACGCACTCTCACCATCCATCACAGTTCCCTCCTCAGCCTCCACCTTCTTCCCCCCATCACCAGCACCAACCTGCAAAGCCCCCAACGTCCGTCCATTATCACTCCGAATCCCATAAATCGCAAAAGCCCCCTCAGACGTCTTCAACGCCCGCCCCGTCCTAACCCGATGCGCCCGCAGATGCCAATTCGGCGCCTGCCCAGACGGCGGCACAAGAATACTCTCAACATCCACATCCGCCCACGGCTTCCACCCCGAAACAATCACCGGCGTCCCCGTCGCCGATCCCGATCCCGATCCCGATTCCGGATACTCAATCCGCGCATCAACAGCCACCCGTCTCGTCTTCCACACCTCGCCACCATCATCACACAGCGCAAGCATGCTATCAGGCGCATACTGCTCAAGCTCATACGCGCCCGTCGGCACAGAGTACCCGAACGACGCACTGTACGCGAACTTCCCGTACTTCGCCTGCGTCCCGCGCATAGCGTAGTGGCACGCCTGGCCCGACGAAAGCAGGAACGAGTGGCCCCCGCGCCGCACGAGGATGTGCTTCGGGTAGCTCAGCGCTTTTATCTCGGGCAGGGCCGCGCTCGGGTAGTCTTCTTCGGGGCTGGTCCAGAACGCGTGCTCGTCTGGGAGCGCGAGGGCCAGGAACGAGAGACAGCACCAGTAGGGCGAGCCGGAGGAGTTGTAGTTCTCGGTTAGGTAGGGGTTTGAGTAGCAGAAGCCCAGGTTGAGGGTGCCGTCGTTGGAGAAGATGTCCTTTTGCTTCGACCACCAGCGGAAGTTGCGGAGGAGAAGTCCCTTCACCATGCCCCAGGTTAGTTGGGGTGGGAGGTCGACGTCGGCGTAGGCGAGGGCGCCCCAGAAGCCGGACATGGCGAAGCGGTAGGTCATTGAGCGGCCGAAGGGGATTGCGCTGCCTGGAGGGGAAAGCGAGGTCAGTATTTAGCACGGGAGTGGTTATTTGTCTAATATTGATGGTCTGGGGCATGGATTGATTGATTGTTGGGCCGTAGGAGTACATGCAGAACTTGGACTTACCGTCCGGAGCAAAATAGTGCACAAAGTCCATGGCGTATTGCTTCGAGCGCTGCTTGTATCTCTCCGCGCGCTCTGGATCAAAATCACCAGCCAACTTCGCATATAAAAGCTGCAAGAACTGAATAGCGAAAGAACCAGAGTAATAATCCATCTGGTGATGGCTCTTCGGCCCATCATTACTCCAGCCATCCCCGATATGAAACGTATCCAGGTGATCCATATCAGCCTCGATCCTGGCATGCGAGTACTCCGCGCCATTCTTCTTCAAGCCCAGGTTAGCGAAAACTCGGAACCAGAGCCTGATGCCAGTGTCGGGTTAGCCAACAACCATCCAAACAAACAATCGATGCCATCAATTCAGGGAACATCCAGTTAGTATGTGCATCTCTTACCAATTCGTATTCGGCATCTCCAACCCATTAATACTCCTCAACCAACCGCCCACATCGCCCCTCTCCTTCTCGCTAAGCGGGTCCCAGAACACATGCGGCGCAACAGCCAGCGCAAAGCCAAGTGGACACATTTCCACCATGCGCTGATCCGAGTCTTCCAGATCGCCCCAGTACTCCGGGCTGGCGGGGTCGCAGCCATTGATGATACCTGTTCGCCAGCGCGCGGCATCGGCGTAGTCGTAGTTACCTGCGAGAAGGGATGCGAGGCCCCATAGTGGGCGGGCGAAGCCTTCGAATTGGGCGCCGCCTTCGTCGAAGCGGGTGGGTGTTGAGCCGATTTTGACGCGGGTCTGGAGCGGGGTGAAGAGGGGGAGGAGAGGGTTTAGGATGGCGGTGCAGGCGGATTGGAAGTCGGCTTTTGTTTTGAAGGGGTTTATGCTGAAGGGTTGGGGTGGTGTTGTGCCGTTGGCGTGGATGGACATTTTGGGTGGTTTGAGTATACTCTAGTAGGTACTCTAGGCGTAGCTCTGGTGTTGGAATTGGTTATAACAGCTCTAAGGGTTGTCAACTGTATCAGACCTTGGGAGGCTTTTAGGGGTGGCGGGGTTATATAGGATTTATTATATGCTAGAAGCGCTGAATACTTTACTGTACATTGGGTTCATAGTCGGGAGTTTAGCCGATATCATTTTTGCCGGAACGTGGGGATTTTACCCCATAGAGTGTGGGGGAGAACATCGGCGATTAAGCCGATGTTAGGCCTTCTGTGCGAGAATAGCTGGAATAAATCCCACCTATTATGTTGAATGATGGGATGTGTCTAGCAGATACTTAACTCTAGTATAGCTTTGTCTCTGCCGCTTATTTTCTAGTGTAAGCAAAAAAGGATCTTGCTTTACCCGGCTCGTGAGTGGTACTAGAGGCACGTTCGGGATTCGGATATCAACCCCGAGACCCTCTCCATAATTGAGCAGCAGCCCAACCGTGAATGCCTTTGAGTCTTGTCGGTTCTAGTAAGCCGACGGGGATTGTACTGCTCATATATGGACAGATAAACGTCACAGTTCTCGATGTTGTTCAATTCTCTCCGAGTCTCCTGTGAAACAAAAACCCTCGTGTGCATGGAACGCGCCATAGAAAAAAAATCAATGTACTTTGACGAGACTGGTTTCCAAGTCTGCCGGTAAGCTGTCTAAAATTAGTAAAAGGCACTCAAATGGCGAATCACGAAGTACTGATGATGGTTCCGGGAAATTGTGACAACTATTGCGTGCGTACAGGGCCATCCCAACACTGCAAGGCCAGGGGTTAGCAGAAAATATGATTTCCATACTAGCTTTCCATGACCCAGAGCATCGATGCATTATCGCGCAGTCGAGTCGAAACTTCTGTCACTGCAGAAAATCCCAAGGTTTCGCGCCCCTTGTAGACTCTCTGAGTCTCGTATAAGCAACATGCACCTCGAGGGGGAAGGGATACAGCGGATGGCGTGGATCCAGCATTGAACAGGGGGAAACGAACTCCCGAACTACCCTTGGGAGCGAATGAAAGGAAAACATTCAACCCTCCAGGATTCAAAGACGAGTTCAGTAATAAAGGGTACCCAGGTACCATGAATTGAATCCAAATATGAATATGTACAGAACAAGAACCAATCAACCAAGGCTCATCAGCACGAGAGCAACAATAGTCAACCAGAACACGCGAGTATGGACACTGACATACAATAGTGTTGTAATGGGAACACATAGTAGAAACTGGAAACTGAGAGAAAAAGAAAAAAAGAAAAAAAGAGAAAAAAATCTGCGAGGTACCGCTGCAAAACGGGATAGGTATGCATGCAAGGGAGATGCAACAAGGGAATGCGACCGTCAAGGAAACTTTTACAAAACACCAACACAACCAAGAGACGCCATGCAAGGAACGAGCAAGGACAAGAATAAAGATGAGATCAGGGAGAGTGAGATGGTAGATGTGGCAGAGATGATGGAGAGAGTGATAAGTGTGGATGAGATAGATAGATGGGAAATATGATAGTGCGTATGCAGTGCCAGAAAAGTACTCAACGTTCGGCGTGGAGGTTGAGCCAGCTCATATCTGAATTGTAGGTGCCAGAGGGCCCATGCTCGTCAATATTATCTGGAATGATAACACTGGACCGGCGGTTAGATTGACGAGCATATGATTTTGAGTTTGTTGCAGGAAGATTCGTGTTGCTTCCGCCGTAATAACTATTGCTGTAGTTACTGCTGGTCGGACGGCCTAGCCAGCTGCTGTGGCCTGCTCCAGTCCAATTTGTGTCGTGCGGGTCATCGTCGGACATGACGCTAACCGAATCAACGCTTGAAATTCGCGCGGACTGGCTTTCAGGGATGACAAGGCGGCGAGTGTGGCCACCAGCTTCTGTTGTGGGGCTGCCGCTGTTAACCTGTCCAAGTGGTTTGGGTTGATCGAGGAATCCGAAATCCAAGGGCGCGAGATTGGACATGGGCCAGGCGGTGCTGCCACGGTAGTCGGATTTGGTGTAGGAGGAGCTCATGGTGGAACGGTCTGAAGACTGCATTCCAGCAAGATGTGTCGCGCGGTTGTCGTCAAAGTACTTGCCCCATCCTTCGTCAGTGGTTCGGTCTCCAGGCTTGTTTCCAGGACTGGAAATAGCCTCGACGGCGGCAGCAACGGCGGCAGATCGATCTGAATCATCAGAGTACATGCTTGATGGGGCCAATCCACTGGAAGGAATGGGCGATAGACCTTGCTTGCCCAATCCGTATCCGTATCCATAGCCCTGACCGGGGGCCTTCAAGGCCTTCTCTCCAGCATATTTGCCAGACATTATAGCGAGGGAGTCGTCTGACACGGTCGCGACGGGAACAGGACTCTTTGCCATGGGGTAGGCTCCTTCGGTCAAGGGTTCTATACCTTGGTCCTGGAAGCTTAGACGGTCCTTTCCATCTCCACCTTTTCCTTGACCCTCTGGGTCTCTCTTCTCCTTTGCGCGGCGGAGGAAAAACAAGATGGCAACTAGAATAACGATGGCACCACAAATACTGCCAAGCGTAGCACCGATGATGATACCGGTCTCACCGGAGTTGTCAGAAGCAGCAGCAGCAGCAGCAGTCGATGACGGGGTTGCAGTTACAGAGGGAGTCGAAGAGGCTGTTGCAGTCGGGGTGCTAGATGTGGTAGTGGTTCCATGTAAGACACTCTGCGTACCACTACCATAGAATAGTTCTGTTGTATTGACCCAACCGTTGGCTGTTTGGTTGAAGATAGACACAGTGTTGTTGCCGCTGCCGCCGGAGATGACAACCAGATTGTCGCTGCTTTGAGCAATTGCGTAATCAGAGCGTAGCGTGGTTCCGGCATTTGAGCTGTTGTACGAGGGATAGTCGGCTAAGCTGCGTTTGGAAGATGCGGATCCAGTGACATTAGCCGAGATGGCCTTTCCGTCTTTGATGATCTCGTAGCTGGTGATAGTATTCGGCGAGACGTCCATATTAAAGTCCTCCAAGATCTTGTTCCCGTCATCATCGCTCACAATGGCGAAACGACCCGTCAATGAGGTGATGTCACTTGGAAGTGTCGCTCCAGAAGCCACCCAGCCTATGTCGTTATTAGTTCCATAGATGTACACCTCCGTTGTGGAGGTATAACCACCAACCAAGGCGACGGTTGACGAATTCCACTTCAATAACATTGGCGAGTCTGCCGAGGGAACACCATTGGGGTCGCTTGAGCCGAGTGTATATGGATATGTAGTCTGGAGCACGTAGGTGGATTGAGAAGCGGTATCGGAACCCACAGTGCCTCCATACATCAAAATAGTAGCGTTACTCTCCAGGTAACCCACCGCATGCCCGAGACGACCTGCCATAATTGACCAGTCAGTCGAATTCAGGGTCTGCCATGCCTGGTCCTGGTAGACATAGCGTTGCAAGCCAGAATAGGTGGTTGAATCGCCGGACCCGCCGACTACGTAGAATGCCAAATTGTCCACGTCGCCCTCCACGGCGGCGGTGACACATGCAGCGCCAGTGACGTTTACACCCGGTGATAGGGTGTTCCAAGCGACTGTGGTGTTGGAAGTTGAATTTCGTTCTAGGGGCAAAGACGCGAATCCGTCTGGGGAATAGACGTAAAGAGTATTGTCATGGACTGTAGAGCAATGGCCCTCCAAGCTCATCGGGGGCTCAGGCACAGTCATGTTGAAGAAAAAGGTGATACCAGACCAGAAAAAGAAAATAAAAGAATGCGGGAGGCCAGCCGGCAGCGGACAGTGAGGTCGGGCCGAATAGTTAGAGAATGAACGGTGACTACCAGAGTACTATCTCATTTCGGCCGGGACGAGCGTTCAGGAGCAATGTGCCAGCATCCAGGAGAGCCGGGAGATATTCTTCAAGAATGTGATATGTTCCGGGGGGTGGAAGGAGCGAAAAAGAACGAGGTGTGGAGTTGGTATGCGGGAGAAGCGGGAGAATAGACGACGCGGGTAGCTAGTGTGCTGGATAGAAGGATTGTTGGTCGCGAATCTTCTCGAGATGATCGGAATGTACGGAAGGACGAAGCTCAAGGCTTTGTTGACAACGCGAAAAAGGAGAGCGAAGGTGATTCAAGCGACAGGTCGCGAACGAATGAAGCTGAAGACGGTAAGTACACATACATGCATCACAACAAACAAAGCACTCACCGAAGGGACGGAGTGCGCAGCACAGGGAGAAGAAAAAAGGATGAGGCAGGAGTGAGACAAGCACCCCCTAGAGCCCCGAGTTAGCGTGGAAAAAAGGGAAAGGACGCGATCCCCTTAACGGGCCAAGCTTATGACGAAATGGCCTAGGGGTTTTTTTTTTCCTCTTAAAAAAGATTTAAATAAGCAAAATAATTGAGATAATCAATTGATAGGTTCTTAATTTTGAGTAAGCTTTGAATGTTCTTCAGATGGTTGTTTCCTCGTGCATAGGGGAAAAACCTGCATCTAATGACAAGAGTATGGAGTATTCTCGGCTACAATGAGTGTCTCCACCAACTTGCATTGCAATAAGTTATACGAGTATGTACAGATTTGCTCTGTAAGTGCTATAATAAATGTTCTATAGCCGATGTAAGGATGCAAAACCAACAACTGCTTTGTGTAATGTCATAGGTTCCAGTTTACCTCCGTACCAGCCACCAAACGCCAAACGCCCAAACATCAGAACCGAACCCCCTTTTTTTTTCGAAGTGGATCAAACACAACCCGTGGATTTATCCCCGTGCGCGTGTAACCAAGAGAGAGAAAAAACAGGTATAGCACCAATCAATATACTCCATAATATGTGTTGTACATAGTAGTAGACAATCATCTTTCTTACCCATGGGATTCTTTTTTTTTTTTTGCTTTCTCTTTTTCTTTTCTTGTTCTCTCTGGTTTCATGTAAATAACAAGGATCAGATCTCCAATGAAAAATCGTGGAAATCTCATCAAGCCATATCTAAACCCCCGCTTGCCAGGAACTAGCGTGGGATTAAAATGAAATCGCCCCTCAAACTAGGCGCCTCTGGGACTCCTCTTATTCCTCTAATTCCTCCACTTGGGCTCGTGGGTACAACGGTCGTGTTGAATAGATGATGTATGACCTGGCCCGTGCTGTGCTCACGAGTCACACGTTCCTGCTTTTCTTACTTGCCGTGTACTCCGTTCGAAAGAGAAAAACAGAAAAAAAAAACAGAAAAAGAAAAGGAGAAGTTTCAAACTTGGAAAAAACCAAAGAAAAGAGATTCTGACTGGATGGAGGACAAGCAAAACCTTGGATCGCACAGTCCCCACACGGGCTGACTTGACCTTGGGGTATTGACATCCATGGATTGGACCAACTCTTACCGAGTACAGGCAATATACAAATCAGCCTGCAAATACTGGGGGTTTGTCCGAGTACGCATTTTGAATACACTGGGGAGGTTCATGCAAACATAGCCAATAGTTAACTTGGAGGATATTAATAACACAGGGCCCCGCTCTACTGCCCGCTCTTTTTCCACTGGTGCGCCTTTTGGAGCAATCTCGATAGATTCGCGGCCGCTTGATCGTCTGCCGGGAATACGTAGTCCATGTATTCCTCGTAACGATCGTCCTCCAACTTGCGGCGTTTCTTGACCCGGCGCGGCATCTGTTTCTCGATCTTGTCAATGTCCTCTGCCGAACCGTAGGTGTTCTCGAACGATCGCCAAGCATTCAGTAACTCCACGCGCTAAAAAAGAAAAGAGAAAAAAATTAGTATGAGTATGAACCACACAAAATATATACCACAAAAAATCACATACCTCTTCCTTCATATCCTTGTCCTTGAGGACCTTGTGTGCCCGATTGAATACGGCACGAGCACGTCGCTTGGCTTCCTCGCTGACCGGTCGCTCCTCTGCCTCCTCTTCCTCTTCCTCTTCCTCCTCGGGTATATTGACTTCGAATCGGGCGTAGTTGATCCACACCTTCACGTGGTCGGTCTTGGCCAGGAGACGCTCGTACAGCGCCCGTACGCGATCGTACTCTTCTTCTTCCTCTTCAAATTCAATGTAGGACTTCCAAACCAGCTCCGGCATATCGAGCGTCGGTTGATCAATGCCCAACTCGTACAGGCCCCGCGCCCGGTCTTGGTCATCCAATCCACGTTCAAGCTCGGCATATTGAATCCAAGATTGACTGTTGGACGGATTCCATTCGATTTGCTTTTCGTACAGGGTTCGGCATCGAACGAACTCAAAGAGCTGTCGCTCCAGGTCAATGTAGCCACGGAAAAGCTTGTCTTTGGGGCAAGCACCGATCGCCATACCCAGGGTCTTCCGCGCGGTTTGCAACTCCATTTGACGGATCTCGAATTGCGCTTTCATCAGCCAGACCTTGGCAAATGTGAACTTCTTGTGTGGCACCAGCTTTATGCATTCCTGGTAGATCTGACGTGCACGCTCGGTATCCTTGGCCTCCATTTCTTCCCATATGGCGTAGAAGATCCAGAGGTAGATATAGCGCCGCCAGTGTCGCTTTTCTTGTGATGGGGGAATCTGGGCAATCGCACGTTCGTAGATGTCTCTCACGCGCTCCGGATCACCTGCTGTTTCCTCAAGTCGTGCAAAGTCAATCCAGATATCGTAATTCCGCGAATTCTCCTTGAGCTGGTCTTCATATTGGACTCGGCGTTTGGAAAGAATAACATCCTCGACACCTTCCCGATCACCAAACTGCTTTTCGAAAGTTGTGTAGGCCTTGTGTAGGACCATCGACTTGGACCGCGGTAGGCGATCAAGGGCATACTTGTAAATCGCTCGAGCGCGCGCAAATTCCTTCAGCTTAGCCTCAAACTTGGCATAAGCCGAAAAGAGCTTCTCATCCATAAAGTCCTCGCCCAATGTCTCAATTGCAAGACCGTACACCTCACGAACCAAATCGCTGGTTCCATACTCTTCTTCGAAACGAGCCCATTTGATCCAATTCTTTGGCTCGGGATGCACAATTGTGAAGCGCTGGAAGATAGCGCGGGCTCTGTCAAACTCATTATACCGTTTCTCCAACTTGATATAGCATCCCCATGCTCCCTCTTCGGGCTCCCAGGACATCCAACGTTCAAAGACTTGTCGGGTACCAGGGATATTTCCAAGAGTCTCCTCCATGTAGACATATTTGTACCAGAGTTTATCGATACGGGGAAGGATCGTCACGGCGCGGTCAAGGAGATTGCGAGCATGGTTGATGTTTCGGGTTTTCATCTCGGCCTCGATATACCGGATCCATAGGACGACAGAGGTCGCATCAACATCCAGGGCGCGCTCGAAGATTGATCGCGCACGTCGGAATTCTTTCTGCTCTAGTTCCCATGCTGCATAGCGCATCCAGTTGTTCATATTAATGCGGTTTCGGCGAACATAATCCTCGAATTCCTTGCGCTTGCGGCCTTGGTACTCGTGAAGCTCTTCCAAGTCGGCGAAACGCTGTGTCGGGGCTTGCAAGCCAGGCTCTTGCCGGTCCACGGCCTCACGGAGCAGCTGCTCCGCAGAAATCTGGATCGGCGCAGCGGCCTTGTTCTTGACCCGGGGAGGGCCTCGTGATGCCTCCATGGTGACGGATTGAGGGTATCGGGGTTGGCGGAGAAGTTGAATTGATTAGTTAAGAGGATGGACAGTTATGATGGCAATTGAGTGGATTTGTAGGGAGGGAGCAGCGTAGCTGCGAAAATGAAAAGGAAAGTGGAAGAGAATCAGTACGAGTTTCTGATTCTATCTTCTTTCATAAAGGCCCAAACTGGCCAAGTAAAGATGTTGCAACTCTTACGATACCTCAATCAAATCGCGGATTGAAATCATTGAACCTGCACTTCTGTCCGATTTCGCCACCCGCATTAGCTCTCGTGACTAAGCCAAGCTTCACTTCCGCAAATACAGATTCCACCGAAACTTGACATCTCCAAAGGCCGCCGGTGGCACCTAGAAATCCCTTTTCTTTTTCGACGAGACACCTTACCCTTCATCCAAACTCCCCGCAATCTAAGCCACCATGTCGACCGCGGAGGAACTCATGCGCGATTTCGAGGACGATGATGAAGATTTCCAACAAGATGAGGATCTCGAATTAGAGCAGGAAGATGAGCAAGAGGCTCCCAAAGAAGGCGGCGAGGTCACCAACGAGTTCGACCGCTCAATTACAACCGGTGATGAACTCACCCGACTACACAAAGTGCTGCGCGATCACTACTCTATCCGATTCCCTGAACTCGAAACTCTTGTCACAAGCCCTATCAAATACGCGAAAACCGTCGCTATCCTCAAAAATGGCCCGCTTGACGACATCAAGGCCATCTCTAACTCTACGGACAACTTGGTGGGGGAGTCTCTCAAGGGTGTGCTGGATGGCCCCTCTCTCATGGTTGTCGCGGTCGAGGGAACGGGCACCCGTGGTCGTGAGATGACCGATTCGGAATTGAAGATGGTGATGGATACATGCGAGAAGATTATTACACTTGATCGGGAACGTACAGCGCTCACAGAGAGTATCCGATCTCGTGTGCACCAGATTGCCCCCAATCTAGCGACACTCATTGGAGCTCAAACTGCCGCCCAGTTCCTCAACCAGACCGGTGGATTACTAGACCTAGCGAAAATCCCGGCTTGCAACCTGGGTGCACAGGGTTCTAGGAGACAAGATGGATTGGGTTTCGCTACGAACCATGGCGTGCGGTCACAAGGCTTCCTGTACGACTCGCCACTTATTCAGGAAGTTCCCAATGACCTGAAAAAGCAAGCCATCCGAATCGTATCCGCCAAGATGGTTCTCGCAACCCGCGCCGATGTATCAAAATATGCCAAGGATGGCTCGCTCGGCGAGGAACTGAAAGAGCAATGCTTCAAGCGACTGGAGAAACTGACTGAGCCTGCCCCTAACGCTTCAACCAAGGCCCTTCCAGCCCCAGATGATAAGCCATCCCGGAAGCGTGGTGGTCGACGTGCACGAAAGGCCAAGGAGGCTATCGCTATGACTGAGATGCGCAAGGCCCAGAACCGGGTTGCCTTCGGCAAGGAGGAGTCAGAGGTCGGATACGGTACAGGCGAAGGCACTGTCGGTCTGGGTATGCTGGGCCAAAAGGAAGATGGCCGCATTCGTGCTACACAGATCGACCAGCGCACCCGAGCCAAACTCAGCAAGAACAACAAGGGCTGGGGTGGCTCCACCCCGGCCGGTGGTACCGCCTCCTCTTTGCGTGGCTTTGGTCAGGGCGGCATGAGTGGCACTGCCAGTGTTCTTCAATCCAAGGGCCTCCGCAGCTCGGGTGTTGGAACTTCCTTGGGTGGCGGCTCAGCTGGTACCGCTAGTACCATTGCATTCACACCTGTGCAGGGTCTCGAGCTCGTTGATCCTAAGGTGCAAGCCGAACTCAGTCGCAAGCGCAAGGCTGAAGAAGACCGTTGGTTCAACTCTGGCACATTCACGCAGGTTGGCGGCAGCCAGAGCAGCACCCAACCCAAGGAAAAGGATGGGTTCAAGGTTCCAGCTCTGCCGCTCAAGAAAAAAGTGGATACTGGAGAGGGCAAGATGGGCCCACCTGCTAGGCCATAATGACATCCGCTTGTCTATGTATTTGTTTATTGCGGATCTGCATCTGGGTGGCGTTCAAGAACTATCAATGACCAGAGGTGGCTGGCTTTCATATTTTAACCTCGTGATACCAAATTTTGTACAGTAAATTGACCGATCTGGTCATAGCCAATCACACCAAAATTCCAAACATGGAAAACTTTGAAGGATTTCAAATTCCCGTTCAGCCTCATCTGGGCAGGATTTCTTCGAATTGATTGAGTACACCTGGTACCCAGTAGAATTTCGTACATACTGAACATTCATTCTACCAGCATATGGCTCTCCGCCACACCTTCTGAGGCGGCGCGCAACTATGCACAGATATCAGGTCATTCATTTGAATATTACGATGCGATTTTCTTAGCAAAAAATCTAGGTAGCTCCTGGATTTTGCTTGCAGTACGTTCAGGTTACCAATTGGTGACTTTGAGGTCTGGCAGCCCTGGACTTTTTCATGGCCAAACCGAACGTTGATTTGAAAAATGGCTCCAGGTGGCGAAATTCGCGGGTGAGATCAAATATTGGCTTAGCTCCCTAAGGGCTATGTAGTTTGTACCTTCTACACTTAAACTCGTGCCTCTAGAGCCTATCAAATTGGAGGCTTTGAAATGTAATATATTTCTGTATCCCCTGAATTAACTTTGAAGGGTTTATTCTTATTTCTAAAAATCCCATGGTTCAAATGTTTCTGCCCTGATACATATTCATGCATTGCAGATCAGGGGATTTACCGTCCGCGGGTACTCCGTATACATATTCCTTAAACGTCAACGCTGCCGAACCATGGTTAAAGACAGAAAACCCTGTTCTAGAATTTATTCAGCGAACCAAAGAAGAAATTAACAATGGAAAAAGGAAAAGGGAAAGCCGGTACACCTAATGAAAATTTAATGAAAATTTAACCTTTGCCCCAAAACACGTGGAGGCTTTAGCCGTCAAATATTTGAATACATTGGGGCACAGTGAAGTCAGGACATGGCAATCCCAAGCAGCAATTGATTAGACACATGTGCACGATCTCACTGAGGCAAGTGGCTTTTCAGGACTAAAGAAATTGAACTATCAAATGTAGATTGCGTGACAACTTTAAAGATCCGACCCAAACTTTGACTGTGGCACATTCAATGGCGTGCTTATGCCGAGTTCTGTAGCCGTTCTTTCGCAATCTGGGGGAATGTGGCACCAAATCGAGAAACATGGTAGCGGTGTGCAGAGCTTGCGTGCTCAATTTTTATCACTGTGGTTTTCTTTTAAATCCTTAGCAAAGTCCGTGTCGCCTTCTTTCATCCTCTCCCTCTCATCGTCCTCGCATTTTTCTGCCTTGCATAGACCCGCCAGTGCTCATCAAGAAAAAATTGGCTCTTGATAGACACATACTGCACCAATCCGTGTCTCGTTGACTTTGAGAATCAAGCAAAAGCAAACCTCACATATAATATCTGAAACCCGCAGCAGAATTCCAAGCATGACAGTCGAAGTAGCCGTACCGACCCTGAGCGGTGCATCAACAAAACTCGGCCTGGGCAAAGAGCCAAGCCCTCAACCCATCTTGAATCGGCTACTCCGGCACGATCTGGTAACATCGGATTTCGACGAATTGAAGTTCCAAGCTGCTGCGTCTCGCCAATTGCAACTGCCGGCAGACGGACCGCACCAAAAGTACGACGCTTCAGACATCCAAGACTCCCGTCTGATCGCCTCACCATACAATTCACCACCCCATCTCCTGGACCTCAACAGCCTAGACACGCAAAGCCGGCTCCTATCTCTGGCATTGGCATATTTCACGCCCACCAGAGACGACTATGCGACAGCAGAGTACCTGGATTCGTTCAATTGGACCGAAGTCTTCGATCTCGTGAAAGCATTCTCCGCGGCCGAGGGCCACACATGGACAGCGCAGACTTTCTATGTTGTGTCGTTCCGGTCAGTCCTGCAGCCTGGTGTTGATAATGACCATCTGCATGATCTGGATGCGTATTCGCACCAGGAAGCTACCGCCAGCGGTGGGTTGCTGAAGTATTGGTACGGAACCAAGAACGAGAAGCGACAGAATCTGGCGACTTGTGAGTTACTACTATTTCCTTGACTTGAACTCCGTGGCTGGCAATGGCTAATTATTGTGAATAGGCATTTGGCGGCATCGAAATGATGCGAGGTTGGGAGGTCGAGGCCCGTGGCATGCCAAGGCTAGGGCGGCTGGAAGGGAGCTGTATGAGGAGATCGTGTTCTCAACTATGAAGCTGGTCATTGAGGATGGGGTTTCTTCTTGGAGTATGAGCAAATGGACTGATGCGGATGAATAACGAGGGATTCTAGTGTTGTTTCAAATGTTGTTTTTTCAGCGCATGGACTGGAGTTTGAGATTATTAATTAGCATAAAATATATACATATGGGGTTCATCATTGAAGATCAAAAAACAAGGGACCGTATGAACATTGAAGGGATAGTCAAACCTGAATGATCGAAGGACTCCATGCGAGGACGAGCATGTGTAGTCAGTTCCAAGATTTCTCATTCTACTTGCGTCATAAATCTCTGGACCTATTAGTATGAACATGTTAGCAATCAAGGTAGTTGAGAAATGCATTTTCGCGGGGTTCATATGGGATTGCACCAGATGACCAGGTGAGGGGCATCAGCGCGTTGTGACATCGGATAAACTCCACTATATATTTCAATTGTCAAATTAGAGTCGAGGAATAAAAATATGACATGACGGTGCAACCTATCAAGGTGATAAAAAGAAGACTTCCAGTGACTTTCCCCGCGACAAGAGAAAAGAGTAAAATTTCCCGCAGTGGAGTACTAGTATTGAAGGGTTCCACTTCTTCATCGAGTACACTTCCCCGCTGTGAGAGCGGGGATAATTACCCTTCTTTCTTCCATCTCGGCCTCGCGCAGCCCAAAGATCTCTCCATGAAGTCACAAACTCCATAAAATCGCCGAAATGTTGCTAAGCGTGGTTAGCGATTACAACTGTGGCTGTTTGGTTGGACGTGGCCCTTGATTATTTGATTTGATTATCCCCACAATCGCGGCAAACCGTCCTACAGCAGGGCAGCCATGAGGCATATAAACCTCAACATGTTCCACGGGGTGTCATTGTTTTTTATTTCCTGATAGGCCCAAGGTCCAAATTCTTCAAGGTTCAATACTCTCGCCTTCCCATTATACAAAATGGTTGCCATCCTAGCGGACCGCCTCGCAGTCAGCGACGGGCCCTTGAACTCAGAGAACGCGGCTCTCCTCCGTCCCTCTGATGCCACTCTACCACTCGAGGAGCTACGAAAGAGATTTGAAGAGGATGGATATCTCTTTTTGAAGCAAGTGCTTCCACGAAACGATGTTTTGGAAGCCCGCAGCGCATACTTCTCATCGCTCAAGTCCACCGGCATTCTAAAGCCTGGCAGCGAGCCCGTCGAGGGTATCTTTGACCCGGCAAAAAGCCACGAAAAATATCCTGGAATCGGCGCTGGACATGCCGACGGGAATGGCAGACCGGGTGGTGAACAGGCCGCGGCATTCGTGGACCTAGCCCTCGACGCTCATTACCAAGACTGGTATGCAGAGAAATTCTGCAACCACCCGGCTCTATATGATTTTATTGCTCGATTCTCCGGCTGGAACGAGAACACGCTCAGTCTGCGTCGTACGCTACTGAGAAACAACCTTCCCGGCTCGAAGCCCATTGGTGTGCATTATGACCAAATCTTTCTGAGACATGGCGACCCGACCAGTATCACGGCCTGGGTCCCGATGGGTGACATCAAATTGAATGGCGGGGGCTTGATCTATCTGGAAGATGGTATGTTGAGGCGTCGCTTCCCATTGCCTAAGCACTTGGTGACATGCTAACCTGGATTGTAGGCGACGGTATTGGGGTGGAGCTGGAGCAAGCCTTTTTCAAAAAGGCAAAAGAAGCCGGTATGAGCGATGAAGAGGCTAAAAATGGCTTTAATGCCAATATGATGGCCACGGGCTTGCTCTCGGAATTCCCGGCGGAGTTTGCCCGGGATCATGGGCGGCGGTGGTTGGTCTCGGCCTACGAGGCTGGGGATGTTGTCTTACACAAGCCTCATATGGTATGTTCTCGATTTTTTGATAGATGAACTGCCTCTGACTATGGAGTTCTAGATTCATGCATCAACCATTAACCATGATCCCGATAACGTGATTCGCCTTGCGACGGATCTTCGATTCTGTGACTCGTCAAAGCCATTTGATAAGGTATGTCTTGCTGAGGAATACCCTCAAGTTGAACACCAACGTGCTAATGATTTTGCTCTTATTCTAGCGATGGATGAATCACTACACTTTCAATGACGGGGTTTAGATATGACGTTGGCTGTCAGATTCTAATTTTCATGTATATCCTGTCCTTAACGAACTCAATAGTGTCTTTCGTATAAATATTGAGATTCTAAAACATAAGTCAAGAACTTGATCCGGGATCACTGTAGAAACAAAAATACAACTCGTCCATTGGCTCAGAAGTTAGTATTGGTTGATGCCGGCGCGCTTGCAAAGATCAGCTCCGGGAATCAGAAAACACAATCAAACACAATCACCCCGTCATTCTTCTCTTGGCAGGGGCGTATCATCCCAGGAACACTTCCTTATCCTTCTCTTAATACTGTCATTATGATCTAGTTGGGCAGTACCTAATTGGTCTTCCCCAGCCTCTGGAATGCCTGCTCCAGGGATCAACATCGCGCACAGATACCCCTAGCTTCACTGGCGTCTCCCGAGAAACCAGGGTAGCCACCAGATAAACCAATATTCCAAATATTGAAGGCTGGAAGATACGCCCTGAGACAAGCGTGGCAGCCAAAAGCTAATTGAACAGAAAAACTGATTGCTAAATATGAGGTGGGAGGTGGGTTTGGTAAAATATGCGATAGATGGAATTTGTATGCCAGGTCGGTATACCGTTTCCTCAACCTTCATTCCACAGGGTCACAACAATCGCAAAACCCCCCTCTCATATAACAGAATATATGAATCATAGGTACCCAGGTGGGTCGCTGATCGACCAAGCGTGTGGAAATCCCCTTGTGCATATACCCACCCTTTGGCACCGCTGCGGTCTTTCTGCTGTCTCAAACCACCACCCTCACATTCGTTTTGGCGCAGAAGACCCAAGACACTATTCAAAATGTTATTCCCATCCAGCTCCTCCTGGGGAATTGCCACGGTAACAGCGCTTTTTGCTGTGACCGCGTACGGAGTCCCGCTTCGCGAGTCGCCTAGCGAGACTGAAAGCCAACGAGGAGCGATGATCCAGCCTCGCGACCCAGTAAATGACCCAACAGGCGAAGAAAGATAAAAGAAACTTTCAACTAATAAACTAACAGAGAATTATTCCTGATACCGAGAACTATATCCACAGCGTCTTCGACATGCTGGGCCTTCCGGCCCTAGATAGCGTGCTATCAGTGGCATCATCCAGTAGTTCATCGGCCGCCTCAGAAACCCCTGCTTCTTCTAGTCATGCGATTGACGTGAAGGTTACACCTACGCCGACTCCAACCCCAACGCCGACTACCTTCGAGAAGAAGCCGACGCCTTCCCCGACCACCACTGCAGATGAGGTTACATTCTCAACGACAATCAAGAATGGGAATGACAGGCCAGTTGAAAATATTCAGATTGGACAGGGCTGGAAGGGCTCGAACCGTATCCAAGCTTCGGATGTGCCTTTTATCATGGGTGCTGTTGAGTCGGCGCTTGCGGATAGATTCAACGACATGATTGATAGCTCCGATGAGCTCGGATTGAAGAAGTGAGGAGTTGTGTTCCGATTGTGGTATTTCGATATCAGATGCTTGCGACCTCGGGAAGCGTGCTGATACCCGGTATCAAAAAGAAAGAGTTGATGTACTAATGGATGGATCAATGTGATTCGCTCGGTAATGATTTTTTATAGCTCTACGAATGTATAACTAGTTTGCTTTCTGTGCTACCTGTCCATCCACTGATATCTCCCAAATTCTGTTCACTCAGTTGGGCCCAATCGACCAGCACTGAAGATACCAATAATAATGTCGTCAATTTTGTGAGCTTTAACAGAGAAATAACTCGGCTAACACAAATTAGCTATGACAGGAAGATCAGGGTAGTAGTCAAACTGCACTATCTGAGTTTGCAATAGCAAAACTCTACAAGTGGGGCAACTTTTGCCTCAAATATAACCAAGCCTTTCAAAATCCCATCTTGCGCACAAGAGAAATTACAGCCATGTTGAAGTCATGTTCGGGCCGCTCAGGTAGACATTGATTTGCATGGCCTGGAGCTTCCCGTTGTAATACTGGAGAACTTCCATAGTGTCACCAGTGGCAGGGAACGGATACACCAACGGAATTTCACCTGTGGCTTCCATCTCCTTCATCCAAACCACCTGCGCTTCCTGTGGGGCAGTCATCTTATCGGGAATGAAAGCAGAGACATTCGAGTAAGGGTAAACGATGCCTGGAATATTGCCGCTAGTCACAACGAAACCCAACTCCTCGTCGACAACAAGAGCAGTTCGCGGGTTATCATCAACAGGATGACTATCCGGCCAGGTGCAACCAAGCGGGGTAGTAGAACCATTTCCGTTCGTCCCAGCATCAACGACCTTCCATCCCAGCTCGGTAAACTGGCAATCATCGCCAACAGTGACCGAAAAGTTGCTGGTCGATGAAAACAGCGCCACACTCAGATCATACAGCGTCTGCCTTGACGCCTTGGTCCGGTTAGCCGGCGGGCTCATTAGCACTTCATAGTTTGCAGGAAGCTCGGCTGCCGAGTAGGAGAAGCCGTGGTCGCCACGGTTGCGGTTGAGGAACAGCTCCAGCTCGGTGATTTCACGATCGACCACCTTGATTCGACCGCGGAGAACAGTTTCCTTCTTGTCGTTGCCTTCACTGACGTCCAGGGCAAAGTAGGCTGTGCCGTTTGTGGTGTCGATTGCCAGCAGGCTGGGCTCACCGGCCGCAGTGATAGTGCGCCATGCCGTCATCATGGTGACTGCTGCCGGATGCGAGTTTTCGGTTGCGCGGTAGACCTTGGCTAGCGGTAGCATGAAGGGGTTGTGCACCAGCATGGAATCAATGACTCCCTGGACGATGTTGGTCATACACTGGCGGGAGCAGTCGCTGCTCAAAGTACCCCTGCGGCCCAGCGCGTTTGAAGATGCTTCGCCCATTGTGGACATCGCTGCTGCGATGCCCATTGACAAGCGGAGCAGCTTGAGTGGACTTGGAAGGTGCATTGTGAGTTGATGACTGGTGCTTTAGGAACTCTGCTGGTACCAGGCAATGCTTTGCACTATTCAGATGAGGATGCTGATAGTGGAATTACAAGAAGGTAAAGCCCGGTCTTTATACCCCAGTTCCCCAGAATCAACCCCGCATCTTGCTCATTCTTTAGTGCATTTACTATAGCAATATGTAGGTCTATGACAAGGCGTATGAGTGCGTCAAGGAGAATTCAAGCAATAATGCACCGTATTCTCATCGCCGAGCTTTTAGTTTAGTTTATTCAAACTCCGGGGTCGGGTCCATAATCGGCTCCACTCTCTCACTGCCAGTGAATGATTGGCTCAAGAGTATACGATGAACTTACTGGGCTAGTCTAATCGTCTTTTGTATGAATGATGACAGAGCCTTCGCCTCCAAGGACCATGGAAAAAGGCATGATAGTAAGACTTCTTCAGTCTACAAATCGGGCCCTCCTCAAAATACGGTTTAGCGTGAGAAAAGAGGCGTTCTGATTATGTCAATATCGACAACTCAATTCGGGCCCTCCTCAAAATGCGGTTTAGTGCGAATAAAGAGGCGTTCAAAATAAGCTAATGTCGACAAGTCGGGCCCTCCTCAAAATGCGGTTTAGCGTAGATTTGATGCGGGGACCAGCGGGGTCTGGGGTCTGGGGTATTTCTCTCTCCCGATTTCTTTGGTCAACAACTAACAATTGCTGGTTTACTCGATTCCTAAATTTGAGGTGTAGATACTAGTAGATAAGATGAAGTAACTCTGTAAATTTACATGATGGAATAACAATAAGAACTTGACTGGGTACGTGGAACATTCATGACCAGATACTTTACAAGCACAAAATACAAACCTATAACTCTACATTAGACCGACCCACTATTCGCATTCCAATGGCCTGCCAAGTCTTCCGGCAACACACTACCAATAGTTCCGCCGGGGGTTCGAAGATTCAGAACATTCTCATCCTCCTCATGCTCGACTTCCAGCTTCCCATCTTCCGCGCTACGAGCAAAAGAGATAATCATCTGCAGCAAAGTTGCAAACCTCTGCAAGCCCGGCTGTTCAGATTCCTCCCATTTCTTGATATCCTCACTTACATCCTTGACTCGAATATCCTCGAACTTCCCGAACTTATGATATGCGAGCACGAAGTTGGGAATTTGGCGGAGCCACAGCCGGCTTATCTCTTCCGACAGGGTATCGATGTCGGCTTTATAGACAGCACGTGTCTTCAGGTCAAATATCGCACATTGTGGAATATAGCGACCACCTTTGGAGATTATAAGAGTACTTGACTCTTTTTCAGTGGAGTCCGAGTGAGCGGCAGATATTTTAGCACCCTCAATAGAAGACAGGAGGTCATCGGGCTCCACGTCGCTTTTTTTATGATCGGGATTCTTCTTGGCCTTCAAATCTTCGGGGATTAGGTCAGGAAGATAACCATCTGCTTCAAACCTCACTAAGCAGTTCATGTTGGCAATTTCAAAGGTTATAAGACGTTGATGAGACTCTGACTTTGGAACATGCTTGCTCCATGTTGTGTACGCCTCTGGGAAGGTGTGTCCGAATCCTTTAATGTTCTGGATGGTTTCTTTGGGAGAATTCTCCCTTCTGCTGAAGAATACCGTGTTCCCGATGACTTCGATCAACATTCTGAATGAAGGGCTTTTACCGCGGGCAAATCTTAACAGATTTCCCAGGGTGCTGCCACAAGCCACAATATCCACGTCCTCAAGACAAAAACCCGGTTTATCCTGTAGAATTGCTTGGATCATGGGCTTTAGCGGATATTTGGGATGCCGTGCCGCATTCAAGTCACGAAAGTAGACACCAGAGTCCGCTCGCAGCTTCGTGGGCTGTGAAAGTGGCGTCCATGCTGGGGGCTCGCCTAAAGCAACAAATTTGTTAGTAATGGTATTGGTACCTATTTTGGGTTGCATGGTTGGAACTTGGAAGGTGTCCTTGTGTACCTGGAACGATAATTTTGTGTTCTCCACCACTGACCCAGTTGTAGGAAGTCAAGTATTGTGTATTGGTGATTTGAACAGGATTATGAGATTCGGTTGTGCCATCTTCAAGATCATGGGGTTCGATGGTAGCAAGAATCTCACCCAGTGGTGGAGGTAGAGTTGGCGGTGGAGTTGGCGGTAGTGATGATCTCCCACGCCAGTCACCCCTACCGTTTCCCCAACCACCTCTTCCTCTTCCTCTTCCATGATTGCCTCTTCCTCGGGAACTCATGTCGATGGGTCGAAAAGAAATTGTTTTGGTGTTAAGAATATGGGCGACCGAGTGGACAAAGCAGAATCACCTCAAATGATCACAGGAGATCGCTGAGAGAAAAAAATATCAAAATACAGTGGTGATGTTTTCTTTGAAAACTTATTTTCCTCTTTTTCTAATTATACTTGGTGACTCTTGGCATCCAACAAGTTGCTTTATCTGTTTAACGTGATATTGAGATATACCGGTCGCCACGTCACGTTGACATGTTCTACTATGGATTGGCTCCCGCTCAGCCTGGCGTTTGCCTCGCTTTATCGCGCGGCGTAGCCCTGGAGGTGGCGCAGGTAGCCATTGCAGCATGATAACCAATCGAATTGATCCACAGATATGATTCAAAACAAGCGTTAGAGAGATTGTTGGTTTTACCCCTCAGTTTGGGCACTTGGTCACACCTTGTACACCTTGCTGTGCTTTCAAGGCTGAACAAGGCGAAATCCAACAACGGCAACCTGCAGCTTGCTATTCCCTTACTAGAGGTCTTTTCCACTTCTTTATACCGTTTTTTCAACCTCCGCTCTTCTTTTTTATCAACTGTCTCCTTAAAATGTCTATCAAAATATCCATAACTTGCGACGTGACCATGTCCACGAATAATCGATCGGATCGACTGGCCAAATACTTTGCAGCTGTTATCCACGGAAAGCAAGAGGTCGGGGATCTCAACGGCTTTAAGAAACTCATCGAAGCCATTCTAGAAGCCAAAGATTCCTGTGTGGCTATTGAGAGACTGGTCAGCAGTCAGAATGCCCTGGATGCTCTTCGAAATGGTCTGAGATTCAATCTGACACCGGATTTCATCAACAAGCATACATCGAAGCTCATCAATGTTTTGAGCAGACCGGAGATCAAGCTTTTATGCAACGGCCTATTCCTTGAACAACTTCTTATTATTATTTTGGAGCCCCGAACACTCTGGAATACACTTTTGAATGCCTTTGGTACCCGTAAACTGGATGAAGACGCTATTCACACCTTCTGTTGGTTGACCACGGAGCTTCTGTCACTACCGGCTTCATCTGCGGTAAACATCATAGCGGATGCTCAGACTATCTTGAGTGATGGGTACCTTCTTTCGTCATCTTCAGTATCGCTGCGCAATCTGGGACACAAGATCAAGTATCTGCTAGATATGAAGTCTTCCGCCTCCACTGTCCTGGCATCCGAGAACACAGCAGGTGGTCGTCATGATAACGATTTTGCCGATTTCCGCCTCACGGCTATACTTCCCACAACAGATGAGATGGGTTGTACCGAGAAACCTTTCTATCGACGTGTGGATGAGATCACACAGCTCTCTGGTAGCCAACGCATCGCGGCACATGCCGACAACCAATTCCGGCTTTTGCGTGAAGATATGCTGTCCGCACTGCGAGATGACATTCAGGTCGCAACAGGCGCAAAAAAGGGTAGAAGATCTGCTTTACGCCTCGGAGGATTGTCTTTGGCTCGCATCTCTTGTCTATCACCGGACTTGAGAAACATCCGCCCGTGCACCATTGGCGTCAATGCTAAGTCAGGCTTGAGCAAGCTGAAAACCCTTTCCGAAGAGAAGGCCAAAGAATATCTCAAAAGCACCCCTCAGTTTGTCAAACACCGGGCCTTTGGGTGTTTTGTGCGGAACAAGGAGATTGTGGCATTTGCTACAATTGAAAGAAACGTTGAAGATCTGATATCCAAACCTCCAGTGATCATGCTACGAGTTGTAGGAGAGGAGGCGATGAAAAAGTCTATCCTCTTTCTTAAACTCTATGACGACGTCGAGTTTTTGGTAGTTGATACAGCAACTTTTGCTTATGAACCAATTCTGAAATGTCTGCAAGAGAGGGTTGAGTATCCTCTTACCGAAGAATTGTTTCTGTACGAAAAAGACGAACCAGTGAAGAACTCCGCCTTGGCACCTTTAGACGTGATCAATGAGTTGCATGAAAATTACAAACCTAATATTCAAACAATCTTGAAAACGTCAAAGCCAGTTAGATTGGACCCATCCCAACAGGAATCTCTGTTGGCAGGATTGAGTCAAAGGGTCAGTCTGATCCAGGGACCTCCAGGTATGAAGACTTCAGGATAGCTGCTTTAAGGTACCGGAGCTGACAAGATGATTTCCAGGTACCGGCAAATCATTCATAGGGGCAATTTTGGCCAAAATTCTACATGATCACACCAAAGACAAGATACTGGTGATGTGCTACACGAATCATGCATTGGATCAATTCTTAGAAGATTTACTTGACATTGGCATTGACTCTGCCGGAATTGTTAGATTGGGATCCAAGTCAACACCTAGGACCCAGCCACTAAGTCTCAAAGAGCAAAGCACCACTAGAGTTAGGCCTGGTTCAAACTGGAACACCATCAACGCACTCAAGGCACAATGTCTGGAGCAGCGAACTGCCATTAACAGCTCATTTTCAGCATATCAGAAGTCAGCAAATTCGTCAGCAGTCTTAGACTACCTGGAATTTGAAGATCCTGAGTACTTTGAAGCCTTCGCCTTACCCGAGGATGAAAATGGAATGAAGTTGGTAGGCTCGGATGGAACAGCAATCAAGAAGGACTATCTTTACAACCATTGGATCAAAGGGGAATCTCCAAACCCGATTTTCACTAAGCATTTGTCAACTAAGAGCTGCGGTATATGGGCTGTGGACCAGAAATTTCGAGATGAGAAGCTTCAATCGTGGAAACGTGCTTTGCTTGATGAACAAGCTGCATCTCTCGCGGTGCACATGGACCTGTTTGACAAATGTGAAGAGAAGCTCTCTGCGACATTAAAGGAGAAAACACGCGAGATCCTGAAAAACAAAAAGATTATAGGATGTACGACAACTGCTGCAGCAATGCATGCCGAAGATCTTAAGCATGCATCACCAGGCATCGTGTTATTGGAGGAAGCTGGCGAGATTCTCTAATCTCACGTTCTGACTGCAATATCCTCAGACACAAAACATTTGATCCTGATCGGAGATCATCTACAACTCCGGCCAAAGATCAATAGCTACGCCCTCGCCACGGAAAAGGGGGATGGATATGACCTAAACGTGTCTCTTTTCGAAAGACTAGTCCATAGCGGGTATCCACATACGACCTTGCAGAAGCAACATCGGATGTGCCCTGAGATCTCAGATCTCGTGCGCACTCTCACCTACCCACAATTGGAAGATGATGAGAAGACGAAGACTCGTCCTGAGCCACGAGGCTTATCCGACCGCGTAATTTTCTTCGATCATCGAAACTTTGAAGAGCAGTTTTCAGACGTCACCGATCGACGGGATGAAGGAACAAAGCAGTCTAAGCAGAATATTTTTGAGGCAGAGATTGTCTTGAAGATCGTTAAGTATCTTGGGCAGCAAGGGTACGGAACAGACAAACTCGTCGTTCTCACGCCGTATCTCGGTCAACTTTCACTTCTGCGCCAGACGTTGAGCAAGCAGAATGATCCGGTGCTCAATGATCTTGATTCTCATGAGCTTTTACAAGCAGGGCTGTTGTCGCATGCCAGTGCCAAGCACAACAAACAGCCGATCAAGCTTTCCACAGTCGGTACGTAGCAAGAATGACAGAGTACTTTTTGACAAGCAAACTGACCATCGAGACCAGACAACTACCAAGGAGAGGAAAGCGAGATTGTGATAGCCTCACTCACACGAAGCAACAAAACTGGCGACATAGGATTCATGGCAGCGCCAGAGAGATTGAACGTACTTCTTTCTCGTGCCCGGAACGTACTTATCATGGTAGGAAATTCGGAGACATTTGTCTCTAGCCGTAAAGGGCAAAAGTGCTGGAGGCCGCTCGTTGATCAGCTCAAAGCCAATGGTCATCTATACGACGGACTACCTGTGAAATGTGAACAGCACCCTGATAAGACAGCTGTACTTCGGACCAAGGAAGACTTCGACAGAGAGACTCCAGACGGTGGATGTTCGGCACCTTGGTAAGCTTATTCTCTTTTCATCACAGTACATTTTGTTTCTAACACTGGTTTTTGCGATAGTGGTGTTAAACTAAATTGTGGAGCACACGAGTGCCCATCCAAATGTCATCAACTCAAGGATCATTCCAAGATGAGGTGCACCAAGATTGTCAAATGGAACTGTCCTCGGGGCCATACTCTGTCTTCGCCATGTTCGTTGGCCAAGGGGTCATGTCGCTTCTGCACCCAGGAAGACAGGTTAAAAAAAGAAAAGCATGAACGTGATGTGAGGCTCGAGGCGGAGCGACAAAGAAATCAATCTTTATACGCGATGCAAATTGCCGAGCTTCAGGACGAAGCTGCTCATTTGAGACTTCTGAATGCCGATAAACTCATAAACGCGGAGAGAGCAAGAATTCTTGCGCAGCACCATGAAGAAATCAAACAGCTGCGAGTCCCCCAAAGCCCAATCACAAACCCGATCACCGAGCCGGTCAGCACGCAAAGCGCAAAGGAACAGATAGCGAAAGAGGTTGAGTCGCGACCAACATCTCCTATGCTTCAAAAGTCCGAGAATAGTGCAAGTCAGCCTATTTCTTCCAGTAATGAGCCCAGGGTGAAGCCCCCGACTCGGCAGGTAATGCCTAAGAATCCAGTTTCGAAAGCAAAGACCGATTGGGACTACCAAAAATCTTACTTCAACTCCCGGAGCCCAGAGATTGACATTTTGATGAATATGGTTGGACTTGAGTCAGTGAAGTCTAAATTCTTGACGATCAAAGCCAAAGTCGATACTGCCGTTAGGCAGAATGTCGATTTGAGCCGAGAGAGATTTGGAACTGTGCTTCTTGGCAATCCTGGAACTGGCAAGACGACAGTCGCACGACTGTACGCAAATTTCTTGGCCGCAGTGGGCGTTATTCCAGGTCGCAAGTTCATCGAGACAACAGGGTCAAGAATATCAAACGAAGGCGTCTCGCAATGTCAGAAGATGATTGAGCAGCTACTCAAAGATGGCGGAGGAGTTGTCTTCATTGACGAAGCCTATCAAATGGTCCAGGGCAGCAACTTTGGTGGTGGTCAGGTGCTTGATTTTCTTTTAGCTGAGATTGAGAATCTCACCGGGAAGATTGTATTCGTTCTTGCTGGATATCAACGCCCGATGGAGAAGTTTTTTTCTCACAACCCTGGACTCCCGAGTCGTTTCCCACATGAGCTAGTATTCGAGGACTTTAACGACACAGAACTCATGATGATTGTTGAAACTTGGATTGAAAGGACATGGAAAAAGCAGATGAAAGTTGACGATGGGTTAGGTGGACTTTACTGTCGCATTCTGGCCCGACGAATTGGGCGGGGACGTGGCCGAGACGGGTTTGCGAACGCAAGAGCTGTTGAAAATGCCATGTCAAAGGTCACCGAGCGACAAACGGAGAGACTGATGCAACAAAGGCGGCAGAGCTCTGCACCGGTTGATGACTTCTTCCTTGATGCGGAAGACATGATTGGCCCAGATCCTTCTCAAAGCCTCAAGTCATCGGAAGCTTGGCAAAAGCTGCAACGCATGATTGGGTTGACGGACGTTAAAAAGACTGTCCAAAGCCTGATAGACACGATTCAATACAACTATCGTCGTGAAATAGATGAGCAGCCTCCGGTTGGTTACAGTCTCAACAAAGTCTTTCTTGGAAACCCTGGAACGGGGAAAACGTCCGTTGCAAAGATATATGGCCAAATTCTCGTGGATATCGGGCTCCTGTCAAACGGTGAAGGTATGTATACAGGAAAAGTATTACGAATATCTAATATACTAACAAAACACACAGTGATTGTCAAGAATCCCTCGGATTTCGTGGGCAGTGTGATAGGAGAGTCTGAGAAGAACACAAAGGGCATTCTCGCAGCTACACTGGGAAAGGTTCTTGTCATCGACGAAGCCTACAGTCTCTTTTCCGGAGGAACATCCGATGGCACGGGGGCCAAGTCTGACCCATACAGAAGTGCTGTCATAGATACCATCGTAGCTGATGTTCAGAGCAGGCCTGGCGATGATCAATGTGTTCTACTTCTGGGTTACAAGGACCAGATGGAGCAAATGTTTCAAAATGTCAATCCAGGTCTCAGCCGACGTTTTCCGATCGACCAGGCATTCACTTTTGAAGACTTTACTGAAAATGAGTTGGATCTTATTCTTGACCTCAAACTTACAGAACAAGGATACGGAGTCACCGATCGAGCCCGCCAGGTTGTTTTGGAGATGCTTGAACGAGCTCGTAATCGACCACACTTTGGCAATGCTGGTGAAATTGATATTCTGCTCAACGCAGCGAAGATGCATCATCAGATACGCATTTCTTCAAATAAGTCGAAGTCCCAGGCTCTTGATACTGTTTTGGAGGCCGTCGACTTTGATGAGAACTTTGATCGCGCAGAGAAAAGTGAAACCAGTGTTTCGAAGATGTTTGAAGGAGTGATAGGCTGTGAAAACATCGTTTCCAAATTGGAAGGATATCAACAGCTGGTCAAGAGCCTCAAGAAGTTGAATATGGACCCTCGTGAGCAAGTTCCATTTAACTTTGTCTTCCGAGGACCCCCAGGTGAGTGAAAATTTTCATTGATGGCTTTTACTTGATGCATATTTAAAGTTTACTGACTAGATCTGGGTAGGAACTGGAAAGACAAGCACAGCCAGAAAGATGGGGCAAGTATACTACGACATGGGACTCTTGGCTTCAAACGAGGTCATCGAAGCGTCTGCTACGGAGCTAGTAGGTCAATATGTCGGACAGACAGGCCCCAAAACCCAGAAAATGCTGGAGCGTGGTCTTGGAAAGGTCCTGTTCATCGACGAGGCATATCGTCTTGCTGAGGGTCACTTTGCCAAAGAGGCTATGGATGAGCTTGTGGATTGCATCACAAAGCTCAAGTTCGCCCGGAAGCTGATCATCATTCTGACTGGCTATGATGCAGACATAAACCGGCTCATGTCCATCAACCCCGGTCTTACCAGTCGTTTCCCAGAATCTATCCAGTTCGAGTCTTTATCTCCGAGAGATTGCATTCAGTTACTGAATGAGCTTCTCGAAAGAAATAAAGAAGGCGTGCTCAGCAAGTCAAGAGTGAACTTCGACATCTCCTGTCTGTATCGCTCAGATTCCGATCTCAACCAAAGATTGATGTATGGATTTGATATCTTGTCCAAAACTGCAAGCTGGGCCAACGCCCGAGACGTTGAGACACTGGTGAAGGCGATATTCGGGAAGACCATAAAGAGCCTAGGTTCTACCACTGGATCGAAACTGGTATTGAGCAGGGATACTGTGGTTGATGAGCTTCAGGACATGATCGATGAGCGCCAAAGTCGGGAAAATACCCAGCCAACACGTTCCACAATGGGCCTCAACCCGGGAGAGATACTACCATTGCGTACCCAGTCTTTGAATCCACCAGCGAGGAACACGACAAATCAAAGTCAGAACCAGAAATCCGATGACAAGGTCAATGCACCACCAGTGCAGGATAATAGCGCCAAACAAAGTTCTGTCACGGGCCGCGACGCAGGTGTCACGGACGAGGAATGGAATCAGCTACAGAAAGACAAAGCAGATGCTGAGCAAAGGGAGAGAGATTACAGGCGGATTGTTGAGGAGGAAGAGGAAAAACAAAAAGAGTTGCTGAGACTGAAAGAAGAGGAGGAGAAGGCAGCACGGGCAGCAGAAGAGGCAAGACAGAAGCAGGATGAGGAATTGAGGAAGCGCCTTGAACAAGAACGATTGCGACTTGAATTGGAACGCAAGAGGCAGGAGGACATCGCAAGAAAACTCGAAATCCAGCGAAAAGCCTTAGAAGAAGCTCGCGGCAAAGAGCAGGCCATTCAGACGAAGCTTCGGAGCATGGGAGTTTGTGTTCAAGGTTTTCAGTGGATCAAAAGATCCGGTGGATATCAATGTGCAGGAGGCTCTCATTGGGTATCAGATGCTCAGCTTCAATGAGATCATGGGATTTTGTCCACTGAGGTGCGGCGGCCGATAAGAGGCCACCCCTAGGTCAAATCCCAATTTCAACTTTCCGACCGGCAGAAAGTAAATTACGAGTAATTCCAAATTCATATTAGTTTTTGAACTCCATTATGTTCAGGCAGTTCAGCGCTGCATATCACAACAACTGGCAAGAAAGAGAGGCTGAGATCCTAGTCATATAATCCATTCTTAAGTCCCTTCTCAAGACTATTCTCAAGTCTATTCTCAAGTCTATTCTCAAGTCTATTCTCAAGTCTATTCTCAAGTCTATTCTCAAGTCTATTCTCAAGTCTATTCTCAAGTCTATTCTCAAGTCTATTCTCAAGTCTATTCTCAAGTCTATTTTCAAGTCTATTCTCAAGTCTATTCTCAAGTCTATTCTCAAGTCTATTCTAAAAGTGACCCGTATTTAGATCAAATCCCTTAAGATATTCCTGTACGTGATAAATACAATACGGGAAGCAGGGCGGTGAAGTTAGAATGGGATATGACCTAGGGGTGGCCTCTATCGGCCGCCATACACTGAGCAGTGAGGGGTGTATAGGCGATGCCAGACCATTGTACTAGCTAATTGGAGTATCGCACTTGCATAGCGCAAAAAGAAAACTTTCGAATGAATGCAGTGATCACGGTAGAGCACATGGAATACATCTAAAAATGCGAGTCAGCCATGCGCCACCTGCACCTCGCGCAGCTCATCGTCATCACAACAATCATTGTCTAGTTTAGCATCCCACATTTCTAGAGTCAAGAATCAAAAATGCCCAACATTGAATTCGTGGAGGGTCCTGATTGGGACTAGTGCGCTACTCGGTATTTAGTTTGTCTTCCAGACTCTTCCAGGCTCCAGCTGCACTTTAGCCTCTCTTTCCCTCTCCACATCCCAGTCCCCATGCGTTCGCTTCGGGATCCATGAATTTCCAGCTTGATTGGTCACTAGGAAGTGCCAGCGCAACAACTGACATGAAATTTGGAATAAAAAACCTTGGCTTGATGGCGCATTCTTCGGATGCCAACAACGCGCCGTCATGATTGGTTTCCAGAAGCCAAAAGGACCCAGCAGATCAATTGTCAAAGATGTCAAATATTCCAAAAGTTCTGATCTTTACTGGGCTATCATTGGCGAGGCAGCATTTACAAATCAATGAAAAGTGGGCCTCAGCCACAGTCCCACTTTACACATGGCGCAGAAGTTACATGTAGAAAGCGCCAAAGAAAGAAGAGTAAGACGGAAGAAAAAAAAAAGACTCCATTTTGTACAGTGGTACATAGGGGAAAAGGCGGAAATATGGATCCGAGAGAAGGATGCGGTGACATATGACCTCTTCGACAAAGATTACTAGTATGTATGTGTGGGTTGATTTTCTGATACATAGAACACAAGTGGAATGCAGCATTGAAAGAAACAGCAGAACCAATCAGCATTCCTACTTTCTCGGTGATGATCTGCTGCACATCAACTCCACTGGCTACAGTATGTACTGCTCAGACACATACATAACATGACTCTTGATTTTCAGCATAAAACACGTGCCTCTCACGTGCCCACACCGACACTTGAGCGACACTTGAGGATCACGTGGGGCATGTATTTGGCATACATCGAGATCGGAGCCGATCATTCGTCCAACCCGCTTTCCCACTTCTCCACTTTGCGGGAATCATTCCAAATAACATCATGTTTTGATTTTCCTCGGATGAGGGGCGCCCTTTGAGGGGCCCTTTGGGGGCTTATCGTATCCCACATACACAAACACTTGTGCTAATTCAAATTCTCATGCCGCCACAAGCCGATTGACAAATCTTTGTTCTCTATGCGTCAGGTTTGCAACGCTGGCAGGAAAGCCATGCCGACACATCTGGACCTCAGGACATCGGATCTCTCTGCCTACGCTTTCCTCCTCGCGTCTTTAGTCTGGATTTTCCGGTTTCGAAATCACATTTTCTTATGTAGGCTTTGCGACTAACCTTATGAGCCTTTATGAACTATCATGAGGTCGGACGGGAGACGCACTAAGTGGATCAAAAGATGACTTCCCCATCGGATTATTTGTCGGCAAATCAACGATGATTTGGAATTTGGAATTCGGAAGCTTTTTTTCCCCCATCGAGGCTCATGTCAGCATTGCATGGAAGGATGGAAGCCCACCTGGGGAAATAAAAAGAGTCCTACTGCCTCCTCATCTGAACCGATATTACTTTACGTCGATTATTCCCCAATATAAATAAACTCCCAATTTCAACTACCATGGATACCGATCAGTGCGGAGTTCTCCACCCCAACGAGAAGGTTGCTCATTGGATCAACAATAGCATTGGGTCAAACAGGTACGCTTTGAATCCTGGCTACTTTTTTGTTTTGTTTTTTTTTTTCTTTGTAGTAATATACTTATACATTTCACAGCAGGAGGACCTTGGACGCTCAACAACATGCGAGACAAGCCCAGAGCTACAGAGATCTAATGGAAGAGCTTTTCAAATCCAATGAATTACATTCTCGTGGATCAATGTTTGGCTTGGATAGTCAGGTTCGACCTGATCAGAAGAGATCCAAATAACACGTCCGGTTAGTGACAGCTTCTAGCCTTGATGACATCACGAGTTGAGCTAACCAACCTCATTTTCAATTTAGACGCAAGGGTGTGTGACATTCCATCTCTTCCCACGATAAGCATGAATTACGAAATGAGCAATGTGTTTCATGTGATCTTGAATTGGCGTCTTGTGTTAAGCGATTTTTTGGGGGTTCTATTTTATGAGTCAAGATTTTATAATTATTTCAGAGCAGAATATCTGAACCGAGCTACCTCCGGGGCTATACTACCTCGTCCACGTTCAAATATCTGTGCATACTACTTTTGATAGGTAGATCTACTAGTGACCTACTGCCCAGGTGTGCATAGGTGCATACATTATGTAGTCCGTAGGTACTATCTACCTAGGCAGACTTCCCTTGAAGGAAAGAGTAGCGTGAACTTTCAAGTTGCACATGTGTTATATATTAGTAACATAGTATATCCGTACAGGACATCCAAAATTGGCCAAGTATGAGTCTTGAGATAATCCATAATTATTCAATAATAAGCAAGTCATTACGAAGTATACAGTTTCCAGGTGACTCTGCTGCTTGACAACCCGTATAAGAATGGCTGTATTCCCGAATTGACGCATCTCAGACCTGACGCGTCAAAGGGTCGAGTGGGTCCTAATTTGCGAGGCCTTGAACGGGACGTGATCGTCGCCCGAACCACCCCGGATTTTCAGGCTTGTCAAACTTCTCGGAGTCAGAAATAGGGGGGAAAACACCAAGAAAAAAATAAAACCAAAAAAACAAAAAAAAAAAAGTTCAGAATAAGGTTGCGAGGAACCTTTTCAACGCAATTTAGACGTTGTGGAACTTCAAGTGGGTCTACATTGCGCGCAAGTTGCAAATGGCCAGCATGTGCTATGCACTCCGTACTACAGTCCTTGGGTATCCCGATCAGTCGATAGAATTATTCAATGTTTGCAGTAATATTGAAGGCTCTGTACCGGTCAGAGCTCTGGAGTACCTGCCAAGAAGCTACTAGTATATTTACATAAAGATGCGCACTTTAAAATCTGAGCTACCAGTAGCTAAAACACATTGCACACCACCACACTCCCTAACTTCCTTCCCTGTCCCTCCAATACCACCTGAGCTCCCCACCGACGAGTTTGTGCGTGGAGGATCACTTAGCATCTCACAAGGTGCCCAGCGGATACAGCTAACGAAACCCCCATGGATATCCTCGATGGTCTTCCACAGCCTCCCCTCTTGAGCAAGGTCCCAACACCGAATAGTTCGATCATCACCCACGCTAAGCAGAAACCTACCACCAGGATGAAACACCAGGTCTCTAACCCAGTTATCATGACCCACTAGAGTCTTGATCAACAACCCATTGAAATCCCAAATCTTAATCTTCTTATCCCTCCCAGCCGTAGCAACAAACCCAGCCCCCGAAGGCGGGATCTTCCCTGCCGCCAACGCCACAATATGAGAATAACTGGTCGGAGGAGCGAACGCGCAGCATTCAATACGATTCCCATGCCCTCGCAATATAGCTTGCACATCACCCGAAGCCACATTCCAGATCGTCGCAGCATGATCATCACCACCAGATACCAGCCACTTGCCATCGAAAGAGGGGCTCACGTCGCGGATCCAATCGCCCGATGTACAAATGGTTTTCAAACAGAATCCCGTCAAGACATCCCAGATTCGGATCGACGCGTCGCGGCTAGCCGAAACAAGAGTCTTATCGCCGGGCCGCAAGAAGCGCACGCACGAGATGGAATGTTCGTGGCCGACTAAGGTTCGGATGTTGGAATAGTTGGTGCTGGGGTCCCATATTTTGATGGTGAGGTCGCTGGAGCACGACGCGAGCACTATGTGGTCCTTCGGGCCGCCGAAATCAAGGCCCGTCACGGCCCTCGTGTGTCCCTTGAATGTCTTTTCGTGTTCGCCTAGCTCCCAGTCCCAGATCTTGATGGTGCAGTCTTCTGAGCTGGAGGCTAGGGTGTGGAATGTGGGGTGGAAGGCGACGGATGTGATGGCTGCTTTGTGGGATTTTAGAGTGTGGACTGGTTGGTTTGGGAGCCAATTTTCTGGATCTTTATGACGGGGGGCCTTGGGATTTGATTTCAGCTCTTGGGTTAATCTTTCTACCTCGGTTTCCAAGTTCATGATCTGATTGTCGTCAATGATGGTTCCCGCCTTCAAGTTTGAAGATATGCAAGACCCCGCTCTGATTCCCTACCTTTCTTTGGAGCAGTGTGTTTGTCGTCCATTTCTTCTCTAATATTTTTGCAAGTTTAGTGGCGTGGTCTGGGGGGATAAGGTCCAGCCCAAGCTCGTCATGAAAAGAAGCGACAGTTTTGGAAGCATTGAGTGTTGAGAGGTATCCAATTATCGCTTTATGTCTGTCATGTATTAGCATGATATTGTAGTAGATTATTCATAGTAAATGACGGGCAAAAAAGACCATACAGCTCCTTAGATTGAGATTGCGTCAAAATACTCCCACCCATGATAGCTGGATGCGTGTGAAAAAAAAATAGTAAGTAACTATTATTATTCCAGTTTTGTCCTAATTGTTCATGTCAGATAAAACCAACCATTTATTAAAGAGTTTCAAGCAGAAGGTGATCAAGGAACATTAAAAGGAGGCAAGCGGTCAGCCTCCTCACCTTCCGACATTACACATGTGGTCTCATTGTGCCTTTCTTTGAAGGCAAGGGGTTTCAGATAATGTGTTATACACTTACATCCCAACCCTGGAGGTTAGTAGTTACCCAGCGACGCCGATGATTCAGAACGTACAATATTGAACTTAACGCCTTAGAAACCAGGTATGGCCGAGAGTCCTTACTAGGGCGTCTTAGAAGCAGTATGAGTAGTAGACGCAAAAATAAAGAATAATAAATAGCAAGATGCCTGTACTATGTGCATATCGATGTACAAGATCGGTTACTATTGAACAATGACTTTTTCCGCTGTCGTCAATTCCTCCTTCCATCCCTCAGAAAAGATCCCCCTCTATTTCAATCATAAAGTCATGGAAGAGCTTTTCGGGAATCGTGAAAAAAAGAAACTCCGATCAAAATAAGAAATTCATGCCAATCAAAAAAAGAGATTCCCTAATCGTAAGATATAAGGGTATTTTCCGCCTGGAAATTCCGGATATGCATTTCAACAAAAAACCGGTGAGCCTGGCGATAGGGTTAATGACGAGGCAAGATGATCGTGAGGTCCAGGGAATGGAAGGAGATATTTGACCAGCGGCTAGTATAGCCTCTGTTCAGCCGAATTCTCCAATACCAGGATCACCACCACCATCATCATCGTCCTCACCATCATCCGGGTTCATCTCTCCGTCACCAGGGGAGACCCTGACAAGGAAGGGATTCCTACCCTTGGCTACCGAGACTCTACAAACGCCTGGAAACGCCATTACCCACCTGAACCCTCTTTTGCCGCGACGCCGATTGCGCCGCCGCTCAAACTCGCGGCCATCACGGTGGTGATGGCGGCGATGATGCTCATTGAAGATGCCCTTTTCAGTTCTCTTCCTCCAGGAAGTAGTAGTTGCCAGCCAACTTCTGCTCCTGGTCCATTTGACTCTGGTACTTGTTGATACGAGGACGGTAGCTGTTGGGGTCACGACGGAAAGTGACATCAAGGCTCTTCAAGAACTTGTTGCAACCGGTGACCAGAGATTCGGGGGTGTTGGCGTGAGCATCAACGGACGGCTGACCGTCGAAGACGATGACACGGTCAGCCAGGTAAGTGGCCATGATGAAATCGTGCTCGACGATGAAAGCGGTCTTCTTGCTGTGCATGATGAAGCGCTTGATCACACGGGCAGCGATAATACGCTGTTCAGAGTCCAGGTAGGCAGAAGGCTCATCAATCAGGTAGAGATCGGCGGGCATACCCAGAGCAAGGACGATGGCAACACGCTGCAACTCACCACCAGACAGGTTCTGAACCTCCTGGTCAATGAAATCATCAAGCTTCAGGGGCTTGTAAACATCAGTCTGGAACTGGGGCGACAAGAAGGCAGTCTTGATACGCTTGAAGAACAGCTGGCGCACGGTACCCTGGAATTTGGGAGTGATCTTCTGAGGCTTCATGGAAATGTTCATCTTGGGGACGGAGATGGTACCGTCGGGCTTCAGCGCACCAGCCAGCATCTTACAGAAGGTAGTCTTTCCGGTTCCGTTCTCACCCATCATGACGAGAATCTCGGAGTCGGTGAAACGACCAGAGTCAACCTTGAGGTGGAAGTCTCCCATTGTGATCTCCATGTTGGGGTAGCTGAAAGCACGGTTCTTGTCGATGATCATATCATCACCGGCCTCAGTCAGACGGAAGCTCAGGGACTCCTCACGGAAACGCAAGTTCTCAGTGGGGATGTGACCATCCAAGAAGATGTTGATACCTTCACGAACCGAAGAGGGCAAAGTCACGACACCGTAAACGGCGGGACGGCCGTAAAGCACACAAATGAAGTCGGAAAGGTAGTCCAGAACTGACAAATCGTGCTCGACAACAATGACGTAGTCGTTGGGGCGCAAGAGGCTTCGGATAGTACGAGCAGCAGCAAGACGCTGCTTGACATCAAGGTAGGACGAAGGCTCATCGAACATGTACCTATTAATCAAGTCAGATACAGTAGCAATCGGATAGAAGGCACATTGACTTACACATCAGCCTGTTGCACGCAAACCAGACCAATAGCAAAACGTTGCAGCTCACCACCAGAAAGGTGGTCAATATCACGGTCCGCAACCTGTCTCAGTTCTGCAATCGGTTAGATCGGAGTATTTTGAGAGTATTTTTCTTTTGGACAGGACCTACCGAGCACATCCATGATCTCATCCATGTTTTCGAGTTGGGCACGGCTCTTGATAAGACCCGCGACCTGCTTAACAGGACCCTTGACGGCACGAGGAATCTGATCGACATACTGGGGCTTGACAACAGCCTTCAGGTTATCCTCCAAGATTTTGGTGAAGTAGTCTATTTCGAGTTAGTAAATGAGGTCTTTCTGTTCCCCAATAAATATGCTTGGACACTAACTCTGCAGCTCGGAACCGCGGAAGTACTTCAGAATCTCCTCCCAATCGGGTGGGTTATCGTAGCGGCCGAGGTTGGGCTTGAGCTTTCCACTAAGGATCTTCAGCGCAGTACTCTTGCCGATACCGTTTGTTCCAACAAGACCGAGAACCTGTCCAGGGCGGGGGGTAGGAAGACGGTGGAGCTTGAAGCTGTTGGCGGAATAACGGTGGGTGACCTGGCTTTCCAGGTTGGTGGGCAAGTTGATAATGTGAATGGCGCCGAAAGGACATTTCTTAGGACAGATACCGCAACCGATACACAGGCGCTCGGAGATGAATGCGATTTTCGACTCGTTGGTGACCTCAATGCAGAGTTTACCGGACCGGACGACGGGGCACGCCTTCTTGCACTCTTGACGACATTTCTGTACCAATCAGCATCAAAACTCGGTTAAAAGACCTGTCCAGATTCCATACCTTCGGTTTGCACTAATTATCCGGAACATTTCGCGTAAGCGGGCTGAAAACGAGGTTTTTTTTTTCTTTCGCATTAGCGGGGTATTCGGGGACGAACCTTGTCCGAGTTGATAATGGCAATACTTTAAAAGAGACGCACGTTAGTAAGGCGCATCTTGAAGAGCATGGTTCAACTTGAAAGCCGAAAGGAACATACCGGGTGAGCTTGTCAGACATTGTGGCGGTTTGGGTTCAGAGAACCAGCGTCAGGTATAAAAAGCGGGTAATGGGAATGCGTGTAGCGTCTTCGAGGGAGATCGTTGAGTCGAGCGGAAGGGACTGCTGCAGCGTGAGACGTGGAAATAGGGTGCAATGGAGCACCAAGTGTCTGCGCAGACTCGAGCTGACGGAGATGAAAGGCGACAACAATGACAACGTCTTGAAGGGGGGCGGAATAGAAACTAAGCAGTCTCTTTCTTATTGTGGGCTGTGGTGCCTGAGGCAACGATCAAAGAGACCGCCTGAAAAAGTGCCCGCATTATTTAGATTAAATTTGATTGGTCGAGGGATGTGGACGGAGTATCTATTGATCCGGACAACAATGACACATCACATGACTGCCAGTTGTTCACGCGCGAAGCGAGTACGCTAGGCCCAATCGGGAATGAATGGAAATCGACTGCCTGACCCTTCAGGCCAGCAGGCCGATCCTTGCCTGCAAACCAAACCAAACTGAATCAATCCTCCCCAACTCATCTCTCCCTCACTCGTCTCATCTTCATCGCCATATCATCTTCGGCTTCCCCACCCACCATTACTTTTTTACAACATTGATAACCTAGCCTCCCCTCTTCTGGGGTCACCACGCTATGGAGTGTAAGTACTTTGTTTTTTAAACTTGATCTTCCCCCAGACGTGTCGCCAGAACGCTTTGTCCGGGTACTTCTCCGCGTCCTTCGACCCACTGCCATAAATCCCCATATCATATGATTTACTTGAGGTGGACGTGACATTTGAACCGGACCCCCCATAACCTGATGTTCTCGTTCTTCCTGGACGGGTCATTGTGGTCAATCTCCCCAGGGCGCCTGCTTCTGTGCTGCCCGCCTCCATCCCACTCGGCATCAAGAACTATCAATCCACATCGGTCTTGATATCATACCCCAATCTACCATCTACAAGCTTGATTTTGCTGCAATTTGAGTCGCGTATCATTGTTCTACCGACCCCCATTCATCTAGGGTGCCCGCCTGCCTGAATTGAGCTTCAATGCTGACTGCCCCTCGGTCATAGCATCTAGCATGGTGATCCCGTCGGGTCAAGAGACCCATCCTACTTCCGCAATGTCAAATGGCTATTCGCATTCGATAGCTACCGACAATTTCGGGGCTGACGTCGATGAGACAACGAAGAGCGAAAACAGCCCATCCGAACCCATCGAGTCCCAGCCTGTCTCCGAGTCCTCCCCCGAGCCCGATGCCGCAGACGATCTATACGATGCAGACTCTCCAGCTTCGGACGGGGAAGATGAAGATGTTGTTATGGAAAATAGTGATGATGACATGGACCAGTCGAGCCGTGAAAACTCTTCATCACCACACGCCGACCGAAGTCTGAAGCGCAAATCGCCGCCGCCGGATGAACGCGACTATATCAACCAAAATGCCGATCTGTTTGGACTTCGTCGCAGTGGTCGCGCACGACCGACACGTCATATCGTCGAGTCTTCAGACTCGGAATCCGATTCTGTAGCTCCGCGCTCCAAGCGCCGGCGCAAGGAGCCATCCCAGCAGCCCTCAAAAACCTCGCGATCGGCCACTGCCTCATCGCTGTCAGAGACAGATAGTGATGAGTACGGTGGAAAAAGTGCCCGTGCCAGCAAAGCCCGGCGTCGCCGCCTCAACCAAGCGGCAGGCGTAGAACCTTCCTTCAATGAAGTTCGCTTCTCTACCAGAAACGCGTCGAAAGTGTCAAACTACAATGAGGACGAAGATGACGGAATATTTGAAGAGGAGCCAGGCGAACATGCAGATGGGTACTGGGCTCAAACTTATGAAGAAGACACTCGACAGGCTGTCGATGTCGTCCTCAATCACCGTCTAAAAGATGACGTCGACCCCAACAGTCCAAACAAGGACCGCCAAGACTTTGATTTCTACATCAAATGGCAAGATCAGTCATACTATCATTCAAGTTGGGTGCCGAATGAAGATCTTGTGAACTACCGTAGCACCCGTCGCGTGGACAACTATGTTCGCAAAGTGCTGAATGAAGACCTCCGGCTTCAAGAAGACCCAGATGCCCCTCCTGAAGACCGAGAAAAGTGGAACCTCGATCGCGAGAGGGATGTCGAGGCGATTGAAGATTTCAAACAAGTTGAACGAGTGATTGGCGTTCGAGAAGACAATGGCATAACAGAATATCTTGTCAAATGGAAGCGACTCTTTTACGACTCGTGTACATGGGAGCCAGAAGATCTCATCAGCGAGATCGCTCAGCGCGAGATCGACCGTTTCATTGATCGCTCTGCTCGCCATCCTGTTTCTGACAAACTGGAGTCAAACCCGGCTACTCGCAAGCCTTTTGAGCCAATCAAAGCATCCCCTAGCTTTTTGCAAAATGGTGAGCTGAAGGATTTCCAGGTCAAAGGCCTGAACTTCCTTGCTTTCAATTGGGTCAGAAACCATAATGTGGTGCTGGCTGATGAGATGGGCTTGGGTAAGACTGTGCAAACAGTGTCATTCATCAACTGGATGCGACATGTTCGTCGACAACAAGGTCCCTTCATCGTCATTGTTCCTTTGTCAACAATGCCGGCATGGGCTGATACCTTTGATCATTGGACCCCTGACTTGAATTATGTGGTCTACAATGGTAGTGAAAAGGCGCGTGATGTTCTTCGTGATTACGAGTTGATGGTAGATGGCAACCCCAAACGACCGAAGTTCCATGTTTTGTTAACAACGTATGAGTACGCTATGAATGATTCTCCCTTCCTAGGGCAGTTCAAGTGGCAGTTCATGGCTGTTGATGAGGCTCATCGTCTCAAGAACCGAGACTCACAACTCTACATGAAATTGGTTGAATGGAAATGCCAGGCTCGTCTTCTCATCACCGGTACACCAATTCAAAACAATCTTGCGGAGTTGGCATCCCTCATGGACTTCCTGAATCCTGGTATCATCAAAGTTGATGTTGATATGGATCTTAACTCTGACGCTGCCTCCCAGAAGTTGGCAGAGCTGACAGATGCCATTCAACCTTACATGTTGCGACGTACCAAGTCTAAGGTGGAGACTGACCTTCCCCCGAAAACTGAGAAGATCATTCGAGTTGAGCTCTCGGATGTTCAGCTCGAGTATTACAAGAACATCCTCACCAAAAACTACGCTGCTTTGAACGACGGTGCCAAAGGCATGAAGCAATCACTCCTGAATATCATGATGGAATTGAAAAAGGCAAGCAACCATCCGTTCATGTTCCCCAATGCCGAGGCGAGAATTTTAGAAGGAAGTTCAAGACGAGAGGATATTCTGCGTGCTATGATCACTAGCAGTGGAAAGATGATGCTGCTAGATCAACTGCTCAGCAAGTTGAAAAGAGATGGCCACAGAGTCCTGATTTTCTGTCAAATGGTCGGGATGCTCAACATCCTTAGCGAGTACATGGAGTACCGTAACTACAAATACCAGCGACTGGATGGAACTATTCCTTCTGCAGCTCGTCGCCTGGCTATTGAGCATTACAACACTCCCGGAAGTACCGACTTTGCCTTTCTCCTTTCTACTCGTGCAGGTGGTCTTGGAATCAACCTGATGACTGCAGATACCGTTGTTCTATTCGATTCGGATTGGAACCCGCAAGCGGATCTGCAGGCCATGGCTCGAGCTCATAGAATTGGCCAGACCAGGCCCGTCAGTGTTTACCGCCTTGTTTCAAAGGACACGATTGAGGAAGAGGTCATTGAGAGGGCTCGCAACAAGCTTCTGCTCGAGTTCATTACCATTCAACGGGGTGTCACAGATAAGGAAGCCTCGGAGATGCAAACAAAGATGTCTCGTGTCATTGGAGAACCTAATTCGACCGAGGATATCTCCCGAATTCTCAAGCGCCGTGGTCAGAAAATGTTTGAGCAGACCGACAACCAAAAGAAGCTTGAATCCCTCGATATTGACTCTGTTCTTGCCAATGCTGAATTGCACCAGACCGAAGAATCGGAGCAAATACAGGCAGATGGTGGTGAGGAATTCTTGAAGGCCTTTGATTTTGTTGATATCAAGGTCGACGATTTGAGTTGGGATGAGATCATTCCGAAGGATCATCTCGACAGTATCAAAGCCGAAGAGAAGAGGAAAGCAGATGAGAAGTATCTTGCAGAAGTCATTGAAGAAAATCAGCCTCGCAAACGTCAAGCTGCCACACAGTCACGCGATTCGCGGGAAGAACGCAAGGCCAAGCGACAAGCACGAGCTCAGGTTGCCGTTGATGATGACGATGAGGAAGAGAATGCCTCATTGGATCCAAAGCGCCCACTCGGTGAAAAGGAATACCGGGCCCTTTCTCGTGCCTTCCTGCGATACGGTGACATGGCCGATTGCGAAGATCTTATCCTCGAGGATGCTCGACTGCAGACTCGAGACCGGGAGACTGTACGGGCTGCTCTCCGTGAGATGACCGATAAGGCCAACTCGCTTGTTGATGAAAACTTAGCGCAAATGGACGCCCTCAAGCAAAGTGGCAAGAATCCCACCAAAAAAGAACAAAAGGCTGTTTTATTTGATCATCATGGCGTCAAGCGCTTGAATGCCTGGACCATTGTCGATAGACCTCCTGATATGCGGCTTGTTCGAAAAATGACCACTTTGGGTCCGGACTTCAAGACCTTCCGTCTCGCAGAGGCCACTAAGTTGGCTGACTACACCTGCGAGTGGGGCGCTCGCGAGGACGGAATGCTTTTGGTAGGTATCGGCCGTCATGGATTTGGCGCTTGGACACAGATTCGTGATGATACAGACTTAGGTCTCGGAGACAAGTTTTTCTTGGAGGAACATCGCGTGGAAAGAAAAACGCAACGTCTCCAGGGTGAGGAAAAGTCCACCAAGTCCCCCGGTGCTGTTCACCTTGTCCGCCGAGCGGAATATTTGCTTTCTGTTTTGAGAAACAAATACAGCAGTGGCAACAATGCCCTCGCAAGACGTGCGGTAGATAATCACCACCGGAATAACAAGCGTAATTCCCGCCTTGGCAGTGGCAGCGTCTCGGCGTCCCCTGCTCCCTCGTCCCGCAAAGGACACCGGGAAGTCGATCGTGTTCGCCAGCGATCCCACACGCATGGCAGCCGAGATAGTGACCGTCATCACACACCAGGTCATGATCGCCCGAAGTCCGGGCATGATGCTAATCGTCCACGACACCGCATGTCCGATGTTGGTAATGACGATAATCGCCGTCGCAAGTCCCAAGAAAACGGCGGCCCTAGCAAGGAGAAAGAAGATATGGCTTTCATGGTCTTCAAACCCATTGTGGGAATTTTGGACAACGTATCCAAGATCACGGCTAAGAACTATCCGGACAAATCCAAGCGAGCGCATGAGCTCCGAACTACTATCATGAAGATCGGTGATTTCATTCGCGAAACCTTGGGACGTGATAAATCGATGGCCTCCCTCGAAAAGCGACTGTGGTAAGTCTGCACTCGGCCTTTATTCTCAATTTAGCGTTTCATATACTAACCTTCCACCAGGGATTACGTATCTGTCAACTACTGGCCCAACCAGGAGGTGACTGGTTCCAAGCTTCAAGCGATGTTCCAGAAGGTACAAGAAGCTAAAAATGCTTCCAAAGCCTCCAATGGCACTTAGCATGCGGCTTGCGCCACCCCTAGATCAACCTTTCTAGCGGGTGTTTATTAATATCCTACAATTTCTCTCTCTTCGGCTCCGGATGACCAGGGCTTCCCGTTCGCCCCAGCGCCCTGCCCCCATCTTGCATTTCTTCTCTCTTAGAGTCGCTTCTCTTTCTTCTCATTTTTCTCTTCCTCTCCGACATTCACAAAAAAAAGTCAATGATTCTCTTTTCATTGAAGTACATATGGATGCAGCGAGTTGCATGGCATTGCGAAAGGCGTCGAATGATTTGCGCAACCCAAAAGAAGCACAGAAAGGAGCACCGATTTGACTTGAATATGATTCGAATGTCATACGATATTTGCATGGCGTGTTAGGGGTTTCCTTTTTTTTCCTGTGGAGTTTCTTCCTCCTGTTTTCATCTTGATCTGATCTTTCAGCACTGCCTCTCCACCTTACCTCTCAGCAGATCGCAAATCTTGACCTCTATGCTCCATTGAGGGCGACGGTCTGGGCTAGCTGGGTCTGCCCACGTTTAATTCTTGTTCCTCTGTGAATGTGCTTGGATACAGCTTTTATGTTGTTCCAACAAGCTACGGCTTTTCTTCCTATCTTTGTTTTTCTCTCCACCATTTATTTAGTCTCATTTCTTGTTGTCATTTTGCTCCCCAGCATATTGTATCCTATGGAGTGGCTACCACGGCGTTGACTGATTTTTCTGTTTCTGCACAAGATCATTCAGCTATGTAGTTCGGAGCACTTTTTTGTGATGTCCCTATCTTTTTCACTAGAGCCAAATGAAGTGATCGTGCTCTGAACCTCTTCTTTATCATTGCTATCGAGTTGTGTTTGTAGGTCGTAGAAGAAAAAGAGAAGTTGAATCATTAGTATTGACAAGGCCGTCGTAAATGAGCATAGATGAGCTCAAGGGAAATACAGATAAAAAGAAACTGTCACTCGGAAGGAAAGAGAAGCTATTCGTACAAAAATTTTCCAACCCATTCTCCTTTCCTCCAGCCCATGAAAAGTGCGATTCCCAGAAAACTCCGCTTGCGCCGGTATGAAATCAAAGACACCGTGAGAAAGACCGAAAATATAACAAGATGCAAGAAGCATAGTATAAAGGTGTAGAAGATCAAGCAGCAACACTAGCCTCTTCCGCCTCCGCCTCTGCCTCTCCTTCAACCTCCATCTCCATGTCGGCTTCCAATTCCGCCGACTTGGCCCTCATCTGCTCCTGCTGTTGCGCAAAGTGCTGCTGCTGCACCTGGAGCTTCTCAAGGCTAGTCGACGGGTTAGGTCCCGGTGCAATCGGAACCACGGCCTCGGAAGCACCAACAATGGCACTGAAAAGCCTCAATTCCGCATCAATAAGGTCATCAAGAATAGCCTCTTTCTCGAGCCAGGCGCGTTCACGCAGTGGTCGGATCTCATCCCACTGCTTGCGCAACTGCGTGCCCTCGTTCTCGGCCCAGTAGATCTGCCGGCGCAACAATCTGTACAGGTCGTGGGGCGGCATGTCGAGCTCCGAGTCATCGAAGCCGAGTTCGGGTACGAATTCGGGTAACATCATATCTTCTGCGTCGGTGTCTGTTGGGGGCGCAGCGTTCATGGAAATTATGTGGTCGTGGGGCTGTTCGCCTTCGGCGCCGGGGTCCTTGGGTGGGTGGGAGAGCTTGAGTCTGATGCGCTGCAGCTTGGAGGCGGGTGTGCTGGGGGCACCGCCGGCGTTTGATTTTGATTCTACTTGGCGGAGGGAGTCGATTTCGTGGACGGAGCGCATGTGTTTTGTAAGGGCGTCGGAGCGGGTGAAGTTGCGGTCACATTCTAGGTAGATCGTTAGTTTGCTGCCTTGGTAATTGTGTTCCATTCGGGATAGGCGGGGTCTCTTCCCATCCTCTCCATTTATCGTGGGATCAATGGGGGAAGGCGTAGGTATGTATGGGGATGGGGTTCGTTGGGGTTGGGCATACCAGGTAGAGTGCAGTAGAATGGCTTTTCTCGAGTATGGCTTCTCATATGGGCGCGAAGTGCATAAGCACTGGCGTGCGTTTGGCCCTTGCGAGTGCAGTCGGTCCACTCGCACGAGTATCGCTTCTGTCGGCTCCCGATGTGCTCTTGGTGGAGATGCTGCACCAAGCCATCCATGTTGCCGAGGTCACCAACCACACATCCCTCCCATCGGCATATGGTAACTTGATCGCCGCTTTGTCCGCTATAATCATCATCCTGGTTGTGACCAAGGAGGCCCATGAGACTAGGAGAGTTCGGTATGTCGCCGGAGCTATCGGAGGAGATAGAAGCTGTAGGCGAGGGTGGAGGGGGCGCATCATCTTGAATGGAAGAAAGAGGTGTGTTCCTGTCCCATGAGGCTACTCCCCCTGTTCGGCGCCGTTTCGAGGGAGGCATATTAGATGCTGATGGTGATTGAGCGCGGCTTTCCTGCTTGACGGACTCGTGATCCGAGTCATCTGCAGTACCGACAGAGGAAAGAGGGGAACCAGGTGAATCGCGGGAAGCCATGGTGAATGAGGGCTGTCAGCGACAAAGAAAATCTTGTCAGATGTTCCCCGGGACAAAGCAATAGGATTGGTATTACTGTTGATTACAGGGAGGGAAGGCCAATGAAGCTGTTAGCGCCTCCCCATGGTAATCACGTGAGGCCGCACAAGCTTAGCCCTCCCACTTCTGTTTTTCATCCTTTCCCTTTTTCTTCTCTTCCACACATCCTATGTGAACTTTTTCACAATAGAAAATGAGAGAATGAACTCACAATACCAGGTCCCAGAGCTAATAGGTTCCAATTGGATGTAACAGTGACAAGGTAAGCTTCTTTTTAGTCTATTCTTTCTCTTTCCCTACACCTTCCTACATGATGACCACCAAGAAGAATTCTGCAATTCCGACAATCCCCGTCATTGATCTCTCGGGTTCGATCTCGTGGGATTGGATGTTGACTCTTCTACACTTGATCTGATTTTATTCATCAAAACTGTCTTGTTATTCAATGCTTTCAGGCTTTGGTCAGATGCTAACGACAAGAAAAGCAGATTACTAAATCCTTAGTATCGCGTTCCAGCAACAATGTTCTCCTTCAGGATCGCATCAACCTCGGCCAACTCCTCATCTGAGAAGAGCTTAACTCCCACCAGATTCTGAGTCACTTTGTCGACGGTTGTGCCACCGGGGATGGGGATAATAGTGGGCATTCCAGGCTTGTCACTCAAGCTCCGAATCCAACCCAATGCGACTTGAGCTGGGGCAACACCCTTCCGAGTTGCCAGGCTCTTGACCTCATTGATTAGCTTCATGTTTTGCGCATAGTTCTCATCCTGGAATCGTGGCAAGAACCGACGGAAGTCACCTTCCGGGATGTCGGCCAAACCGGTCAGGGCACCAGTTAGGGCGCCACGTCCTAGTGGTGAGTAGGCAATGACTGGGATGTTCAGTTCGGCACAGGTCTTGGCAATGCCGTTCTCCAAGATGTCGGTTGTCCACAGAGACAGCTCGATCTCAACGGCAGCGATAGGGTGTACTTTGGCACTGTCGAGTAGTTAGCAATTGTTAATATAAAATGAAACATTGAATGTATATCTTGCACATACGCTCTTCTGATAGTCTCCGCATCCACTTCACTTAGTCCAATTCCTCCAATCTTGCCCTCTTTCACACATTGCGCGAGGACCTCGATGGTGTGCTCAATGGGGAACTTTGCGTCCTGGCGAGCACACTCGAAGATATCGATTGTCTTCTTTCCATCCAAGACCCTCAGGCACTCGTCCACACTGCGACGGATGTTCTCTTCTGATCCATCTGGGATCAACTGGCCGGCCTTGAGACCGCCCTTGATGCTAAGAACGACCTTCTCGGCATTCTCGGGGTACTTGGTGAAGTACTTGTTCAACAGGTGCAGGGAGTTGTAGTCGGGGGTACCGTAGAGCTCGCCGCCGTTCCAGAAGTTGGCGCCTAGCTCCAGAGTCTTGTTGAGGGTCTCAAAGGCGACGTCCTGTGGAGTTGGCTGGGGGTTCCAGGTCATTCCTGAGAGACATTAGCTCGGTTCAAAGTTGACATTGGTTATCAAGCAAGCCTTCTCTGCGCTCAACTTACTCATGGTGCCATAGCCAGTAGGGCCAATTTCTTTTCCAACGAGGGAAGGCATTTTGAGTATATTAACAATTGTTTTTCTAGGCGGGTTAAAAACTGAAGTATGGAGAATTGGTGTGTAAGGGGAGATTTGGAAGACTGTTCAAAGATATCGAGGTTATCCGGGCATGGAGGGGTCATTTATATGCCACACACCGAAGGCCCACTACAAATATTCAATGTCAACTACATATGTGATCATACAAAGCGCTCCATAGGCAAATAACCCTTTGATTCCACTAGAGATGCTTAGTAGTCCCGATCGATGGGGGCTATGGGACGGTGCCGTTCTCAAAGATTATTGGACCGTGTTTCTTTAGCAAGTTCTTCAGCAAGTTTGCGACCGGTCTCCGCGACGTTGTCGGGGATAAACCGCGGGTGGATCACGGAGTTAAGAAAACAGCCGCAACTGTTCAACAACATTGGTCCTTGAAATCTCAAAATCTTACCATAATGAAAAGCCAAAGCTGAAAGACAGACTAAGCACTTGATTCAATTGTAGTATTCTAGATAGGTGGAGGATATAAGCTTACGGTGGCTTCATTAAAGAACCAATTAGTGTGTGTTGTCGATTGATAGTGGTCAGAGCGCACATGCATGGTATGCCTAATAATCAATTTTCTAATAAAGCACTTGAGAATACATTAGTACTTATAGTAATCCGACCCTCAGCTGTGCTTTTGTAACCTGGGGCACTAGTGGTTATTCTGCGGGGAAATTGTCTAGTATAGCTTCTTTGAATGTTACGATACGGATACGCCTTCTAGCGTTCCCCTACTATGCACTACTAGTAGTCATCACATGTGCAGGTAGACCTTACGTTCTTCGAATGAGAGGAGGCTTAATGAAACATTACAACCTTGGAATTGATAGATGTTATTATGTGATCCTATCAAAGTGAAACTAAATATCGAGCTAGATTGTTAACTAGATCAAATTTAATCCTCTTCAATCTCGCCTTCCTCACTACCAGAATGAATAGCCTTCTCGTCGACTTTGGTTTCTTCTTCGGGAATAGCAGAACGCTCCCGGGGACGGTCTCGCCTTGGTCCCTTGCTGCGTTCCCGTTCACGGCTATCCCGGCGGTATCGCTTCGCGGATCGACTGGCTACGCTCTCAGTATCACTCTCCCGTCTGCGTCGGCGGTCTCCACTGGCCACGCTACGGGTGTCTCCATAGTCAAGTTCGTCACGATTACCACGAGGGTCACCACGAGTACGGTAAAGACGCTCACGTTCATCTTCCCGACGGTCAAGATCTCTACCGGGTCGACGAGTGGCATCTCGGTCTCGGGGGTCCCGGTAGCGATCTGAACGATCCCTTTCTCTGTCATGATCACGATCATCGCGGGTGCGGTATGATCGTTCGCGATCGGCTTGGGCTTTGCGTCGGTCTGCCTCGTAAGCGTCGGGCTCTGGGCTGCGGCTGGCGCGGCTGCCACCTCGCCTGTCTCCCCGGCTGCGATAATCACGATCGTGATCCCGACGGCTTCGGTCGCGCTCGCGTAGTTCGCGCTCCTTCTCAAGGTCTTCTTCCTTTTCTTTTAGGCGTCGAATCACTTTCTCGAAAGCAGACTCTCGGAGCTCGTCAGACTCGACGGATTTGTATTCTTCATACTTTTCTAAACGGGGCTGCACTTGATCCCAAGTATCTGTAACACGCACCGGGGGTTCAAGACGCTTGATGCGAGAACGCAGAGCATCAACAGCACGGCGCTGGTGGCGGTCAGCTGCGTGCTTTTCCTCTTCGTCACGACGGATTGCTTTGTCTTGAATACGCTGGAAGAGGAGCTGGAGAATTTCCGAGTCGATTTTAGAGGTACGTCGATCAGCCTGAACGACTGAGTTGAACTCTTCGAAAGTAGTCTTAGCAGTAACTTCGTACCGTTTATCCTGCATAATATGTTAGCTTGGTCAAAATGAGTTAGGATACGGGTTCACTCACATCCAAAACATCCAGAACGTCGTTGCGAGGAGCGCGGAGCGAGCGCTCTTCCTCCTCCACCATGTCCCAGAACAAATCAAGGGGGGTTGATCCAGGCTGCCCCAGTATAGCCTGATATTTGGGATCATTTTGAACCAGCGGGCAGATGTCCATCCACTTACTGCCAGCCTTGATCTTCTCCTGAGATTTCAAATCCTTCAGCAGTCCGAGGAACTGCTCTCGGTTGCGGCGCTCCTTGCGGGCTCGGATCGCCTTTTGCTGTTGGCGGGCATCATTGAATGTGCGCTCCAAAGATTTTATATGGTTCTCAAATGCAGTCAGGATATCAGACTTGCTCAGGCTCTTGAACTTATCGTCACTCTGCACCTTGTCATTAGACTCAATAACTGCCTGAGCTTCGGACCAGCGTGTATACGGCTCGAGATCGAGACTATTGAGAATGTTGACCAACTCGTCCATGGCGGCTCGTCGTTTCGATGCCTCTTGCTCGACATGCGACTTTCTGAGCTCAACGACATACTCTTCGAAGAGCTGGCGTCTCTCACTCTCATCACTGGTAGCCCGGAAAGTAGTCTCACCTTCAATGATGGGACGGATAGTCTTCCAGCGACTATAGTGTTTGATCTCAGGATGGCGTTGCAGCATAGTATTGAAATCTGATCGGAGCTTAGCGAATCTTTCTTTCGCCCGATCCTTTTCCTGCATGCGAACCTCGACCGCGTATTTCTCGAAAGCAGCCTGACGGTCTCGCGGATCCTTAAGCGAGCGGTATTGGGGGTCTTTGATAGTTGCGCGCATGGTCTGTTCCCAAGTCCAATCGGGCTGTACATTGTGCCGGGTGAGCATTTTCATGAAGGCACCCTCGGCTTCTTCAATGGAGCCATACTCGGGCTCGGCCGGGTTGAAAGCCGGTGCGGCTACCATTCCGTTCGTGTCAAAGTTTCCATATCCTCGTCGATCATTGTAGCCTCTATCGCGATCAGCACGGTCAGCCCGGTCACCCCGATCGGCTCGGTCGTAATCATCGCGTTCACGCTGGGAGTGTGAGTAGGAGCTGGAGCCGCCTGCAACAAAAGAGGGCGCTCTGTAAGATATTAGTCATTGTTTGGAGAAGCAGATGGGGAATAACATACGCAACTGGTGCCGCTGGAGCTGGAGGAGCCTGTGCGAGCGCATTCTTGTAAACCTCGGGGATCTCCCACGTGCTTTGCTTGCTTTCCGTATTGTACCAGTACTTGCGCCCACCATCCGCTGTGTACTCCTTCCAAGGTTGATCCGCTAGGGCACGCTAGAAGAGTCAAAAGCATATGGTTAGCGCAATGTTCATTCAAAGGATTGGGTTCCATTAAGATACACACCTCAACCGGAGTCATCAGCTCAACGGGTTTGGTCCATTGTGTTGCTTTTGTCTGCACATTATAGTAGTAAACTCGACCTTCTGCATTACGCGCCTCCTGCCACAAGGCTGAGGCACCACCAGGGCCATTCATTGGATTCATGGTCGCAGAAGTGTGAAGGTTGACGAGTTGAAGGAGACGAAAAAGCGAAAAGCGAAGCGCAGGTGAAGCTACGTGTTTGCATAGTTTGCACTCCCGCCTTATCACCCCGTTTATCTCCTTATTATTGCGCCCACTTGTTGTCATTTACCCCAGAAGCTTTCTCAGGTCAATTGAATGCGGCATTTCTAGTCGCAATGCCTGGGTTAGAAATTCCTGGTGAATTCTTGCGGCATGCAGTACTGGAAACAGTTGTGCCTCATGCCCCGAAACTCGATCTAGAGGGGGCCCTAACCTCTGCGTTGGAAGATGGCGCAGATGATCTACCCTCAGTTCTAGCTTCAATTCCCCAGCGTTCTATTCTTTTCTTTGGTATGTCATACACTTGGAACTCTAGCTGGAAATATTCATTCACTTACCAAAGTCTCCTAGATGAAACTCTTCCCGTCCGCATTGTCCTCCGACTCTCCGATTGCACAGAAGCTATCCTGAAGCACTACCTGCCTCGTCTGGAAGTTAGACTTGATGTCTATGCCGTGGACCCAGCAGAATCTGTTGCAGAAAACCCGACACCTACTCGGGAGGCGATATTTTCAGGGGTTGTAGATTTAGAGGAGGAGCCACTGGTGATCTTCAACGAGTTTGAAGGCGAGGATGGCACAGCTGGAAATCATGTTTACCTCATATGGAGCATTGACAGCTTCCTCAGTGAGTCGCAATGCCATTTTTGTGTAACTGAACTTCGCTAACTGCTTGAAGAGCGTCCTCGAAACCGAATTCAGCACCCGTCGCTTTTGTTCATCGGTTCGGCCACCTTGAATCCTTCGGAGGGATGCCGAGCAGAAGACCCCGAAGATGACTACCTTCCTCCTCTCATTCCCGCATCAACGAACATGTTTCAACCTCTAGCGGGCGATAAGTCGCTTGCTCACAAAGATCCATTTCTTCCTGCGTCCAGACTGCTCCGCGTGGTGCCCACAGCCTACAGCGAAGACCCCGTTTATAATATTCAACAGCAACATGGCCACCCGTTTCGTGTAGTCCCTGCAGCTAGTGCGAGGATCCGATATTCACGGCTCAGCTCCTACACTGGTGTTCCAACCACGGTTGCTAGTCTCGATTTCGAGGTGACTCCATTCCTGAACTGTGAAGTTTCATTCGATAAAGCAATTTTAAACTTATCCGAGGGGGCCATTGAATCCATGTCAGACATTCCTGGTCTTAATCTTCCTTTGAAGTGCCGCCCCAGGGACGATGTCACATTGGTTTACAAACTCACCCCAGAGTATGGCCCGGAGACGAACCCGTCCTCCACCGCCGTGGTTAGCGTGCTGGAGATTTCCCTTGGTGCAACCATTCTTCTTTCTGATGATTGCCATCCACGGATTACTATGGAATGGAAGACAAATGTGGATTTCTCCTTGGCTCTCAACCCTACCTTTGGTGGACCTAGTACGGCATTGCAAAGAACTAATCGCCCCACGAGTTTATCTGTCTCCGGACAAGCACCAACGGTAACCGCCAGCCGCAGCTCTTTAAGAGAGCGCGCCTACTCTGTTACCGATGTGGGCGTCACTATTTCCTTTACCGGGCCAGTCCGAGTGCAGGTTGGCTCACCATTCTCGTGGAGCGTTTTCATAGTGAACCGGTCTAATGTGCCTCGAAAATTTGCACTGATCGTCATTCCGCGTCGCAAGCGCGTCGATCCACGGGGTCATGTTGCGCGTCCTTCCTCTGCGTCTATTTCTAGTAGAAAGGAAAACCAGGTGGCCGAGGCTGTGACAGACGATAATATTGTGCATGCCATGCAAAAAAGTGTTGTGGGTCAAGAAGCCGAATTGATCAGCTTAAGTACCGATATCCGAGTGGGGTGAGTTGAGTATTCTCTGGTTCTTGATCTGATCTAATCTAACCGCTGATCATTTTTATAGTCCCCTTCTGCCAGGAACTTGTCACTCTACTGAAATCAAACTACTCCCACTTGCAACTGGTCCTCTACATCTGGAGGCTGTGCGACTGGTGGATGTGAATACGAACGAAACGACCGACATTCGAGATTTACCAGATATCCTGGCTGATGACCAACCTCGGACATAAGGGGGATTAGGAAACCCACTGTACAATTGATAGTGAAAACATAGAGTAACCAAGACATGAAATATTGATGGCTATAAATAAGTAATGAAAGTTAAGAGTTCACGATAAAAAAAGAAAAATCGGTTTCTAGGGGGCACAAGGCTGAGATCAGTGACGTCGAGTTACATCCAACGTGACTTTTTTTTAGTCATAGCGGAGTCGCATCCTCCACTTTGGCTTTCAATCTGGGGTAGGGGCGTTTATCTCTTCCTCATCTCCCATCTTTTCCATCTTTAAATCCCCAGGGAAATTCATCCGGTTCCTTCCCTAAGCTCCTAAGCTGGTTACTTGATATTTGCGTCATACTGGCGCGCAACATCCGTCCTCCGGAATCTTACCATCAATCGAACCTCTCCCTCCATAAATCCGGCCCACGGCTACCTTCATACACCATGATTGCCGCCGCGAAGCGGAAATTCCTAGATGGAATGAACCGCCGGTACATTTACGGGCGTGTGGTACGTATCTCTTTTTTTATTCTATGGTACCCCTCGGAACAGCAGAAAGGCAAACGATTTCACCGGTGGCTCCGGATCTCTTCCCGACTCCTTAGAACGCCACGGCTGATTTGGACGTTTATTATGGGTTATAGCCTCTCCTACACACGATTATTTTCCTCATCGAGATGGCCGTAGCTACTCGCATTGCTGCCAAGTTCAACACCTATTATGCTGAAAGACCAGGTATGTTTGATGACAGGCTTCCCGCCAAATCCCGGGATTGCGGCGTGCGACGTTGCTGACTGGGGCTTGCAATATAGTACTCACGACCATGGTCACCAACGCGGTAAGTCGAAATTCTTGGTTGAAATACCTAGTTGCTATGCGCTAGATATGAAGTTGTTTGTTGACGGTGGATATAGGTGCTTGGTGGGGTGGCCGATACGGTGGCGCAATTGATCACGGCATTCAGGCACCGAACGCAGCAACGATCACTGGAGAACAACGACTTCATTGCGATAGAGATTGAAGATTTGAATAGACAGAAGCCACCTGCTGTCGGGGAGTTTGGATTTGTCAAAGCCTCAGCGCCGCCGTTCGACTTTGAGCGCCTGACCCGGTTCATGGCGTATGGTTTCTTCATGGCCCCCATACAATTCCAGTGGTTTGGCTTTTTGTCCCGGGCATTCCCCCTCACCAAAGCAAACCCGACAACTCCTGTTTTCAAGCGTGTCGCCTTTGATCAATTTATCTTCGCGCCATTCGGTATGTGTCGCTTGTTATATCCGAAAGTTTGTATGGACATTCACTTACCCGTGGTAACATAGGTCTGGCTTGCTTTTTCTCCTATATGACGATTGCCGAAGGTGGTGGAAAGAGAGCTTTGACACAGAAGTTCCGTGATGTATACCTTCCGACTCTCAAAGCCAACTTTGTATTGTGGCCGGCAGTGCAAATTCTGAATTTCCGGGTCATTCCCATCCAATTCCAGATTGTATGTTTTTCAACCGTCTGCGAACTTGAGCATGAGATTTGCATACTGACTAAACATAGCCTTTTGTCTCGTGCATTGGTATCGCGTGGACCGCATACCTCTCGCTTACCAACTCCTCCGAGGAGTCCTAAAACCGTCCACTCATACCACGACAATTTATGATCACGATGTGCCCCTGATGATATTCTTCTTTCGTTTTCGGTCCATTCTTACAGGCGTTTCGGTTGGTTCATGGTTGTGGGTTTCATGTGTAAGGGATATACATTTTTGAGGGGAAACAACAGGTTGCATTTCAAAAGATCTTCGGGGTTTTGTTGCGTGGGATCAATTCGGGTACACTTTTTTTCATGCACTTAATTATGTGTTGTCAACATATCTGCTGGGTTGCTATTGGTGGTTATTAGGGATGAAGGCATCGTGCTTTTGTGGTTGCAATGGCAGTGTTTTGGCGCCACGAAAACATCCCACCATAGTAGCGGCTATGTACAATTCCAGCCTGGCCAATCGAATACTCTCAGCCGGCGACTTCCCCAGAATTCCCCGACTCCGAGGCTATCGATGACCCCAGGAAGTCCGGCATGTTCCGCAATAAACGGAAAGCTGTGACATCAGTCCCGCATCAGCCCGATCATAGTCCCCGAGGACCTTGAAGGACTTGACTGAGAGGTACTATTGGCTCTACAAAGACCTTCGTTCTGGTACGATAATTCATAATGGACCAAAGTACTCCACTCGGGAAAGGTACATGAAATAAAAGTACCGATTGCAACATCAGCTGGATGCGGGCGTGTTGCTCTCACCGGGCCCCACCATCAGTGACTTGCCCCTCCAATCTTTACTTGTCGCGACTCACCGTGGCCCTGATTGAGTTTCTTTTATTACCAGTAGAATTCCCCTCCTGGCTTCATTGATTCTTCGCATATTTCGTACCCTGAGGTATGTATTCACCTTCACCTTAATTATTCATCTCTAACCATTACCCCACCAGGCTTTCACACACAATGTCTCTCTCCAACAAGCTTAACATCACCGACGTCGACCTCAAGGACAAGCGTGTCTTGATCCGGGTATGTAATAATTCGCTCTTCAAAGCCACCAATCCCCTCTCAAACAACCATTTAAAAGAAATCGAATTGCTAACCACCTCAATCTACAGGTCGACTTCAACGTTCCCCTCGATGGCGAGTTCAACGTCACCAACCCTCAGCGCATCGTCGGTGCTCTGCCCACCATTAAATATGCCATCGACAACGGCGCCAAGGCTGTTGTCCTGATGTCCCACCTGGGTCGTCCTGATGGCAAGGTCAACCCCAAGTACAGCCTGAAGCCCGTTGTCTCCGTGTTGGAGGAGAAGCTCGGAAAGAGCGTCATCTTCACCGATGACTGCGTCGGCCCCAAGGTTGAGGAGACTGTCAACAACGCCTCCGGCGGCCAGGTCATCCTGTTGGAGAACCTGCGTTTCCACGCCGAGGAGGAGGGCAGCTCCAAGGATGCCGAGGGCAAGAAGGTCAAGGCCGACAGCGCCAAGGTTGCTGAGTTCCGCAAGGGCCTGACTTCCCTTGGTGATATTTACATTAGTGCGTCAATACCAGTCATTCCCTTCTTAATTCTCCAAGCTAACAATTCTCAGACGACGCCTTCGGTACCGCCCACCGTGGTCACAGCTCCATGGTCGGTGTCGACCTCCCCCAGAAGGCCGCCGGTTTCCTTGTCAAGAAGGAGCTGGAGTACTTCGCTAAGGCTCTCGAGAACCCCGCCCGCCCCTTCCTCGCCATCCTGGGTGGTGCTAAGGTTTCCGACAAAATCCAGCTGATCGACAACCTGCTCCCCAAGGTTAACAGCCTGATCATCACCGGTGCCATGGCCTTCACTTTCAAGAAGACCCTCGAGAACGTCAAGATTGGTAACTCTCTGTTCGACGAGGCCGGTAGCAAGATCGTCGGCGACATCGTCGAGAAGGCCAAGAAGTACGGCGTCGAGATTGTCCTGCCCGTTGACTACGTCACCGCCGACAAGTTCTCCGCTGACGCTACCGTTGGCGCCGCCACTGATGCCACTGGTATCGCCGATGGCCTCATGGGTCTCGATGTCGGCCCCGAATCCGTCAAGCTGTACCAGAAGACCATTGCCGAGGCCAAGACCATCCTCTGGAACGGTCCCCCCGGCGTGTTCGAGATCAAGCCTTTCGCCAATGCCACTGAGAAGACCCTTGATGCCGCCGTTGCTGCTGCGCAGTCTGGTGCTATCGTCATCATTGGTGGTGGTGACACCGCTACCGTTGCTGCCAAGTACGGAGTTGAGGACAAGCTTTCGCACGTTTCCACTGGTGGTGGTGCTTCGCTTGAGCTGCTCGAGGGCAAGGACCTGCCCGGTGTCGCTGCTCTGTCCAGTAAGTCTTCTTAAATTCGCTCTACCTAGAGAGCTTTATATCAATTTTCACGAATCTGTAATGTACACAGCCAATACATTTCCAAAATGAATGTTCAAATTTCAAAATACATACATCTTTCTTGCATAGAAGCTAAATGGCTGGGTTGGTAGGTTCGAGACCCTACAAGGCAGGGTTGTAAATGTTTCAAAGAAACCAGGTGCCGGCACTGCCAGTTGTTCCAGAAAGATGTTACAATTTGGAGTCTCTGGATGGAGGTGGTTCGTGTAGTTAGTACTAGTAGAAGGCAACTTATAATGCCTACTACCATAGAACTCGCAATATCTGCTTGATATAACGGGTAAGTAACATCGTGGTTTAGGAGGCATGTATCATGGTTTCAAAGCCAGGTAGTAGATATACACACACATATGGCAAGTGAATAATGGAGATTTAGTTGACTTCAATGTTGACTCGAAGAAAAAAAAATAGAAGTAAAAAATCAAAAGCCAAAAAAGAAATTGGAGTAGGCCCCCTCGCGGAATTGAACCACGGACCTTTGCATTACGAGTGCAACGCTCTACCCCTGAGCTAAGAGGGCAAACTGATAAACATTTACCCCGTCCAATGCAATCTGAAGGAATAATGACTTGGCATCGAAATTGATTCGCGCAATTCACGACTTCGAAAGACAAATGCACTCATCTCTTAAGTAGGATGCAAGGTTTCTCTGTGTCGCTTACCCAGAATTTCTACCCGAGCACCTACAGAAACATTCTACATGGTTATATGTATAGGAGCATTTACCGCAAGAGCAACTCTGGAGCGCGACGAGACAATGGTATGTATGGCGCACATGTGATAAAGTATGTCTACAGTAACCGCTGAGACGCAGGGGAAAATTCTTTCTAAGGTTGCATTCAAACCTCCAGATGTTCTGTCGAGAAGGTCACCTGGAATCGAATGCAAATTCCATATAGCTCCAATGAGGACTGCGAAAGCTCGTACAGTCCGTCCCAGGGACAAAGACCAAGTTCCGGATCAAGATCCCCTTGCCTTAATTTCGCCCGGAATCCGAAACCACAGCGTTCTTTTGTCCAAGTTACAAGGCCAGCAAAATTGTCATCCGATGCCATGGGTCCCAAAGAAGATAGATTGAGGGGTATAGTGTATGATAGTAATGTAGGGTAGGCGTGTAAGCTCGGCAGAGGTCTCAAACAGAGTCAACAGAAGTCCCATTTCATCTATTGCGTTCCCTGTATTCCTCAAGCCAGCGCGTTAGCTCTTGCTTTCCAATTTGTGGCATTTGCGTGTGGCCGTCGTAGTCTCTTTTGAATGTCGTTGTTTTATCTTAGGCGGCGGCTTCGACCTTCTTGAGTTCCTCCCTGCAGATTTCAAAAGACGATTAGTGGCGATCAATTTGATGAGGTTAAGAGAGGGCTGGGATGTAACATGGGGGCGAGTTCGATGAGAGTGGTAGCATCCCCTCCCAACAACCTCAACCTCAAAAGGAGAGCTTGTCACGTCTTCAAGGGTTTTATCCATCGGTAAGATTCAACTCACTTCAGCTGCTTGGAGAAGTCCTCAGCGGCATCGTCGTCATCCCAGCTTTCTTCCCAGAGGTGCTCATTGCCTTCGTTGGCGGTGGATTGTTCGGCTTCTTCCTGGCTCCAATCTAGATTCCCATTTGTGAGCATGTCGTGTCCAAGATATAAAACGGTTGCTCATTGCATAGGAGTAGTGCGGTGGGACCTACCTTCAACAGGGAAATCTTCGAACTCATCATCCTCTTCCAGCACCTGGGGCTTCGGTTGTTGCTGAGGTTGTTCAGAGGCGGTCGCCTTATCTTGGGTTGTAGAATTCGACATTGTGATTAAGATAGTATTTGTGAGAGAAGTTCCTTGGAGGATGGGAAGATCTCAGGTTGGAAAAGGCGGGGTTGATGGGAAGGGATGTGCGGGTGTGGAAATGGAGCTTTGGTTGAGGTCGGAGCTGGAGGTCAGTGACCGTTGACTTAGTCACCAGATCGGCGATCACCATGATGTATGAAACACCATATGATACAGAAACAATAACAATGCCAGATAATGGACACGTAAGAAATGTTTGATCGATAATTGTAATAATTTCTGTTTTATTTTAAAAAGAGAATTCAATATGATTATTCCCAATCTCCTCCTTGTCTCCTCTCCGGTGATTAGGCAGAAAATGCATAAAACGTGGATATCTCTCGGATTCGGATTCGTACGGCAACTCGATCCCATGGGAAACGAGATCTCGTCTCAGCCACTTTGATTACTTTCCCCCTCCTTGATCCTGCTAGATTTCTTTCCTTAACAGATCTTAACCTTTTCCACTTCCCATTTCTATCGCATCTTCTCTCTCAGTTTGCTCTCGGAACCCCGGCATATCACATGGAGTCCCGCTGAAATTCTTCCCGATCCGTCGCTTTGAATTCGGCCTCGGCCATGAACACAATCTCGGCTTGATTATCATACATATTCTGATCCTCTGCCCTCTCGTTACTTACTTACCTTTGTGCCCAACATGCTTCGCGTTGGGTCATGGCTGTATGGCAAAAAGCCGGCCGCAGCCCAGTCGGTAGATTCTTTGGCCGAGTTGAGAGACTGTATGTATCCTCTCTCTCTATGTTTACAGGGGCAGCTTTGTCCTAAATGGATGATATGGAAGAAATCGTTGCTGACCGTGGAATTTCGTGAGCGGGGATAAGTGGCCGAAGCGATGAAAGGTTGGTGTTATCTCCGCGAGTCCGCATGGATTACCCATTGTTATTCACTAAATCGGACTAACAACAACAAACAGCGGCGACCTTTATCCTGAATGACGATGTCGATAGTGCTGAAAATGGCCTCGCCAAGGGAGAATCGACCTTTCACAATGTGGGTTCAGATTGTCCTTTTCCCAGAATTGTGCATTCCAGCTGCGGTTGATGACGTAGCGGGGAAACTGGGCTGTGTTGGCTGACATTGGGGGCTGCAATTAGTTGGGCAAAGGCATGGTAGCGTTTGTCCGCGCAACACTAGGCTTTGAGCAGGATATTATGAGACAAGGTCCGCTTGAAAACTAGCTCCTCTATTTCCGTTGATCCCAGGACTGACGCTTCCGAGCAGCATCGGAACGGTTAAGCGAAGCCGAAACGAGTGCCTCGAACGAACAGTACCGCGCCCAGCAAAATTCCAATGCACCCAATGCCTTCCACTCGGAGATTTACGGACCCGGCACAGAGTATGCTCTGTGCCAGGCCATTGCGCAGCTATTGAGCGCTGTGGTCGGGGTGTTGAACGAGAGTTTGACCGAAAGTGTCAAGGCTTTCTACCGGCTGCGCAAGGCGTACATTGCATTGGATGCCATTTTGAAGATGGAAGAGAAGTTTATGGAAGCGCACAAGCTAAAGCCCGTCCTCTCGGCCCGATCCAGTGATCTTTCCAAGCTGAGTGTCAACTCTGATTCAAAATTAGAAACCTCTAGCATGGCCTCGTCCATGAAAGGACCGTCAAATGTGGACGCGGATCTCTCAAAAAGCGTTGCCGCGTTGAAAATCTCCAGAGATGCCCCTTCTGAGCCAGCATCAGGCACTTGCACTCCCGGCGGCTCCAATATTAACCATGACCCCGACTCTGACATCTTCAAAAATGAAATTGACATCTTCATCCACTCGGGCGCCAATTTCTGTTTTGGAATTCTCCTGATTATCATCTCAATGATTCCACCATCTTTCAGCAAACTTCTGTCTATCATCGGGTTTCACGGAGACAAGCAGCGTGGACTCAGAATGGTGTGGCAAGCTAGTAAATTCCACAACTTGATCGGAGCCTTTGCTGCTTTGGCTGTTTTGGGATACTACAATGGGTTTGTGCGGTATTGCGACATCATGCCAGATCCGACACCAGGCGAGGATGATGTCGAAGGATACCCGGAAAAGAGATTGGTGGCATTGTTGGCAGAGATGCGCACGCGTTTCCCGGACAGCCGCCTTTGGTTGCTGGAGGAATCGCGCATGGAGGGGGCGAATAAGAACTTACAAGGTGCAATGGATCTTCTTGTCAAGAGCAAAAAGAGCCCTCTGAAGCAGGTCGAGGCACTTTGTGTGTTCGAGAAGAGTTTGAATGCTCTTTTCCTGCACAATTATAGCGCATGCACAGATGCATTTATCGAGGTGATTTAAGCCCGGAACTCTTACTCCTTGGCCCTTCATTTACTAATTTGATTTTCTTCCCAAGTGCTCTGATCTCAACTCTTGGTCTCGATCATTATACTACTATATCGCCGGATCATGTCAAGTTCTCCTCTACCGCCAGTGCCTCAAAGATGACCCCAAAAAGGCCAAGGAATACGCCGAGAAGGCAATCGAGTACATTCGCATGGCACCATCCTATGCAGGCAAGAAGAAATTTATGGCCCGCCAGCTACCGTTCGACGTTTTTGTCACCCGTAAGATTGCCAAATGGGAGGCACGGTCAAAGGAATGGGGTGTTTCCTTGGTCGATGCGATTGGCATAGATCCCGTTGAGGAGATGATCTTCTTCTGGAACGGACATAGTCGCATGACTGATACTCAGCTTGAACGGTCTCTGGAACGACTGGCATGGTGCGAGAGCGAGGCAAACCCGACCTGGTCTCGTGAAGGAGCCGAGGGCCAAGCTATCTTGGATCTTCTACGCGCTGCCGTGTACCGGTCTCTGCGTAAGAACGAGGAAGCCAAGGTCATTTTGAAGACCAAAGTTCTTAACCATGAAAAGGCTACTTTCAAGGCTCATTTGCATGACAATTGGGTTCTTCCAGCTGCTCACTTCGAGATGGCGGCCAATTTATGGATGGCGCGTCCTACTTACAAAGCTTTACATGGTTCTTCGGGCGTTACACGGACATCTCAGGATGCCGATGAGCCCGATCGGTTATCTGCCGAATCACACAACGCCGGTACCTCTGGTGACACGGGGGCCGAGAGAAAGCTTGTCAGGGACTGCAAACTACATTTGGAAACTGCAGCCAAGTGGGAAAGCTATGAGATGGAGGCCCGTGTTGGCTTGAAAGTAACGGCTGGTATTGAGGCCGTGCAGAAGTGGGAGTCCATGCACTCAACTTGATTTTTTTCTACCATCTCCCCTTTTAAACTGTTCATATCATTTGCAAGTCATGTACAGTACATATCATTGTTTAGACCTTTTCATTTTCTCCATTTTTAATTTCTTGTTATTTAGACCCAAGAACGCCTTTAGATTTAGGCCATCGGACACTCGGGAATGAAATCATGTGACTTAAGGACTCCTGCAGGGGCTTCGTGACTTGAACATCACAGCCTCTTCCTCCGTTTACCCAGCTCGTTTACCCAACTCGGTACGGAGTACGAAGTGCAACATCTTGATCAACCCCACACGGTTGGCGCAATGCTTCGCATTTTATCCATCAAGCCTGATTGGTGGGAAGGGACCCATCATGAAAATGTGTCCACTCGTGCCCCTCTCGGTCCGATAACTGTCAATCGCCGACGGATCACGGTTATGATGAACATGGTCGCCTCGGAATTGCTCAAGGAGATGACCCTTTAAAGTTGTTAAAAGAGCAACCAGCCCATGGGCCATGGTCATATAACCGCACTTCTCGGCCCGTTTACTCTAAGACCGAGACCGAGATCGGATCGGACCTCCAATTCCCCACCTCTCCATCCCAAGCTCCACGCTTTTCCGGATAAAGCGGCTTCTCCGTCTCGGACCTCCGATAGAAGCAATAAGGCTTACAATAAAAGACCCCAAGTCCGCCATTCCGAAGGACCGAAGGATGAGAATACTAACATTCCACATACTACAAATACTATACAAAGCCTTCTTGGGACATCTGAAGATCTGAAGTCTCTGATTAGTTCCCGAGGCGATTTTTGTCGGAATATGACGTTTTGAAGAGGGTCCACAGTTTCCATTGTATCCAATTCCCGTGCGGGGGCAATTTCTTTTTCCAGAATTCCTCCATCTTGCCAAAAAAAAAAATTCAGATCCTACAACTTAATTCTGCTCCTACTTCGCTGTTGAAAACCCTGCGACTGCCATAGTCGCGCATCGACATAATGGGCGACCGAACAGAGCACGACTCCAATTACCGCTCGAGTAGCGAGGAAGCCGAGTCGCATGACAATCAAGAGATTATCGACAATGCTGATAACGCCGAGCAAATCTCACCACTCGACAAACAGAGCACCTCAGCATCAGGAAGATCGGTATTTGAAGAGCGCACGCAATCGATAGTCTCACGTATCCGCAGTCGAGACCCAGCACAAATCGCAAAGTTCACGCATGCCCTCTCACATACGAAAACGAGCCCCGATGTGATTGTCGATTTCGACGGTCCCGATGACCCATATCGGCCCTTGAATTGGGGTTTCAGAAAGAAGGCTGTGACAACAATCCTATATGGGTTGACCACTATGGGCACGACGTGGGCTAGTTCAATCTATTCCACGGGCACGGACGAGATCGCAACCGAGTTTGGGATTTCCAGCGAGGTTGCGACGCTGGGAACTTCGCTCCTCCTGTTCGGTCTAGGCTTGGGTCCGTTGATTTGGGCTCCATTGTCTGAGGTATATGGGCGGAAGACGGCAGTCTTGGTGCCATATTTCATTGCCGCGATCATGTGCTTTGGAACTGCTGTTGCGAAGGACGTCCAGACGATTATGTTGACTCGATTCTTTGCCGGATTCTTTGGGTCTGCACCGGTTACCAATACTGGTGGTGTTCTTGGTGATATTTGGAGTCCGGAGCAGCGTGGTGCCGCTATTGTGGGGTATGCGATGGCGGTGGTGGGTGGGCCTGTCCTCGGTCCTATTGCTGGTGGCGCCATCTGCCAAAGTTACCTTGGCTGGCGATGGACTGAATACGTATGTTTTCTTTTCTTTTACTGTTTTGATTTCGATTTGTTACTAACAATATCCCACCAGCTTACTGGTATTATGATGATGTTCTTCCTTGTGATGGATATGCTCTTTATCGACGAGAGCTACCCACCCGTGCTTCTAGTGAATAAGGCGCGCCGCCTACGTTTCCAAACCGGCAACTGGGCCCTACACGCTCGCCACGAAGAATGGGATGTGACATTCAAAGAGCTAGGAAACAAATACTTAATTCGCCCGTTCGCTCTTCTCGCAACTCCAATCTGCTTCCTTGTCGCCCTCTACGCATCCTTCGTGTACGGCATCCTATACCTCAGTCTCGCAGCCTTCCCAATCGTCTTCCAAGAAGTCCGCGGCTGGAACCAAGTCGTCGGAGCCCTCCCTTTCCTCGCCTACTTGGTCGGCATCATCATCGGTGCCTTCATCAACCTGGCCAACCAACGCTTCTACATCAAGCGTTTCAGAGCGAACAACAACCGCGCTGTGCCCGAGGCTCGTCTTCCACCTATGATGGTCGGCTCGGTCTTTTTCGCCGCCGGCATGTTTGTCTTTGGCTGGACAAGTCCGGCGCATATCCACTGGATCGCCCCTATCATCGGAGCCGTAATGATGGGCTTCGGATTCTTTACTATCTTCCAGGCTGCGCTGAACTATCTGGTCGACACCTTCCAGACAACCGCGGCTAGTGCTATCGCGGCGAACACTTTCCTGCGCTCTATGTTCGCTGGTGCGTTCCCGCTTTTCACGAACAAAATGTTCCATAGCCTTGGTGTTCCCTGGGCCGCCAGTGTGCTAGGATTCATTGCCGTTGCACTGATCCCCATTCCATACCTGTTCTATACATTTGGAAAGCGGATCCGGGCGCGTGGCAAATGGTCCGCCGCGTCTGTATAAAGATGAAGATTCATTTCCCTGTCCATATGCGTGAAGATCTCTTTCATTTCATCGTACTTTTTGAAAGATCTTCGCTTATCGTTTTGATCGTTCCGTTCCAAGGTTGGATTTGCTATTTTAGACGGGACTGCTCTGCATTACAGATACCTGATAGATACCCCCCTTTACATTGCCATTTTTGGGATTGATTTATCCTATATGATGCACATAATAGCATAATACAAAAGTTTAATTTGATGAAGTTGAGCCAAGCAGTAAACTAAGTCCTACATAGACCACCCACCGCCGGCCCGAGTCGACAGAGAATGACTGACTTATGTACTTACTAGACTGGTAGTCGACATCATATTTGAATGCTTGCACCTTCAGAATTTATGCGGGACTTATCATTGAGAGCCTTGGAAGGCTTCTACGGGGTTTGTAAGGGGAGGTTTTTTGGTAGAGACCAGTTTCCATTATACTATAGGAGGACATGCGATGGACATGAGAGGTAAATACGAGAGATGAAGGCGAGAAACGCGACAAGAACAGGAGTAAAGGAGACGCAGGCAAGAAAGGAACGAAACGCTGACATGAGATCCGTGTTATCCTGAGCCCATATCCCGTAATGCATGACATAGGAAATATAGCGAACCTTGTCCTGATTGCGAGGACAAGAGACGAATAGACAAGGAGAGTGTGAAATCGCCAAAGACAAAAATATGAACGCCAGATTTTGAACCGAATCCCATGAGGTTTTTTTTTTTTGGTATTTCTCTTCTGCCTTGGCAGTTGGTCGTTTGATTTGCAATTTAGATTGTTTTTTTTTTTTTTTTTTTTTTATAATATCTTCTCTGATGTGTCGATCAAAATCAGGATCAGGCACGAGTCGGGGTAGATGCACGACTAGAGACCATGCTGGTGTTGCGACGTGTCAATTTTCTCGCAAGAGTCATAGCCTTCTCCCAGGTCTTCTTCTTCTCAACACGAGTCCTCACAGACGGATCGGGCGAGACAGCACCAGAGGCAAAGTCAGCCGGGATATCCTCCTGGTGCTTAGCATTGTGGAGCGCTAGAACAGCCATTTGACCCAAGAAAGAAGGATGCTCAAGTAGATCCTCGAGACGGACCTTGAGGCCCTCTTGCTCTAACAACCAGGTCAACTGTGCCATGTTGAAGATATCACCGCCCAGATCGAAGAATGAAGAATCGAGCTGGAATGCAGCTTGGTTCGCGGGCTTGTCATCTGCTTCTGGGTCGACGGTGTTGGTTGAGGCACGGGGAGGTAAGACCTGGTGCCATGAGCGGGAAAGAATGTCCGAGTGGACGAGGAGCTCCGCGATGGAGCGCGACTTCAGGTGCGCGCTGAGGAAGTGCTCGTCTGTTGTGCGAGGGAGGTCATCAATGGCCTGGGGTGGCAGGGAGCGCAGCGTGTTGGGCGACGGGAGAGCCGTCGATGGGTTGGCGATGAGAGACTGGGCAGTCTCGCAGACCATATCGAGGACCTTTTCAGCGAAGTCGGGGAGGATGGGCCCCTTCTCGGAGTAGCCGAGGGTGACGTTGAGGTTGCGCTCGTCTGCAGGTCGAGAGACCATTGTCAGGTCGGCGAAGTTGTCGTTGACACCTGCACCACCCATGCGGTACTTTCTGTTATCCAGCTCAAGAGTTCCTTCGTATTCAAGGTTTTGGTGGAAGACCGAGGTAGTGAAGTAAGTCCAGGCTGGCCAGTCGGTGCACTGCTTGATGATTTCACGGAAGCCAAGTGACTCGTACGGCATGTTGGACACTTGCTGATCTTGGAGATAACGGAAGAGCTCCAGACCGGTCCAATTGTCGTTGAAGTTGACACGAACTGGAATCACGTTGACGCAAGGGCCGACAGTTGTCTCGATGCCAGGAACAGTCGCGTTGCGACCACTGATTGTGAGACCGAAGACAACATCGGATTGAGAAGATAGCTTGGCGAGAGTCAAGGCCCAGGAAGCTTGCATCAGCGTGGCGACAGTAACGTTTCCAAGGGCCGTCGGGGGGATCTCAATGGTTTTACGAATCTCAGTGAAAGCTCCGACATTTTGGAACATGCTAGTTCCCTTGCGGTTGACAACCTGGGTCATTTGCGATCCTTTCAGGAGGGTGGACCAATGGTTGTAGTGATCAGGGCCCACAGTTCCGGGCAATTGACGAAGGTAGCTGGCGTATGGAGTAACTGGGGGAAGAGGACTGCCTTCATAGCCGTACTTGATTGCAGCCATGATCTTCGATAGACACACTCCGTCATACTGGGTGTGAGACAGGCGGATCATGATGCGATGTTGGTCGGTCCCCTTCTTCTTGACAACATAGAACTGAACATATTGTTCGCCCTCGCGTGGGCCATACTCTCTGTCACGTTGCTGCAAGGTCTGTGTGAACTCGTCCAGACCACGATCAGTGTCGTAGACAAAGATGCTGGGACGAATTTTGCGAAGCACAACCTGGAAAAACTGGTCATGGAAGCAAACAAATACAGTTCGTAAGATATCAAACGCGTCGACCACCTTAAGACAGCTCTCACGGAGACGTCGGAGGTCCAAAGGACCATTGCCTTCCAAGAAGAAGTAGTTTAACATCCACCTAGACTTGAAGAGAGTCGCAGTCAAAGACATAGCCTGGAAATCAGTGACAGGGAGAACATCGGCGATGCCGCCCTTGAAGACACCAATCTTGGGACAAATGCCACGCTGAAGAGAATCATCATCCATGGCCTTTGTGGGGCGCAGGACAGTGAGGCTCTCTGACGATGGGGTCTGCGCCAGTGTGCCCAGTTTGCTGTCTGTGAACGAGTCGACCTCCTTGTGAGCAGACTGGAGGTCCGCATTGAGAATTTGCTGCGTCAAGTTGGCAGCGCGAACAGTAGTGAGCATGTCCTCGAAAACAGGATTGTTGAAAACATCCGCGACAGTTAGAACCAATCCATCCTCACGAGCAGCACTAACCATCTTCATGGCAATGATACTATCTCCTCCAAGCTTGAAGAAGCTGTCCTGATGCCTCACCACATTTGGTGAGAGACCCAAAGCATTGCTCCAAAGATTCCAAAGTCTCCTTTCCACATCAGCCATCACCCCCTCCTCGCTACATCTCGAGGTTGCCGAACAAACACCCGAATCATCCGCTCCTTGCATCCGCTCCAATGGGTAAGGCGACTCAATTCCATCATCAGTAGCCCCATAGGTTGAAAGCCCAGAAGTCTGAATCTGTGGAACCATCAACTTGCCTTCCCTCAACATCTGACTAATAATCTCATGAACACGGTCATCAATAATCTTCTGAATAGCAGTGCCGTCCAAGGAGTCCGTCACAGGCTTCATCTTTGAGTGCGCAGTCGACTGCGAGTAGTTTGACTCCGAGGCCACTTCGTCGGCAACGTTGCTGGTGAAGTTGGACGAAGCGATGCTGGCCATAGGTGACTCAATGAATCCCGTGAAGACCTTGGCAATAGTATCCACCAAAGACTGGGCTTGATCATCGGAGATGACATCGTTCCAGTATCGAAGCATGATACCTTCGCTACCACGGGAAATGTCGACATTGACAGTGACAGCGTACTGTTGGGAGTCAGATCAAATTACGCAAAAAGGGGATATTGGGAATAAACTTACCTCACTAGGATCGTGAGCATGCTGTAGGTCAAAGGACAGGCCCTTTTCCTTGGTACCGCCAGCAACGGTGTGATTCTGAATGGATAAGGTGGTGTTGAACAAGGACTGGCTCTGCCATCCAAGTTCATGTTGAATGCTAGCCAGCGAACAGCTTTGATGGGGAATGCTGCTAATATAGTCACTGTTGACCCGCTTCGAAATCTCGCTGAGAGAATGCGAGGGGGAGAATCGAACACGGCAGCAAAGCATGTTGATAAATATGCCAACCATGTCTTGGATACCGTTGACGGGGGCATCGCGACCAGCGGAGAGGTAGCCGAAGCAAACATCATCCGAGCCGGTGAACTGCTTCAGGACGATAGCCCAGGCGGAAAGAGTCAAGTTGGCCAATGTGACAGAAGCTCGCTCGCAGAAGCCCAGAAGTTCTGGGTATCGCTGGAAATTCATCAGAATGCCCTTGAGCTCACGGCTGGCACGGTAGCCAGGGCTCGAAGTAAGGTGACAAGGGTTGACACCACTAAGATATTTCTTCCAGTGGTCAAGAGCTTGGCCTCGGCTCTGAGTTCTGATGAATTTGATGTATTCACTGAAGGAGGGACCGGGGCCTTCAGACAATCGGCGGTCATAGGCCATGGTCAAGTCGCGCAACAAAACATCCACACCACCGCCATCAATGACAGCATGATTAATTTCAAGCTTCACAAAGACTCGCCCAGTAGGAGTCTTGCAGACAGTGAACTGGTTGGAAATCTTCGCGGGGCGCATGGCGTTGATATTGTGTAGGGATATGGCACTCAACTTCTCTTGCACTTGGGAGTCTGGGCATTCCACTCGGAGGACATGATCGGGAATGTGCTTGAAAACAAGCTGATCAAACGAGCCGCCACTGTAGTTGCTGTCGATGAAGACTGTTCGAAGGACTGGGTGTCGCTCAACAAGCATCTGCCATGATTGGGCAAGTCTCTCCGCATCAACCTTACCAGTACGCGCGTCTTTGATTTCAAAGATGGTGTGGAACATATAAGCACTGGGATCACGAAGTTGGCTGAGTAGCAACCCCTCTTGCATGGGAGAGCAGGGGTAGATGTCTTCCACCTCGCTCTTGCTGCGAATACTGAGCTTGCGGAAAGTGTGGTTGGTGAGAGTTTGCAGGCCGTTGTACGTGATGGGCAGCAAAGGATAGTCGCTCAGAGTGGGCTCGGGAGTCGCAGTCTTGAGCGTCGAAATGTCCTTCTCCAACGTCTGCTTGCACTGTAGCATCCAGCGACGAATTTGTGGCTCATTTTGCATCTTCCGGTTGTATGTGAATGCGACATTCAAGCGCTCTTTCACTATGATAGCAGAGACTTCGAAGAGTGCAAAGCGGATGGTCTCAGGCCCCATGTCGCCTGCGACCGCAAAATCGGAGCTGTCAAAGACATTGCCTTGGTGACGGAACAGAGAGTCTGCACGCTCAAGCTGTTGCATCTTGCCAAGGTAGTTGAACAAGATTTCCATTGGAACCTGGAAATCATCGCCACCCGCTTGGAGGAGGCTCTTTGCAAAGTACGGTCGCCCATTGTCGACGAGCTTTCGGCGAGTGTCTTTGACACGCTTGATCATGTCCACGACCCCTCCTGTAGAACTAGTCAGTATAGAATGAATAGTGGATCCTGGGCGAGACGTACCTTGTGGTCCATCGACAAGCAAAGGCGACATTGTCGTAAACCATCCAACAGTTCGAGATAAATCTACGCTTGAGTCCCAGGATTCACGGCCATGGCCCTCATTGTAGATAGTCGGCACCTTACGGTCCTTGAAAATGTGGCTGAAAGAGTGAATGATCGAAGCGAGTAGGATGTCCACGGTTTCAGTTCCAAAAACTTCATGACAGCCGTCAAGAATGAACCTGGTGGCCTCTTCGCCCAAGCTGAAGGATTCCATCTTGATGTCACCATAGACGTTGGGAGTGTCTTGCATTCCCCAGTAGGACAGGTTTGATGCTTCAGGAGTGAAAGGCAGCATAAGGTCGGTATCATGCGTCTTGGATCTGTCGAGTTGCATAGCGCACCAGCTCTGGAACGAGAGGGCCTTTTCATCTGAGAGAGAGCCAGAGATGATCAACTCCTCCAAGTCAGACAGAACAATGCGCCAGGAAACCATGTCAACACAGAGATGGTGGGCGACTAAGAAAAGTACCTGGCCACCTGTGCGAAGGTTGAACAGATCAGCTGCGAAGATAGGTCCATTCATGGGATCGAGGCAAGATTGGCTCTCGGCAATCTTGGGAACCATCGCACGCGTGTCACTCACGGAGTGCACGTTGAAGCGGAAGGATTGATCAACCTGCTGATAAGTCTTGTCAGTTTTGTTCCACGGGTGGCTAAGGATCATACATACCGCTACTCCCTTTTGCTGCCACTTCCCATCAACACCCTTACTGAATCGGGCGCGGAACATGGCGTGTTGGCTGGTGACGGCCTTGATGGACCGTCGCAACACCTCTGCCTCAACCCTGCGAGAGATCCGAACAGTCATGCTCTGGTTAAATCGGGCTGCGCCCTGGAATGAGGTTGAAGATTGCATGTAAAGCTTCTGAACAGGAGAGAGAGCAAAGCCCTCCCCAGCCTTCTCCTCGCGGATGGCAGTCACAGGAGCGTTAGACTTGGAGACTTGCGCCAGTTCTTTGAGAGATTGACTTTGGAGTATGTTGTTCAGTGTCAAGACAAGACCCTGCTTACGCGCCCGGGAAATGACTGCCATGCCAGTGATGCTGTCGCCGCCTAGTCGATTTTGTTAGCATTATGACATTTCAAATCGCGACCGAGTTTCATTGAAAACTCACCTAAGCTGACGAAAGAACGGTCAACATTGACTTTGGACAAAGAGATGTTCAGTACCTGCGAGAAAATTTCGCGGAGAACCTTAAGCGGGCCATCTTGCTGCTGCTGTTCCTGTGGTTTCTCGCTGGGACCACGTTTCATAGAGTCATAATCTTGCATGATGCGCTCGTAAGAAGCATCATCGATGTTCTCCAACCACGCAGTAATTTTCTTGCGATCAAGCTTGCCAGAAACAAGCATGGGCAGCTTCTTGATCAAAGCCCAGCTTGCCGGAACCATATAGATCGGAAGCTGAGTCTCAAGGCTCTTTTGAACCTCGACTAGGTCAGCAAGTCCGCATTTGTTGAAATCATCCTCGTCGATGAGCTCGCAAGGCTTGTCGGAAATGATGTTGTCGGCAGGAATCTTGTTTAGTGACATTACAGTAACAAGTCGTTTCTGGAAGGGCCCGGCCTTGGGCAAGATGACAACGGCATGACGGACAATAGTAGTATTCGCTTCAATGCGGCACTCAATTTCACCAAGCTCCATTCGTTGACCGTTCACCTTGACCTGGTGGTCTTTGCGACTGACGTACTGCACGGAACCATCGGAGTTGTAGTAGCAAAGGTCACCAGTCTTGTAGATTCTTTGGGGTGATTGGAGGTGGGATTGGAACTCTTTCCCCCAGGCTGGGTTTTCAATGAAGCATTCGGCATTTTTCTCCGGGTTCTTCATGTATTCTCTAGCCAAAGCCATTCCCTCGAGAGCGAGTTCTCCGACCGCGCCCAGGGGCGCGAGTTTGTCGTGGTTTTCGGGATCCACAATCCAGGTCAAAGTGCTCGGAATGCCGTGTCCAATTCGAGCGGGATCACGGTGGGATTCGACATCGGAGTCAATTGTTGCGAATACAACAGTCTCTGTTGGTCCATAGACATTGATGAACTTCACGGAGTTGACCCATTTGGTCACAACTTCTTGGGGAACCCTCTCTCCTCCAACTGTCATGTGCTTAAGAGACGGAACGGAGGACGGTTCGATGATGCTTGCGATCGAAGGAGTGAAGAAAACCCAGTTCACGTTCATACGTCTGATAGAGCCAGCAAGGTCGTTGATTCTCTCGTCCTCGCTGGGAACACAGATGCAGCCACCGATCATCAAAATTCCAAGAGTCTCCACGATAGCAGCATCGAACGTCAATGACGCGAATTGAAACACTCTGGATGTGGACGTCAGGAAGGTAATTGGAGCAAAGGCCATGATACTGCTGACACAGTTGCGGTGCTCCACGATGATACCCTTGGCACGACCCGTGCTGCCAGAAGTGAATAGGGCATATGCCATATTCGAAGGAGTGGCCTGCTTGCGGCTCTGGAAACTGGAGTTGATAGATCCATAGGCCTTGAGAGTCTCTTTGCTGATTGGAATAACGGTCTTCACAACTCTGCTGTACTTGTTGGTGTAGTTTGGAGTACACAGAATCATGTTTGCTCCAACATCAGCCAAAATTTCCTCGTGTCGGGATGTGGGATGGTGTGGATCAAGAGGCACATAGGCACCACCAGCAATCATAATACTGATCAATGTGACCATGGCCCAAGCTGACTTGTCAAGACAGACAGGAACAAGAACTTCAGGACCAACTCCACGTGAAACAAGGTAATTGGCGAAGGACGAAGCAAGATTCCAGAGTTCTCGGTAAGTAAGCTGACCATCCCAGGCGCAAACGGCCGGAGCATCGGGTGTCTCAACAGACTTTTCACGAATCAAGTCATGAACGCACTTCTCAACGGTAAGTGGTACACGCTTGTTCCAATCAGCAATGATAGCCTTGTCCTGGGGACAGGCGATTTCTAGCTCGGACACCTTTCCTTTGCTAGTCTTGGGAATTGACATCAGCTGCTGCAGGACATGACCAAACTGTTCAATCAGACGCTTGGTCTGCCAGCCACTGACCACAAGCTCATCGTGGTGAGCAGTGAAAGAAATGGCGGTCTTTGAAATACCGCACTCCAAGACCAGCGGGTGGGTGAAGAAGTCTTCGCTGGTCTCGCGCTTCTCGTCAATCCAGATGCTATCGTTGAGCTGACCCTCTGTAGGCTGAATGACCAGCAAGTTTTGGAAATTGCAACCCGATGCAGTGTCAGAGCTGATTTGACGGATGCGCTGGAGGCCTGCGTGGAGATGGGGAATCATATCGGTGGTTGACTTGTGAATATTTTCCAGGTACTGAACAACGGAAACGTCATTGACAACATGAATGCGAGTTGGGATAGTAGTCAAAACAGGACCAGCGATGTCGCCAACTCCAGGGAGGTCAATGTTGCGACCGGAGAGAGTCTCGCCAAAGCACACATCAGGGGACGCGGTGTGTGAAGCAAGGACGATGGCCCAAGCTGCGCGTAGAAGAACAGGAATTGTGAAGTCAACACTGTTCGCCGGTCGGGAAATATCAATCTTGTGGTGTTGGGTATTTCCGGCGCGAATGGCATCTGGAACGGCGTTCTTGCTTTGCGGGAAAGCATTGCTTGAAATGTCTGCGAGGTAAGACTTCCAGAAGGCGTCGGATTCAGCCATGTCTTTCTTGCTCAGGTGCTCAATGAAGAGACCGTAGGAGGCGGCAGGCTCTTTGTTCAACGATGCCTTGTAGTTCTCTTCAAATCGGCGGTAAATCAAAGGAATGCTCCAGCCATCGTAGAGGGCGTGATGGACGGACCAAACAAAGTATCGAGCAGATGAGCCGCGGGGCTGGACAATAGCATAGCCAGTCAAACGACCACCGTTGTACTTGGGCAGTTCGATTGCATCGCTTGGGAGCTGTTCAAAGGACTCGGCGTGGACCCAAGAGATAGGGTCTTCCTTGATAATAGCCTGGGCAAAGTTCATGGCTTCAGTGTGGATGATACGAGTGCGGAGGATATCAAGGTCAGCGACAGTCTGCTCCCAGGCAGCCTTGAAGCGATCGAGATCTGCGCCGTCAGCGAGGCGGAAGGCTGGCTGCGCAACGTATGCACCATGGTGTTTGACCGACATAGTCAAGAGACCTTCTTGCACAGCACTGCAAGGATAGACATCGGTGACGGAATCCTTGGACACGACGCATCCTTCGCTGACTTCGTCAAGAAGCCCCTCTAGGTCAACACCAGAAGGCAAGAGTGAGAATGGATTGAGGTTCGTGTGCTTAACGGGTGGTGCATCGGTGGAGCTTGAGCAAATCTTCGCCATGTCAATCAAAACGGGGTTCTTGAAAATGGTAGCAACATTGAGCAAGATTCCTTCAGCTTGGGCAGCTCCGACGAGGTTCATGGCTGAGAACGAATCACCACCAAGGGCGAAGAAGCTGTCTTCATTCGTAACAGATCCGGCTTCAAGGTCGAGGGTCGTTTCCCAGAGCGTGCGAAGCTGGGCTTCAATGCCATCATCGGAGGTCTCTTCAGATTTAACTCCAGTGTTGAATGTGATGTAAGATTTCAAAGTTTCTTTGGGAAGGGTTTGAACCATGGCACGAAGACGTCGACGGTCGATCTTTGCAGACGATGTGAATGGAAGGTTCCGCAAGGGGAAGAAAAGGCGAGGCATCATGCTCTGGGGAAGATAGTCTGGTAATGAAGACTTCAGCTTCTGCACAGCGTCCATGTTGCTGACGGAGATAGGCAAAAGCAGTGGGTCTGCTCCAGGGATGGTGGGAGCGAACTGATCATTAGTGCCACCCTGCTCTGAGTCTCCGTCATGGACAGTAAAGAAGGCAGCCAGGCCTTTGGCAACGGTCTTTTCTTGAGGGACAACGACATCAACGGCGACTTGGGAGCCCGCGGGAAGGCATCGAGTGCATTGGTGCTCGATCTCCTCAAGCTCAATGCGCTGGCCATTGAACTTGATCTGGGTATCCTTGCGGGCGAGGAAGGCGAGGGTGCCATCGCTGTTGTATCGGACAAGATCACCGGTGCGGTACATGCGATCGCTGCGCTTGAAGATCCCATGCAGGCCAGAGTGATGGCTCCAAACAGGATCTTCGACAAAGGCAGCCTTAGTCTTCTCGGGGTTGCCGAGGTACTCGCGGGCAATGTTGCTTCCCTCGAGTAGCATCTCACCGACAGCGCCGACAGGGAGAAGGCGGTTGTAGTTGTTCGGGTCGACAATCCAGACTCTGCAATTTGCCGCGAGACCAATGGATGAAGGATCATCGTTGACACGGTTTCCATCCCAGTCGACCTTGACGCCGACAGTAGCAACGACGGTCGCTTCAGAAGGACCATAGGCGTTGATGACATATCGATCGTGCCAACGGTCGATGTGGTTGGCAGGCATCTTCTCACCTCCAGTGATAATGGTCTTCAAGGTGGGAACAGACTTGGGCTCAAGGGTGTTCACAATGGCGGGAGGGGAAGACATGTAGTTGGCTTCCATGCGGCGAATAGCACCTCCAAGGTTGTTCATGCGCTCTTCTTCACTGGGCACGCAGACACATCCGCCGTTCATCAAGGTCATCATAATTTCAAGAACACTGACGTCGAAAGTATAGTTAGAGAATTGCAATGCACGAGTTCCGGAGTTCATGTGAAGCGCATCCATCATGGCAACAGCGGTGGTGCTCAGAGCCATGTGTTCCACAACCGTCGCTTTTGGCTTTCCAGTAGTTCCCGAGGTGAAGATAGCGTAGGCTGCATTCGAAGGGGTCGGGCGAGTACCAGGCAGGGCCAGAGGGGACTCGGGAAGTTGAGAAATGCCGGTATGAGATACAGCGAGAGCCTTCTTGCAAAGCTTGGACATCTTGGACTGCAAGGTAGCTGAGCAGAGGACCAGATCGGCGCCAATCTCTTCAATAAGCATCTGGAGGCGAGAATCGGGGTGAGAGGGGTCAATAGAGACAAAGGCGCCACCGGCCTTCAGAACTGCCAACTGCGCAACAATCGCCCAGGCGGACTTCTCGAAGCACAGTACAACGAAGACTTCGGGTTTGATGCCGCAACTAGTCAAGTAGCGCGCAAGTCGGCTTGCAACGATCTCTAACTGGCCATAGGTGAAATCTTTGTCCCATGAGCAAATGGCCTCGGCGCGAGGGTGGAGAAGTGCTTGTTGTTGGATCAATTCATCTGCGCACTTCTCAACACGCGGGGGCATGGTAGCATTCCAGTCACGAATTTGTCGGCAAGATCGCTGAGAGAGAAGATCAAGATTTCCGATCGATCGCTTGCGAGGGTCGGCAGAGATAATGTCGTTCAAAATTTGGTCGAAAGTGTCAATGACATGGGTGACTTGGACCGAGGTCAAGGTTTCCGTGGAATAGCTGAAGTGGATTTCGGCGACAGAGGCAGATACTTGGGCTGTAACAGCAACATTGTAGGCCTTTGTCGTGACAGAATCACGAGGACGGCGTGGTGGAAGAGACTCAGCAGCACGGTAGGTGAGAAGAGTGTTGAAAACGTTGGCGTCGTCCAAACCGAGCTGGTGCTTGACGACAGTAAGCTCTTCAAAATTTTCTTTACTTTTTTCGAAGTCGGTCTTGGTCTTGAGCAATGTTTCAATCAAGTTGGCTTCGTTGTTCAACATTAAACGTGCAACAGCAATAGACGCCGGGTCGTCAGTCTGCGAAGCCCAGTAGCCAAAACAGACATCGTCATTGCCTGTGTAGCATCGGAGGACAAGGCCCCAGGCGATCTGGAAGAGGATTTCGACAGAAACCCCAGCCATTCGACTGAAGGCTTGCAACTGGTTGGTTTGCTTGTTCAGGGTACGGGTGGAGCGACCCTTCTTGCCGGTTTCTTGGGAAATTGCCGGGAAGTTGCATGGCTCAATGTCGGCGAGGTATTCCCTCCAGAAGTTGACATTGGAATTGGAGAAAGATTGACGAGAGATCCTGCTTCCAGGCTTCGTCCCGGTCCACTTCTTGACATCAAAAGATCCAAGAATAGTAGACGACAAATTCAGGATCTCGGCGTTCAAGTTCTGATAGTTAGTCTTACCAAGAGGGGTGAGGGGAATGGAGGAAATGGGGATGTAGAGACTCGGGACCTTGCTGGAGGAAATTTTGGTTGACAAATGAGTATGCAATGCTGAGATTGAGGCCTTCAACTCGGGCGCCGAATTCTGGATAACTTGTTCACCACAACTGGCTGTGGAGACCTCCGAGGCGCAAAGGAACGCGACAACGCGGTCTTCCCCACCAACGGACAAGGTATCCACAACGGAGCGGCGCTTGGACCCGAAAAACAGATCGATGTTCTGTTCAACATCCACGCGATCGGAGCACGCGACAAAGTGGCGATCAAGCTTCTTCCGCCCGATAAAGACAAAAGATCCATCGGAATTGTAGCGGACGAGATCACCAGTTTTGAAGAACTTGCGAGGCTGAGAAAACGTCACTTCGTCCTGCTCCTCAAGTGTGGACAGCCAAGATGGAGATTCGAAGAAATTGGTCGATTCTTCTTCGCAAAGGTAGCGGCTTGCAAGGCCAGGCCCTTCAATAACTAGCTCACCGATGGCACCAATAGGAACGAGAGTGTTGTGGTTTGAAGGATCGACAACCCAAGGGAGGCTAGATACGGCCGATCCGATCATGGCAGTCGCATGCCCGGGAAGGATGGCTGTATGGAAAGAGCAAGAAGACATTTCAACAGTTCCAAAGAACTGGTGCACTTGCAGGTCCTCTGCTTGCCAGCTCTGCAGCTTTCTTTCGGTCGGCACCTCGCCAAACATGGCGACGACCTTGAGACCGGGGACATCCTTGGCACTGATGAAACCAGCAACGCTGGGTGTAATGCACGCAGTATCAATGTGGAGGGTGCTGATGGAATTCGCCAGACTAGATGGGTGTACATCTGCGGGAATACCGAGACAACCGCCGTGAATGAATGCACCAATGGCCTCGAGGAGGTATAGATCGCTGGTGTGAGGAGCGAATTGAAGGACTCTGGATGTATCCGTGATCTTCAAGGAGGAAGCAAAGGCCTCGGCTCTGGTCATAATGGCTGAATGATCAAGAATGACAGGTCGAGCTACCTGCGAAGTTCCAGCAGAGAAAGCGACGAAAGCGGCATCGCTTGGGCATGCAGCGGACAAGAAAGGCTCATCATTGAGGTATTCAAGCATCGACTCCGTTACGGGAATCACGTAGGGGATGGTCTCTTCAAGAACTTGTGCCTTATCGGGGGATGCGAGAGCAACTTGAACAGCGTTCTCAACCACCCATCCTTCAATGAGGCTCATTGTCTTTGCGGAATCAACCGGAATACATCCGCCACCAGCTTTCATAATGGCAAGAACAGAAACAAGGTGCCACACGGATTTGTCAAAGGAGGTGGGGATCAGAGTTCCAGGACCAACACCAAAGGTAACCAAGTAGCTAGCAAGACGAGATGAGTACTGGTCCAGCTTCGAGTAAGTGAGACTTCCATCCCAGGATGTGACGGCCAGCGCCTCTGGCTTCTTGGTAGCCATGTCCTGAACAACATGGTGAGCACACTTCTCAATTGGCTGAGGCATCTTGTTGTTCCAAGCGAGGAGATCTGCCTTGTTAGCCTGAGTCATGACATTGAGCGACCGAAGTTGACTGTCAATCTGGGTCATGATGCTCTCCAGACACTGCACGTAAGTGTTGGCGACATTGAGAGCCTGAGCATCAGAGAGGCTGGTGGTCCAGTAGTTGATATCGATTCTGGCCTTGGTGTCCATAGCCTCAATGTTGATGAAAACTGGGAACTCAGCTGGATCATGGATGGATCCAACCTCGACACACTGAATGTCACTGCTCACAGCATCCTTCGCGCCAGGAAGGCGGCGGTATGATACACCAGAGTTGAACAGGTTGGCATCGGATAGCTTGAGGGCATGTTGAATGTCAATCAGAGAACTGTGTCGGAATGGTAAGCTCTCCATGTAGTCATCTTGAATCTGCTGCAAGACGTCGCTGAGGAGAGAATCGCTCGACATCTTCATCCGGCAAATCATGAGGTTGATCACTGGACCCACGACAGATTGGACACCATCGGCGGAAACGTCACGCAGAGAAGCCATGTAGCTGAAGCTAACATCATCTGATCCACAGAAAAGACGCAATGTAAGGCCCCATGCGGCGTTGAAGACATTGGATAGGGTGATGCCCTTCTTCTCACAGACGCTTTGAAGCTGGGACACAGACGCAAAGTTCACAGGCATAGACCGGAGGCTCTTCTGCGTCACGACCTTGCCATCCGTGAGAGTCGGGAAAAGACATGGCTTTGCGTCTGACAAATAAGAACGCCAGTATTCGATGCTGGCCTTCTGCGGCGCGTCCTGAAGGAAGCTGATGTAATCCTTGAACAGGGGCCGACGGGTCTCCTCCAGTCTGCCGACATATGCAAGCTGCAAATCACGCAGAATAATAGAGATCGAGTTACCATCCATAGCTGCGTGACTCAGCTCAATGCGACAGAAGATCCTGTTCGTTGAGGTCTGGCAGATGCTGAAGCGATAAGCTGGGGTCAGATCACTGTAGTCCTTCGGGTCTTGAGCGTCGAAAGTGGCCAAGACGTCGCTGTCCCCGGCGGATTGCAGGGACACAGGAGTGGAATGGTACTCTTTGAGCACGACCTGACAAAATGGATCATGGGGTGTGAGATTCTCAACGAAGATGGTACGGAACATGGCGTGGTGAGAAACGACCTGCTTCCATGCCTCGACCAAGCGGTCAACATTGGGCGCAGTCGAGCCTGTGGCCTGGATCTCAAATGTGTCGTGGACAGCATAGTAAGAACTGTCGCGGGTACGGCCAAGCAGAATGCCTTGTTGCATACGCGAGCAGGGGTAGATATCCTCAACAAGGTCAGGCGATGTGATGCCCAAAGCAGGGAGCTTCTGAGTCAGCATTTTGTCGAGGGTATCGTACTTCAATGTAAGCATGGGGAATGAGCTCAGAGTCAACCGAGGAGACAAGGTGGAAAGTCGTTCCGAAAGGTTAAGAAGCTGCTTCTGACACTGTGAGACCCAAGAGTGGATACGGTCCTGGTGCTGCATGTACTTGTTGAACGAGAATGTGAAGCGAATTTTGCCTGCAACGACCATAGCGGAAATTTCGAACAAACCAAATCGTGGGGTATTGCGGCCAAAGTCAGCGGCATCACTACCCTGGCCTGTCTCACCAGCCATCTGGTCCACAAGGTTGAAAAGACCATCCTCTCGTTGCAGATCACGATGTTGACCGACGTAGTTGAAGGACATCTCGAAAGGGTGGGGGTGCGCACCACTCTGAGGACCTCCGGTCTTCAGAACTCGGCTTGCAAAATCGGCGCGACCATTGTCGCTGACGCGGCGACGAAGGTCTTTCACTTGAATGAGAGTGTCGATGGGATCGTCGGACTTGTACCCGTTTACAAATATTGGGTGGAGAATGGTGAACCAACCGACCGTGTGGGAAATATCAATGGAAGGGTCCCAGACTTCTCGTCCGTGTCCCTCATTGTAGATGACGGGCAATGAGCGGTCTTGGAAAGACTGACCGAAAGAGTGTAGCATTGATGCAAGGAACAAGTCGATGGGCTCTGTATTGAGGGCTTTGTGGCAATCGAAGATGATGGAGTTTGTGTGTGCCTCGTCGATTTCGAATACTGCGCAGTCGACATCGCCGTAGGTCGTTTTGTTATCTTTCAACCCCCAATAACCAAATTCAATGCTGGGCAAGGGGTCACTCGGAACTCGGCCTTCTAGTACCAGACTCTTGGAGTGTTCTTCCTGGAGACGGCACCAGGTTTGGAACGGCAGCGAACCATCAGCAGAGGCAGACTTCTCAGGGTTCAGTACAAGATCTTCCAAGTCTCCAAGGATGATCTTCCAAGACACGATATCGACAACGAGGTGATGGGCAGTCATGGACAAGATGTGAGGCTGGCTCGCATCTTGCATGCGGAAATAGTCCACGGCTAAAAGGGGACCAGAGAAGCAGTTGATGCCAGTCTGACTCTCTCCAATGAAAGGCTTGATGGCATCCATGTTAGCGACGGTATGGATTCGCCACCTGTATGAACTCTTGACATCCCGTGTGATCCGTTGAGCCGATGCTGTCGCATCGCCAGTTTGGTCAAACTTGGCTCTGAGCATGGAATGGCGAGTGACCAGAGTCTCGATTGCTTTGCGCAAGGTCTTCTCTTCAAGAGGCTTGCTCAAGCGTGTGAGAATACCCTGGTTGAAGTGACCCTCGCCCTCCTTACGCACGCCGAAGTGAAGGAGTTGAATAGGCGACAAATTGAAGGGCTCCTCAACAGCTTCATGGTAAGTTGTGCCGTGATCGATCGCTTTGGCGCGAGTGGCGAGGTCACGAATGGACTTACTGCGGAGGACGTCCTGCACAGAAAGGCCGATACCAAGCTTCTTGCAAAGGCCGATGCATGTCATGGCAGCAATGGAGTCACCTCCCAAGGCCAGGAAACTCTCGTTCAGGTTGACCATGGCCTGTGGGATGTTGAGAACACGACTGTAGACAGCAGCCAAGCCCTCCTCTGTTGAATTCGCAGGCTGAGAAATCTCCACTCCGAGCGAGGGACTAGAAATTGTCCTTCCAACATCAGGGTCACTTTCCATGCTGGTAACCCAACCAGCGATTCCTTTCCGATCCAGTTTTCCAGAAGGAAGAAGAGGAAGCGCCTCCACGCACAACCAAACAGCGGGGACCATGTAAGTAGGGAGTCGTGCTGAAAGCCTCTCACGGATACCCGGAATAAGCTCCGACTTCATTTCGCTGGGAATCAAAGCCAAAGACTCCAGGTCGGTCTTGGACTGCTCTGTCAATAGACCGGCAAATGAAATGACAGCGGCCAGTCTGCCATTTGAGAATCCAGTTTTGGGGAAAAGAACTGAACAGTGGGTGACCTTCGAGTCCTTGGACAATTGGTTCTCGATTTCGCCCAGTTCAATTCGCTGGCCGTGGACTTTTACTTGCGTGTCCTTGCGACCGATATAATTCAACGAGCCCGTATCTGAATTATACCTGACCAAGTCTCCAGTCTTGTAAAATCTGCGGTTGGTGCCACTCGATGTATCCATCGTCGTCCAAGCAGGGTCATAAATGAATGAATCTTTGGTTTTCTCGGGGTTGTTGACATAGCATCTAGCCAAAGTTGGACCTTCTAGCAGGAGTTCTCCTGGGCAGCCCACGGGGACTAATTCATCGGTGTTTTCAGGATCCACCAACCATACTCTCACACCAACTGGGAGACCAATGTCCTTGCAGTCGGTCTCGGGTGTTACGCCAGTGTTCAGCACGGACGCGACACTGGCCTCGGTAGGCCCGTATCCATTGACCAATTTAATTTTTGACCAAGTCGTCAGCTGAGACTGTGACATTGCCTCGCCAGCCAGCACAAGAACCTTTAATCCAGGCACACTTTCAATTTCAATGAAGCCGATGAATGACGGGGTAAAGCATGCATGGTCGACCCGCATTTCATTTATCACGCCCACGATATCATTTAACCGGGCCTCCCCGCTGGGAATGCATACACAGGCACCATGAATCAGCGGAGTCAAAGACTCGGACAAACTGGCATCGAAAGTGTGGGCGGCAAATTGGAGACAGCGTGAGTCACGAGAGATAAGAAGGCCAGGACCGTGGGCCATTGCACTGGACAAGAAGGCTCGGTGCTCCAAAAGGGTTCCCTGTCAAGATGTTAGACACGTGAAGGACGATTTGCTTGGGGAGTATTCGGATTCAAAACATACCTTTGGTTCTCCCGTTGATCCGGAAGTGAAGAGCACATACGCGGCATTCTGACTGGTGACACCAGATGCAAGGTCAACGCCATCGGCGGGGTCCGCCAAACGATCCATGGTCTCGGTGCTGAGAGGAATTAAGGTCTGTACGACGGCCCGGAGGGCCTCTGCCCGATTGATCGAACACAGTGCAACTGGGGCCTTAACGGATTCAATCAGACGCTGAAGGCGGGAAGTTGGGTGTGTCGGGTCCAATGGGACGAAGGCGCCACCGGCTTTCATGACGCCGAGCATGGCAATAATGTTCCATTTCTGTGATTGGTTAGTATCATTCATAGGAGGAGGATTGGAGCACAAAAATCTGGTGAGGCTCAATCACTTACCGATTTATCGAAAAGCAAAGCTACGCGGATTTCAGGGCCAACACCCTGCAAGCGCAGGTGGCATGCCAGCTTTGAAGAGAGGTGGTCAATCTCTGCAAAAGTAAAACTTCCATCCCAGGCACAAACAGCCTCTCTGTCTGGGCCATTGACAGCCTGATCATGAATTGCCTCGTGGATGCAGCGATCATATAGCTTTGGCGTGTGAGAATTCCACTTCTGAATACGTTGCCAGTCATTCTCCGAAAACAAATTAAGCTTGCTAACAGCGGTGTTTTCGGATGAAAGAACTGTTGCGAGTACTGGCTGGAAGATGTTGGCGACGCTCTTCATTTGCTCGCCAGACATATCGCCATTGCGCCACTCGAGGAAGATGTTGATGTCCCGACGCAAAACCTTCACATGGAGACGAACTTGGCACTGCTTCAACGTAAGCTTCATATTCGCAAACCACTTTCAGGAACTCGAGAGTAAGAACACTAACCTGGTCGGGCAGAGCAGTTGCAAGCATTGGTTTGGTAGAAGCCGTATCCGACTTTTTGTATGTGCGGAGCATCAAGATTGTGTTGAACGGCAGGTATCCGTCGGAACCGGCCTCCGCATTTCCACCGATCTTGGAGGAAGACCCCTGGTGCTTCCACACTTTATCTACAATTTGCTGAACTGAATCGTTTTCGTCGATTGCAAGTCGGATCGGTGAAAGATTGTCAACGTTGGACCGCTGTACATGGTTTCGAGAGCAGATGGCGTCGCCATCGATGTGTTGGTAGCCGAAGCAAATGTCTTCGGTTCGGAGGTAGTAATGCAAAACAATGGCCCAAGTGGCTTGCAATACCGAGTTGAGGCGACCTTCGTGCCATGCGGTTAATAACTGCGCATTTTGAGAAGGAGTCAGTCTCGTTTTCATGGAAACCGGGCGCTTGGGTCCGTCAACGGCGGTCGCGAAGCGAGGAAGATAGCATTGCGATGATTGAGCCATTGTTGTCGGAGGGTCGTTGAACGTTTCAATTTCCTGGATTCTCTTTCCAAGGTTTGTATGTCCAATAGAAATATTGTCTATGTCGATTTGGATGCAATATTTCTGCGGGATGTCACAAGAAAAAAAATCAAGTGAGTGTGAGAAAGATGTCTTCGAATTAGGTTGGATATGAGTATGTAAATTAGATCCAGAGGAAGACTATCTTTCCACACAAGAGGCCCGCGGGGAGGAATGTCTCAGTGATTTTAAAAGAACAAGTTCAATTTTTTTTATTAGCCATGTTTTATTTTATTTTATTATTTTCTCAGTAATCAGCATAAGTTACGCCATCGGTCATCGGTCCTCGGGGACTAGATGCATAGCCATGCTCATCCATAATACAATACGGGCTTCCGGGGTCAATAGTACAGCGACTGGCAATTTCATAGTCCCCCATGTATCTTCCTTGCATAGGTTCGGATCTAGATGGATGAAGGGTTGGGACACGCCACAGCTGGAGCCAGTGCGGTTCTAGGGGGTGGAGTACGTTCCCTTTTCGCCCTTGTGGAACCGAGTCAGACATCAGACTAACTTACATAGCACTAGGATAAGTTTGCATGGGGCGAGACCGAATGATACTCTGTATTTGGAGGAAAGAGTAAAAAAAAAAAAAAGTGGGCAATTGAGGTTCATAGCCGCAGTACGGTAGTTGGAAATCGAAATCGAAAATCACATCAATTGATCAAAATAAAATACATAAAAGCGCAAAGGCGTAAAAAAATAAAAACATTTGAAGGCTGGGGAAAAAAATGAATTTCGTCCTAAACGGGCAAGATGCAGGGGTACCTTCGCATGACAGTATACACATGTAATTTTGGACTGTTCATTAGCTGTCCATCTTGATCGTTTAGCCAGATCCACTTGCAATTTTAAGAAAACCCCCCTGGCTCACGGTCTCGAACGTGGTTGCGCAAGGATGTCAAAAGCCGTGAGTCTTTCAATAGGGACTGAGCCACAGTCATGGTATACCAGCGCTATTTGATTATGAGATCTTTTTTGGGCATTACATTTTCTCACATTCCTCAATAAATCTCTCAGGTCTGCTGATCCGATCAAAAGATGACGATGATAAGTTTCTGGAAGATGCATTGGGTTTAAAACCTGGAGAACAGGTACATGATTACGGATGCGCCATCCCCTCTCTCCCATGCTCCAGACTACAGAGTACATGAGAGAAATATGTAGGGTCCAGCTTGAATGCAGTAGCCATTGGTCCATTTGGAAGCTCTCAGCAGATCGCATGAGAATTTTGTTAATTTTGTTACACCGACTGGATCTTGAAGCTGCACACATGGCAACAGGGCTTTCGCGGAAGAAAACATTGCGGCTGTTGAGGTCTGTGCCCTGGGACGACACCCTACCATTATCAAAGTTCAATAACATATTGGAACGGGGAGATGGATCATTGACCGGAGGTTGACCTCGCAACCGAAGCTGGAAGTGGAGAGTGAGACGTTCACCTTAATCGGGGAAATTCGGATGACTCCATCTTGTCTCATTCTGTGTTTATGACTGCTTGGTTCTAACATTAACTCCGAGTGGGGGAATAATGGAGCTGAAAGATAAAAATAAAAGTAAAAATCCATTGCAAGGCATTAGTGCCCAATTCTTGAATAGTCGGTGGGAAGAGGATACTCATAGTTGTAGTGACAGACGGCAGAGCAGAATAAAAAAGTAAAAAAAAAAGTAGAATGGATCTCTCTCCTTTACTCCGCCCATCAACCACACGTTACTTTTGATATTGTTTTGCCATTTCCCCCTCAAATCGGAAGGAATTGTTCGGAGAAGCTAACTAGGGATCCTACAGAAAAGCGAATTATCCATTGCGGTAAAGGATGCGATTGGCCTGAGTGTTGGGCATGGACATTGAAACGAGGACATGCCAACTGTTCCCATACCTTTGGGGTCCAACGGGTACTTTAGAACCTTCAATGTTGGCGTCTTTGGGGGCGCCTTGTGGGGTCGATGGCGCACGCCCCCTCCAACAAGGAACTCCTCTTTCACACGCTAGTAGGATGGTCGCTCTGCAAGGGCTGGGGGACTATCGCGGGTCGATCCGCCGTGATCGACCTATCGTCCCAAGGCAAGACTTTATCCGTAGTCGGTAATGGCTTCCCCTTTCCCAATAGATAGGTCAGAATCATATTTCTGTTTGATCCATTTTTTTGTAAAAAAAAAAAAAAATCAATAGCATAGAAAATAAGGTGATTCTATGATAGATAAAGCCCAATCATTTCTGAAAGTTCGACGGACTTGACGGAAATTTAAAATGGGCCAGAAAGCAAGGAACAAAGGAGACAAAGGAAAACAGGGAATGGGAAGCCACATGGACGGAGAATTGTACTTTCTCCATGTTTGCTCTCGGTTAATTCTTGTATGGAGCACCACTTACGCAATGCTCGTTGCTGGGGACTTTTGGCGTGATCAAACAAAAAAAGTTGAAGCAGAGGAGGTCGTGGGGCCAGGTCATATTTTTGCGCTGCAAAAGGACGTCAGATTTTTTTTTCACTGTCGAGCCTTTAACCTCATCCACCCGCAAGGTGTGGCGCTAGACTAGGACTTGTTTACATTAGCGCCACACCGGGTGACGATGCCACCCGTGAAAGACTTAGTCTCGATGCACTAAGACCGCCATTGTTGTACAAATCCCAGATGTTTGGTCAGCGTCTGGGCCCTGCTAAGTGACTAGTGTTGGAAATCGAATCCACTTGCTTGGAAGGGAATGGGGAGAGTTGCGGGAGAAAGACCAGGGGCCGATGGCTAGTGGTCAATCCTGTGGAGGCGTGAACCATTCAGGCGTCCAGAAGAGAGATTGAGTGGATGGAGTACTTTCAAGCTTCCAATGGGAATCTGCCAAGCTCCCGTACTTCGTATGGGGGCCAAACATTCCTCAGGTAAAGCGAACTAGTTCCCGCAACGGTTAATCCATGTCATAAACATCTGAACCCCGTCACACTAGTCATAATGCCCAGAAATATATACATGAAATCAAGTATTTGCCTGGAAACCTTGGAATTACCCTTAAGGATTAATTAAGATCGTCCACTAAATGTCCGCACTGTAGACAGATCGAATCCAGATCTTGATAGAATATATTTCCGATCTGAGTGGGATTAACCTAAACATTTGAATGTGGACATCAGGACTGGTTTATGTAATGTTCTTGCCTCAAGTGCTTGGAGGGTGATTTGGTAGGTATATATATGTTTCTATTTTATCAAGTAATTGAAATGCTAGATATGTGCGCCCGCGAGCTTGCATGAATTTCGAAATATTTTCTATTGATTTAAATTGATGGATTTGAACGCCCCATACATAATCAATAAGCACCTGAGTGGATTTGATTTGGAATTTGTGCACATGTACGCATGATGTGGGCTCCGGGGAAAAAGTACAAGTTGTATGCATCTTCGCCACCCATCAACCACCTGGCTCCCGCAGCTCTGGACATCTGGAAGAGCCCTTGCGAAAAAATTGCAATGACAATAAAAAAAAAACACAACAAAAACAGGTTCACCCCAGTCAAGCTGCATAGAGCTCGCTTATGCACTTTCTTCCTTGGTCTAACTAGCTGTAAGTACACATATTGCAGAATATCAAAGGCCGATCCCGAGCTCTACGACTGCCACATCGCGCTGCAAGCCTTGGAATGTCTTGCCGTTCCAGTCGCAATTGCAATCGACCAGCCTATATCTACCCGACGACCGACTGATCAGCGCTTACTCGACAAATTACGCCGGGTCCGATCCACAAATAAGGACGGGAAGGTCAGGATGTATTTTACGAAAATAGAAATAGAAATCGGGTTACTGATTTGCTAACCTTGGAACTAGTGGATTGTGAAAAGCAAATCCCGCAAGTGACAGGTGGACCTACCGAGTGGAGCGGAACGGAGGTTATCCGGGGGGTCTTTTTCATGAGATTTTATGCCTGTAAACACATTACATGTAAAGAAAAAGAAGAAAGAGAAAAGAAGGGGAAAAAAAGCCAATTGGAATAATATATGGTTTTTTTTGTCCCACCAAAAAAGCAAATAGACGATAAAGTAAACTCGGGTATACGGAGAACACGAGTTTGTGGACGGCGCCACGCAATAAGATGGCTTAATAGCGTTCGTGAGCTGAAGTTAATCTGGACGCAAAAGCTACTAGCCACGCCTGATACATAGAATTATCATCCTCACCGTCTCGCCGGTATGAGAACGACTCGAGTTGGGCATCATCATGTCTGACTTCAGATTTTGGTGCCATGCGGCCAAGGTTTACGTGATGACTTCTCAGCTGCGTTGTTTCAAGTCGTATCCTGTGCATTGAGTCATTAGGGATCTACCAAGTGATCTCCCCTTAGACATCATAAAACTAAAATGAGAAAAAGGAACGCCCTCGCATGAAAGTAGGGGCTTAACCTAAATAGGAGCTCCAGATTTTCACCGTCTCGAGATCTCACAATCGCATTGGTTCATGATTACACTTCGCCTGCAAGGTCGCTTTCATTTCCCTCGTGTTCACTCTGCGGGAAGCTGATCGTGAGGCTTTTACAATCAACTTGGCTATTTGTTTACTCCAGGGGGCTCGGGCTCTATTGTCGCCGAGGCGTCCCCCACATCCCCAAGGGGGATATTCAAAAGGAATCAGAGGGGAAACAGGCACACTTGCATCATCAAACAAGGACCAGATCTTGCTATACTCCGTACAGTAGCAAGAATAAACCTTGGAAATTTCCGCGGGTCCATTACCGTAAAAAAACAGGAACTAGAAAAATAACTAAAAATCAAAAACTAGAAACCTCCACGCCATAAATGACGCTAACAGGGAATTATCCTGCAGTCCTAGTAGAGTACGGAGTATTGTCAATGTGGGAAAAAATCAAATAAATCAAATAATAAATCCAAATCTGTCCATTGTAGTAAAGAGGGTTGCATTGGATGTCCACTCGGTTGCAGGGACCTCGTAGGCCCTCTTTACCATAAGGGAGCGCCTTGAGATGCAGTGTAGTAAGCTCCTGCAGAGGGATGGACCTACTACACCTTTTTTGGATCAATCTGATCTAGAACCCTAGGACCCGAGCGTCTACCCCCTTATGTTATTGACTACTTCTTGAACACTCTTAATTCCGCAACTCGTGGACCTTTCTTCCTCCTCAACCACCTTTCACACACCAATTGGATGGTTCTTGGAGAGCAAAAATGGCTTCCTCGAACTCATCACCGGCTCTATGCCGTCAGGTTGACAACACAATGGGCGTCTGGGCTGGTTCATGTCGTGGAGGATTTGACTTTACATTATTATTCGAAGAGACTATTCTCCAGATCCTCCCCATCGCCCTGATCTTAATCTTGGTCCCATTACGCATATACCAACTATCACAAGAAAGACGCAAAGTCGTTGATTCACCGTTGCTGTTCGTGAAGCTAGTAAGTGTTTTTATTTTTATTTTTTTTGTTCTCTTTCCTTTCCTTTTTCACCTGAGGTCCTCCAGAACGATAAGGCTGGACGCAGTGGAACACTGTAATTGGAAAAACATTGTTGTGCTAACCAGATCGATTGTATCACCAGGCCGCTTGGGTATCTTTCCTTGGACTTCAAGTCACTCAAACTGCTCTCTGGGCTTTCCCCTCTGCCGATTCAACAAAAGCTTCACTGGGCACAAATGTACTTTTGACCATTGGCGTTCTGGCACTGATGACACTCGCTTATTCGGAACACACACGATCTGTCCGGCCATCCTTGATCCTAAACGCATACCTCTTCTGCAGTCTGCTTTTTGATATTGCCCACACTCGAACTCTGTGGCTCCGGTCTGCAGACTCATTCAATGACACCATTGCAACTGTCACTTCCGTTGCAGTTGCCGCCAAATTGCTCCTTGTTATCTTAGAGGCTGTTGAGAAACGAAGCATCCTGAAGCCCGAATACCAAGGTTATCCTCCCGAGGCCACAGCTGGATTCCACAGCCGAGCTGCTTTTTACTGGTTGAACCCGTTGTTCAAGGTCGGCTTTTCTCGAAACATCACTGTTGAGGACCTCTTCGTTTTGGACAAGGAGTTGAGCTCAGAGCGATTACTAGCAATTTTCGAGGCGCAATGGAGCAAAGTGAAAACGAAGACCCCCAACTCTTTGCAGTGGGAGTGCTTCAAAGCCGCAAAATGGCCCCTTCTTACAGCTGTTCCTGCAAGAGCTTGTGTGGTGGCTTTCAATTTCTGTCAGCCCTTGCTGTTGACGAGGTCTTTGTCTTACTTTAATGAGCCGGTCAACAGCGATACAAACAACACAGGCTACGGAATGATTGGAGCCTATGCTTTGGTCTACATTGGTTTGGGTGTTGCAATGGGTCAGTACCAGCACAACACTTACCGCGGCATTACCATGGCTCGTGGAATTTTGGTCACAATGCTCTACAAGAAAGCCAGCACCACCACTCTGAGCAATGCCGATCCTGCCAACTCACTCACCCTTATGAGCGCCGATGTTGAGAGAATCACAAACGGATGGCAGACTATGCATGAGATCTGGGCAAACTCAGTGGAGATTGGACTTGCAATCTACCTCCTGAAACGACAACTTGGAATCTCTTGTGTCGTACCTGTCTGTGTGGCTCTCCTTGCTCTTTTCGGTTCTCTCGTTGGCATGTCTTTTGTGGTAGCCCATCAGGCAAAGTGGCTGGAAGCTATCGAGAAGAGAATCTCCTCCACCTCTGGCATGTTGGGTTCAATCAAAGGTGTCAAGATGCTGGGCCTGCAAAACTCCTTCATGAAATTTGTCCATGGCCTGCGGGTTGATGAGTTATCCATCTCCAAGAAATTCCGCACTCTTCTGGTCTGGAACATGGGATTTGCCTGGCTCACTCGTATTTTCGCTCCTATCTTCACCTTCGGAGTCTACGAAGGCATTTCGAACAACTCCCTCACTGTTTCTCGGGTGTACACCTCCCTAGCCCTCTTTTCACTTCTTTCGGACCCGCTCCTAACCCTCGTTATGGCACTCATGTCTTACGCTGGATCTGTTGGATCTTTCGTGCGCATCCAGGAGTTCCTTGAGAAGGAAGACCACAACGATCACCGCCGCCCTTCTCCTTTGCTTCCTTCATTCCAGGACCTCGGTGAGGCGAAGCTTCTTTCCAAGTCGGGTGATTTGGACATTGCATCCAGCAGCTCGGAATCTGTAGAGTCTTTCAAGCGTGGATCCACCTCTTCCTCGACCAACTCTGCAATGATCCAACAAGGCACATTCAGCTGGGGACCTGATGAGGAACCCGTCTTGAAGGACATCAGCTTCACGGTCCCTCGCGGAAGCTTCACTATGATTATCGGACCCTCTGGTTGTGGCAAGTCCTCTCTGCTGAAGGCTCTTCTGGGTGAGATTCCTTGCGCAGAAGGCAAGATTGAGGTATCTTCTTCGAGTGTGGCGTTCTGTGATCAGACACCTTGGCACATGAACGGCACCATCAAGGACAGTATCGTCGCAATGTCGGACTATGATCCTACATGGTATACAACTGTTCTCCGGGCTTGTGCTCTCGAGGAGGATCTTTCCCACTTCCCTCGCGGTGATCGCAGTATTATTGGCAGCAAAGGTGTCGCCCTCAGCGGAGGTCAAAGTCAACGCATTGCCCTCGCCCGTGCTGTCTACGCCCGTCGCAAGATTATCATTTTGGATGACGCTTTGAGTGGCCTTGATGCCACAACCGAGAACCACATTTTCCACAGCTTGTTCGGGCAATTGGGACTTCTGAGAGAAAACGGAACCTCGATGATTGTTGCTTCGTCATCTGTCAAGCGTCTCCCTTATACTGATCACATTGTGGTTTTGGACACCGACGGCGGCATCATGGAGCAAGGAACATTCAGCGCTCTTTGCAAGACTGGTGGGTATGTATCCAGCTTCGCTCTCATCGCCCCCGACTGGGACTATAAGCCAAAGCGATTCTCTGAGTCGCTCAGCTACAGTACCATTGACTCGATCGAGAAGGAGAAGGAAGTTATTCCTGAAGAGCCTGTCAAGCGTGACAACGGTGGTGACCTTGGAATCTATACTTACTACCTTAACGCCATCGGGTACCTTCCTGCCTTGGTGTTTGTTGTCGCAATGGCTGGCTTTGTCTTCTGCATTTCCTTCCCCAGCATCTGGGTGCAATGGTGGGCTGAGTCCGACACAGCTCATCCCAGAGCTCAGCTGGCTTACTACCTTGGTATCTACGTGATGCTTGGATGTTTGGCCATGATCTGTCTTCTTCTTGGCTCATGGCAAATGATCATTACCATGGTCCCCAAATCTGGCGAGTTCTTCCACCGCAAGCTCTTGACTACTGTTCTCAGTGCTCCCATGCTGTTTTTCTCCACCACAGACAGCGGCTCTATCCTCAACAGATTCAGCCAGGATTTGCAACTCATTGATATGGATCTGCCAATCGCTGCAATTAACACTATTGCTACCTTGTTCCTCTGTATGGCTCAGATGGCTCTTATTGGGGCTGGATCAAAGTACGCTGCCATCTGCTTCCCATTCGTGCTTGGCATGTTGTTCCTCATCCAGAAGCTTTACTTGCGCACTTCCCGTCAACTCCGTTTCTTGGATCTTGAGACCAAGGCTCCTCTGTTCTCTCACTTTACAGATTGTCTTCAGGGTCTTGTGACTTTGAGAGCCTTTGGCTGGCAACATGGCATGGAGAAGAAGAACATTGAGCTCCTCGATATCTCGCAACGCCCTTTCTACTACATGTTTGCTATTCAGCGCTGGCTTACTCTTTCCCTCGACTTTGTTGTCGCGGGTATTGCCATTCTGCTGATTGTTCTCGTCGTGGTCCTTCGTGGAACATCTCTCAACGCTGGATCTGTTGGTGTTGCCCTCCTTAACGTCATCCAGTTCAGTCAGACTATCAAGCTTGCTGTCACCTTCTGGACAAACTTGGAGACCCACATTGGCTCCATTCAGCGTATCAAGGACTTCACCAAGACTGTTGAGACCGAGGATCGCCCTGGAGAAGATAAGGAGATCCCTCCCAGCTGGCCTTCAAAGGGCGCAATCAGCTTCCACTCAGTTTCTGCGGCCTACAGGTACTATCTCTACAACTGCCACTTTTCTTACGCGCATACTAACATTTTTTACAATAGACCTTCGGAGCCGGTTCTCAACGATGTGTCTCTTACCATTCAAGGAGGTGAGAAGATTGGTATCTGCGGACGAACAGGAAGGTAAGCAATATCAGCAGCCCCGTTTTGAATTCTTCAGTGGACGAGTCTGACAAATAAACTACTTTAGCGGTAAAACTTCAATGATTATGAGCATCTTCCGCATGATCGAGATGACCAGTGGTCTCATCACAGTCGACGGCGAAGACATCTCCCGCCTACCAAGACGGGAAATCCGTGCCCGAATCAATGGAGTCTCACAGGACTCTCTTCTCTTCAAGGGTAGTGTCCGATTGAACGCCGATCCAACAGGTGCATCCTCCGACAAAGACATCACTTCCGCCCTCAAGACCGTCCAGCTCCTCTCCGCCATCCAAGAAAAGGGTGACCTGGACACCGATATCGATGAGATCCACCTGTCACATGGCCAAAAGCAGCTCTTCTGTCTTGCGCGGGCAATTCTCCGCCCGGGCAACATCCTCATCCTTGACGAGGCAACCAGCAAGTAAGTAAACCTCTCAATTATTGTCTCACCCCCTGACGTGTTCCCTCGCATTGAGAGATTACACCTCTCCACTTTCATGAATTTTTTTTCATTCATTTTTCCTTTTCTTTTTTCCCCTTTTCCCGATCTCATCTCACTTGTTCCTGTCACATCCCCTGCATATATGTGGCTGAATGATCCGAGCGCCTCCGCGCCCTGATCTTCGTGATCCATGCGTCTCGCAAGCCCCCACTTTTCCCCCTTGCAGAACCATCAAGCAGGACAATTGCTAATCTTCACCCATCAGCATCGATACCAAAACAGATGAGATTATGCAACGCGTCATCCGTGAGAAATTCTGTAATCACACCATCATCTCCGTGGCTCATAAGCTAGACACTATTCTCGATTATGACCGCATCGTGGTGCTGGACGCTGGTCGGATCGTCGAGACCGGCGAGCCTTTCGCCTTGCTGAGTGAGCCCAAGTCTCACTTCAGCAGGCTATATGCCAGCGCTGTGGAGTCAGAGGATTCCGATTAAACTTCTTCTGATTCAGATGATTCTTTCGGTTCGAGTTGACCTCTTACCATTCCCCTCCTTTTTTTTGCATCATGGCACTTGCACAGATTGAGCCTTTTGCGTCCTTTTTTCACCTCTCTTTTGTCTTGGCTCGCTAGTCCACTTTCTTTTATGGTACATATCGAAGTCAACATACACAGAGATCCGGATCAGTTGCCAGGTGTTTTGTATTTTTTTTGACCACTTGATTGTTTTTACATTTTGGCTGTGTTTCTTCTTGACTCTCGTTGATCTGGGCTATTGGCCATTTTTCGTTTATCTTCTCTTCGCACTCTCGTTGATCTTATATTTGGGATTATTGGTTACTGCTGGCAACTTGACTGGGGTGGATTGTCTATAATATGGTGTACTTACGCCCACCAAGCTGCTTTTGTTCCTAATGTGAACCAACACAATAACTTTGGTTTCAAATTCAATGACTTTTTACTTTCATTTTCGCGTCCAACCTTGAAACGAAGTTATTTGTAATTTTTTAAAGTCTTATGTAGAATCTCTAACTAGCTGTACCTCGGAGGCAGCACTGTGGACTGCACGTGGTTAGTAGGACGAGTATTCAAAGAATGTGCCCACATGTGCAAGTGAGGCACAGTCTTCAAACATTCAATCATAGCACTTGAGGAACATGTGCAACATTGAAGTCTCGATTCATCAACATTGAATCATTTGATTCAATCCCGATCTCCATCTTCCGGGGACCCGTCGATAGACATCTGGATGTTATGTATGTATGGCAACTACATAGGTTGCCAATATTGAATGTTGGAAACCAACAACTATATGTACATAACATCAATTGATATGTATTGAAGGTGTAGACCTCACATTTTTCTCTTTATGTATGCCCTACATGGATCTTAGCCATTCCAAAAGCTAGCCGCACAAATCAATGTGCAGTTCATATATAGTACTAGTAGGTGTCAGTTGATTACCATGTAGATGCCCAAGTGCATCAAGGGACACATTAAGCCATCCATGTGCATGTGGATCCAAGGTAAATCTTCGAATTCAACTTTGGAATAACCTTCTATTGATTTCTCTGACATCTGGAACATTGGAGGTTAGAATTTGGTTATCCTTATATAGGTAGGACGTATTAGTATGTATATGGATGCCCATCTGAGCAGATCAATATAAATGTTCCAACATTGAACCAATTGATTGATTCCAAAGCAGGCGGGTCGATGGATGTATATTTCTGAGCCTTGCACAGGAGTCCCGCACCAATGAGGTCGAATGTGCCCAGGTGTTCCCACCTTCAAATGGCAAGAGTGTCAAATAACTAGTCCTTGTAAGATTATGTAGATGGATTTTTGGTTGCCAAAGAAAATGGATATTCCATGCCAGTGTTGAATTGAGTCCATGGCCGAGGTGTGGGGTATTCCAATGTTGGAAGGTTGGAACCTGCCAATGGACTTTGGGAACTATGTACTAGTAGACAAGCAGCAGGTTCAAAGGCAAGAATTTCGACTTCGTCTCAAATTTACTAACATAACTGGTAGTGAGGGAATGCGCGATAAATTTTGCGCGCAATGCACTACCCAAGTTCCAACCCTCTTTCAAAGGCCCCGAATATTGTTCACGTGAGCAAACACTTGTTTTGATCTACAAAGGCAGAATTAGACCTGGGGTTTTCCAAAGTGGAATTTCGAGCGCTCTTGCATAAGACGCAGTTTTTAATGAGGATTGGGACTTTCAAAGGATGCAGAACATTTGAAAGAAATATACATCATAAAAATCGAATTTTGATTTTTTTTCACGAACAATTCGAATACCCTATGAAGATAAGAAAAGAGACTAATTGTGACATGTTGCTTAGAACTCCACCGATGTAAACTTCCAGCTGCAAAAATTTGGGATAAAAGCTAAAAAATAAAAAGGATTTGTGAATTTAGATTCAAAGTGCACGCCATCCGTCCACGGGTGGCCCCTCGAATTCTCAATCACTGATAATCTCATAGAGACAGCGTGGATTTAAGTCTTCCAGCCATCTACATAAGAATCATTGTTTCATCGTTATCGGTTTCTTCCTCATATTCGTCAAGACCAAACTCCCAGTCGCCACGCTCAATCCGGCTGACCCGATCCAGTTCAGACTGGTATTCGCGACGCAAATGTTCAAGGGTCACGATGATGCGTTCTAGGGGTCGTTCGGCGGCAGATTTGAACGAAACGCCATTGCGTCCACCGCTGATGGAGGAGCGGCTCAACCTGCGGCCCGACACAAAGGAGGCAGCGCTGGTAGAGCGACTTCTGCTCTTGAAGATGCTTGGTGATCCCGTGTTGTCCGCATCTTCCATGAAGACGTTGCCGTCGCTGTCGGCCTGATGGCCTTGGTGACGGGCGTGTGAGGAGTCTGTGATTGGACCAGAGGATGGCAACGGTCCGATCTCGACGAGAATGTAAGCTTCACTCTTGTCAACTGAGGCCAAGAGGTTGATCAATGACAGAAGCTCATGACGAATCTCCTTGCTCTCTTGATCGTCCTCGGGGACCACGGCTTCCTCAACTTCTCTCTTGCCCTTGTGGACAACAGCGGATGAGGGAGCCTCTCTGGCTTGGCGGAGACGTTGCACATTGCGGTATGCAATCTCAGCTGCACCGCGATAGTCACTGCGGGAGATGCGGTACGCTTGCAAGATACGGTGATAGTCGGGCGAGCTTTCAGCATCATTGCTGTCGGTATCCAGCCATGAGTGAAAGGAGTGTTGTTTGTGGGCGAGCGAGACAAGTATTTCGTCGATGTAGGAGGCAATGTTAGGGATGAGTGAATTAGGGAAGCGGAGGATTTGTTTGAGACCTGAAGGTCCAGGTCCGGAGACGATGAGAATGTTGGAAACTAGTGAGCTGAGGGCGGATTTCTGCAGAGCAAGATCCTGGTATCGGGCCAAAGCAGAGTAGGCCTGGTCAAACTGGCAGGTCTTGAGAGATGCGTGGAACAGACGGGAAAGCAGGTCTGTTCGCATACTTGAGTAATCAGGGTCCTTTTCAGCCAATGCTCCAGCGTCAAGGGCCTGCAGCGCCAGACTGGCGAAGTCGGCAACATGTGAGAAGGAGCGCACTCGTTCAAACACAGAAAGAATATGCTGGTAGTATTTGGGAATGCCGTTATGGAAGCAGTCCACAGAAACCAGGTCTAGGAGCGTCGAGGACATTTCGTGGAGGTTACCCAAGGGCTTGCCACAAGCTGGTATTGACAGTTAGTAGATGATAAGAAACTCCAATCAAAAGAACTTACAAAGCAGATATGCTGCCTTCCGGAAGTAAATGGCAGCAGTGTCAAATTCTGACATCGCCACATACAAACGCCCCTTAACATAAGTCGCCCAAGATGTGCTTGCTTGGAAGCGGAGGAAATCCCAAGCGAGATCAATGTTGTTCTTGGCAATAAGATCGCACTGAATGTATGCCAGAGCATTCGCATAAGTGACCTCTCCTGGCCGGGTAACCCAAGCCAAGACATCCCGAATTCCCGAAGTTAGTGTATAGCTCTGAGGCTGTCCAACTGCTTGACGTGGCTTGATATCTGTGACAAATAGGTCCTCGAGGATAGTCACCGTCCTTTGGTTTTTGGGTTTAGATTTGTTATCCTTCAGAGAGAACACCGGTGTCGATGTATCTGCACGAGTGTCGGTAGGCTGGTCGACACGCTTTCGGATATTTGAGCTCAGCCAGTACATCATTTCATACTCGCGGAGAATATCAATAAGAGCAGAGAACAGGCCAGCACCATCAAAGGTGGAACGCCCGCCCTGTTCAATCTCACCATCCACAAATGAAACCAAGATCAACAGATCGAAGAGCATCTGACGATTCAGAACAATAGTCTCAAGAGAACCACTCACAAGCAAACGCGTACCAAAGGTGGTTGAGAGAAGTTCCGAGTCTTTGCCGTTGAAACCAAGAGGAACAGTTTCAATGATGGCATAGAAAGCATCCGCAGGCAAGTTCTCGGCATCTAAACTCTCATTCAAAGCTGCGACTAAACCGTCGAAGGTCTTGTTGGAAATTTGTTCCGCGAATTCACAGCGCTCGCGGAATGAATCCATGCGGTCGGTGATAGATGAGGATGGCTCGTTGTAGATCTCAACATCAAGCGCAGCCCGGCAAGCGGCAACAAGCTCCGCAGAGAATTGCTTCCGGAAGTTTGAGGAGACCTTGACCAGCGACGATGCTTGATCATAAAAGGTTCCAAGCTCCGCACCCAGGTTCCGGTGTCTCCAACGATCTGCGATTTTAGATTTTTCCTCGGCCAGTTCAGAGCCTGAGTTGTGAACGAGTAATTCGGTGGTATTGCATTCCCGAACCACAGCACAGGCATCTGAAAGAAGAAGCCATGGCATCTCAAAGTATGAATCGTAGGCCAAAGACACCGGTTCAAACCTTCGCTTGTTGAGATCGTCCGCAACTTGCCAGAACTGGCGCCACTTTGCATCTGTGTCTGTTCGATACCGACTGTAGTCCATCTCATCCTCGGCGTATTTACGCAAAGAGACGGTGGATGTGATTGTAGAACACAGCTTTTCTGCCAGTGACATATCCTTCTTCAAAACCCCAACTGATGCAGATGACAAGGGCTTAAGGGCTTCTTGGTAAATTGCCAGGGCAGTCTGGAGGACTTCTGGCAAGTATCGATTGGGGTGTAGAAGGTATTCGAGCCACCGCTCTGTTGGATCCACCACATCGTCCAGTGTTGGAGGAGGCAGTTGTAGTTGTCGATGTGCCTCAAATGTGGTTGAGACCCAATTGCTTTCCCAGTCAGTCACCAAAGTCTGAAGATCGAAGTGAATAGAGTATAGTTGATAGAGACCGTGGTTTCTCCAGAGCACCCACAACTCCATGCCCTTTCCTTCATCCATGGACTTTACTTGGAAATCAGCAATGTTCCAAAACATGTTGCCTGTGACATCGGGATCCTTTGGCCGGAAAATCGCATCTGCATAGAGGTCTTCGATAACCAAATCCGAAGTGAGGCCTCCCTTCACAGCCCAAAACTTGAAACGCCCATCCTCAAAGGGAGAGTAAGTTACCACATAAAAGCGATGGCTTCCGTCCATGGCTCTCTCTGCGTTAAATACCCGGATGAAAGAAGTCTCGGCGGGGTTCAAGGTGTATGGTGGGACATCAGGATCGGTTGGGCGACCCAAGAGGTCTTTTGTCGCGACCAATCTGTTCGTGGCTAGGTTCCAGATCTTCAATGTGTGATTCAAACATATCGCAAAAACGTAAGTCTCGTCGGAGGTTGTAGTAATGGCATTGGCGACATTCAAATCAAGGCTTCGTCCATCGTGTCGCAGCGAAGAGGGTATATTCCATTTCACTAGGCCGCGGATCGAGGCCCCCCAAGTTCGTTCGTCAAAGGTCAACGGGGTGAAGTGTGAGCCTGACAGAAATTTCATGTTAGTATATCTTTCTTTGATTTGCGTCATTAGAAATCGCATCGTAAAGTCAACAAAGCTTACCATCATCCCCAGCCCTCCGAGTGAGTCGCAGCAGGGCACCATTGTCAAGTGAGATGAACAGCTCAAGCGGGCTACTGGCATGCAGTCGGTGGGGGTGAGAGAAAGAAAGAGGTGCAGGAACACATGTTTTGCACCAGTCCGACACTTTCTCGTCAATTGATTCAGTTCTTCTGAAGAACTCCGGGCGGATCGAAAATGTGTGGAGTTGTTTCGAGGCCGTAATCACAAACAGACTGAGAATCTCGTGATCCTCATGGTCTGCCAGTGCAACACACGACGGAAGAATCGGATCAGGGAAATTCAATCGAAGGGTCACATTGTATTCGAATTGCTCTGAGCCGGCCTTGGTGAGATCCGCGCATTGGATCTCCAAGACCTTGTTGTCATTGACGACCCTCCACACGAAGGTTCTCGGGTACGTCTTGCGCTTCCGGAAGTAGACCGTGCCTTGTGTTGCGAGATAGCGCCTGGCGAATTCGTCCTCGTCTTTCGCGATGGGTTCGTGATCGGGTGTGGTTGTGGATGAGATCGAAAAGCGTGCTCGTCGGACCGCGCTCTCGGGAGAAACGTGGATGTTGGCAACTGTTGTGGGCGAGAATGGACGGAGATCGACCCTTGTGTCTTTATAAATCTTCGCCATGGTGAGCAGCTTTGGGAACTGCACGTAATTCAGTGTCGCAGACTTCCCATGCCTTGAAGCGGGAGAGAGTTGCAGGGCGGAAAGCTGGAGCTCTCAAAAAACAAAGTCTTGGCGCGTGAACTTTACCCACCACATCAACAACAGTGCTTTTCTTTTTACCTCTAAATATTTTCAAGAACTACTACTTGACAACCGTCTTTCGAATTATTCAAATTCAAGCTGATTAAAACTGGGACCTGAAGTCATTCTTTATTGAGGAGGAAGAAAGAAAAACAAATAAAGTACAAGTCAAGTAAAGAAAAAATGTTTTCTGCCAATGCTTTCTGCAATCACGTCGTCTAATGGTAGATACAAAGGGATATTGGATAGTAGGTTCATCAGGTCACTAATTTCGTGTCAACGGGAATCAAGGGTAATTGAAATAGCAAGCACCTCAATCGTTTAATCGTTCTCGCCCTCCTTCTCAATGGGATCACCGATGCCATCCTCATTGATAGCAAAGAGACAATCACTTTCTGGAAGACACGGGCTGTCATAAATCTTGCACACTCGAGTCTCGCCACGACCCTTCTTCAAGCTGAGTCGGGTAGTACTGGCATGGGCAATAATGTTACCTCCAATGGGTTTCTTCGGGTCGGGGTTGAACATGGAGCTGGGACCACCGTCAACTTGCGCCACAACTTGATTCGTGATCACAACTGCAATTCCGAACTCATCGGCCAAGCGTTGCAGTGTACGCATGAATTTGGCGAGATGAGTTTGTCGGGATGACAGCTCTCCACGGCCATTAAAATCTGTCCGGTACAATGCTGTCGCTGAATCGACCACAAGAAGCGAAAATCGGGTCTCACACATCATCTGAGACGCCTGGTTAAGCAGCTGCAACTGATGATCTGAGTTATAGGCACGGGCATATGCCACATTATCGAGTACTTCCTCTCCCACAAGACCAAATCTCTGCGCCACAGCCAAAAGCCGGACAGGTCGGAAGGTTCCCTCTGTGTCAATGTATAAACACTTTCCCTCGCCTCCACCCATGTCGAAGGGCAACTGACAGGTGACCGCAAGTGTATGACAGATTTGACTTTTTCCCGTTCGGAATTCACCGAATATCTCGGTAATTGATCCAGTTTCGACACCACCGCCAAGCAGGGTGTCGAGCCGCTTGGATCCTGTTGTTATGGAAATGAGCTCACTTCGTCGGGCATGCATCTCGGTCGCGGTCGTAAATCCCATGGGCACTAGTTTCGCAGCTATTCAGAAGAAAATGTCAGTTTCTGGTATAATTCAAGAGGTGAAGTGTGGGGGTTTCTGTGGCTTCCTGTGTGATGATCACTTACCCTCGACTAAGATCTTAGTGGCCTTCTGCTCCGATATTCCCTTGATTTGCTCCAGCAATCTCTTTGGTCTAATGGTCCCGCATACAGTCAGTTCAGATTCCTGGCACAATATGCAAGCTAGTGGCAACCTCAAAGGTTGTATCGGAGACCGTACGTGTAGGCCACTGCTTCGACTGTATGGTACCCGGCGTCCACAAACAGCTTGATATCCCTCCCACTCAGTCCCGCAAGGCCCTGTTGGAATCTATCAGTTTCAAATTCCGACAGCGCATCACAGATGCTGTTTCACTGCCTCGAATACACTAACCTCAAGCGCGGAGAGCGGGGTTGGCGCACCAGGGCCCGGCAGTTGGCTTTCATCCATCTCACCCTGTGTTTCATGTTCGGCTGACATGTTTTCAACGGTTGAAATTGAGAATTGAAAGTCTAGTAGTTGCAATCGGCTGGTTGGTAATCGACTCTTGCCCCTCTAGACGAGCACGCGTCGGGCTTGATGTACACGGTAGTTGCGGCACACAATCTGGAATGGATTGCGATAAAACTTTCTGGAAGAGGCAGAATGAGTCACCAGGCAACAGTGGCCCACAAGAATAATCCGATCGTGGCAAAATTGAGGATTTTCTTGACGAGTCTAAATGTTTCCTTCCAATGGACGCGTTCCAGTTGTCGCGCAGTCACGTGGTTCCGTTGGCTACAGGCAACAACAACACTACTAGTACTGTATCGCCATTTCAGGCACGTGTAATCCACTACAGGCACTCTACCAAGCCACATTCAGCTTGGCTGAAAAATTATCTCAAGATTATCTGCGCAGTTCCAAATGCTTCCAATCGATTATAATCAACGAGTTTCTAAAAATACAGATTTTTTCCACCCAGAACCGCTTAATGCTGTCCCAAGTCCTCTGGCAGTCATAACGCATCAAGAGAGAAAAAAGTCTAGAGATTGACCCCAATAATTCCCCGATACTCCACCTTGATTTGGCTCGATCTTGACCTGCAATGTACTCAGCCCGGGATCTTCTTTCCTGAATAGAGGCCGTCCTAGCCCTCATGTTTCATTCCATTCCCGCATAGCAACAACATCGTGAATTATGCTTCTGAACGAAAATGCGACAGAATAGACGATCGAAATTTCCGTCTCCCGTTCTGTTGTAAGCTGGGGTCGAACTGGAGCCTCTCTTCAGGTATGTTCATATGGATCCTGTCGTTGAAGATTTGACTCATCTTGCGTCTAAACTCCTCGGACGATCGTCTGCGAAGGAGTCCTTGAGATTATGAGTTAGCTTCTGTGTCCCATACCGCAGTCATACCACGGTCTCGACTTACTGTGGATCCGTGAAGGGTGGTGCTGCTCAGCCTGGAGACTAGAATCATGTTCATGTCCGAGTGAACCCAGATCTAACTCCTCTTGCTCACTGGTTCCTGACCGGCTCCGTTTTTGATCAAAGATCTGGCTCATCCGCATGACTCGCTTGTGGAAACTAGCCCGCTTGTCATGGCTTTCAAACGCGTCGCTTCGACGGTTGAATGTTCTCGGGGGAACTTGAGCACTGGATGTCACTGTGGGCGCGTAAATCGCGCCGGGCCTGTAGTGCTCATATCGGAAGTTGTTGGCAGTAATAAGGTTGCTTTGGGTGTTGATAACAGGGGAGTGAGCGTATAAGGGCACAGTGGGTAGGGGCGCCGGATCATCGTGTGGCACCGGGACTGGGCGGTTTGCAGGTTGGACAAGAACGGGGGAAGGTCGTGGTGCTGGAGTGGGCGATTCACTTCTGATTATAGGAGTCTGAGGGCGGCCAGGGCTTGGGGTTTCGGGGCTGGAAATCCAAATGCCCGAGACCCTAACGCCTCTCTCCAAAGCTCGGGCACCAAAAGGAATGTCGTCTTTCTTCAGCATTGGGTATAACTCGGCTTCCTCCTCTTTCTGTCGTGCCTCGATCGCTGCATATCTGCGTATCCTCCATCTATTGTATGCAAGGACGCAGAAGCCGAAAATGACCACGAGGGCCTATATTGACAGTCAGTAGTCTGTTGTTCATACCAGAAGTGGAGGAATATCGCACAATGAGAAAGACTAGTGCCTGTATGCGAGTAGAATGTCAGCGGCTTTGACAATGGTTCCAATGATGATCAAGGCTGGGAGAAAATCATACAACACTCAACTTCTCCCATAAATCCCAGCCAACCCAGAAGCCCATGATCTTTCGCTTTTTTGTGGATCGGGCATGTGCCAGAAGATCTCTGTTGATTTTGTGCCCAACAGTGAGAGAAAATGATCATAGGTGGAAGGATACTTCTAGGTAGGAATTGGAGTGTATACGCTTGGAATCATTGTGTTGTGGTTTCCATTGGACGTGCCTGCCTGTTCTTCTATGAAAGAAAATACTCATTTAGGAATACCATCTGTGGCAATGTTTGCGGATTTTGCAAAACATGAATATTTTCGAAGGGTCTGGTAATTTCGATGGGATCTGGTCAAATTGAGTGGAAATAAAAAAAAAAAAGAAATTTATTGGCTTTTTCAGAGCTATAGATCAAAATTATCTTGAATGATTATAAAAATAAAAGGCAAAAAAGAAATCTCTCCCTCGGGGAATCGAACCCCGGTCTCCCGCGCTTATCGGTGTTAATGACAAGCGGAAATCATGACCACTAGACCAAGGAAGATGAGATAGCTGAGTTTCCGCTCGGCCACTTGGAATGGTTGATGTCTAATTGGCCTTTTTTGGTTATATGACATTGATGTTGCCTCAAAAGTCAAATCGCACCACAACAAACTACTTCCCTTTATTTGAATGCATGTTGATATCATTTTTGATTTGGTCACTTCAAACAAGTGACCATAGTAAGATTCTTCTGGCCACTTGTTTCTAGAATCCCTGGTCCTTACATACTAGATACATCATACCTGAGTAAAGTTCCAACTTTGAAGGTTGCACTTGTTTGCGGTAAGTTACGGGGGCTCATGGGTTGATATATATGTCCACATCCAACATTTGAAACTTGACATTTGGCACCTGGGAGCTTCCAACTTCCCAAAAAAGGTTCTACATGTAGATAAGTACATAGGCAAGGCTCCCAAACTTACCTCTAAAAAGCAGTATGATTGAATATACGCACGTACATACATTGCCTTTTTTTCTTCTTCAAACATTTGAAAATCATGCCCCAGATTTCTACGTCCATGGATACATAATCTTCAAAGAGTAGTCTAGTAGCTACTATACCCATTTCAAAGTTTGAGTCCTTAACGCCTGAGGCAGACATCTACATGTAGAAAGAGGCTTATTTACCAGGTCAGATTATGCATATTTATACTCCAAACAACCCGCCGGGCAAACCTTGAAAGAGTCCGAGGGCCTGTGCCGCGACCGGAGACTTCCAAAGTCCCTTAGTGGAAACTCTCATTGTTGGCCAAGTACTAAAGCCAAAAATAAACCGAGAAGCCAAATCAGTAGCAAACACGAATTGCTGCGAAATCATGAGGCCAACGCCACATTCCTCTCTCCTACGGCCAAATTCCGCGTCATCAGACCTACCATGAGCCCAGCAGGACTTGACTGTGATCAAATATAATCCTGATATCTTGTCTTCATGCATCATAATTGAGATTTGATTTTGGGAACCTAGGTATGGGGGTCGGGTTATGCCCTTACACACGGCAAGCCGATAAAGGGGTTCTCCTTCCCCCGAGAACTTGGAGGACGCGCAACTCATAACTTCACATGTGCGGACTTGCAAGGATATGACGCAGAGGATTCCTGGGTGAAACGATCGACACACAGCCGCCCTGAGGAAAAGGCTATCCCTGCCAGTGAAAGTGCGTCAGAAGGAGCCCACCATGCACATACCGAACTATTTTCTTACGCAAGCTCCAGAAATGCCGGCCCCAGAGCCATTCCATGTGTCAAGTCGGCTTTTGCTCACAAGCATTGGGATCAGCAAGCGCCAGAGACATGTGTTGTGTGAATGCTTGTTCCTCCAGAGAAAAATTGTGTTTTCCCAACAATTTTTTCCCACCCAAATTATCACTATGAGTTGACGATCCATGGAATATTGTATCGGTACATAAAAAAATCTAGATACAAACCAATGCATATGGAGCTCTCATCTATGCACATAGTACAGTTTGAGAGCTAAGCCCCTTGTAGATCCATGGATCCCCACCGAGCAAATCAGATCTGTATGATCGACAACCCCTTCATCAGATGATCTTCAGAAGGATTGCAATGATTTAACACTCCAATTTCGACTACCACTATCATTTGAAATGATTGGGCCCCTTCTTCCACCAAAACTTACTTTGGGCAGGTCAGCCGCTCGGAACATTTATCAACCGTTGGATGATAAGCCAAGCAATGGGACATAGAATGATGGCATTTCCTATTCCAGGAAGAAATGTACGGCTTCCGGTTCGAAAAATTGAAAAATGAAAATAAAGCCAGCCAACCAAATATGATTCTGATACTGCATTGAAATTTAGGGGTCTTTTCGGATTGGCGTATAAGCTTTAGTGGAGACATTGCTTAGAGACACGAACGCCTAATCCACATGCCCTTGCTATCTGTCACCACTGAGGGATATGGATCATATTGATTGCGTGCGATAGTGGTCCACACGGATGCTTCACGGAGGGGCAGAGGGGCGATACCCACTTTAAATCAGCGGACATAGTTGATACCTTGTTTTTATTTCTTAAATTTTTATTTTCTATAATTTGTATAAATGATAGTGGGGGTCTTGCCCTTTTGTTGTTTGAAAACGAAGTAAGAAAAAATCAAAGCTCGACAACCGAAATGACGATTTTCAACTTCTTTCGCCGAAGTGGACAGCATGTTGGCCACAGAGCCACACTGACCGACCATGAAGTCGACTCAAGAGACTTCTCCAGGTGCACCTTATCTATCCCCACGGGAACCTCGGATGCTCGTCGGGTCCCGTCCTTGGACAGTCCCACAAGCTCCATGTCATCCAGCTCAATACAGAAACAGGAAATTGACTTGGACTTGGAAATGGTATCAATGGAACCAGAGATCACAGGTCGGCTTTGGTCATGGAGAGGGGCCCTGATCTTGCTGGTGACTTCAGGCTCACAATTTCTCGATAATGTCTTCATGACAAGCTCCAACGTGGCTTTGGCTTCTATTCAAGAAGAATTCAACGTATCCAACACCAATCTACAATGGATGATCTCCGCATATACGTTGGCCTTTGGTGGCTTTTTATTACTCGCTGGCTCTCTGTCGGATCGGTAAGAAAAAAAAACCTTGCAATCAATATTTCGGAACTCTTGCTGACCTCTTCAGATATGGACGAAAGATGATTCTCTGTACTGGCCTCTTCTGGCTGACGATCTGGACGCTGGCTATCGGATTTGGCCAGTCATTTATTCAACTTACAGTTTTCCGTGGAGTTCAAGGTATTGGAGCCTCATTGACGGTCCCTTCCGCCATAGGAATCATCAGTTCCTATTTCACTGGTGTTGACCGAACTCGTGGACTTTCAATCTATGCTGCCTCCGGAACACTCGGCTTCTGTGCTGGTCTCATTTTTGGTGGCTTCCTCACCTCGTCTCTGGGCTGGAGATATCTTTTTTATCTGATCCCCATCATCCCCGGCTGCCTGGGTCTTTTGGGAATGATCGTGCTTCCCAAAGATCGCGAGGCCTTCAAAGCCAGAGAAAAGATGGACTACCTTGGTGCCGTTTTGTCCACCGTTGGGTTGATTCTTCTCCAATTTGTCCTTTCGAGCGGTGGTACCTATGGCTGGGGAAACCCATTCATCATTGTGATTCTGATTTTGGCCGTGGGAATTCTTGTTGGATTTGTCGTCTATGAGAAGTACATCACAAACCCATTGATGCCACTTTCACTTTGGACCATTCCGAACTTTGCTGGTCTATGGATTGCTGGATTCAGTAAGTTACCTGACTATTCATATAAACCATACGAGCCATTTGCTAACCTTTCCCAGCCTGCTATGGAAGCTACCAGAACATCATCTATTATATTGTCTTGATAGCCCAGAAGGTAGACGGCCTATCTGCTGGTGACACTGCCATCCGCTTCTTGCCAATGGGTGCGATAGGATTCGTCGTGTCACTGGGAACTGGAAAGCTCCTCGAGTACATGAACGCGAAATACTGCCTTATCGCTGGTCTGGTTTTGTCTGTTCTGGCTGCAGTACCCAGTGCTTTGACAGCCACTCACACTGAGAACTTGTATGAGCCCTCTTCAACGATTGATACGATGAAAATTTACTAACTTATTCAAGCTGGATCAACACACTTGGCACCTCGCTCATCAGCATCTCCGCCGTATCGTTCATTTTTGTCACGACCAGCACCACTATTCTTACCAGTGTCCCCGTCGAAGTGAAAAGTCTATGCGGCGGAATGCTCAACACTGCCTTCCAAATAGGCTCCGGTGTCGCCCTTGCAATCTCCGCGGCAACCACCTCAGCCGTGGATATCAAGACAGGACACGGTCTCGCCCAACAATACTCCACCGGACTCTGGTGCTCAACCGGATTCGCTGGACTTGGCCTCATTATTGGAATTTTTGCCGTGAGCCGAAAAGGAGCATCCCCCAAGGATCGACTAGGCGCCGGCCCCGTGGCTGTATAATTTCGCGGTATACCACACCCTTTATTTTCATAGACAGTAGATAGGTTTTGCGTGATCTGGATGTTATTTTTCTTTTCTGGATTGGTTTATAATGACCCTAATGATGGATAGACAAGCGACTCGGGCGATATTAGATTGCATCTAGTACCTTATTTATTTATTTTTCCAATACATTTTTCAGATTTCCTGATTTCGCCAAGTGTCCGTAGTGGATCCAGATTCCAAAGTCAAATGCAGACCCACACACTTCTGATTTATCCACTCGAATTTGATCAGCCAATTTGGATTATGACGCTACGCTCAATAGTAAATGTTTTGGAAGGGAGGGTGGGGGGGGGATGAGGGTGGAATGGAAATAGTCGAAAAGGGCTTGAAAGTTACCAGCAGAAAGTAGAAGGTTAAAATGATTCATGGCCCATAGCCAATGCTTGATAGATCAATAAAACTTGGAATAAAACTTGAATTCGATGTTGTTCCTAAGTTCGTACCCTGATAAACTGCTAATGTGTCGGAAAGGAATAGGTCTAAGCCCCACTACATACTGAGTTCAAACATTATCCTAAAATATTGGGCTCCAGGCTAACTCGATCATTTCACACCATAAAAAAATGAAAACCACAAGAGTGAGCCTCGTAGTAATACCCAAGAATAAGAATGAACGAAAAGGGAGCGGGGGTAGGGGGGAGAGGGGGGGTAACAGATCATGACAGTAACAGAAACATCAAATCCATCAAGAATTCGCACATCCGAAAAATTCTCCCGCAAAAATATCAGATTCAAGGCTTCTCAAATTCTTCAAGATCACGGTACCACGAAGTCCCAGATTCAGGTATATCGCCATCGGAGAAATAGTCGGGTGACTCAAATGAGTTGGCGATTGCCGGAATGGGGTCGTGGTAGAGAATCACATCGTCGCAGTCTTCGGGCGCTTCGTCGTCGTCGTAATAGTTTCCTCCGGATGTCAGAAAGCCATCTTTATCGGCAAACAGGTCGTGCTGCTCCCAGCGGTAGTGCGTAATATCAAATCCGCTAGCCCTAACTCGAGAGCTCTCATACTGTCTGTAGAAATCCTCCCTCACTTCATGTGCTCTGACCATCTGACACATCCAGGGGTACACAATCCACATGTGTTTGATCGTAGGCATTCGGAGGACAGCCATTATGGCCTTGACTTCGATAGACTGCGAGACGTGGTTGCATATCATTGTATGGGTACCGCCACAGCCACATCTTATGGGCTCAGTGCCACAGATACAACTGTTCACTCCAGCCCCAAGTCCATTGCCGGTCCCCACCAGGCTGAGAATAAATTGCCGGAGTTTGACTTTGCGTATGTCTTGGACGGGCATACCAACCCATCCAAAGAGTTCAAGACAGACCCACTGGAGCTTCAGGGACACATAACGAAGCTTGGGAATAAGAGTCGAGAGTGTTCGGCAGAAGCCCTTGCCGGGGTTGATACGGCTTCCCAGAGTGTCAATTTCGAGTCTTTGGAGCGACGAGGTCACGATCGCGTTAATGAATTTGGGCTGGGACCAGGCAAGCAGGTTGTCGCACATATCGCACGGCAGCATCTTCCCCCCGAGACGAATAGAGAGGAATTTCAGTTTCTTGCATCCAGCGAGAAGAGTGCTGAGCTGGTTGAGGCAGTGAGCTAGGCCTGGTATCGTGGACCCATCGACCTCATTGTGGCTGTCTGCTATTTTATCCCCTGTGACCTCCGCTTCGATCCCGAGCCATTTGGTATGTTGCTGTACTCTCTTGACGGCGCTGTCTGGCATTTTGAGTAGTGCCGATGGAGAAATCAGAATCTTCTCGTAAAAGACTTCCTCTGCCAGGTAGCACCAGTCCTTGCAGACAAGAAATCCGCCGGTGCCCAGGGTACGGAGCCCTTTCACACCAAGATGGTGGATGACGATCGCCATGAGCTCGACAGGGAGGGTTCGATCCGGCATTTTGGCGGCGACGGTGAGATGCGCACAGGAAGATTGCAATAGATTTGACGAAATGAAAGTGGTAGAGTGCAAGATATTAGAAATTGGATAACTGTTGAGATTCAGTGTTCGAAGAGCTAAGTTGACGCGTGGTGGTTCAACGCGACTTGTTCAACGTCGAGAGGTTTTTTGCAAATGGCGACGCGTCTTTCCAAGATTTAGTAAATGTCGCGTTGAGATTCTTCCTCCCACTTCAAAAATCAATGTTTACACACTACTAAGTACAAGTTCTTGATTGAAAAAGGATGGCCTTGCAATATCAAAGAAAGTTTTTCTTTATACTTGCTCCCCCGGGTTCAACCACCACCTACTTAGTATCTTCACCTGCATTTTATGGAATTCTCTTTTCTAGTCATATCTTAGAAGAGGGTAATCTTTGGAGCGGTTCTACCACCTGAATATTCATTTACATATTTACTAATTCAAGTAGAGCAAGAGCACTTTTTTATACTTCATAGTCAAATACAGCGGTTAGTCAGCTGTGGATATCAAATTGATATGTAAAAGCCTAAATAGCCTAAAATAGCCCAAGTGGATCTGAAATACGAATCCGAATACGCAGGAGTATCAACAACCCGAGTCAACCTTTGGGCGTAGCAAATCCAAAAAAAAAGAGAATTAAAAGAAAAAAGACGTACCAGTAGTAGTTCTCAATGTCAGTATGCTGTGGGTTTTGAAGGCTTTTCTTTTGGTGATGCCTGGGATGAGACAACGCTAAGTCACAGTTGGGTCGTATATGACACCTGTTCAGTAGATTAGTGGGTCAGTCTCCACCTGGTTAGTCTGATGAAGGAGAATCAATTTGGAAGCTTGTTATATTTTTCAAACACAGCAAAGCGACAAAGGGGGCATGTGGGACTGGGACTTTCCGAGAACCATGACTGGATACTACGATGCTCAAACCAATGCCCGCAGGGGAGGAGCACAATTTCCGAATCGAGATTCAGAGTCTCATAGGATATAGCACAGATATGGCTGTCATCTTCGCAGCCAGAAGCTTGGATCCAATCACGTAGTAATATACGAGGCAGTGTGAAGGCGGGATTCAATCGTGAAACATGGAAAGTCTGCATGTCAATTATTATATCAAACGGGGTGAGCTGGCTGTCTGAAATGCGGCCAATGGAAGTCAAGGGAAGAGGTCTATGGGGGCTCTGTAGAACAGTTAACTCACCGTTTTGAGCTACAATAATTCGTGCATAAGGGAAGGCTCCATTCTCATAGGCTTCTATGACTTGAATAGCGTTATAGAGATCACATGTCTGCCCTAACGAGGGCGTTGGGTCTGAGTCCGTCGACCGATTCATATCGTTAGAAATACCCGGCATTGTATGAAGGAAATGAATAAATTAGTAGATGATTTGTCAATGTGTCAAGTCGATTTGGAAGATTTCAAGGGCGATGACTCGGCTTTTGTACTATTGAACAGGCAAAGAGAGCGAAGAATTGAATTGTTCATTGTCTTTGATGTTTCTTTGCATCACCAAATATCCATGGTATGCTCTTTGAAGGGGTCTTTGTCCGCTTTTTATAGTCTATTCTGAATGGCAATGGTTTCACACTGATAAAGACATTGTTCAAGTTCTCATATGGACTTTGAAAGGAGTATCCGTGTATCAGTACTCACAAAGAGATAACACAGGATATAACTATCGGGTGGTCTATAATTGGATTCGTTGTCGAGCTGATAACCTATTCAATTACTCCATATGTGCTGCCATGAAAACTGTATGATGCTCACATTACCCGCCATATCGAGACTCCGATAAAAAAAAAAGAATCACTCAGCAAAGGAAATCATTGGAGATTCAGATCAAGTATCGTTTCTCGCTGGGAATTTTGGTGTTTCCAATGGATATTCGAAGGACCAGCTGAGTTTGGAGAAGCTAAAAAGAGTACAGTATTAATCCCAAGTCCCCCATGCTTGAAGTATCAAAGATACACGTTCGGGAGGGGGATTTTTTCTTTCATGATTTAAGATGGGGCAGGGCATTGCTATCCATGGGACATAGCAAGGGGCTTGCTCGGGTAGAAGCGAAAATGATTTTATGCATGCCGCAGAGGCTTCACGAAAGAAAAACAACAGCAAATGTTGCTTACAATCCACTTGCTCAGTAGGAACCTCTCGATAAAAGGTCATATAGAGCGAGACCAGTAGCAAGAGCATCAAGATTCCTATCATCAAGTTGAAAAAGGAGAGAAAAAAGATCACTCCCAACACAATTCCAGTCCCAACGTGGAGGATAGGCGCCTGAGGAATCCATATCAACGCAGGCATTGATCGACAAGCACAAAACACGGCCCGAGATCGGAAAATTCAAAAAAGATTGTACGAAGAATTGTTACCCTGAGCACGCCAATAACGAGGGTGCTAAAAGTGAGCTAAAATAGCGTGAAATAATTTTGGTTACTAAATCCCAAGTCCTGTTCAACCTTCGAATCCTTGGCGGTGAAACCCATTTTGGTGACTTCTTTCCGAGTTTCACTTTCCACCTTCACGTTCACCCGCGTTGGAAACTTCCAACCTCAATTGCCCCTGAACCTCCTAGGTCCAGGTCGCATTCAGCTATCTCGTCATGAGTGTTCCCGGCTCTGTTGTTCCAGGGCGCCACCCCGCAATGCCAGTTTCTACCCCCGGCAAGCTGAGGCCGAACCCTCCAACATTTTGCAAGGAGAAGAACACCCACACCGCGCGCAAGTCGCAAGGTATTTTCGATTCTGCAACCCACTGGTTGCTCCACAATCAAATTTGTACGTGGTGTCATGTCCTTGACCATGACCCTTGTCTACACTCGCTCAGTTAGGGGTCGTGTTGTCAAGTCAACAAAGAACGGTCTCCTATTTTGTGTGACAGATCGGTTCTGTTTATTCGAATTGTGAAAACTCCAATGCTAATGATATTACTTCTCTAATAGATATCCCATTAAACCTCATCGCCCTTCTATTCTGCACACATTCCTTCCTCCCTCAGGCTCAGCCATACACATCCAAGCTTTTCACAATCTCCCACTACAACCAAAGGACAGGCGAATACGGTGTCGGTAACGATGACTTCCTATTTCTTGCATTCTGTGTCGTGCTCTTCACTTTCCTTCGGGCAAGCTGCATGGAGTACGTGCTTCAGCCGGTCGCTAGATACTGCGGCGCGTCGACAAAGAAGGACGTGATCAGATTCTCTGAGCAGGCATGGTTGCTGTGCTATTACTCGGTCTTTTGGGTCCTTGGTGTGGTCAGTAAATAATGTACCCTGCAATTTAAGGTACTAAGCTGACTTGTTTCCAGTACATTTATGTCACCTCGGACTATTTCCTCAACCCCAAGGAAATGTTTACCAATTGGCCCACGCGGGAACTCCCTGGACTCGTGAAGTTTTACATACTAAGCCAATGGGCTTTCTGGATCCAGCAACTCCTGGTAATCAACATCGAAGAGCGCCGCAAGGACCACTGGCAAATGTTGACCCACCACATTCTCACAATTGGTCTGCTCTATACTTCGTATACTCTCCACTTGACTCGGGTCGCCAATCTGGTCCTAATCTTGATGGACGTGGTCGATATTTTCTTCCCCGTGAGTACATTTATTTTTGATTAAATCCTTTATTTCACAACTTGCTAACTCCCTAGCCAGCTTGCCAAATGCTTCAAGTACCTTGGCCTTTCCACGCTGCGGGACATCATGTTCGGCGTTTTTATGGTGTCTTGGTTCCTAGCCCGTCATGTTTGGTACATCACAAACATGTACCACATCTGGGTTTACATGCCGGACAACGTGAAGATCGGCTGCTACCACACATCAGAGGACAAATTGGTGACTGGTCCAACCCCCCTACCCGAAGAAGGCTGGTCACACATGTTTGAAGCGTTCACAAACCCATCGGGCACAATTTGCTACAATGATAGCATCCAATGGGGTTTCCTTGCCTCTTTGGGCCTTCTTCAGGTTATCACTATAATCTGGTTTTTCATGATCATCAAGGTAGCCATCCGTGTTGTGCAAGGCAATGGCGCGGATGATATCAGGAGTGATGACGAAGATGAAGACGTTGAGGAGGAAGTGGAAGAGAAGGGCAGAGAGCAAAAGGCCCGCAAAGTACTAGAGGGAGGCGTGGATACCGACTCCAAAGCACTGAAGCGTATCCCCGAAGTTGAAGGGGCAGCATTTTCGACCGGAGCCGGTCGTTCGGGACGTTGGGAACGCAAGGGATTGCTGGGTCGTGTTGGATGTGAAAGGCATGTCGATTAATTGCCCAATGCACATCTTTTTTTCATCGTATATTAGACATTCACATATATTTTTTTCAATGCATCCAGACACGATGACAAGAATTGTTCCAAATCTTTCTAAGATTGTGGTCATGGTAGCACTTGAGATGGATAAAAAACCATGTACTTGGTACATGGTACATAATACTCTTATATGTGGTATCAATAGAGAGGTAGACAATTTTCTTCGTGTTTGCACTCACTGGCAGGAAACCAATCCATCCAAGTATCCCACAACAGTTGCTATTTCAACAATTTAATCAAGCTTGACACAATGGCCGGTTCAACTATCCGATCGCAGCATATATTATTCACAAACGGGCAGACCCCACTTCCTTCCAAACCAGGGCTTCATATCCCAATTTTTTCGATCCCATGGTGAAGTGTCACCATCCACCTTGAGCTCAATACCATGCTGAACATAGATGTCCAATTTCAAGTCCCAAAGATCAAAGACTTCAGGCATGGAAAAAGATAGCATGATGGCCCTGTCTCGTAGCAGCGGCAGGGGAATCAAATCCAGAGCCGCATGATGTGGAACGAGAATCTGGGCCATGGTTGGCTGGAGATGGATCGGTATTGAGGGGTTGAACTTATTAGCGACAAGGGATTGGGGATTATCTGTTGGAGTGATTGGGCTATAGAAAGGTGATAAACTTCTTCTATCACAGTTCATTATGTTGCTGATATCGAAGCCCAGGCAATTTGCATTCTGCAGAAGCGCCAAGAGCGTTCGGGTGTAGTTGGTCTGAAGTGTGTTCAATTTGAGATCGGTCTCGAGGAAAGACGTACTCGGGTCTTTGGCTGAAATAGTTCACTGGTGTCAACAAACATTGAATCATGGAAGAAAGTAGGGCAATTTACCTTGCTCCGAGACTAACGTCTCACTGGCCTTGAGCGGCGTTGAATCAAGACTGATGGAGCTAGACCCCAGTCCTGTGTATTCTGAGCCTTCGGAGCCTGTCTCAGAGGCTGGTGCTTGGGTAGGAGGTTTTATTGAGTTCTCCGGCCCAGATCGTTGCGCAACGGTTAAATCCACTAGAGGGAGAGATACTCTTGATGCCCGGCTCGAAGGTTTAAGCGTAGACTCGTGGCTTGCATTGTGAATGGCCGGAGCAGCATAATTCAGTCTTTGTCGTTGTCCTTCGGTGAGAAGTTAGCCTGGGCTGTTCGTCAAGAGGCGAAATCGATTTGTACTTACTCCATGCGCGTTGTGCAGCCCGGTTCTGCTCTCTACGTGCAGTAGTGACAACTCGTTTCTTCGGCTTGACACTCTGACTTGTATCCCCTGCGATCGTCATTATGGGGTTCGAGTTGAATATCCACTGGCTTATGGCTTATGGCTTATGGCTTATGTTCGGCATACGCGAGAACAAAGTGGCGGGGGCCCCACGTATTTACTTTCTCTTCCACGCGACTTTAATTAATACCACGCTGGCGGTCAGAATTGCCCCAAAAGTTTGTAAGGATATGCGCAAATTTTCAACAAAAAAGGGGGGCCCGAGGTTTTACCGTGCCAATAAGCCCTTGATTTGACGTGGTATTAATTCACCACCCTCATTAACTCCGCTTAAAAGCCGAACCAATAGGAGTTTTAGAAGCACCATGACTAATCTCAATCATAAGCCATGGGCCGATGGCTTACGCTTGGCCAATCACAAGGCCCAATTTCATAACCATACTATCTATGCCTGCTGGCACGTATATATTCAGACGAGCAGAACGGCCACAAGGATTTTTTTGTTTGAGTCAAGTACGCTTTTATTTTATAGAGCCAGCATGTCTTCCAATCAAAAAATCATCGCTGTCGTCGGGGCCACTGGTACCCAAGGCTCATCAGTAGCCCGAACCTTTCTCGCCCTCCCCAACTGGCACGTCCGCTGTTTGACTAGGTCACCCTCCTCAGACAAAGCCCAATCGCTCGCCAAAAAAGGTGCCGAAATCATTCAGGCGGATCTTAATGACCCAGAGTCACTGCGTCGCGCTTTCGCTGGCGTCCATGCCATCTTCCTCAACACCGACTTCTGGGAGCCATACCGCCGCGCCCTGGCCTCTGGCACAGATGCCAAAACCAGTGCCCAAATTGGCTACGACGCCGAAGTCAAGTTTGGAAAGAACGTCATTGATGCTGCGCGGGAAGTCCCAACCCTGGAGCGATTCATTTACTCCGCTTTGGGCCCTATGAATGCTGCCTCCGGAGGCAAATACCCACACTCCTACCACTGGGAAACTAAAGCGTACTTGGTGGATTATATTCGGGGCACCGAGCTCACGAAGTTGACCTCTTTCATCTATATCGGTGGATATCTCACCAACCAGTTCCTCTACCCGAAGCTCCACAAGCAAACTGGGGGTTACGCTCTTGTGCTCCCAGCAAGCAAGCAGACACGACTTCCGGTCATCGATACTGCTCGCTCGACCGGTCCATTTGTGAGGGCTTTGATTGAGGACGAGGAAGCTGGAACTAAGTTGTTGGCCTATGATGAGTATTTGACATTCGAGGAGATTATCGAGACTTGGTCCAAGGTTACAGGCAAGCAGACCATGTTCCTTCAGATGGATATGCAGGATATGCATGAGAAGTTCGGTGTCCCGATTGAGGTTCTTGGAGGCCCTGCATTCCTGAATGAGTTTGACTATTGTGCTGGAGTCTCAGGTGTTATTGAACCTTCCCAGTTGAAAGCTCCGGTTGATGTAAAGAGTTTTGAGGATTCGCTGAGAGGCATGGATGTTGATTTTCTGCTGGGAACAAAGGAGTCATATTAGAGGCCTGGGGTTCTTGGATTAGGAGAGTAATAGAAATATACTCTACTTTTAAAGCTTCTTTTCCACTCAATTCTCAATCGAGAAACTTCTTCGACAATAAAACTTATGTCGTTAGAAATGACATAGTATGGCGTGACTAGTCACGAAAAAGGCGACGCCATCAATTGATGGGTCGATGGTCGTTCCCAAACTGCAAACCAGTGCGGGGAACCCTGATGCGGGGAAGGTTCCTCCCTTAATTATTCCAAGGTTCTCTCCCTCATATCCTAATCATCCCCGACACCATTGTCATTGACTTTATTACCAGATTAAAGCACAATGCCTAGCCACATCACACCTATCCTCGACCACTTCGTCATCCTCGTGTCCCACAAAACCCTCGTTGAAATCTCCGAATACACCGATGGCCATTTTACCCTAGCGCCGGGCGGAACTCACGCCGACGGGCTCACAACAAACAAGCTCATCCTCTTCCCAGACGGAGTTTACCTAGAGCTCATCGCCTTCTTCGACGATATCGACCCCGAAGCACGACGCAAACATCGCTGGGGTAACGAAAAAGAAGGCACGATCATTGACTGGGCATTCACATTACCTTCCGAAAACGACTTCGACGCAATTAAACAGCGGTTTCAAGACTCTGCTACTGGCTTCTCCTATACAAATCCCACCCCCGGTGGCCGCACAAAACCGGACGGGACCGTCTTGAAATGGGCAATCTGTGCAGCTCGAGATGACCAAGGTAACGCGGTGGCTCCGGGATCCTTGCCGTTCTGGTGTCTTGACAGGACGCCTAGAGCAAATCGCGTTCCTTATGAGATAGAGGTGCAGTTCACTCGACACCCCAATGGAGTCCAAGGTGTTTCTTCTGTGTTGGTTCAGGTTCCTGGTGGAGGGGACGTGGAGCTTAAGGGCGCATACGATGCGGTATTTGGGGGTGCCTGGAGATATGCGGTGCCCTTAGGTTCGACCACCGACAGACATACGGTTACTCTTTCTGGGGGCGAGGCTGCCATTCATTTGGTGTTTCATGGGTCAAAGAGTGGAAAGGTAGAGCTTTTGCCTGGGCTTTTCTTCGATATTGAAGTATCAGCATAGAGATTGGTCTGGAAGTACATATTTGATATGCATCATAGAGAAAATAATTCATTACTTGGAAGTACATGTCAGGTTTAGTGAGAAGAAAATATATTATTTTAGTCACTTCAATATGCATGGATATTTCGCTTTCAAAGATCACCTTTGTTGAGTATCGGCTGGCTACTATGATCGAAATAACTTGCGTACTTTTGTAATAGATGCCCTCCACCACTTTTGAAAGCTCCTAGTTTCAGGTGTGCGTCCTTCATCTTGCAATTTTGACTTGTCTCGTGATTTTGACTCATTGGCATCAGCCTGAACGTTGGGGCTTCGATCAGTGGTATTAATGATTTCACTTTGTTTTGTCACTTGTTAGTGTTGTCCGCTCGAATTTACAGTGCGAAATTAGATAGACTCACCGTGCATCTCGAGGCGTTGAAGTATCCGTCTCGGAAGCGACTTGCAAATGCAATAGAGGATGGTATCTGTCAATGGACAAAGACCGTGAACGTATTTCCAGCGGAATACTATTCATGAAGGGTATTATGACACCGTCCGCTAACAGCTCGCGGGCGTGCTGGATGGTGGGATTCAACAAGGTCGGGTTCGGCGGATGGATAAGAACATCGTGATTGTTAAGCAGCTCTTTCCGCATACCATCCGGAATGTTAAGCTCATTTGGAGATCCGGGGGATATGTAAGTGCTCATAATAGTCTTCCACTGCTTGCCCAGGCGTCGTGTCTCGGGTGTCATGCGCTCTTCAAAAGCGGAGGCCCCCGAGTTATAATAAGAGTCACTGTAGGCATTTGCTTCGGATAAAAAGTCCAATATCTCGATGCAATGGTTTCGAGATAGGAAGTCGACAAATGATTCAAAGTCGTATGGTGCGCGTGCATGGCCCGAGATAATATTGTTGGCGTTGGGACGCAAGACATTGGAGACGGGCCCGGTATATTTGGTAGTGTCAGGAGAATCATCTGACGACCCTATAGTCGTCGTATTTTCTTTTCCCTTTCCTCCATATGCCATCGGCCATATAGGTGCAAGTTTGGTGTGAACCTTGGGAGGGCTGGGAGAAATTTCTTGTGATAGTGGTGTAGTTGATACAGATGTGGTAGTAAATATCACCTCTCTGAGTTTCACGGAATGTACTGGAAGGAATTATCTTCCTTATAAACAGTGACCATGAAGCACACATATGCCACTGAATAACCATTTGCCACGAAAAGCTCAAGGTCTTGATTAATGTACTTGCTTTGATTGGCCGGAACGCTCTCGTCCAATCAAAGAAAGCCGGCATTTATGGTTAACTCCAATATGAGCCATGGTCGAAGAGCATCTCCAGTCAAGATCGGATCAAACGACTTCTAATTTGGCAGGTGCCTCGTTGATTTATTGAATCAACATGTCTTTTCGCCTCGGCCACCCTGATTCACATCGGGCCAGCGTGATCGTTGCCACCCATATTTAGGCAGATATGTCAATCCGGGCCGCAACCGAAGTTAAATCCATCGGTTTTCCCCAGGATTTTATCACTTGTTCCCGAGGGCTTAGTCTGGGCAAATCTAGGCTCTATCGCTATATCGCACATTTCAGCCATGTCACGGTCTAGACTGAGGCGAACATACATCGATCAAGCCCAGAAAGAAAATTTGACAACGATCTGGAGAAATATGTAGATAACGGAATCTTCCAACCATTGAATTATGAAATGCATATCTGTCACCAAACATTGAATAAGGTATTAACTCGGCGCCGGCAATTGATGCTTTCACGAGCCCCATACCGGACCTTCAAGTATTGTTCGACGCCCATTTGTTTTCTGGGAGGTTAAGGTTGCACTCAAGGTGCGACACGTCTTCTTGAGAGCACTTGAGCAGTCCAGCGTATTCTCACAGAGAATTGTTTGGATGCGCTGCTCGAGGTTCAAATTAAGACCAAGCCGACCTCTGCAGAAATCTCATGTGGCGTCCAGCTTCAGCACGTCCACATGACTCAACAAAAGCATTTTTGCTAAATGTTTAGTTTGCTGTTCACAGATGCAAATTTTAAAATTAAAATGGACAACGTCATGTGATAATGTCAGCCGGTCCTGGTGCCTGAGGCTAACGGGTCAAGAAACAACTTAGCTCATTGGCTGTAGACACCATTGGTACGCAGTTATTTTGCCCAATGCTTTCGATAACCGCTACCAATTATGGCGCCTTGAAATATTATGCATTTGCAGATGATCAACCGCGTAAATGGAAATGGTCGAAATAGAGGTCGCCTTCGAAGAAAGGCGCAAATAAACCATGGATCGCGAACATCAGGATACTGGACGTACCTGGAGGAAAGACGGTCAGCTATTGCCTTGCCTCACTTTGAGAGGGTGATATATAACATACCAATTGGTACATGTTATGATAAGGAGGATTTTCATAACGACACGCTAGAGTTGGCTCTATTGCCCCCGGGCGCTGTTGTGGGGGGTTTTGCGTCCATGCGTCTGCCAACAGTCCCAGAGACTGATCAAGTTTGCAAATTAGAATGATGGAGCCAGAAGGCCGATGGAGCCAGAAGGCCCATGGAGCTTAAGTCTAAAGATCCAGTTGTCGAAATATGGCTGGTGCCGTTGCAAATAATCACCAGAAGGTGGTGACTGGACTTCAACTTCCCGGGGGGTTGGGGACATATGGTTTTGAATCTTGATGACCCGACATGCTCAGCCTAAGAAGTATCCGGAAGATTTATCCGCATTTTCGCACTCCCTTCCATGGACCTCCGCCCCCGGTTTTCATTTTCCAACACCCAGAGTCAGATTCGCCATTTTCCAATGATATCCATCGGGCGCGTTAACCTGACTGGGCTCAAAATGAGATGAGCCATGAACCAAGCACCAGCTGACAATCCCCCCCGAACGATGGCCACTGTGGAAATCCTCAACCCCCCGAGCGAGTCCTTTGAAATAAAAGGGCCGATATTTCTCTTCAAAGTCAAAGAAACCACAACGAACTCCCCACCTCACCTTGCCACATACTAACTGCCAGCGCAAAATTGTGCGACCCTGACGGAGAAAGTGGTGGAACGAAACGGAGCTGCAAGATTGAGAGAATGAGTGAGGGTGGACATGGGATGTAGCCAAAAAGGTCCTGTCATTTGTGGGAGTTCCAGCGCTCCCACAAAACGCTGATATCAATGCACTTTCTGCTGCTTGATGCGAACCCCCCTCGACAATTTCTTGTGAAGTGCACCCCACGGAAGCCTGCACGACATGGATACTCTCAATGACAATGAATATGTAATATGGGGTACAGTTTTATCATATCCACACACCTGCTCTTGTACCATGCACGTAAATCGTGATGATTATCGGCTTTCTCCCGGTCGGGTTAAGAATCCACCCTCCAGCTCGTTGACCTGTTTGACGTTGAGGCTGAAAGAGTAATGAGTGATCAAGATGACTTTCTCATGAAAGTACTATCGAACTCCCCATCCACCTATCTATCCACCTATCTGCCGCAAACCATGCTCTTTGGAGTGGGTAAACCGTCCAGTTATCAACCTTCTTGCCATGCAGTAAATTGAATCCTCAACCCACCGGCTGCAGGCAATGGCGTATCATCGGCTCACTTGGAGAGCCGAGCACTTGATTTCATCAAAGCCTGGCCTCTCGAAGACACATATTTCCCGATGAAAAGAACCGAAACCCCGCCTTTTCAGGATAAAACACCGGGGGATCATGAAAACCCTTCTTTTTGGGACTACTCCCAAAAAATGCTGTTTAAAGCGTGTAAGCAGTCCGAGTATGTATGTTTTGACACGAAAGAGCGGTGCCCTGCGCAGATACAGGACTAGAGTAGGCATTTTGGTGTGGCGAAGCCACGTCAGAGATGACGGCTTTTTGAGGAGAATGATCAAAACCGGAGGATTCACCCAGGCTCGTTTTTCCAACCGCCGGATGTACATCCGATCAGTATTCTATGGCCTTCTTGGCCGTAAATGACCCTTATGTTATTGTTGATAATCGACAGAGCCATCGTTTTCTCCAGAGTGAGAGCACATTCAGCTCTGGGCTTTTCGCATTGATATTTCTTCGCGCATATTGGCTCTTTCAACACGAAAATGGAGAGGAAGGATCAATCGCCAGGGTGCATGGCACTGTTAACACTTTGAGATAACCGGAGCAACATGGATGACCGCCGTCATCAAAGCCAGTTGCCTTGCCAGAAGGGAAAATGAGGGGAAAAAACATCAGCCGCTGACTTTAACATGGCCGATCCCGATTTAGCCTATAAATCGGAGCTCAGATTCCCGCCAACCAGAGATATGTCTGCACCAACATGACCAGTCACCAATGGCCCACTGAATTGTATACTTCGCTTCGGAGTCAAGAATGGGCAGCAGTAACCATCAAAGCAATGTCATTTTGCATGAAGGGTGCCCATTACTTGGTCCTGGATGCACAAGTGGTCCCGATTCATGCCCAAGTTCCCACCACCAACAACCAGAACAATCTGTTTCCAACCGTCGTTTGTGGGATACGTGGAGATGTTTCCTTAAACTCGGTGCATATCATATTTGTAAGTTCGACTTGGGCAGACCTGAACAGCGTCGGCCATCGCTGGTCTGTGCTGTATGTGCTGTACCGGGGCTTTAGGTCTGACGGCTTGGTATAGACGACGGCTATCTTCAGTGCAAAATAGCTCTTGATGTGTGTGTGGTGGAGCGGGTTCATATGTGTATATATGCGCAAGGGCTCGGTCGGTATCGTGTCGCTGGTAGGTCATCGATCGGGTTGATGTCAGTGTGCGCGGTCTCAAGGGTCCATGGCGAGTGAGGATCCAGACAGTTGCAAGAGTGTGATGTTTTGAATCCCACAAACCAACGAGCCAACATTATCGAGGCAACATCTTATTTTGTGGGAGTTGACTGGTTCCGTGTGCTATGTCCACAGGAGAAAGGGCCGACGTGGTGGCTGTGAACTCGTGGTGTGCTCCTGATGAAACCTCTCAATAGAGTGATTCCTATCCAAGGCCAGCCGGGTAGCCTTTTTCTTTGCATCAGTATCAAATCAACTTTATTCTGTGTTCAAAGGTCTGTCGCGGCCTCCTCGCCCCTCAAATACTGACCATCGCGTTGGGCTGCAGATTGCTTTCATCTGCAAAAAGGGTAATTTGATCACTCTATGGTTAAATCGTCTCACATGACTGTTCTGCAGAGCCAATGCAACTAGGAAGATCATACGTTGCATCGTCGTGGGAATGAAGAAAGACTGATGTGATGTGGGTGGAGAGTGGGCCAAGATGATGAAAAGAAGAACATCACGGGAATAGTACCGAGTGCTGCCCACACGCCGGCGTCAGCGACCACCAAGACTACCGAGCCACTTGCGACATACTTCCATCATTACAATTCCGCTTTGACCTTAGAAAAATTGGGTCAGGCCATTCTTTTTTTTTTAATTCATCTATCATTAATGGTCATTTCAGGTCTCATCAAAGTGATAGCCATCAGGCAAGAAGGTCTGTGTCGGGCTTGACATCTGCCAGTTCCAGCCATGCACAACTCGCGAGGAAGATTTTGGTGCAAGGATACCAAGCCAGATACGGAGTACAAACTTACTATACAATGTGCACTGAAGTCTACGTGCCTCAACAACAAAAACGACTCGATAAGGTTCTATGTACTGCGTACCATGCCTCGATGATCCTGCACAATTCCCGGCTCCTTGCCGACTCCGCAGCCAGTCAAGGTCCTTCAATTATGAGACAGTCGACATATCAGTGGTCTCGGGATTTGAAACGCCAATTATCCTAGACTCGGACTTTTTGCTGGGCAAGAATGAGCTACGTGGCCATCAAGTATACAAAACCGATAGTCTGTGTCTTCCCGGGTGCTTGCTTGCAGTACATCAACTGTACATGCGCAAAAGGAGACAGTGGATCCATAGTCTTAAGTGACTCAGGGAACTTCTGACAAGTTATGATCAAAGCTACCAACTTGTAATACCCTTCATACGAATCATACGAAGCATACGAAGATCATCCATTGATTTGACCCGGGAACCAACTGTCAGAAAGTGGCAAACGAGCGCGGCTCTCGTATCCGACATACCACAGCGCATTATTCCCAAACCAAAGAACCCACTAACCCACACCGCCCGAAATACCTGAAATACCTGCTAGGTAGGGTTTATCAGGATTGGCATTCAATATGGCAAGTAGAGCTTTTATATCGGGAATTTTTCGAATTTATTAGCTTGCTTTCTTTGTCTATGCTTGATCCCTCAGACTTGGCGCAATGAATCCCGAACACCCATCGGATCACCCGGGAAACGAGTCTGCTCTTTTCAACTACGATTTAATTACTCCCCCCTCCACTCATTCTTCGGTGTTTGAGTTCCCCACTGACCCCGTTCCTGCTCCCCTCCCCGGGCGTGATGGTTTGGTTAGCGACCGGCCAAACCCCAAGGTCGCGATCCCCCGAATCGTCAACCCCAGTATTTGGACCAGCAGCAGTCGGGTTACTCGGGCCTGTGAGAATTGCCGTGAGCAAAAGGCCAAATGCAGTGGTGATCGCCCCGTTTGTCAGCGCTGCAAGGATGCCGATGTCCCGTGTTCTTATGGGGATCGGAAGAGAGAAAAGATGCTCAAGTAGGTGAATTTGGATCAAAAAGCCAGCAGTTCACTCTAACAACGTTATCTAGACAGCTCAGCGATCTAACCGCACAGGTAGAAGCCTACCAGGGTCTTTTGCAAGACATATATCCCAGACTGGACACGCCATCGGCCCGCCATGTGGACCAGACCTTAAGAGAGGTCCGTTCCATCAACCCTTGTCCCTTTTTTGAAATTTTCACACATCTCATTCTGTTCAGCTTTCAAGTTCTTTGCCCCACGCCATCCCCGAGGGGACGAGTTTCGCCCTCAGGGTCGTCGACTATACCGAAGAAGACTTCAACAGCGATGGAAAACTACAGGCCATGGGGTATGTCGGCGAGCACTCGGAAATGGCCTGGTTGTACAGACTCAAACGGGATGGGGGGCAAGACGCCGACGCGCTGACGACCGACAATCTCGAACCCCCTTCTATCTCATCCGTCAATTATTTCCAAGACGACTCCGATGTATCCGTGCTTGACGACGTGGACCTTTCGACTCGCCCTCCACAACACATTGCTGCCCAGCTTTTTGAAAGCTACGTGAATGCGGTCCACCCTACTTTCCCCATCATTGGCATGACGACATTTATCGGACAATACAATTCCTTCTACTCGAACCCGAACGTGCGACCCGGAAAACGGTGGTTGGCGATATTAAATTTGATCTTCGCTATCGCAACGAGGCATTCTTTGTTGATGGGCCTCCCGCCACACTCCGAGGCGGAGAGCCACTTGGTATACTTTACACGAGCGTGGCGACTTGGAATCGACAACGTGGCGTTACTTTCACATCCGAACTTGCAACAAGTCCAGGTCGAGGGGTTGGCAGCGTTCTATCTTTTGTGTGTGGGTCAAGTTAACAGGTATCGAATTTTGCGCGTATTCTCATTTGCCGAATTCGAGGTCTAACTGTAAGGTGTTCTCTCTCTAGGTCATGGATAATCCTTGGTGTTGCCATCCGATCCGCCGTAACGATGGGACTTAATCTCCGTAGCGAGAGCAACATGATTGGTCATCTCTCGAAGGAGATAAGATACCGGGTGTGGTGGGCGCTCTTCATGCTGGATACCGTGCTATGCGTTATGACCGGCAGACCACCCAGTACCAGCGAGACTTTTTGCTCTACACCTCTTCCGTTACCCTTCACAGAGGAGGAATTCAGTGACGAGCGTATCATGCGACTTATTACTGATCATCAAGCCCGAAATACCTTCATGAATTCCCTTCATTCCACGAACCCCGCATTTGCGACCGGTGAGAACTTCGCCAATCGCATGCGCCACGGACCATCGGGGAGCAAGGGAAAGCAGGCGGAGAGGATTGCTCAGAGCCTTGTTCCTAATGCTTCACTATACTTTTTATATGCTGTGGACTTGGCGTTCCTTACCCGCGAGGCGGTCGATACTCTGTACGCGCCTCGAGCGGCACGACGACCATGGCGCGAAATTGAAGTCCAGATATTTTCGCTGAATAGTAATGCGGACAGGTGGCTCTCTCGTCTCCCAACAGAATTCCACTTTGTTGAATTCCACTCATCTCAACATTTCGCCCGGGAACGTGCCAGCCTAGCCTTTCGCTTTTACACCACAAAATTGATCATTACGCAGCACTGTCTCCGCCGCCTTGCTGATCTGCCAGGGGTTGATTCGCCCGGTGACGTGTGTGAGACTATGGCTGCTATGTGTGTCCAAGTTGCAGGACAGATCCTGGATCTCCTTCCTGACGAGGTAGACACGGCGTGGTTATACAGGGTTTCACCTTGGTGGTGTATTCTTCACCATATCATGCAATCTAGTACGATTCTGTTGATCGCACTTTCCACCCAATTCCACCCCGCTATCGTCGAAGCCACTGATATTGCAGTGAAGGTGAAGAAAGCCACTCGGTGGTTGGATAAGATGGCTGACAAAGATCCCTGCTCGCAGCGAGCTTTGGCCATTTACATGGAGCTGCTCTCGCGCCATGCCTCTCAGCTTGGATTGAACATTGAACCCGGGTTAGAAGCATAGTGTTTGACTTACGCTTGATATACCTACCTCGGGCTTATTTTTTGATCCAATAACTCTAAGAGGAGAGCCCAGTGCAATCGGTATTTTAATGAGATTGGAAAAGGGCCTCAGACGAAGCATGATAAGACTGGTTTGACATATCTGCTGCGCTTGTGCTTCTGGGCGGAAGTCGATCTGAATTTCCCCCACGGTCAATTTCGCAATAGTTGCAGATCGAGGATTTGATGGCTGTTCACCTTTCTTCGGTTTAGTCAGATCAACAGGTAGGTCGTATGTCTGTACCATTGGTTACTGACATCTCATTTTGACTGGTGGTCTTGTCTTTTAAGGTCCACAGGCTTATGTATCAGATCGATCAAAGGCATCAGATTTAGCTGGACTGAGAATAGAACAAGCCGACTCGTCAGTTTTTGTGTACTCAAGTGCTAAGGCTGGGCTTGGTACGGAATATGCATATCTGAAATGAGGTGTATGTAGGCATTTCCAACCTTGGGACGCGTCAGCTTCCATCGGTTGAAACTTGCTTGTTTAGGTCGTCATGCCATATGCATGCTTCTAGAACGCTGGTCGTGATAAAGCAACTGATCCCGAGATAGTTATTCTGTGGGCCACTAACTAATGCGCGTGCCCCACCTCTGTCGATAAACCGACTGGATTCGGCAACTGACTACTCCGCATTCAGTCCCAGACAAGCGGCAGCGAAAGCGAGAGCGATAGCGAAAGCGACAACGACACTGCAGAGAATATTTCAAATGTGAGCCCTTCGAAGACTACTAGTATCAAGATATAATTGCATATTTATTTACCTGCGGAGTATGCAGACCGTCTTTGTTGATAAACTTTCACAAGGCCTAGTAAATATCACATGTGGTGGAGGCCCCAATCATCATGAATCTATCACATTCGGATTCTGGTGGGATTCTGGGCCCGACCCATTCGTGCAGTATCGTGCATGGATATCCTCAGAATCAGTGTTTCTCTCGGACGCTCCCTTGGTGTTTGGACATCATTTAACCTTTTAACAACGCCGTGTATGTTTATTCTGGCATTGAAGATTACACTAGCACCTGGAGAAACAATATTCGCTGGCCAAGCTTATTCCACACCGGAGATTAAAACGTGCCTTGTTTATCTCAAGTGGTGCCAATCCTTCATCGTATAACACTCGTATATGTAGTGCCCGGGCGTTTGGCGACATTCTGGGCTTGGTCCCGAAATCGCAATGCATATTAATTATCATTAAAACTCGTGTGCGTTCTTGTATTTATAAATGCCTTGTAGGGAGCAATAGTAGTGAAATATTGGGGGCATAGTGTCAGCGGCTACATATTGTGCCGCTGCTCAATGGAAAACGGTGAGAGAAGTGTGTGTGTGTGTTGACCATCAACTCTATCGGGGGGATGGAGAGAGGAAGAAGGAAAAAAAAGGAGGAAGCAAGCACTGCATATCTAGAGGGGATCACCTGACCCATCTCTGAAACATAGCTTGAGTGTAGCACTTTCTCACTAGGGCCTACCTGTATACTGTTTCTACCTCGTCAAGTATCATATTCGTGCTCTGCCGGTGAGCCATCAAACGATCGAAAACCTTCTCTATCCGATCCATGGCCTCGACGGTGATCTGATGGTGAACCACAATTCTTGCACCCATCAATTTTACTCCCTCTTCTTTACCAACACGGATTGCTTCATCTGCCGTGATCCTGCTGGAAGAAAGGTCCAATACTACCATATTTGTCTCAACAGGCCGGCTGACTGTACCACCGCGATCGAGCCACATTTTCTCGATTATCTTAGCTTTCTTGTGGGTTTCTCGAAGTCGACCACCTTCCCCGTTAGGCCCTTTGCCAAAGTTGTCCTCAACTGCCACCCGCGCGGCAGCCGATATGATTCCAGCTTGTCGGATACCTCCTCCAATGCTCTTTCGCACCCATCTGCAGTGCTCTAGAGTGGCCTTCGGACCCACGATAATACTTCCAATGGGCGCACCTAGCCCTTTTGAGAAGCACATCTGCGCAGTGTCAAAGCACTCCAAATAGTCGGTCAATGGACCGGCACCTGCGGCCACGGCCTCCCAGATTCTCGCGCCGTCCAAGTGCATTTTGATACTGTTGGAGTGAGCAAACAGGGATATCTTTCGGACCTCGTCAAGGGGAGTGATGACTCCGGCTAGGGTAATTTCTAGTGAAATGACCCTGGTTGGAGCGACATGAATGTTGTTGCTAATGACGGCCGTTCGTTTGATGTCCTCTAAGGTCAGGTACTGACCGTTGGCCGGGACGCAGGATTGCATGTGTGCCTGAGAAAGAGATGAACAACCTCCGGCCTCAGAGTTCAGGATGTGAGAGCGTTCGTGACAGAGAATGGCGTGCGGCGGCTGTGTCAAGAGTGAGCGGAGGGCGATCTGATTTCCCATTGTTCCCGACATGACCAGGAGGCTGGCCTCTTTGCCAGTCAAGTCTGCCATGAACTTCTCGAATTGGGTTGTTGTTTGATCCTCATGATAGACGTCGTCCATGAGCGAGCATTGCGCGATGGTTTGCAGCATGGACAGCGACGGTGTCGTTATGGTGTCGGTGCGGAAGTCGTAAGCCGCGGGTCCAGGACCACACCAAGAGCTTGACACATCTATTTGTTGAATTGGCTGGCTAGTGCCAGGCTTGGGAGCGGAAACTTCTGTGCTGGCCATGGCGACAAAGCAAGAGGGGATTTGCAATTGGTGGTCCTGTTCTCTTGGTTGAGGTGAATCGGAGAGAATGCCGAACGATGACAGGAATCGAATCCAACAGAACTTATACTTTGGTCTTGAATATCTTGATCCGCGGACTCGGACCTCGAATGCTAACTAAGCGTCCCGAGTTCCGTGTCCCGACGAATCAAAGCCACTGCATATTTCGGGATTCCTCCGTTCTCTTATCAGATGTCCAGAATGGGCTAATCATAATCCTGGTCGGAGTGGAACCCGCGGGCCGCAAGTTGCAACAATGAAAAGTTGGAGCTATCATCGATTATTATCGAATTTGCAAAGAGCAACAACATGGACAAAAACATCACTTTCAAAGTTTTGTTTTCCCGCAGCTTTCACTGTTCAGGGTTGTCATGCTCCAACTCCATGCAGTAGACATGTCTAAATGACCACCTGAGCAGTTGTTTCAGGGTGGATGGCCAACCCATCCTTCATTTTTAGGCCGTTCATCACTAACTGCCAGTTTTAGTTAAGCGGCGGTTCCTTTCTAATGAGAGGGATATCATTTGTTGAAATCAAGAGATTTTCTTGAGTCACCAATCTACCTCGAGGCGGTATTTAAAGTAGCGGTGGTCATTAATGAATCTTCTTCACCCCTGCATACTACATAGCATGGCGCAGATCATTTCCGAAGTTGGTAAATGCCGCTATCCCTTTGCGTAGCAATGAGACAAATATGAAAAACACGGTGGTATTTCAAACCTATAATAAAGGCAAGTATAGAACGTGAGGGGAAAGAGTGGAAGAGAGCGGGTGTTGCTTTCTCTATCGTGATATTTGTGATTAGAGTTGAAACATCAAGGGTTCAATGTTGGGATATCGGCAATCATTTACCTAGAATAATCCATTTGATTCGGCAAGGGGCAAGCTCGGCAGATAAGCATTTAAGAATCAAGCTTCCTTTATCTCCCGGTGGAAATCAAAGAGTGGGGGTGGGGAATGCCTAGTGCCTCGATTTCCCCAGGTCGATTACTTATACCCCGTGGCAAATCTCCCCAACCAACATCGGAAGAAATTTGGGCTCAGTGACACTGAGCATGCGGGTCGATTAGCGGAACATGTTGCCATCCTCATTTGATCCTATCGATCAATATCCGAAAAATATGATGGACGTGGAGAAATCTCCCGCTCAGCACGATGAGCCCGCTATGGTCGAAGCCGGTATGATGGATGAGATCTCCAAGTCCCAGAACTCCTTACAAAGATGGGCAGCTCGTTTGGAACAGAAGTTCGGCGTGGAAGCACGAGGCATCGATCGTGTCCCGGAAGAACTGCGTGGCACTAAGACTTCGTTGATGGACTACTGCCAAATGGGTTTAGTCTGGTTTTCAGCAAATTGCACCGTTTTATCCATCGCGATAGGTCTGTTAGGGCCAACGGTCTTTGGAGTCGGCCTGAACGATGGTTTAGTACTGTCAGCTTTTGCCACTATGCTGGCCGCTCTAGTCGTTGGTTACATCTCCACGTTTGGACCAGCCAGTGGAAATCGAACAATGGTAAACATGCCAAAGTTATTGATAACCCGACTTCCTGATCTTTCACTAAAACAAATAAACATAGGTCATCATTCGATACACAATGGGTTGGTGGCCCTCACGTATCTGTGTTTTCCTCAACCTTGTTATTATGCTTGGGTGGGGCTTGATCAACGTGCTTGTCGCTGGACAGATTTTGACCGCAATAAATGGAGGTGGCATGACGGTGATAGTCGGAGTGATTGTGGCTTCGATAATTTCACTGTTGGTTGTTGTCTTCGGCATCAAGGCCTTTCACGCGTTTGAACGTTACGCATGGGTGCCGCAGCTCATGGTGATGTTCATCTTGATTGGTCTAGTTGGTCCATCATTCGAGACAGATATGGTAACAACGGGCTCAAGTCAAGTGAAGAATGCAGACCGAATGAGCTTCTTCTTTCTGGTCATCTCTGGATCGCTGTCTTGGGCTCCCGCGGGTGCCGACTTCTACGTCTACTTCTCACCAAACGCCGTTCGGTGGAAGGTATGTCTATCGGCCACACTTGGCCTCGGACTCGCAACTGCATTCACCACCATGCTAGGCGTTGGCGTTGGGACTGCCATTCCAACAAATTCGCACTGGAAAGACGCATATGACGAGGATATCGGAACCCTCCTAGTCGAGCTATTCCGTCCACTTAATCATTTCGGCAATTTATGCAGCGTGATCCTAGCTATAGGTCTGATTGCAAATAATGTGGCCGGAACCTATTCGGCCGCTCTGAGTTTCCAGCTCCTGGGACGATGGTTTGCACAGGTCCCTCGCCTCATCTGGACTGTAATCGGCGTCATAATCTACACAGTGCTGGCCTGTGTCGGTCGTAACAGCTTCTATGCTGTATTCGAGGATTTCTTGGCATTGATGGGATACTGGGTCGCCATCTGGGTCACGATAACGCTTGAGGAAGAGTTCATATTCCGTCGAAAAAGCGGATACGACTGGACGGCATGGAATAATCCCAACCTATTACCAATTGGTCTCGCAGCTCTTGCTGCATTTCTTGTCGGATGGGTTGGGTCGATTATGGGGATGTACCAGACCTATTTCACTGGGCCTATCGGTAAGCTTGTTGGGTATGGAATTGATCTCGGCATTCCATTAGGTGTGAGCTGGAGCGGCTTGGTTTACCCGTTCTTGAGATGGTTGGAGCTGAAATATATTGGTCGTTAGCACCAGTCCTATAACATCATTTCTCATGGATTTCCTCGGATTCTGAACTGCCCTGTGCCGTGTTTTTTTTTTTTTTTTTTTTTTTCTCTTGGGGGACCTTAGGAGATATGAGAAATTCCTGAAAAGGGGAAACGAATCCCTGACAGTCCGTTATCTCAAGCTTTGTAAACGAATCACGCGTCAAAGTCAAAGTCAGTGGCGGGACTCTGGGGTCTTTTTTTTTTGCTGATCAGGACTCTCAGAGTGGGCAGCCATTGGTACCAGTTGAAGTGCAATCTGAGGGTACTAGGTGCACTAGTAACTAGTAGTGCTCAGGTGCGATCGGCACTGACACCTCAGGCAAAAGCTTAGTAAGCTCAACAATTCCCAAATCCTCACGTATTGCGCCTCCTGAGTGCGTAGCAGATCTAGCAGCCATAGACTTCCGAAAATACATTCCGACGTTGTACCTAGGTAATCATATTGTGATACAGGTATCTTTCAAATAATTGGATACATGATCATGGTAGGTGGAAATTTCACAGCTACACTGGCTATTCAAGGCGGGGTGCCAGGTGGGGTCACTCATCACAAGAACCACAAGAACCTTGGAATTGATCCATGGATGGGACGCCTAATTGTTGCTTACGGCGGGGCAAGTAGGCAGAAATTCATGATAAATGTGATCCCACAAATGACTTTGTGACTTTGAACAGATATTGTCTAGAACACAAAATGTCATGGACTCAAGCAGATGACCACTGGACCCGTCCTTTCAACTGCGATGACCGACTGCTACACGCCATCGGTGCCCTGGGGGCTCCATTTGGGCGCGATAATATGTTAATGATGATCAGCGCCCAATTGGAGTCTCTAACAGGGGTTGATGCCGAGGGCAGATTGCGGGAGGCCTGGAAGGCAATGCGATTCAATCACCCAGACATTGCTCTGCAAATCCACGCCACTGAGAACTTGAAGAGATACTACCCTGTTCGTGATGAGAAGGATCTTGAGGCATGGTGCAATGAATCATTCCGCATCGAGAAAACAGCGAGATCGAGCGACGAGTTCTTCAGTCGTCATCACCCTCTTCCAGGACGCTATGCCAGCCTTTATTGGTTTCCCACCAGCAACCAAGTCGCTCTCACTGCAGAGCATGTACGTTGGGACGGTCGCGGCTCAGTGTTGCTGCTCCATGAATTGTTGTCTGAGCTCGAAAACCCAACCCCGCTCCCGACGGTGTTCGACGGCACCGAAGCCCAAAATCTGGTACCTGCGCTGGACGTGGTGGTTGGCATGCCAGAAAAGTACGAGGAAAAATGGGTGCAACGTGCCGATGAGCTTCGTTTCAAACTTCTCGATGGGCAACCGTCTATCGGTCTTCAGCCTCCGGGCAACCAAAGCGCACTACCCGGAGATACCATAAGGACGGAATTGGTTGTCCCAGCAAAGGAAGCCATTGCGCTACGTGCAGCAGCTCGGGCTCAAGGCATTAGTATGACGGCGGCACTCCATACTTCAGCCGTCATCGAGACAGCGCGCGCGAACCCGGACTCTCCCGCTAAACGATTTGTTTCCTTGGCCCCATACGACGTACGCAAGTATTGTCCTGAGCCTTTCAATGGCCCTCGACACGCAGCATCAGTCCGCGTGACGGCTCTCCCATTGAATGTCGACGCCCGGGCTTCCTGGCCTGATCTTGCACCGGTCATATTCAAAATCTACCGCGAGACGTGGGATATGGACAAGAGTGATATGATGTTTGTTCGCGTGCCCTATATCGAGAAGGGTAGAGCCTTGTTCGAGCCAATGCCACCAGGAACACCACGTCCACCACCTGCCACCGAGCCGAACGTTAACAGCCTAGGTGTCCTTGATGACTACGTCAGGCATCAATATTCCGATTTCGTCGTTAAGAACATTTTCTTCACGTTTTACATGCTCTCGCAGCAATTGTATATTCACTGTTGGTCTTGGAGGGGAGACTTGCATATTAGCGCCAGCTACAACGAGTCATACTACACACCAGAATACGTGGCAAAGTACTTGAAGGCACTGAAAGACAACATGGTCGAGAATTTGATCGATAACACCACTTGATATAGTGGGCGGCGTCGGATTAGCCATAAGCATACATAGAAGTAGATTAATACCCCACTCCTCACCTGGCTTATTAGTACAATAAACAACAATCTGGAAATTCCGAGGTTATTTCAAGAGTGGAAAAGCCCATCCGCAGACCGATAAGCTAATCATGTTCCTTCATCACGCTATCAGACATTTTAGGCACTTTGGCCGACGTCACTCCGAAGTTATGCCTTTTAGTGCATCTCTAGCATGCTTGGCATAAGAACTTGCAATATACTTAGCTGGCCATTGGGCTTATGAAACCATATACTCCACATTGGATTCGGAGAAGGCATCTTCTTGCGATAGAAAGTCCAATCGGACACACGCAGGTTTGGATTACAGTGCTTATCAAGCACAGACCAAGTTATACAATGCTTTAAATAAATAGAAAATGCCCCGTTCAAGATAATCCTCCATCCGCCCCACTTCTACGGTTGGGGTAAGCAATGGAGTCTGGACAGACCAAGATATTCGTTTATCTAGAGGCAAATGGCGTTTGATAACGACCCATCCGACTTTTTTTAGGCCCAGAATAGCAATGGAACTAAATCAGAAGAGTTGAATCAACGAAATTTAGTCCAGTAAAAGGCCAAGTAGAAGGCAACACAAAGTATTTCTCAAATGGTTCTCATTTCAAGATTATATCTCGGTGCCGCAAGCCGCTGCCCGCATCAATGTATACTATGTACTACGTAGTCTGGTGGTATGCACTAGTTCTGTGTTTCCTATGTATCAGGCCATCCTAGCTTGCATTATCAGCCCTGGAGGGCTCCGTACTAGGTTCGGTCCGAGATACTAATTAGTATTAGACTCAGCGATTCTAGACTTTTTAAACATTCCGATATAATTGCTTTATTCCGAGATGTCCATTTTTTCAAGCCGGTGGGTCTATCGTGATAAAGTGTAAATATTGCAATCAAGCTCAGCTGACGTGGTCGACTACAAAACACCGCCCGTACCTTCCACTATATCTTGTCTTGAGAAAAGTTCCAACTCTTCTGTTTTTTGGCCACAAACCACCATGTCGACTGATAAGTCAGATGTGGCGACAGCCAAAGATCCTGTTAAACAGGCAGACGTATCAGAAGCGCTGGGCACAGACTTAGAATTAGAAGACACCAACCAAGACCGCGAAAGTTGGAGATATCGATCGGACAGAGCGGAGCTCACTGAGCTGACGCCGGTCGAAGCCTTCAAGTGGAACGTTGAGGGGGACCAGTCTCCTTGTACGTTTGCCCCTAAAGTATTGGATCGAATACCCTTGTAATCTTGATGTTAACAAATTCCAGTCCCCGAAGTCGCCGCTTGTGTATCGAATAAAGATGACCCTACCATTCCTTGCAACAGTAAGATATCCCCAACGGATGCTAATAACAGTAGGAGTTTTTGGAAATATGCATCGACTAAACGATGATCATCTACAGCCGTGCGGGCCTGGATCTTAATGACAATTTTTGTCATTCTTTTTTCCGGGGTGAACCAGTTCTTCGGCTTGCGATACGTAAGTTCCGATTACCCTTGGACTGAAACATTATATTATCGTGCGTTTACTAATTCCCATCAGCCTTCCTTGACCATCGGTTATGTTGTTGCACAAATATTGGTGTTTCCTATTGGCCGAGCATGGGAGAAACTTCCTAGGTGGAGGGTCCCGTTGGGAAAACTTACTTTTGACATCAACCCCGGCAAATTCACTATCAAGGAGCACGCGTTCATTGTCATTGTGAGTAGTGTACTATCAGCATGCAAAGACACCAACTAACAATCAAGCGTAGTGTGTTAATATTAGCGCTACCACAGCCTATGCTCAAGGTTCCTTGGTCGCTATCGTCAGTCCAGTATACTGGAATCGAGACTTCGGAGCCGGATTCTCTTTCCTGTATCTTTTGACGACACAGATGATAGGGTAAGATATTTTATTGGAATTTTCCCACACATCCACTGACATCCGCTGATATCCCTTTAGTTTTGGACTGACAGGTCTCTCTCGCCGATGGATTGTTTACCCGGCCGCCTTGGTTTGGCCTACCTCGCTTTCCTCAACTGTCCTTTTCCGCGCGCTGCATGAGCCTGAAAGCACCAAAGCAGTAAATGGCTGGACTATTAGCCGGTATCGATTCTTCGCCTATGTAACAGCCTTCGGGTTTGTTATTTATTGGTTCCCAGACTATATATGGACCAGTGTCAGCACATTTGCTTTTATCACGTGGATTTTCCCCCACAACCAGAAAGTGAACACATTGTTCGGGGTTAGTTTCTCTTTCCATCATTCACAATTAGATTCAATGTTTGCTAATTAGCTTGCCAGATGAATTCCGGTTTGGGTATCCTTCCAATCAGTCTCGACTGGACGCAGATCAACTATGCTGGATACCCACTCATGACACCATTTTACATCACCTGCAACGCTTTTGCAGTTGTTGTGTTTTTCTACTTCTTCTTGTCTCCCATCTTATACTATACTAATGTGTGGAACAGCGCTTAGTAAGTTACGAACCTGATTCAAAATAGAAAATCCATATGCTGACCAGCCAGTCTTCCTCTCCTGTCATCGAGCACATTCGACAACACGGGCAGCTCTTACAACGTCTCGCGCGTGGTGGACTCCAGCCTGAATTTCCTCGAGAGCGGCTACAAGGAATACTCTCCAATGTATATCTCCATGGCGTACTCCCTGACCTACGGTCTCTCATTTGCCGCAGTGACCGCCGTTGTGGTACACACCTACCTCTACAACGGTACTGAAATCTGGGCCCGATTCAAAGATTCACGACATGGTGGTGAGGATGTGCATCGACGACTGATGCGCGCCTACAAGGAGGTTCCAGACTGGTGGTATGGTCTTCTTACCGTGATCGTTCTCGGTCTTGGCATCTTGACCATTAAAAAGTGGGACACTGAACTGCCAGTCTGGGGCTTCATTGTGGTATGCTTTGGTATGGCGGTTCTTCTCATTGTACCTGAAGGAATTCTCCAAGGGACTACTAACCAACGCGTTTTCCTCAACATTATTACGGAGTTGATTGCTGGGTATGCCTGGCCAGGAAAGGCAATCGCCAACATGATGGTCAAATGCTACGGCTATAACTCGGTCAAACATGGCATGGATTTTGCGCAGGACCTGAAGCTTGGACAATACATGGTACGCCACTTTAGTCTGATATCTGGTCGACCTGTACTTACATTTCCAGAAAATCCCGCCCCGCGTTTTATTCTTTGGCCAGATTTATGCTAGTATTCTGGCAACTGCGACTCAGACTGGAGGTACGTTTTAAACCTTGAAACTCAAAGATTGAAGCTGATTTTATGGTTTTAGTTCTGCGATGGATGCTCGGACATATCGACGACCTGTGCAAATCAACCAATAAACAGAAGTTCACATGCAATGGAGCTAAAGTCATGTACAATGCTTCATTGATTTGGGGTACAATTGGACCGCAGCGAATGTTCCAGTCTGGTCAAGTCTACAATGGCCTGGTCTACTTCTTTTTAATTGGAGTGAGTTCACCAAGCCAAATTATTATGCGTCTCCTTACTGACTGACCACATTCAGCCCGTTGTTACCGTATTTGTTTACTTCCTTTACCGTCGCTACCCCAACAGTTGGATCCGCTACATCAATGTTCCAATTTTCTTCAACGCGGCTGGAAATATTCCTCCTGCAAACACCAGTAAGTCTTTGACGATCACAGAGAAATTTTCCTCAAAGCTGATGATTTAAATTAGCACAATACTCTCTATGGTTCATTGTTGGTTTCTTTTTCAACTACCTCATTCGAAAGCGTGCTTTCGACTGGTGGAAGCGTTACAACTGCAAGTCCAACCCAACACTAACCTCAATCTTCGAATAAAGTTCTAACACATGGGCCTTATAGACTTGCTCCAAGCTGCGATGGATACTGGCACAGCTATCGCGACCATCATCATATTTTTCGCGCTCGGCTACCACGCTGTCACTTTTAGTTGGTGGGGAAATAACGTGGGATCCAACACGGACGATGCAAACTCTGTCCCTTGGTTGACTGTTCCAACTGGCGGCTACTTTGGTAAAGGACCCGGCCAATTTTAATTGGGTATATTGTTTACATCCACATATATGAAGAGTTTTTTTTAAAAAAAAAGATAGGGAGACTAAGACAAATGCATTGCTAATTACAACGGCTTACTGATAATACATAGCCTTGTAAATTAGTTACCATACACTCTTGCCGTAGCGGGAGTAGCACCAGGGAAGAATGTGTTGGGAACCGTGGGAATTGGAATAGAAGTGGACAGCCCGAATCCTGCGGTGAGCTGGTTAGGCATTGTTGTTGCCGAGTAGCCAGCTGGTGCAGATGTCACGGTTGAAGTGACCGTGCCATATGAGGTGTGGGCAGACCCAGCCTTCAAGCAGTATCCTGATCCCCAAGCATCGGCACACTTGTAGTACTCCGTGCTTCCAGATTCGGTCCACATGTCGAAATCCTCGATTATGATGTTGGTGCAAGGCTGGGTGGACGGGCAAATGGCGTACAGTGGGCCTCGTGTGGCACCATCCTCGCACGTTCCTGTCCAGTTGCTGACAGTGATTGAGTTGTAAAGAACACCATCACCTGCAGCCAGGGTCTCTTCTGTCCAGTAAGCATCGATGTAGAAGGAATAAGCATTCTCGTGTCCGATAAAGTTTTGAAGGGTGACGTCCGTCACTATTGATACCATGAAATTAGTCAAGGGGTTCAGATACGTTTGGTCAATGGGATCAATTTTAGGGGATTGAATTACCTGTGCCGTTGCCTCCGTTACTCCTGTTGAGAAATTAGCTTGGTTCTTTGTACTGTAAGGTTATCTTCAAAGGAGAGCATGACATACTTGAACATGAACATCTGGTTGGAATTGACAGTATAGATGTTTTGGTACACGACTTTGCTGATATCTATCCCGTACCTTGTCAGTATTTTCTACCTTGAATTGTGGGTGGGGGTTTCGGCTTCCCAACGTACCTGTGTCAACACCCAAAGAGCCCATGGCGCAGCCACCAGACCAGTTGCAGTAGATATCTTCGACAAGAATGTGATTCGCCGGACTCTTGACGGTAACACACTCGTCCTTGTTTGTGACCTCAACGTCGTGAATCCAAATGTCGAATCCCCATACATCGATACCATCAAGGCCTCCCTCGTTTCCACCTCGGATGATCATGTTGTAAACCTCACCCTGGTTGCAAGTGTCAAGGGTCAGGTGGAATGCTGGAGAGTCAACCAGGGCAATATCGTGAATGGCAAAGTTCGTCACTTTGAAATTGTTAGCATTAGATGGCAAGACAAGACGGAAGGGAAATAAATAGCTTACCCTCATAAAGGCGCAGAAGACGAGGGCCATACTCCCCTTCCGCATGGAAGACATAGCCGTATCCTTGAATAGCACCCTCACCACGCGAAGAGTAGATCTCAAAGTCAGTGCTATGTTCAATGTAGATCATGTTACCACCGGCAGTACCCGTGCGAACAATGATACCCTCCAAGTTGATGGCCCACGCAGTTCCACCACTCAAGGTGACCCAAGTGGCCAAGGCAAATGTTCCCAAAGGAATATTCACCACACCACCATCGATACAGGCCTCAAAGGCAGCCAGAATAGCCGCACCAGAATCGGTCTCTCCGTCCGCAACAGCACCATAGTCCGTGATGTCGCAAACCTTCACAGCCCATTTCTCAGCGGTGGTAGTCAACGGACCAAGTGGGTAGTCGGTTGTATCAGCCAGCTGAGCCAACGCGACAGAAACCCAGCCGAGACCAAGAAGGAGCAGACCCTTGATTTGCATGATGCCGGTAGTTGTCAGCTGCAAGAACCGTGCTGCAGAAAACAGCGTCCCCAGCCTGGCTATTTAACAACAACAACGAACCTGCCTGCCCTCCCCCTCTCTCCTCCCCTGAACTCCTTTCGGCATATTTGCGTCTCACACTGATGGCCCCGGAAGAACTCCGGGCTATCACATCTGGACCTTGAAATTATTCAGCAGGATTAATGTCAGTGCGTGCACCTGGGGGGCTAATTTCCCTATAATCAAAATCATCACCGGGTGGTCTCGGTGGGTCTTCAGCCGAAGAAGGTAAACCCACCTGGATTTTATTTATGGGAAATTCCCCGGAGCTGTTTCACGTGGCGCCATCAATATCAGATCTTTGCCATAACTGACACGGAAAGGCTCGGGCCCTTCGTCTGAGCACCTGCCAAGAGTCAGAATCTGGGGCACTGGTAAATGCACCAATCGCGTTTATACGCGGTCAGACTCTGAAGAATGTTCAGTCCACGCGTTCGATGGATTGTCTCCCGAGATTTTCGTCAGGTTTTTGTTAGAACGTTTGTTTATTTGATATGTAGCTAAATCAGGGGACCAGGGTCGCGAACACCCTGCGGATACTATTTCTTGGCCAATCAGGGTGCAGCACGCCGGTGTTTCAACAACAGCCCTGTTTTTCAGTTGACCCACCTGGTGGCTTTTTGAAAGTGCCCTTAAACTTCTTCAACTTGTGTTCCGGTGAATCGCATCATCAGCCGCATGCAATCACGAGCGATGTTGGAATAAGTATTATTCGTTTTCCTGATGTGTGGGCCGAATGTCTACGCTGGAAGCTTATACGTGATAAGCTTGGATTGAGTTCCAAGGGTTTAGAGATCTACTGACAATCTTACCTCCCTAGGGTAATGCTTTCATAGATCTTTCAAAGTTTGTCGGGCGGCCTTGGCTTTTCATGTACTACTAAGGTTGAAGGGGGGAAAGTTAACAAGAGGAGGAAACAAGTCTCCCATATGGCGACCCACTATGCTACATGTGGCTTATCTGCGACTAGTGTCTAGTACAAGCCCAAGTGGAAGTGGCTGATAGAATCGCCCAAGGCAATCGCGACTAATAAAACAAATTTTCTGGTGAGAAATACCCATTCCAAGGTTATCAAATCTTGGAATTTGATCGCGCTGCAAGTGTTGCCAAGACCCTTTCGGCTCGGTCTCACTTTGCTACACGGGATATCTTCGGTATGGAATATATGAGAATTGATCCATCGCGTTTCAGATTACTGTGGCCAACCAGGCTAGACCTTCCGTACACGGGGTTTTTCCCCTTCCGCTCCTGATTCATTGGAACTCCGGTAGTGAGAAAACTTTGTTAAAAATGATTGCTTTGCACGGGAATATGTACTATGTACTATCGGATACTTGTTCCTACCGAAATTTCTGGACTTTCCCCCAAAGCCCTGGGGGATCAATGCAATTTGTAGCCCACCAAGGGAGACACGGGTTCACATGGTTGGCCAGTATCGAGTACTTTTCATAAATTTGCCTTTTCTCTTCCCCCTTTATCTCTGTTTTGTTCGTCCCGCCTTTGCTGTTTTGTGATTTTGTACAAATGAATTCTGTTCACCATTGAGAACTTCGGCGCATCACGTCATCTTCAAGACAAATCGCGGACTCGGCGATGCAATCCAACCTGTAAGCCAAGGGGCTTGCGCAGGAAGCCCTCGCGGGTCTGCATCTCCTCCTCTTGCTCAAGCTGGAACTCGAACATGCCGAAAACTGTGGCGACAATGCAAAGCAGCTCCATCTCAGCGACGTTGCGACCGACGCAGGCACGTGGGCCGTGGCTGAAAGGGATAAATGCGGCTTTTTGGCGGGCAGTTAAGTTCTCCCAGCGTTCAGGGACGAACTCCTCAGCATCTTTACCCCAGATTTCTGTGGAGCGGTGTACAGTGTAGCTTGGCACGGACAGGACGTCGCCAGGGTAGAATGTGTGGCCAGAGATAACAACGGGCTTACTGCCCTCGGGGACTTGACGCGCAAGGCCCATGGCAGATGTGCTGTGAATACGCATAGTTTCCGAGATGACCCATTGGAGACTTATGAGAGTGAGTAAATAAACTGGAAAACAAAGAGACAAGACGAGGAATAGAGCTTACTAGGGGATATCCTTGACCATGGCGTGCGTGGGGACATCGACATCCTTGGGGATTGCTTCGTCCAGAACCTTTTGCAGTTTTTCAACAACTCCGGGGGTGCGAAGGCACCAGTATAAGATAGCACAAGAAGTGTTTGAGGTTGTATCCGAACCGGCAATCAGCTGGGTCAAAGCCTCGGCGGTGAGTTCCTCGAGGCCTAATTTCTCACCAGTCTCGTCCTTACCCTCCATCAAATGAGCCAAAAGGTCAACTCGGGTATTATTCGCAACTACTTCAGGCTTTACGCGCTCGTTGACCCGTGCAATAGCAATACCGGCGAGATTCTCCACGGCGGCAAGACCTTCAGTGAAGAAACGATCAGGGATCCATTTAGCCCAGGGCTTTAGGGATGGCAAACAACCCAGAGTTGCGGATACCTCGCCGCGGCGGTTCAACACCTCAACAGCAGCAACATACTTAGGAGGCTCATCCGGACTCTTGCGCATCTCAGCAATATCCTTTCCGTTCTCAAGCATGCCAAAGGGAGCACCGAAGGCCAGGTCGCCAATAATATCGAAGGCAAGGTAGTTGAACCAGTTCAACGCATCTATGCTGGCGTAGCCAGTCTTGGGATTGGCCTCCAGGTCGGAGAGCTTGTTCCACTGCTTAACAAAGATTTCTAGGTTGGTGTGAATGTACTGCTCGAACTGGCCAATGGATTTGGCACTGAAAGTGTGAGACACAATCTTCCGCTTACGGGTATGTTCAGCACGGTTGCGAGTATTGAACAAACCCCGGCGAATTGAGACAAAGGCGTCATAAAAGTCGCTAAGTCTATGATATCAGCATATGTGAAAGATTAAACGAGCTTTCATAATTAAGACTTACGCCTTCAGGAATCCATTTCCGTGTCCATAAATAGCCTGAATAGCAGCATCGTCGGCGACAGAGACGTGGTTTGGTGCAATGCGGATCACCTTTCCATATTTCTTATGAGCTTCGTCAACGGACAAGTAACGCTTACCCTGGCGTGCCTGCAAAAGCAGCCAAAGGTTGCTGAAGCCCGCAAAGCTCGGACTGGGGATCCCCCTCAAACGCCCATTTTGTACATACGGTAGCAAAAAGTAGGCAGCGAGGAGGCCGAGGGCGATGAACGGAGCATTTTCAAGTGAGAAAAGCATTATGAGCCGAAGAAATGCGGCTCGAAAATGCTAGATCAATCAGAATCAACTCAACTTGTACAAGGACAAGGTTGTGAAAGAGAGTCAAGCTTGTGATTAAGAATCAAGGTGGATTTAAAGTGTCGGGGAGGGGAATGGAGCTACCCACTCGCTTCGAGCGCACGGGGAACTCGGGGCATATGCGATAAGTATCCTTGAACGGCAAGGATGATGCATAAGATCCGAGTAATTGCCGCCGTTCATGGGCCACGTGACGAAATTGGGGGCGAGAGGCGCCGAAAACGTTAGCCAAACATAAGCTACGCTCTGGTTGGTTAAGAATGTTAAGATATTGTGGGGGGTTCAAGTCATTTATTCGGGTTGACTGGGTCCGATTGGGTCTCTTGTCATAAGAATAAGCCTATGGCTTGGGCCAAGAGATAGCATAAGCCTCCACATTCGAGGCTATAGGAATGTTTTGAAAATGAGGTTACTAAAGTCGATATTAATAGCAGTCAATTGGCTTATTGACCGTTATTTCAAATGGTGTGGGCTCGGCAAACATTGCATCCGCCCTAGTCCTAGTGGGGGATCCGAGACGTTACTGTACACGCTGTTCTTTGGGGCCGCTCGCAGCCGCTCCCGTTCCGTACGGGCAACCCCAATTTCTCCCTGATCACTTCCAATATCCTAGGTCTCAGTACCTTCAGCTTTTCTTACCCAGGATTCCAGTGAACATTTCCGCAGCTCATATTGATAGCCACAATCAAACTTCCCGTATTTAGGCGTCCAGCTGCGGTCGGAGTCTGCTTGTTCCACGGATCTGACTGGACGCGGTACTCCGCACAGAGCTGCACTTCACTCCAAGACTAGAAATTGGTCTTTCCAACGTGATATAGTGAGCCCATTACGATAATTTTGAATTATGCTTTATTTGGAATGAATTGGACCGAAGGAATGAATGGTCTATTGGCTTCTACTCCGCACGCCCGCTAGGATCATCCTTGAGCCCGCTAAGCACCCAGAAAGTGGAGAAAGAGCGGGAGGGGAAGGCATCCAATCAAGCCACATTCTTTGATTGCGATCTACTCTCACTACAGTGCGGAGTACTGCATCGCTCAATCTCCGCTATCCTCAAATAGCATGGGGAGCTAACCCGATATCCCGATACACTATTGAAAAAAATCAAAGCTCATAGACCATTTGTATTGATGAAAAGCTTTGTTCCAAAGTTAAAGCTTGGTGTGAACGGACTCCATTATTCCAGGCTAGCGAATGTATACTCCGTATTCATGCAGCGAAACGCGTTAGTCCTTCAATCCTGGTCTCTAGAGCCCACAACATCCCCTATTTTCTGAACTTGCTTTTCCAAAGGAATGCAAAATTTGAAGTGATCTACATCTCCATCAATACTCGAACGTTCAAAACATGTTGAACACCCAGCCTTGTTCTTTGGCAGCTTCCTGTCCACCACTACCTACGCATAACGGCACAGCGACAAGGCGACGTGTCGATTTTTCCCCATCAAATTCATCATGGATCCAAGATCGGAGGTTTACTCTGAAGAGTATTTAAATGCATATATTGGCTACCGTCCGCTTGGAGTGGCGACAGCAATGCTTCCCATTGTCATTATCTTCTTAGCCCTGCGTTTCTACTCACGCCATCTTACAAGAACACCATGGGGTCTCGATGATTCCTTGGCTGCCATGTCTGGAGTCGTATCGGTCGGATTATCAGCTCTTGCAATCTGTGAGTTTCCCTCAAATATTAGAACGTTAGAACTGCAAATGCTCCCCATCCCCGACTTCAATGATTACTAACAAATCATGGCAGGTTTTGTAAAATATGGCGGTGTCGGTCGCCACCTTGCTGCGCTTGAGAGAGAAACCCCAAACATGGCCCCGCAATACTTCAAATACCTCTTGGTTATCTCAACCTACTACTATACCACGGTCGCAATCCCCAAGCTAGCCGTTCTAGCTCTATACGGCCGCCTTTGGACAGTCAACCCATACCGCACCATAATCTTGATATTGGCCGCAGTCATCACCTTGACAGCAGTTGTTTCAGGCGTGATGTGCCTGAACATGTGCCAGCCATTCAGACTGAATTGGGATACTTCGGTCCCTGGCCACTGTCTCAACAAGCAGGCATTATACTTGTGGGCATCACTACCGAATATCCTCACCGACCTGGTCATGCTCGCAATGCCCATACCTATCGTTTACCACCTTAACGTCCCCATGAAGGTCAAGCTGGGTCTCATCTTGACGTTCGCAACTGGCCTCCTGTAAGCAAAAATCAGAAAACACACCTAGCATTTTTACCTGCCCCAGTACACTAACAAGCCAATCTAGTGGTCTGGTAACTTCAATCATGCGCTTCGTCATCTTCTCGGAAGGAAGCGCTGTTAAAGACGGTTCTTGGGGATCAACGGATCTTATGGCTTGGAGTGTCGCCGAGCCGGACATTTACCTCATCAGCGCCTGTCTCCCCACTTTCCGTCCGATCTTGAACAAAATGTTCGGTCGGGCTGTCACGACACAATCCTCATCACGATATGCTGAGAGATACAAAAATAGCGGGGGATCTACAGCTAATTCCAAGGCACACGCCACCGTTTTGGAATCTGCTCTATATGGAGACGAAGTTCAATTGGTGTCTGTGATCGGCAAGGAGAGAGATTCAAATCCCGAAGATGGACTAGGCTTGGGAGGCATTTATGTACAACGAGAACTCAACGTGGAAGTCAGCAAACACTGAAGAGAGTTAAACCACTGAATACCTGTCGGCTCTTCTCACCGACCTCTAAGAAAAAAATTGATTCATTTTGACCGGCTCTCTACATACATGTCAACTGGTAGATAATCATCAATCGTCTGCTATAATTCTAGCGGCTTTGTCTCCATATATATTCCCCACCCGGATCTACGCTTCAACACTTGAGGAGAACATTTCACGGTGCCCGACCCTCAAGTGCTTCAATGTTTCAAGATCCCAATGTTCCAAGGCTCAATGTGCCTCCTGAGCCTTAGTAGGCCAGTATCTGCAATTTAGCGCACGAATAATCCGCGTAAGTTTTAATGTTGAACAATGAAAAGTATTCAAGACTGATTTACTGACTTTATATGGGCAAAATTTGCCTTGTTTTTCATCGGTTCCATAGCTCAGTTGGTTAGAGCGTCGTGCTAATAACGCGAATGTCGAGGGTTCGACCCCCTCTGGGACCATTCTTTTTGTCCTGCCCCGAAATGAAATTTTTTTTTCCAAGTTGCTTGTGATGTTGCCTCGGTAGCTCCTGCCTCAATGTAAAGAAAAATCTCATTCATCTACGCGTAGACGGGATGATGAATTTTTAAACAGAAGCCTTCAAATGTTCTTTCAAGATTCTATTTTTAGGTGTGAAGTGAAATATTCCAGGGGAAGTCCTGGAAACCAGCAGTTAGTCTCATGAATATACCACAGATAACTCTACCCTTCAATGTTATTCTCACGCATCACTGTGCATTATCTTAGAATCTAGGACGTCCCATGCCGTCTCTGACCCATCCTAGAGGAATCCTAGCCCTCTGTTACCGGACTCTTCTGTCTCAGCACTTTGAACTCAACCAACCTCAGGCCTCCGGCATCTATCCCAGAGCCAAGCCTCACAGCTGCTCCATATGTTTTTGTAATTTTTTTTTTTAGGGGTTATCACGTATCTTTTGCATAGGGAAGGTCCGGCGTTCGATTCGCCGCTGCTCCAGGACTTTACTTTCCTGGCATTTTGGTTTTTTTACCCAATAATTAATTGGACATTAAACCCCAGTTCAGTGTTCTATGCTACGGTGGCCCATTATGGCCATCTATGCAGTTCTACCGAGATATTACTAATACATGCGGGAAGTTGCGGGAAGTTGCGGGAAGCTTCCGTAACAGCACCGGCATGCAAAATTGGAAATATATTTCACCTAAAAATAGAAAAAAATTGCAAAAAATATATGGAGCAGCGGCGATTTGAACGCCGGACCTTATCTATGCAAAAGATACGTGATAACCCCTACACTACAGCCCCAGTTGATGTATATTCTATCCAAAATATACCTATGGCAGTGCCCAACATAATATTGCATAGCTGCTACACCACAGCCCCGTTAAGTCACAGGACATAACCAAGTTTTAACACCGCCTCAATTACATAATATTCTGCCAGTCGAAAATCACCTGGGGTTTTTCTATCCACCACTAGATTTTGAATAGGGCTTACAAAAACTTTCAATCATAGTATTATATAATTTATCTTGCTCAGTGTGCCATATGCATGTGTATTAAAAACCCATACATCAAGGTTGGAACACCTACTTTCAAATGTTGGATATTTACTAAAAGCGGTGGAAAAGGCGGACTTCTTTAGGGGGTGTTAAAATTTATGTCCTGTCACTGTATGTGCCATAAACACATGTGTTACATGCATTGAGAGACTCAAAATAGAGCACCTAAAACCTCAAGAATTATTTACCTAAACATAAGGAAACATTGAAGTGCAGAGGGCAAGAATATGTAGGAGAATATTTCCAGAGTGATCCGTATAGTTATAAATATTTCCTTCCGAATAGATGGAGTAGCCAAGCATCTGAAAGTGAGGCTGTAAGTGAGTCTTCGAAATATCAATAGTGGGCAATGGCTATTGATGTATGGCTTGAAAAAGGAGACATCTGGAGGTGATGCGGGCGGGCCGGGGACGAATGGGAGACATGCAGTACAGAGCAAGATAATACGGGTCACTCATAGCTTCCAAAATTCCTAGTCGATAAGGGGTAGGCTGTGGGTCGTGATGGATTAGCGTTAACATAGTGGGTGAGACAACGAGGTTTGGCCCCCAAATCCGAGATGTGCGGCAGGGATTTGGAATCATACTAGCTTCTACAGGGGTATACGCTCCAAGGGCCAAGGAGGCCGAAAAGTTCATATCGTTTGATTATATGTTTATTGATATCCACTGCATCTAGTCTGCGGAGAAGAGTATGGATGAGGTATATGTCGCCTTCAGAAACCCCAGGTAGGATTTGTGAAACTGCCCAGTCAAGACGCGTATAGGAGAAGCCGAGCCCCAGCCTTTCTAGCCGAATTGGTATATTTATCCGCATGCTGATGCACTGTGCCATCAACTTCATGGCCACGGAAACGAGCATTCAAGTCGCAGGGCGATAATTTTGATAGTCCTTCTACCGTAGCGTCTGTACTGTGGAAAGAGCGCGTAGGCGGATGTAGGGTCTGACGTCATAATGCCTGCGTTGACATTGTGGGGCCGTAGAACCCCGCAAGAACAGGCAGCTCAATCATCCAGCTCTTCTTCGGTTGTTCGTGCAGGTATATTTTGTCACAGTAGGAGATCGCAGCCACTGGTTGATGATAAATGGGCCCATCTTCAGGAAGTCGCTTCGCGAATGAGTGTCATACGCAGGAACTTGAAGGCCTCGACCTTTCGCAGTAGTCTCAGGTCTAAATTGCTTCCACACCCAAGCCTTTGTTTTTGATTTTTGGAGCTTTCCAGATATAACTTAGGACCGACCGGATCGTTCGTAGTACATAGTTGGCATAGTTCTGCCAGCTTCTTTCTGGGAGACTTATTTCACGATAATGCAGACGGCGAGTGGGCGGGTCGAGGCCAGGAATGGTAGCTGGAATGCACGTGTTTTCTCGAATCGGATCGATTGGTCAAATTGTTGATACCCCATTCTATGTAGTAGGTGATGAAGAACGGCAAAGATACCAAGAAGCAGAAGACTGCGACTTGAGATGTTATTGTGGTGGTCATTTCGATGTTTTTTTTCGTAACACGTTGAATATGTGTGAAGGTTAAGTTTGAACTTGGGGTAAACCTTGAACAATAAAGGAAACCAGAGCCGCCATGATTTTTGCTAGGGCTGACTTGTCATGTTCCCCCTCCTTCTGTCGATTAACTCACCGCTAACCGCCACAATCTGCAGCAAGGCAGTTGAGGAAGTCTTTTGAGCCGATCTGTTCAGTGGGGGCTATTTGAATGATGTTGGCCGTCGATCACCAAAACAGAAGGTTGGTCTCTGTTTGAGTCATATATGAACCTCCAACAGGTGATACTGAAAAAAATAGTAGGCACCGGTAGTAAAGAAAATATTAACAGAGGAACAATTTTAGCAAGAAGAAAAAAAATATGGCAATTCTTATTGAAGACATTCACATACCCCATAATATTATTGCGTTCCCCGCTGTTAAGCTTCGCTTCCCCTTACGTTCCATGTCCGAATTTGCTATTTAATATCGAAATCTCGTTTGATGCACTTTGAATCCTTATGCCGGCCAGAGCGAGTGCATGAAACAATGCATGAACGGTTCTAGATGTGTTGATCAACCGCGTTTTCGAAAATTCCCGACCCCACAGAAACCACAGAAACCACAGAAACCACAGAGACCACAGTAAGCACTTGAGCCTCGCTTACCGACATGAATGATAAATGCCGCTTCAATGAGTCTGACATTAAGCTTTCAAAAAACTCCGACACGTGGCATGAGCGGGGGCAGTTTCCCGCTATGGGGACTTTGAATAGCGTCGAGGCTTGAATTAGACACGAGAAAGGTTGGATCTTTAGTCTAGTCAATAACGTTGGTTGCGCTGCATGGATACCTGCAGGATCCATTGTAGAAAGTCTCGCAGAGTTTAAAAGGTCATCACTAAATAATGTCATATTATTGAACTTACTGGGATAATACTAGTATTTTCATAGAATTGGCATTGCATCAAATTTAATTACATTGATCATGTAATCGGGTGTGTTGTTAACGATCAACAGTAATCATTTCGGTACAATGAAGATAATTGAAGAGAGCGGGGGGTATGAGAGAAGCAAAATGAATAAGTGAATATGAGAATTGTCATCTAAAGTCCAAGAATAATGATCCAATGGGGTTACAAGACGGGGTTATCATTTACTATGGGAGCCGATACAATAGCTGATGAAGAGTTATCCTCTGAAGCTCCTAGCCTTATCTGGTTAGAAAGTTCTATTGTTCTGGCACCTGGAGGGGCTAATACCTGCAAATAGCATTTCCTTGGGAGGTTAGAACACCCATTTGGGGCCGAACACGGCAAGTTCACGAGCTCTCCTTCAATCCTCGCCCACATGTAGGATTCTGGCCCCCATGATTCTCAAAAAGCCCATGATGGCCTGCATATTGATGCAAAATCCCAGATAATAAAAAATTCTGGATCTTCCGATCTTCCCCAGGAAACAATTTGAGCAAGGAAGTCCATATCACTCTTTACACTACGGTGCAGTCAATTAGACAGCCATGACAACACAATATTCTGTGGGCCGGATCAGCAAAGAAGCCTTCCTGGTATGTTTCTCACCACCATTAGCATCCTGCGTCTACAAGGCGTTTGTTTCGTCACTTGCTAACATAGCGCCTTAGGTCTCAGTCGGCTTATTTTTAGGACTTGCTATCATCGGCGTGATAGGGCGTTTTGTAGTCCGATTTGGTATCCAGAGGCATCGCGTCCAGATCGACGACGGACTTCTTACATTGGCCTTTGTCTTCGTCCTGACAAGCCAAGTTATCATCTACAGTAAAGTGGTCAACCCGATGTTCTTGATGGCTGCAGTGGAGAACATGGTTCCGGGCGTCCAGCCGCCTGTGGATGCGATCGAGATATCAGAAAATTACCACAGATGGACGGTGGCCTCTCTGATGATTAGCTGGTGCTCAATATCCGCCGTCAAGTTTTTCTTTCTCATGTTCTTCAAAAGGTTGATCGACCGTCTGCGCCCTTGGCAGATATATTGGTGGATCGTCTTCACTGTGAACCTGATTCTCTTGTCCTTCGGAATCACGGTTTACTACATCAGCTGTCCCTACTGGGGCGAACAAGCACGTATGTGATACTCTACCACCCCTTTTTCTATGACGTATCCACTAACAACGAAGTCTTCAGTACAATGCGCTACCGGGAAATACATGTCCAACCTCGTCCGATACTCCGCCGCTCAAATTTCTCTCGATATCGTGGGTGACCTTCTCAGTATGTCCAACCCTCCCGATCAGCTAATTTTACTGCCCAAAACCTCGTTATCGGCTAACAATCGTGTCTGAAAACTACAGTCTTGGTGATTCCCGTTGGCCTTATCTTGAAAATCAGGGTAGACTGGACTCAAAAACTTGCCTTGGGCAGCTCGCTTTGTCTGACCTTCGTCCTGGTCGCCCTATCCATCACCCGAGTCGCCGGCCTGAAGTACCACAAGCAAGTCGATCTTATTTGGGAAACATACTGGCAGTCCATGAGCGCCGAGCTAGGAGTCCTTCTAGCGGCAGCGAGTGCATTCCGAGCGTTCTTCGTTTCACAAAAGCAAAACAAGGCATACGTCCCGGCCTACGGCCAAAAGTTGAGAATATCTACAAATAAGGCATCTGTGGAGTCGGAGAAGAAGCCTGTGGAATTCTCTGATACATGGTGTACAGAGCCGACTCCTACTACTGCTGACGGCTTCGAGCATCTGCCCTTAGACGGAAGAAATTCCGGTCAACAGGGGGACCTTGAGTGGCATGATTTGATATCGCCGAGCTTTCTACATGATCCAAGCCCCGTGGACGATTTTGATTATGTTGAAAGGCCCAAGCCTGCACATCTTCCCGATGCTGTCTGAAAATCGTATTCTATGTTTTCTTTCCAAATGAGCTGTGGTCTTATACTTGCGTTAAGCACATATCTTTATTCTATCTGCATATTTTACATTGTTCCAGTCTAGTTGTTACTGTTTCTTTCTTTTCTTTTTATTTTCTCTTTGATACCAACATCGCGATCTCAGCATTGAAAGCTTCAACGGATTTTTGAATCAATACGATAATGACGTGCGTACGTAGTACATTATAATATTTCCATGAAAGAACCTGATATTGAAATCCACCCGTGCCTTAATCAAACCTCGGAATAATAAGGAATTACTCTCTGCAACTTCAAAAACTGTATTAATTTCTGTAATCATTGATAGTAAATTTAGAAATTGTGTACAGAACTGGCGAGGTCCGGATGGAATCACTATTCCGAGTCCGCATGTCCGCTGTGGGTGGAGCGATGAGAGGTATATAGAAAGAAGAAAATTGTTCAAGAAAATTGGCAAGTCCACATGATATGTACATATTCAACTAGTAAACAGGCCACTTCGCAAACCAGCGACGCAGGAAGGCAATCTTCTCTTCACTGGCGACGCTAACCGACTTCCAAGCATCACCAACCTGCATGATCTCAGCACTCTTAGCACTAGCCTCAGGCCAGTGAGGCAGACCATGCCCATTGGGATTTCCAGTGCTGATAAAGTTGACCCAGTAGTCGGACAACTTGTCGGCAATTTCATAATCCTCACTCGTCCAGGGCGAGTCCACAGCGTACAGGTTGTTAAGCGCGTAGTTCAGCTCACTACCATGGTAGGCACCCTTGTCCTGTCCAGGGGGCGCATGTGTCCACTGGTAGCTGTAGGTCTGGTAGGTCCCGTTACCAGATGTGTTGCGTGCAGAGCCAGCCAGGTACTCGCTTGCCCAAAGCCAAAGAGAGACCTTGTTCTGCTCCCGGTAGAATGTGTTGATCGCAGCGTCGGCGCTTTCATTCGTGCTGCCAGCAGGGTAGAGCTTGAAGTATTCCTCTGCGAGTCCGACACTGCCGAACTCGTATTGGCTCTGTGCCTTGTAGCTTGCGACGGTAAATCCGGGGCTGGGGGTTGCGCCGGCTTCGTCGAGGTTACCTCCAGTGAGGACGGGGGCGGTGGTGTGGTTTCCGCGGATAAGCATCTCCTCGTAGGTTGCAGGGAGAACGTATCCGTCCAGGACGGGTCGGAAGAGCGGAGGCTCGATGTAGGCCGAGTTGTTGGCAAAAACGGTGTTCTGGAAGGTGACGTCGTTCAGGTTGGCGCTGTTCAGGAACAATTCAACTGAAGCGTTGCGGGCCTGTGAGATGTTTTGGAGGCCGAGGCTGGAAAGGTAGGATACACCTTGCTTCTCTGCTTCGCCCAATTGACGGTAGCTCTGGGCAAGGCTGCCAATCATGGGGTTGGAAGGGTAAACGGCACCACTCTCGGCAATGACCTGCTCGAATAGATCGTCGGCCAGCTCACTGTTGAGATGATCGAGCACGGAGGCAGCGCCTGTGGACTGTCCACCGATAGTAATTCGTTTGTAATCACCTCCGAAAGAGGCGATGTTCTCATTTGTCCAATGCAAAGCGGCTTGTTGATCAACCAGACCGTAGTTACCAGAGCTTCCACTTCCAGAGGTGGCGCTCAGCTCCGGGTGCGACAAGAAGCCCAATGCGCCGAGACGGTAGTTGACAGTCACGACAACGACACCCTTGGCAGCAAGTCCAGCGCCGTCAAAAGTGGGCTGGATTGCAGAGCCAGTACCGAACCGTCCACCGTGGAAGAAGACATACACGGGCATAGCCTCGGATGAGTTAGCCGGAATATAACCAATGCCGGTTTCAGTATTGTTCTTCACATTGGTGAAGTTGACGGTATCAGGAGTCCAGATATTAAGGAAAAGACAATCTTCACTGTAGTTGTCAATGCCGGGCTGAGGGCATTCCGGGCCGAAGTATGTTGCATCACGAATTCCGGTCCAGCTAGAAACGTGCGCCGGGTGTTTCCAGCGCAAGTCGCCCGTTGGAGCCGAGGCGAATGGAACCCGCTTGAAGTTGTAGACGGAGTTGATGTACTCCGATCTGTTGCCTTGGATAGTACTTGAGAGTGTGTCGATGTACACGGTCGGCGACTCGGCAGAGGATACGGCGGAGCTTGATCGGCTTCCGAGGCTGGTCTTGGTGCCGGCCACTCGGCCTTGCACAGCACCAGCGACAGCCAGGCCGAGGAAGAGGATTCTCATTGCCATTGGTGCGAGGCTATGTAAAAAAAATGTCACTTCTGATCAGTCAAATGCATGTTTCCGCCTTCCCTTTTATAATTGCCGATCTTCAAACCCTCGGGGATAATTCCTGCAAGGGTATACCAATGGTGACAACATTCATTGGTGACGCGGACTTTGTATACCCCGCACGATGTTTCCACATTGAGCTGCAGATCAGAGCTGGAACCCCTGGGACATCGATGCAGGGCCCACTCAACCAAAACAATTCCTTGCCTTCGTCATTGCTTGATTACGAACACAACGAAACGACGGCTCTTCAAGGTGTCATACCTTTGACTGTAGAGCGGAAGGCTGGTGAGAGTTTTTGAGCCTGAAAAACTCCATCTTTGGCTATAGTTCCTCTGGATCGGGCATATCGTACTAGTTTGACTGTACTGAAATGCGCCGTTTTGCGTTTTGCGCTTTGCGTTTTGCGGCTTAATTACCAGGTTTAGCCCATGTAATGGTTACTAGTATTCATTTCAAATGTTTGTCTAGCGGTTTTCGTTTTGCCTTTTGTTTCGGAATATCGCGCGGAGCCTATATGTTCACGAACAATATTTAATTCGCGTTTAACGCAAACATTGAATACGAAAAACATTGATACGCCATAAATACACCCATTTTAAGGCGCAACAGTTTGAGTAGCTCAGTTCAATTCCAGACTTGAAGACCTCCCGCAACATTCCAGAATAATGCTCATTTTGCTTGTTCTTTTGGTTGCGGACGGACCCGACGAATCGCACTAGTTGATGCAAATCCTTGAAGTCTGCAGTACCTTGCATCGTATCTCCGGACGTCCGGTAACCTGCGTCTGGTCAACGTGAGCTATTCCAATCGGGATGACTTGCCATTGATTGGTCGAACCTTCATGCAGGAAATATTGTACAGTATGTACCCTCGGAGGATATATCTTTTCCGACGCCAAGAATATCTTTCGTATACGCGATCGGCGGAGTAAGATGAGCTTGTTACGTCCAAAGGATGGGCCTTCTCCGGCGCCAAGACTTGCTAAGTCTACGGGATCGTCCACCGTGAAATGAAGGCGCGAATCTTCCCAAACAAGTATTCGGGGCCGGGAAAAAAACTGGACCGTTAACCGTGCCCATATTGACAATCGATGTTTCGAGTGGGTGAATTCGTGGACCTTGCAAAGCTTGACTTGCAGCTTATGGTTACCTCCACAAAAAAAAACATTTGAAAGGATCCTCGTTCATTGGCCAATTGCTAAACTTCAATATCCTTTCAATCAATTCTTCAGCACCCACTTCGCCCTTCACGGAGAAGTGTCGAATATAGATTAGTGCCACAGCGTTCCCTTGGTTTTTTTTTTTTTTTTGTTCTTGCAGGGTTCAGTCTCGGGAATAACTAGTCCATTGCTAGTTAGTTTCCATAAGCCACTTCCAATCTGCTCAGGAATTTTAATATCGAGGAGTGGCATGTGGCGCTTCGACCCCTCTCCCGAGGTGCTCCCGATGTGGGGGTTGGGGCGTGTATAGAAATCACTCACGTCTTTGGTTTCGTTAACGGGCAAATCTTTTCCCGATTGTTGCAATCATGAATCCTGAAATTCTGCAAGTCAGAAAGCCACAGACGGAGACGGACGGAGTCATCCAAAGCAGCGTCATTTCTGAAGATCACATCTTCCAAGGTTTTGTAGTGCCCTACACATCATGTGTCCCCACTTTTGGTGGGCTTCCAGTGGGACCGTTGCGAACCCCGTCCCCTTTCTGCAACTTAATCCTTCATGAGATGCAATTCTCTTGGGTTCGGAAGATATGCAGACGACTTGCAACACGGTCGCATTATTTGGATTATAGGGAATGCGCTCAATTCTGTTATACGCCGATTCCCCTTGTCCTGGCCATCCTCTTCTGTAGCTCTAGGTAAATTGCCACGAAACCATCCTGGAGATATTGCTGCCGTTGGAGACGGAGATCTGTCTAGAATCATGGGGCAAGGTCCACTTCAAACAAGGTCTCCAACTCTTTCGGGTCAAAACGGTGGCGCCGTGGATGAGAGGGGCGGTGGATCTGAGAATTTCTAATGCCCGAAGCACGGATGGCAGCGTTTGAAAACGTCAAATTCGAGACCAAAACGGCTTCGTGTGCAAGCTTGAAGATCTCGATAGGTGAGTTGCGCGTCAGCAAGCTGTGGTCATGTCAACGCCACGATATTCCAGGAAAAATGGGAAAAAGTGCGATCGCGATCGTGAAGTCAGGCTCGAGGTGCCTAGGTCCATTACTGCTCTCCTCAACAACTGAATTAGTACAGTTGCAAATTGATTGTCATTCAGCTTCGGTGTTTTGGGGATCGGCATTCTTGAAACATGTCTTTGGACGTTGTATCGATGGAGCAAAATAGTAATTTCATCAGATGAAGGCGATCATGAACACACTGGACACAGATTTTGGCCAAAAAGGGCACTGGGGACAGTGAACAGGGGAGAAAGGTAGTCAATCGTTGAAACATTTGAAGGAAAGAAGAGCGCGGAAGGGAAGACGTCGGGACGGGGAGAAATAAATGCAGCATCAGATCATAGTATGGCATGATGCCTGACGCAAATATCCCCTTCCCCCACCTCGATCACCTCTAATTGCATGACTTGTCAATGGGAAGTTTTGCTCAAAATGGACTTGGCAACCTTGGAAACGATGTTTCGGCGCTGACGGCTCTAGGGGTACACAAGGATAAAGTAATGGCTTGAATGCATTTGCACTGTATTTACAAAGGTTGAAGTCAACGGCATTCAAGTCATGAGATGCCTCCTGTGGAGACACGGAGGAAAACAATCAAGCCATTTTGGCCTCCAACTCCTTTACCGATCTCTTTTCTTTCTCAACTCCCTGTCTTCGCTGTGCAACATCGCATAAATCGATATTCCCACACTCACACTCACCCTCCCTAACCCACCGATAAGTAATACTCCAACGATCCTCCCGCGGCCTAACCGTCCCATCCAACAGGGTATCATTCTTGCGCTTCTTAATTCCATGAGTCCAATGCAATCTTGAATCCCCGGTCATCTGCATCATACTCCGCGGCTTCAAGTCAACATCAACGCGGTGCTCGCCTTTGCGAAATTGCATGATTGCCGGCGCACCAAGAGACAGGGCATAGAGTTGGTCATATGCCATGTGCGCATCGGTATGGGGCGGAATACCAGCACCCGGGGGATAGTATTGGAGACAGACCTGCTCTGGCGGGCGGGATTCTGTAGTCGGGATGAGTGGTTGGAGCCATTCTGGGAATTCTTTATATGGGATGTCGGGGTCAATCCCGAATGTTTTATAGTCGAATGTGTAGCCGTAGTGGAGTGATATGCGGCCTGGCCGATCGGGCCATTTTAATTCGTTGCGGAAGATTGTGACGAGGCGTTGCTCGTGCTCCGCGTTGATAAAGTCATCCTGCCACAGGATCCCACTGGGTTCGATGGGCAATTCTTCCATCTTGGTACTTGCTTGCTCCTCTTTCTTGGAACTTGGCAGAAGCTTTGGACAATAGGCTTTCAAAAGTGAAAGCCGGGGAAGATACGCGATGGCCCGTGATGAGCGGGACTTTGGGGTTCTTCTTCTTTCGCAGATTTCGCAGATTTGGCCAAATTCGCGAAAATTCGTTGATCTTGGCGATTTGCGAGTTTTGCCTTATCGCCTTCCCGCCTTTATTTTCTCGGTAACTGGATTGGCCAGTTGGCTACCTTTGGCTGCAGATTTCAAATGTTCCTCATAGATCACTTAAAAATCAATTGATGTAATAGGTGATAGTTTTATCAATACATTCCCTAACATTTGAAGAGATAGATTCTGTCCAGGATTGTTTGAAGTGAAATAAATTAAGAGTTCAAAAAATCATACTTTTTGGGGAGTTTTTTTAGAATTGTTGAAATTAATTATATTGGTTGTTTATATAGTACGTTCATCATGCATGGTGAATGCTGTTGAATATTCACCTGTTAAGCTTTAAGCTTGGGTATCATCATCATGTACTTTAGTCGGTACATCATCGACAGTAACTACCACTTCATGGCTGTGGTCAAGTTCAGAAAGAACCATCCAGGTAGGCACAATGCACAGCATCGTGATACCGAAATTAAGACCGATGCTAACGAAGTGATTGGCATTTCCCTCGGATTGCATACTGTAATTTGGTTAGATCATTTCTTTGAAACATTCAAAAGCTGAACGGGGAAGACTTACGCCCAGGCAACTGTCTGTCCCAGAGCTTCGAATCCACGCAGAATTCCGCAGTGGTACGATAAGGACGAGATATCAGTGCTGTATTGGCCCACGAGCCAGTAAAGATATTGCTGGAAGGCCTGGCCTCCGAAAGTCCAGAAAAAGACAAGAGCGTACGACTTTCCAAACCCTCCAGTGAACCAATCGAAGACAGGTGTTGTCGGCGCGTTATAGAACTGGTTCTGCAGAATGCAAGCCCAAATCCAAGTGCCGGCCAGGATAATCACAATAGCCAAGAAGCCAGCCTTGGCACGAGTCTTGATGTTGATGGATTGACGGTCGAGCAGAGTCGCAATCAAGAAGGAAGAAGCAATACCGGCAAAGTTGGTGAAGAAGGACGAGAAAGCGCGGGATCGGACGGTGAAGTAGTCGGTCAACCAGGTGCTCAGGAACGCGTTGTAAAAGTAGCTGATGAAGAATGCTGGAAGAAGCAGAAGGACACGGCGTGTGGCAATCAACTTCAGGGCTGCCTTGAATTCGGCGCCCCAGGTAGCTTGCTTGTGCACCAAGACCAAAGTGCGGTCCTTGCGCTGCACTTTCTCAGCGGGGCTCAGACAGAGCGCGATGGGAAGTCCAAGACACATAATCACGACAAACACGATATAAGTTCCTGAGCTGATCGTTCCCTGCGACGAGTTCTTGGCGTTGAGGCCAAGACTGATCGCACCACCAATGATTGGGCCAGCGGCCTTGGCAGTTTGCCAGATAGCTATTTAAGAGATGTTAGATGATCGTAGTCCCCCATTGATTTGTGATTTCCAAATACCCAGTCACGTACCAAGGTAGAAAGCACGATCTTTAGGGCTTGGGTATCCAATGATAATAGCAGCCTCAGCAGCCCAGAAGAAACCCGCCGAGATACCACAGAGTGCGCTACCGAATAGCATAAACCACGTTGTCGGAGAAACATTGTTGGTGTAGAGACCAGCGCCGTAGATGGGGTAACCAATAGCTCCAATAACCAAACCGAATCGAAGACCGATACGGTTGTTGATAGCTCCGGCCAAGACACAGACGATAGCGAACAAGCCGTAGACCAAAGCGTTGGCAGCCGAAACAGCGTAAGGCTCTGCAGCACCACCAGCTCCAAGGTTGTTCATGGCATCCCACATACCAGGGGCCGTGAAAGAGACACCACTAGCGATGGCGATCTGGAAGGGGATCGACCGATAGATAGATCGAGCAGACCAGGACCGAGCGGTATTATCCGCGTGCTCCACGACATGCTGCTCACTTTGAGAAGCGACCTCGGTGTTCGAGGAGATGGACGCCATTATGGTAGTGGAATCGAACCACGTCTGCAGTTCTCTCAACACCAGGGACGATAATCTGTAAGAGGTTACAAACTGGAAAAACAAACGAAGCTCTCTTCATGAGCAAGAGAATTTTACATAAGATTCTCAGTGGAGAATTGCGTGAAATTGCGTGATTGGTCTTGGAAAAATCGCACATGGTTGACGGAACGCCAAGGCGCTTGGAGAGGGCTAGATGTGCTTGGGGGTGTTTCTGTTTGCTAATTGCAACGGGAATCTTTTCCAAATTTGCTTAGAAATCCCACTCCCCCAAGACTTTTTCCTCAAGCGCTGTGGGTTTCTCCAGTGGATTCGAAATAGCTATAGCCCATGGTGCATATATTCGGCAGCTGTATAAGTTTTAATCATAGTCAAATAACACATTCTCGTGAGTCTTCAGCAGACACAAGAGGCAAATAAGCTCAAAACCTGTAGCCGAGAATGGTAAAGCGTGGGTGGTGGGGCATAAAAATTTCTGATGGATTTTTACGACCAACCAGGGTTCCCAATTGCCACGCGACAACTTTCCTAATCTTCAAACCACCTTCTATTCCAGGATGCCAAAATCTGACTGGTAAATGGCCATGAAAAATTAAGTTCAGAATCAAGCTCGGAGCGTGCAGACCTGACCATCTACTCCAATGGTTTTGCGGCTGTTGGATAATGAAAGGGCTGATGGCATTCGACAAGAGCGAACACGACTGGCCATGACTTTGCTTCCAATCTCGTACCTGCCGGGATGCCGTTGGGCTAGAACTTTCTGAAGTCTCGGGAAGCCGGGCCCGTTATCATTGGCCATTAAAGCGGGCATACCCAAGTCTAAACTCCAGACTTTCAACCTAAGTAATCCAGCCACTCATAGCCATATTCTTTGTCGCCGACCGTACAAAATACCGCGTATTCTTAGGTCTAGTAAATGATCAGAGATGTGAGTCAAATGCAAATTTTCTTGTCGACAAGATATGCCTGAAATTCATTTCAAAGAATAACGTTTATGGTTAAAAGCAAATATGAACAAGGATCGAAACCATCGTCAAATGACCGGTATCAGATTAAGAAGTGGGAATCTGTGTAGGGAACAATCTTCGCTTCCCCAATAAGTCCCGTATCAACATTCGGTGGGAGAGTGGTCAGATCACTCCGTTTCTTTCAGAGGTCATAGGCAGCGGTGATAGAATAGATAGATCATGGGCCTAACCAAAACTTCTCCGCTACCACAATAAAGGCACTCCGTACTCAGTACAGAGTATTAGCCCCAATTTAGAAAGGAGTATGGAGTTGTGCTCCACATGCGTTAGAGCTTATTAAGAAGGTGGAAATTCGACAATGGAACCCCTTGAATACCTTCAGCATCAAGAACCGTGGACCCTGTGATGTCACGTGTAGTTTGATGCATGTCAACACGCGTCGCGTCTGCCGATCACTTTTAGCGTCATAATGTGTCTCAAAATGCACCTTCAGCAAAATAACCGATCCGCTAACAAGAGGCAAAGTGGAAGTTTCTCTGATCAGTATGCTGCCAGTTGCACGTCACGGGGAGTCGCAAAAGCAAGCCCCGATGGTTTGAAATCTTCGAGAACAAGAAACATGCGATCGGCTAATTAATATCAGAGGTTACATTCAACGTGCATGATGCGGATAAATGTGTCCCGCAATATGAATGGCGCTCTTTGAGGGGTTCTGGAACATGGTGAAGTCAAGGTGAATCGTTCCAAGTTATCCGGGGTTGCAGTCTCCTCATGGGATATGCACATGTGCATAACCTATGCTCCCCGGAGGTTCCAAGGATCTTCTGATGATTGCGGGGAAATACATGGATGGCTTCTTTCTTGCCCACTGCGTTCGGATAATGTGAAATGGAATTTTCCGCCATCAGGGTCCTTGTATAAATCCAAGATTCTTTTGGCTTTCCAGCTCCCCAGTCCCCCTCCATGGATTTGGCCACCAACCCAAGATATTAACAAAAAATGTATGTCAGAACAGCGATACTGGTCACTGCGATATGTGATTCAGCAACAGCAAAATGGCTTTGGTCAAGCTCCCCAGCTGCCACTTCCGATGTGATTCAGCAAGCTTATCCACTGGGAAACGGACGATTGGGATTGATGCCCGCCGGAGAACCCGGATCGGAATCAATAAACATCAACCTAGACAGTCTTTGGGCTGGCGGGCCGTTTGAGAACGCGACTTATTCCGGGGGCAATCCAGCGAGCGACAGATCCCACTTCTTGCCTGCCATACGCGAGGAGATATTTCGAAATGGCACGGGAAACGTTGATCAGCTTCTTGGTGAAATTTATTCATATGGCTCCTACACCCCGCTCGCGAACTTCACGGTCGAAATCGATGGCCTAGAGAGTTATTCTTCATATTTCCGGGGACTGGATCTCCAAACTGGTGTTCATTCAGTACGCTTTTCAAACAGTGCTCAGAGATTCAATACCTCGATATTTTGCTCCCAGCCAGACGATGTTTGTGTTTACCATATTGCTTCCGAATCGCCTCTCCCTGCAATCAAATTTGGTCTAAGGAATAATTACCTGAACTCCACATTGATTGACACGACATGTATCGGCGATCAGCTTCAATTGACTGGTCATTTGGCTCAGCCAGGCATGCAATTCATTGGAATATCTCAAGCACTACAGAGCACCACCGTGAAGTGCAACAATGGGTCACTTATACTTCCAGAAGGTTCAGGCAGCACAGAAGTCACGATTGTCTTTGGAGCTGGATCAAACTACGATCAGACTCATGGAAACAAGGCATCTGGTTTCTCTTTTCAAGGAGTAGACCCGACTTCCACTGTACAAAAAACTGTCTCGACTGCGGCCTCGATCTCATTTGAAGATATCCTTGCACGTCATGTTCAAGACCACCAAAATCTTTTCAGCTCGTTCTACCTTGATCTACCGGATACATCAAACTCCAGCGAAATTGAAACCGCACAGGTTATCGCGCGCTATAACCTCACCACCGGGGACCCCTGGTTGGAGTCCTTGCTTGTTGATTATGGACGATATATGCTTATCGCATCATCGCGCGAAAATTCACTCCCCGCGAACCTCCAAGGGAGATGGGCGGCAGACCAAGATCCTGCGTGGAGTGCAGACTACCATGCCGATATCAACATACAAATGAATTACTGGGCAGCACCACAGGTTGGACTGGGGTCCCTCCAACAATGTCTCTGGGACTTTATAGAACAAACTTGGGTCCCTTACGGCGAAGAAACTGCAAATCTGCTTTACGGAGCACCCGACGGGTCCTGGGTAATTCATGACGAGATCAACACCTTTGGCTATACGGCAATGAAAAACGAAGCTGTCTGGGCCGATTTTCCCCTTGCAGCCACCTGGATGGCGCTCCATATTCCGAATTGGCTTGACTACTCCAATGATGCGACCTGGTATCGCACCCAAGGTTATCCCTTGCTCAAAGGAACTGCCTTGTTCTGGTTATCACAATTGCAAAAGGACCTCTATTTTAACGACGACACGTTGGTGGTGAACCCATGCAACTCACCAGAACATGGGCCCACGACCTTCGGATGCTCGATGTACCAGCAGCAAATATGGGAGCTTTTTGATCGCATTCTAGCGACATGGTCTGACAGCGGTGATGATGACCATGAGTTCTACCAGAGTGTCGTGCAGGCCATGGCTCACTTGGACCGAGGAATCCACATCGGATCTTGGGGCCAGCTACAGGAATGGAAAATGGATATCGACGTCGAGAACGACACTCATCGCCATTTAAGTGGTCTCGTCGGTTGGTATCCCGGGTATAGTGTCGCGATCGAGGAAAGCAATAAGACTGTAGCAGACGCTGTTGAGACAATGCTGTGGTCTCGAGGAGATGGAGATACGGACGAGACAAATGCCGGATGGTCAAAGGTGTGGAGATCGGCGTGCTGGGCTCGGCTCAATAACACAGAGGAAGCAAATTTTGAGCTGCGTTTCGCCATTGAGCAGAACATAGCAGCGAATGGCCTCTCGATGTATTCTGGCCATGATACTCCTTTCCAGATTGATGCGAATTTCGGTCTCGTGGCCGCTGTTGTCGAGATACTGATTCAAGATTTGCCACAAGCTCATGGGGACCAGAGTATTCATACTGTGGTTTTAGGCCCAGCGATACCTTCTTCTTGGGGAGGGGGCTCTGTATCTGGGTTGCAGCTACGTGGTGGAGGGCGAGTGGACTTTTCTTGGGACGCCGATGGAATTGTGCAAAAAGCCATTGCAATTGGTCGCGAAAAGGCGCTCAAACTGGTGAACGTGCGGGGGGCTGAGATAGGGAGTTGAGATCTGGTCAATTCGTGAAGCTCTATATGTAGCTTACATCAATACTATAACATGTCACGCGTGTAGTTTCAGCAGGGCCCCGAGCGCAATAATGTATTGTAACTCGGAAAAATCAATTAAATTCGTTATTTATGTTCAAAGTGGTTGTGGGAGCCCGGCGAATCCAAGGTTTCACATTATAGCTTCGCTGCCGGCTGCAACAGATGTCTCATCTCGGAGTTCGGGTATTCCACATTCTCAGATGAATCAGGTCGCTGTCGATCCCAAGCCCACTTTTCTACCAATTCAGGCTCCAACTCATTCTCAAGCATCTGTGTAACATACTTCCCAAGCACGGGGAAGAACTTATACCCGTGGAAAGAACCACATGTCGCAACGTAAAGTCCCCGGGAGGCGGAATGAGGGGAAATGATAAAGTCAGATGTGGTGGTGAAAGCGTCCCTGTGAATCGTCAGATTATCTCTCTTGACTACGGCTCAGTCTTGTCAACGAGAATAACTCACCAGCAGATTCGGTGCTTCGTCATCTTCCAATCGGCACTCTGAGGTCCATACCACAGATTCCTGGCCTCAATGATGTCCTGCTTGAGGGGTCCTGGAACCTTCCACTGGTTGTAGTCGAATGTGGGCGGAGGAGAAGAGATGGAACGGCCAGGTAGTACTTCGCGAGTATTTGTGAAAATCTTGGATCCCCACCACTTGAGCTCTTTATCCGGGGTAGGAGGAAGAGTACCAATAAACGGCTTGCCTGTTCATAATTAGCGACATGCGTGCAAATCCAGAGTAGAAAAAATACGTACCCTCTTCTGGTGTGTAGCCTTGAAAGCCAACAGGCATGTCCTTGTACTTCTCATACTGCTCATCGTTCAGCTGTGCCATTCCGGTGGTAATACCAGCGGCCAAAATGCGTTCACCAGCCCGCAGGCCAGGATTGCCACTTGTAGCAGCACTCCACTCCAGCAATGTAGGCGTGAAAGCTCCCGCAGCAACGACCGTATGAGTAGCCGATAGCACCTCTCCAGATTTTGTCTTCAGTCCGGTACAAGAGCCGCGGCCATCAAACTCCAGATTGGCAACTTCAGCCGTCACATACTTCACGCCCAGTTCCAGACACCGTTTTGTGACGGCGCGAAGCGCATCGCCGGCAGCGGCCCAGCCACTAGCCCTGTTGATAAGAACCTCCTTAACCCCGGTGTAGTCTGCATTGTCGAAAATGCCGCCGTAAAGCTTTCGGGCCTCGGCGACGGGCAACGCAATGATATCGTCGGTACGACCAAGCTCTTTGTGGTTGGTGATGACATTTTGTGCGTAGTCGCTGCGGCAATTCCAGTAAACGCCTGTTTGGTGGAAGTGCGGTTGCCACAGAGGATCGGATTTAAAAATATCTTGAGCTTCAAGCGCTAGTTTGCAGTAGACTTTGTCATCGTAGTCGGCGCGAACCACTTTGTTCCAATCCCATGATGCTGCGACGCGAGAGTCGGCGTCGTATGCATCACGGTCCACCAAAGTGACGGACGTATTAGGGTATTTCTGGATGAGATGGAAAGCGGTCGATACGCCAAATACACCGGCGCCGATGATGAGGTACGAAGGGTTGGTTGAGGCCATGTTTGTAAGGACCTGGATTTTTTTTCTCTTTGCGTGAGCAAATGAGTCTCCACAGGTGTCAATTGGAAGCCGGCCCCTTTTGACTTGGCAACAGTGAGAGTAGATAAATAGGTCTATGCGAACAGCTCCCCACGTTGTATTTACAATTGCTTGGAGCGGAGTGGCGCCTTATCTGTAGGCTGTGAGTCTCAAGTCTCGCGTTTATCTTTATCGGAGTCGGCTCCGGTCTCGGGTGGGGTTTCCCGCGGAGCCGATCACGTGGGGCTATAAAAAGATCAAGACTGTACTACTCTGTGCACAGTATACTCCAAAGAGTCCAATTGGGTCTTTTCATAGATTATTTCGCTCTGTGAAAGCGAACTCACTCCTGTTCCTGCCAGAATGATTAAATACTTTAGGCAAAAGCCGAGATCGACATCCTGCAACGCCTTTACATATCGGGTTAACTCCGGGAGAGAAGCCCGTGCCTGCCGTGCGGGGTAGCAATGCCGAAGGCGGCAGCGCTTCCGGCGTGCGTGCGGGGAGAAACCAGTGCCAATTCACCACACCAAATAGAAATGGATCAACATTCAGAAAGATCTCGGGAAAACACATTAAGGTATTTTTAGATTGGGCAATTTCCTAGTACGCAAGCCCGTGAGCTAGTGGTGTCCAGCGGTACAAAGACAGTAGCTCTCTGCGTCGAGCTTTGTGTTCATCCCACAAATGAGGACCAGCCTGCTGAGCGTCGTACAGCATTGATCTAAAAACCTTTCGGAAGTTTTTCTGTGATATAATTAGTCCGAGGCCTTGTATCATGATCTGCGAAAGGGGGCCGCCATACCTGAAATGTTGTGTCCAAGGTAACTACGCTCACTTCATGGGCGCGAATAATGGTTTCACAGACTTCCTCAACCGATCGATTGGGACCAAGCTCCGGCATACGATCAACGAAGAGAAGTAATATGAAGCTTCCCTGGAGGAGATATATGCCGAACAGATAAGGCATGAAGAGTAATTCCGGATCCAGAGTCAAGATCTGCGAGACCACACCGGTTGCACTTAATGCATGAGAGGCACACGTCAAAAAACTTTCGGAGGTGATCCAGTCATCTTTGTCTTCAATCATTGAGATTGGATCCCATTTGCCGTGGAGCAGAATATGGAATACATGTAAGAGATAGGTGCTGTAGATCCGGACCAACTGTAATTTGGTTCTCATTGGATTGGTAACATGGGGAGAAGTTTCAGTAAATGACTCATTGGTTTGGTTCTCAAGTACACTCAAGTCTTGCTCTTGAGAAGATATCATGGATTCGATATGGTGAAAAGCCCCCGGTGGGATATGGCTTCCCATGGTCGGGTGGCTGCGATAATGATGCAAGTCGATGATATGCCCTAGGACCGTTGCCAACGGTAAAAAGTACTCGAAGAATCCGCAACCTGAGATATGAACCGGTGGACCGAGCGGACATGTTGGAATATAGCTCAAATCAGCGGTGTCAAGAGATTGCCACACTTTCTCTGGCAATGGCGTTCTGACACAAAAAGTACCTTCGGGAAGGCTCAGTCGCGTATTGAAGGATAATGCCAAGTGTCGATCTAAAGAGTAGATCAACCAGAAAAGCCGTCGGCGTTCTTCTTTTGAGATAAGCCATCGCCTGAATGTGGCATCTCCGTTGTAGAGCCCGCAAAACACAGGACCAAGGTCAATATCCTGATCCTCCATACTCAGGCCACTTGCACGAACAAGCCTGAAAAGCTTGTCTTTCCATTTCAATGAATCTGCCTTGTAGTGACCTCCTGAGATTGTCAATGTCAATATAGTGACAGCCAGGATGATATCTGTCGATCCTAGTTGTTTTGGCAGTAATGCCTTCCCGGGCACCTGGCGATTCGGAGTCGAATTTATATTGGTGAGTGAGCTACTATTAGTGGAATGGGAATGAAATTGCCATCCATCTGAGTAGTTAGAACATCGTTCAAATTGACGCGGTAAATTTCGAAATGAACTTACCGGAAGTGCGAAAATAATTGTCTTGATCTTCCGATTGAAGCAAATCCAATGAAAGGCGATAGAGATCTATGCTTGTACGCTCTCGAGCACCCGGTGTGTCGAATATATTCATATCTGCCGTTTGTGAGACACAAAAAAGGATCACCACAAGAAGAGCAGGGGACATCGGACGTGCATCATGCTCTTTTAGGACAGTTGATGGATGAAGTATATGCGCCAGCATGTATGGCGATGTTGATTTGTAAACCGGGCTAGAGCTTTCACTAAAGTAGATCTCTAGCATCTCTGATGCTTCCTCTGCAGAAAGCACCCCCTGCAAAGATGGCAATACTGCATCTAAACAAGAGTAGGATCTTTTCGTTGGAAAATCATTAGGAATGCCAGGGACTTCGTCATATTTGGGCTGTTGGAAGGCTTTTTGAGGGCTGCTGGGACTCATGGACATCTTCAAAACATGTTAGAAAGTCTCTCGTTGACCAAACATTTGAAGAAGAGATTTGTTACTTGACTGGGTGAGATCTCGTTTCCATCCGAGTCCAGCGCAGTGCTGCTTGACGATCCCTGAAATAATTCATGGAGAATCTCCCGCTGTGGTGAGAATGACGAGCTGGTAACATTGACACCTGTAGGGCTCTTGAGAACTTCAGCTATGATACTTGTAGACTCTTCAATTGTGTATTTTCGTCGATCGGGAGGAGCCATGCAGACTGAAGTGTCGGGAAGTGATGCGCTACTTGAAGTTACCGTCTCCAGGGGGCTTCGGTTCATGTCATCATGTGGATCATGCTCAAGTGAGTTACGTGTTTCAGTGCGCAAAGAACGGATCGAATCCGACCGAGGTGGACGCCCACGTTTCCGGAGTTCCTTGGTGTAGTGGCAGGATTCAACGCGCTCTAGATTTCTGTTTAGAACGCCGGTAATTCTCATCCAAACTTTCCAAATTTCATGCTGTACCTGAACATCTTCGGCTTTTAAGCGACGCGATTAGACTCAGCACGGGCCTCTTGCTCCTTGCAGGGAGTCAGGACTCAGGAGTTAGGGACACTCACCATGGTCGCTGACCATCGCAACGCTGTTTTGAATGCGTACATGAATCACAGGCTCGTAAAACTCGCGTTTGACGTCGGTGCGACATATCGAATTAAGGCTTCTGAATTTTATGTCAGACCATGATACTGCGGGGAAACCTTGGAAGGGGAAAATAAGAATCGCGTGGTTGCGGAGACGGACGTTGTGGGGAAGCGGAGACCAAAGCTCAATTTCCGGGTGCCGCAAATGACTGGACGAACTCTCTCGGTTAGTATCTCCGACTTGGTACATATGGATGCAGTATTTCAACATTTGAATCTTTATATTGCAGTCTCTGATCTTAGCTTATGGAACATTGAATAAATACATTGCAAATGTCAACTGACAATGCTCGACACCTATGTATATTCAATGTTTGTATCCAACATGTACATAGTCTATTTATCGACACCCAGCCTCAGACCTGGGAAACCCATGGACGTATTCCAGTATCCCGGCCTTGAACATCCATCTGGGGCTTCAAGCCTTGGAAGTCATTTGCTCAAGGTCAACTCGATACCAAAAAAAAAAAAAAAAACTCCAAGCTGGTCTAGTATTGCCAGGAGTTAACCTTGGAATCAGAGCTTATGTTTCACAGGACGCTTGTTGGCCACATCCCAGTCATCACCTGGGCTGGGGAAACTATAGTTGTGCCACGGCCCCAAAATTTTCTGCACCATGACACACATGTTATTGCATTCATTTATCCCTTCCGCTTCAGGTCTTCCAGTGGGCGTTGGTTGAATCGCCCAGAGCCATCTTGAAGCATCTTGTTCTGACTTCCGGAGAACCTTTTCCGCTGACGCAAGATTTTCTTCCAGTTCTGCAACAGAAGTTATTCCCATGATAGTCGTGACTCGTAACGACTTTGACGATTCCACCTGCGCTCGGCGGATAGCATATTGCAGCGCCAATGCTGCGAGCGACTCTCCTCGAGTGTTAACATACTCAGATGCCGCCTGGGCAGCTTTGCGTAAGCCCGGTGGCGCAGGGTGGAAATCACCCAAGTCCCCAACAGGGACTCCGTTGTCCCGGAGAAGACCAATCGCCAATGGACTCGAGCTACACACACATGAGACGCCCGCCTCTTTGAAGGCGGCAAGTCCTTCATGGGCTAGTCGGTCATTTTGAAGTGTCAACTGCGCCCAGTTTTGTATGATATCCAAAGGGCGACCGTATTGAGCTTGAATGCGATGGGCGAGGCGAGCGAGAATGTCGATTCTGTATCCCGAGATGCCGATGTATCGGATGTGGCCTTCGTGGACCATGTCGATCAAGACCCCCACGGCCTGGAGGACTTCATCCTCGGGAACAAATTCAACATCATGGCAGAATACAACGTCCAGATAACTTGTCTGAAGGCGCTTCAAGGATCGGAGTACCGAGGATCGTATCCAGGCGGGCGAATAATCGAACTGATTGGCGCTGATACGTCCAGCCTTGGTCATCAAGAAGTATTGATCGCGCGAGTAGTGGCTCGTGATTTCTGGGTGAGCTAACGCTGCACCAAGGAGTATTTCTGAAGGGTGGTAATATGCGGATGTGTCGATTGCTCGCAATCCAAGTTGAAATGCGCGTTTGAGAACATCCAGCGCTTGGGTTGGATTTGGATTGTGTATTAGTTGGTGACTAAACCCTGCACCGCCCAGCACAAGCGGTGGAAGTATCTGTGATAGCGGCGTCAATGGCTTAGGAGCGCTCATTTTGAGTTAAACAACACGATGTCCAAGATGGAGGAACGCTGGAATCGTTTTTTTTCAATTTTCCTTCTCCATCTCTTCACCCCACCGATAACCAGCAAAGCCCAAATCGACACACATTAGGATTATCCTTGGCCAACGAAACCGGGCCCTGAGCTTACACAGAAATCCCCGAGATAATTACCCGACGGGGAAAATATGATTGGCTCCCGCAGTGGCTGCCGATCATCTCCAATTATGCACGTTGAGCAACTTGAGATGTTGAGAATATGTAACCTAAATCATTGAAAGAGATTCGCAACGTGAAAACGCTCGAAAATACTGCAAAATTCGACCTCGGTGGTCGCATCAATTTTCTCTGACGTCCAATACCGCGATACTTAGCCTATAAGTATCGAGGGCTCCACTGTACCCGTGGACGTGAACAACATTGCAATGGGAGTCGCCAGATGGGCTAGGCTCGTCTCAGGTTGAATATGTATTTGTTTGTATGATGACACTTCTTGTGTCTGTTCAAGTGGTTGACTTACACGGCTTGAAAGGGCGTAAATCTATGAATATAAGGCAGATTCAGTCAAGAAGTCACCTATGGTGTGAACAAGACAGCTAGACCTCAAGAATGTCACCGTGCGGCCAGAGACCCTGAGTGACGCGTGGGGGCACCAATGAGCAGTTGTCCGGGGCCCCGGATCCACATAAGCGCAGGCCAAAGTTTGAAGAATGAGGGGGAAATTACCCGTGGAGATCACTCTGCGAGCGTAATAAATGCACGCCGACTCGCAAGAATGATTAAGGTATTATTTGCACCAGAGCCCCAAAACTTGGAGAATCCACTCTAATTAGCCATCATGGATGGCTCGTGGGTAAGCCACCAGACCCTTTCAACCTTTAAACTGCTGACCATGTTAGAAAATGTACCTGTATGGCATTGCGCCATGCACGGGAGGTGTAGCCTTTGGATACGTGAGTAAATACGCATACTAGATATTTTCATGCACTAACTTCAAACAGGATACGGGATCGATGAGTGAGTCGATTTTGTTTCAGGGTTGTATATCATGGTTTTGACTTGACTAGGTGGAATTCTGACAATGCCGCAATTCCTCTCCTACATGAACTATCCTGGCAACTTTTTACAGGGAGGTATCACTGCATCCATTCAAGCCGGCTCGTTCGCAGGATCGCTATTGACGGGCGCATTACTTGCTGATCGTCTGGGTCGCCGGAAGACCATCCTCTTGGGCTCACTGATTTTCACCATCGGTGTAGCTATCTCAACTGCCTCCAATGGAGTAACGGCTCTTATTGCAGGCCGTGTTGTAAATGGCTTGGGAAATGGTTGTTTGGCAATGATGGTGAGAATGCGGCAACTGAAACTTTCAACTCATCAGCCGCTAACACATAATCACTGAGTACAGGTACCTCTCTATCAGAGCGAAATTGCGCCTCCTAAGTACTCAATCCCTGTTTGATCGTTTTAATTCGATTTGGAGTCTAATCGGAAGCAGAATTCGCGGTCGAATTGTCTCAATGCAACAATGCTGTATCAATTTTGGTATTCTTATCGCGTTTTGGATTCAATATGGAAGCAGCTTTCTGTCTGGGAATGCATCATGGAGACTAGCTTTAGGCTTGCAAATGATTCCAACAACAACTCTTCACTTGACCATGTACTTCATGCCTGAATCGCCTCGATGGCTTGCACAGCGAGACGAACACGACAAGGCATTACATTCTCTTGCAAGGTTGCACTCGAATGGCAACATTAATGATCCATTCGTGCATGCAGAGCTAGCTGAGATCGAGGCCAAAATACAGTGGGAAAGACAAAATCCGCCTCCATCTTATATTCAGATGCTGGTTGGACGTGATCGTCGTCGCACCTGGCTGGCAATCGGCGTGGTCAGTCCGATCCGATCATCGATCCTTCAAAAAATATCTGCTAACTTTTATCTAGCAATTCTTCCAACAAGTGACTGGTGTTAACGTGTAAGTCCTATCTGAGTTCAATCTCTGATTGAAATGACACCCTCAGCTAACCCCAACCCATACTAAAGAATCATGTATTATGCGGTATTCTTGTTTGAACAAGCTGGTATCAGCTCCACTCGTGGATCCCTACTAGCAAATGGTGTCCAGGGAGCTGTTCTCAACATTTTTACTTGGCCAAATATGTACTGGATGGACACGTGGGGTCGTCGAACCCCTATGGTCATTGGAGGATTTGGTATGGCTATTTCTATGATGCTTATCGGAACGATCATGAAAACCAAAGGTGAGCGGCGAGCCTTGACAGCATATTTCGAAGAACTTTTATAATGACAAGAACCAGGAAACCCGGTCTACAATTCTCTCACAAAGAAGACGAATTTTGATTTCACCAGCCAAACTGCATCAAACGCCACCATCGCATTTGTTTACGTTTACGTTGCAGTTTTCGGGCTGACATGGGCCTGTGTCGCCTGGGTCTACCCACCTGAACTGTTTACGACGGGCTCCCGCGGGCGAGGAACTTCAATGACCTCCGCGACAAACTGGTTTGTGGTATGTTATTTCAGAATTATTACATTTCTTAAACCGATAGAACTGTACAGCTGACAATTTTTCGTTTAAGAATTTTTGGTTCGCACTTTATATTCCAACGGCGATGGAAAAGATCTCGTAAGGAAACTTGTTCAGTATACGGAAAGACTTTATCGTTGCTGACATAAAATCCTCCAGATGGAAACTCTACATGGTGTTTATGACCCTGTGTGTCGTTATGGCTATTGTTGTTTTCTTTTTCTATCCAGTAAGCACCATGCCACCCAGTGTCAAGAAGCGACAGATTACTAACGGCATATCAGGAAACCGCCGGCAAATCTCTAGAAGAAGTCGACTTTCTCTTCTCTAAAGACCGCACAATTTGGGTCTTCCGAGATCGACAGGCCCGCAAGGTGGGTGCAATTTTCGAACGTGATATGGCGCACGGAGAAGCCCTCACCGACTTTGATGGAAAGACTGCTGGAACCTCTCATGTCGACAATGTGGAGTATGAGGCACGGCTGGCTTCCACAAATCCGGAATCAGTGTGATTCTAGATTCTAGATTTCAAATGGATCTTCGGGGCTTGGGGACTTTTCTTGTTCGATTTCTACGCCACATGTATAGGGTATACTTATATCACGATTACGCAAATGAGATAACAAACTAACTTCAAAAATGGGGTGATTATTTGATCAAAAAATTATCTAGGGAAGTATCCACCTGTAATATCAGGTTTTTGGGCTGAAGAGGCAAGTCCAGCATATTTGAGCTCGGGATTGGAAGGGATTTGATGGATCGAATTCTTTCCGACGTTGCAAAAACTTTAGGTAACGTTTTACAAGCCACTCTTTCAGCAAGAGCAGGGGTTTGCAGAGGACTACGTACGTGTACTAGACGGCATTCAGGAGACATGAGACATGTGTTGAGGAACAGTCCAAAGGAAACGAGCCCAGCCTTTGGTTGGTTTATCGGGCGGCGGCCCCGCACGGAGCTGCCACGTGTACACCAATAACAAGTCTATATCGGCTTGAGAGGCCCCATCACCCACAAGATCCTCACGGGTGGATCCTCGCTGCGGATTTAGCTCAAGGCCAAAGTACCTCTAAATTATGCCAAAGTTGGCCAAAGTTGGAAAAAATGCCTACGGTCTATCGTGTGGACTCGTGTGAACTCCGAGTTTTTTCCATAAACTAGTTTTCAATAGCCAGCCACCTGTAACCAGGTCCTCGTATTCTATACGCATGGACTGTCGTTTTCAAACCCTAACAATTCGACGTCAATGCGCATCACTATTTTCAAGTCGTGTTTTTGGTGGAGCTGATTGATGCTTGAAATGATTGTGCTGAGTGTGCAGGGTAGGGTTCATTGGAAGATAAACTCCAGCACATGCACATGCACATGCGGGCACCACCTGCAACGAGAAACCATACTGTATGTACGCAATCAGTTCAAATGACGTAGCGATGGCAAACCTTCCAAACTTGGAAGTGGGACTTCGGCCGATCGGCGCCTATGTCCGGAAGTTCTGCGTTTCTTCAACTATTCAACCATTTTCTGGCTTCGGACGGTAATGGTATCTACTAGTAGTACTAGTGAACATACACTAGTGCAAACACCATAGCCTAGAACCTTGAGCTTAATCAAAAAGCCGAGCTTCGGATTTCCCCGTTGTAACCGGTTCGTGTTTGCGTTAATTTTAGTTAGATTTCTTCATTGTAGCAGAACATGCAGCTCTCCATATTAAAAGGTTTGGAATACCCACTCGCGCGTGAAAATTCAAATGCTCGAAGATCTCCCAAATTCCCCACTGGTCCACCTAAATACACACATGTGTTATGTAACTTCAATGTTGATTCTCCAGAAGACAATCTTGAATCCATTGGCAGTCCTGCTCATAGGTAGGATTTCCCCCCTCCATGACCTTGAAAGGTAACACAAAAACCCGCTGAGCCTTCATTTATCTTCCGTAGTAGTTATTGAGTAATTCCCATCTTCAGCTATTGTGGATACTTCAAATAGCTGCTTGTGATGGGTCAGAGATAGATCAACACGGCACTCGTATTTCCCAATCAGTTATGCACGTAGCGATCGGCCAGACATTATCTTTCTCGACAGTTACGCAAAACTGGTAAGCTTGTTCCAAAATGTTTAATTTTTATGACGCAGGTCTGTTCAAGAATTTTTGGATTGTTTCGTTACCTACTATTGCAGCTGGAAAAAATAGGCGAAACCCAGCCGCGCCTCAGCCCCGCCCTCCAAATCCTCTAGGCTACTCGCATCGGATATCTACTTGTATTAATTTCAGCTGTGGCGGATCTGCATATTGTTCAAAAATTGGAAATAAGTGGTCCCTGTGCAAACCACCAGGTGGTGGATTTACGTTTTCAGCTGCATATTCAGGCGGCGAAGTCCGCTATGTAATCTGCATATCTCATACATAGTACATACGGCTTCTACCTGCTAGTACTAGCATGTAAAATCCATGGCTTTCTATAAATTCGCGACCATTTCTTGCAAAATAATTCTTTGCCTCTCTGTATAACACACTCCATTTCAACACATACTATCAAAATGTCTACAGAACTCTCCCTGCCACCTTATACTGACAAGGCCGGCGAAGTGAAAGACGGGGCAGTAAATCAAGCTCTGAGCTTTCCCACTCAAACATTAAAACGACAAGCCACTGTTCCCCCATATGTCGATAACGACAATTTCTTTTTCAAACATGACCAAGCCGAGCTATGCCTAATGTTCACTAGTGACTGGAGGAAAGCTCAAGCGTGTATGGAGACCCGCAATGATTTGTGGGCCATGTATTTCCCAGCTTCCATGAATCTCGAATACGATGGTGAACTGGAAGCTCGACTCGTTCAAGACCTGAGCGACTGGTCTTTCCTTCCGTCCATCGATGCCCCTCTTGCTCGGTTGGGGCTTCAAGCTGCTCGTCTCTGTTCAGTCAAATCATCAGTATCCTATGAGCGAAGAGTTTTGCTTCACCGCCATATAACATGGATATTCTATATGGACCAAGTCAGCGAGAAGCTTGCCACCTACGACTTGCATTCAACAGCGGGCACGGCCTATCTTGAGAATCTCAAAAGTGTCCTCAAAGGAGGTCCAGTTACGGATATGACGAAGTTCAGGGGGTCATGCCCAGACGCTCTCATCGACAACGCAATCAACGCCCAGCGCATCTTATCCGAAGACTTAATGCCGCTCAAGCGGAAGCTTCTTTCGCCACAGCACCTCTCCGTGTGTGTAGATGCTCTTGACCTCTTTTTTGATACCCAGAAGGAAGAAGGTCAAAGTTTCTGTGTTGAACCGACATTGCAAGATATTTATAAGACGAGGGCCTTCACAGTCGGAACCATGGTTCCTTTTATTCTTTTCCTTTCATCCGAGCAGGCTGAGCTCTTCACACCTGAAGATCCGTGTCTTATTCAACTCTCGGTCATGGCAGCTCTTTGGAACGACATGCTGGGAATTTTCAAGGATCTAAAATCCCTCGCCAAGAAAGATGATGGTTCTGTCTACTTAAACTTCGTTCGAGCGAGTATGAGAGATCAGAACCTGACTGTCAGAGATGCTTTACATCGCTGTGGTCAGCGATTGAACAATTTTATTTATGACTTTGAATTTTTTTCAAACTCATACCGGCCACTTCGACGTCAGTTTTACCACGCCAACATGGAATTTACCTTTATGTACTTTGACTTTCATTTGATGGGATTACAAGAAAGGGCCAATGAGCGCTATGGTTGGAAAATCATGAGATGAGATCTCGATACTCAGTTCATATTATGGATTACAGGTAGCAGAGTCAGAAGATAGAAGTCAGATCTAGATAACTGTTTGTTTTTGTCCCAATTGAGATTAGCGTTCAATGTTATCCGCGTATCTACATCTGCATAGTAAACTCCGAATCTCCGAATCTCCGAAGCTCCGATCCTCTCTTCTTTCAGAATTCCCCTTCTGCACAAAAATTAATGATCATTGCACATGCTTTCGCTCTTGCTCCTCTTTGGAGCTTCAATAAAATCATTGGGGTCTGAGTCCGTCCCCTCAATGTGACCGAAGTAAAGAAGAGCTTGGTACAAACTTTTCGTGGATCTTGAAAACATCCGTAAACACCTCTTCTCTCTTTTGTGGGTCTCTCCCATACCCGCCACCACCAGGTGTGTGAACAATGATATGATCACCAGCATTCATATGCGTCGTCGCTTTCCCACCGAGACTAATAAGCCGACTTGTACCATCAGGATACTTCCTCAGCCACAAATTCACCCCACGTCCACCGTCATCGCCACCGGCCATGCCATAGGGGGGGATCACGCGTCTCTCAGAGAGAATAGAAACCTGCATTGGCAATCGAAATTCAATGTCACGGGTACACCCATCTCCACCACGGTGGCGTCCGGCTCCACCGCTGCCTTCTCGGATTGAGAACTCGTGAAGGATGACAGGGTAACGCCTTTCAAAAATTTCGGGATCGGAGATGCGAGTGTTGGTTATGTGGGTATGCACTCCACTTTCACCGTCCCAGTCGGCACCGGCTCCGGATCCGCCAGCGATGGTTTCATAGTACCCAAATCCCTTGATCACTTCACCTGTTTCTGGGTCTCGGCCACCGTACCCGAAGGTCAGGTTGTTGCAGGTCCCCTGTGACGCAGCGGCCGCACGGAAAGCCTTGAAAATCAGGTCGACGATGCGTTGAGAGGTCTCGACGTTTGACCCGACCGTTGCGGCTTTGAGAGACGGTGACAGTAGGGTGTTAGGGGGACAAATGAGTCTAATGGGCTGCAGGCAGCCCTGGTTCAAAGGGATATCGGAGGATATCATCGATCGGAGACAATACTGTGACCTGGTCAGAGACACTTCATACTTTGAAGTGTATGTTTCCAGGTTTCAACTCACCATGATGCCCGAATACATGATTGCGGGTGGACAATTCAAGTTTCCAAAATGTTCTGGCCCGGTGCCTGTAAAATCGAATTCTGCATCACCGCTCTTTTGGTCGATGGTGATTTTAAGCGCCAAGGGGGTTCCATCATCGATATAATCCACAGCCTGAAGCGGCTGACCTTCGAACTTTTGGGCAATCACCTTGAGTAGTTCACGAGTTGACTGACTGGCATTGTCCTGGATGGATTTCATGTAGAATTCCACCACAGGCCAAGTGTATTCCTGGATTAAAGATCGGATCAATTGAATCCCCTTATTATTGGAGGCAATTGCAGCCTTCAAGTCCGCGATATTGTCTCTCAGTGTCCGTGTACCACTTGACCCAGGATAAGATGCTGGAATGTCCACCAGAACCTCAATCAGCCCCGATTCGTCAAACTCCCCTTCTTTGACGATCTTGAATGATTCTACAGCTGCACCTTCTTGCCATAACTCCGTCGAGTTTGGAGGCATGGAACCAGGCTGGATCCCGCCAATGTCTGCATGATGGCCTCGATTGGCCACGAAAAACAATATCTTTGTTGGATTTTCATCGCTGTCAAACACGGGTGTTGTTATCGTTAGATCGGGAAGGTGGGTACCTCCTGAGCATGGGTGATTGCTCAAAAGCACGTCACCGGGCTTCAATTCACCAGGTTTGTATAGACGTGCCTGGTATGCGATCGCATAACTCATTGAGCCCAAGTGGCCTGGAATATGAGGGGCATTGGCAACCAAGCTACCATCTCCAGAGAAAACAGCACAGGAATAGTCAAGCCGCTCTTTGATATTCACGGAAATGGACGTCTTTTGCATAGTGTGACCCATTTGCTCGGCCACGCTCATGAAACGATGTCCAAACACACTGAGCTGTACTGGATCAACAACACTCGTTGTAATCTCGGGCTTGGCTGTTCCTGTGATTTCTATCACGACGTGCTCTGGCAAAATCATTGCTGCGCTTGCAGGATCTACAATAATTGTCTGTGTTTTGTCAATTACCATGGCGGGCCCATCGATGCGGGTGCCGGTCCTGAGGTCCTTGAGAGAATAGAGTCCAATCTCCAGCCAGCTAGCCTGCTCAAAATAAACTTTGATATTTTTCTCTGGGCTTGTCGATGTTGCTGGGGGCGAGTTAGAGAGTTTCTTCAGCTCGGCCACTGGGCTAGAAAGAGAAACTTCCATTCCCTTGCCAGTGCTTCTAACACGGACATCGTCAATCAAAATTTCTCTTGGTTGAGTAAAGCCGAATTGCTGTTGATGACGCGCAGAAAATGCATCACCGAAGGCTGAGAAAGTTCCAGGATCGGGAATCATCAAAGCTGTATCGCTGCCCTGATACCGCATGTTCAAAAACAATTCATGTGCGATCTGAGACTCCGAAAATCCCTGAGAAATAAGCCCAGCAACACCCGCAGATTTCAATCTTTCAAAACGCGCTTCCAACCTGGGGAGGTTTTCGATGGCATAGGATGTTGCCTCCGGCTCTTGGTTCTCGACAACCACATCTGCGAGCGCCATACCATAAGCAGACAAAATGCTAGAATATCGCGGGATCAAAGCTCTCTGTATTCCCAGATCCCTTGCAATAGCGACAGCATGTTGTCCACCGGCACCGCCAAAGCAGCAAAGGTTGTGTGCTGCCGTTTCGAAGCCCCGACCTTCACTCAATGTTCGAATAGGTCGAGTCATGGTTGCGTTCGCGATAGAAATAAATCCGACAGCAACTTCTTCCGGGGTGAGCTGGGATGACCCATCCTTTTCAGAATTGATTACTGCTGTTAAAGCAATCATTTTCTGTTTTACCACCTCAAGGTCCAATGGGCGGGGGAAATAGTCTGGAATGATCCTGCCCAGAAACAGATTGGCATCGGTCACCGTTAGTGGACCACCTCGCCCATAGCATGCTGGACCTGGGTGGGCTCCTGCGCTGTGGGGGCCAACTTTAAACAGACCATTCTCCCAAAACAGCATGGAGCCACCACCAGCAGCCACGGTGTTGATGTCAAGCTGTGGTGTCTGAATCGTAACCTGTGCGATAGTGCTCTCGAATATATGCTCTAAAGCACCTGCATATCGGGCAACATCCGTACTTGTACCACCCACTAAATTATTTTCGGTCAATATTATTTCAAGTCTTCTGGATAGGGAGGATCAACTTACTATCGAATGCCAGAACTGGCGTTCCATCATCGGCATCGTAACATGTCCTTGACATGCCGACAACTCCACCAGCAGGCCCACTCAGGACTCCGCGAAGGCCAGAGAAATTTGCAATTGAAGTCAAACCACCATCAGATTGGTTTACAAAGACTTTCTTCGCATGTTCGTCTCTTAGCTCACCTTCAAATCCCTTTCTAAACCCTTCTAAATACTTCTCCGTCACAGGAGACAAATAGGCATCCGCAACAGCCGACTGACTTCGAGGAACTAGCTTTGCCATAGTCTGAAGCTCATACGACACGGCAACTTTGAAGCCAAGCTCCCTTGCAACCTCTGCAACCGCAACTTCGTGTTTTTGGTAGGTATATGAGTGCATGAGCGCAATAGCGACAGAGCGGAATCCTTGGTCCCAAAGAACCAACAAGTCTTTTCGAACTGTATCCAAATTTGGAGTGCGCAGCACACGAACGATTTCCCCGGTCAATCCCAAACACAAGTTCTCATCGGCATCAACATCGATTGCCTTTGGATTAGGATCTTCTGAAAACCCTTCAATAGTGACACGTTCGTCAACTTCGACGACCTTTTCGTATAATTGGCGAAGTCTTTGAACCGATAAATCAAAAATATTAGGTCGCGCTTGGTTTCCGATTTTGAGCAGGTCGCGGAATCCCTTGGTGGTCAGCAATGCGATGCGATCGCCTTTGCGTTCGAGAAGTGCATTCGTGGCAACGGTAGTGCCCATTCGAATGGACTCCACGGGAGTCAAATCTAGGAGAGTTCCTCGAGGTATAGGTGACCCACTTGCTGTCTCCAAAATCTGGCGGATACATTCTGTCGGGGCATCTTCATATTCACTTGGGGACTCAGAGAGAACTTTGAAGATCAAGTCTGATGAATGACCTGGAATTTGAGCCCAGGCGTCGGTGAAAGTGCCGCCTCTGTCGATGGCAATGCGAATTCCAGCTTCAGCCATATTGAATATAACAGAGGTAGGAAAAGAATTTTGGATCGTTATCTTCTTTTGTGGTGCTGGGATCTTGGAATAAGAAAGGTAGAGCTCCATTTTATACCTGACTATGGTATGTATCGAGATGAGGGGAAGTCGGTCACACTCCGGATTTGCCGCTCTGCAGATCTTGGTTTCGCTTTTGTCTATTCACTCTCACCTTCATCAGTTGGTAATGGTACCCGATAGTGCTTTGCGGAGCTCCTCTTGACTGTGTTGATCAGCTGTCGAGCTGATAGGGCACAGATAAACCATCGGGAACCAAAGCCGACTCCCCGCACGGAGGGTCGTAGCCGATGAAAATGATAAGTATGCATGTTTCTGTGAGTCTGTGTGAAGGCATCTGGCTCATGGTTTCTAATCAGTGTTAAAGATTTTACCAGCCCTGAAGATAGCTCAGAACTTGTGGAACATGATGCTTTTCGTTGCAGGGTAGTAAAGGGTTCAAATGTCGGATTAATCCTACCACATAGGCCAAGTCACATGTACCCCGCAGTCTAAATGGCATCATTAAAAATGCAGCTTACATACTCGAAGTCAGCAGCCTTACCCCCTTCTTACTTCCAAACTCACCTAACGTACATATATTATGGATGTCAGTCCTGAGCACTTGGTGGACTTTGTTGAACGTCGTCGGCTTCAGAACCGTGTCGCTCAAAGCAAATTCCGCGGTGAGTGGCTGACGTTTAAACCCACTCCACATTGCATTTTCGGTTTGCTCATCGCGTATCTGTGACGCAGAGAAGAAGCAACGCGAAGCTAAAAATGCCGCTCGTCAAGCGGCCAGGCTCGCGACTCAAGTGCTGCCCCCTGTCTCCTCGGGCAGTTCCAAAAGCTCGCAGGTGGAAATATTGAAATATCCGACATCTTCATTTACCAATACGCCTGGTATGCTGGCAACAGAGCTGCCAGTGGTGAATTTTGAACAAATCCCAGTGGAGACAGACCTTGGTCTCGACCTCATCGGTCCCAGCTTCTGTGAATCAAACAATGAATCATTCCTCGTACCCACCGTCGACTTTCAATCTGAGTTCGTGAACTACGATGCTGGCCTTAGGCCAACGACGTCTCACAATAATAACTCAATACCAGGCTTGATAATGACGATCAACAAGGACGGCTGGATTGGCTCTCTCCATATCGCAGCTCAGCGGGGCCATGAGCAGATTGTGCGGGTTCTCCTGGAGCAAAGCAGCGTGGACATAAACAAAGCAGACAGCGACGGTCGCACGCCGCTGATACACGCTATCGTTGAGAACCACAAGGCCGTCGTGCGTCTTCTTCTTGAAAATGGTGCGACTATGGCTACCTCTGACTGCGATGGTCGCTCGGCATTTCATTGGGCTGTTCTATATCGCCGTATTGACATATTACAACTGCTTCTCAAGTACCGTGAAGAGTCCAAAATGAGCCTCAACCTCGATACACATGACAACACCGGTTGGACGCCGCTACATATGGCTATTATTAGAGACTTTGAGCCCGGAGTCTTGATTCTGATTCAGGCTGGTGCGGACATGAATGCTCTGGCAAAAAAATGCCCGTATGCTGAGAATTTCATGTCACTATTGGAAAGGTAGCAATGATTGCTTTTTTCTCTACATAGTGGACACAAGCAGATTTTCAAAGTAGCCATCATCCATGGAAAAAAGTTGTTGCGCATTGCTTCTATCTGACTATGACTCCGACCTTGAAACTTCATGTGTAGTAGGTGCCAGTTCTTCAATCCTCAGTGCAAGCCGCCTACCACGGCTCCTCCTGTCCATCATATTTGAACAGCTTTCCACTGTGCGTCTCCTTTCTAGCGACATCCACGACCTTCACCACACCTCCGGCACTCTCCTCCACTGTGAGAGTCGGCTTGTCAGTTCCAAAGCTATCAGCTCCACGGTTACCGATATCTGTCTGAACCCAACTGTTGACGCGAAAACTATTAGCAAGACTATATTCATCGCCGGTGATAAGACCCACTTACCCCGGATCGATTGGAAAAGCGTTCAGCCATTCGTCCTCGACAGAGATGGCCTTGGTATACCAGTGCTGCACCAGCTTGGTAGGGGCATAAGCCGCATTTCGCATGGGGAGGAAGTTGCTATCAAGCATTGGGAGTTAGTATTCGGCCTTCGGATCGCTTGCGCATCAACATGAACTGCAGCAAGAAAATTCAAAAGAGCTCCTCGTTGCGACTCACTATATTCCATGTTACTTAGTAGAGTTTCTTCGTGGTTTCAGAGTAGCAGACTCGTAGTACTCACCGTGAGAAATCCGGCACTCGATCCGATGGTCACCCACTTAGGGTCCCTGGACTCTTTGAGAAGGCCCCGAAATGCCTGGTAGAGGTGAATAAAGCCATAGATGTTAACATCGACGTGCTGCTTGATATCTTCGACCTTGACGTCTGACACTCGTGGCCACAGTAGGCAGATCCCCGCGTTGGCAATCAAGATGTCGACGCAAGTGATTCCTTTGGTAGCAAGCTCCTGCGCTGCATCTTGGGGATCAGTTGAAGATGTCGCGTCTATCTTTATAACATGCAGTCTAGTGCCTTCAGCTGTGGGAAGATGCGCCAGAGACTGGGAAGTCGGGTGGCCGGGATCGCGGGTCGCAGCGATGACAGTATGGTTTGGCTTCTTGAGATAAATTTCTAGTATGCCTCTTCCGATTCCGCGGTTGGCGCCCGTAACAAGCACGATTGTGGAAGCCATTCCTGAGAGTTATAGTGAGATATGATAATTCACGAAGGACTGGGGGTTTGAAAATGGGTTTAATCGCCAAGTAAGGAATTGGTCGTGATAGCCAAGAGAAAAGGAATTATCGAAAGATGTTCTTTGCTTTTTATTATCTTGATTATTTTGGCTGTCTATCTTGTGCTTTATAGTGAGCTCGTCGCAGTAATCTTACTGGTCATCTTACTACCAGCACTAGTAATCTTAGCGTCGGGCACCTCACATGAGCAGTCGGCAGCCTTGTCTCCGTTTTAAGTCTGATGACTAGCAGAGCAGTACCACCACAGAATCCTGCGGGAAAATGCCTCATTTGAATCCGATGCCATTATCTCAGGCCCATCTAGATCCATCTAGTGGCAGAACATTTGAATAAAGGGTCCCTTACAGGGTTTAGAACAGGCTTTTAATATTTCTTTTTTTGTTCCAATTACTCGTTAAACTTATTTTGCAATTATGGACTATCAAAATTTATTCAAATTGTTAGAATGTCATAGATAAATCTCGCATATAGTATTCACTTCAAATTATCTGCTCTGGCCTGACAGGCGTGACTTCAACAGCACCAGCACCCTTGTTGCCATCAATAGAGGAGCCGTCAGTAGAAGACTGCCCCGATGATTCCGGGATGAATCCTTCAATTTCCAGGTTCGCCTCTTTCTTTTTGTCCCACCAAAGTAGGTATTGAATGGCAGCGGTCACAATAACTTCATTTGGTTAGTAACGTGGATTTTTCAATGGGCTCAAGGGAGGAGACTTACTCAACAAGATCTGCAAAATGATTGTCCAAAGATATCCTTTCTTCGCGGCAGGGAAATCTGTAGTCTTCCATACAAAGTTGGGCGCCTGAGGTGCTTATAGTCAGTGGAGGTTTGTCGCTATTTTAGTGCAGGAGAACATACCACTGCCTGTACAACATATGCAAGATCGTTGGCCATAGCGAGAACCAAAGCTCTCTTTTCAGTGTCGGCAGAGCAAATTTCGTTGATCCAACTGAGAATAAGTGGACCGGCACCATTCTGAGTTATTTGTCAGCGATTTATCTTTGTTTCAATGGTTAATTTAGACCTACTCCGATGTAACTGAGCCAGTAAACAGCAGTACGGCCTGGTATGTTGGTATATAGAGGCATCTGGCGCAAAAGCGCAGCAAACACGATCTAAATTCAGAAGGTTAGTGGATGTGATATCGGGCAAATAGGCTTGTAGTTTTTACCGTGATAATAGCTCCAATGTAAATAAAGGGCCAGCGGAGTCCCTTACAGGGCCCATCAGACAGAAAGCCCTCAATCAAGGCTGTGACGATGAAAATAGCCGTTGTGACCAAAGGCACTGTTTATAATCGTCAATACTATCTCAGTGCAAGGCAATGTAGTAACCCATTCCAAAACTCACAGTTGTCAATCTGAGAGACTGTGTAAGATGTGCCTGGGACTGGAGCAGGTTTCGCATTGAAACTCTTAAGCCAATATCCCATGCCGAGCTGTGGGTATCCGTTGTTCCAGATAATATAACACAAGGCTATCCAAGCTGTTAGCTTCTTCGGGTTAGCAAATAATGGGTGAGGGCCACATACGAAGAAGATATGTGTGCCAGCTGCTGAAAATTCTCTTTGCCTTCGCCATGGTCCAAGGCTGCTTGCCAGCACGACCGATCGCCTCCATACGTCTCATCGAAAGGTCTTGTTCTTCCTTGGTGATCCACCATGTCTTTTTACCACTCTGGGGGAGGTTGGGGAAAAACAAGAAGCCAGCGAGCGCGAGGGGCAACGTGATGATTCCGTCAATGATGAAAAGCCATCTCCATCCTGCGCGACCCTCCACGCCGTCCAAGTTCGTGTAGGCAGCAGATTGAAGGAAACCGCTGAAAATTGTGCCGACTGACCCCGCGAGCCAGAAAATCATTGCTCGCTTTCCGATCTCTCGGGGTGTGTACCATGATCCGAGCATGTAGTGGATGCCGGGGTAGAAGCCGGATCTATAAAGCGCGATTTTTTGTTAGCTTCTGTTGCGACATGAGACATCATCAAAGACCGGCAAATTTCTCACTCGAAAAGTCCAACCAGGAATCGAAGGCCGTAAAGAGCTTTGTAGCTCTTGACGCTTGACATGCACATTGTGGCAATTCCCCAACCGACTTCAAGCTGCAAATTATTAGTATTTCGCATTGAAGAAAAAGAGAGTGAAAAATCCGAGCATGTGCTTTACTCACCGAAGGAATAACCCATCGCGGGGATACTCTTGTGAGTAGCAAATTGCAAGGAATCTGGCCGATGACATAGCCGACTGTGAAGATTGAAGTACTTGTCACCAGCTGGTTGCCGTACATCTCCAAATCCTCTTCCATGCCACTAAGGTATGCGTTCGTGACATTTTGGAGATCCAGATATTTGAGAAAGTAGCCAATCTACGTCTTGTTAGCCTATCTCTGGTTTTTTTCTTCTTTTTTTCTATCGTTCAATGAAAGTAACTCACAGAAGCAAAGGTGAGTACGAATGCATCAAGCTTGAACAATAGCCATCGCTCCTCTTGCGGTAAATCCCAGGTATCCCAGAGGTAGCCCTTCCAGGATTTTGTGGGCTTGGCTATACTCTGCTCTAGGGGCGAGTTGGCCTCTGTGTCGGTCGCCATGATTCAAGTTTGCTCTGGCTATCAAAAACCTGCGACAGACTTGATTTAAATAAGAATATGACAGACATGACCCCATTGCTGATCTTGATCACGTCACTGGTCCTAGCAGGTTTAGCTTTTCTAATTGTATACATAATAAGCTTAAAAGATAAGATGGTAAATAGTCTTTTTTCCCCAAAGGATTTGAGAATTTGGTCTCCCAGTAAACTATTTCTCTAGAACATAACGAAACGAAACGAATATTATTTCCAAGTTTGAACCTACTAGTACATTTGGACCTGTACAATGTACAGAACCCGACTTCTTTTTCAAATCCCAGCTACAAGGATGTACTTTAAAGGTCTTTTTACAGGGGTGAGGGGGTGGTGTTATGGCGCAATCGTCTCCATCTATTATATCTTCCGCGAGACTTACGACGGGTGAATTCCGGCATTGGCAATGCATGGGGTTTGAACATCGAAGGTCTGGTAAGCTAGATGTTTTACTGGTCAATTCTAACATTGGCTATCGGGACCATTCGCCTCTTCCTCGTGGTCTGGATCCTTGCTGAGTTTGTCACTTTATGCTCGTCTCGAGGCCTGATGTTCACTCACATTCCATGTTCTACATTTGCTTTCATACATTGTCAAGCGCAATCATTCCGGTAAAAGACCGACATATTTTTATTTTCGATCGATTCTTAAATTTCACATGTATTAATCGGTTTCACAGATGAGTTGCAAAAATGATTTAGTTGATATCATTTAGTACTATGGTGGTGATGGAGAAAAAGGATCGTGTCCAGATTAGGCTAAAGGATTGCGAGATTTCGACCGAATGTGCTGTCATTGCATCCTCTTCTTAGTCAAATTTTTAAACCATACATTTATTTCAATTGCTCCAATAACACTCGTAAGTAGAGAAAAAAAGATAAATGACATCCATGTGCTCTCGGTATGTAGACTTCCGCTGCATTAATATGATCGAGCCGGGGGGAGATCTACCGATCCATGGATGTTATTGCATAGTACAACTGTACAAGCAAACATGTGAAGCCTCATATGTGGTCATAAGATCCATACTTCGTATTTTGCCTTTCTCAAAAGCCCTGGAGCTTATCGCCTCAGCTAATTCTTGGCGACAGAAAAAAAGCAAATATCTGTTCAAGCTGCAGAAATTGTGTTGATTTCAAATTACTAGGAAGAGAACTCTTTATTGTTCCTCGATCCATCTCGGGGAGGAAGAAAGAGATAATCCGAAACGGATAATCCGGAGTCCACCTAATATTCGGCGGTTCGGCAGAATTGTTTATCCGATCCCAATCAGCTCTAGCGTAGACTCACTTTTTTCAATGGTATAAATACTGGCCGCCGCCCCGGCCCAAGGAAGGATTTCTTTTTCTCCTCACATCATCAGTAGAGGTTTTACATACTATGTAAAATTTTCAACCAGGGCTCCGTACGCGGCTTGCTGAGGGTTGTCCTTAAGTGATTATACACTTCATGGGCTTTCTTCCGTTCCCGGCTCTGCAGAGAAAATGAGTCTCCCTTTATCCCAAAAAATTATGGCTTTGCTAGGGTTCCCTTACGGGAGCCTCATGCGCTCATGCTGTGGAGGGGGCACGACAATTCAATTTTAAAACCCAATGTTTATTGTCAAGATTTTGCTTAGAAATAAATTGTAGAATCTTGACGTGAATACGGTCATAATTAAAGAGCTTCGGCTGTCGGGCGATCTTGTCAGACAGGTTTAGACGAAAATCTTGTTTTCCTGGTTCGTCTTGAGTGACCTCCGGGGCCTCATGCCGGTTTATCGCATTGACCTGGCTTAGAACGGACAGATCGTATCGTTGTGATCCGTATAACCTTCCACTGGAGCTATCACTTTTTGGTGGAGGAAACTCTGCCCGGATCTTAAGCCTCGACATGGGACACCTCCGCCTTTTCTTCTCTCATAAACTCCGCGAGAGGTCGCCTTGGCAATTTCTGGGCAACAGAAACGGCGTCAAGAATACTCGTTGAGGCTTCAAAGATCTCGTCAATTTCTTCAAGCGAACGTTTTGCTGTTTCGGGGAAGAAGAAATAGATGACTGGAACAAACGATGCGTTGAGACAGCAGTACACAAGAAAGTACTTCCAACCAATGTCATCAAAGGCAGAAGGGGTGACTTCTGCAACCAAGAAGTTGAAGAGCCAGGATATTGCAGTTGACAGCCCGCATGTCGCTGCACGAAGATGAGTTGGCGCAATTTCACTGGCGTATAGGAATGGAATCCCGAGGAATCCAAGAACATAGACAAAGAAGTTTAGATAAAGAAAAACTACAGCAGCTTTCAAAGCTGCCGCATTCTCGGGATGCGATGTTAGGCCAGCAATCAAGGCAAAGCATATGGCCATACTAGAGGCGCTAAACATCATGAGTTTCCGGCGTCCAAAGCGATCGACTGTCCAGGCACAGCAGAATGCGCCTATCACACAGACTATCTGTGACGATGCGGCCAAAACGCGCGAATCCGTCTGATCAAAGTGAAGTTGCTGCTGGTAAATAGTTGGTGCATAATAAGTGATCGAGTTGATTCCAGTCATTTGCAAGAAGATCTGGGCAGTCGCGGCAATGACCACCCGATGAAACACTCTTTGAGGGCCCATCTTGAACATCGCTCCCAGGCTCCCTTTACTTGCTCGATCCAATGAAAGTCGGATGTCCTCGATCTCCTTGTTCACTGTCTCGTCATGTGGATCTTTGTCGTATAGTATTCCCAGGGTATCCCGTGCTTCTTCCCACATATTCCGTTTGCATAACCATCGAGGGCTCTCAGGTAGTGAAAATATGGATATGCAAACAAGAAATGAAAGAAAAATGGTGAATGCCAGGGTGAAGCGCCATGATACAGAACTCGGTTGTGTATAGGACATGCCAAACGAAAGCCAGAGTGCCAAAGCGATGCCGGACCCACAGAAAATTCCAAAGGCAGAGACATGCTCACCACGGTTCTCTGCTTTTGAAACTTCCGATTGCCAGACTGAAACTGTTGCAATGATGCCTCCGGTGCCCAGGCCAAGCACAATCCGCCCGACGATAAACTGGGAGAAGGCAAACGATGAAGATTGAAGGATGGCACCAATTGCTTGAACCGCACTGGCCAGAAAAATGGTTTTTCGACGACCCCAGATATCTCCAAGGAAGGTGCAACCCAGTGCTCCGAAGACTCCAAACAGTGTATATAGTGCGACGACCGTTCCTAATCACAATGAGCTGTGGCTTGAATACTTTTTCTCTGCTGGCTCACCTACCTTGAATCCTGGAGTTCTCCTTCTGCAAAGACCCTGTTGTTGATAGTGTGTTCATTCTCGGGAATTGAAGGTTGAAAGTCGAATCCGAAAGGACACCTCCGGCACTTGATTGGTTGTAGCCAAAGATCATGACACAGAAGCAAGCTTCTATCCAGATAGCCAAATGTAGCCTTGAGCCCCTTAGGCCCCAAAACGGCGCCATTCTGACAATCTAGCTTCGGTGATGAAGTTTGATAGCAAAACCATCGCTTCGTTGGAGGGAAAGCGAACAGACGCTCTTATAATCAGTGAGAATGCAGGGTCAAAGACTTTCAGACGGACTATTCCAGTCCGCATCATAGCGCATTACCCCGACTTCGAAGTACGTACATGAGCTTGACAGTGGTAATATGTGGGGTTTTAGCCGACTCTATTAGCCCAGATGGGCAACCAAACGGAAGTTCGTTGTCCGTGCCAACCGGATGGGAACTGATTGGGGATTTGTGGGGTCACAGCCGATGAAGATGGAAAATGCGGGGAAAGCACAACCTTTTCTCATTATATTTCTCAATTCTTATCCAAAACAACACAAGCTTCCTGCCAGCGACATCTGGACATCTGGATGTTACAAAGCTCAACGTGGCCATCATGCAAAACCTTGGAAGCGGCTCGTCAGTGACTCCAATGGTAGATTAGACAAACTTGAAGGCTAATGGATAGTAGATGATACTGTGGTCAGCCTCAAGTCGCCTTTCTTTTGCTTTGCGTTCTTCCGACTAAGAAATTTGTTCATATTTGGCTTTGGTAAAGAATAAAAATTGTTTCAGAAGTGAACAAATCTCCTCTCAAATATCCTCTCGGTGAGTGCTAATGTTGGAATACGGTAACGTGGAGATGCTGCCGAGACGGTTTTCGGCAACAAGGCCTCTTCCCGAAGCTACGAGTAACCATCAACTCTATTAGTACCTTCCTGAGTTAGATAAGTTTGAAAAGCAACTTTGCCTGAATTTTGATTTTCTCTCTTCTTTCCATTCACCTTCCCTGTTCCTTCTTCCTAGCACAACTACAAGATGTCACCTAACCGCTTAGACGACCTGGACGTTGCACCATTGTCTGAATCATTTGAAGTAACCAGGACCTACAACGCTGACCAATTCCCAAACAAAGTCAATCTTGGTCAAGGTGTCTATCGTGATGATAACGCCCAGCCATGGGTTCTGCCAAGTGTTCAAGCCGTGAGTTTTCCATGCCCAGTTCTGTTCGTCTAACCTTGGTAACTGACAACAATAACCACTAGGCGGAAGAGACTCTTCACAATGAACATGGCAATCACGAGTATCTCCCCATCTCTGGCCATGACCAATTTAACAAAAGGGCCAGGGCGCTTCTGTTTGGTAGCGAAATTCATGACAGCTACAACATCTGCACCGTACAGACAGTAGCAGGAACAGGAGCAAACCACCTCGCTGCTCTATTCTGTGCGCAGATTCTTCATTCAAAGAACGTATTCATCTCCGATCCGACCTGGGATAACCACCATGCGATTTGGAAGACGGCCGCCCCTGGCACCACGCAGAAGCTTTACCCTTGTCATAATATCTCAACGTGCACTTTCGATTTCAAGAGAATGATAGCTGAGCTCGAGAACTCGGCAGTGGAGAATGATGTTGTGGTTCTGCACGCTTGTGCTCATAACCCAACAGGATGTGACCCTACTCACGACCAATGGGACAAGATTGCCGATGTCGTGGGGAGGAAACGTCTCTTTGTCGTCTTCGATAGTGCCTACCAGGGCTTCGCGTCTGGTGATCCCGATGCAGATGCATGGGCCATTCGACACTTCTACTCGAAACTCTTCGGTTCCAACAGCGGTATTGAAAATCCTCCGCTTGGAATGCTCGTCTGTCAGTCCTTTTCCAAGAATTTTGGACTCTACGGGGAGCGAATTGGGGCACTTCATCTCGTCACTCCTCCGGGCGTTTCTCCTAGCGGTGCTTACACACAGTTGATCGCATTGATTCGCTCCATAGTCTCGTGCCCTTCCTTGTTTGGGGCTAGAGTTGTAAATACCATTCTCTCTGATGCTGAGCTGTATGCACAGTGGAAGGAAGATGTGGTAACCATGTCATCGCGCATCCGAGATATACGACTGGCCCTGAGGCTCGAGTTGGAGAAGATCAATACTGAGGGTGATTGGTCTCACATTACTCGACAGATTGGCATGTTCAGCTATACCGGGCTCTCGGAGGCGCAAGTTCAAAGATTGCGAGAGGTGCATCATGTCTACATGCTGAAAAATGGGCGGATGAGTCTGAGTGGCTTGAATGCGAAGAATGTCGGGTATGTGGCTTGTGCAATCAAAGAGGTAGTTGAGCAAGAACTGTAGTGGAATTGCACTTTACTCTACGCCGGACTTATTCACGACGAAAATCAATTCATTTCAAGTCCACATGGCTAGCCCCTTTATATCTAAGTTCTAGTACTCTCCTGCCTTGATCAACCGATATATACGCTTGTGTTGTTCTAGCATGACCAATGTAGCGATTGTCTGAGGACCCAATCGAACAAAACTCGGGGTCCAGCCCCGGAATAGCCACCGAAAGCCCTCGTCGTGCAAAAGCTGCCTCACAATGTTGAAGACCGATCTCTTCTGTGAGGAACTCATCAACTGGGTTCTTATCACATCCATGGGACTCGAGATGGATGTCGCAACGAAACTAGCCAGCACTGACGCAGCAAAGTGAATTGAAGGCCTCTCTTCTTCTGTCTTGCTGAACCTTTGCAGCAATCTTTTGAAAGCATCGTAGGAAGCCAGCTGGCTTGCTGTCATAATCCCGGAACGGAAACAGTTCGGCCAAAGTCCTTGAGCGAAGGACCTCCAACCTTCATGGCGCTTCATCTGGATCCATGCGTCGAATACATTTTTGTAATTTCGACGGTTTTGAACCGCTAGTGAGCGATCGTTTTGCATCCTCACGTTGGCGATATCTGACGGCGTGCCGAAGATAGCCCCGGTGAATCCTGAGGCTGCGGCCATTATAGCTAACGTTGGAACTGTGAGAGGCTGGTCTGCTTTTTTTGCGGCCGTTTTCATCTCTTCATAGAGAGCAATTCGAGACGTTCCATATGTTACTGCATGCCGTTAGTCTTGGGGCTCTGATTTGAAGTTGTGCATGTGGCTGGTTACTAACTTGATCGCATTAAACCAGCAGAGAGCTTAGGGATTTGTACGTCAGTTCACCTGGCAGGTATTTTTGAGAATTAGGCTTTGCTGATTATGCGTTCATTACTCACACCATGGTATAGGCCTCTAGTTCCCTCTCGTTGGATAATGTGGAGTCCAGTCTGAATGAAGCCCTCTTTGGCACCATTTGATACCGTCTGCATGCGAACTTTGACTGGAGAGAACAATTTTTGATCGGAATAAGACACGATTCTTAAATGACCACAGGCTCTGGAAACTCACTAAGATCGAAAGGATGTGAAAGTACCACCGCGAAGCATGAAGCAGAGCCGCCGAACCATCTGGGATAAGTCAGATCCGCCGGGTTTGCTTCTCTGTGAGAGGCACGAAAAGACATGAATAATACTAGGCTTCTGGTGATTTATTTGACATTTAATTGAATGAGTACTTGCCAAGTCAAAAAACAAACATTTTGAACATCGCATATGTTTTATTTCAAAACACTGTATCTTACCCCGAGCCTCGGGGTGCACATCTGGTAACCGAGCAAGACGGCTATATGTAAGCCGGGCGGGCAGCTTATACTAGCCAACTCCCAATATGTACATGTAACATGGCAAAATGTATGTATACTTTGCAATGTTTTGAACATAGTAGGCTCAGAAAATGATGTTCAAATCATCCTCGAGCGATCCATGATATTATAAGCCTGTCAAGGTTGGAGGTTGTCGAGTAAATCCAAATACACAAACACGCGAATCATGAGTCACGCCCCGCGACCGCTGCCGAGCCAAATGGTGGCATCGGCATCAACTTCTACCTCCGAAATTGACCTCAAAGAACTCCGAAGCCACAGAGAAAGGAGACCACAAAGAAAAAAAAATTACGATCTGCAAGATCAAAACACCGGTGTTCCTGGCGTTTTGAAAATCTCTCTTCTGAAGCTTTGTTCACGATGGCGTCCGAGAAGAAAAAACTCCGCATCGCGAGCGTGGGGAGCTCCTTCGCCGCGGGCCCTGGCATTCCCCCGCAAATAAAGCCATTTGCTGCGGGGCGCTCAGGACAGAACTATCCCCATCTTCTAGCCAAAGAGTTAAACGCGGATCTCACCGACCTTTCGGTCTCTGGCGCAACCTTGCTGAACATCACAGCCGAGCCACAAGTCACAGCTTATTCGGATGCCGTGTTCCCGCCTCAGATTCTGTCTATTCCCGAGGATGCAGATATCATCACCATCACGGCCGGTGGGAATGACATCGGCTACATAGGCAACATGATTCAAGACGCTGCAGACGCGACTTATTCCCAAGCAAGCCTAGCAACGACTACCCCCCTCTTCGACGAGGAGTTTTCATTACCCAAGAGACTGGGCGACACCCTTGATAGGATACATGAAAAGGCTCCCAAGGCGCGCATCTATGTGGTCGAATACCTCGCTATTCTGGGTCCTTGCACAAAGCCTAAGGTTGACATCCCCTTCAATCAAGAGAGGATTGACCACCATTCACGGGTGGCGTCGAGACTGCAGAATGCTTATGCGATGGCAGTAGCGACGAGATCGGACTGGTGCGAAAGGGTACCTATCCACCAGCTCAGCTTAGATCACGCCCTTGGTAGCCAGGAGCCCTGGGTTAGCGGCTTTGATTTGAACTGGATGTCTCAGGGGGGAGTTGTCCTTCACCCTAACCTCGGTGGAATGCAGGCAGTTGCTGGCATTTTACTTGAAACAATTCGGAAGGAGACACCACGCCTATAATTGAGTGAAGGAGAATTTCCGATTTTGGACCCACGTCGATTGGTAATAGAGATCGAATTCAATAAATTGCCCCTTCTAGAGTCATCCTGATAATTCTACGCTATTTTTTCAATTTCTGAGCTGTTTTGCAATTAATTGCATGGGTTTCACATCACGTTCAGTGTGGGGTATTGGAATAAAAGGTTCTCACACATGCAGGAACACCCGGGTAGAGAGGTAAAATGCGTAAGGTACGCGCTTAATCAAGGGGAAAGATTTTTAACATGCGAAACAGATCGTCACTCCAATTGCTTAGCTAGAAGAAAAGGGGGCTCATTCTGGAGGTTCTGTCGTCAGTGACCCACATATTTCGCCCTTGAATCAGGAGAAACGTGCGATCCCCATATTTGCAAACACAGGTTGTATTGATTGCACAACGCTTCCAGATGTCCAATATCCGCCGACGGTTTCACGCCATGCAAATTTCACGTCCTCGCAAGTCCTTTTTCATTTCTGAGATTGCAATTTCCATTGACAGTAATTTCTTCTTCGCCGTGTCCATTTAAGAATATAAACTCTGCGCCGGCGATCAGACGGGCGATCGATTAAACTATAAGCTGGAACAGGAAATGTAGCACCCTCTCAAATCAGGATCGGCATTTTGTGGTTCCCATATCAACGCAAGGAGGTCCAGAACGTCATCTTGATCATTTGGAGGGGGGAATTCGGAGTCGGATCCAATCTGCAGGTTCGCCCAAGTGACCTTGTCCATAACATACTTGCACCTGGACTTGGCCCTCCTCCGCATCGCACCATAATTATACTCACGTCAACAACGTGCTGAGGTCGGCAGCGCCTGAGCTGCCCGATCACCACATGATGTTGATCGAATTTTTCTGGGTCTTTCCTGTGATCTCTGCATCGACATGGCTAAGTAAGTACTATGATTACTCCCCGGTAGTCACAGCTTCATCCTAACCAAAAACTGCAGCGATGCTTTCTGCAATGTTGACCCATTGGGTTGCCCTTGGCGAGCCAAGATTTGGTAGAATGAAACCTGGACAGACTATACCGTTAGTACTACTCAGTACCTCCCAAGGCCGTGCATCTTCTATTATTTAGTCGGGACTAATGTCATCTCACATGTAGGTTTATCTCTGACATTGGCGCGCGAGAGCTGAAACCATTGTTCATGGCTGGAAGCATCATCACGATGCTATTCATGAACATCTCATTCTACCAATTTTTACACCACAAGGAACATGTCAACAAGATATGCATGTACCTTTCATTCCTTTTTGCTATCTTTGGGAGCTTCGGACTCGTAATGCTGTCTGTCTTTGACAACCTCGATCATTTGATATTACACGACAGTTTTGTCGCTGTCTTCATGTAAGTCTTGTCTTCAAAGGACCCAGTGATCAAGCAGGATCGGTTACTTACTAGTACCTATCTGCAGGACGGGCTACATGATCAGTGCAGCTGTGATATGCATCGACTATTTTTATTTGGGCAAATCCAATCGCGTGAATAAACGTATGCTCATGGCGAGTTTTATGATCAAGGTTTCTTTTGTCATCGTGGAGCTGGCCTTCATTCTGGCATTTCGCATTACTGCTGGGCAAGGCACTATTGCGAAGAACACGGCAGCTATTCTCGAATGGGGTATGTGCGCTCCTTCCTGTTTGAGACGATTCTAACAATGAACTAACCTTTGCTCTGCCAGTTATTGCGTTTACCTTCACTGGCTATATACTTTCCTTTATCATCGATTTGCTACCGTCAGGACAAAAAGAGTCGAGCTCGAAACACGAATATCAACAGCTGGAGATGGATATGAGGAACTCGAGGCTGATGATTTGATTGAGAGATAAATTCTCTGTATATTAATTGCTGTAAAAATATATTTGCTCTATTCGCTATCACATGAGGAACACATGGAAAAAGAAACAAAAGTGAGGTAATAAGTAAGTACACACAGTATGTGGTGTGGGTTGGTTGGTGGTGATGGGTGCAGAAAATAAGAACAAAAAGAAAAAAAAGAAGAACATGTGGTTGTCTCACCAAGTAGCCCAATTTCTTGTAACAGGACGGTGTATTCTGGCGACGCCATCCCAGGGTGGAAATGTCTCTGCAGAATTGCTTCCCTCAAGGGTCATTTCCATTGCTTAGCGCCCGACAGCATCGCGGATTACTCGCGCGAGTGAAATGACGACCCCAGGATTCGTACCAGGCACCTGTACCTGCTGGCCAATTGACCGAAGCAAGGGCGCGGACTTGGCGGTGAGCCTTCCACTAGGTTATCCATGACAGATTACCAAATTTACACCGGTTTACTTTATATGACCCTCTTCAATTATACAAAAGTCAGATATTTCTTTTTCTTTCGAGTTCAAATTACCAGACTATACCCGTGAGCTTGATTCACTCATTCTACACTTCCTTTTCTCTCTTTCTCCCATAACCTGAAGACTGAAATTTTCTTTTTGCCATTTCCAAGGTACAAGGACGCCAAATCCGGTCCGGATCCAAAGTATATCAGGAACCATGGCCAACCACGAACCTCAAAATCGACAAATGGAATCGACAGAGAAAAAAAGTAAAAGAAAAAAAGAACAGACTTCAATTGGCATGAACCCGCGCTAGATTCAGTAGTGTCCTCATTTCAAGGATTATGACTTGGCAAAAATGTGCTTAACTACAATTTGCATAGCCTCGAGGCAAAAAAGGGACTTACATGACGTAGATTTCCCGGCGCCCTGGCGCCCGCTGCTCGGGAGTGGACGATCGGTTCATTATCCCCATACACCTCCACCCAACCATGGCCTGATCATGTGAAGTTGTGGAGATACTTTGCCATCCGCTTTCCTTTTGTCACTTTTTCCAATCCCCCATCGTGACCCTACCCCATTGTCAAGATGGCCCCATTCCGCAACTTCCTTGGCCGGAAATCCCAACCCAATGGCGGGGAACCGGACGGCTTCAACGAGAATAACGAGAACAACCCGCCCAGCCAACCCCAACGTCCTGGTCCCACACCGATCGAGGTACGGGGAAGTCAAGATGGCAATATCCCCGAGTACAAATTGAGTGGTAAGACTTGATCCCTAGTCGTCTTGCTCTGAGACGGTCATCATGGTCGTTACTAGTAATTTCCAATAAGAAAGGTTGTGCTAATCGTTAAAACAGTCGTGAATGACAGCGGCGTCTATCTTCCAGTATGACAACCTTGGTTGTTCTTTTTCTGCGATTGAATCTTAGTAACTAAACGATCTCTAGCCCTCACCACCAGAGAAGCAGAGCTTTTGGTCCCGCTATCCCGGATCAACGCGGTCGTCTCATCATCGCGACCTAGTGGATGAGAACGAACCATTCTCAATATCGCGCGAATCCTTCGACTCTTACCGTCGGTCTTTTGTATGGCACGCCCAGTCCTTCTGTTCCGGGACGCAAAATCACTAACAACAGCAGGACATTTCCGCCCGCGCCCCAGTAACCTACCCTGATGCCGTCCCATCCCGCACCTCCCTCGACTCCCGATTTTGCCGAGTCACATCACCCGCCATGCGAACCACAACCTTCCAAAAGCCCGACGCTATGAAAGAGGAAATATTTGAAGACGTGGGCCTGAATGATGAAGCCAAGCCTAAGAAAAAGGGTATTTTCGCACGATTTGGCGACTCTTCGGGCGATGCGCCATCATCCGGTAAATCTACACCCTTTGGGTTCCACATGCCCGGCAGGAAGCGTGGACAGAGTGGTGGAGGATCGGAAATGTGCTCTATGCCGACACCAGAGCCTGTGGCCGCATCTACCCCAGAGATTAATGCCGAATGAGCTTGAATGATTGATGAAACTTGCCGATAAGGCTCTGATTTATGGGAGGCGTTTTGGGTTACTTGGGGGAGGGACTCGCTCTATGCCGATATCCTGGAGCCACAAGGCTCCTGACTGATATGGGGATAAGAAGCCGCAAGAGTCAAACCAGCTTAAATTTTAATTTCGTTTGCGGACTCGCATTTTGTATATTTCTTTCTTATGCGGAGTGATGATAATCGCTGCAAGATCATGTCCCTCGGACAGCACATCTTTATTCATAGATGGATAACGTACACTGGCAAATGAGAACACGAAAGCATTTTCAAGAGTCATTTAAGCATAGAATAAAACCAGATATTTTACACCAACGTCGATTAGAATTTACTGTACACTTGTTGATAAACTACGCAGCACTAGTAGATATGAAACCGCCTTATCACTGCAAACCGTGCAAACAACCATGGAACGGCAAAAAAACTTCCTCCGCCCGCAAATCAAAAAAATTATCCTCGAACACGCCGAGCATCACCAGCTCGGATATTCACCCACGTTTTTTTTTAATAAACCGGTTCTAGAGACGTAGCCAAAGTCGCTACCTCACATCCACACAATGGCCGGTACCAAGCGCCCCGTCGATGCCAACGAAGACCGCAATGGAAAGCGGAGCAAGACCAAGCAGGGCTCCGCACCCGCGAAGAAATCCAAGGTCGCTGAGCCAGTGAAGAAGTCCAAGTCAAAGGACAGCAAGTCTGGAAAGAGCGACAAGAAGGCTTCCAAGAAGGTCCAGAAGGAGGAGTCATCCGAGGACGAGGACGAGTTCGATATTGACAACATCTCGGATTCCGACGATGATCTCGATGCGGTTGATGAGATTTCCGAGGAGGATGTTGATATGGAGGATGTGAGCGAAGAGAAGGAGCCCATCGAAAAGGATGAGGAAGAGGAGAAAGACGATGAGAAGCCACCCAACAGAAGTACGTTTTTAACAATAATCATGGTGGAATATTCGGACGAGAAACTAACATATGCCTGCTTTTTTTTTCTCCAGACCCCAATGCGAATGCCTCTCGCGAGTCCCACATCAAGCAAAAGGCTCTCCAACAGGAGCGCAAAAACGCAAAGCCCAATGCCGATATGATTGCCCGTTCCAAGAAACTCTGGGAGCAGCTGCGCCGCAAGTCCCACGTCCCACTTGAGCAGAGAAAGAAGCTCATCAAGGAGCTGTTCGAGATCATTACTGGCCGTGTCCGTGACTTTGTTTTCAAACACGACTCTGTGCGCATCATTCAAACCGCTTTGAAATACGGAAACCTGGATCAGCGCAAGGGAATCGCCCAGGAATTGAAGGGAAGCTACAAGGAGTTGGCTCAGAGCCGCTACGCCAAGTTCTTGGTTGGAAAATTAATTGTCCACGGTGATTCAGAGACTCGTGATCTGATCATTCCTGAGTTCTACGGATATGTCAAGCGCCTCATTCGTCACCCGGAGGGTTCTTGGATTCTCGATGATATTTACCGCACAGTCGCCACAAAGGAGCAGCGCACAAGAATCTTGCGTGAGTGGTATGGTCCCGAGTTCATTCATTTCCAGGATGACAAGGAGAAGTCCTCTGATCTTCGCAAGATTCTGGAGGCCCACCCGGAGAAGCGGGCTCCCATTATGAACTTCCTGCGCGAGTTGATCAACCAGCTTGTTCAGAAGAAGTCCACCGGATTCACTCTTTTGCACGATGCTATGTTGGAATACTTCCTTGCCACCAAGCCTGGTAGCACTGAGGCGAATGAGTTCATTGAGATGCTGAAGGGCGACGAGGAAGGTGATTTGGCGAAGAACATGGCTTTCACTAAGTCCGGTTCCCGCCTGATGAGCTTGACCCTGGCCTATGCCAATGCCAAGGACCGCAAGCTGCTTTTGCGTTTCTACCGCGATACCATCAAGGCCATGGCTGGTGATATGAACGGTCACATGGTCTTGCTTGCCGCCTACGAGGTTATCGATGACACAAAGTTGAGCTCCAAGGCCATCTTCCCCGAGCTTCTGAACCAGAACGAGCCCACGGAAACCCGTCTCGAGGAATTGCTCTACCAGATCAACGACCTGACTGCCCGTGTTCCCATCCTGTTCCCCTTCGCTGGTGACCGCGTTAAGTGGCTTCTGCCCGAGCAGGACCACGAGGTCCTCAAGGAGGTCCGTGAGGTCCGTAAAGAGACTTCCAAGAAGGATGCCTCCATCCGTCGCGAGGAGTTGGTTAAGGCCGCATCTGCGACTATGCTTGAGCTTATCGCTGCCCGCGCCGAGACTTTGTTGGAGACCACCTTCGGTTGTCAAGTCATCGGTGAGGTTCTATTCGAGGCCGACGGTGACAAGAGTGCCGCTCTTGCGGCCGTGGCCCAGGCTGCCAAGGCCAAGGCTGACACCCCAGACTCCTCCGTCGGTCGTCTGCTCAAGTCACTTGTGCAAGGCGGTCGCTTCAACCCTGCCGAGAAGACCATCGAGAAGGTGGAACCCGCACTTAACTTCCACGGACTGCTCTACGAGCAAATCCGTGATGAGATTGTGGAGTGGGCCACCGGAGCCAACGTTTTCGTGATTGTTGCTATGGCTGAATCCGATGACTTTGAGAAGAAGAGCGAGCTGCTTAAGACTCTCAAGAAGAACAAGAAGGCGCTGGAGCAGGCCTCGGCGTCGGGCGCAGAGGGCAAGAAGGCCGGCCCGACCAGCAGCGGTGCCAAGTTGTTGTTGCAGAAGCTATAAGCATCTAGCGAGTATGATTTTTTCTTTTTCTTTTGATGTAATATGTGTTACTTAAGGTATAAAAGGAGTTTGCGACCAAAAAGCATACAATTATTTTTTTCTTATTTTTTTCCTTTTATTTTCCTTTATTTTCCTCTATTTTTTTTTCATTTCTTTTTAGCCTGTATATCAAAGGTATTTTTCCCTTGCAAAGTAACACGGGAGCACTTGAGCACAGATGTACCTGGAAATTAAATTCCCCACCAAGTGGAGCTTTCCATGGATTAAAACCGCGGCTCTCAGGGGTTCGTTCCATGCAATGCTCAGCACTTGTTCGAATCATTTTCTATTGCAACGCATTTACGAGTCAAGCTGAGACATGCCTTACTTTGTGGGGCTCATCGTGCATTTGGTGCGAACATTGATCCCTGTCGTTGAAGCTGCAACCGAGTGCAATTGAAGAATTGATTGAATGTTACCTCGAGTAGGAGAGACGCTAAGACAGTTCCACTAAAATCAAACTTGCCGGTAATTAAACCTAAGAGCTAAAAAACAATGGGGATTGTCAACATGTGTATACATTGGAAGATTCAAGGGGAAAATGGACAATATGTGTATGGCTCTATAGAAGTAGGTCTAGAAGAAATATGGCATTGGTCCAAGTGGATTCAATTGGCTTTAGAAATGTACGATGGATATGAAAAAAATTGTAAACAAAAACAAACAGCACAAGAAAATAAGACAATAAGAAAAAAAAAAGAGGTCAAGTTTACTCCGTTCATCTTCAAAGTCCCAAGTCTTGCCCAATCAGGCAATGATCATTTCCCACGCTAAGCCGTATCCAACCCACACGTTAGGGGCAGCTTTTTCCAGGGTAAAACCAGACCGAGTTCCAGCGATTCCAAATTTCCTCCTCCAAATAATCCCCAAGGTTGCGTCGGCCCAGGGCCCCAACCTTTCCCCCGCATGCCCTCCCTCACTCTGACCGACCCGGACATGATCCTGCCGTATGACGGTAGCGAACGCGAATCCTCTACTCCCTCTCCGCCCTCCCAGCTCGTCTACCTCTCCAATCTGAACGCCCGCTACAACTCCTCAGACCATGCCGGCTCCAGCGTAGGCGCCTCAGGCAACCGGGCCAAGAAGAATTTTTCGCGAAATGCCTGGTCCCACGAGGACGTCACGCCCAACCCGAGACGATTGTCTGATATCGGGGAGGAACTGTCGCCTGCGCGTTTGGACGGGTTTGATGAGGAAGACTCGGACCAATATCAGGGGCACGTGGAGGCGCACGTTGCCATTCCTGACGCGAAGGAAAATGCAACGTGGAGTAGCTCCAACTCCACTGTTAGCGCGGGAAGTGCACGCCCAAGAGAAGTCGTCTCGCCGGCCACTGTTCGTGGGGTGTCGCCGGCTCAGGATGAAATTAGAAATGCAAATGCGAATGCGAATCACATGCTGAGTCGCGATAATGAAGAGGTTAGGAAGGTCTTGTCGCCCGATACCGCTGTCAATTTGTCGGGCAGTAGTCCCATTGTTACGGCTGCTGCTACGGGCAAGGGTCCCGGAGAGGATTACTCGTCGGCGATATTGAGTAGCGAGGCGGAGAGGATTCTGGAGAATGCAAAGAAACGATTAACGGTATGTGGGGGATCGGCGCATTGTGAAATCAAATCTCCGAGGAATGCTGGCTGACTCTTTATTCTTTTTCTTACAGCTCATGGAAGGCAATTTGAATCGCGCTCGTTCCACTACGCGCCTCACACCTTCGCCTTCGCCCTCTGCGCCTGGGAATATTCAGCCGCTCGGCGCGCACCAGCCGGCTGGTGGCCTCTATCGATCGATTTCGCGAGCTGATCGCAGGGCATCCACACTTCGGCGACAGTCGTTTGTAAGTTCGCAGGACGCTTCGAACAACAAGCATTCGCGGGTGCACAGCGACACAAATTTCCCTCCCGAGTCGAGTTTGTCGAAGGATCCGAAGCGCGCCTCTCGCTCGGTCAGTGCTATGGGTGCCAGCACTTCGTCATTTCACCATGATGATCGATCGTTCCAATATGAACCGACGCGCGCGTATTTGACGCACCGGTCGTCGATATCGTCTGTCAGGCCACCTTATTCGGAATCCCCACAGCCGGCGGATTCACCCCAGCTTATTGAATCCCCCGTTCCAGAGGAGAGTAGCTCTTCTGACTCGCCAACTGGACTGGGCATCTCGGCAGATGACGAGTCAAGCTCTAATCCGGGAGATTCAAGTCCGGTGTACGGCTCTTCTGGCCCTCCTAGTCGTGCCCAGTCTCAGTTGCAGGTGCGTGACTTGCAATACCAAATGAAGGGACTTCATATCAAGATCTCCTCTCTCAAAGTCCGGAGCCAAGAGGATAATATGCGTCGTCGAAGCCTACAAAGTCTGCGCACCCCTAGTCCATTAACTCAGGCCGATGCTTGGTATGCCAATGCCCTGGAGCTGAGAGAAGGTCAAAGCAGCCGTGGGTCTAATGGTCGACGCGATGTCAGCTCAGAGCATGCTCGCGAGGCCCATTCTTCTAATGAACGACTGAATGCGGTCAAGCGATCAGAGCGAACAGAGGAAAGTCCCGTGGACCGCAATCGCGCGAGTCTTTCCCAGGCCCCAGAAGCCTGGCAGAGGCCAGATAGCGAGAGGCAAGATGACGGACGCCAGTCTGTTGCTGAGAGTCTATACGAAGACGCCGAGGAAGGGGACTTTGACGATGGCGATATTGACCGTGAGGCGTTGGATGAGATCCTGCGAGAACCACTAGATGAGGATCTCGAAAGCCTGGATGAATTCCATGAGTTCCCTAGTGTAGACACGCGGCCGCACGAAGAGCGCGAAGACGCCTTCGACTACGAGCATTTTATTCTCCACAGCGCCCTTGGCAACTACTCCCGTCAGATTCGCCGTCCAAGTCAAAGCTCCCGTGGCTCGGTCGAGACGACGCGACCAAACCGGTCGGTGCGACACTCGCGTACCAACAGCGCCATGTCCGTCTCCACAGTGGCTACGTTCGCCACAGCCATGGAGGGTGATGTGCCAGAAATGCCAGAAGAGGAGGATGATTTGTTATACTGGGACCGCAAGTTCAACCACGGTATGTTTGTTTCCCCCTCGCTTCCTGATATTACTCCAACTGACACTATGACAGAACTCCGCCATCGCCATTCACAAATCCGCCAAGCACACCCCATGGAGACTGACCGCTCCGAGACGCCCCGTGGGACTCGGGCAGACCAAGATGGCTCTGCAAATGTGGAGGATCCGCAGCTGACTCCACGTCGCGTGGACATGACCGGTCGCTCCTCATCCGCTACCACCGGCTCAGCAACTCCAACATCGCTTGTCTCGTCGCTCGTTTCTACTGTGCGCGCGGCTTCGAGCCCGCACCCAGGCTCTGTGACCCCAACCTCGGCGGGTGGTATCAACGACGACGATACCCAGATGCTAGAGCAGCTGTTCTCGAGCCTGGGTAACGTCTGCATGGATCTGCAGGCCATCACGACCTCTCCTGATCCCGATCTCAAGGCTGCTCGGATCCTTCGACGACGACTGGATGCGGCGCGAAGAGTGCTGGATGGAGAACTCGATACTTGATCTGTTCTCCTTCTCGTTCTCGTCACCACTGGGCATCTACCATCTTCCTTTCTCATTTTCAACCCTTCCACGGCTTCGTTGCTGTGTGTATCATGCTTCTGTACATGTCTTTCGCTTCCGATCTGGCCTTTTCATCTTTTACTTCACTATGATACCCAATGATCTTTTTTTTCATTTCCTTCTCATATTCCTTGTCTTATTTCCGTTATGTACGATTGGCCCATAGTGGCATGATTCCCCAAGCCTTTACTTTGTTTTAAATTTTCAACTACGAATACTTTCAATAGATTGTTCAGAAAGAGAAGAAGAAAAGAAGAAGAGGAAAAGGACATCCATACTACATACACATTTCTAGTTTTCCCCTTACTACACTGATGAGTAACTGGACTCACCCCCCACTTCGGACGCGCACAGCAAATAAAAGCAGCACGACGATCCACCAAGGACTACACAATGTAAGCGCGAAGCAGATACACATACACGATCTACAACTTCCCTAATCCGACCCTGATATAAATTCAACCAAACCCAGCATTTCGCAAAAACATCCATCAAGCGCAAGTGTTGTTGTCCCCCCCCTTTTCTGCCCCGCGATTCCCTATCCGGGCAATCAATCGCCGATCAAGACGCGATAAGCAGCCTCTGTCGCGCAGAACGTGGTAAGCATCGCAAAGAAAAAGCAAAACGCCAAAAGCAAAACAGTAAGATAAAAACCATCCCATTCGCAAGCAATACAAAGTAATGAATAAACAGCACAAGCTTACTCCTAGATCCCAACTTAGACCAGGGCGCAAGCGCTCCCAAGCGCAGAAACCCCCACCAAAGCAGCGCAAAAAAGTCCTTCGGCTTTCGCGATATCAAAGATCGGCTCGATATTCGCGCTCAAGCATCCAAGGCTTTAAGAGTCTTGCCTTTCAGGCTTCCAAAATCCCGGAACAAAAGAAGTTAAAATAAAAATAAAAAATTCACAATGAGCAGGCCACCTCATCAACCCTCGCGCCGTCTCCTCATCTTCCAGGAGACGCGCAACCCGCAAAACACAGCGGAGATCGTCTACCTCCCCGTCAACAAACTTGGTTTGCCGGTCTGTGGCGATGGGCCGGAACTGCCCTCTATCTTGGAACTGCCGTTGCGGAGCTTGAGGTTTTTTACTGAGCTTTTTAATCAGCCTAAGTACAAGGGATGGTATGTGTTGTGTTTTACCTGCTTTTATGTTTTTTTATGTGTTTTTATGTTCCTTGTTCATCTTGGTAACCTGGTTCGCTTCTTTTGAATTCGCACCAGTGTTCCAATAGATATGAGCTAAGAAAACTACCAAAGCTGGGCTATGGGCTAATTTGATCCTCGCCTTACAGGGCCGTCCACTCGGCTGGTCCTTACCATGATACCTCCGAAGAAGGCAAATTCTACGCCGTGGTGCTGGAACAGAACCAGGTGCATACAGTGCAGACGGAAGGGGCTATGGGGTCATCGATGGGATCGGCTTGATTTGATTTGTACATTGTGTTTGTCTCTCTTGCTTTGTTGTTGTTGATGATGATGATGTGTTAGTACTTTGCTTCTATTCCCGGTCCTGCTACGCCTTTTAGATGGCTTGCTTTGGGACTCCAAGTTTTTTTCTTATTTGTTTAAATATCCTGTGGAATACGTGATATGCTTTGAGAAAAGCCATTGGGGGAAACCCTGACCACTGTCTGCCTTTTGGTACACATGTATGTACACCTGCTGACTCGTACTTATACATTTTTGGGCTGGTGGATGTCTTCGATGGGTCTCAAGGTGTGAATGCTGTGTTTGTATACATATGTATTGATAGATATCACGCACGACCAACGACATAGAGAACAACTGGTACTTGAGTTGTTTACCAACGATCTAAATACTCACAGCGATCAGTTAGCTCCGCTTAACGAACATTATGTAGACCCAACCTATTAAATTGCTACTAGTAGGAAGGGAACTTCTTTCCCTTTTCCTCCCTACAACCCCAAAATTGATACAGTTTCTATCGTTCCCGTTTCAAATTCTCGTCCTTTTGATTAACCCGGTCAAGTGGATTTGTTCTCCCTGTTTGTTTGTTTGTCCAGTAGCCGAGCGTGCAAATGGGACGTGTGATGGTGTGAAAAGTGATGGTGGGAGACATCAGTAGTAGTTACTAAGATCTTGATACTTGGGATTATGGTGGGCAGTAGTAAATTACTAGGTGCACGCAAATTTCGTTAGGGAGAGGGGCAATCGGCCAATCGTGAGCGGTCTTGGCGTTCGGGAGCGCGCGTTGCCTTTCTAACCATGTAAAAAGGCGGTGTCATTATCGGCAAATTGCGTGGCAATAGCCGAGGTCAAACTTTGGATTAATGAAAGCGTGAAAAGCGTGACAAGCGTGAAAAGCATAAAAAGAACTGTCGGCCATTCAAACTATCTGAGCCTGGACTCTAGAGAATGCATTAGCTATACCACTCTGCAATTGAAGCTGGGGTATACGCTGCGGATTGGGTGCGGATCGGGTTTCTATTCATGCACAATATTCTTACTCACATTCCATTGCCAACCTTCTGAACATTTGAATATTGATATCCGGTTGCACAATTCGAAGCCATCATCCAATAGATTTGTTCTCCCTGTTTGTTTGTCTCTCAGTAGCCGAGCGCGTTGCTATTGAGAAACAGTGGAGAATCAAGGTTTGCTTCGGTCGAACGAACTACATATCTACTAACTTACAGTGAGATAAGTGAGAGTACAGGCCCCACAAGGAAGAAATGTTGGGAAACCACTTTAGGTTCCACTATTTTTGACCCCTCTCCACTGTATTTAGAGGCAGCTTGAGATAATGTATATCGGGGGACTTTGATGGGCAACTGGAGATCATTTTCGATGTCGGTGTTTCGTAAGCATGCATTAGTCTCAAGAAGTCACTGGCAGGTCACAACGCGAGAAGCAAGGGATATACGTGGGAATCATGAGTGGGAATCATGAGCGTAAACGGAGTGAACATTTCACTTCCCAGGGCGGTAAAGTGAGCCCATAAAAGGGTACAAATGTCACCTGGGTACTCAAGTAGCAGCGTTGGCACGACCTACAAGAAAAAAAAATTGACAGACATGGCCTCGCTTCTTGGCACGTACTTTGATCGTTTCAAGTTGGTTAAAGCTCTCATGGTAAGATATGCTGCAACTCAGTATACGCAGGCTTCTTCACTATTTGATTAAGACCACGTGCTAAAAAGAGACCGATGAAGGTAGTAATTCTTATGGCAACCACGTATGACTATGTCTCGGGTCGCTTATGGGCTCTCTCTGTTATTAGATCAAATGATCTTCAAAGCCTCACAGAGGCCAAGGAATTCTCTATCTACGACATCAAGTTTCGGGATGTCTTGAGGAACTGCGAAGACGCCGTTATTATTGAGGGGCAGGGCGCAGCAATATTGAGCTGCGATCCGGGAAGAGATCAATGGAACACTGTCATGGGAACAGCCTCGAAGAATACTTCGGCAATTCCAGCTGGAGGGCTCTTTCTGTATCGCTATGACGAGTCAAAGCATCCAAGTAATCACGGAATCTTTCGGATTGAGCTTCAACATTATGCTGATGAGAATGAATTTCATCCTCTTGGCATTGAGTATCATCAGTCCAGCTATACTCTTCTAATATCCAACCACCATTTTGAAGGTTCACGGATCGAAATATTCAAACTCGATATCATCTCTCACAAACCGGTGGCCAAACATATCAGCACAATCATGCACCCCCTTATCAGGACACCAAATTCGATCAGTGCTCTGAGCGAGCACGAGTTTTTTTTTAGTAATGATCATTACTTTCGAGTTTTGGAGAACCCGATGTTGGCTAAAACCGAAACTTACGGCGCCATTCCATTGGGAAGCATCGTCTATGTGAATATGCATAGTGAATCGATCTTTTCGCTCAAGTCGATCGTCAACATGCCATACCCCAATGGCATCACTCTTCTCAACGCGTCTATGCTTGCAGTGGCATCAACCAGTTCCTGTGAATTCAGATTGTATAAGATCGGGTATGACAAAGAATTGGAGTTGAGCTCGACGGTCAGAGTGCCGTTTATGCCCGACAACCTATCAATCGACCAGAAGGGAAAACTGCTAATCAGCGGTCATCCCCATCCGCCGAGTTTGGAGAAGATGGTAAAGCAACGAGCAAAGTGCTTGGAAAGTATTTCTGCTGATCGAAGCAAGTGTCATATTATGGGTGTTCCGAGCTGGGTGATTGAATGGACAGAAGAACAAGGTATAAAAACTTTGTATAGAACCGCGGGCGAATTTGGATCTAGTGCTACAACTGTAAGAGATTATGATTATGGGTTAGGCTTGATAACAGGTCTTTATGAGAGCGGAATCTTGGTCTGGAGGGATTGAATAAATAAAGAGTCTTTCGTCAGAATTAAATACTACGCGCTTAGTATTATTGCACGTGGTCATCATCTGGTCTTGATGTGAATCCCAGCTCTACTATACTAGCGTCAAATCACTGTTATCTAGAAAATTGACCTCTGAACAACCTGCGTCTTCTTGCCCCGCCTCATGAGATTTACTTGCCCTTTAGTGTCTTGTATAAGTCAAGTATGGAACAAATGTATGAGGGGCAATTGGGAAACAGAGGCCGTCACCAGAAAAACACTATAGGGGCGCCGAGAAACCAAGCCACCAATCGGGCATTGACTTCTATAGTGCTTAACAATTGTCTATACGAGAATAAACCATCCTGCCCAGACAGAGACGAGGCAATCGCCTATATCAACCAATACTATTCCGTGAAATTCGTCCACATGGACAAGACATCTGATCCTCATGCTTGGTACTGTGAGACGTGCGACGATGCTTTCGTTGTCTAGTATGATACCGATGCTATTTGGGAGCACCTCTCGCGTTACCACAGTGAAGCTCTTATCAATTCTACCGACTTGTCGTGAGGGAATGAGGTTACATACTACTATTCATATAATTCACTTGCGTGGTTTGTCTCCAGAGGGACCAACTTGAGTACATACGTCAATAAGTAGGTACCATATGTAGTAGGTATTCCGGCCGTCTTTAACTTAAAAATGCTGAATCATTCAAGTTCATGCTAAATGTCGGATATTTCATCGCGTCCCGAGGTCACTAACTACCACGGTCATTGGATAACAATATGTAACATCCATAGGCTGAGTAAAAACTATTCAAATCTTAAAACGCAAGGGTTACCAGATATCCAGTCGACAATCGCACACCGAAACCCCTCAACACCACGTATCCTCCAGCAAGGTCATCAACCCTCGGCTAAAGATACTTACATAAAAATAGAGAACATCGAAAAGCTAAAACTGATTCAAATCGGACGAGAAGACGCTGGAATTTCAAGAGTTGGCAGGGAGCAGCAACCGGGCGCTGTGGTGAAGATCGAGGGAACGGGAATCAGATGGATCGAAGAGTGCATTGGCACGTTCCTCAAGGTAGTAGGCTATAAGAAGAAACGAGTCAGTATCTGTATCAGAGAGGGAAGGGGAGAGGAGGGGGAGGAATCCTAAAAAACAAGTCAAGCAATTGGACATACGGGAAATTTGAATCATGTCGAACCAGCGCACGGCATTTTCGTCACTGCCTTCAGCAGCCTTCAAGTAGCCACTTTCGGGGCGGACGGTTGTCTTGGGTGGGAGACTGCGCATCCGCAGGAGCATGTGCAAGATGTCTGCAAACTGCTCGGATTGGGCGTAGTAGTAAGGGGGACGCTTGTCCAAGGGCCAGCGCTGAGAAAAGCTCTCATTGTCCCAGGAGCGGAAGAGCCAGCATGTACGCTCAACGCAGTTGAGCAGAACCATAGCCACAAGGAATGTTTCGAACCAGCCGGTCTTCTGGCGTTGCAGCAAGCGACGCTCCAGATCATTGATGACGGATTTGCTCAGCTGCATCGCACGCTTCTCCATGGCAGCACGAAGTTGGCTGCAAAGCAAGGCGTATGACTCGGGTTCTGAGGCCTCCTCGATTGGCAGGCGGCCCTCATCATTGGGCTGAGAAAGCGAGTGCATCGAGGTTGGGGGAAGAGTAGGGTTGCAGTATGTCTTCCATCCAAGTTCGGTATCCACAAGGATATGGGTGGCAACCCAGAGCTCAACTGCACGTTCCAGCAATGTGTCCTATGCATGTTAGTAAGTAGATGAATGGTCACATTCTTGTGAGAGTACTAACCTTCTTAGACTGTCCCAGTTCAGCAGCCAAGAGTAGTGTAGGCTTCATGAAAGTCGAGGTTTCACGCTCAAAGAAGAATGGAGCAGTCTTCTTGATGTACATCTCCAGTTTGCTGGGAATGTCATCTGCGTCACTGTCCAGCAGGTAAACCTCATGCGAAGGACCAGTGAACTGGTCATCACCCAGGCCTGAGAGCGCAGGGTCGAGAGCTGAAACAGAATTGTGGTGGCCTTGGAGACCACTGATTGTAACGAATACTCCACTTTCTTCCAGGTGGGTCACTTCGATGCGACCAATGTAGTGTTCGAACTTGACCTGGTTCTTGATAGCATTTGTATCATGGTAGGCAAGGGTAGCATGCAAGTCTGCAATATGTTAGTGTGGAAGCCAAGGCGGTCAAAATCCAGGAATACATACTGGCATTGTAAAGCTCGAACTCTTCGGAGAGACGAGTCCGAATGCAAGGATGCTTCCACAGTCGAGCACTTTCGACGCTGGCGCAAGTTGTACAGGGAGTGTCTCCAGAGCACTAATAATCTCGTTAGTATAAGATGATTTTTTTCTTTTCGTTGAAGAGGCAATTTTTTTCTTACAGGTTTCTTCAGCATGCGGCAACGAATGCAAGCACCTCGCTTTCGCACTTCCTGAACCTCACGACGTCGCTCGGCAGTGAAGCGGCCCCGTACCTTAGGCTTTGTTGGCTTAGTCGAGTTGCCAAATTCATTCACAAATCCCTTGGCTTGTGTATTGGGGTTCATGGCAATGGGGCGCGGGTATGAAGCAGCACGTTGGGTGGCAGCGGTCAAGGACGGATCGTGTTCTTGCAAACTATCGAAAAGCAGCTGTTCTTGGGTTGACAACTGCTGGTTCCACTGACTCATTTTCAAACCCTCACCAAGATGATCACCATCCATCAAAACTCCCTGCGGGACCATTTCATTAGCCGAAGCTGCGATCATCGAGAGCGACTGGCGCGCATTAGAAGCGGAATCGGGTGTCATGGAGGTGTCATGGAGAGGTGGAGACATAGAAGCATGATCTCCTGAGGTGTGACTGGGAAGGGCCGGGATTGTGGGAGGGTTGGACTGAGAGCCTGCGCGTCCATTGTTAGTATCCATGACGTCCAGAAAAATCAGGCAATAGACATACCTTGGCCGTTGTCATCTCCCTTATCATCACCCTGACTTTGACCCTGGAAGCCCTCGGCCTCAAGCGCCGGATCGACAATGACTGTCTTGCCACCGGCCGTCACGGACTGGGTGTATGCGGGGCCACGCTTGGTGGTGTCAGATGCACCTACCTGGCGAGAAGCCTCTGCCAGCACGTTCAACCCGTCGAAATTCGGACGATTCGGGTTTGGGAACCCATCCTTATTTTTACCTTGTGGCGCGTTAGGGTCTTTGTTTGCGTCCTCGGTCAGGTCGGGGAGTTCGTGGAGTCGTAAGAGTACGCGCTGGCGGTCACGGAGGGGGATAGCCTGGCACTTTTTGACCAGGTGATTGGTGAGACTATCGATACGGCCCTTGGGAAACCGTTCACCACAAGCTTTGCAAGTATGTTGGTATCGGTTGCTTGAATCTTCGAGTTTTGGTCCTCGGTTGAAGAACTCAAGAATGAGTTGGTTGGGTTTGCGTCCCATTTTTGCGCGGGATCAAAAGAGGAGACTTGGCTTTGAAGGAACTTTCTTGACTAGTGTCAATCTACCTCTTACTTTAGAGAGCAGACGTTGTTGGTTCTGTCCAATCGCAGTGTGATGTTTCCTCGAAAGATGGATTGCGCAGACGCGACCAGGCCCACCACAACAAGACGCGGGTTTGGGGTGAAGTTGATGAGGCGAATCGTTCGGAGGGGGTCGACGTGGCACAGGATGCCCACGCCCAGGATCCAAAGAGGACAGGACCACAGAAGACCAGGCTTAGCCTGAGCTCGACTTTCGAGAAATAATATCTCAACACGATGTGCGGCAAAACTGGGCAGTAGAGGGCGGTCTGGGAATCACAAGGGGGGAAATGACAACGCGACGGCTTCACCGCACGCAAGGCGGTGATGCGATCAAAAGGCGGTGATGGGGAAGCTCAAGGCGGTGATGAAATCGATTGTGATGTCAAAGACGAAATGGAGATGGAAGACAACTTTGGGATAAGTTGCTGGGGTGGGGAAACGAGATGGGGAAAAAGGGAAAGAGAATGACGAGAGGGAAGGTCACACCTGAAGGGACTGAGAGCAGTAGAGGGAAAATTCGTTTATGTTAGACACTTTTTTGATTCTACATTGACTTTCAACCCACACATTATATCTGCGGGCTATTTTTCGACTTGTATTTTTCTTATAAACCCCCTCGTTCTATTTAGAGAACCTTTGTGGTTTCGATAAATTAAATGTCTTTTTTTTTGGTTATTTAATTTTTCGAAATGGAAAAAGAAAAATCTTGCAATAACAGTAAAGAACTCGAGAGAACAATAGAGCTTATTAACAAATCCGCTGTTCAGCAGGTCGCCACGGCACTTTCAGCAATGCAAAAATTCGACGCTCATCTCGACTCTCGAGCAATTGGCCCGGATTGATCTTAACCCGCTGCGCGTCGCGTAGCACATTGGCAAAGAGCCCGCGCTGATTTAAACATAGCCCTTTCTTTCGAGCCAAGAGTCGCATGCTACGATTGAAAATGTCATTGCCAGTGAAGTAGATCAAGGCCGCCCCAAATTCTGCCCCAGGCACAAAGAGTAGATCAATGCGCCGCCAGATTGAGCTACCAGGGAGGCTCGACGCCCCATGCCATTTGGATCCATCATGATCATGTTTTTTAGAGGTGGCAAGTCCAGCTTGCAAAAACCCATCCTTGAATAATTGAGGTATCACTGTGTCTGTCATAAGACATCGTATCTGCTCTAACGTGGCAGTGGGCTTGGTGATGAGAACGTCGACATCTCCCGAATTCAGTGCCCCGCGGCGGTAAGAGCCTGCAATGATCACCTGCATGTCGCAATCCACTGACTGTACGGCCTTTCGGACGATCGCCCCGTGGGCTTCAACCTCCTTGCGTGGGATTCGCTGCATAAAGTCATTGTAGTGTTCCACCCCAATACGTTGGTTTGTGGACAGAGGCGCTCTCTCAAGGAGATCGTTAAGGGTCCGGTATCCCTGAGCCAGCCATTTGGACGCCTGGGAGAGACCGGCACCATAGACCCCGAGAAATTCTTGAAGAATACGGTCTTCGGCGGTGTAACTTGTGTTGTCATATTGCCGAAGTCGGTTGGTCAGCACGATTTCCTCGATCTTGTCGGCCAATCGCTCTCCGATGCCAGGAATAGCCCGGGCCTGCTTTCGTGTAACTATCTTCTCGGTCTGTCTGCGCAGGGCATTGATGCCCTTGCGGTAAGCGAGGTTGCGCCAATTATCCCCCGTCCGCTCATAGTAATCGCACATTTGCTGCAGGATCTCGATGGTTTTGTTGTTGGCGCTTTCGTTTTGGGTGCCAGGGTCGAATTTCTGCATACACGCCATGCTCTTTGCCCAAGACTCTGTTCTCTCTATTCTGGGAGCTTTGGGCGTCTTCCGAGCCCTGTCAGACTCCGAAGCAGTAGAGTCATTATCGGAGCCATCCGTGTCTTCATCAGGGGAGTCGAAAGAATCGAGGGGCTGGTGACCTTGGTGAGCTTTAAATCTTAACAATGGTGGACTTTGGTGGTTACCAAATGGCTCGTCGCTTTGGACTCATCTATTATGTCGTCCAAGGCATCTCTTTCCCGAGGTTCTGGGTTGCGAGCGATATTCGGTGCGGACTCTTGTACAGGTTCACTAGGTGGTGATGTCAATACAGGACCAACATTGCGCGGAACGTCTTCTTGAGAGTCTTGAGTTGGTGTCTGTTCCTTCTTTTCCTCTCTCTTGGATTTCTTCACAGGTAAAGAGTCTGCGGACTCAGACTCGGCTTCTGCGGGTGAAGCTTCTGGTATCTTTTTTGCGGTGACCACCGGGGTTCCCTCGACACAAAATCGACCATAATGTGGACTTAATACCGTGCGAAATTTGATACAGTCCGATGGGTACACCTCATTGACTATAATGACGTTTTTCTGCGATCATGTCAGCAAGAAATAAAATGAGTCGCTAACCAAGTATGCACTAACAGGGAAAGTCTCCAGTTTCAGGTGGGTTAGAAGATCCTGATATGACAGGGATTTGTCTACAATAACATGGGTCACTTTGTCTGATCCTTCCCGGGCCCATTGGGCACCATATTCCTGCGCTCGCTGAATTCGAAGCCGACGAGGGGGCGAGGTATCACTGTTAGGGAAGAAAACTAGATTCATCAGCAAAATCCCAGAAACCAGAATTAATTTTGAGCTACTCACAAAATACCAAGTCTCTGAAGATTTGCTGATCTTCAGGAACCACCTTGGTGTTTTTGTTTGGCTTTCTTTTCTTCGAAACAGGACCTCCGCTCTTTGTGTCCGGCATACTTCCAGTAGTCGAGACCCGTTCAAGAGCTCTCACTCCGAGGCTGTTTGATTGCTCAACCCTGTGTGGGTTTTTGATTCCTGTCTCCTCTTTAGACTTTTCGGGATTATTTGCGGATGATGGCTTTGGATCCGTGTTTGCTCGGACAAGAACTGGAGGCTCTGGGGAAAGTGAAACGGTGGCAGCAGCAGCAGTTGGAATTGGGATTTTTGAAGGTTTCCGAGCAGCAAAACGCTCGAAAGAATCTTCCTCTTCGTCATCAGTGTCTTCCAGATGGTCTAGTCTTTCGAGGGCAGCGAAAAAGCTGCTCTTGCTAAGTTGCGCTCGTTCCATGGTGAGATCCAAGATTAGTCCGGTTTCCAATTACAAGAGTCACGTCTCATCCATAGATTATTCATTGCAGTTTCCGAGATGAGTTAAGAAAGACTGGTTCACTTTAGGCAGCTCCGGCGCTGCAGTTGGCTGGTCGACGGCGTTCCACGCGGTCCACGACGCGCGAAAGTGTCACCAAGTCACATGGAAAAGTCTATTTGTCCGAATTCATTTGGCATTTGGTCGTTTCTGTTCAACTAAAATGTACTGTTTAATCAGTTTTAAATATCTGGAGTATAGTATACACCTCACAATACGTACATACGTACTACTATATAGTATATAATTTTGGGATTTTTGCCTGCATTTATCCTTGGGGCTTCAATTAAGTGTTCCGACTCCAGGACTCCGCGACCGATATACATTTTTGTCAGATATGCACGTATATGTACCTATGTAGTAGTAGGTACCTTTCGAATCAATACCTGGACAAAGCCTGTCAGCTCAACTTCGATACCTTCGAAAATCAAAATCAAATTCCCAAGTAAGTATTCAATGTTATCATTTTTCTAGAACAGAACGTTTGAAAGCATAGATCAACGTGACCAAAATGGGGCTCTCGAATCCGATCAGGTGACCTGCTCTTTCCCGTTCGGGAATTTTTGGATGCCGCAGCTGTCACCATCGCGACTTCCGAATTTGCCCATTAAGCCTTCCTCAATAACTGTCAAAGTACTTCAATATGTGGAAGTCATCAATGCCCACATACCAAATCCTGGAATCGGCACTCTTCCAAACCAACCGATGCCTGAACTGCCAAGCCCGCAGCGCCAGAACCCTTTCGCACCTCCGCTCTATACGCCATTACGCCACCACTAACAACACGAAAACACCGAGTGATGCTAGCAATGCTGATTTCAAGATTTCTCCTCGCCCACAAAGAGAGATACAACCCCTTCGCCGATCTGTTGCATTTCAACAGAATCCAGCCCCTACCCCAAAACCAACTTCCAAGCCTGGAGATCCGGACTTTGTACCTCCAGTCTTGAGTCGTCCGATCGGAACACCAGCTCCCCCAGAAGTGGGAGAGAATACAGGTGTTGATTCTCGTACAATTAAGGAACGCCGCGATGATTTTGTCGACTATGATAAGCACATCGCGCGACGAAAGGAACTGTATGTGTTGAATAACCTTAAGCATACCCTCAGACCTGTTTTGCCAGACCAGTATAAGGATATAGTGCAGTCATTTAGGCATTAAAGCTAATGGGAAACACCCTGCCACAGAACACGACAAGTCGCAAAACCTTACTTCCGCGAATGGTCCAACCTGCAATTCCACAAGGGTAAAACCTTCATCTCGAATCCCCGCATTTTCCGCGCCGACAAGGCTCTCTACTTCCCCAACATGCGCGGTATAACGCTCGCCTCCCCTAAAGATCCACAGGATACCACGGCTATCCTCCGTGGCAAAGTCAGCGTCGTGAGCCTGTTCTGTAGTCTATGGGGCGAGGAGCAAACAGCCACTTTCGCGGGCAATTTTGCTGGCGAAGACAGGAACCCGGCGTTGAAGGAGTTGCTGGCCAAGCACTCCAAGTTTGCGCAAAGAATCGATCTCAACCTCGAGGAAAACCGCATGAAGGCATGGCTGGTGAAGCGGTTTTTGGGTGGCGTGCGCAAGAAGTTCCCCGTCGAGCAACACTCGCGCTACTTTTTGATTGAGAAAGGATTTGATGAGCCATTGAAGGAGGCAGTTGGAATGGTGAACAAGTATGTGGGATATGTTTATCTTGTTGATGCAGATTGCCGAATTCGGTGGGCGGGCAGTGGACCGGCTCATCCCGATGAGTTGGAGACCATGCATGCTGCATTGGAGAAATTGATTGCGGAGCAGAAGGCTGCTGTTGAGTTGCAGGAATCAACTCGTCGCTACTAAATGAGGAAACGGACAGAGCTTCGGCATGTGCGGTTTCGGTGTAAGATTTTGTGGGTATACTGCGATTCCCCTCTCCATTGGATTTGTACAAAGTAATAGAGAATGTGTATAACAGAAGAAAAGAATAGATATCAGACGCCATCGCAAAGCCAAGTGCAATATTATCATCACCCCTGTTGAACAGGGATTTTCCACAGGAAAATGCCCAACCCGGACGCCTCAATGAAAATAATCAGAGAAATAGAGATAACCTTGATAGTCGCTAGACGGGCATAATGAGAGAAGCAAAAAGACCGTAGAAAAATAAAAGGGCGAGCCCAGCACCCTTACCGGAAGTACAGCAGCATCAGGAAACAGAACCCAATGAAACATCCGAGGATGATACCATCCCTCCGTTTCTTGGTCCCGATTTTACTCATGAGATAGTTCATACCGGGAACCTGACTGGCAGCACCGACAATGCGTCGATTTATACTGGCGAGAGTTTCACGTTGCACGCCAAAGTTCTCATTGATTGCATATGCCTGGCTCAGCACACCATCCATCATATTGTGGCTGTTCTCGACTCGACCGCGCTCCTCCAGCATATATTCCGCCTCAGCGGCACTGGGGTTTGATGCGCGGTATGCATCAATGTCGGAGCGCACATTGGAGAGAAGATTGGCGCGGTCTCGTGCCTCAGCAATGGCGGAGTTCAACCGTTGGAGCTCGCGGCGGTGATCTTGAAGGACTTCGCGGTGGCGGGAGAGATTGCTTTGTTTCAGAGCGGAGGATGTGAGGGTGGCTTCGGAGTCGAGGAGACGAGATAGTTGACCAATAAGGGCATCACGCTATGAGAAATAAGTGAACGTCAGGTAGCTGTCACATTTGTCAATGGATTTGAATGGCGGGGATGCACCTACTCGTTCAAGGAGATCTTTCAGCTGGGATTCAATCCGAAGCTCCTCCTCTGTTGGTTCTGGTGGAGGCTTTGTAAGAGATGCAAATTGGGCATAGTTATGGAAGAGGTTTTCGGTCTTTGTACGGCTCCTAATCAGCTTTTTGTCCTATCTAGTTGCCTCGGCCAGCTTGACCGGGCAGATATATGGGGTGGGTAGGTACCTGGGTCTCGAGGGAACGTGCTTGCTGGCGAAGCTGCGCCCAGCCGGTACCAGTAGAAGTCATGAGAGGCAAGATATTGGAAAAATATCCGCAATAATTTCTTTGCTCGCCGTAACCTGGTCAGTTCTGTCCCTACTGTTCTCACCCCGGACGACGACGTAAGTGCAACCGCCTGCACTAACCCGATACGGAAGGCCCCTTTATGCCTTGTTGCCTGATAAAGTGACACCCGATTCCCCAGGCCACAAAGTTACAAACTTTGGTGTTCGTCACGTGCAGCACTTTTAGTGCGGCCAACTCGCTTAGCCCTAGTCCCACAACCACAATTTGATCGACTCGGACATCTTCAATTCTCAACGCCGACAACCCGCACACACATCAGTCACCATGGTATGTCGTAACGCCATCGCAACACCGGAATGTCGCAACTGATCGTTTCCTTTTTTTCTAGTCGTCCAAGGTCAAGACTGCGCAGCTGTGGGGCAAGAACAAGGAGGAGCTCTCCCAGCAGCTCGAGGAGTTGAAGACCGAGCTTAACCAGCTCCGTGTCCAGAAGATCACCAACGGTGCTTCTTCCAAGACTCTGCGGATGTGCGTATTCGACCGACATCCCTAATCCAACGATTTCGACTTGCAAGGGAGGAAACAGACGGGGTTGTGCGATCGGGCGGCAAAACATCGAAAAAAATTAAAATCTTGTCAAGAGGAGGCAAATATCCAGGGTTCACCACACAAGATACAAGACTATTCATCCAACAACACACCGGCCGCCCGCACAATCCCCGATGGAACCGACTCGCATGGAGAATTTCTGCGGAAAATATGAAATCTTGAAATTTCGGAAATACTGACTTGGGGTTTCTTCCGCTCTTACAGCCACGACGTTCGCAAGTCGATCGCCCGTATCCTCACCGTCATCAACGCCAACCAGCGCGCTCAGCTGCGTCTGTTCTACAAGAACAAGAAGTACATGCCGCTCGACCTCCGCCCCAAGCTCACCCGCGAGCTGCGCCGCAAGCTCACCAAGCACGAGGCTACCCGCACCACCGAGCGCCAGCGCAAGCGCGAGATCCACTTCCCCCAGCGGAAGTTCGCCGTTAAGGTACGATAATTCTCTATACATGCATGCCAATTTTGAGGATGGAGGATTTGGCGTTGTGTGTGTGAATTTGTTGATGGACTCAATATCCTGAACCATTCTTCCACACTGCACTCGTCTGCATTTACCGCACCCTCCCTCCCCTGGCATTTGATATTCTATCCTCAAAAAGCAACCACTGACTTTTTATGACAGGCTTAAGTAAAAACTTGAAGGATCTGGAGTTTGTGGGAAGACGTTGCTTGCCCTTGGACACATAAAACAGGACGTCTGAACGTGGACCTGAAACCTTGCGGCAGGGTCGATTTTCTCTTTTTTTATCCAAAAAAATGGAATTTGATTATGTATCTTAGGTGGATGCAAATTGACTCTTGACATGACATGACTTAGACTTTTCCAATTTTCAGAACTCCCGGGGTTGTGGATGTAGATTTGAGCCGTATTCAACCATGTCCCTGGGGCTCTGGATTTGGATATGATCTAGAACCACGCTAGAACCAACGTACTACGCAAGAGTGAGGGGGCCCGGGGTTATCCGTGGACATAATGCAGGGCTCTTTTGAAGTTCTCCGTACCTACTAGGCATTTTCCAGGTTGGACGTGTGCTAGGACAACTTCATTACCCCTCGATCCCTCGTAACCCTTGATGCATTATTTTGTACTGTTGCCCACATGCATACGTGATATACATGTATACGTACGAAGGTAAATGGTCAGTTGATACTATCCAAGCCCAAAACAATTTATTCAACAAGACAATGGGAATCTAAAAGCAAACCAAAATACTGCCACTAATGCAGCCACAACGGCGGACATCCAAAGCGCAGAAATAACACTAGCCATGCGATAAGTGGTCCCCACCCCTCTCACCCCCAGGCTCATCCGACTCCAGCATCCACATTCCCCCACACGGACAAGACCGCAACAAAAGCAACTTAGAAACCATTCTATAATACAGTATAGACTTCGGAGACCCCGCATCACCCGTAACCTCACCACATCGTACACATCTCTTCCTCTTCTGCGCCTGAACAACTCGCCCATTCCGCCCCACAGCAAGCGGCGGCCGCATCGGAATCTTCTTCAGGATATCAACATCCCGATGCCGTCGGTACATGGCTGTGCGGGCATCGGCCCCGAAACCAAGCCAACTATAGTCGCCCAGGAGGATATCTTTGCGGTTGATTTCTGATTTCATCGAGGGGACTGTTTGTTTCAGCAGGGTTGCGACGGCTGTGACGAGGACGGGCGGGATGCGCGCGTTGACCAGGACCTCCCGTTCGGGACCTGGTCGTTCTGCGTCGCCGAAGCCGGAGCCTTGGTAGGCGTGTTTGACGGCGGAGTCGACGCCTGCTAGGAACTTTTCGTAGATGTCGATGCGGACGGGGGAGGATTCGAGCATTTGGCAGATTTCCATGTGGTAGGCTCTTGAGGCGTTGGGGAGTGTTGCTGGGTTGGTTTGGGCGAAGGAGGTGTGGAGGCCTCGGAGGCCGCGGCAGATGAAGCGGAGGAAGGCGCGGGACATGCTGGAGAGGAGGACGATGAGGGGGGCGGAGTTTGCGGTTTTCACTGGAGGGAAGGTTAGTTGGTTAAGCTTGTTTTGGTGTTATGGATGGGGAACGGCGGGTTATGTACGTTTTTGAGTGAAGGCGTCTAGGTCGGTGAAGAGGCTTTCGAAGTCGTCGGCGAGATCGAATACCTCGCTCAAGACGAAATGTGTGAAGTCTAGGACCCATTTTATATTGCCCATAAGTACCCGTAGGATTTCTTTTGGTTTCGTTAACTTTGGATCACTTGATTGTTGTGGCATGAGATCTTACCTGGATCATTAGGATCGCCTTGCCCTGATTTACCGTGTTGGAAATAGTATACAATTAGCACGGCGGCATGGCGGAGCTGGAGAATTGCCCATGGAACGGCAAATGGCAGGGCCCGGCGCTTGAGTCTTCCTTTGAATCCCAAAGCAGTCTGCAAGCTTAAACATCGAGGAATGTATGGATGTGTCATGAGCTTTTCGGTTTCAACGGTGAAATTACAATTCACTGGCAAGCCACGATACACTTCGCCGATGAATGCTGATTGAGCGTCTGTTTTTTACATGCTGTTAGCTTTTCCCAGAGGAGCTTTCAACTGGGGGGACTAACCAGGCGTGAGCTGCTTCAGGGCAACCATAAGAATATCATCTGTGTTCATCTCGGCGCCAGATCCACGACTGAAGGCTAGCGTGAGGGCCGCAATTGCAGCTGAAAATTTGCCTGGAGGTTTCGGATTAGGGATTTGTATTCATTTTTCCCCAAAGGATAGTACTTACTATCATCGAAAAGGCCATCGCTAGCTCCAAAGGGATGTTCCATTGACTTTATATGTGTTTGCCCTTCTGAGTCCAGCACCATGGCAGCGCAAGTATTAGGAGAAAAGGCAATAGAAATGCCTATCTGCGTTAGCAAGGATTCTGATTCAATATAGGAATTTGCAGCTTACCCGGCGTGTCCATGGGGAACTGGAATCCTGCTTGAGCCAGACAGGTCACTGTGCTGGCATCGTCCAATCCATTGAAAACAGCCATTGTGCGTGTATCGTAGAATCTAACTGAACTGTCATCAAGCGTGACAGCCAGAGCAGTTCCATGCTCTACCACATCCACGGATAGAATGAATTTCTCGCAGTGAATGTCGTCTAGCCGACGCAGCTCCATCTTGGACTTGATTTATGTCAGGTGATTTGTTCCCTTTACCAGATCAAATTATAAAGTGTCACATACCTTTGCTTGAATATTCATCTTTTTCGGCGCGACCTCGTCGAATTTTGGATGGAACATTTGAGGGGCACTTTCCAACTGCCATCGGACAATAACACTGGGAGGCCCCTGGTGATCTGGATATTCGGGCGTGGAATGAAGTGGCTTGGAAAAGACAGCCAGAATCCAAGGACTAGCCGTTGATCCCGTTGGGCTATCAATTTGACCAGGCATTATCTCCAGCCACGTCAATGAATACACGGAGTTGTGGAACGGTAATGGATGATCCGCATGCTCTTCAGATCCCTGATTGATATCCAGGATACTGCTCGGCATATCAATCTTGCAGTGCAAGAAGGCGAAGGATGGAATGGGAAATTGGCCTTGCTTCCCTGGAGCGTTTTCCCACTGTGGTGGGTTCCATGAGATCTGTACTCTATAAAGGCAAATTTTTTGGCATGCCGAGTAAGTTGCAATCAAGATACCAGCTATTCAACTTGTTAGCTGGCGTGGGCTTTATAAAGGCTAAGGGTAGATCTTACCTTGGGTTGCAACGATAGAGGCATGGGTCAACAGCCTATCCGAGTATCCAGTGGTTTTCAGCTCTGCGGGCAACTCAGCCCATTTCCCGTCTGGATTCTGATAGTGGAGACGAATCTGGCCTGATCGTGTCACACAGATTAAAGCGCTTTTATTGACAGTCGGGTTAAAGGGGCCAATTGGGCGGCGACGAAATGGTGAGTAAGTCCATCGACCATTGACCTTGGTAGCTTGATGAAAAGATTGGATCTGGCGATTGGGTTAGGGAAACCCCGTATTAAAAAAGGGGGGGCAGATAATAAGCCTACCATTCGTTGAGTGTTGAGCCACATCATGCCGACTATTTGGTTGCTATCATCCCCGTTGTCAAAATGAGCTTGCCGTATTCCCGTGACACTATTCAAGGCTACTGGGGTTTGATAGATGGAGATTCGGCCCAGGCAGTCCACGACGACCAGATCGGAGCCGGTCTCGTTCCAGGACAGGTGTACGAGCGGACTACCGCCATGGGCCTCTGTTATAGCAGTGAGGGGAGTTTCATCACTGATGGTCCATTTGCCATTTGAGGGACTGCATTTCAAATGGCGGACCTTGACTCGTAATGCATCTGCCGAGATATATGCGATGCATCCCAGTCGGGACCAGGCAATCTTCCTAGAAAAGGATGTCAATATATTGAAGGGTACCAACCAACCTGGAAGAAAAAAGAAAAAGACATTGAGACAACAGCATAGAAGCGACTCACTGGCGACACCCTAAGAGGCGCATTTCATCCTGGCATTGTGGTAAGCCTTTGGTCGGGAGTGGACCCGCAGGCAAGCCCAGCTCGAGGGAGCCGGGCTCTCCAAAGAGATCGTCAACATTGAGACCCTGTTCCATGATCAATGGCATTCTGGGGATTTTAGATAGCTCAAGGGTACATTTAAGCAGCGGGTGAATGGAGTTTCAGCCCCCGCATAACTTGAATGATTGTCGATCTAGACTGGCCCTGATAGAGGATGACCGGGAGCGGCTCCGTTGTGGGAGGGGGGGGGGGGGGGATCGATCAAGGAACCCAAGGATCACGGTCGCACCAGTTGACTTATTTGACAGGGCGAGATCCTTGGAAGCGATATTTTCTTTCCCCTTGATTATAATTAATCCCTAGGAAGCCAGTAGATAGATGTATATAAAATCCTTATATGTATTTGTTTTTTCTCTTCCTAATCAACTTGCAATTCTCCAAGGCGATCTCGACTTGGCTTAGTCACCCATGGACATCAGGTGACAGGTAGCCCTGCCAACGGATGTGAACCAATCATATCTCAGCATGTCTCCCCACATCCAATCCCACCAATCAACGCGCTCGCAGCAATATCCAAATCGCGAGGGAAAAAGCACAATGCAAAAGCCCCAAAACACCAAACAATGTCCAGATAGGCGGGGATATATGGGTAATGTTGATGTCAGAGATACTGCCTTAGAAATACGATATAGGGATACTAGTATTACTTGTATTCAATGATCCTATATAGTATAATACAACACGTAGAAAAGGAACCGCTCTTTGCCCGGGACGCAACGTTCTTTCCATTCAAGTTCTTTCCATTCCTTCTTTTCCTTCCTTTCCATCGTTTCCCTTCCCGATGTTACTTCGACACAACGCGCATCATCGAATCTTTGTCCCGCACTTCTCATTCGCCCAACATACCGGGGGTTTTTTGGCTCAGCGTTGTTCGTCACAACCACATTCCTCTACTCTTTTCGTCAAAATCCAAATCCTCCGCTACTCGAGCGCCGTGGGTCAAAACAAAAGCTTTTTCCAACAACGGCCCGTTTTCTACTTGGTTTTCCTCTTTGTGGATTTTTTTTTTCTTCCCCCAATTTGTGCTCTAATATCAATCCCCCCCCCCCGACAGCTGACCCGATCCCATCTCCTCTCCCCTTTCTACCCTTTTACCTCCTTCCATCCTCCCTATCCCCATTTCTGTCCTTTCCCAACACTCATGTTCCTATTGTTTCGTATTGTTCCTATTGTCCATTGAGCTGTGATATTCGCTATCACTTCCTTTCCGGATCGGTTATCCGCAATTCTGGTGGATTGTGAATAAAAACCCCCTCCCGTCACCATCTGACCTGGGCCCTCCGATCCTGCTCTACCTCCAAGGGGGCATAGGCGCTTAATCAACCCGCATCTCCACACGGATATCCACCACCATGGAAGCTATCCCGGATTATGAACTTTCAGACTGCTCAGAGCTGAGCTCTGTACCCTCGTCTTCCTCTACGCCTGAGCCAGAGACCCGGTACCCGACCCCGTCCTCCCAGGAGGGTGAGGATTCTATGCGCCAAGACTGCCCTCCCGCCAAAAAGAGGAGACGAAACCCTCTACCCAAAGAACGTACCACCCAATATCTTAATTTGGCGCAATCATCCCACAGCCAACAGCCTCAGGCTAGATTACTTGTTGAAACTCTCCGTCACCAAAAAGATATCGTCGCCATCGCTGGAGCTGGCATTTCCACTTCCGCGGGTAGTAAGTTTTCTCCTGCCGCATTTTGCCTTTTTCGACGCCACAGCTAACCCGCGCATAAAGTTCCGGACTTTCGTTCCTCGGGCGGTCTGTTCAAATCTTTACAAGAGAAGCACAATTTGAAGACCTCTGGTAAACTTCTATTCGATGCTGCTGTCTACCAGGATGACGCCTTGACGGCGCCCTTCCACGAATTAGTCCGGTCGCTTAACGTGGAGTGCAAAGACATTACACCAACCCCATTCCACCAAATGCTTGCTCGCATGGGCAAGGAGAACCGCCTCAAACGTCTTTACACCCAGAACATTGACGGAATCGAAACGTCCATGGAGCCACTACAAACAGAAATCCCACTCAACATCAAAGGCCAATGGCCCGTCACCATTCAGCTCCATGGCAGCATCCACGTGATGGTTTGCCAGAAATGCCGCTCCACTACCCCCCTCGACCCCGGATTGTTCCAGGAAACCGATCCTCCAGAGTGCCACCAATGCATGATAACCGATCAAGACCGCCGCAAGCAAGAGCGACGCAGCCATGGCATAGGACGTTTGCGCCCACGCATCGTCCTTTACAACGAGCACAACCCCGACGAGGAGGCAATCACATCCGTCATGAACGCAGATGTCAAATCTCGCCCCCGTGTCTTGATTGTCGCTGGTACTAGTCTGAAGATTCCTGGGGTTCGACGTCTCGTGAAGAGCCTGTGCGCGGTTATTCGAACTAGAAAGGACGGAGTCACCATGTTTGTCAACAACGAGCCTCCCGTCGGCAAGGAATTTGAGAATTGTTTCGATCTGATTGTACAAGGGTCCACCGACCAGGTTGCCGAACTTGTGGGACTGAAGCACTACGAGGACTCCTCTACTTGCGAACCCCTGTTCCCAGAGCCGGTCTTTGGAATCAAGGAGAGCCGCGATTCGGAAGCCTCCGAGTCAGAGTCCGGCGCCGTCTCGGTCGTCATTAGCACCCCGAAGAAGCGGCAACTCTCTGAGACCGGCCTACTCACACCCTCAGGTAGTAATGATGAGAAGGCCGAACTCCCAGGCAAGCGCCTGGATCTTAAGGGTCCAAAGCTCATTGATGTCCTCAAAGGTGCCAAGTCCGCGCCTCGAAAGAAGGCCACTCCTACCGGAGGTAAGAAGGCAAAGAAGCCTCGCGCAAAACCTGCGCCGGCCCAGCTCAAGTCTATTAACTCCACTTTTACCGTTGGCAAACCTTCGGTTAAGCCAGCGACAACGAAGGCCAAGGCTTTGTCGACTACCAACGGCAACCTTACCCCCAAATCGGATGATATGGCTGCCAAGGCTTCACCAATTTTGGTAGTTGCTCCTCCCCCTCAGGATTGTCGCAATTGAGCGCTGTCTTGCGTTTCCATAACGCCTTGTCTCAGTACCAACATTGATCATGCATTTTGGCGATGGCGTTTCGACATGTTTTCTCCCCTTTTTCTTCTCCCTTTTTCCCCCTCTTCTTTCCCCTTCTCAGGGGCCCTTTTTTATTCCCTGCTTCTTTCCAAATGTCGGTTGAAAGAGCTCGGCTGTCTTTTTTCCCCCTCCGTTCTTCCCGAAAGATACCAATGATAGATCACGGTTTCATGCATGAGGTGGCGCTGGCGTTTGTGGGTTTGATGTGTGTTTCAATCTTTGCTACTGGTGCTGCTGCAAGCGCACTAGATCTGGAAGCAAGTTCGGTGTATGATCTCGAGAGGATACCACGCTATGTTTACAGCCTACATCTTTGTTTTCGCAATGTGGTTCGGGTGCATGGTTAGCGAGCTCGTTCAGGATATGTTCCCAAGTCAGGGTTTGTTCGAATATGGTACCCATTCCGAGGTTTTCGGTCAAATATCATTTCATCCTGGCAAGCCTTGGATAGTTGACATATTTTGCTTCAATGTTCCTAGTAATATCACTCCAACATTGGAACTTGAATTCCCAATATCATCTACTCCGAGGTCTCTACTCTCACTTGAGTAAACATTTTGCAAAGAGCGCATGAAAACATTCATCATTATTTATATGTATTACACAACGGCCCCAGTCATGAACTGTTGCTATCTGGTAGCTATCCCCTACCAGGCCAATCTCCGCAACAAGCACTGGTTGAGCACCCCTGGGACCCCGTGAATCTACCACTTGTAACATTCAACTTTATTTGAAGCCACATTAGCCAAGTCCCAAATCATCACGCAGCTGGCTAGCCGGTCCATCATCGTCGTCATCCGTCTCCTCCGCATCCGGATCAGTAGGTCTAACCGTCCCATCCAAATCCTCCACCCGATCAATATCCTCATCGATCCTCTTCTGCGTCTCCTCCTCCCCATCCTCCTCCTCGTCTTCCTCCTCATCCTCCTCATGCTGACCCTCCTCCTCTTCCTCCACCTCCGGCTCCTCATCCTGCGTCTCATCCCCATCCCCACCCTCCTGCACACCCGCAGCCTCCCCATCGCGCTTCACCCTCTTCGCAGGCTTATCCACCATCTCGACATCCTCGTCCGCACCAGCAGCAGCCGCCGCGACCGCAGCAGCAGTCTCCCCAGCCGCGCCGTTCACATCCGACTTCTTGGGCTTCCGCTTCCCGGCCTTGATCTCCGTGTATGCGTCCAGCTCCTGCTCCAGACGGCCGCGGAAGGAGTCGAATTCTAGTTCCGAGAGCGCGGCGAAGACGTCTGCGGGCGCGAGCGTTCGTTTGAGGGTTGCGTCGTTGGCACTGGTTTTGCGTGTTAGTTGTGTGTTTACTAAGTGAAGTGAGGGGAAGTGAAGGAAGGGTTCGGTAGGGTGAATAGTATATTCTCAAGATAAGATGTGATCATATGGCTGGGGTTGGGACGGAGTCACATACTGTGAGGATAGGTACGAGACGAAGACCGTAGCCGCCTTCTGGATGGCCAGGACAGCGTCCTTCTGGATTGTGGTATTGGGTGGGAGAACGGATTTCGCAAGGCGGATGGTTAGCGAGCGAGGGAGAAGGTAGTCCTGGATATACAGTTAGAACCATGCGTGCGGTCCAGTCGTTGCTTATCCCTCCATCTAGCTCCAGGTACATGAAGCGAAGCTCATTCTCGAGATCGTGCTTTGAGCATGAAGAGAAGAGCAGAAGATAGGAGAGGGGAGTGTGTGTATGTAGATGTATGCTTACCTCGACACTGACACCCAGCTCAGCCCGTGCCTTGAGTTGCTGCTCCGTGGCGGTAATTGGCTTGTCGGAGGCGCTCGGGGCCGCGGGGGACAATAGCGAAGCCTCGTCTGGATCTGCGGGCGTCACTGACGCCGTGGAATTGCGTGGCGGCATGTTCGGTGTGGTCTGTGGAAGCTTGCTCTTTTTTTTACCCTCTCTCTGTGTTTGAGCACCGCTCGGGTGGGTGTTGGGGGTAGTCTTGGGTTGAGACCAGATTGTGGTATATAATATCGCACGTATGACCCGCCCCTGGGTTGGATTGGAGTTTTTGTGGGAGGTCTTTGTTTCGCTAGAGTTGTGTGGTTGGAGTGGCGAGAGGATGGGAACGCGAAATCCGCGTCGCGCTGGCGGTTGGCGGTTGGGATTGGCGATTGGCGCGGTGTGGAGACGAGACTGGTACAGGGGTTTCGTGCCGAGACAACTTACATTCATGATACATTTTTTTTCTCTTGTCTTGAACCTTGGAAAGTCATTAGATGAATGGTAGTATATAGAACAATGCTTAGTGTGTTTTTTTAAAAAGATTCTAGGGACTACTCTTTCTTTATGCGCTCGTCTAGAGTAATTGACAAAATGCTTCGATTGAGAAAACTAGAACATCCATATATGAAGAAAACGCCTACTTTTTGGTATCCAATGAAATCGAAAACGAGAACGGCTGGTATCGTTATGTGATAGCACATGAGATTAAAGCCATTTATTCGGCCATCTCCTCGTCAGCACCCTCGCCGTTGCCCCAGAGGCCCTCGATCTTGAATTCCTTGGCCCACTCAGTAACGACCTGGGTGGTGTCCGCAGCAGGTCCAGCATCGGCAGTTGTACCAATATCAGCAACGGTGTTAACGGACAGAACCGGAGCGTTGGCCCAGCCTTGAATACGTCCGTCTCTCCAGTCGTTGATCACGGTCATGGCGGCACTCTCAATGTTGGGCACACCGTGCTTTCCAAGACGACCGCGCTTGCGAGCCACCTGGATCAGGAAATCGGTTGTCTTATCGCCATTTGTCGCAGGGAAGAGAGTGGTGATACCATAAACCTCAAGCATCTTGGCGATCAGGTTTTCCGATGCGGAAAGACGCTTGACCAGCAGGTTAACCGCAGGGATGGGGTCCTCAATCTGCTTGGGTGGGATAGCGTTCAGCAGAACCAGGCGGGCCTGCTCGTTCTCCTTGGACTTCTTGGAGGTCTTGCCGTTGGCACTGGGGAAGACAATACCGGGCGAGTCGATCAGCTTGAGCTTGTTGTCAAGCTTGACTGAGCGGAGGCTGGTGGTGACACCGGCCTCGGCACCAGTAGGGCAGGCGTTGCTTGAGCCCTTGTTAAGACGAGCGGTAAGAGCGTTGATAACGGACGACTTGCCGACGTTGGGGTAACCAATGACACCGACGGAGATAGAACGCTTCAACTGCTTGCTGTGGGCGTAGGACTTAAGGGCACGGAAGAGGGTATCCGAGGTACCCTTGACGGTCAGCTGCTTGTGGTCGAAAGAGTGGGAGTTGCCGGCGCCGTTGGATGCCTTCAGCGGGAGGGTGGGGAAGTAACGGCGCAGGTGAATCAACCAGGCCTTGAGCACAGGTGGTGGGACAAGATCGATCTTGTTCAGGATAAGGATCAAACGCTTGTTGCCACCGTCGGCAGCCATGATCTCGCGCTCAACTTCCTTTGAGCGAGTACCCTCGGGGTCGCGGGCGTCAAGCACATAGAGCACGACATCGGCAGAATCGGTAACGGACTTGAAGACCTTGTCGAATTGGCGCCGTGAGCTTTCCTTGGTAGGGTTGTGTGCGTCGACCAGATCGGGAACGGCAGAGTCGAAAACCACGCCGCCCTCCTCATCGTCCTCGTCCATCTCGTCCTCGTCGTCCTCCTCCATATCGTCATCCTCTTCCTCGTCGTCGTACTCTGCAGCACGGGCACGCGCTGAGGCAAGCAGGGCTGCCATAGGGTTGGACTCGTCGCCCTCGACATCCATATTTTCATCCAGATCGTTCTCGTCGATTTCCACGCCAGGCTGGCCGCTAGTCTTGGCTGCCTGCTTAGCCTCGATCTTGCGGGCGCGAGCCTCCTCCCGGATACGCTCCTGCTCTTCGCCCTTCAAGCGCTTCTTCTCCTCGATATCGTGGAGCATCTTGTCCTTGAACGGGAAGAGACTGGGAATACCAGGATCCTTCTTAAGCTTAGACCGCCATTCCGGGTTCTGTAAAATAGAGACGTTAGAAAACAAATCGAAATTGGCGCAAAGGAATATAGAGTGTTCTATGATAACGCACGGTCTTTGCGAGCTTTCTCGCCTTCTTCTGCTTAGCAACAGCAGCCTTTTCAATCTTGTGTCTTAAGCGGACGGGCACCCGCTTAGAGGACTTGCCTAAAAAAAAAATGTTAGAACTGGGCGGGGGACATTTGTAGAGACAGGATCAGTCTTTTCTTACCAAAGTTGTTCTTAACCATTTTTCCTATACGCCCAACTGGAGTGAAAACAGTAGGGTGAACTGGGAATTACACTGATGCTTCAACAGTCGGCTTCGAAAAAGTTGAGTGCCAAGACTATTCGATATTTCGATAAGCGGAAAATCAGTTGTGCCGATCGCCGGTCAAACAGTGCAAACATGCGGAACGCCTAACGGATCCAGAAGGCGATCCGCTTCGTCGTATACGACATTATCCAAGATTAACTCGTTTCTCACTCTTTTCATTCCTAGTTTTGTATTTAATCTCCGTAGAGGATTTGACAATAAAATATCTTCTCGCAACATTTGAAACTGCTGGTTTCATTTTATCTCTCTTCTCAATTGTCGACTAAACATTGAACCTTCACCTTGAAATATATCCTCACATCAACCCCTCACCCCTCACCCCACCATGTCATCTGAGACAGGCTCTTTCTCTGCGCCACCGCAGGTTCACACCTTTGACGGTGTTTTGTCTGATTTTGATGGCACAATTGTGGATTCTACAGATGGTGTGTACCCCCGGGAACCCTTTTGGAAGCTTGAAATGACATCAAGGGCTAACAACAACTGTCAGCTATCGTGAAGCACTGGCATGAGTCAGTAACCCCCCAAGATTACACAGAGAACACCGATAAGGAAATAGGTCCATGGACGGCGCCAAGGTTAACACATTTTGTACTACAGAATCGGTAAAGAGCTGGGTGTGGACCCCAAGACTATTCTGGCTACCTCCCATGGCCGGAGAAGCATTGACGTGATGCAACTTTACGACCAGAGCAAGGCCAACTGGGAGTGTATGTTCTGCGCCTTGGTCCAATTGATGACCGCTAAATACTCTAAAAGAGACTCTAGCTAATCTCAACGCATATCACAGATGTCAACTTCGTCGAAGGCCGAATCCCCCAGCTGTACGGCTCTGACGCCGTCGAGATCCCAGGTGGCCGTGACCTCCTTGACAAACTCGAAAGCTCCGGGGCCAAATGGGGTGTCGTGACTTCGGGCACATCCGCCTTGATTGATGGCTGGCTCGGCGTTATGAAGCTCGCCAAGCCAAAGATTCTTGTCGTCGCGCAGGACGTGGAGCTCGGCAAGCCGGACCCCCGATGCTACCTTCTCGGTCGCCAGAAGCTGGGACTCGAACACTCGACATCCATTGTGGTTTTGGAAGACGCACCGTCAGGAATCAAGGCGGGCAAGGCAGCGGGTTTCAAGGTGATTGCGTTGAAAACAACTCACTCGCTTGAGAAGCTCCAGGCAGCTGGCGCGGATTGGATTGTGGAGGACTTGCGCAGTGTTTCGGTGAAAAGTGTTGTTGATGGGCGGGTCGAACTTGAGATCTCAAACGCTTTCCAATAGGACCCTCGATGCAGGGGTCAGGGATTCGTGGTTGCATCTAGCCTGCTGCAGGTGCAGCTTGCAGTTTACCACAGGGCGTCAAGTTTCGAGTTGCACAACATACAACCTAGAGTATAGAAGCGGGGCAGAGCTCCATGAGACATTCCATATGAGCAGTACTGTGTAGATAAATGTGCGTCATAGGTGGTTACCTTTTGCGATTTGTTGAAATGCCACGCTCAGTTCTTTACCATTGTACTTTTGCTCCGGCTGCTGAGCCGTGTTGCATACTATGTATCCTTTACATGATTCAGATACTCGGCCTTGACCAGACCGGTATCCTTTTCCGTCGTTACCTACTAGTACGTAAGATGATCGCTCCAGGGGGGAGATGTCCAGGTGGCGTTTGACACAACAAAAACCACCTACTGATTAGGCAATAGATAACCAGTTGCATTTCCGAGTCGCTTCCGGAGGCCTTGTCTGTCTTTCTCATAGGTAATGTAGCAAAGATAGCCAATCTCTTTTGGTGACCTGATCAACCACTCAAATCTCTCGAATGATAGCCTTGCAATCCCAACTGGTGACGACAATGTTGCACGGTGTTTGGCATCTCATTTGCGCCCTTTACAAATCGGGAATAGCTCAGTCCATCCACTAATATCACAGTTGTATTCCAAATAACTATAGACATCTACACAATCCAGACATGCAAGATGCGATTGAGGGTCCACGGGTATGAGAAAGATGTTGCGTGGTGAGAAAGATGCTCCGAGTCGATACCATGTAACCCAAACCTGACGCCCAGACCTACATTAGTACGCCCTGCTGCATAGAATCCGGATGTGATGACAGCAAGCCCTTGTTTCCAGACCCATTACAGGGATGATAGCCAGCGAATCCGATCTAATCGGGCAGTAGGGCGTCTCGGGCTTAGCCCGAACTTGCTCGGGATTCCAAGTACACCGTATATTACATCCAACTTTCACGCCTTGTATACTCAGGTATTGCATGTGTAGTCTAGACTCTTACATGGCGTGGGTGGCGGACATGAAACGCCTGCAATGCAATCCTTGCAGAACCTGCTCTAGGTACGCCCCGGTAAGATGACACGGTACGTGCATTCCCTACCCGCGACCTCGGGAACCATAGACAAAGAGCGAGAGGGGTTTCAAAAGAAGATAAAAAGTTACTTATCTACGATCCAAGTCATTCTGACCAACTAAACCCCCTGTCGAAGATGCTGCGAACAGCTGTTCATGCAAGCTCGACCACGCTTAACGCAGCTCCAGTCCTGCTGCCAATTTGACCGCATTCCAACCCCCGAATTCCGATCCGGCCGAAAAAAAAAGGTGGAAGTTTGACCTTGCGCGGCTGACGGAGTACATGTACATATACATATACATATACAACTGCGAGGCGCTGGCGCTGGCGCTGGAGCTGGAGCTGGCTCCGGACTTCGCTGCGAGCCGGCTGGGTGGTAAAGTCTGCCTCGACGAGGGCTGCAGCTTGCTGCAGCTCTTATGTACAGGCCCGCATTCACGAGGGGTCCGCAACAAAGCGTATTGTCCTGTTACAATTGGACAGAGATGAAATGTTACAGGTACTGCCGACGGCGGAGCCCGGGAGAGAAGGGGGAAGCGGGAAGAGAGCTCTTCGAGCTTCCCTAATGGTCGTAAGTTGCAGCACGTCCCGGTGAGAAAGGAAGAGCATGCAAGGGATGGAAGTTAGAAGTCACGCACGGGTCCGGGAGGAAAGTCTGGCTCGGCGTGCTCGAGTACTGGATATCACAATACCGGGAGTTGTTGAGGGAAATAGTTATAACCCAGTTGTGACGGTAGCAGGTTAGCCCCCAAAGTACCTGGAAGAAAGAAAAGAAAAAAAAAGGTAGATAAGATTTCGAATTGCAGGTAGTAGAGAAGGGACTTGGAGATCATTTTCCAACGGGAGTAGATCATTAACTCGGGTGGTCGATCCTCTGTTTCTTTCTTTTTTCTTTGTTATCTTTTGCTGTCCGTTTCTCATTCGACCGTCTTGTCCCCAACGGTATGCGTGGTGGCGAATGTGGCGGGCGACATGCTCATCACATACAGGAGCAGGTTTTGGCGCCTGTCTCTTTTTTGGTTTTTTTTTGGATTCCGATCTGGACCACAGTATCGGGATGATGACAGAGTACATCGAACGGGGCCTGCGAACGAGCGGACCCTACGGACAGTCCCGAGTTCATTTCTCTTTGTCTCTTTCCTTGTTCATCCGCCTGCATGCATTAAACTTGCTGGACTAGCTCATTGGCGTCTAGCCTTTTTGTTTTTGTTTTTGTTTTCTCTTTTCTTTGACAAATACAGAACCCAGTGAGCATTGGGCTTGTTCTTGTTCTGCTGTGGACCCGTCACGCACCGCCACACTTTCAGGTGAGCCACACCAAGGGAGGATGAGGTGGATCTGTCACATTGTGGTTGATCATGGGATCAACTTTCAAGGGCCATAAAGACAAAGTAAATAGCCAAGAGCCAATGGAACCAACTATCAGCTTCAGCCACGACGAAACACACTATTGTTCACCGAAAACCCCCGAGTCCACTTAGGACAGGTCATGGTCATTCCCCGAACTTGGTGGTACATGACACAATTATCCCAGGGGTTTTTAGTGGGGGATCGGAGAAGAAATCATCAGCTCCGAAAGTCGATCTTGAGGATCCCCCAACTTTTTCCGCCAAGGATCAACTAGGATTTACAGTAACTTGAAAAAAAAGATGTGAAATTGTTGCTGTTACACTTGACCCTTTCGTATTTCTTTAATCTATTTTATTTTTCTATTTTATTTTGTCATTCTCTCGCTGATCATGTGCGGACTTACGGACTCCTCTCTCTATACACGGAAAGGTCGGGGAATATTCTAGTAGCTCTTCTTACCATCTATTGAACTTTTTTTTCCTTCTTCATCTTGTTTTTGTAACGAACTGAGCACGCTATTTCTTTTTGCCGACCCTGCTGCCCCCCCCATCAACCACGCTTCACTCTCATTTCTCTCGATATTTGAGATTTTCGTTCCACCGTAACGGTTCACTCCAGATCCAATCAATAGTCGGATGGGGCCAAGGGATCCGTGCGGGCGCGCGTTGCAGATCAAATCCAGGGGCACGTCAAGAGCAGATCCTGCCCCTATGCCTAAAGCGAATGTCCTAATATCCCCAATGACGGAGATGACGGGGATCCGTGGCATGGACCATGATTTTCGCCATGCACGCCATACTCCTTTTCCTAGTGGCTCCTCACTTTTTTTTCCCCCGAGCACCGCGGGGCATTCGGGGATTGTCGATTTGGCCGGGGTCATAGCACACAAACCCGAACTATTCCTATCCCCGCGGGCCTTATCTACGTACTTACGGGCCTTGTTGTCACGGCGCCAGGTGGGGAGCGAGAGCGAGAGAGAAATGACAGAAAGAGGAAGAGGGAGGGGGGGAAACGGCGCCAGCGCACACAATCCCTGCCGCAAATCCGCAAATCCGCAAATTCATCCACAAACCTCCCCTAATCTGTGGATGCCAGAGGGCTAGGATTTGAATTTGAATTTTTCTTACTCGTCTTGAAGGTGTGATTTGCAACGCTGATAGGCGCCCTCATGCACGTGGAGCTTTCACCAAGACGTCGTATGTACTCGGCCGGATCGTCACGAAAGGGAAAAAAGGTAGATCATCGGGACTCCGTACTTGTCGTTCTCACGATTTGCTTGCCGAAAGTACGAACTGGAACACAAAGTTTGGTGGCAGCAGTAGCACCAGATGGCCACGTTGTTGCTGCTCCATACCAAGCGTGGGGCCCTTTGGGTCTTGAACCTTCATAGCCTCTTTTCTCTACCCAAGGAGGAAACGGATGGGAATATTTTTACTCCGTAGCCCCCCCCTCCCTGGAGGTGTGATAGTCGTGATAGTCGTGATTCTCGATCCTCCCCACTCTGACCTGACGCCACTTGACTGGTTCATCGAAACGATCTGTCTCGGATTGGAGCGTTGCACGCCTCATCAAGTGAGATCCTGACTCCAGACTTGGCAGGAATAGGAGGTGATCATTCTCACATCAATGAGGGGCGAGATAGTGGACCTAGCTTTAGGTAGAAGTATTCCGTTAGGCCGGTGTGCCCCTCATTCCTAGTGATTATCTATACCGAATTTACGAAGTGAATAGGGTTAGATGAGGGGGAGGGGGCTCAGGATGAGATTTGCAGCTACTCGGTCCCAAGATTCTTCCCCATTGTCTCCGTACGGGGGTATCAATGTAGTAGGATTGGGCTTCTTCGGAACTAGGCCGACCCATACATTAGACTTTGAACACCTTGGTTACCTTGTGAAACGTTTTCCTGTCAGGTATAGATGAGCATGGTAAAAAAGTAAAATAAAATAAAAAAGATATGAAATTGCCGGGAAAGGGAAATTCCCTTACTCCAGGACCGTTGGAACAAAGAGAGATCGAACGAACCTGCAAAGTGGAGCGTTTGGCTCAAACTGCAGCTTTTACCACAGCTTGCAGGTTACATACCGACTGGGATCCAAGCTCCCTAGATCATAATGCCGGCAGATATAGCTGTGAGCTTTTTTGTGGCTTGGAAATGGCAGAGAAGGCGGGAAAGGGTAAAAAAATAAATTAGATTAAATTAAAAAGAAAGAAAGAAAGAAAGAAAAGCCAGCATCATCATTCTCCATACTCTGTGCTCCGTAGCTCTCCCCCCATCCCACATCAGAGGGGCAGGTTATCATCACAGCACATCATCAGGCCTCGTGACTTGAGTGCATGGAGCCTCTCGATTCAAGCCGTTTAGCGCCGTCGACGGGGGCTATCCACACTGTCGGGAACCAAAGAACTCCAGGGCGGCGAGATTGTACCACTTCCGATCAAACAATGAGACTCGGAAGAACACCCGGGTGAATAGGGAAATTTTGGTGGCTGTGATATCCTGCTCTACCCCATCACTAAGTTGGGGGGAAGGGAGAAACAAAGCTCGGCAGATCCTGAAGTGATCGACGGGATCTGTCGACTATTGATGTTTAGCTGGGCTTGGCGTACTGCCATGCGCGCCCAAAACAGTCTAGCGGGGGTTATAGGACCTCTTGAGTCTTGACTTCCCAGAACTTGACTTCCCAGACACGATCTAGCTGACAGATAGCTGATGGACAGGGCTTGCTTCAGGCCTCAATAGTGCGAGGAAAGACATCATCGACCCCATCGACGATCATCACCATATCGACGATACTATACTCTGTGTACAGCCTAAGAGATAGGACACATCTTGCAGTGCTGAATGACCGGGGAACAAGTCCCGATCGTCCCAGAGCCCCGGTGACGGGTATGAGGAAACATCTCGAAGAAGCCTTAGCAAGAGAGTCGATTTCCAAGGGTAGTGTATATTGTATAAACTCCGTACTCTGGTACTTTGTGGAATGATCATCCAGTTAGAAAGGATTTACACTTTTTTTTTTTTTTAATTCTTGGGGGGTTTTTTTTATTTCCTGTCTTTTGCTCACTGAGATTTACCATGCAGGTTGGATCACCCGTGACAGATTACAGGGATGGGTCGAAATTGGCGCGTTCAGTTCATGACCCACCAAGAGTGTCATGATTCCAAAACTTCTTCACGCCTATACTGTTCGGGGCAAATTACCCTCCAGACTAAGTATAGAGTGTGGGCGGTGGCTGTTGTACTAAGAGGATTTCCTTTGCATCAGCCCCCTCTTTTTTTTTTTTCTCCTATTTCGACTCCACCAATCTTGAAATAGCTTTAGTTTGTATGCTCTATCATTCACAATTCAAATTAGAATGAATTCGGATTGAAATATTACTTTTAAAAAAAACTGGTACGGTATTAACTAGATTATTTTTTTCTCTTGAGCTCAGACATGACGCTAATGCAGGAACTGGTCAAGGGCAGAAAAAAAGGGAAAAAAAAGGGTGTGTTCGGAATAGCTATGGTAAGGGCTCGGAGATGTAGTTTCTGCAGCCCCTGATAGGATACCCATAATTACGGGAGCTGTCCATGGTTGTCATGGTTTTCCATGTGTTTTTTTCCCTGCGAATCGCTCCCTAATCTGTCCTTCCACAGCCGTTCTCCGCAACGTGTAACCATGGAACGTATTGTTTACACTTTCTAGTAAAGGGGGAACACAGAGAGCACAGAGAACACAACGAACACAACGAACACAAAAGTTGCGTATGGCGTACGCACTAAGATTTCGTACCTGAGAGAAAAAACATCATTGTGGAGACTTTCTCAAACAGCGGTTGATCGGGGCCACTACGGTGATTGGTCAGAACGATCACTTTTTGGAGAGATCCAATTTGTCTAGGGCTGTGCCTGGTAAAGAAAGGAAAAAAAAAAAAAAAAAAAAAACTGGGTTTTGAGATTCTAAGCTAGAGGTAAAAAAACAACAGTCGTTCATCAGTCCCTTTTTTGGGATTTCTCTAGAGGGGGATTCCCGACTACCTTGAAATGTATAGATCCTAGGATATGAAAGACCCCTATATGAGAACATGTTATACAAAGATTCTGGGATCTTCTATATGTAACCTTCCAAGGTTGAGTAGCATCATGTACATCTAGTCCCAGACAGGATCGGAATTACATTCTGGCCCCGATCGCGCGAGTGTGTGACCTGATGCAGTCCGAGAGCCCAGGCCGCCACCCCCTAGAAGAACCGCGCGGGCGGTAGCGCGACCTCTACCGGATGAAAAGGGAAATAAGAAATAAGAAATTTGGAAAATAAAATAAAATATAATATAATGAAAAAGAAGAAAAAAATACCAAATTCTAACAGTGGGGATCAAGTCACTTGAGCTAGCATGAATCTGGTATTTTATACTGATTTTATTATTTGATTTCCCACCCGCTTTTGTCTCTTCTAGGGAATGGTAGACGATCAGATCTCGTAGGAAAATATCCCGGAATATTGGGATTTCTTGGGTTTTTTGGGGGGTTTTTTCCCTTAGTTTCATTTTGATCTGGGTCCTGCACTGACGAAAAAAATTAAAAAATTAAAAAAAAAATATAATATAATATTTCTAGGTAAAAAAGAATGACAGTGATAGAAGTGGACATCCAGTACATGTACCTGAGCCCCCAGACCAATCATCGCGGGCCGTCCCCAAGACCGCCCTTTCCACCCCCATCATTTCCTCTCTCTCTCTCCTCTTCCTCCTTCACATCTCTATCTTTTTGTGGCTCTATTAACGTTCCTTTTTTTTTTTCTTTTCTTTTTTCAAGTCGCTCCTTTTTGGTTGGCCCACCCACTCTCCTTTGAACGCCCGCGTTGTTTATAGCTACAATACTTTCTTTTTCTGTTATTACTTTCCCTATTTCTCTTCCCCTCTCACTTTCATTGCCACGGGCTCGATACACTCTCCGATATTTTGAAACCCATGATATAGCTATTACTCTAAGCTATCTGCCCTGTCTCGTGCAGCGCTTCACTTTCCTTTAATTCCCTCTACGCCCCCCGCCATCTCCCACTATTCTCCATCCGTCACATCCATCACATCCATCACATCATTCCACCATGAGTTACATTCATCCCTCATGGAACTACCCTGGCCATTCGGGTCTCCCAATGGACCACACTCTCGCCTACGACCCAAGCATGGTTCCCCCTCCTATGATGCATCCCATGGACGGTTACTGCTACCCTCACCCACCCATGGAGATGATTGATTACTACCACCAACCCATCATGGACTACGACGAATACACAGAGAACCTGTCCAGGCCGCGCTTGACAAAGGAGCAAGTCGAGACTCTGGAGAACCAGTTCCAGGCTCACCCCAAACCCAGCAGCAATGTCAAGCGTCAATTGGCGGCCCAAACTAACCTGAGCTTGCCTCGCGTGGCTGTACGTTCCCATGTTTACTTTTTCCCGCCGGCGTATTCCAAGAAGCTGACATATCTCTTCCCATGCAGAATTGGTTCCAAAACCGACGCGCCAAGGCAAAGCAACAAAAACGCCAAGAAGAATTTGAGAAGATGCAAAAGGCCAAGGCTGAGGCCGAGGAGGCGGCCCGTCGCAAGTCAGACGCTTCGGATCACCCATCGGGGTCACAGACTTCTGCCCCCAAGGAAGAACCCGAGCGATCCGAGACCCCGAAACAACAAACAGCAGTGAAGTCTGAGGACGGTGTGAAGACAGATGAGATTAAGAAGCATCAAAAAACGAAGAGTGAGTCTGCCCGAGACGCAACTTTCGCCTCATTGCAGCGAGCACTGAACGCTGCAGTTGCTGCAAGGGACCGCTTCACACGACGGGACTCGCGCTCCAAGCACGACTCCCCTATTGAGGAAGAGCCTATCTCTCCCACATCGATGGCCCCGCCCAAGGTGGCTGCTAGCGCACAGGAACACAAGGGCCATCCCGCCTACCAATATCAGGACTGGCCCGATGTCAAAGAGCCGGCTCAGTGGGCATCCCCCCACGGTCACTCCGAAGTGCCAGGCTCATCGCACTCCGTTTCTCAGAATGTAGACGCATACACAGGGGCACAGTTCCCTCGACACGAAGAGTGGGTTGAGGCTCCCAAAGATCAACACATGCATGCCGTTGGATCCGATGCTGGTCTTGGTTACACAAACATGCAATACCCCTTGTCCATGCAGACTCCCGACATCTCCGTTACCCGCCGTGAGTCATCAAGTGCTCTCACAGCTTCTTTGGAGGCTATCGGCATCTGCGCGACTGGATCTCCGGATACTGCAAGCCAGGCTGGATCATGGAAGGGATCGGGTCAGGAGCTTGACCTTGCCGCTCGGCGAAAGCGCCCCCGTCCTGCCGCCATTGGCACTTCCAACACTCACTCACTGGCTGCTTCAACCTCCATGTCTTCTCTTTCTCCAACTAGCCGCATGCCTAGTTCGGGTGCTGGTAACTCGATGAGGCATTCCAAGTCGGCTCAGTGCCTAAACAACAGATACGCTGGTGTTCGCAAGGCTTCCGCTGCCCAGCGATCCCCCCTCAACTTCACATTTGCTGAGTCCGGCTCCATGAAGGCTAGCAAGGCTGAGATGTTGCGGCCATCGGTCTCGTCAACAACTTTGGCTCCTCCAACCCCGTTGACCCCCCAAGACTTCCAACACTTCATGCCTGCCTCGCCGACCGATAGCTACTGCCTGTCAGCGCACTCTAATACTCAATTCTTCCCCTCATCTCAGCCCATGCAAGTAAACATTGCATCCCCTCCTACTACTCCCTTGGACATCTACTCTCCTTTCACCTACCAGAATGCACCCCCGCCAATGTCGGCCCCAGCTCAAGTCAGCAATTTTCCCGAGTATGTTAGCTGTGACCCAGTTCCTATGACTGCTCGGAGCTGGCAAGACACTTCTGCTCTTTCCTCACCGGAATACCCGGCTGGTCTTCAAGTGCCACACTCTAGCACTGTTTCACCAATTGGCTATGAAGCTTCTGTTGACCACCGCGGGCATGGCTTTATGGAATCTGTTGCTGGCTCCCCATCCTTGATCTACTCGATCGAGGATGCCGACATGCCAATTTCAGCAGATGGGGAAAGGAAAGCTTCGGAGTTTTCGATGCATGAGTACCACGAGCAGCAGGAGGCTCATCGTTTCGCTGCTCATCAGATGGGGTCTGTTCACAAGCCAAAGGCATACACATTTGCGAACAATTCCACGCCGAGCCACTACCCCTGATGCAGGGTCTCGATGGATGAATGAGAAATGTGCCGCGATAAATATGGTTTTGTTGGTCTTGGACGAACTGCTATGCAACGTCTCGTCCCCTGCGATTTGTTTATTGTTTTGTTTTTTTTTTTTTCTTTTAAAAAAAAAACTTCCCCCTTCCGCCTACCCTTGGGTGGCTTGTCTATTTCAACACCCCACTCCGTGTACGGAGAAATACTGTCACCTTACTCTCACTTTTTTTGCCCTACATACCTCAGCTTTCCTTTTCTCTTCTCTTGTCTCTTTATTTTGGTGTTGTTCCTCCGGGGATTTTTTTGTTTACATACTGGGAGCAAATTTTGCATTGTGTTTATTGGCCTGCGATCTATATTGGTGTGATACGAACTTTTAATTCTTGCGAGCCCAAGGGCTCGAACTACTTCTTACCTTCTTTTGATATTTTTTTTTGGAACCGGTTCGGCTTTGGATTGGGACTTGGACTTGCATATTTGGCAGCATTTGACTATTTTTTGATATATACTACTGTCACATACTATATCGTTTTTTCACTCTGTGATGGTTTTCGTCAGTTTTCGTACACGAGAAAAAAAAAGGATTGACATTTTTCAGAAACCGATTTCGGCCCGTTTTATCTTCGGGACCAGTAACCATCTCGCCAACAGCCGACGTAGACCCGCCATCCATTGGGCAATCGGTCGCAAAAGCTTTCATCACGGCTAATTTTTTGCAAGGTCAGGTCCTTGGCGGCTAACTTCCGTTAGTGCGCTAAACGCCAAAATTCTAAGCGGACAGAGCCGTTGCCAAAGTATGCCACACGTGTGCCATACCATAGGTTGTCAGTTTCTCCGCGTTCTCCACTGCGGGGAGAGAATGCTCAGCACATGGTCAAGTTGCCAAGAATGTCTATCTATCTGTGACATTCTTCAACTGGGCAGGTATAAAGGAGCTGGAAGATGCCGATCTTTTCGTGTTCAAACACAGATTTCCGCCCCTTTGTCTATATTGTCTTATCGCTTTATTCAATGAAGCTCATCGCCTCCACCCTATTGGGTCTCGCTGCTTCAGCGCAGGCTTCAACTATCACCTATACCACTGTGACTGGCTATTTCTTGCAGGATGAGACTGCAACTGATGCCTCAACATTCGATTACGTACATATCCCCGTTTTCGTACCTTATTCCATCGTGGCTAGGATCTAATTAACCTTATTTTCCAATATATAGACTGCCGTGAACTTTGGTCTCCTGAACCGTACTTATCTTGCCGATCAGGAGCTTAAGAACGCCAAGTCTCTCACACAGTGGGAGCGCTTCTACAACCAGGTGGAGAAGCTGAACGATGAATCTCACAGTGATGTGGAGTACAAGGTTCTGTTCCTCGGTCGCCACGGCGAGGGTTGGCACAACGCTGCCCAGACTTACTACGGTACTCCAGCATGGAATGTAAGATCCCACCATCTCCACCATCGATGCACAGGACAGACAAACTTTCAATGTCTATCCCATCTACTGGTATCCCATCTACTAGTACATTCTAGATCTAACAAATATTCCTCTATAGTGCTACTGGGCCGAATTGGACGGCAACGACACCGCAACCTGGTTCGACGCCGAGCTCACCGACAACGGCGTCTCCCAAGCCCTAGTCGCCCACAACTTCTGGCAAAAGGAGATTGACGAGCAGCGCATCCACACTCCAGACAACTACTTCGTCAGCCCCCTGACCCGCACCCTCCAGACAGCAAACTACACCTTCACCGACCTCAACCTACCCAAGGGTAGCGCCAAATTCAGCCCTCTCATCAAAGAGCTCTTCCGCGAAGGAATCAGCATCCACACCTGCGACCACCGCCACGACCGCTCCTACATCCACAGCCTCTTCCCCGATTGGTCCATCGAGAAGGGCTTCAGCGAGGAAGACAAGCTCTGGAACGGCGTCACAGCCGAGACCGACGATGCCCAGGACGTGCGCAGCACCGCCGCACTGGACGAGGTCTTCTTCACCTCCGCCTCCAGCAAGAAGGAGTCCTTTGTCTCGGTCACTTCGCACTCCGGTGAGATTAGCTCCATCCTCCGTGTCGTGGGTCACCGCACTTTCAGCCTGAACACCGGTGCCGTTATTCCCGTGCTTGTGCGTGCTGAGCGCGATGCGAAGGCTAAGGCTACTACTACCTCTTACACTTGGACTGCAGACCCCCATTGCACCGTGCCCCCCGTTACGTCGGTCACTGCTTGCGTTTGCCCGTCCAGTGCTGCGCCGGTTACCACCGCTTTGGCTACTAGCACTTGAGTGCTGTAAAAGTTTGTTTTGTTTTGTTTACGTATATAGAGGCCGGGTGGACTCTGCGAATCTTAGATGGATTTTGTATGTAGTATGTTATGTATACAGCCTGGTTTAATTTTGTTTGTTGGAAGCGTTCGAAGTTTTATATTCGCTTAATGTCTCGCGTTCAATACAATTGGAAGTTCGATTGCTTTTCATGCAGCTCCTCATGTCTACTGGTAGCGATGAATGTTGGTTGGTAGGTAAATGTACCCGTTCCAAAAAAAAAAAAAAAAAAAAACGTGAATGGGACAATACTTATGGGTACTAGTGAGTAGTGTGCAGTGTACTAGTAGAACTTCAGATCCTCTTTCAATTCCAGACCAATAGATCTATTCACCTGCAAGATATTTTGGATGTTCTGCATTCCATGATAATTTGATGTTCTTCACTAGCCCAGAGAACCAAGAACTAAAAAAAAGAACAAGCACATTGGTAGGCGGACTGGACCATGTGGGACCGAAGTACAACCAAAAAAAGACAAAAAAGTAAGCGTCCCCGGGAAGGCTCGAACTTCCAACCTCCTGATTAACAGTCAGACGCGCTAGCCAATTGCGCCACGGAGACTTGCTTGATGATGGAAGGCAAAAGTTGCGCTACATATTTTAATGTTGTTTTAATGGGAGCATCTTGCAAGAAGTATGGAGATTTCATATATGGTACAATAACCTGCTGTATTGTATAGGTGTGAACTGAAAGAGGAATGGTTAGGAGAGGCTGAGTGGAATTCACTTACTGGGAAAAGAACATTGGGCAAAATCATTAATCCCTAGTACAAACTTGAATGTTCTTTGATACACCTTCCCTACTTTAAAATAATTTCAGGCCATCAGGCTTAGTACTAATATTTCGAGTTACCATTTTTGGCAAAAAGCAGTCTAGCCTCAGATAGCAGAGGAAATCGCCTTCCTCCAATAAGAAGTCTCCGTGGCGCAATTGGCTAGCGCGTCTGACTGTTAATCAGGAGGTTGGAAGTTCAAGCCTTCCCGGGGACGTCTTCTTTTTTGTCTTTTTGCAATTTTCGTACCCACAAATACTAGTAGGGTTCGATTGACGTCTACGTCTCCACTAAGGGTGCGGCTTGGATGTGTAAACCCTAAAAACCCATACTCATATGTTTCATTGTGCTACAATTTGAAGTATGAACTTCATGGTTTTGGCTGAATCACGGGTTTGAATGGTTAATACGCAGGTATCAGTTTGTCACAAATAAATTTTGGATAACTTATTGTGTAGCGTGGTATTCAAAAAGCTGGAGTTTGCTGGTTTTCATGTAGGCCGTGATAACGGAAAGCGTTCTACCGAGACCCACCGCTGTCGGGAACTAATAACCACATGAAAAAAACATCAAAAAAGAGAAAATCCAGGGTCCTCCGGGTTATGAGCCCGGCGTCCTTCCCCCGAGCTAACATGCTTGTTGGGTAACGTGACTTGCCATCAACGATATACATTGAGTCAATCATTCACTTCAAGTTAGTATACATAGTTAAACGATTTTCCCGAGTGCTTGAGAACATCATGTGATGCCCCATCAATATTGACTGGTACTTTCTATCCCAGGGTCGGGCTTTGTGAGATTAATAGGTAGCTGGGCTACACAATTACTTTTTCCTTACATTTAGTACTAGGTTTCAAGGATCGATATGCCACGTGCACATTTGCTTGAGACTATATGCACCTGTAATAGGTAGATCGATGTACTTGGAAGTAGACAGAATCATCAAGCCTACTAGGCTTTACAAGGTGACATCAGGTGCTATATTTAAACCCTTCATTCAAATCAAGGGTTCATATAGTTTCTAAAATATACTGCTAATGGGTAGTGGGAATACATAAGGCTCTACTTGTATTCACAGATTCATCTGATGTTTGCAGCACTGCACGTGGAGTTAGGTTGGTGTGAAATACTCACGTGTGTAACATGCACGACTTCGATACATAGTAGTATATATTGGTAGTAGACATGTCTGGATGCACCTAACTTCAATGTTGGAATGCCCATCCACAAGGCACCTATGTATCCATACCTAATTTACTCCATTGCACACTATCAAAATATTCAAAATTGGTTATACTACCGGAAGAGGTATTTAAATTATGAAAAATCGATATGGTCAACTGTTTGATTCAAATGTTATGTGATTGGAAGTTATGGGCCGACCCGTGGACGCGGTCTTCCAAACTTGGAAGTCTTCTAGACGGCAACCTTGAAATAATTCAAGCTTAAAGTTTATATTGCTAAAAAGTTCAGCCACTTTCATCAAATACGTCTCCGTGGCGCAATTGGCTAGCGCGTCTGACTGTTAATCAGGAGGTTGGAAGTTCGAGCCTTCCCGGGGACGTTTCTTTTTGTCTTTTTCCGGATTTCTCTACCTACGTAGCTGTTGCATTGTCGACAGACCTTTTTTTTTATATGCTGGTGGAAGAAAAGCCCGGGGCTTAATGTAGAGGTGGGAGGAAAAAGCAAGAAATGATACTCAAACACGCAGAATTGTCATCTTGCATTCGGTAGATGGTAAGTAGTACATGTAGTCCTGGAGGTACTAGGTATCCTTTGCTAAGGATACGGCGAACTGCCTTGAAACCCACACGTAGGAAGGTATTATTGTCAATTTGAGCTGATCTGAGCGAGCGAAAAGAAAGAGTACATAGAAAATGACAAATCGGGAAAGTAGTATAGACAGCAGAAAAAGAAAGACTGGGGGTGCTGATCTTATCAGATGTTGATGATCCCCGGATCTGGGTGAGTGAGTAGAATAGGCAATGTGGAAGATCAAGTATAATACCACGCAGCCCGTGGTCAAGAAGAATGGATCATACACGCAGTGGCACGAAAGAAGTAAAACACAAACCATGGAGAAAATGCAGGAGACCATGGTCGAGAGGATAAGTAGATCAATATGTCTCGGCAGCATGAAAACAGATCGCCGATTCCGCGGCGAAAGACACCTGGGCAGAACCCCCTCTATCGACCATGTATGGAAAACAAATGGAGACAAAAAGTAGAAAAAATACATTCTCATATTCTTGTAGCAATAACAATAGACTGAATGCCTGACAACGTGAGAACGATAACTCCGGGAACATTCTCAAAGATAACGTAAGATAAACACAAAGGCAAGGTAGTTGATTGAGAGCCAAGCCTCATCAGGACATAAAAAAAAAAGGGTATAATAAGGTAAATGGCCAAGATTAACACTACCGAGCCACGTCCCAAGGGAGTGTCACACATGTGCAATGCAAGGGCAGTAAAAAAGGAGAAGAAAAAAGCAGAGAGCAGTCAAAAAAGCAAGAACCCACAAGAAGATACAGATAGAAAACCCCCAAATCACCGGCGTGTCTGATGCAGAAGAAAAAAAGAGTAATCCCACAAAACGCCCTCTCTACTAGTAGATAACGCCGAATCGAAATCTAGTAGCCTGACCATCCACCCAATGGGCTTCCTGACTGACCTGGCTGGGGTTGACCAGGTTGCATCGGCTGACCAGGGCCAGTAGGCCACCCTGGCATACCACCTGCACCCATATTCATCGCCATACTGGCCTGCTGAGGACTGGCAGCCATGTAGGCCTGACCGCCTGGCCCCCCTTGAGCCTGAGGATACATTGCCCGTGCCATACCTTGGTAAGCAGCAGGGTTCCCTCCTGGGAAACCCATGCCTCCCATAGCCTGCTGTTGGGCCTGTGGATGCTGCTGCATTTGGTGGTACTGCTGGGGCATCTGGGGCACGTTGCGGGGAGATTGCTGTGGCTGCTGAGCATGATGAAGGGGTGACGGTGCCTGCTGCGGAGCCGCGGCCATTTGCTGAGCATACTGGGCCATATTGACGCCTTGCTGACCCGAGGACATAGGCGACTGCTGAGGTTGTGGTGGTGGCCGGCCCCACATTTGCTGTTGCTGTGCCTGCTGTTGCTGCTGCTGCTGTTGTTGCACTTGCTGTGCCTGCTGCTGTGCCTGCTGCTGCTGCTGCTGCTGCTGCTGTTGCTGTTGCTGATATGCGTAGGGGGCTTGCTGACCAACACCAGCAGACATGGATGGGTTTGGTCTTTGATGCATCAGGTCGGGTCGCATGCCTGCGGGGATTCCCCTGACTGGCGATTGACCGATTGATTGTTGATGTGGTGGCTGAGAGAAGGTCTGCTGACCTCCTTGCATCATCACCGACTGATGAGGCATGACGTGTTGAGTATGAGTTGGGTTGGCCATTCCTGGAGGAGGGATCTGAGCAGGTTGAATGGGCTGGGATACGGAGAGACCTGATTCAAGGGCAGTGGTAGCCTGTGCCTCTGTCTCAGGGACCTCGCGAGGCTTCGCATAAAACTCGTCCAACCCTTTCCGTCGATAGCTTCGCTGTGTCGACAAAATTTTGTTGAACTCAGCTGCGTGTTGGGCCTGGTTGATGATCTCTGAACCCGAACTGGGCTGACTCCGATCGTGGTAAATCTGACCATTCAGCTCTTGGCGAGCACGAGGAATACCGTTGTAGTCTCGCAAGCGGAGGTCATCTGTTGTGGCCAGGTGTATCATAGGGAGTTGGGTTAGCGAGGGAGAGCCATCTGATACGTCCAAGGAGAGACCAGGAGGCAGCGGCTCCACTGTATTGCTGAAGATCACATCATTGTGAGGAAGGGCCGGTAGCAGACTAGAAGTTGTGGTATCTACTGTAGATCCATCTCGGACCTTGGCAGCGCCCGGACGCTTCTCGCCCGCTAGATCCTCTTCAGTGAAACCTTGTTTCCTGGCTTTGCTTTCCCAGTAATCATCTCGAACCCGCCGGCCATTCACAATGACACGGCTTCCAAACTGGCGAAACATAGATCGAGCAGACACAATCGCGATCTGACGGGACCGATAGGAATACGGAAGAATATCTTGGTTGATGAGATCATCCTTTTCGACTTGGGATGCGATTATCTTGTGCAGAGACCGGTTTTTGTTGAACAGTAGATAAGAATCACGGTAGTTCAAAACCCTTGCGCACTCCGTTGCCAACATAAACAGCTTGGTGTTTCTGTGGGGTACACGGAAGGTCCGACATTTGTATTCGCGATCACCTTGCAGGTAACCCATGGCATCTACCTTGGCCTCTCCCGCATCATCAAACTCCTTCGGAATATATTCGTCGCCTTCGTCATTCAGCTGATCCGATGTGTGGTCCCGGACTGTTGGAAGAGCCTTGACCAGTGACTTTGTCGGGGTAGTCCTATCTGGGGGAGAAGCGAGATTTGGGGATCCAGCATGTTGGGGAAGCGAGCGTGCTTGCATCTGTGGGGTTTGAATTGGCGTGCCGGCCGGATGATCGTTCGAGGTTGCCCGCGGAATCTTCGGGGGACGGCCTCGCTTGCGGCGACCCTGGTCTTCTGGAATGGATACGTTTGGTCAGCATACTCTGCCGTCGAATATAAAAGCTCAATGCGACTGATAGGTCCAAAAAAGAAAAGAGAAAAGAGAAAAGAGAAAAGAGAAAAGAGAAAAGAGAAAAGAGAAAAGAGAAAAGAGAAAAGAGAAAACATTAGGTGAAGCGATGATAAGACGTGACGAAAGAATTATAACAGGCAACATGGCGCTCCCAATTGCGCACGTACCATCATCCTGATCTCCTTCTGTATGGCCATTCCCACTGCGATCTGGAGTGCGAGTACGCTTGATACCACGGGGATTTGCTTCTGCATGGGATGGCACTGGCAGAACAGAGACTAGGATGGGCATCAGTCTGGAAGGTGACGGGGATTACAGTCAAGGGAAAATAGACATCATCTCGCCCATCGGTAATCCCAAAAACCGACGACGCGCGATAAGCCGCGACAGGCAAGCCAAAAACATGGCCAGGTAGAAAAGATGGGACACGAAGCAATATTAAACAAGAACATGGAATGAGCTTTATAAAAAAAAAAGTTGCATACCTGAGTTACTCAGGTTTGCCGGGTCGATGGTACCCGAGCCATCAATAGACTCTCCTCCAATGCCGTTCATTGTTGAGAGAGAGTGAGGCGTGCCATACATAATGGAGAATCAGATGGCCCAAGAGGCCCGCGTGTCGGGAAAAGAGACAAAAGGACGCGCCCGAACAAAAATCAGGTCGCGATGGGGGGTGGCGCGAAGAGAGGGCGGGTAGACTAGGCTTGCATGCAGGATGGGTAATGGTCGGTCAAAACGGGAAAAGGTGAACAACGCAGCTCTATGCTCCCGGGGGTTTGGGAAGATTGCAACTTTGAGAGGGGCGAGGCGGTGAGTGGGTGAAGTTGGATGATAACTGGTGCCTGATGGATGCCTTGGTTGGTGCCTGAAGTTTCTTCCCTTTTTCGGGTTTGGTGGCCTGAGGAATTCAACTTCACGTGAAGGAAGTATAAACCTGAGAGAGAAAAAAAATTGGTGTCAAACTTGATATTCTTCAGGACTTTTTTTTGTGGGAAAGGGGGAAAGAAGGAGGGGTAATCTCCAGTCAGATCACACAAAAGAACAACACGCGGAGACCACGCACTTTTAAGGGAATATTCAAAGGGGAAAAAAGCCCCAAAAAGTAAAATAGGTTGCAAGGGGGTAGAGTGGAATGCGTCGCGTGATTGGTCACGGGAATGGGGGAAGTTGGAGTAAAATCAAGTCAATCAAGACCGAATCAGAGGAAGAAAAGAGAAATAAAAAGAGAAAATATATCATGGAAGGATTCCTAGAGGATCAACGGCAAATCAGATCAGCAAGAGATAAGTCCGGAATATAGACAAGATTGCTGATAAAGAGCTGCCATACAAACGTAAAAAGGACTCCGAAAAAGAAAGAAAACAACCAAAAGAACCTTGGAATAAGAAAAAGTAGATAACTAACGACCAAAACCCAAAGAAGAGAAGGGTAGAAACGACGCAGAAACAGGTTCTGGAGCGGATCAAAGCCCGGGGAGGATTCGGGATCAGCCGCGGGGCCGAAGGAACGAAGGAAAGCAAAAATCAACGTTGTAAGACCCCAGTCATTAGGAAGTGATCGGATATTGTCCACGATTCCACAAAGGATTAGATCTGGAGGGGACGGGGTGTTCTTTTTGTTCTGGGAGGGGCGCGGGTATGGCGCGGGGCCAAGGGTTCAAGGCTTTGTAAGACAAATAAGAGCCTGCGTAGTGGAACCAGTGAAGTTGGCTCGAGCGGAGGGAGATTTTCCCGAGGTGGGACAACGATCGAAATACCGATGGGGTTGGTAGAGATGATGGGGCCTGGAAGGAAGAGTAGTAATGAGGAAGGGATGAAAGACCCAAAAGGGAAGAAAGAGAGAGAGAAAAAGAAAATACCAAAAAAAAGGGAAAAAGGATTGAAGGATTTAAAGAGTAACCGTCGTACGAATGAAATAAATTTGAACTCGGTAGTACCTGCAAGAAAGAATCCAATCATGAGATTCTAGAAAAACCAACGTTGGAACGTTGAAAAGGTTCAAGCAAGACGTCCTGAGATTCTTAACTATATACTCCTAAAAACTCTAGACTATAAAAATACCTGGGAGAAATGCCCCTCCCGTCTCAGACGTTTTACCCTTCACGCCGTCATTCTCATCACACACCCAGGGAAGCTATTCATTGTGATAGGGTTTCCCGCCTTTGGATCGCGCCCAGTCTGATATTGTGTAACTTGATGTGTCTTAAAACTACCATGGGAATCATGATCCGAGGGATAGAAGAGGAACTCAAGGAAATCAAATCTACATAATTGGATTTCCAACGTTCGCAGTTTATTTCTTAGAAAATTTCGCAGAGGGTTGTGGCCTTATTCTATACTGATTATGCAGAAGCTAAAATGGGGCATGGGACCCATTTCTGCAGTACGGGATACCAAGAGTCGGATTATATCGGAACTAGAATGAGAGCCTACGATACTCATGGCTGAGCATATTAAAGAAGCAAGAGAGAGGTATTTGATTATCTATTTTGCACCAATCCTCCATCGGGCGATAATCCACCGGGAGAAAGCAAGAAAAAAAAGAAAAAAGAAAAAAGAAAGAAAAAAGAAAAAAAAAAAGAAAAAAAAGAATAGATATTAGGGCAAAGAGGGGCCCTGACATTAAGATCCGTCAACTAAAAAAGGCCGAAAGACTAGAGTTCCATAAATTTTGAGCTCAGGCCCCATCTTGTCAGCCGGAGACAAACTAACGAATCTGAACTAGTAAAGAAAATCACGGAGATGAAGAGTGCTCGTGCGCCTGGAACAAAACGGTGGAGATTTCTGGATACTCCGAAGACCGGTCAAGACGAATCATGGTCTATCACACTTTCTATCTATGGTCATTCTATACACTTGTAACGGTTCGCTCACCAGGGCAGGACTGGTCTAATTCCCAATAATCTGCACGGGAGCCCCACCAGGCCTAGCGCGTACCTCGAAATCAAGCAGATGACCCAGAAGAGACGGTCACTTGAGAAGATCAACGGTCCATGCGTGCAATAGGAAGGGCAGATTCCAAATACGCAAATACTCTAGACGCGCGATCTCCGCTACATAGACTCTGATAGACCGAGGGAAAGTATCCACTGTACAAGGTCGGTCAAGAACAGACACACAGCGTTACACAATAGACGACGTTCCAACTACCCAAGGCATCGCAATGTACACCGTCCAAAACAGAAATAGTAACCAGCCTTGCCTTCAATGTTCCATGGGGTCTTCCGGGTCTCACAGCAGCCGATTTTGCAGCGCTGCCGTTTACACACTCGGCTTCGGCAGATGGCCGCCCCGTCACACAGAGGGAACGCAGCTCTGGGATTTGGAAAGAAGACAAGAGGTGACTCTGCAGGTCCCGATTGGGGAAATGACTGGTTTCCCTCGTGCTAGGTGCTCGCATAGATGCAGGGCCAGTCCCTAACCCAATCTGGACCTTTTGGATGTAACGTGCAGCCTCAACTTTGGAAAGGAGATGTACGCCCAAGTAATGAACTTGATGTGAACTATCATGTGTACTAGTATGCACGAGCTTGATTATCAACATTTGAATTTTAGCTACTAGCAGATCCATCCAGATGTTCAAGCTACATACTTTGTACTCTATAAATGCACATAATATGCACTGAACACAGAATATTTGAATCTTGTTAACATGCCAGATGGTTATCTGTATGTATGGCCAGATCGGTAAAGATCATACATTCCTTTGACATCTGAACCAACCATCCGGGATATTAGGTATTGATTACTATTCAAATATTCGATATGCAGAAAGCTTCCAGCCATACATGGCCCTTCAATCTTGACATACAGGTGGGGGCTTTCTCCAATGGCCAGAAAAGGGATAGCCACACTCGTCAGCCAAATGTGATGGACCATGATTATGACAAGTTGACAGATGCCATCACAGCATTCTTTGACGTTGGGGGCTGATTCCCAAGGCTCACGTAAGGGACCCAGGTGCCTCTTTCTCAAAATGCAACGGCAGCACCAGGCACCAAAGGCCAGTGGCAAAATTGGGAAAAGTGCCTCATCACAACAAAATACCAGAAAAGAAAAAAAAAATAAACCTTAAAAGAAAGACGAAGCTTTCTAGGTGGTAGCTTACAATCCATACCTATCACCTAGCTAGGAACTGAGCAATGAACATCATGGTAGTGTTGCTGCACTTCAAACGCAGATCTTAACTTGTCCCAACGCCATGGTATAGCCCAAAACGGTAATTCACAAGGCAAACGTTTGAAACCAAGTCTTATTCGACAGGAAAACATAAACAGGGAAATCCGTGGCATGTGGACATTGTAATCACGCGCAGTCACAGAGAGCCCTGGAAATAACTGAGGGGTTTCATTTTCCATATTGCGGCTTTTTTTTTCTTTCCTCCTTTTTTTTTTTTTTTTTTTTTCAAAAAGCATTTTTATATTTTTACGTTATGCAATATTCCCAGTTCCTGCAAGTCTTCTTGTGTACTAGTATTCTTTCCTTGGCCCTGTTTCCTATCCACGGAATTTGACTATAATAGGCCTAAGCTTGATATTGGAACGTAGCGTTGCGTGTTCGGAGGTGAGTAAGCCACGCGTTTCACGGAATAGCATATTGACTTGACTCGAATAGGGTATCCAAGAAGAGAAAAGGAAACAAACAAATAGACTGTGACTACGATACTGACGCTGATGATACTTTGAAGCCTTACATGAGCAACTTGGAAAATAGCCTCAACCCATGAGCCCAAAACTCTGTCCGCATATCTCTTGAGTAAAAAAATCAAATAATCGAATTGAATCAAAAGATTTTTAACTGAGACAAGAACAACTCGCCGTTCCTACCATCCATTACTGTATCAGTCGAGATTTACTGTAGATCATGGTGTTGCAAAGGGAAAAAGGGAAAAAGGGAAGTCAGATCTAGCCAGTAACATGCATGGATTATTATTTCTATTCCCCTCTTTTCCAATCCCTTGGATGTAACAATGTGCATCATGCCCCGAGTCTCTGGGTTAAGTTCTTACACCCGAGAATGGAGCGGAGGATTTCAAGATAGCTTGTGTACCGGGAAAGATGGACTTGGCTTGAACTCTTACTTCTACTGAGATCCAAGTTAGCTCATATTGCATACAGAATATTATAACACAATTTTTAAAGCTTCAGTGTCAACCAAGAATATCCTTTTATTTTTTATTTTTATTTAACTCGGGCTACAAAGCCAGATTCGTATCCTTTAAACCGAGAGAATACGGCAACTGGAGTCCATGGCCACCCGTGAATTTAGCGAGGCGGGAACTAGGCAGTTATCGGTCGCATCATGCATTAGTGGGGGTTAGGAATGTTTCAGGCTTCAGGAGGAGAGCCGGGAGGCGACGTGCATTGGGGGCTAATCAGGACCGGGCATAGATCAAGATTTGCATCTCTAGAAAGTCACCCGCTGCCAAAATCAATCCATGGACGTATCATGCACATGTGTAGTCGCCATATTGTATACAACACTACTAGTAGACATCAGGCCTAGCTTCTAGGTAGGATGTTGGTTCCAAGGAGGGCGTCAGTGGAGAATAAATCAACGTGGTTATTTTTGCGGGGTAGAGAATAAGTAGTAGTGATGAGATAACCCTGCCGTAGGTAGGCATAGTTAGATCCTGACTGATCTATCCCGACGCGCTGCTAGGCCCTGACTATTGTCAATATACATGGATGCATTGACTATTGGGGGTCCCAAGGACCTCGGAGTATTCCCAGTAAGGAATAACCCATCGCTTATTGCCCAGGTGGGAATAACCCCGTCGGAGCTTCCAAGGTTTTACCAGATACTAGTAGCTAATGCACCTGAATCCAACGGTTGGCTACTACGGGGCTGCTATCAACTCATAGGATGTTACCATGGAGCTTACTTGGCTTGATTTGTATCTTCTTCGAGGAGCACAAGTGCGATCTCAAGTGAAATCAGCAAAAAGCATGACATGCTATTTACAGTGTTCGCAATCTTTGACTGTCTGGTTGGGACGACATACGATTGATTAATGGGATTGAGATTCCTTGGAGACACAAGAAACGCTATTTGACAGCTGAGGAAGTCTAATAAAGTCCCAGAGAAAGATTGCATACTCCCCGATCCATGTGCGGCAGAGTCTCGACCCGCCAAACTGTCATGTAGACCCAAGAGCGTGGTATCCCACAGAGACAGTTCCATTCTTCCAAGGATATGATATGGGGATTTACTACTAGGCATCTTCAGATCAGCGCCATTACAAATCATTACAAAGAACGATACAAAGTGTCACGAGTGGAAAGTTGCTGGTCGAAGGGGGTATACTTTTGGATTTATTGTCGTGCAGTAGCTATAATGTGTGATTTGGAAACTGAAAGAGAGGAGCACATGTCTATGCACAGGCAAGTTGTGATACTCCATCTTATCAAGTATCTTATCAAGTATCTTGACGTTGCCAAATATCTCATCAATCACCGTCGCCGTGTTCGATGCAGAGCAATTTAGGAAGATGGCGACAAGAAACACGCGATAACCTCTCACAGCGAGGATATGCGAAGAAGAGCACTGTTGTTCGTGGTGTAAGTGAGTCCCAGTATTCAGAGAAAAGAAGGAATCAGATAGTTCTGTTGATAATCAGCGATCTGTATACGTGGTAGTGTTGTGAGGAGTCGAGGCTTGATAGGGACATCGTGGTCTCAGACCCACGAGTCGATGAATAATCGGGGCGTTATGCGAGGATAAGTTTCGATGCTCGCTCTCAGACGTGAGATAGAAGTCTCACCCCGAATACGAATGGCTTGCACAGCAACCATATTGGTAAAGGTCATGGCGCCTGCCATTCACCAAGCCGTGTCTCCATATTGTTGAAGCCACTTCAACCTGCAAGTCATCTTTCTGTCAAAATAGCTTTCAATATCAGCGCCTTCGACGGCACATTGCTGCCGAGGACGGTTATATTGGGGTAAGCACGGAGAAGGCGTTGACAAGAAGGTCCGCGCGGGAATCGGTAGTCCACGTGTTTCCCCTGGAGAGATGGCGGGGAAAATCGAGTGATTCTTCATGCGCAACAATTTGCTAGTAGAGTTCAAGGCTAGTGAGTGCATTAGACAACGAATGAGTTTTCTTTTCTTTTTTGTTCGTTTTTGTTTTTCTTTTTACTTCGGCCGATGTATGGAGTACAGGTATCCACGGGGCTGTTATGAATAGTTCTTCGCTTTTGTCGATGATCCGCGACGGCGAATCTTGGAAGGAAATATTTTCGAATTGGCAAAAGATCTTCTTTGCTACTGCTACGTACAACCAACGTAGTTCTTTCTCAAATTTGATGGTAGACGAAGACGGTGTAAAAGCGATGATCAATAACATTAGTAACGTTGCGATTTTCGGATCCGCAGACCCCCGTTTGCGGACAACGCAGCGAGGGGGTGGAGTCGAGGCCGTCTCGGCCAATATTATGACCAAGCGGTGAAAGAAGATCATCTGAGCAATATGGAAGCTCTTGGGGCCAGAACAATTCACAGCGACCGAGGGTTTGGAGGCGGCGATCGGCCATCGAGCGGGGGACACGTTTCCAATCTCGTGAGCAGGTGAGGCGTTCAGGGATTTTTCTACTGCAAGTAGAAACACGATCGTGCCATGGGGGAATTGTGTGCGGAGAAGAAGGCAATGTGAATAATATGTACGGAGTAACTTAGCCTGTGTGGAACTTCAGTGGAGTTGGGGTGGAACTTGGTTACTGCCACGGATGGATTTGATAGAGTGGAAGTTCGCCAAGACCTGCTGAGTCACACAGCACGCCATTCCCACTTCAGGGGCATTTCTCTTATGTCTTACGATGATCTGGACTCTGTCTGTTGAGTCAACGGGATTGAAGGGAACCGTGGGCCTATTACCAACGCTATTCCCAAGAAACAAAAAAAGAGACCCAAGACGAAGAGCCTGAGAAAAAAAAAAGTGGAATTCAAGAGGTAGGATCTCGACTTGTTCACAGACGAAAGCGAGTCGGTCGTTGACGCACGGGTACCGCATGCGAAAGTTTCACGATGTTGAGGGGGTTCGGCCTTCCAGACTCGGTAATCCGCGGAGATCGTGAGTGTTCATAGCAGGTTGGCCGAGTGGCGTTTCTATTCTCGAAGTAAAGAAGAAGATAAGCTACGAGAGGGTCTCCACTGGGAAAATTTTTCGTGGCATCGTCTGATCAATTAAACCGGGTCAAATCCACCAAAAGACCCACAGTTGGAAGGGCATCGAATGATGGATTTTCGCCTCTGAACTGTGACTCCAAGATCCCTTTTCCATTTCCTGGGAGGAAAGAGTATCTGCACGGGAGAAAAAAAAGCACACAGATGGGAAAGCCTTTTCGATCGAGGTCCCCTCTAGCGGGGTCAAATAATAACAAAGAACAGGTTTTGTGAATGGGGATTTGTTAGCGTGGAAGCCACAGACAAGCGCTGGACCATGGTCTAGAACGGGTACCCGGATGTGTAGAAGTGGGGAGGTCGAGTCCTGCTGACCCGCTTGTGAAAGGGAAAAAAAAATACTTGGGTTCCACAACTCATAGCTTGCAGATCTCGTCCCGTATAAAACTCCGTTTCTTCCTACTCTTCGGGTTTTTTTCTCTCCTCCCCTTTCGAGTCCAACCCAATTCAAATCATCATACCATACAGAAATCAGAGAAACCAATTTTCTCTCCCGTCAAAACAATCACAAACTACATATACAATCCACCACACCAGAATGACCGTTGCCATGGGCATCGACACATCCACCGCACCACCGAAACGACCTTCCTTGGTTGATTTCCAAAGGAACACCAGGAACAAGCGCTGGCCCCCTATGGCAAACCGCAATGCACTCCCATACAAGCTCACAGTCATCTCCAAGGAGAAATTGGCCCGTGAAGCCACCGCTCCCGACCCAGACCTCCGCCGGTGCGTGGCACACTTCCGCCTACACTGCGGTTCCGTCCTCTGGACCGAGAACGACATGAAGTCCCGCATCAGTTCCTTTGAATTCGAGGAATCCGAGTCCGAATCCGAAGATGACTCCGAGCACAAGAGAATGAACGAGCTCAAGCTCCGACAAAAATCACTACAAAAGTCGCAAAAGTCTTCACAAAATACGATCGTCACTGTGCAAATTAGCCCCGAAGAAAAGAAGCCTCTCGTCACTTCATCTGCGATTCTTCCGGAGAGCAACTACATGGACCGCAACCTATGTGCTGTTGCCGTTGCCCCCCAACCCATTGCCGCTTAAGCCGGGAATTTTCGCATAAACATCCTCCTCCCCTCTTGACATCACGATCTGGATCTGGGTCTCTTACCTTACCACCTCTACTCTCTACCACCGATCCTTCCGACATCTTCCACCCGACTTTTACACTTTTACGACTTTAATGATGTGACGACGAATTGTTTCTTACCCGATGATAGAACAAAAATTGGATCCTGTATATAGCTATATCCACTTAATTCCCAAATACGATTTTTTTTGCTGGCCAAAACATGTATTCTCCATTTCTTCAGATCTCTCATTAACTTAGTACTATAAATTTCAAATCTGGTTTTATTTCTTCAATTTTTTTTTTTTAAAAAACCAACGTCACTTTCTCCAGGTTGTCTCCAGACTAATTCCCCAGATTTGTCGCATTTTGTCACCTTACTCCCTATAGTAAGTATACATGTGCATCCTGATTCTCCGAGATCATCACCTTTCCTGTGCGAAAGAGTGGGGATACCATCAATTGCCGCTTCTGGTAATACCTATTCGAGTACCCAACACGACGATCCCCATCGCCATTCGCAAAGTAACAACCAAAAACTCCCTAATTATATTTAGCTTCAAGTCCCTTACGGGAAATGCATGCAGGTTGTACATAATCTAACGCTGGCTTAACTCTCTGGTCCTTTTGCCACACCTTGTACTTTTGACGCGCCAAATAATTGGACGCAAGAGAAGACTGTTGAACTGCGCGGTTGCCACTTGTCTCCACTTTCGTGCACCCTTGAGCTTCGCTTCCCATGATTGGTGGATCAATTTTCTACAAATGCTCTTCCAGTATGGAGTAGGATTTGTAAATACAAGTATACGAAAATAGCTGGGTGTTGCATGGAATACAGTTTTGCAAGTCAAATTTTCAAATGTTCAAAATATTGCGGGGAGGGAGAAATTCTTCAAGTGCGTTAATTGTTTATGGGTTTTTTTCGTCAGAAACCAGTGCTTGGAAGTAGCTAGCCCGGGGCCTTGAATGAATCTAAACCTTCCTAATCTTCAGTCAATTTACCCGAAGGATTAGTCCAATCAGTGTACGTACTAATAGAAGCAGCATGATTTGAGTCCACGGGTAAATTGTGTGTCTTTGCGCTATGATTGGGTTATGCTATAGATGATCCCTGTGGTGTAGCGGGAGTCCGATCGGACCTCGGGAGCTTTGATGGCCTGTACCTTGTACCACGGCGATCAACCACATGCAAAAGTAGTAGTTTGACAGCTGTGAGCTCTCTGGTCAATGAGATAAATCGCTGGTATAAGCCCTGGAAACCGCCTAAACGGAGCTAACAAAATTGGTGTGGTCTCTATGGAAAAACACCAGGCCGGTACGATTCAGGTCGCTGGCCACCCATTCATTCATGTACGATTATGTGATGTTGGAGCTAAAAGGGCAATGGGAGCTAAGCGATCAAATTTGGTGTTAAGTCTGGTGTGAAGATAGACGCACTTTTGCAAGTCCTAGTTAGTACATAGCTTCCAAAGTCGGAGGCCGGCGGTTTTGGTTTTGTCAATGCCACGCCGCCTGGTAAGAATACCACGACCTTTTCTTAGCAATACGCGCGTTAGCAAAATTAATAATACTAATCTAAAATTAGATCCAGTCGTCTTTTAGTGTTTCATTGTGCGTGGCATGAAAGTCGTCAACTAATTGGTGGTACGTACACACACGTAAGTAACCAATCATATTTTTGAGGTGGCGACGCGGTGTTTTACTGAGCATGAATATAGATTCTCTGAAGATTCAAGTTGTTATTCCTGCCGGAATTAGGTAAGCTCGGAATCTATGACTTATCCTCGCTCTACTCCGCAATCTGAGGCACAGAGCTGAGATATCAACGGCGAAAATCAGTGGCTCTATCTTTGTTGAAGTATAATTATAACCAAGGTTGTGATTATATGCCTTTCTAACTAGTTACCCAGCTGTTAAAATTGAAGATTCCTCGATGCCCAGGTCCAGACACCAGGATAGGAGCCATAGGACTCCAGCGGGAGGTTAGGTAAACCGCCTCGACGGGCGTGATACGAGAAAGTCCGAAGAGAGATAACTGGACCCACTGGGACACATATCTATACGGGATATCTGACGCCTATTGCACAGTAAATGTTAAACTCTGTGAGAACCGAGATTGATCAATTGATCCGTGAATAGTGATAACGTTGAAATCGGCTTTGGCTCGGGATCTCGGAGCTCGGCTTTAGACATGTTTACTAGTACCATAAGAAGCACTCGTGGACAATAGATTCGTCAGAAAGAACAACGTATACGACCTCCAAAGCCATTGATAGTATAATTTTGTACCGGAGCAATGACGACAACCGCCGATATGGAAAAGTCCTCTGTGCTAGAGACCACAGAGCCCAAAGAAGAGGAGCTGGAGCACCAAAAACAACAAGACCGGCTGAACGCCCTCCTCAAAGAACACGAAGTAAGTTAGACGGAATTTTCAGGCTGCTTTCAACAAGTTGGGATAATACTCATGGAACCAGTGTACTTGGGACGGTCCTTGCGATCCTCAAGATCCGTATAATTGGTCTTCTACTTGGAAAATCACTGTCGCCATCATCGTCTCTCTTGGCCAACTCGTCGCAATCATGACCACAAGTATAGTCGCTCCATCTTTATCAACAATCGCCGAAGATTTGCACATGAAGTCATCGGAAATGCAGGTGACGTTTTCCATCTTCGTTCTCGGACTTGCATTTGCACCCTTTCTTATCGCCGCGTTGTCGGAAATGTACGGTCGGAAAAGTATATGGGTTACTTGCAACTTGTGGTACATTCTTTGGAACTCTTTATGCCCTGTTGGTCACTCAAGTGTGATGATGATCGTTGGACGTTTCATGGCAGGCTCTGGCGCTAGTGTTGGAACTACGGTATGATCTCATTGAAGACTGAATCAACCAAAACAAGCTAAAGAAAACTCATGCTAATAAATCTGTCGTCACCCACAGCTCACCTCATCTGTGCTTACGGATATGTATCGTGCAGAGCATCGAGGAAAATCTCTAGCCATAGCCACCTTCATTCCTTACCTGGGTCCAGCGATAGGACCGATCCTGGGTGGAGTAATTTCCCAAAACCTGCGGTGGGAGTGGTCATTTTGGATTCTTTCTCTCTTCGAAGCTGTAATCACTCTCTTGGGATTGATTTTTTTTACCGAGACATATACGCCAACCTTACTTCGTCGCAAAGCCGCAGCCCAGCGTAACGACGCGTCCTCATCACCATCGCCATCCAGAACCGTGCAGGCTCAGGAATTCTACCACGACTTGACCAGACGCTTGAAACCTAGCATCCTGCGCCCAATGCTGATGCTGACACAGAGACCCGTTGTTCAGGTGGTGTCCTTCATCAACGCCCTGGCATTCGGCATCTATTGCTTAATGCTTTCGACGTACGCCAGCCTGTGGACAGAAAGATACAATGAGAACGAGACGATCAGCAGCCTGAACTACATTGCCATCGCAATCGGAACAACAATAGCAACCCAAATTGGAGGTCACACAATGGATTGGATTTATCGAAATCTGAAGAAGAGAAACAAGGGCCAAGCACGTCCCGAATACCGAGCTCCATTTTTAGTACCTGGTGTTGTGCTGGTTCCTATTGGTCTTTTCTGGTATGGATGGTCTGCTGATCAGGCCATTTCTTGGGTGATGGTTGATGCTGGCGCTGCTATCTTTACATGCGGGAGCTTCATCGTTACGCAGGGCATGTTGGCGTATCTTTTGGATGAGATGGAATATGCCGCATCTGCTAATGCCGCCTCGCGAATGCTTTCAAATATTTGTGGGTTTGCTTTTCCAATATTTGCGCCACAGCTATATAGTAGGCTTCACTATGGATGGGGGAATAGCGTGTTAGCCTTTGTCTTCATTGCTCTGGGGGTGCCGACTCCATTGTTGCTATGGCTTTGGGGGTTTGAGCTGAGAGCTCTGGGCAAAAAGTTGTGAAAAAGCTTTTCTGGTTGCACATGTGCTGAATAAAGAGAACATTTGGATGCCGAAGTTTTTGTTTTCCAGGAATCTTGGAACTGAATATCAGGGCCGATTTATACTTACTTAGGTGTTGGTATTGGAACCTTTTTTCCAAGGAAGGTTGGCATTGAATGTACCTAGCACGGAAATTGAATTGATGTACATGCTGTTCAGCTGATCGAATTACGTTGATTAAATGAACATTGGACAAAGCCCACGCATAGCCTCATAAAGTCTTAAAATACTATATGGTAGGATGACGTCCGAACAATAAAAAGAGACAAGTTACTAATGCACATGCATATAGCCTAGCGAAGTCTTTATATTGGTTGGATGACGTCGGACAAAGATAAATAAACAAACTACTAATGCGCATAGCCTAACATTTGAAGACTTTATATTAGTTAGGTGATGTTTATCCGACTTATGCTGGTTGGATGACGTCGGACAAAGATAAATAAACAAACTACTAATGCGCATAGCCTAATAAATTCTTTATATTGGTTGGATGCCGTCCGAACAAAAAAAAAGAGATAAAATATGCGCATAGCCTTATAAATTCTTTATATTGGTTAGATGCCGTCCGACTTATACTGGTTGGATGCCGTCTGAACAAAAAAAAGAGATAAAAGATGCGCATAGCCTTATAAATTCTCTATATTGGTTAGATGCCATCCGACTTATACTGGTTGGATGCCGTCTGAACAAAAAAAAAGAGAGACAAAATATGCGCATAGCCTAATAAATTCTTTATATTGGTTGGATGCCGTCTGAACAAAAAAAAAAGAGATAAAATATGCGCATAGCCTTATAAATTCTTTATATTGGTTAGATGCCGTCCAACTGATACTGGTTGGATGCCGTCCGAACAAAAAAAAAGAGATAAAATATACGCATAGCCTTATAAATTCTTTATATTGGTTAGATGCCGTCCGACTTATACTGTTTGGATGCCGTCCGAACGAAACAAATAAGATAAGCTATGCGCATAGCCTAACAAAGTCTTATATAAGTCAATCGGATGACGTCTGACCGAAAGAGATAACTACTAGTAGTATGTACTTGTATTTTTAAATTGTGAATACCTGACTTGAGACACCCGGAAGATGACCGGGTATAAATGTTCATAGATGTAGGCGAGTAAACTTATTGCTAAACACATGTGCATGTGCAACTAGCCCTCCGCATAGCCCTGCTGCGTCAAAATTCTTTCCAGTCATTTGTATTGGTTCAAACGTTTGAAGGAAGTCCTTCGTCCATTGGAGTCTTGACATCCGATTCATGATTTCCTATTATTTATGTCAATCAGACCTGTCTCTTTCATTGTATTTTTAAACATGATATATCAGGGACTTAGAAAATTAGCTGAAGGTGAAAGCAGAAATGTTCAATCAATTTCAAGAGCGCCTAAGAATACATGAAATCAAATCTGAGCGGTTGTCTATGTGCAAACTAACAAGGAAAGTAGATGCCACGACATCTTAGAAATGACCAGCTACTGGCCTTGCCTCATAAAGCCCCTCCAGATATTTCACCTCTTCATCTGTCAGAGTTTTTCCTTTCAACTCACACACATCGTCGATCTTTTCAATAGAAGTACAGCCCACAATCGGGATAGTACCTTTGCTCCTGAGCCAGGTCAAAGCAACATGGCTCATATTCCAGTTCCTCTTCTCAGCCACCTCCTGAACACGTTTGATGATCGATTTGTCGGCATCAGTCAAGCCAGGATGGTGGTACGAGGGCCGCTTAGATCGCAACGAGCTCTCATCCCCAACCGGACGAGCGAGTCTTCCCGCGAATAAGGGCGACCAAGGGATAAGTCCAACTCCAGTCTCATTGCAGTATCGATTCATCTCGCGCTCTTCCTCGCGGTACAAGAGGTTGTAGTAATTCTGCATACTGATGAATTTGGTCCACCCGTTTCTCTCGGCGAGGAACTGCAGCTGGGCGAATTGCGTGGCCCACATGGAACTTGCACCAAGGTAGCGGACCTTGCCTGACTGCACGAGGTCATGCAGTGCTTTCATTGTTTCTTCGGGTGGAGTGAGGGGGTCATAGCGTTGGATTTGAAGCAGGTCGATGTATGTTGTTCCCAGACGGGCCAAGGAGGCATCGACAGCTTGGAAGATGGCGCTCCGAGTCAAGCCTATACGCACATATGAGAACCATGTTGCTAGATCTTCTTAGAACAGGACTTGGCTTACCTCCTTGATTGGCATAGTCTTTGCTCTGGTTCATTTCATCCGCAAAGGCGGCGCCGATGACATCAATTTCCTCGCCAACGTGGAAGGCACATTTGGTCATGATCACTACCTTCTCCCGAAGAATTGTGAATTTCTGAATTGCTTTCCCAAGGATCTCTTCACTTGCTCCATTTGAGTACACGTTTGAAGTATCCCAAGTGTTGATGCCGCGATCATAGGCGGCTTTCAAGATGTCGAGCGAGGCCTCTTCATCCAGAAGCCATGGTGCCGCAGGCTGCGGGGGTCCGAAAGACAACGCACCCAGTATCGGGTAGGAGACTCGCAAGCCAGACTTTCCCAGTTGATGATACTCAACTTTGGTGTCCTCCAAGGACTTTTTGAGAGATGGTGGAAGAGGAATTCCGTACATGGTGGATGAGAAGAGCTGTGGTTGTTCAATTGAGTGTAGAAAAAAAGTGTTGTTTTGTGTGATGGAATATGAAAAGTGCGAGGCCCTTCCCACCCTTTTATATGCGCCACTTTCACAAAATCCTTCCTGTCCTCGCGGGATTTACGGGAAACAATCGGTGTTAAAGGATCCAAAACCCGTAGATAGTCCTGCCTCGCGGGGTTTTCTGAAAGCGGCTAGCGCCATGAGCTTAAATTGGAGTTCGCGCGTTTATCTCAATCGGGACTAGCGTGGATAGACATGAACCAATCATGATCCGCCATCAGCCCAGTACTTCTGGACTTTTGTTTCTTATTCTGTGATCTGCGAAATTTTGCCTGGTTTTCGGCAGATGTAAGATCTTGGCAAAATGACTAGCTCCTGTCAGAGCTGACCTGGCTGGCAAGGCTCTACGAAGTAAGCGAAGCAACTTTTGAAGTGGGTAACCACGGGAAAGTACATACGTCATGTTCCGAGCCTGATAGAACATCAGCCTTCGACCTCGGGAAGTTTGAACCTTTGAAGTTTTAGCGAATTCAATGCCCGAAAGTCATCTTTTATAAATGTTCCACGGTCACCCGATGGATGTGGAATGGAAAGATGATTACTCAGTCCCAGCAAAATCCATCGACGGGATTACTGATCTGTGATTGAGATAGTGTCCCATTTCAGTGACACCTTGAGCTCTAAGTACCGCCTGAGCAGAGACTTGCATTTAAATTAGTCCTGAAATCATATTCTTCAGACGGTTTTATGCTTGACAAAAAATATGAAAAATTTAAAACGACAAGAAGTGCGGCGGTGCAGACGAGTGACTGGGGAATATAGAGGAAGACAATCTCTTCCGTGGGCATTAATGTTTATTACACTTGTCAACCAACCACTTCAACGTCCTCACTCCAAATGTCATACAATGAGTCTGTCAAGTTGCGGAAATTATGGGACCACATCTAAAGAGACTTGCATCGAACCAAACGACCTACGCCAGTCAGTCATCTGAGCGGTGCTGGTCCTGGTCCAGGGAAGACATGAACGAAAAACTTGAAGAGTCAACACGATGAAAATGTGGTGAAAATGATTTGTAAATGGTCACGGCCAAGCTCAGCTACTCGGGATAAAAACGCGACTTACTTTATCTGGTTTAGCGTGTCTCTTGCCCGATCGTCAAACGAGGCGAGCGCCAACTCATCTGGCTTTCCACACCATGATCCTGAAACGCATAGAGACACGACAAGAAGTGCGAAATAAAAAAACTCGGCTTGGGATGTTGGTCAATATCATGAATATTCACTTGATAGCTATGATCAAGTGGGAAGACTCGGAAAGGGTGTTCGCCAGGTGTGGACGACAACGAAGATCAGAACCGCAAACAAACCAGCCCCGTCGGTTTAGCCTGTGGGGCCATTTCGGCATCCCCGCTGCGGTCGGGCAGAGAGGAATTTCCTTCTTATGATTTTGCTCTTGGATCTTCATTTTCGGAGAATTTCTTTCATCTTTCAGAAGAAGAAAAAAGGCTTTACATCCTGGCTCTCGATAAAGTCTGGCTGTCTCAAAGGTTCGCGGGAGTATACAGCGGCCCCACACTCTTTGTTTTCCTGTCAGTTGGTCCGATCCCAGGTATACGGCCTTGGCGGGTCCTGAACAGTGTCAATATGAGTGGAACTCATGAAAAAGGTTCTTTTCGCAAGAGATTGAAGTTTTGGAGAAGAGAATCCAAAGAACATACAATCTTTGCGCCATCTATTGTTAGCCCTTCTATAGGTAAGTTCTGGTTTTCAACTGGGCTTAAACCCACATCATTCGTGAAAACTAACTCACGTTATGGCCAAGACCAATCTTCTGCCATATCTAGCTCCCGGTTTTCTATGGGAACAACGATTCAGGGAGATCCGCCATCATTCGCAGAAGCAGATGCAGTTATCACACGAACGGAGAGCATTGCAAAAGATGAAGAACCTGCAATTTCTCTCTGGGACAAAGCATACGATGCACTGAAGACAGAACAACCTCAGCTGATTTCGAACTACGAGGATCTTCTATCTCGGGTACTGATCCAAGGTAAGAGCAACCGAATAAAGCTTGTCGGTCTCATATTTGGTCCTTTGGATCGTCTTGTCCGTAATAGCATTGTTAATACATGAGCATATAGACGAGTCGCAAGCTTCCTCCCCTGATCGCGAAGACGATGAAAAACAAGTCGAGAACAAAATACCCCAAAACAACATAGCTGAACGTCGTGAAAAGCTACTTCGAGTCGCAGAACTCGGCCTAAAACATGCAAAAGACACGAAAACCAGCACAACCATTCTGGGACACGAGATTTTTACAAAAGAACTCGTACCAAATACAGCCAAAGCCGTTAACTGGGCCTCGACGATCGTCAATGACGCCGTACAAGATGTCCCATACGGACCGGCCGTCATGGCCGGTATCTCGCTCATTCTACCACTTCTAAGGAACCCTGCAGCTGTGGAAGGTGCCAATAACGAAGGGCTTGCCTACATCACCTCGCAAATACACTTCTACAACGCCATGGAAACCACCTTACCTGGCTTACATCCCGCCCTAAGATTCGATTTGGCAAAGCGCGTTGAGCATCTGTATCAACTCGTTACCGAGTTTGAGCTGGAAAGCGTGCTCAGATTCTATCGCACCCGCACGAGAAACTATTTCACTGCAGTAGTCGACTACTACCAGTGGGAGACAAAGCGCATTCGGATTGAAAAATATGAGACTGATTTGCACTTGGAGCTGAGTGACGCTCTGTCGGCTGAAAGCGCGGGATACCTTAAGAAACTCTGCAAAGAGGCGGAGCAGTCCCGTCAGGAATTGGCTGATATTGCCCAGAGCATTTTTGATGTGACACGGCAGATGGATCGTCATTTATCTGCTGCTGAGAACCGAGAATGCTTTTCGGCATTGCAGGCTGGAGATATCTCGGCCACGTTTCCAGATGGTCTCGACGAGCTTTATGCGCGGGTGATGACAAGAATACGGACCGAAGGAAATGCGCGTCTGTGTTATCAGGTTCTTGCCGTTGTCTCGCTTGCGCTTCGGCCTCTTACTTTGGCGGAGCTGGTGAATCTATTGGAGCTTCCGTCTAGGGCGTGCGATGAGAATGCTATCAAAGGTATTGTTAGTGATTGTGGTTCGTTCTTGACTCAAAACGAAGGGAGCACGGTCCAATTTGTTCATCAATCTGCAAAGGAGTTTTTGGTCAAGAATTTCCGTGAGGAAATTTATTCTTCAGATGATAGCACTGCTCATCAGCAAATCTTTTCTCGGTCGATGCAAGCATTGGCGAAGACTTTACGGCGAGATATTTACAATCTGCAAGATCCTGGCTATTCAATCAATGAAGTGGAATGCTCTCGTGCTGGCTTGCTGGACTCGGTTAAGTACTCTTGTATCTATTGGGTAGATCATCTAGTTGTAAGCGGTCCTGGAGAGCAGGAGCTCAAGTTGATTGACATGTTTTTGCAACGGGACTATCTTCATTGGATCGAAGCTATGAGTCTTCTTCGGTGCATGTCTGTTGGAGTATCATCGATGATGAGACTTGAAAGATTCCTCATGGTGAGTTCAGGAGAATGAACATTAAAGGCTTGTTGACTACTAACAATTGGCCAGGCACAAAAAGTCCCAGACTCCCTGATGGAACGAGCTCGCGATGCTTGTCGGTTCATAAAGCATCACAAGTCAACCATTGAGCAAAGTCCACTTCAAGTCTATGCCTCTGCCCTGATATTCAGTCCAATCAAAAGCACCACCAGACGCCAATTTGCAACAGAAGCACCAGACTGGATTAGCACAAGCCCGCTCATGGATGATATCTGGGGCGACTGTCTCTTGACTCTTGAAGGTCACAGCGGATCTGTTCAATGCGTAGCATGGGGCCCAAACGAGAGGGTTGCTTCGACATCTTACGATGGTACGACGAGGATATGGGACATTTCGACAGGTCTATGCGAGACCACACTCAAAAGCGATAGTGGTATACCCGTTTCCTCAGTGACCTGGCTACATGACAACAAGCTTGCAACAGTGTCAGCCGAGGGAACGGTCGAAATATGGGACACTTGTCCGGCTGAACGTACACTGACACGCAAGAGTGAAAGCATATTGCCAACCAAGGCCCAACGCATCATCACCCCCGAAGGCCCGCGCATCCTGAAAACCAAGAGCCACGCATTCAATTTCAAAGACTCCCTCGAGTCCTTCGCCACAGCTGCTTGGTCACCCGGGGGCAGACTTGCGCTGGCTACCACGGATGGCACGATCCATACATGGGATCCAGCGAGCGATAGATGCTCGCCGCCACTCGAAGGCCATGGAACAAAGGCATTTTCCATGGCATGGTCCAGTGATGGCGCCAGGCTCGCATCAGCCTACGAAGACGGATCCCTCAAGCTCTGGGACATGAGCAACAGCAGATGTCTGCAAACAATTCATTCTGCCCACGATAACGTGATATACTGCGTTGCGTGGTCAAAAGACAGCTCGAGGCTGGCATCAGTCTCCACGGATAAAACCATCAAGATCTGGAACACAGATACAGGCCAGCGCGTCTCGCTGGTCCACGGCCAAACCAAATGGATCCGCTCTCTGGCCTGGTCACCAGACAGCAGACTCGCCGGTGCCGACGACGACACAATCAGGATATGGGAACCCGTCACGGGCTGCTGTCTATCCAAGCTCGAAGGCCACAGCCACCAAGTCTGGTCCCTATCCTGGACGGCAGATGGTACGCAGCTTGCATCAGGCTCGCGCGACGGCTCAGTCAAGATCTGGGACGTGCCCACGACCAAGCGCGAAAATACACACACACCCCACAGCCACAACCACAGCCACCCAGCCAACGCAGTAGCCTGGTCCCCAGACCTGACGCGCCTCGCATCCGCATCAGACGACCAGTCCATCAAAATCTGGAACACAAGCGGCAAATGCCTCTCAAGCTTGACCGGCCACGCTCACGCCGTAGTGTGCATCGCCTGGTCGAACGACGGGTCTAAACTTGCTTCTGGCTCGGCGGATGCCGGCGTCAAGATCTTGGACACGGCGGCAGGACACTGCGTCGCGTCGCTTGAGGGCCACGTCGGCGTTGTGCGCGCGGTGGCGTGGTGCGCGGATGACTCCAGACTTGCGTCGGCTGCGGATGACCATGCCGTCCGTATCTGGGATGCTGGTGCTAATGGCGGCGAGCCGCTGCTGACGTTGCGGGGCCATACGGCCTGTGTTGGGACGATTGCCTGGGCTGAAGATGGGGCGCGGCTTGCGTCGGCTTCCCGGGATGGATCTGTTAGGATCTGGGATGTTGTCAAGGGAGAGTGTTTGTCGGATATTAGAAGCGAGAATTTCTTCGCTAGGCCTTTGGCTTGGTCGAGGGATGGTAGGGTGCTGGTTTACCCGTCTGATGTCTATAGAGGCCTTCGGGTTTGGGATGTGGATAGTGGGAAATCCGTGTCGTCGATACTGGAGTTTCATCGAGAGATCTTTTGGGCTGGGTTTGATCGGTTGCGGACACGTATTCTGCACACGGATATTGGGTCTTTCGATTTGGATGCTGGTCTGGTTGCGAGATCCTTGGAGTCGGGTGTCTCGGTTGATTCGAGGCCCGTTTTGCCTATCGGGTATGGTATTGATGAGACTGGGTCGTGGATTACGTGTCGTGGTGAGAAGCGGCTCAGGTTGCCTTCGGAATATAAGATTGCATGCTCTGCTATTCTTCCTGGTAGAATTGGGATTGGATGTGATTCGGGGCGAGTGTTAATATTTGGGGTCTCTGAGGCTTAGTTGTTTTGATGTCAGATGCCAATTCATCTCCACATGCGCAGGGTGCGGCGGCCGATAGAGGCCACCCCTAGGTCAAATCCCAATTTCAACTTTCCGACCGGCAGAAAGTAAATTACGAGTAATTCCAAATTCATATTAGTTTTTGAACTCCATTATGTTCAGGCAGTTCAGCGCTGTATTATACATTAAATCCTTGAACCCTATTATATATTAGTAACATTTGAATGCTATATTATATTGTTAACTACTTCTCTTTCTCTAGGTAAATTATCACAATAACTGGCAAGAAAGAGAGGCTGAGATCCTACATATGTAGTCATATAATCCATTCTTAAGTCCCTTCTCAAGCCTATTCTCAAGACTACTCTCAAGTCCCTTCTCAAGACTACTCTCAAGACTACTCTCAAGTCTATTCTCAAGTCTATTCTCAAGTCTATTCTCAAGTCTATTCTAAAAGTGACCCGTATATAGATCAAATCCCTTAAGATATTCCTATATATGATAAATACAATACGGGAAACAGGGTGGTGAAGTTAGAAACTGAAATTGAGATATGACCTAGGGGTGGCCTCTATCGGCCGCCATATGCAGGGAGTAGATTGATTCCCATTGAGTACAATCAAGTTTGTTTATAACTCTTCTTCTAAGGTTCTCTCCACCTTCCTCTATGCTACGAAGTCCAAAGAAGAAAAAGCAAGTCAAATGAGAAAGAGTGAATCTCGACAGAGTCGAGTACTGTACAAATAGATTATTTATGTACTTCCAATAATAACCAAAGCCGGGTGTGGTGAGGTCCATATATACAAGTGAGACCTTTGAAAGCAGCAACCGGATCCACCAGTCTGCCCAAATAAAACATTGCGCGATGCCACGCGAAGTATAACACCCACCCCCAAAAGAAAGTTCAAGTTGTGAAAGAAGAAGGAAAAGAAAAGAAAAGAAAAGAAAAGAAAAGAAAGAAAAAGTATAGGAACGCCAAGATCAGGATCAACGCCAAAAAGACTAACTGAGCTCCCATTATATATGAGCCAGTCGGGTCCGAATGCAGATGCAAATAAGTGTAGATAGAAGCAGATGTGATGTGGTGGTGGTATATGGGAACTGGGAACGAAACGAAAGAAATCCAGATCCAGATCCAGATCAGATGCCGCAAAAAGAAAGATAGGGCGGCGGATTTTGTGCGTTGTTTCTTAAATCACTTAAATCATGCGTGGTCCATTAATGTTTGGAATGTTTCACGCTCGGCTTGAATGTCTGCCTGTAGGCGGCGGGTCTGGCGGAGGGCCTCATCTCTGTGAGTGGATTGGTTAGTTCTCGGTTATTTCGAAACGCGACCTATCAAATTGATAGGGCTCGGAGAAAAAGGATTTTTTTTTCATCTTAAAAAAAACATACCTGTCAGATTGGAGCTGGGCCACATCCACCTGTGCGCGGTTCATTCGTCCTACTACTTCTTCCATCTCCATGTCTGCGTCGCGGAGAAGTCTCTCGAGATTCTTGACGTGCTTCTCGAGAACCTCCACTTGAACGACTTCGACAAGTGGAATGCCGTCGCCGCTGGTGGTCTTGTCTAAACGGGGAGAACGAGTGCTGAAGGGGGCGTTCATGGGTCGGGGTGAGAGTGCTGCGACCGTGCGACCGCCAGTCTTCATTCGCATCAACTGGGCATTCTGGCTTTCCTTCAATAGGCGGATCTCTTCCTCGTGTTTGGCCATTTCTTCTTCGGAGTGGTGCTGGGCGAACAGGAGGGAATCTTCGTAATCTTTCATACGGTTTTGAAGGAAGTTGATGCGCTCGACAGAGAGACGTTGGTCTCTCTCACCCTTTTCAATGGCAGTTGTTAGGCGGCCGCGCAAGGAAAGATTGACCTGCAACTGCTGCTGCACATCGGCTGCCAGTTGATCTGCTGCCGCCAATTCATCAGGTCCAGCGCTAGCTTCGACCTCTTGCCTGTCGGCCAGCAACTGCTCGTACGCAGACTCCAGAGATGCCGAAGTTGCCAGTACTTCAGAGAAACTGTCGTGGTCTGCGTCCAGCGCATCCGAGGCACCTGTGTCAAGCTCCTGGAGCAGCACTCTCAAAGAGCTGGTCTCTTGCTCGGCACGGTCCATATCCATCTTCAGACCCGCCAGGTTCTTTTCACACTGCCACTTAGCCTCCAGGGCATCCTCGGCCCGATTGCGAAGGTGGTTCACCTCGTCCCGCAGGTTTTGTACGTCCCTCTCATACCCGGGCTTGCGGGGAGGGCCAGCCTGCTCGGCGCGCTCAAGCTCCACCTCCATGATATGGGCGCGTTTCTCAAATTCACGCGCTTGCTGAGCATGGCGATCAAGGAGACTTCTTAATGTCCGATGAAGGGCGTCGCGCTGAGCTTCAATATCCTTCACCTTATCAACCAGCGATCCCTCACCTCCGCTCTCCCGCTCCTTTGGTGTATTGACCGAGTTGGATCGTGAAAGGGAACCGGATCGAGCTAAACCAGCAGGTTTATTGGCAGGCTTACGAGCCAGGGAGTTGGATCGTGATAGACCGAAAGCCGAGTTTCGCCTGCTCGCTCCGCCCTCTTCTTCCGCAATCGAGGCAAACCGTCCACCATGAAGCTGTGCGAGGGATGCATTTTCGACTTTGAGGGCTTCGATCTCCTCGACTAAACGCTGTGTTTCCTGTGTATCCTGCTTCTCAAAGACAGGAGCCGGAGCAAGAACTGGGGCGGGAACAGGAGCAGGGGGAGGAGCTGCTCTGTCTGCTCGAAGCATATCCCGTTCATTCCTTAATTGCTCCAGCTCCACTCGCATGGCCGTGAGCAAATCCTCAAAGTTATCTTTTGATTGCCGCTCTTCGAGCAGCTTTCTGCGAGTGTCTTCAAGGGCGGTCTCGAGTTCTCGGGTCTTGGACGAAAGATCAGATAGGTCGACTCGTTCGCGGCGGAGCTAAACAAAGTACCCAGGTCGTCAGTCAAAAAGAAAAATCCCCATGCGAATTCACCAAAAGTCTCTCTCTCTCTCTCTCTCATCTTACCTGTTGGACCTGGTTCTCCAAAATCTGAACGTGCGACTCTGATGAAGTGCGCTTCAGGCGCTCTTCCTGCAGCTTCTGTGATAGGTGCACCTTCAACTGCGCACGTTCCTGCTCCGCAGCTCGACGAATCTTACCCATATCCTCTTCCATACGACCGGCGTCGGAGGCGATTCGGATGGAGCTGGTACCCGAGTCGGAGAAATAATCGCTTGTCCGACGGTTGGTCTCTGGTCCCTCGGTTTGGAAACGCTCGATCAGATCCTCCAGCTCCATCTCTCGGCGGATGGAGCCCGCCAATTCCGAACTGATTTCTCGTAATTCATTTTCTAGATCTGCAAACTTGGACGCATATATAACCTCCTGGGCACTCATGCCGCTAACCGATGGTGTTCTAGCCGGTAGGCCATAGTGGGAATGTTTGGTATCATAAGGGGAAGGTGGTTTAATGGGGACGTTGGCCAGGGGAGGCATTGGCGAAGGCATAGGGGATCGACCACCACCATCCGAGATCTCGGTGCTGGATGATTCGCCGCCGGGAGAGCTAGCAGTATTCCCCTTCCACCCGAAAAAGGAGCTGATCTTGTTGCCAGGGGTCTTGGGTTGCGAACCCATGGACATTGACCGATTGTCTATATCAATATGTAAAGGTGGCCGATTGCTGGCAGGGTGTAAGGCCATACTCGAGACGCGCCGTTGGGTGGTCGGAGGAGGGGAGGCCAGGATTGGTATAAAAGGCTCGCTCACTAGACGACTGTGGAGGGAGGAAGGCGTTCCATTCGAGAATTGGTGGGCGTAGACTTCGTCAAAATAGTCTTCGCCTTCTTCGGAATCGTCGTCGTCCTCAACCACGGACCTCAGGTATGAGGCAGAGGCAGAGGTAGACGTGTCTATGCGGAGAGGTTCCGTCGGGTGTCGGCCGCGGGAGAATCTGGGGAAGTGCGAGGCAGGTAAGTAATGAGGTCGGACTCTGGGGAAGTATCGCAGCATGTAGAGGCCATGTCCCGTTATAGCATAGAGTTATTTGTTTTTTTTTTCGATAGTTGCTTTGCTAAGGTTCTTTGTGTTTCTCCATAGAAAGAGAAAGGGCAAATAAAGAAAAAAAGGGGAAGAGATGAAAGCGCAATCGCGTTTCAGGGCCTGGGACTGGGTCAAGGGAAAAAGGATGTGGGCTCCACGCATACCTGTTTGAATTCCTTGGCGATATAAAGGAGCCTTCTAGCGATGACAGGGAAGGTGGTCTGGCAGGAGTGGGAATGATAGTGGGTATATCCTCGATAGACAGGGAGTTTAATGGGATGGCATGCTGAGGAAGCGGTTTCCTTCGCACGGGCTGAGACGATGGAGGGGAATATGAAGAACCGTCGGAAGAAACAGAAGGAGCGGGAGACCCGCGAGTGAGAGACGCCATGAAACCCTCGTATCTTAAAAAATAGCCATCGATCGACGGTCGCTCATGCCGATTAGCACGGGTAGAGAAGAGGCGCCAATGAAGACCAAAGCGGAAAGGATGTTATTAGGGGGGAAACAATGGTGAGGAGACAAAAAAGAGTGATAATCGTAAAAATGCCAATAGAAGAAAATCTTAAAAAAAAAAGGAGTTAAATAAAAGTCTACGACGACTTTTTTTTTTTTTTTTAATTCTTTTTTAATCCGAAGTCATAGAGAAGGATAGGGAAGAGTGGAGTTTTGTTCGCTGGAGTTGAAGGGGGTTAAGCGCTGGAGTGTGGAATGCTTGTAATTGGCCACTTGCTAACAATTGTCACTGATAGCGCTGCCAAGGAGCGCTCTGGCCGTGATCGACATTGGAAAACGTGTAACTCATTTGCTTTTCTTAATGCTTTTGGCTGCTTCTGTTTTGTTTCTTCTCTGTATACTTGGACCTCATCTACATTTGTAAAGTAACAATTTTTATTTTATTATATGGTTAATTTTTATATTTATTTTATTTTTAATTTATTTTCTTTTTCTTTCATGATCTCTATACAACATAAAAATAGAAACAGAGAATCAATAGTCGTACCAATGGAGAACCCCCCTTGAGTCCAAAGGTTCAAAGGTCCAACTGGGTCAGGACCCACGCTAGTTGCTTTTTGGCGCAATTCAGGGGTAACGGGATGTTGCCTTTTTAGTATGGGTTCCTTTCCCTTAGTACTCCCTTAGTACTCCCTTAGTACCTTTTAGTACCAACACCTGCAGCTGCCATATTAGTACACCTTCTTTTAATATACTGTATGGGTACTTCCAAGGTACCTGTGCTCAAGGTGTCAAGGTTCGAAGGTTCCTCATATTTGCCCTTGAACCATGATATCTACGTACTCCATCTCTCTACGAACTTACTCAGTCCTAAGCAACTCTGGTACAAACTATGTATGAGCACAATAATTTGTGGGTAACGAACTCAATCCATTCCAACTCACAGCTGCTATATAGATTAAGGGGGTTCTACATAGTACGTTTCCAACTTTCTACGTCAACCTCCGATCGTAGCGTCTTCCCGTGGATCCTCATAATGGTGGAGTTTCCCAGCTTTCAAAACTTCCCCCCCCCCCCTTTTCCCCCCGATCAACTGATGTTTCTCTTTCGGCCCGTGCATGAATGACCAGAACTTTCAAGGTTCCAACTTTCCCTCCAAGAACGTGTAGCGTTCCTGCATCCTCAGTGCCTCATTGTACACTGTGCCGTGTCGTGTTCCACCACCAATCACGGGCCCGGGTTACCCAAGCTCTGGCGTGTCGCCGGCACCACTCGGACCAACGCGTGGCTCTGTTCCTGTAACGGGCATGGTCGCATTTTATCTAACCCAATCCTATCAAATCATTCAATTCCCATCTGGCTTCCTGCGCCTGTCACCTCAAGCGCTAACCTTGCTAACCAATGTGGTTGCGCAATCCTGCCTCGGGCATTTTATACATTTACGCTTTGCACAACCATCGCATTAAATTGCCCATTCTTCTATTCATCATACCTTGTACTAAGCATGTACTTACTCCGTAGGCTAAGCTGAGGTGATTGTAACCCCGGGTGGTCGTGCATTTCCACATCGGGACTATGCTGATCCAATCGATCACGAACTCGGACTTTTTGCTTCCAATGATTTTCTTTTTCTCTTTCTTTTTTTCTCTACAAGTGCAGTGCTTAGCTCCAGCCCCTCAGCCCTTTTTTGGGACCCTGTGAGACATGGGGTACATTTCATGCAAAAAATGTCTCGGCAACTCCTGAAACCCATGCAGAACAGATTTGCTGTGGAGTTCGTTCCCGACCGCGTCACAGTTCGAGACCGCCTCTGGAGCTACTTGACACTAGACTTGCTTACGCTGTACTTTTTTCTTTTCTTTTTTTTTGGCGTCTTAGCGAAATGGGTCCGATCCAGGTATCCACTTTGGTGAAAGTGAAAGACCGGACATATTACGGAGTAGTCTTCAGTATCTACTCCGTAAATATGATCTAGCAACCTCAGGTAAACAAATCCACGATCCATCTTGGTTACAGGTTACACGGTCCCGCCCGATTATTTTTTGATAGTTGGAGTTGAACGTGTGGTGGCTGCACCTATCGTTACACCCGCCGGAACAGGGGGTGGTGGTGGCGCTGGCCAGGGTCTGTCTACGTAGGGCTGTTTTTAAGGGTCCCACCCTTGTCTTCCCCTATAATACGCCTGCTACAAACTCCGTCTCGAGGTACTCCGTAGCAGATATCGATCCGGCTGGGCCTCAGCTGCCAAGACGTCTTGATAGACGCTATACATTCTTCATGTTACTATCCGTGGATTTACCCAAACATGACATCCAAAACTACGCAAAAGTACATTTAACGCAGGGTCTAGGCGAGTACATAAGACAATTAGACGTATCAGGCCAGCCCACCCCGGGCCTCGATCCTGAAATAGCTATACCGGGACCAGCAACGGAGGACAAAGGTACCCTTCGTCCCCAGTGGAACATTGAACATTGAATATTGAAACATTGAAGACCCTGGAGCAAACACGCATCTGCACCTGCCCACACATTGCTGCAGTAGATGCGAATAGTAACCTCCTTGCCGCCCAGTATGTACTGTAGATGTCCACATTCAAAGGAGAACATGAGACTTGGTAAACCAACACGTCATCCACTTGTTTCTTTGTTTGCGCGTATTTCATTATATTCTCAATATACGCGAAACTATTCAAATTTGACCGCCCTCCGCCTCGACGGCTTTGTTGTTGTCAAAATATGCGATATGGGTGGGTCTCAGGTCTATTAATACTCCAAACGCCCACTTTCGAGCAAACATTATAAAGACCTAATGCCTAATATCGAAAGCCCCTTTTTGGTGCCCACCTGTGGATGAGGTCTAGAACAATTTACAAGAATTCTGGAACGGTTTTTAACGGACCAGTCAACAGGTTTATGGATGTCTGTATGGAGCGCGTCTAGAATATCCATGTCCAGACAACGCCAGTGCTAGTGGTTCGACCTAGAGATTAGGTGCCTAGCCCTGCCCAGGTGGAGCCCTAGAGACTGGGTATATCGATACATGGGTGTAGGTATGTAGGTCCCAGGAGGCCAATCTAGCAAGTTCCTTGAGAGGTTCTATCCACGAGCGATTCTCTGAATCCATATAAACTGCATTGCTAAAACGAAATATAAAACAACCACCTGGGCATGATGCCACAATTTAAAACGCCCTGCACGATAGGTAATAATGGATGGCATACCTAGGTATCCGCAAAAAATCCTGTAACTTAATGACAACAAGAAGACAAGACTTAGTACGTAGAAAAAAAGCAAAAATAAGGAAAACCTCAAACCCCAGCACCCCTTTAAGAGAAACATTGCTCGTTGCACATGACATAACACATATCCGGGGAACATCCCTCGCTAATAGGGAATGAAATCGAAGTTCATACGATCTGCGAGAGAAGTTAGAAAGATAAATACGCCCATTTATTCTGGAAGGCAACATACCAAGAAAATGACTCCAATCCTCATCCTCGCTGAGCTGATTTGCCCAGTACTGCTCGAGGAACTTCAAAGACTGCAGCACATTCGGAATGCGCACGGTATCATGCAAAGATGTCAATAACCGCCGTACCGTATCGCGATCTTCACCTCGAGCTTCACAGCCCGCAATAAATATAGGAGTCGTGAGCATCACCCACGGACTAAGACCAGAAGACGGACCAATCTGAGCCGTGCACTCCAAAATCCGCTGAACAGACTGCTGTACATAGGCCGAAGTGGTTGGTGTTTTGCGAAGCCGTCGATGGATCTGGATAAGAGCACTATGCTGGAATGCTTCGTTACAGAGCGCAAGTTGCTGTATACTCTCCGCCGTCAAGCCCTCCGCCACATCAGGATAAAGCGAAGGTGGTGAGGTAGCGCCCCGGTCCATGAGCTGTCGGACCGACATCTCGAGCAATTCAGCGTCGTCCTCGACATTGCTGTCGATCTCCCCTTCAACGAAACCCTGCGCTCGCTTCTCCGCTTCTAGATTGCGCCAGGCGGCTGCGCCGATCTGGCGGAAGACTGCTGCTAGATCGACCGTGAATCCCCAGTAGTCGTCTAGATAGTCTGGGGATTCATGTTGCCTGGACATGTCAAAGGGGGCAAAGTCTGAATTGTCGCCAATGGGCGGGCCATTGCCCGTCAACGCTGTCAGTGATACAATCGACCAATACCAGCGATCCAAGTACCGGCGGAACCCGTGCGCTGATGCAAGTGAGTTCTCTCCCCCGCTTCGATCTGTGGTCTTCATCAAGGCTCTTGCGCCTTCAACGTGCGCTCTCCATGAGTTTGGGTTGATTGCGCCAGAGTGAATCTCTGCTAGGCAGAGTGTCCGGGCAGTCGCCACCAGCGCCTCCGAACCCTTGGCCGAGGGATCTTGTAATTCCTGGCGGAAATGTTCCAAGCTCAGTGCCATGTACCGGGCTATATCGGGTGCGGTTTTCACGTTCTCGGACTGATTATGTAGAGCTTGTAGATGGATCGCTGAAAGTGCAGTGGTGGCGTGGAGTAAAGATGGAGTTTGTAATGCCATGGGCACGAGCATGCGGCAGATATCCTGCTGCATACCGGAGTGGCATGCCGTAATTTGGGACGCATCATTGATAAAATGGTGGAGCAGCGCTCTCTGATCAGGCGATAGGGACGAGAAGGGATCGACGGGTGGTGTTAAAGCGAGATCTGATGATGGGGCCTGGGCCGATTTGGACTTGGATTTTGTGGTGTAGATAAATTCTCCAGGTGAGTATTCTGGGTGGGTTCTAGAGTCAGCGCACAATTCTCCCTGTCTGATCGGTGACTGGCTTCTCTATCTAAAACGTACCCAGTCTTTGCATGCCGCCGGTGCCCACGCAGGCACCGAATCGCGATCGTGAAAAAGCCCGCCCTCCCCACTGCAGCTGCATTGCATATTTGCACTGCACGCCTGCGGTCGAGCAGCGGCCGCATGTCGGTCTCTGCTCGTCACATTTTTGGCGCCGTGCTTTACATCTTGTGCAGCCGTTGAATGATCTCGACATTGGGTGCTGGGTGGAGTGGGGTGTGGTGTGGTTCCTAGAGAATAATTTCTGCGGGGAAGTGAGAGATCTCCGAGACCCGCGCCGTGGCAAATTTGAACGGGTTCCAGGGAACAGTTCCTCAAGAGTAAAAGAGGGATATGGTGGTAGATAGTCCCATAAATTTGAATATCCTGTTCACATGAAAATTCTTGAGATCTTATGGAATTTGCCTTTTCGGATCGCGCAAGAGATATGTTGAGTAGCGGGCCATTTCCTCGTGGGGGATCCACAGATCAGCGGGTTTTAATCAATCCAGAAACTTGCCAATCAGACATCAAGATAAGAATATTTTGTAGACGAAATGAGTTTTGTCCTGAAACAGGAAAATAATATGCGCTATGGCAGGAATACAGTACATGCCAAAAAAGAAACAAAAAAGTGTATATGTTCATCCCACACATGGAGAGAGAAAGAGCTTGAAATCCCTAGAAAAAAAGACACAAAGCAAAAGTCCTCGACAGTCCTCTACTCGAAGGTATATCGCAACCACTCACCGACGGCGCGCAAACTCTCCCAGCGCACCGACTCATCTTGGTCTGCCATCAACTCCATCACCCGGGCCTTCAAGCCAAGGCGTTCCAGTTGGGTACGCTTTTCAGGAAGCTCCTTGACCAGGTGACCCACGTCGTTACAGGCAATGGCCAAGACCTGCTTGTCATTCTCCCAAGGTTGAGACATGATCTCAGCGAGCTTCTTAGGCAGCGCTGCGTTGGACTCCTCCAAGATACGACGGGCATTCTCCTTCCAGAAAGTAGGGTTCTTATGCGGGGGTGACCAGCGCAAATGACCGGACTGAACTTCAAGAGCATATTCATCGAATGTAGTTTGAGTTTTGGTGTACTCGTCTAGCATAGAAGACAGGGCTTGGAGGTCTTCGATAAGATCTTCGTCGGTCAAATGACGTCCGGAAAGTTTGGTGAGTTGAACAGGTAGGCGGACAAAGACGGCAGCGGGGAGCAAGGTGTTCCGGTTAGTGGAAAGAAGGTTGAGTAGGGTTGCAAGAAGCAGGCGGATGGTCTTCTCCTTCTGGGAGATAACCAGGAGTTGGGTGTAGAGCTGAATGATTTCATAGTTTCTAAGGAAAGGGTTAGCAATTGTCATCTTCAGTTAACCCCGAAGGAAGTTGGATACTAGTACTCACTCTTGCAATTCCTCGCCAACCAACTCACTCTCGAATGTGAGCTGCCATACTACGAGGAGTACCCGATAAAGCAGTTGAAGGCTAACCCCTCCCGCCAAACCAGAATCAGTGCCACGTGTACTGGTTCCTGCACCGGCCGTCTCCTTAATTCCTGCAGCGGCACGCAGAGTATCAATGAGAGGCTCTAAAGTTTCTTTCCGGTGGCTCCAAAAGATCTCGCGAGAACGCTTCTTCCTGAGCAGCTCCGAAAATCCCTGAACACCAATGTCCTGCAGCCCGCTGTCTTGGTTCTTGGTCAGAGTAGAGAGGTAAAGGTATAGCTGCGGAAGAGCTTCATCATCACGCGAGGCAGGTTTAGACGAGCTGACAAGACTGTGCGACACGAGAGCCGTGAGGAAAGTGGAGGTGAGCAGCGGAATAGGATCCTGGTCATTTGAGGATTGGTGCAAGAACTGTAGGAATGGCTTGTACGGTTCGGGGTGAGAAACGAGCGCATCGGCCAGCGAGGGAACGTCTTTATATATGATTTAATATATCAGCAATCTAGTCCAAGCTTGTCGCATTCCTTGAATCAGCCACATACCCTGAATCAGATCCGAGGCCAGCACGAGGACGTATTGCACGATATCTGCCCTGCGGGAAGCCGAGTCCAATACACTCTTGCCTTGTGAACCACCAGCAAGCAAGCTTGTATAACCCGAAAGATCTGCCTCTATTGTCTGAATACGCTGCTCCTTGCGCACCTTGTCCACAGCCTTGATCTTCTTCAGGTGGTCATCGGTGATGTTGCCCGCTCGGACAGCACCCTCCCAAGGAATTGGCCGGGCCCGAATGTTGTTTTGAAGGGAGCTGAGGTAAGTGGGCGGATCTAACGACATGGTGAAGTGTCCCCAGAGAAAAAGGGTTGGAAACCGGGGTCGATATTGGAGGAGGAGGGGGGTTAATTAAGGTCGGAGGAGGGAGAAGCTTGGGGAGATGACGGAAGCTTCTGCCAAGACCGACATCCATCCCAACGGATCGGATCGTTTCATCTTCATGAGCCTCTCTCCTCTCCCTACCCCCCATCTTCTACGCTTCTTGCCTTTCTACTATTCAATAGCGGTTATACGATTGATGTTAGATTGATCTCTACCGCTCTATCTGACCCGCGCATCTTGTGCGACATCCATTAGGCAACGTGGTTGTTGCCTTGTACTTCTAGCGTTTGGCTTCGAATCCAACTCCACGTCCTTCATTTCCCAGCTTCAAGCTTGTCGCCTACCTCTATTCCGACCGAAACAAATCCATCCGCGATCGATTTAATACTTAATTTCCCGAATCGAATGTAACGAACCGTTGTCCAAGCGCACCCCCCACCGAACCCATGCAAATTGAACAGAAGGCATTTACCGCCCAGTAATTTGAGTCGCATCGCTTTGGTGTGTCTGATACAATGGCCCAGGACTCTCAAAATCCATCCAAGCCCAAATGGGGAGTGGGGTCCTTCTTTCAACAGGCCGTTGCAGGTGTCGAATCTCGGTTAGATCATATTCTGTTGGACGAAGAAGAGAGACAGAAAAATGCAGCCGCGAATCCAAAGCCTCAGGAGATTGAGACCAAGAGCACACCATTGACAAGGTCTCCAGCCGGCTGTAGGGAACTTCGGAGTACTATTGGGCGCAACTCTGGCTAACTAAAGATTATAGCGATATCTCGAAGCGCTTCAACTGCGCGAAGGAATGATCGACTCCAAGAACGGCTGGCGCGTGCCATGGTAAAATCAAATAACACGATTCGCAACACCCAGTCTTCACCGACCCGATCGTCGCCAGCTGCTAGTCCACGACCGAGTAACGATGTGCGACGGAGCATGGATATCGACTCCACTTTAGCATCCTCTGCGGAGATCACCGAAGATCTTAAAAATACACCGCATGCCGAAGAGGGGACTAATGTTGAAGAAGATTTGCCGAGACCCAGTTGTGATTCCGAGACATCAATCCAACGTTCCACTGAATTGGGTGGTATAGACACGTTGCCGCGAGCCTCGGGCGACATGGAAGAGCGTCCAGCAAGCTTGGATAGTAACCGCGAGGAACCGATAGAGTCCCAGTCAACATTGGAAGACGTGATTCGTCCTTCTGTGGACAGCGCACGGATGAGCATGGACACGCCAGCGAATGATGGCCCGGCTGAAGAGAAAGCAGCCGAATCTGAGAGACAGGAGGAGATACACGGATACATTGAACGTATCGACGCATTACAATCAAAGCTCAAATATCTTGCAAAAGAAGCTGCGGACTCGGCGAAGATTGCAGCTGCCAATGCTTCCCCTGGAAGTGTCAAGAAACAACTACTAGAAAAGGACGAAAAGATTGCATTGCTCCTCGAAGAAGGACAGAAACTATCAAAGTCCGAGATGGACCATCGAACTGCCATCAAGAAGATCCGCCAACAGCTTAGCGATATCACCAAGAATCAGACGGAGCTGAAGAAAAAGAACGAGAAATTGGAACGGGATTTTGCCAACTCGGAAGCCAAGGCAAAGCGAGCTGAGGCTGCAGAAAAGAGAGCCACTGAGTCATTATCATCGCAGACCAAAACTACCAAAGACTATGATGCTGTGTCGAATGAGCGAAATGCTCTGAACCAGACTGTCTCTGAAATGAAGGCACAGCTGAGTCGAGCGCTTGCGCGCGCTGAAGCTGCCGAGGCCAAGGCCCACTCTGACGCGTTAGATCACGAGAAGCATAAAGCTGATGAAATGGAAGAAGAGCTGGCGAATATAAAGATTGACCGTGATATCAGCGATCAGAAGAGCAAGAGGGAGATCGCTGAACTGCAGGAGAAGCTTGATCAAGAGAAAGACCGCGCCCGTATGCTTGAGGAAGAATTGAAGGGCGAACAGTCGGTCCTGGAAAGTAAGATGGAGAGTCTTCGGACTCGGGCCGAAGAAGCTTCATCCGGTGCAACCGGGGAGACCCAGGCCAAGCTTTTGCGACAGATCGAGACATTACAGACTCAATATTCAGTTGCCAGCGAGAATTGGCATACCTTAGAAGGCTCTTTGCTCTCTCGATTGGCCAATGTTGAGAAAGAACGAGATGACACTAGCCGAAGAGAAGGGGAGCTGCGAAAAAAGATCCGGGAGCTGGTAGGTCATACTTCTTTCTTGTTGTTTTCTGCGCTAACAATCTGCTAGAATCTCAAAGCCAAGAAGCTGGAAGAGGATGTTGAAACTGCCAAAGAGTCCGAGCTAGAGGTGGAAAACGAACTTGAAAAGCGCATGGAAGAGTTGCAGAAATTGCAACAAAAGCTTGACAAGGCAGTGGAAGACCTTTCTACCACCCAGAAAGACTTTGTGGAGCAAAAGAAGGTGTGCGATGCGTCGTGGACACAGAAACTGGAAGAAGAACGAACTAAGTGGCGGGAGCAAATGAACAACTTGCAACAACCTCGTGGTATATCTCCCGTTCAATCAATACGACGTTCAAGCAATCTCGACGCCATTCCAGCCGGTCCATATGACTATCGTCCTTCTAGCCGTCGTTCGTCCACCATGCCATTTGCCTCGCCGGATATCGGCACGCCGCCACGCCAGAACTCATACCCGGCCTCAATTAATCAAGGAACATTGTCTCCTCCCCCGATCAACACCAACATTATCATGGAGACTCCGTCAATCACATTTGAGCCTGATGAGTTTTTTGGTTCTGCCACACCGGCTACTCCATCTATGTACGGTGGTACACAAGCTATGCCATCGCGCGGCATCAACGATATTATTTCCGAGTCAACCGTTGGCGCAGGCCCATCAGTGCAGCTAGTCGAGCGCATGAGTGCTACCGTCCGACGTTTGGAAAGTGAACGTGCCGGTTCCAAAGACGAGTTGGTGCGGGTCACTGCTCAGCGTGATGAATCCAGACAGCAAGTTGTGGATCTCATGCGTGAACTAGAGGAGAAGAAGACTGCAGATTCTCGCGTGCAGGAACTGAATGATCAGCTTACAGAGATTGATCAGCGGTACCAGACCACCCTCGAGATGCTGGGCGAAAAGAGTGAACAAGTCGAAGAACTTGAAGCTGATATTGCTGACTTGAAGAAGATCTATCGCGAGTTGGTCGATAGTACCATGAAATGAAGGCGTTAAGATGGTCCCATTTTATATAGACATCTCATAGATTCCACCCTGTCTCTTGAGCCTTAATGAGCATGATCTGCAGTTTATGATTGAGAATACCTGCACATGTGTACTATATACTAGATTCGCTTTTGCGGAAAGAACATAAAAACTATGATTTGCTGTTTATATCGTGTCTAGGTAGACAGACGCCGGGGTTAAACTGCCTACATAAATCCGCACTAGTATGGCGGCCAATAAGGGCCACCCTCACGACATGCAAACCCCAATTTGAAACATTATGTAGACTGGTAGCTTCTTATAAGTTTCCATCTCTCGGGTTCCACCACTATTGTTAGGAGAAGTGAACCATATGACCCATTCTGGTCACATGGTCCGCTCCTGAGCATGCTCCAGCGCGTGTGGGTTTTCTGTCGTTTTCATGATAGGGTTAGGGTTAGTAGTTAGTCCAGGAAGTGAGAGCTTCTCTCCTTTCCTTCCTTCCTTCCTTTTCCCTCCATCCCGCTCAGTAGAAGAATACCATTGCTACTAGTAGTCATTCTTCTCCATCTCTTTCTCTTCTCATTTCCATTCGTTTCTCCCAGACCCCTGTGGATCTGACAACTATTTCATTACTACTTCTACCTACACTAGTAGCTACTGTCTACTCTAGTAGTTACCACCTACTCTGGTAGCTACTGCCCACTTGACTGCCTACTACTCTATATGTATAGATATATTCTAGTATGTGTAAATAAACATTTGAATAGAAATCAATAGATATTTATTATTTATTATTAAATAGTATAGTATTTCAAGACCTATGTATATCTCAACCAAACTTAATATCATATACCACCTCAAACTTATTGATGGAATAACTAGATTTTATAATCAATGGTAGAATACTCTTGAGGTCTAGGTACGGCAGAGATAGGTAGCACTTAAGTGAAAATAGAGGGATAGAAACTTCAAATGTTATAAGTTACTATGTATGTGAACATTGAAGTCACTGTATTTTGTTTACAACTTGGTACAGTTTGTCGATATTAAACATTGAAGCCAACATTTAAATGTTTAAGCGAGATTTAAGCAAGTATCCTTACAAACATCGCCCTAATTGTCTCGTACGCCGTAATAAAAGCATTCAAACAAATGTTTAATACTATTTATAAATGAAGCTCGAGGGGTTTGGGATGTGTCGTGAGGCCCTTATCGGCCGCCGCAGCACTAGCACATGTACGGCGGCCGATACCCGCCACCCTACTGCCATAACCCAATTTCAACTTTCCGACCGGCAGAAAGTAAATTACGAGTAATTCCAAATTCATATTAGTTTTTGAACTCTATATACAGCGCTGCATTATATACGGAATCTGCTGTGATATCTTGGAATTGGGGGATGAATTCCTAACAATTCTAAGCTAAGGGCGGGGTTCTGTCCCGTCTACAACATCACGTGCCTCGAAGTGGCACTAACAGAGGGTCACACAACAGAATCCTTCAACTCCATTAGTTATACGTTGAATCCCTGTACTTCCTTCTATTTTGAATCCTTGAACTCTATAATCAATCCATTCTCAAGTCCCTTCTCAAGTCTATTCTCAAGTCTATTCTCAAGTCTATTCTCAAGTCTATTCTCAAGTCTATTCTCAAGTCTATTCTAAAAGTGACCCGTATTTAGATCAAATCCCTTAAGAGGTTCCTGCATGAGATAAATACAATACGGGCGGGAAACAGGGCGGTGAAGTTAGAAAGTAAAATTGGGTTATGGCAGTAGGGTGGCGGTTATCGGCCCCCGTAAGCACATGCATGATGCATCAATCAATCAATTACAATTTACGCCCCCAAATCCCACTTCTCGCGCCTCCCAAGGTTAAATTTCTTCACGGCTCATGCATTCACAGAGACTGCATTTTAAAATATGGTCTTTCCAAGTAACGCCTGCAACACATGCAAAAATCGGCGAATAAAGGTACATGGGCAATTTCCCAGTTCTCGAGCCTACAAAGCTTACGGATACATTTTTCTGACATACAGTGCGATTCCTCTCGACCAAATTGCGGCCGATGTCGCAAAGCAAGTCGAAGTTGTACCTGGGACTCAGATAAATCAGAATCATGGCCATTTAAGAATGAAAATGACTTTGCAAAAGGCAAACCACGTCGCCCTCGCGCCAACCATGATACCCCGCTTCCGCAAAACACACTGCATGTGGTAACCCAGCCGCCCCCACTGGGTATTTCTCTGTCTTTGCCCATTGAAGTCTATGCTTTGAACTACTGGGTCACACACTTCACGTCATGGCCTAATGGTCTACAAGAAATTGAGAGCGAGTATGGAGCTTGTGCACTCCGATTTTGGGAACATTGCGATTCGCGGTCGACGCTGCGTCTAGCCGTTTTTGCTTTTGCATTGGCAAAGTTTGGCAAAGCAGTGCGCTCAAACAGTGCGATTAAAAATGCAGAGCTTGTATACTGGAGCTGTATTAAGCGGATGCAGGCGGAGGTAGCTAGCGTATCCAATGAGACGATCGATCAGCTGCTTGTTGCTACTGTGCTTATGGCTTTATATGATGTTAGTATGCAGATGGGAGGAAGGGGGCACCTAACGTCCACGAATCATTGCTAATCTGTATTAGAATATCATGCATCAAGGTAAAGAAAGTCGGAATATTGGAGATTTTCCCGCTATCGAGAGATCGGTTCATGATTCCCATCCCTTGCCTCATACAGGTCATTGTCGAGGGACTACGGGTTTATTGCAAATCCGACGGCGACAGGGATGGGGGTCGATCCCGTATCTTGATCGAGCTGTTCGAGGGCCAATTGTGAGTATAAACCTATGGGCTTATTTAAAGTGGTACCGATTGACATATCTTCCCAGGTGCGGTCTTGTCTAGTCCAAGGGGTACCTACTCCGGACTGGCTTCAAGAACCAACAATGGATAGTATAGATCCCGCCGCCATGCTTGATGATCTTTCTACTCGGCTTACTATTCTCCGCTCAAAATGCTTGCGTGTTATCCATCAAAGCGACAACAACATCGGGTTCAAAATCGAACATTTACAAAGCCTAATTACCAATGCTCAAGGGCTAGATCGTGCATACGAAGCCTGGGAATGCCATGTATCTGACGAGTGGGGATTTTTGATGTCTCATTCAGAAGATACGGACATGTCAAAATCCGACTTTTATGAAGGCTCCGCTCACGTCTACTTGACACTTGGCCAAGCAACTATCTGGAACCGATACCGTGTCAGCCGTTTAATTATAAGCAGCACTCTCTTGCGGCTAGTTCTCACATTGGTCAAATTTCTACCTCGAAATTGTGACTTGGAATCGCAGATTCAAAGATGCAAGTCTAATATTGACTACCTAGCTACTGAGATCTGTTGCAGTACTGCTTTTTTCTTCAAATCGACAAAATGTATGTCGACAAGAGGAACAGACGATTTTAAGCGTGGCCTCGATGAGATATCCCCGATGGCAGCTACTTTGTTAGCTTGGCCACTGACAATTGCCATAAGTATAGAATTTGTTCCCAGCAAACAAAAGATTTGGCTGCGCAAAAAGCTAAATTACATATCGGTGGCTTTAGGCACTGACTTGCTTAGCGTTGTCGCAGATAATGGGTTTACTATTTAGTAGGTATAGTATTGTTGTACATGCTAGCAATGTGCTACTTACCTAATAATATATTCAAACTGGCTGAGCTAAAACGATGAGAAAAATCTACAGATAGAGCGATTAACTACCTATAAGGTACTATCAAAGGCGACAGGGTAAAAGAATTCTAAATGGAGTAATCGTACAGTATTTGCATTCTCTTTCAGTGTTTCAAGTGACATAACTACGTATAGTGTGTTCAGACCAATCAACAACAAAGAGAAAAGTGGGGCACATGCCGTTTGTTTGGTTTGCATCGATTTTATCGCGGTTGCTGTGTGCAACAGCTGCCACTTTGCGATGCCTTGCATGAATGAATCGCATAAAGACCTAAGTTTTCTCGTTTGAAGCTCTTGAGAACCGCATTTCTTACGTCCGCTCAATACAAGCGCTGTGCTACCGCATACCCGAACAGTGCCAACAGCCAACAGCCAAGCCCGGACCGCCACCCAAACAAAGCCGCTTTCAAAGACTGGGATTTGGGTCGGAACAGATTCCCAAAGAGAGGACTGGAAGCACAAAGTCCTTCTCCTTCTCTGCTCCAACTTCAACTGAGCACATCTTGCCCTAAAACCAACCTCCCACTCGCTAAATACCGGCACCAAGCCATGGATTTCTTCCCAGGTACGTGCGACTTGTTATCTCAGCCCGCCCAGAGAGCAGCAGTAAACAGCTCTTCTCCTTGTGTCTGTGAAACGACTGGGACTGTTCAACTAATATCACCTGCTAACCTTTACTTTCGCTTTACAGAAAACGTTCAGACGTTTCTCCAAAACCCTACAGTCGCCTTCCTTCGTACCACAACCCAAAGCCAAGTAACGGCGCAACTTGCCAACTTGCGCTCCGCTTATGTCCAGCCCTACGTCGTTGAACCGCTCTCAAGCTTACTCACCTATACAAACTCCGCACAAATGCCTGACCTCGTGTCTGTATTTATGCTAGTCGTTATCTTGTTTATCTCATTCAAGGTTCTCGACTATGCGCGCCGCCTTGTCATGTTTTGGGTCATGTTGGCCTTCAGACTACTCTTCTGGGGCTCCCTAGTCGGCCTAGGCGTGTATGTGTACCAGGTGGGAGTGGAAAATGCCGGGAGGGATCTTGGTTGGCTGTGGGGGGCGACGATGGGTTTCGTGGAAGATTTCCAAACTAAAAATGGGAACCCCAGTGGTGGCTGGATGCCCGGATCCGGGTCGGGATCGGGGAAACGGGGGTCTCGTGGGGGCTATTGGTGATAGAAGGAGGTCGGCATAATCTGGATGAAGGATCGGGTGAATCCCTTTGGCTACAGTAGTACTTTTGCAGGGAATATATTGTCACCGCTGGGCTACGGAGTCTGTGCTTTGTTTGTTCTGGGGAGTTGTCGTTACTCATGGGCTTTCTTTTATTGAATTTTTAGCGTACATATTATTATGCGTGATCATGTCGATATTTGCTTCTGTTCCTGTAAAAATGAGGTGATCTCCGAACAACGGAATTTCGATGTGGCGCTTCATGTGGTGCTGGATGTGGTGCTGGTGGGGTCGGTTTGTATATTCCTCCACACGCCCCGCGCCCGCCATCAGTACATCGATTTCCTGCCATCCAAACGGATGTTCTGTTGTCGCCGCTCGAGAAATTGACCGTAATCAAATTCGCCGGACATTTGTAGTTCGGGTCATCCTAGTGTAAGGGTAACAAATAAGCCGATGGCGCTCGGAGGATATTGGACTGATTCGGATCTCGGGATTACTGGTGTCCGTGAAACACCGAAGCGGAAAAGGAAACCAAAAAAGAACCAATGGTTTATTCGTCTGCGAAGTTGGCCTCTTGTTCGTCCTTGGGCTCCCGGGGTTCCTGAGCTTCGTGGTATTGGATAGCATCATCGATGTGGCTCAAAACACCCGCAACGCTGTCTTCATCCTGGACCTCCAATTGTAGAAAAGAGACCATGCTGAAGTCATCGATTAATTGTGCCACGGCTCGGTTGAGTTGACTGAAGGAATCGCCACTCATCAGGGCATCCTTGGCCATTGGGTTGGCGCTCACAGCTGGATCGTTCTCCTCAGTCGATAGCAATTGCATATCCACATTGGTGAAACGCCTCAGTTCCCGGCGGCTGACCATATCCCGAACCTGATCCATTTTGGTGAGAATGTTCACATGAGGAATTTCCATCATAAGCATTGCGGACATGGCACTCAAGGTGCCAGCAAAGAATTTGGCCTTGTCGACAACGAAGGTGCTTTCGAGTAGGTATGCGGCGCAGAGGTTGATGTTCAAGGGGCCCTGGCGAGACAGGTACTGGATGAGGGAGGGTAGGAGAGGGATGTGGGTGTAGAGCTCGATTTGGCCGGGCATATCGAATATGATGAGGTATTCTTCGCTCAATGGCTCCAGGGCCTCGGAGAGGAATTCTAGGTTCTGAAGGAGGAATTCGAAGCAGTAAATGAGACCACCGTTCGGGCCAAGCTGTAGCTCTTCCATCACATCTTCTAAAGTGATCAGGTCTCGGATGTCGAGATCAGGTTCGTATGTGAAGTTTTCTGCGGCGGGGTCCAGGTTGACATAAAAACAGCTCCGGCGAGTGCTCTGGAGGTGTTGGATCACGGCATTACAGAATGTGGTTTTACCCGCACCAGCAGGGCCCATGACCAGCACGCCGAATTTGGACATGGTGAATTAGATAAATTGGGAAAACAATGAACGCGTCGTGAATGATATCAAAAGCTATGAAGATTATCAGTGGAACTGCTTATCGGTAACTGAGAATTTTCCACTGCCGGTGGGGCGGGGCTAGGCGGTGAAGTAGTGGACCCCTTGACTGGACTAATTTTGCATGATTTGCAGGGCGCTGGGGCTGGGGTGAAGGCGGTAAACGGTGAGCCGGGGCCAGATATGCATCTATGGCGTTATCGAGTGGTGGGTGGTCGTAGAGCGGCCGTAGACTGGTCGGAACCCGAAGTCTGAATGTCCCAGCTTCTACGGTTCCGGGTCCCATTTTTTTTCTGCCCCGCTCTCTCTCTCATATACCGACCCCTCTCCCTCTTTTTCTTCGCTTTCTTTTTTTTCTCTTCCTCCATCCATCTTTCTTTCTTCCCTCTCTCTTTTATTTTAATTATACACCATCCTTCACAATGGGTTCCGTTGCTCAGAAGACCGGCACTTTCCTCTTCACCTCCGAGTCCGTTGGTGAGGGTCACCCCGATAAGATTGCGTGAGTTTTTCCTCCTGTTTTTCTTTCCCCCTGAGGCCATTACTCGGGGACTTTTTATGTATCAATTCTAACCACTGTGTCCCCTTTTACAGTGACCAGGTCTCCGATGCTATCCTCGATGCCTGCTTGAGAGAGGATCCCCTCTCCAAGGTTGCTTGCGAGACTGCCACCAAGACTGGTAAGTGACAAATATTAATTGGCCCCCAATTGCCATTCTGACTGATTCAATTCTGACTTCTCTCTTTTTTTTTTTCTACAGGTATGGTCATGGTCTTCGGTGAGATTACCACCAAGGCTCTCCTTGACTACCAGAAGGTCATCCGTGGTGCCATCAAGGACATCGGTTACGATGCCTCCGAGAAGGGTTTCGACTACAAGACCTGCAACGTTTTGGTTGCCATTGAGCAGCAATCCCCCGATATCGCTCAGGGTCTTCACTACGATGAGGCCCTTGAGAAGCTCGGTGCTGGTGACCAGGGTATCATGTTCGGTTATGCCACCGACGAGACCCCTGAGCTCCTCCCCCTTACCGTTCTCCTCTCTCACAAGCTCAACGCTGCCATGAAGGCTGGCCGTCTCGATGGCTCCGTCCCTTGGGTCCTCCCCGACACCAAGACTCAGGTCACTATTGAGTACGCCCACGACAACGGTGCTGTGAAGCCCCTGCGTGTCGACACCGTTGTTATCTCTGCCCAGCACACTGACGATATCTCCACTGAGGAGATCCGTGCCCAACTTAAGGAGAAGATTGTCAAGAAGGTCATCCCCGCTGAGCTTTTGGACGACCGTACCGTCTACCACTTGCAGCCCTCTGGCCGTTTCGTCATCGGTGGTCCCCAGGGTGACGCCGGTCTCACTGGCCGTAAGATCATCGTCGACACCTACGGTGGTTGGGGTGCTCACGGTGGTGGTGCTTTCTCCGGAAAGGATTACTCCAAGGTTGACCGTTCCGCTGCTTACGTTGCTCGCTGGATCGCCAAGTCCCTGGTTAACGCCAAGCTTGCCCGTCGTGCCCTCGTTCAGCTGTCCTACGCCATTGGTGTCGCTGAGCCCCTTTCAATCTTCGTTGAGACCTACGGTACTTCCACCAAGACCTCCGACGAGCTTGTGGAGATCATCCGCAACAACTTTGATCTCCGCCCTGGTGTCATTGTCAAGGACCTGGACCTGGCCAAGCCTATCTACTTCCAGACTGCCAAGAACGGTCACTTCACCAACCAGAGCTTCACCTGGGAGCAGCCTAAGGCTCTGAAGTTCTAAATGGATCCCTCCATCCATTAACTTTGGAGAGGCTTTGACGAATGTGATGAGATTGCTTTGTTTTCAACAACTCAAAGCACATGCATAGAGCATAATAAAAATTAAAACGACAAAAATCTTTCAAAAGTTTGATTTCCCTTTTGGGATTCAAATCTTTCTTGTTTCATTATCTGCATGCTTGTCCTGCAAATTACGGCGAAGATAAAATTCAACATGATACCACTTTCATCAACTGGGACGGGATGTTCAGGCGTTTTTTTCGGGAGCGAAGTCTTCAACAACCATATGACCTTACTTTTTTCTTACCTTGCTCAGTATCTTGTCAATGCATGATGCGTACTGTGTACCATTGTTCTTGACTTGATGTTGTTGTTTGCCGGTGACGAAGACAGTCGGTTTTTTATACCATAAGGCCCATTTGTGGCTCCAAGGTCGCTAATCTAAACATTAGCATTACTATAATAACAATCTCAACGATTTTAAACAATATTCATAATGCTCCAGTTCCCTTGTGCCAATTCTTGTAGTTCAATTAAGATGTGAGGCTTTGATCGCGAGGATCAGTGCCTGTAGAACGAATGAAATTCTTTCATTTGGGCGGGGGGCGAACCTTAGTGCCTGGGCCTCGACGCGTGACGCCAAACTCCACTTGACAATTTAACTCGCGATCTTCCACTTTAAGCCCACCAACTTTGCATATCATCAGCGCGTCCACATTTTAGTTATTTGACATATTGTTTCACGAAGACCTGATAATTGCATGATGACCACCATTGCCTGAACGCGACCATGACCGCGCGCGTGATTCCAACCATTCTAGATCCCCTCAATGCCTCCGTCCTGAACAAGCTCCCGGAAGTGGCCCAACCGCTGTCCAAGAAACGCAAGATCGGACATGAAGCTACTGCTGGACAGATAGCTAGCTCATCTATAGTGATCAGAGTACGTGATTATTGGTTCTCAAAGCAACACCTCAATCTATGTAACATCCCTAGCTCACAGTCATTCTTTAATCTCCACTAGGCACACGCCGCGTCACTCTCCGATGAACCACTCGTCCTAGATCGCATTACCTTAATTCCTCGTTCCAAATTATCACTATCGTGGCTTGAAGATGCGTCGTGGTCACACTCTGACGCGCAGCCAGGCGGTTTGTTTGTTGCCGATATCCCCGCCCTCGAAAACGAACTATGCGCCTGTGCGGAGCCTTCCGTACTCGCCGTGCGGCTATTCGCCGATGGTGGACTCTATGTGGTTGAGAGAGTGAAGCGAGGTATCTACTCGCTCACTAAGCTTGCGCGTTGGGTGCATGAGGGCGATCTTGTTGTCGCTGTGAAAGGATGGCAAGGATCTTCTCGAGCGGTGGATATGGATGTCGAAGCTGAAGAGAAGGTTTTCCCTGTTCCGGACGCTCTTAATTGGTGGCAGACTGCGCAAATAGCAGAGCCACTCTCGGACCTTGGGCTGGGAGATGATTTCGCCGCACTCCAAGTCGATGTTGTGTTTGAAGAGAATGAGCCGGAGGCTGAGATTGCCGTGCCCTCTTTTGTTGACGTACTAGAGTTTCGGGGAAACTCCCTTGCTCCTGTCCCCAAAGTTGAAAATGTTGACAGGGAGGCTTCTGTTGCACCTTCGACGTCCCCCGGTATGGGTCTTACGGATGCTATGGATGTCGACGACACAGACAACCATATCATTGGATTGAAGCAGTCATCTGAGGAGATGCTGGATGAGATGAGAGATCATTACTTGCAAGCTCTTTATACCTCAAAGGTTAGTGTGCTTCTCTGCTTATTCTGGGTCTTGATATCTAACAATTTCTCAGACATCTCTGGCCTACTTTGCCAAAGGTCCCATGGCTCGCTGCCGTACCGCTTTCCAATCATGTAGCTCTGAAGTCCCGCCTGAAGTCCCGCAAAAGCTAAGTGGACTTATCGAGTTCTACCGCGAGGCTATCTTGGCAGCTAAGAAGATGGACCTCAAATACCGAGAAGCCTTGCCAGCAGCCGTTAGTGATGCAATGCTTATGGTATCTGATGAAGAAGGTGGTACCAAAAAACGAAAGAGTAAAAAGAAGAAGATGGGTAAAAATGGATTGTATCCCACAGAAGATACCTTCATCCACAAGTGGTGGAAGAGCCGGAGTGTGGCAGAAAGTTCTGCACAGGAAAATTCACGAGAAGCGGAAAACAGGAAACACATCTCCGATCTGAGATTGCGTGAAACTCAGCTGCAGATTCTCTTGATTTTGGAAGTGACAGCTTTGGAATCGACGCCTGCCGATGAGAAAATTACGCAACCTCAAAAAGAGACTGACGGGACAGAGCCAGCCAAGAAACCCAAGCCCAAGAAGCTTCAGGATTTAGACGTGCTTCTTGAACTGCACCTCGACCGGTTGTGCATCTGGCATGCTGTTGGTCTTGAGGAAAGTTCAACGGCCGACACCGCAAAGGCATCGGCTTTCAACGAGGGCCATATGTCTGGAAAGAAAGTTGAGAGCGATGCCGTCCGTGATTTTTGCACCGAGGTCATCGTTCCGTTCTATGCAGCACGTTTGCCTAAGAAATGCAAGTTGATTACCCGGAAGTTTGGTGTTTCTGGTGGTATCTCACCAGCTTCCAAGAAATCGTCAAATAAGAGACAGCGTCCGGAGCCAGGGGCCGAAGTAAAACGACAGGCGCCTCCTCAGAACACCCGACGCTCATTGCACCGTGTTTTGACAGACGAAAAAGCAGCGGCATCCTTTCAAAATCGACATCCATCCCTGCGCCGGTCCAATACAGTTCCCAGCAAACAAGACCATAATCGGGATTCCATGGATCCTTTGCTTCCCACAGTCCTATCGGGGACCGTCCGAAGTGGAAACCACGTCAAGCGCATGGAAAGCCGGGAGGTTGATCTCAACGCAGCTGCTCGTCAGCATGAGAGTAAAATGCGAAAAAATCAAATGTTGGCTGATCAAAAGAGAGAACTTGATGCTGCCATTCATGCCCTGCGCAAACCAAACAGGGAGATGGTCGCCAAGGACATTGCCGAGGATGCCACCAAGCGTGTTTCAAGCGGAGGAGGTAGTTCAAGGAAGCCAAAGAATCCTGTTCGCAACCCATACGGCCAGGGTGTCCAGGTCATGGCAACGCCCCGTGGCAATCGCAAGAAGGATGCGGTCGTTGGAATGCCTCCTCTACCTCGAACTCTCAAACCTTCCAAATCATTTGCCGGCGAAATGGAAATTCATTCCCTAGCCGAATCACCGCAAATGATCCCATCTTCCAGTAGACGGGCGATTTCATTCTCAGGACCGGACTCAAACCCATTCAAGTCTCGTCAACCGGTAGATACAAGCGACAGTGGGCGACGTCAAACCCAACCAGCAGAGCGTGGGGCTATCCAAGAGACGCCCACCCGTCAGCCCAACAGGCTTTTGTTTGATACCACTAAAACTACCAGCACGAATCCTCGCCGGTTATCCTCGTCTGCAAGCCAGGGGGCGGGCCTTTTCCAAGTGCCCAAGGTCCCAGAGTCCCGTACCAACCCCACCGAGCCGATGGTGCCTTCAACCCCAGTCTCACGGCGCAAAAACATCATCCCAACTTTCACACCTGAATCATCAATGCCCCCCAGCAAGGTTTTCGAAAGCCGCTCGTCGATGATTGTGGAGACACCACCAAAGCAACGTGGCCCAGGAACCATGCCTGTGTCTCGGCCTATACCCGCACCGCCCAATTTTCCGACCATGAACACGCTCAATCCTCGTGTGCCATCTTCTCCAGTTGTCCTTGGCACCCCCATCAAAAGTGCAGCTGTTATTCCTGTGACACCGGACAAGTCACAAACCAAATCAGTCTATGACCAGCTGGGCTGGGATGATGACGATATGGATCTTTTGTAGCTTGCAAGATCCTCAAGTTCAATTTTGCATCATTGGCGTCGTTTGTTTTCTATTTTGTGATGCAACATTTTTACATGTTCTAGGGCAAGGCCATTGATACACCACATTTCGCCTTTCATTGTTACAGGAGTTCAATGATCCCAAGGTTACCATATTTCCATATTGGCTGTGTTTTGATTTGACGATTCTTGGATTTGCATGCAGCGCACGAGGCTTAACCTCGACACTGAAAATACAATCTCATGATTTCTATCAATTGACAGTAAGAATTCACACAGGCATAATCTTACTGCCTCAGATGCGATAAAAATGTTGGATAGCTCAATCTTTTGTGCCAATTTAGTCACAGTGTACCTACCCGGGTACTTGCGCCTCCTTTCGCCTCCACTTTGAGTCAATTGATTGTAGGATCGCTTCTGTTGAACGAAACTGCACCTGGACTCACTGTTTTACTGCAGATCACTAGGTTGGTTACTCAAGGGTTTCCGCGGAATACTTGAATATCTGTGAAACAGAGATCAAATATGGGGGTTTTTTAAGATCAAGAGAATTCGAAACGTATTAAGTCATATCCCATGGATATTGCCCGTTGTTGCATCTCGGAGGTTACTATGTTTCCAATTTCTCTTGACTATTCCCGCATAGTATCGACTGATTGTGATCATCCACAAACCAAAATTGGTATTTGGACCTCCCACGATTCGGGACTCGAGAATTGTGTTTGAAGGTGTGTTCGTTAAGTTTGGACGCTAACAAAGGAATGAGTTTGCTGAATCAATTGGGAAACAACGAATCACAGCTAAATTACGTATCAAGATTTTCGCCTCACTTTATTCCAAGTTCTCAGAAAACTTCACCTAGAATTCAAAAATGACTTTCCAAATTCCCCAAAACAAGTGCTCATTGAATGTCCAAGGCCTTGGTACAATTGATGGCTGGCACTATGCAGACGGGGTGGAACAGTACTGTGGCATTCCATACGCCGACCTCCGAAAACGCTGGACCCGTTCTGAATTGAAGACGTCCTGGCCAGGCAGATACCATGATGGAACTCAATTGGGGTATGTTCTTTATTCCAGGACGAAATCTTGATAAGAATGACTGAACTAATTTTTTTGAAGCAACAACTGCCCCCGGCCCCAGGTCTCGGGTAGTGATTCCAGCCCAATAAATCCGTTTATCCCAGTTCCCCCAAACCCAACGTTCACAAGAACTCCCATCAGCGACGAAAAGACGGCCCTCATCCTCAACATCGTCACAGCTCAACGGCCATCAGTCAAGTCGACACACCAAAAGCTCCCCGTCTTCGTATGGATACATGGTGGATCGTTGTTATTCGGAAGCGCGAACTACGGCATATACGACACCGTGAACCTTGTGTCGCATAGCATAGCCGCTAGACTACCTATAGTCACCGTGAGCATCAACTACAGGCTGGGACTCGGTGGGTTCCTAGCTGGCGCGAAGATCGGAGAAGAGCTCAGGCGCGACGGTTTCGCTGGGAACGGAAACTTTGGTTTCACGGACCAGAAAGTTGCTCTCGACTGGGTACAAGAATATATCGAGGATTTTGGTGGAGACCCTGGGAATGTAACGGTTGTTGGACAGTCCGCTGGAGGCGTCAGCATTGGCCACCACATGGCGTCGAATCATCCGATGAAGTTTCACCGTGCAGTCTGTATGTCTGGCCTTGGGCCAACTTTGCGTGCAATGTCGCTTGAGAACCATGAAGAAATTTTCCATAGTGCCTGTCACTATTTCTCCATTGATCCACACACCCAAGACGCATTGGATCAATTGCGTCGAGTTGATCAGCAAGCCCTGGCTGACGCAGATATTATTATCCAGGGTGGGACCGCCGATACTGGAAATCCATGCTTGGATGGGTGGTTCTACGCACATGAGCCTCAAGACCTCACGGAAGCACCGAGCTGGGTGAAGAGCTTCATGTTTGGTGATGTTCACGACGAGGGGGTCATCTTTGTCCAGAAGCTACTAAAGGACACTTACGACATCATTCGAGACACGCTCATGAAAGATGTACAAGATGAGGCTTTTCTCGACGCAGTATTCCGGGAATATGGCATCGCTGCCGACCTGGCGCCGGAACTGCTCCTCGCTAGGGCATGCTTAATGGCTGCCGAAGCTGTCTTCCAAATCCAGAATTACCAAACCGGAATCGTGAATGAGCGTCTGCGAGGCGAGGGCGAACTCTTCAAATATCATTTTGACCAGTGCTCTCACATTCCCAACATTCTCAATGGGAAGTCTTACCATGGATTTGATGTGATATATCTGTTTCGCAATCTTGACACCCAACTCAGTGAAGTGGAACGCGAGATGGCAAGTGACCTTCAAACCGCCTGGCTTCGATTTGCACATGGCCTGGCACCATGGCAGAGAGAAATCCACACTAGCATCTGGAAAATTTGGGGCCCTGATTCTCGCGAGAATGTTGAAACAGAAGAACCAGATGAGGCTGCTCGACACTATTCTCGATTCAAGCGGATTCTGTCACTGGGTTCTGGTGGATTATGGGAAAGATATCTGAAAGGGCTAGACTCTTTGATTATGAAACGAGGAGATATTGGACACTTCGACGAGGATGGAGTCTGAATGGACGCATGAAAGAGAAACAGGAATTATTATCTTCTTATGTAACCTTATCTTGAGGTTCTCCATGAATCTCAATTACAACGACCTTGGAGTTTTCTACCTATTCTTCAATGTTGGAAATTCCAACATGCCAACTTAAAGGGCATAGAAAAGCGAAGCATCAATTTGTCCTGAATTCCATTGGAAGCGTCAAATAGAATGGATGGACTGATTCTTATGGTGTCCTCTTCTGCTTGAATCCATACGGTTGATGCCACCTCTGCATGCATTCCTGACATTAGTAGAACCACTAGTAGTCACTAGTTAGCTATCAAACTGTTACGCCCCAAAATGGACAGGTTGTGTCAATGAGAAAAAGTGACTGCATCCAAATCCAAGGATGACAATTGCTCCGAAAGAGCCATTATTTTGTACCAAAAGGCACTCCCGTCAAAAAGATGATTAGGGTGCAGCTGTAGATGTTGAAGTTTATTTCGTATTTGCGTCAAACACGAATAAAATATGAGTGTATGAGCTATGCGCGTTATTTGAGCCAACGCAACAGCGATACGAAAAAGAGAAGAAAAGTTACGAGACGTATCATCACGAGTACTGGTAAACTAGTTAATTACTAGTTCTTAACTGGTTATTAACTAGTTTAATTAGTGACCAAGCAAAAACACAAAACGCGACCACCAGTTGACGTATTCAGTACCCCAGAATCAGTTCAATTGACCTACAAGTTTAGTACTATGTGTATCTCCCATCTTCTCCATTTTCTCCATATTCTCTCCAGGACTTCAACTAATCCAATTATCTTAACCATCTCCCCTTTACTTCCCTCGACCCTGGAGCCAGTCCAATGTCATGCTCAATGTCCATTGTCATTTAAAAAATTGCCCAATCATACCCCCAGTTGACATTTTCCAGGAAGCCTCCTCGATTTATATACATGGACCCGACTATGTATCACAGTGTGTACCTCCAACCCCCCTCTGTGCAACATTGTTTTAATCTTGCCAAAGATTCACCCGACTGTTCTTTGCCTGTACAATTTCAAGCAGCTGCAGAAAACCCGCGGCTGCCACCCAGGGTCCACGAGTCACGACCGAATCCCCCCATTCCCAATAGCCGCATAATTAGGTTTCCCCGCAAGTGACCCAATCCCACAACCTGTCCAGGACTCCAGTGTCCATATTCCACGAGCGCAGAGCCCCTGCCACGAAAATGCCCCTCGCACATCTGACCTGGCTGAGCCTCATCTTACCATTTGTGTCCGCAGATTGGCAATACCTCTCGCGCCCTGACCTGGCTCCACCGGTACTAAACATCACCGTGCCAGCTGCTCCTGGAACAGAATCCGGGTACATCTTTGTCGCGCCTAAACAGGATACCGGGACAGACGCCGCTCTCTATGGACCTGAGCAACCAGGCCCGTATATCTTTTGCGATGACGGAGACCTGGTATGGTCTGGCGTGGGCTACTTCAGCGGCTATGTTATCGACTTTGGTGTCGTGGTCATTGATGGCGAGCCTGCCTTGCGGGCTTTTGAAGGATCATTGGATGCGCCGCACGTGCGTATGAATGGCCACCATTCTGTGCTTGATAATAGGTATCAGAACATTGCTGTTGTTGGGGCAGTGTCGCATCGCTTGGTTTCGGGTCATGAATTTAATGTGATTGGGGGCAAAACGGCTTTGGTCGAGCTTGCAGTCCCGGTTCCGACGGATCTGAGCAGTTATGGAGGGGATGGAGGACAACAGTGGATTATATCGTCCGGGTTTCAAGGTTTGGCTCTTCAAGACTTACTACACACGGGTGGCATCTAATTAATATTGACAGAGATCGATATTCATACTCGCGAATTGATATTCGAATGGTACAGTTTAGACCACGTCAATCCTAATTGTATGAGTTTTCTATTCATATTTCGGACTATATACTGACTTGGCTGCCAGATAGCATGATATCTCTGGAGTCCGAGGGTCCCTACAATGGCCGCAGCGCTGTGGATGGCTGGCACTATTTCCTAATCAACAGTGTCGACAAGGATGACGAGGGAAATTATCTGATATCGGCTCGCCACTATTCGGCTATTTTGAAGATCAACGGCACTACTGGCGAGATCATATGGCAGCTAGGTGGAAATAACGGGTCTACTTATGAAATTTCATCCGGTTTGGAATTTTCCATGCAGCACGACGCTCGATTTCGCTTCCGCTCGCCCGATGGATCGGTTGAAGGAATTTCCTTCCTCGATAATGCGAATGGCAATGGGAACTCAAGCGGTAAAGGTGGGCCAATCTCCAAAGCTCGATACATCGAGTTGAATCACACAACGAAGACGGTTTCAGAGATATGGACATACCCAGCCCGTACCCATCAAATGAAAAATCTTTATATCAGCATTCCTGGATCGACATTGAAAGCTCCGATGACGACGATGTTGATATCAATTCAGATAGCGGTCAAGAGCATGGCTGTCAATCGTTTGTCAGTCAATGGCTTAGCCGTGTGGACTCAAGTGTCTAGATCGTCAGATCAATCAACTCTTCAAAGCCGTCAGGCCCACCAGCGGGGTGAGCGTCGCATTCCGAGCAAATGACCTATTTCCCGGAAATTCCGTGGTCGCCCGTTTGGCAAATTTTCGATTGTTTCTGACAACCCGCTTCTTTGCATGTGTACCTGTTGTGTGCATCATTCCAGTAGTTGCACTTTGCATTCCTGCAGGAGCCGGCTTGACCAGAACTTGCTGTCATTGCGATAAGGGCTATCGAAGGGGTCATTATTATCAGATAATGTATGTCTCTACTTCGTACCTGTTAATTCCACTGCCGATTTTGGGCCTCCAAAGATAGAATGCGTGGTAGATATATGTATGTAATTGAATCTATCTTAACATTGATATTGGGTGCTGAATCGTATGTTATTATGTATACCAAAATCTGTGCTCAAACATTGGTACGTCGTAGCCGTGCGTGCACATGAGACTGAGTAATTTGCGCGTAGAGGGAGCATCTGCTTAGTCCATATACTGCAGCTTCCACAAAATCAACCACTGTGCCAATCCCACCATCGCCAGTCCCCACCACGGTGCACCAACCAAGTTGTATTTTAATCCCAGGCCCAACCCCCAGCCCCCAAATACTGGACCGATGGTGCTGGCGAGGCTGTTAATGCTTGATCCAACCCCGTTCACGGTGGCTCGCACACTGGGGTCCGACACGCAGCTATTCAGAATTATAGTCGAAGCCGGACCCGTGAATGTACGCGAAACGGCTTTCAGAAACATAGCTGCAACCAAGGAAATCCAAACGAATACGGTCTGGTTCGGAACAAACACCAGGAACGGGGTCAGCGTATACAGAAAGAGACCGACTGGTAAGAAGATGAGATAGCAGCGTAAGATTCCCAGTCGGTTCGAGATGCGGGGGTATACAACGAGGGAAAGCGGAAGAATAAGAAGCCCCGAGATGGACATCGCTAGCCCAACTTGCGCGGTCGTCAATCCAAGGCCGCCTCCAAAATAGGCTCCATGATGAATGAGCGGTGAAGCACGGGGGGCAGGGAGAAAAATGCGGGAGAGAGTGTTGTATGTTACGGCGTGGAAATTGAACAGGAATCGTGACAGTAAAGTCAACCACACCTTCGGCATTAGGAATATGGCGAGCCCTGTTGATGTGCCTAGACCCAAGAAGCGGGGTTTTTTGGGTGGTTCAAGAGGGCAAGGCTCAACTCCAATTTCAACAGTTTCCACACGATCAGTGATTGGGCAATCTCCTAATGGTTTGTATTGGTAGTCCTCTTGATGAGAGCCTAGCCACCGAGCGATTGCTTTTCCTGCTTGACGTCCACGATCTGTCCGATGACGAGCTGCTTCATGTGTCTTTGTATATTGTTTGATTAGTATGAACTCAACAGTGTCAAGATAATCTGTAAGATGCGTACCTCATCCAAGCCCAGAAGAACCACTGCTGCTGTGAACAAACACAGTAGAGCGCTAGCAAGACTCGGGATAGCGTAGGGCCATTTAGATACCCACCCAAGAGATCCTGGTTTAAATAATCCAGGGTAGTTGTGTACAGGATCAGCTAGAGCCCCTCCCATGATGGGCCCGAGTGCACCCCCAATATTTGCGAATAGGGGGAGCATCATGAAGGCGCGAGATTGATATCTAGAGTACGTACATCAGCCAATGATCAGGTTAGAGAAACCGGACTTTGAAGTGTCGGGTTCTAAGGTAACGGGATTTGAAGTAGCGGGGTTTGAAAATCGGGCTTTAAGAACGCGGGAATCGAAAGCCCGGGGTTTGAAAATAACACGGGGTTTGGCGCCAGGTCACCGAACTACTTACTCTTTTTCTCTTACTGTCTCCGCAACAACTGTACGAACCAACGCAGAATTACCATCCAATATTCCCCCTGCAGCTTGAAAAATTGCAGCCGATAAGAATGTTTTCGAAAACGCCAAACCGATAGAAGAAAATGCATATCCCAACAAGCCAAGGAGAAGCATGTATTTTCTTCCAATAGATGCATTGTCTGCTAAGCGCCCGACAATAATCGAACTGAATACTTGTACAACTTTTGAGCAACCTTGTATTATTCCAGCCTGGGTAGATATGGTCGAGTCAGGCAAAGAAGGATCAAACCATCTCAGCTGGTGGAACAAATATGTGCGTGCTGAGGACTGATACACAAACTCCGTGAATGCTGCAAGTGATAAAAAGATCACTTGTGGTTTGTTTGGGACAGAGGCCCAACTGGAGGTCACCCGCTTGATGGGTCGAGAACTGGAGTTTCTTTCGAGATTTGCTGTTTTGTCCTCGTCAATGGATGCCCTAACTTGTTGGTCTAAGAGCGGATCGCTGTCTGATACCAGACTTTGTCTCCTGGAGCTATCCTGGCGGAACAAGAACACCATTTCGAACGGCGGGCCTTCAAATTTATTCTGCTCAAGCACTGAAATGAAGGTTGAAGTTTGTTTTCATTCATTTTTGGGTCTTTGTTCCCTTGGATAGGGGTAAACCATATGAGTTGGGTGATCTGGTTGTGTGACGTAGAGATCTGCCTTCCCCTTGCTTCTCGAAAAAAGCAAAAGAATGCCTCTATCTTTGAATAACACGACGTGTCATCGTGACAAGCATTCCAGTAGGGTACTTATTTGGCTGATATCTGATGGGTTCCCTTGAAAGGTTAACACCGATGGAGTTGATCGCAGATGGGCCCGCTGCCCAGCCGACCTCGGGAGTGGCTGCGGGTGACATCGGTAGCCACTCAGCCATACCCCAGTTTTGGAAAGCTACTACATAGCCTACAGTGCCCCCTTGACACTGAACAGACAGGTAGTTGAAAGTGTCCGATTATAAGGTGCTTGAAGGGGTTCAGTGAACGGTGGACGTAGAGTCTACCCAGGCTCTAACCTAGTAGGTTCCACGGCTATCTCACTTTCTTCACATAGATGAAGTCTCGTGGAAGAGGTTGCAATAGCTCGCACATGTGAAATATGTCAACAGGTGGTCGCAATCTTTCGTATTGCGTTTTGCGTCCCCTGAAATATCGCGCGTAGCCTATATATTCACTTACAATATTTAACTTGATTTTAACGCAAATACGAAATCAATACATACACCATAAATACAGCCATCCATTTTATGTATGATTTGTTATGTGTTCGGAGGCCTATTGCCCCGACTAACGGAGCCTTAATGAAATATGCCAAGTGGACTTAGAAATCAACGTTAAAAGTATTATTACCGGATATGGCAAGGGCTGCCCCGCAAGGGCCCACCGGTTCATTAATGTACTTCTTTTCTTGTCACTCAAAGAGCCTCGGAGACATATGCCGCTCTGATCGGATAGATTTGTAATTCTTCACCACAGCGAGATTGTTTGGTATGTTGCATTACAACTGTAAAGAAGGCTTATTGAATGACAAAGGGCTAACATTTACTCACCCGGGGTCACTTTACCCTCAATTGTCTCCGAATGGGCACATAGTTGACGTTATAAACGACCCAACCTCAATAACATGGAAATAATCAATTAGCCCCAGCTTGCCCCTCCGACGTTTAACTTTTATTCCCCAGATATTCGAAATTTCTCCACACTGTTATTTTAACAATTTGAAATGATCACCAGGCCCGAGACCTAACCCAATCCCACAACATGTCCACTGAGCTTGAGCCAGAACCAGCCAATCAGAGACTGGAACTGCCGCTTGAAGGCCATACAATCAATCAAGATCCCGAGAAAGCATCTGACCAACCACTCACTCAAGGGCGATTTCACAATGGACCAGAGGAACCAGAAACAAAGGGCCGGGAAATCCGCGGTACTCGCTGGCTCATCATCTGTGTGTCGCTCTACATCACTTGTTTCCTCTACGGACTCGACACCACCATCGCAGCCGATGTCCAGGCCCCCATCATCTCAGCATTTGGCCATGTCGACCAATTCTCCTGGATAGGAGCCGGTTTCCCACTCGGCTCCGTATGCGTCATCCTCCTGCTCGGCACCCTCTTCAACACCTTCAACATGAAATACATCTACGTCGCGACTGTGTTGATTTTTGAAGTCGGTTCAGCGCTTTGCGGCGCGGCTCCAAACATGAACGCTCTGATCGTTGGCCGTGTTATCGCCGGTGCTGGCGGCAGCGGTATCTACCTTGGATCTTTGCAGTATTTCGCTGTCATGACCGCTGAAAAGGAGCGTGGCTTGTACATGTCTCTCATCGCCGTTTTCTGGGGCCTTGGATGTGTTTTAGGTCCTCTTATTGGTGGCGCCTTTGCCGTGTCGTCGGCAACCTGGCGCTGGGCCTTTTATATCAATCTGGTTATTGGTGGCATCTCGGCTCCAGCGTTTCTTCTATGCCTGCCACCAATCTGTCTCATGCAAGATGTAAGCGTCCGGGAGAAGCTGACCTCCATTGACTTTGTCGGCTTTATTCTTGGCGCTGGGATGTGGGTGAGCTTTCTTCTCGCGTTCACCATGGCCGGTGGCCAATGGCCATGGAATGATGGACGAACTATTGCCACATTTGTTGTCTTTGGTGTGGCTCTGGTGTTCTATGCTTTACAGCAATACTTTGCGGTCTTCACCACCCCAGCCCGGCGTGCATTCCCCGGACATTTACTACGAGATCGTACACAAGTGCTTCTTTACGCCGTGACGGCGGCGGGAACCTCGTCGGTATTCGTTGTTGTCTACTACCTTCCCATCTACTTCCAGTTCGTGAATGACGATGGGGCCCTAATGGCAGCCGTGCGTCTTTTGCCATTTGTTATTATTGCTGTCATGGTGAATCTTGTCTCGGGATCACTTCTCCACTTCATCAAGCTCTATAAAGTGATCTTTCTCATTGCCAGCGTTTTCTTGCTGGTCGGCGGTGGTCCCTTGGTGGCTTACTTAAAGCCTAGCACGACGACGGGTACGATCTATGGCTTATCCATTCTTACTGCGGTTGGCAGCGGTCTGTCCATGGTGACGGGATATACAGTTGCGACCTTGACTACGAAACCCGAAGACACGGGCGCTGGACTAAAGCTGCAAAATGTCGCCCAGATTGGTGGCCAGGTTATCGCACTCGCCATCGCGGGACAGATCTACCGTTCGCGAGCCTTGCATAATCTGCAATCTGCTCTTGCTGGTCACGGATACTCATACGCAGAAATTTGGGGCGCGGTTGCTGGGGCGCAGAGCACATTATTTGAGAATCTGGAGGGTGAACTTCGGGAATCTGCAGTCGAGGCCATTTCGCAGGCGATGCGCATGACTTTTGTCTTGGTTCCTGTTGCTGGAGCGGTTATGCTTTTTGCGGCATTGTTCATGAAATGGGAGAGGCTCTTTGGACACCATGTGGCTGTTGGTGGTTGAAGTAGGCATTTGCACAGGGTCGACCGTAGGGCACACATTCCGACCTCTCCAGGGCTGGACTAAATATATCCTTTCAGGCAAGTCAAAGAGCAGATAATGGTCTAGATATTCACTTATTGATGCTCATTTTTCAAAATCGCATGGGGGTTTTGCGCCCAGGAAGCTCGCTAGGCGATCTCTGACCCGAAACCTCACATAACCCGTGCGTACTGCTTCAACTCCGTCTAACTTAATCCTGGTCGTGTTAATTGTTCCGGACTCCCATACACATGGGAACTGCGTAATGAATTTTACTTCGTCTACGTTTTCCTCTTACCCCAAAAGCTCCGAGCATTGCGATTGCAAGCACTGCCAATGGGGCCCCGACCCCGACTCCAATGATCACATTTGACGATCCTGGGGCCACCTGGGGGCCAAACCCTCGAATGTCAACCCTCCAAAAAAGCAAATGAGTCAAACGTAACCACTCACGTGCTGGCAATTTTGCGCCCTAGAAGCTGTGTGGCGATGTACGAAGTGCTAAAAAGCTAGGCACCCGCACAGTACTTTGCTAGCTGGGGTAAGATATTGAAAATGGGCCTGGAAGCGTGTATGGTGATGAATCTGACAAAGGCGAGCAGTCCTGGCGAAATGTTAAAGGGGAGCGAGCGCCTTGGTGACTTTGGCGTCGACGAAGACGTGGAGTTCTACGACGACGACATTTCCTTGGCTGTTCTCATGCAGCGACGAAGGCAGCAACAGTGAAAAGCACGGTTTTAATGATTCTTGTATCGCCTGGGCAGCAGTTGTTGTGAAACAATGGCTGGGAATGAAGTTTCCTGGGGGCCGGATTGGGAACGATATCTCGTCGGCGCTCCTTTCCTTGCAGGTGTATAGGTGCGGAAGCTGTGGGTGTATTTCAAACACTGCATTATTCCGACGAAGAGACTTCCTTACCACCGGGTCCATACCCTTTACTTAATCCAGGATTGAATAGAGCTTCGCCATTAAAGCCCCTTCTGGTGTATCGGTCTTGTACGAATTGTATGAGCATCTCCTTCAATGTTAGTACTACCAATCAACCGTGACAAGTCCACAGAACACACAGTCAATCCAAAGCACATGCATACACACAATCCAAGCTTATAGGGGGGTCTTCCTGCAAGCTTTAACTTTTTCCGTCTCCGTGGACTGCACTTCTCCTAGGATCTTCCCGGGTTCTCGAACTGCTACCTCGGAGATTGTTGCGAGAGGTTTTTTGTCGGGACAGGCAGCACTTATATGTTCTTGCTTCTTACGGACAAATAATGCTCCTTCTTTCATCAATTTCTGTCGTTCTTCCAGATGTCAAGTGACAGTAGATCTTGCTGAACTGTTTGCGGACCGACGGAACCCCTATTGATTAATCAACACTGGATGTGAGCCATATCACAATCTTCTTTAGCCAGGTAGATAAGCTGTGATCTCCCAATGACAATATCTTTCTCTCGGGGGTAAACCGGAGGCCGGAGCCAAAATTGATCGAATTTTATGCCAAGGGAACGCCGGTAACTGAGATTCGTCCATGGTCCACCCCCCTCACTAAGATACGGTGCGTTATGTTGGCGCCCTTGTCTAAGCAGCAGTAGAAGCAGCAGTAGAAGTAGCAGTAGAAGCTAATAGAATGGGAGATTCCGCTGAGAAAATAGGCCGAGCGCAATGCTGTAGATTGAGTGTTGAAGGGAAGAAAGAAGAAGGCAAAGGATTAATATACATGTATAGGGGGCAGCTATGTGGGATTAAGGAATTCACTAAGAATATGTACACTTTTCAGTACCACTGTTTATTATAGCCAGTAAGAATCAATTGATGAAGGTACTATTTAGTATTTATTAAGGATATGTACAGTCTTTTTAGTACTGCTGTTTATTATAGCTAGTAAGCATGAACTGCTGTTTATTATAGCCAGTAAACATGGACTGCTGTTTATTGCAGCTGGTAAGCATGAAGGTACTATTTAGTATTTACTAAGGATATGTATACTTTTTAGTACTGCTGTTTATTATAGCTAGTAAGCATGAACTGCTGTTTATTACAGCTGGTAAGCATGAAGGTACTATTTAGTATTTACTAAGGATATGTACACTTTTTAGTTTTGTTTCGTATTATAGCCTAAGCGTGAAGGTACGATTTAGTATTTACTAAGGATATGCACACTTTTTAGTTTTGTTTTATATTATAGCCGAAGCGTGAAGGTACGATTTAGTATTTACTAAGGATATGTACACTTTTTAGTTTTGTTTAATATTATAGCCGAAGCGTGAAGGTACTATTTAGTACTTACTAAGGATATGTACACTTTTTAGTTTTGTTTCATATTATAGCCTAAGCGTGAAGGTACGATTTAGTATTTATCAAGGATATGTACACTTTTTAGTACCGCTTAATATTATAGCCTGAGCAGTGACTGCTGTTTCATATTATAGCCTAAGCATTAAGGTACTATTTACTATGGATATGTACACTTTTTAGTGCCGCTTAATATTATAGCCTGAACAGTGAGGTATTAGGATGGTGAGACGGCGGCGAGACAGCAGTAGATAAACGGTGAGAGGAGCGGTCTAAAAATGCTGCTGTCTGAGGCACGATAGGGCAAATTCAGGCATTAATATATCTCGATTGGGCTTAGCATATTATGTGGGGTGTGTTTAGATTCATCCTCAAGAAGAAGAGAAAGAAGAGGAACTATCTACAGTGAGATAAGTGAGAGTACGCAGCTCACATGACAAATGACCAGACAGAAGCAGCGGTAGAAGCAGTAGTAAAAGTAGTGTTCTTTTCAATATCGACTAGTGTAGTTGCGAGCGTGAACGTTGTGCCTTCCAAACAGCAGCTCAAATGGCCAAGAGGAGAAATATGAGAGGAACATCAATATAATGTGGCCACGCCCGCATATAAACATTCCAAGTTTGTGCAGTCCGCCCTCCATTATGGAGGCTTGATCTTGCGACTCGCCACCAGGGCTCCAGTTCAAAAGATCTCTTCAATACCAGATCCAAGACAAAGATTAGGCAGTTGGTTGTTGACCCTGCACGTTTTCTCGGGCCAGCGCGCTAAAGCCCCTGCATGTGGGGTATGGGCAAATTGGGTACAGTACACCCTGCAAACCAATTGCCGAAAGCCTGAAGGACCTCCTGATGCATAAGGCCCAGCCAATCTTGGAACCCAGGACATGTATAACTAGCACACATGCTTTGGGCTTACTAATTCTCGGACCTGCATGAGGCGCAAGAAAGGTATAAATCGGGATTGACACCTTCCGAACTGAATTCGGTCCCCGAATTTCATGGAAGCCCCAAGGAACTAAACATGATGCAAGTGAAGACATCAGGTAAAAGAAGGAACAAGAGGGTCACGCTGACTGACAGGCACTAAGAAGCACGATATGGCTCCATCACTTTTTTTTCCAAACATGTACGGGCCTAGCAAACCCTTCCTCGTCCCTCTCAACTTGCATTATCCTCTCAAATCCCTGCGCTTTCAGCTCATCCTCAAACGGTGGCCTGATTTGTATCGTCTTATACATTTCTCTCAACTCTTTATTCCTCTTTGAAGCTCTCGCATAATTGCTCATAGGCTGCGGCTCCACAACGAGATAACCCCCCTGATTCAATATACTGTGTATGTGCTCGAACAGCGTCAACATCGCAGAGTCCCCGTTGTTGAGATGGATCCATTTGGTCACAGAGAGCAGTAGGACAACATCAAATTTGCCCAGCGCGGTACCCATATACGCGGACGCATGCATGAAGTCAAAGTGCTCAAATGTGCATGGCCCGTCTGGGTAGGCCGCTTTCGCCTGCTCGATCAGCCAGGGGTCGATATCGACACCGACTGAGGCGGCTGCGCCGCAGTGCGCCATCACCTCGTGGGTCAGTTTGCCCGCGTTGCAGCCCAAGTCTAAAACTCGCGCATTGCGGAGCATTTCTGAGGGGAGAATTGAAAGACGCTCGTCCGGAACGGTGGGTGCTCGGAACTTGGAGTAATATTGGTGGTAGTTGCCATGGCGCGCGGCGAGGTGTGTAGCTTTGAATCGCTCAGCATTGGAGAGTTCTGTCGCAGGGGTGGGATCGCATGCTTCTACCATGTTGGGAGATGGTGCGAAAGGAAGGGCAGGGGTCGGTAATAATATTAATTATATCAAAGACAAGAGTAATGGTGTAATTGTATGGCTTTATATTATGAAATTTCATGATTAAGATTCAAGATGGATTGAATGCCGATATTTCGGCAGCTTCCGAAAGGTTTGAGCAGTTTGCATTCTCTTAGTGCCTGAGGCATGGCACTCTTCCCGCTGGCTCAGAATTTAATCCGATTTACTTGGCCCCTTAACGAGCATAAGGGTGATTTATTCTTCTTGTTATTGTTGCTGACTGACTAATACGGGTCCAAAATCGGGAAAAAATGTGAGAGTTTGAATATTGTCCATAAGATGTCGGAGTGTGTCTAGGGCACCGAATTTGGTTAAAATCAATCTTCAACATACTTTCAACCAATTCCATATATAGATAGCAATTACCCAGAATTAACGTCCGAATGTGGAGTTGCACTAAAGTCTTCATCTAAGTGGTGCTACCGATAAAGCTCTAGCCTTGGAATGTTAGCGGCGTACCTGGGCTAGACCATACATAGCTCTGGAATTCCACCCATATCCAGAAGCCCCAAACAGGTGACGGCTGGGTGAATTTAAACCAAATGTTCCAACCCAGAAAGTATTTATATTTCAGTTGGCGCCGGGTTTCTTTCCCTTTCCTTGCAACTCCAACATCGTCCATCAGTACTGTGTTTCCAATTACCTGTTTCCAAGCTGATTATAGTCAGTCCATCTCGAGATCTCCCGAAGTCTCAATTTCCTTCATATTTCAGGCTCTCTGTCAAGCGGGCGATTGCCAGTAGTACCTAACATCCATCTTTGCACCATCCGAGCACAGTCTCAGAATGGCTGAACTATATATTGAACTACAGTCTGAAAAGCAAGAACCGGAGGCAATTCCCTGCTGCGACGACCGCCCTCCAGAATATGAAGCATGCCAGCCAGATCTAGTCCCCTCTGTCATCAAGAATCGGGAAAAATGCGGGACCTCATCCAGGCGTCTTGAAAAGGCGATGCTGGAATTGGAGGAATTGATACGGAGCATTGCAAGCCAGGGGCCAGTGGGTGAAGATCAGTACACTCAACTTGCGAATGAGTATCTGACCATGGGTCGGTTACTTGACGAGGGGAGCTCGGCGGCCAAAGATTTGGGAAGTGTTTTCCAGGAACGCAGCTTAAACTCCAGAATTTATCATGTATGTGCCAGGTTACATCTCACCCACAATGAGTTTCGAATGCAATATGAGGCATTCAGGCGGAATCCTGAACAGCAGCTCCAAATCTGGGACATTGCCCTTCAAGGCAAGAATGGCTCCTGCTATGCCAAACCTGGATCTGGTTGTGCAACCCTCAATTCTAAATTCTCCTTGGGAGCCAAAGACATACAAAAACCAAAGAATCCCCCGTGCGATTCTCCATGCTCTTCATCCCAGTTCCTTGAGCTCTCAGAAAAGGTGGATAGGATGAATGAAAAATTGAATCTTAACCTTGAATCTCGTCATACGGCTGACGCTTCGATCATCGCTAGGCATGGGCTCGCAAGGCCAATCAGGAGTTTTTGGGAGAGATTTTTTGGACATTGAGGCTGGCATGATAAAGTTGAATTGATGGGGGTATATCCAAGGTTGCTCGAAGACTGCTGAATCTGAGTCATGAAGATTTTGTTTTTGTTGCGTTCTAAGTTAGGCGATCCCAAAATTGATTATTATGCTTGATAAAATGTTTGTTGCGCTGGGCCTTTTCCTGAAGCTTGAACGTTTAATCCAGTTTCAAATATCATTGGTGACAAATGAACACTTTCCTTCACCACCCCAGTACTTATATTGTGCTAGCTATGGATGATTTCCTGCTACATGTGTGTAATATGTCTACAATTAGAGAGCGCCACGGCGCGTAGTTAGAGTTCCAAGTATATTAAGTATCTCTAGGCCCTAGTGGTCCTGGATATATTCAACATTGAAGTGTATATACTCCGTGCTTAATGTTTGGAATGGGCATATGTATACTCAGTATTCAAGATGAATAATTACTGAGTACTTGAGATTATAGGTACAAACCTAACACTTGAGATGTAGGATGACAGTAGATATGGAAGGATCATTTGAACGGTTGGCAGTTTGTTTATCCCCAAGTTTTGTGGCCTCTTCTATTCCTTTTCTCTCAAGCTTATCTCTATTCCCTTTCTCTCTTAACTTTCAGATACCGGTACCTTTTCGATCACCACCACCCAGTCACCAACATGTCACGAGCCGTGCTAGGAAACGTCCATTTCTACGATCGCCGCAATTCGGAATATCTTGGATGCGTTACGCAAAGTGGGTCAATTACCAGAGAAATTTCTATGACATTCTCAAGCTCGCATCTCATCACGTCCACCATGCCACGACCACGAAGCATCCTGGCCTCTTTCAACCCTTACCCCAAAGACCTACAAGCCTTGTTTTTCATCTCAATCAGCATGGAACAAGCACAATGGAATACGCGCAAGACGAATTTACCACGGTCACCAGTTCGTTGATACGCACCAAAACGAATTGTCGAAAACCCTGTCCGTGAAAATGCCATCCAAAGGTCCGCTGTTTCGACGGAGTACATACCATCCATCAACAGCATCCCTGTGCAAAGAAGCATGGCCCATCATAGAGATATTCGTCGCGCCGTTTTTTATCTTGTTTTCAGGATGCGCGTTGATTACAGTTTACGTGCTGTGGATGTGGGCAAAGAACAAGCAGTCCAAAGAGGCAATGGCCACTGAACAGTAAGTTGAGGACTATGGTTTTGATGACAGCCTTTTTCAGGCTTGATGAACAGTGGTTAATATCTTTGTACATAGGACTACGTCATTGAACAATATCATTGCAATAACAAGCTTAGATGCGGCGGCCGTTACGCCGCAAACCGCGTTGACCACAGAGTGGTTGATTGACCGTTGAAGCGGTAAGCTATGGGTTGAGAGACCAGCTAGCGGGGGGTTTAAGCATTGAGTGGAGTGGGAATGACGTTTCTCTGCTGCTTTTTGACCGTTTACTTCTCTCCGAAAACCTGAGTGAGGTGAGACGAAGGTAAAAATTGGGCGAAGATGTAACCGTGGGCTGTGTCCATGTCCGCCGTGTCCCACGTGCCCCTGCGGTTGGGTCTATCCTTGATGTGTTTCCCTTCAAAGTTGTTGATTTCCGTTTATATTTCGGTTTTATGTAATCCGAAACTTCATCGATCGCATACAAACATTGATTCTCGTATGCATATGGTAACTCGGCTTACGTGGTTGAGCTAGGACAACTAGTACTTAACATCCAAGTACATACCGGGCAGGTTACTTTGAAGGTACTATTGGAGCCTTCGCTCTGTGAATACCAGATATAAAGGTCCTATAGTGAAAGTAAATGTATCCTTAGATTCACCATCAAATGCCACCCCATCCTCTCCAGGTGCAAATGAGAGATCAAAATCATACACCAGCCGGGCGATCACGGCTCGAAGTTCCATAAGCGCGAGCTGCTTTCCGACACAACCATACCGGCCTGAAGCCCTCGTTAGCAAATGAATACAATTTGGATAACAAAGCGTATAGATATATCCACCTAGTTGGAATGGGAAGAACGCTTCCTCGTGTTTGATCAAATCGACCTTGTTCCCGAGCCACCGCTCAGGAATAAACTCGGAGCCAGACGGAAAGTAACGTTCGTCACGTTGGATGACATATTGCGGTATAACGACGATCGTTTCACCTGGGATCCAGACCTCATCGATCTGTAGACCCTCGGGCGGGGTTAGTCTAGGCTGGCCGCTGGGCACAGCGGGCTTGAGACGAAGAGTTTCGTTTATGACTGCTTCGAGGTAAGGAAGTTTTTGAAGCTTGTCATTAGTGAAATGAGAGGGCTCAGCAGAGCTTCCAAAGACCTTGTCGAGTTCTTGTTGGAGATTCTTGCATGCAGAGGGGGTCTTGGTGAGAAAATATAGCGCGTGGGCTAGGGTTGTTCCCGTGGTGTCACTTTTATTATTTTAGCTTTTTAATTTTTCAATCTTTCCTTTGCAAGCGGAGCTGTTGGAGAGTTATTGACAGACCTTCCGGCAATCATCATGAGACGGCCATCTTCATTAAGTGCCTGATCGCCTGGTGGGGCACTCGGGTCGTTCTCCTCAATAGCTTTCATCAACCACGAGATAACATCCTCCGGGACTTGGTTACTATTCGAGGTCCATTTCTGTGGTCTATTATTAGATGCTCCAAGTATGAAAGAATAAGATTGAATTGCAGGTCAAGTTTACCTGCTTCTTTTCGGCAATTTTATCCGCACAGTAAGTCATAAACTGGCCGTAGTCACCCACCAAGCCTTGGATTACACCAAGAATAGTCAGAATCCAGGGTGCGGGCTTCAAAATTCCAAGAAAAAGCATCTGCTGATGGAGTTCTTTGATAGCGGCTTGTTCAGTGCCTTCTTCTACTTGGCGAAAGTCCACAGAAAAACCAACCAGCCCCATAACGTCGAATGCAAGATACATTGTCCACTGTGCCATGTCGATTGGTTGATTCAGTCTGGAACGGATCTGAGTAGCAAGGACGTTAACTTTGTGTTCAACGCTTGACTCGTAAATTCCCAATGCTAATACAGATGTCAGCTAACACGACCTAAGTAGCACTTGTGGAGAAGATAAAGGCTTGCTGCCTACCTTTGACGCTAAATCCACGGTCCCAAGCCTTCCGTCTGCGACGATGGACAGTGGGATCGCGCGTGGAGTTCAACGAGATCTGTGCATTATCATCGGACACGTGGCTGTACCAGGGGGCTTTCGTGCAGGAAGATTGTGACCCATTTATCGCGTGCACGGCCGATGCCCGATTGATTGAGATCTCACGAGGTCCTGTGCGCACAAAGTCGCCATACTTTCGATGCATTGCCTGCAGATCCAGGTGATACTGCGCACGGTTGATCGCCCGCTTAACGGAAGACAGCCGACTCATTTTGGCTGACCATGGGCCCGGAAAATGTCCGAGACGATGGAAGAAAGCCCGGTAGACCAGGATACTGGTGGCGAGTCCGATGTTGAAGCAGAACGCGGCAAACAGCGCGCATCCAATGGCACGACATAAACCAAAGGAGTAGACATAGATATAGCTAGTGCATAGAGCCAGCCAGACTCCCAGGTATAGGACCAAAAGAGACTTGATTCGGTTATCAATCTCGGGGATGCGAATACATTGATGAAATGCGGCCCCGACTACCAAGAAAGTGGGCGCGATCTGCGAAGGAGCTGGGCTCAGCAATAACGTGACCGTCCTTGCCAGGGCCATCTTTCAAACAGCCGTTGGTTTTATGGCTTGGAAGAATCGCAGGGCGTTGAGTCAGGAGTGGGTAACAGACAGACATCCCTTCGCATTTTAAACAGCTGTCTCCACTAACTGACAGATGGAAGACGACAGCTGGACGGTGTTCTTCGCCCCATAAAAGTGCCCAATTAGCAGGTCAACATATGTCAAATAAAAGCTCGGATTGGTTTGTGGCGCTTTAGTGTCGCGGGGAAGTTGCGGAATTAGCGATCCTTCGGCGCGGATCGGGCTTAGCAATGCGCTATGTCCCGCGGCCCGCGTCACCAAAACGGGCCGCAACCGTGGGGGTGACAGGGCCTTCATAACGGATTATCAAGTTCTGGGATTTTACCTTCGAAATTAATTCAAGGAAATAGTATCAGTTGATCATATTAGTGAACTCGAGGATCTCATAATTTTGTCGGGTATAACACCGTTGGTTGGGTCTTTCAACGTTACTAGTATCCATCCCATCAGTCGTTCGTGGTGTGGTGAATCATGGCACTGAGTATTTGGTTTCGTGAGCTGCCTCGCGGCACGTGCAACCGATCGAGTGACTGGTCATGGAAAAGAGAGAAACAAGCAAAGGACTTGAATGGAATATGAGTTTTGATTGAAGAAGGAAAGAAGGAAGAAGAAGGGAGACACAGCCTGCTATCTAGACAAACAAAATGGAGCACGATCGCGTGCTTCCAAGACGCCCCAGGCCGTCGAGCGCATACCCTCGACTCCTCAAGCATCCAACTCAAACTGCAAACCCCCTTTTTTGCTAAATAAAGCATATAATAACTTGAGAATTTGAGAATTTGGCAATAAACAATGTATGCAAACCGTAAACTCGCTTAATCTTGCTTAATCTCTCTTGACATTCAACACTTTTCAAGCGCCATCAGCTTCCTACAACACACAAACCTCTCTGTTAGAAAAGGGCCTTTATGAATGCATTTACTAGATTATCTTCTATGTAATACAATAACCTCAACCAAGATCAGTCTCTTCTAATAAACATCTTACATAAAACAATACAAGCTTTTCCGACCGAGTAATATTAGATAAAAAGCTTATATTCAAGTTTATTGCAATTCCCGGTGCTCAGCATTGGCAAGGCTACGGCTACCGACACATCCACAGCCATTTGAGTGGCTCTCTGTCTCGGTGTCTCCGAGGCCTGGTTGCTACTTGGCGACGAAAGCCGGCGAAGGAACCAATCAGCAAATCGCCAAAGCTCATGGCGGGATCTGCCCCTGTTTTCATGGTAGCGCCACATCAATAGTGTAGCGCCACCTTAATAGTGTGCCGGTGCCCCATCCCCCCGCGTGGCTATTTTAAAATTGGGATCTAAGGAACTGGTTCAAAATTTGTCCAATGCGCGCTAGATATCGAGCTAGAGTCGGCTTTACGCTCCGAATTTTGATTCAACCCTATAGCAATCACTCTTGGGATCGCTTCGAAAGGCACATTGCCATTGAGTTCAAGCCACGATGCCTGATCCCTACGGGGAGTCCTACGGGGTAAAATTCGGCTCAACTGACAACATGTCTTTATGAAGCCGCAATTTCCTCTCAATCATTCTGATTACTTCAGTTTTGGACGGTGTCACAGTTAATTCGTCTCCCCTGACGAGTTGTTGAGAAGATGAAAACCTCGCTGCTGCTAGCGTTGGCATATGCGGCCACCACGTCGGCTCTTGCATTCCCTCAACCTGATCACCAAGACAAAAGAGAATCATGCCCTTTCAGATCGGTATCAAATTGGCGCAATGGCCCCCTCGCAGAAATTGTTCGCCTCGTTGAAACATGCTCTGAAGGAAAATCTTTCTGTCGCGAACTCATTGATGAGACCTGCGAGGTTGTCACCGAAACCAAGACAGTCACTCCTAAGCCGAATACTGTCACAGTCACACATACCATCACGGATCATCCCCAAAAAGTGACTAAAACGACGGAAAAGCACCTCACGTCGACAATTGTGAAGCCACAAACTAGCACCACCACCTTCTACGCAACTAAGACATTGACTGATACTGTTCCTTTGACCATTACACATGACTCTACTCTGACCACCACTGATGTTTCTACCGTCTTTTTGACGGAGTCGGATTATGAAACCGTCACAGCACTAGTGACGAGCACTATCACTAATACAGTCACGGAAGATGTTACCGATTATGCTGCTGCCACAATCACCGAGTCTTTCACAGACACTACCACCGAAACCTTTTTTAACACCATCACTGACTGGTCAACGGTTTATGCGACGGCATTCATCACCGCTCCTGCAACTGCCTATATCACCCAGCTTCATACGGAAATTGGAATCGCCTCCACCACCAATTATCATACCGAGACTGTGACTCTTTCCTTTACCGAGACCGCCTCTGCGACGGCAACTGAGACCATATCCTCCACTACCACATATGAGGTGGATGTAACCTCGACCAATACACAGACTGAGACCGATGTTCAGACCGACTTTGAAACCTCCACCAGTACCATCCCTGCTACTGTGACTGATTACGCAACTACAACATTCACTACGGTCCAGACGGATGGCGTAACGCAAACTACCAGCACTGTGGTGACTGTCGCCGCTGCTGCCAAGCGAGATGTGATCTTAGTAACTCCTTCTGCGCTAAGGGGAGTTCATTCAAGCCGACTGTCTTCAGCTTGCTCCATCTTGATCTACGAAGAATGGATCTCCACAGACTACATTACCAAGACAATTACCACACCTACAGTATGTTCATATTCTTGAATTTCCATACCCGAAGAAGTACTGATTGATCCATTAGGTCACTAAAACTCTGACCACTCATACTGTGGCACCTGTGCAAACTGTCTATGTCACAAGGTTTATCACCGAATTCGTGACCAAAATTGTACCCGTCGTGACTACTACGGTCAAAACGAACACTGTCACAACTGCTGTCATACCAACAGTCACCATTAGAGCTACTTCAACCATCACCGCTTCTTCGGCCACTACGACAACCGATATTTCCACAGTGACGGTGACAGTAGAAAGCTCTACCGTGGAAACGTATATCGTCACCGCCACAGTGATTGACGATGTTACAACTTCAACTACCCTAGACTTGACGGCCCTTGCAACTGCTTCTGTAACTGAAGAAGTCACTACCGACGTGACTATGACCGCCACAACTGATCTCACCACAACTCAAACAAATACTGAGACTGTTGATATTACGACCAGTCAGACAACCACCCAAACTTCCGATGCTACTGCTATCGAGACAACTTCTGTAACAGCTACGGAGACTTCTACAGCCACTGTCGATGTGACTGAGGTAGCCACAATTACCTCAACATCTTCGTTCACCGTCACAACCACAGTGCCAATCACAGTCCAAACCACCATTGCCAACACCATCGACGTAACCAGCACCACGTCTACCACATCCACTATCGACTTAACTATCACCCAGACAGTCTCAACCACCGCAACCACGACAATAACTTCGACAGTGACTAGCTCCCCAACCTGCGGAGTAAACGTCGTCTCAGACTACGATTTCGCCTCCGGCACCATCGCTCCATGGGTATACTCTTATACTGGGCACGGACTCATGGCCTGGGGAGCTGGCGACGGAACGACCTACTCAATTGAACTCTATTCAACGGGCTCTGGCGCCAGTACAGCTGCCATCGCACAGACAATATCCACCGTTTCCGGAGAAACATACACCTACACAATGAACTACAAAGCAACCAGTGGAAACACCGCCTCCTATTTGAGGTGCTATTTCGACAACAACTATGCAACATACTACCAGTTCAGTCTCGGGTCAGTTGCCAGTACCATTTGGCGTAGCTACGAGGGCAGCTTCTTAGCGTCATCCTCGAGTACGACGGTGACGTGCGAGCTGATCACCTCGGTTATTGCGAGTGTATATCTAGATAATATCTCTGTTGTTCTGCCATGCTGATCTCGATAATGGATTCTCTAAGCCAGGGTGAGCTATGGATCTTACTAGATGTGAAATTTCAATTCTTTTGTATCTATCAAATTAATCACTTAATCACTTAAATAATATATTTGTCAAGTACCAAGTGATCTACTTCACCCGAATCAAACCAAGGAAAGCGAAAAACGGCCCGACCCGTGAGTCGCCTCCAACCGTGGACTGATAAGAAATGTATTTTACCCTTCAAGATCGCGGGATAAATAGTGACTTGTAGTAGTTTACATATACAACCGGGGCATCAATGTGGCTTTAATCTCCGTTGACCTTATCACGTTCTTACTCCGAACCCCGAGCTCCGGAGTCCGATCTCGTCTTGTTTCGTAAGCCAGACAAGGAGAGCTCTGCTTGGATCCTTCAATTGCCCGTTTCCCCTCTCTTTAAATAATTCCCCTGCATCCACTTCGTTTATTTAGTTTGTTCCTCGACCAAGCAAACAGGTTTAGCGACTACGCCATGGATGAGAAATTTGTGGATGCGAATCTTGCCAGGAAACGGCAGACGCGAGCTCGACGCCTCAAAAGCTGGAGCCTACTGTCAGTGACGGCACTTTTAGGATTCCTGATTCTTTTCAACCGCAACGGCCGACTTCCGCAGTGGCGACCATGGCGACACTGCCGCCATCACTCTCCCGGTGAACCCGGCCACCGAGATGATCAGCTGTGGCAATCATGCGGAGATCTCCATGGCAGTCCACTCCAGTGCGGTACCATCGAAGTACCGATGGACCAATTCAACTCCACAAACTCAGGAAACAAAATCTTCACCATACCACTTATCCGTATGCGTGGCAAGGAGGGAAGTCCAAACCTTCTTCTCAACCCGGGTGGACCGGGTGGGAGTGGCTTTGATTTCTTGAGCCGCCGAGGCGATGTTATCAAGGCCCTGGTCGGTGACGGCTTTCACCTCGTCTCGTTTGATCCCCGCGGCGTCAATCGCTCGACGCCCACATCGTCTTGCTACCCCGATGCCAAAACGCGACAAGACCTATCGTACATTCGAGCCAGCGACGCCGTGCGAGATGGCGCTGAGGTATATGCGTGGTCGCAGAACTTCGGTAAAGCCTGCCCGGATACAATGGGTGAATATGGCGAATACATCAACACTCCGCAGACGGCCGCCGATATGAATAGCATCTTGGACGCGCTTGGCCAAGACGATATGTACTACTGGGGTTTCAGCTATGGTACTATCCTTGGGCAGACGTATGCAACCCTCTTCCCTGAACGTTCCAAGCGTGTTATTATCGATGGTGTAGCGAATCAATTCGATTGGTATGACGCCCATTTCGACCAGGAGTCACTGGCCGACACTGACTCTGTGCTGGACGGCTTCTTTGACGAGTGCATCAAGGCAGGTGCCAGGAACTGCACGCTGGCATCTCTCGCGGCATCCAAAGAGGAGCTCAGCAACACAGTGATCTCTTACTTGGAGACACTTCGAAATAAGCCAATTAGTGTTTACATCAACAACACCGCTTACGGCTCACTCGACTACGACAAGGTCTTGTACAACGGCATTTTCCCGGCCCTGTACAAACCTGCAACGTGGTTTACTCTAGCTGACAATTTGTACAAACTTATTCAAGGAAACGCCACGGATGCTTTCTTGGCGTACGGCTCTGATTCAAGCGATCGCGACGAGTCAAACAAGTTTGTCACGCTAAATGACGGCATCAGTGGCCCCAAACACTGGCCACAGGGTAGACAGCCACTGCTTGATAAGATCGAGCCCTGGCTCAACCAAAGCCGCTTCAGTGGTGGCACTCTCCCGGGGTATTACCTGAAACAGCATTGGAGTGTGCCAAAGACCCATTCATACGTTCCAGGCAAAGGGGTGAAGACAGTACACCCGCTGTTGATTCTCTCAACTACCTATGACCCCGTTTGTCCGCTTATTTCAGCCCGCTCTGCCAACGAGGCTTTCGTCGGCTCGCAGATTGTCGAGATCAAAGGATATGGGCACTGCTCTGTTGCAGTAACATCCGTCTGTGCCACGAAACACGTGCGAGCATTCTTGTATGAGGGCAAACTTCCCGAGACATACACGCAGTGCGAGGTGGATTCGCCATACTTCATCAGGCCAGACGATGGCGACCAGGTCACAGCCCAAATACACTTTGAGGACCCAGAGGATGAAAAGATCCATCTTGCGCAGTTGGCACTTGCGAGAGACCCGGAGTTCCCTGGGCCATTCAAGCGTTGAAAGCGCGTAGAGTGTACCAGTACATAGAAAGAGCGAGCGTACATGTACATGAATCATCGGCTGCGACCCCAAGCCGTTGAGTAATTTACCATTATTTTGAATATAAGTACAGTCTATTTCTTACATACCCACGCCCGATCCTCAAATCTGTTCATCCACCCGATTCCGGATCCGCGTGATATCATCCCTAAAAGCCAGCAGGACCAGCGAAAAAAGTAGCGTGGTAGTCAGCCCAATACCCCCGTACGCGTACGCGAAAACCGCGACTCCCCACCCGCCAATGTAACCCAATTCCTTGGAAACCAGGTTCCAGCTTGGGTCCGCTAGCATCGGAATGACAGTCAACACGACGGACCCGATCAGTCCAATCTCGGCACCCGAGGCTGCACCCTCTCGCAGACGCGCAAAGGCGACGGCGTAGACGGCGCTGAAGATGTGGCCTAGCAAGAATGCGGCGGGGGACTTTGTGCGGATGGATTCTAGGGCACCGCCGAGGAAGGAGAGGAGCGCGATGACGAGCGATGTGTTTGTGGGGAGGGATTCGAGAGATTGTTGGATTGTGCCGGTGCGCGCGTATGCGATCGCCGCTGTTGTAAGGAAGATGGTGACGGCTAGGGCGCCGGGATTGAGTCGTAACTAAAAGATTATTGTGTTAGTCATTGGTCAGATTTCATAGCTGGCAAGGTTGATTCACCATTTTGTCGTCGCTCGTGCTTGGATTCCTCTGCTTGGGATATTCCAATGTTCTTTAGCTTGGGTTGGTGGTGGGGTTTGCGCTGTTTGTTTGGCGGATGGCGGGAAGCTGCTTCGGAGTTGCGGCATCGCTAGTAAAAAGCAGACTTAGCAGAGCATATCACAGCTCAGTTACATTGATTTCCTTTCGAATGTTTACGAGAGAAGGGTGCCGTGCGTATACCCAGCGCGAATTTGAAGTTCCAGATATAGGCTAGGTCCTAGTAGCCATGGATGTATCCAACTTTGAAGCTTACACACTACGTACTCGAGTGCTTGATACCTGGAATGGGTATATCCATACTCAGTCAGTAGTAAGTACTCAAGATGACCGAGTATGTACTATGTACCAGTAGTGACATGCCTTCAAATTTAAACACTATTGATTTCAAATATTGCAACCACGAACATCAACGGGACTTCAACAACTTAGGGCGAGTGATCAAGTAACCTCCAACAGCAGCAAGTGCGCCAAAAGTGCCAACAAGAAGTGACAAGTCGGTAAACAAGGACTCCTCCCTGACTCTCCCCAGATGTGTCGGCTTTTTGTGAGCGATGAGATCTTTTGCAGATCCATTGGCAATATAATCGTCCCATTGCACCTGAGACAACTCCTCCTGGTATTCAACAACTGTTCCACACCAGTTGTTAGTGATCATGCCATCAGCCCTTTTATACCAGCTATCGCAATTCGGGTCTGCAAAGCTACTGCTCTGTAGTATTGCTTGGATACGATCATTGAATTCTTTCATCGCTTCTGGAGTTGGCTTGAGAGATAGCTTTTGCCCTTGTTTCTTAGCTCGCAACACCTCTCCAACCAGTACATTCAGGTATCTGGATTGAGCTTCAATCATGAGAATAATGGAGTTGTGGCCTGTCGAGGATGATTAGTACTTGGTTAAGAGAACATAAGAATCTCCGATGTTGAGTCTGAATCTACTATGTACTCACCAAGATTAGTATTGGGACCATAGAACATGCCAAAGTTTGGCAGGTCCTCAACAGTCACGCCTCTGTAGGCCTTTGCGCCGTCTTTCCAAATATCTTCAATGGATCTTCCATTGGCGCCAAACACTTCGATAGGGTACATAAACTCAACAGTCTTGAACCCAGTCGCCAGCAGAATAACATCGAACTCTTGTTCGCCGGAACCATCGACATCAATGCCCTTTTCCGTGATGCGGGTAATAGGTCGCGTCTCCAGGCTGACGTTCTCGCGTGCAAGAGTGGGATAGTAATCATCAGATATGATGATTCTCTTACAGCCAGGTGCATAGTTTGGAGTCAGCTGATCCCATAACTCCGGTTTGGTAGCCAGTTGAGATTTCAGAAGTGTGGAACTCAAGTCACGGACTTGCTGCGCAGATTCAGACTCGTCATTAAATATGGCCTCATGGTTGGCCTCGCGGAAGTCCATCTGGAGGGCACGTTTACGCCAACGGAGCGGAGGGATGTATTTTAACAAAGCTTGTTGCAGGGCTGATACTGGTGCGTCAAGGCGAGGGACGAGCCAATTTGGGGTACGCTGGAAGACGGTGAGATGTGATGCTTCCGGGGCAATCTCCGGGACGATTTGCACTGCCGTTGCGCCTAGCAGTTTCGAATGTCAGTTTTTTTCTTTACATATGCCAACTTGTATCAAACTAAAGATGTCGCATACCATTGCCAATAATTGCGATACGTTTGCCCTTCAGGTTGTAGCTCCAGTCCCATCGAGCAGTGTGCATCAGCTTTCCCTGGAAACCATCGATGCCCGGGATATTGGGTTGACTTGGTGCGTTAAGCTGGCCAACCGCTGAGATCAGAAAGTCGGAGTTGATAGTGTAGTCGCTGGAGAACTCGCTGTCCTTTTGCCCTGTCACTTTAATGCTGACTTGCCATTTGGATTCGGTATCGTTCCATCTTGCTTCTTCAACCGTTGAATTGAATCGGATGTGTTTATAGAGTCCATATTTCTCAGCGACGCGAACTAAATAGGCCTTCCAACCATTGCTTCATGTCAGTCTGCTATAATTCCAGTGAATAAAGGGTCAGATGTGAGTTCTCACATGAAGCTCCTCCTGACCGGGGTATTCTCTTGTCCAGTTTGGATTCTGCTCAAAGGAGTAACTGTATAAGGAGCTGAGAACTAAGTTCCGATGTCTACTTAGCCATTTGAAAAGATAGCATCATACTTGACTGGATATGTGAAATTTACAACTTACCGTCACAGCAACAACCAGGGTATTTATTGTCATTCCATGTTCCTCCAACACTACTACCCTTCTCGAGGATAACGAAGTTGCGGCATTCATTTCTTTTGATCAAGTCAATAGCCATACACATTCCTTTATACAGTGTTAGCTGAGGGGTCAAGTCAAAATCAACAAGTGAACTTTTACTTGCCAGATATTCCGGCTCCAATTATGACGACAGTCGCTTGTGTGAAATCTTTGTTCCCCACCGGGAGGCGTGTGCTACATGGAACAGACATGTTCGTAAATTTTTCAAGCGTGTGTAGAATGAGTTTGGATAGAAGTCTGGATCAACATAGCACTTGAGGGTGATCAACCTTAGAAGCAAGGGACTTTTCGACCCCCTCTTTTCTGGGCACCTTGATTGTGACCTGTTGCTCGGGGCACTACGGTTTCTAAGCTTCCAAAGTATGCATAAATCCGGTTTACCTGGATACTCGGGTCTGCACATAAAATTTCAAGCCACAAAAGGTCTAATTTTGTGCACATCCGAAGATCACATAGCGGATGTTCGGTAATACGGACCTTGAAGTGCGGGGAAGCAGATCAACCCACCGAGGTTTGTAGAGTTGTATTCATTTTGTAGGCGGTGTACTAGAAACAGTGTACAGCATGAGTGCATCATGGAAGCTCGATTCCTTCCCTCTCTGCAGTTTGCAAAATGTATTGCTTGACCTGCGGGGGGAAAAAAAGTCAGAAGCCGATAAATGACTCGATCAATAGCCTTCATAACCACAGTTGGTGACCTACCTTATCATCTGGAATCAGATCAACTGCCAGCCGACCATCATTATCTCTCTTGTCTGCCTCCGCACCAGATTTCAGGAGCAGGATTGCGGCATCACCGTGACCCTCAGAGACGGCGTGGTGTAGCGCTGTAAGTCCATCACCATCAGTTGCGTTAATAGGACTCTTTCCCTCTTCTAGAAGAGTCTTGAGAATAGGAACGGAGCCTACTGCCGCGGCTCGATGCAATGGTAGCTGTCCGCGAATGTCTTTTACTCGGGCACTACACTTGTTGGCAATCAAAGTTCGGACCGTCGAGATGTTGCCTTTGGAGGTGGCAAAGTGAAGAGCATTCTACAGAATTATCAGTATCCAAATGCCAGTAAACTGCATGGCTAGTGAAGAGGAAGCCTACCTGTCCAGAGTTGCTCTTCATGCTCACATCGGCTCCTTTGCGTAGAAGTAAATCGATGATGGCATCACCTGCAGCATCTCTGAGACTAGCCGCAATCATAAGACAAGTCCAACCAGATCCATCCTATTTTCACTTTGTAAGTTGCATCCGAGTAGGTAAGTGGTGAAGTGCAGTGCGTGGAATTTAGCAAGAGTGACATGTACATACTTCAACATCGGGGTCAAAATTCTTAACGGCTACCAGGAGCTCAACGACATTTAGGTGGTTATTAGCAACAGCCCAGTGAATAGGAAGACGGTCGTCATCGTCTTTCGTAGAAGCTGATTTGGGGTTTGCCTTTTACTATCATCAGTACAGGTTGCATGCTCATGTTTGTACATATCATCGGCATATATGGGCCGTAGCTGGTGGGTTTTGCGGGGCAGCTGTAAGCAGTCCTAGCTTTCACGTACGTTGAGAAGAGATTCAACGATTTCATCTGTCAGAACAGTCAGCAGACTCCCAAGTAAATGTTCCAAGACTAAGCTTACTTCTGCCCTCCCTAGCAGCCTCATGCAGAGGAAATTTAGCGTTCTGAGTGGGATTCATGGCGATTTGGAAGATGGAAATGATTGATAAGAGCTGCGATAAGTAAACCGGCGCGTCAAGCCGTGAACGCCTCAGGCAGCGATCTAACACCTTTCCGCCCGCAGAGATTCACGAGCTTCACTTCTCCATCTTTGAGTCTTCTCGATAATCCCAACGCGCGGGCAATCAATCTGTCTTGCCTCCCGCTAAAACCATATACCAATTCCGATGCGCTGAGATTGCCTTACATTGTACCTCGATTTCCATCCCCTAGCGCAGGGTTTTTCTCTCCGCGCACACCTTGTTAAAGGCCCCGAAGCCTTCCCAACACGGAACCTCTCCACGAATCTCCAGAACTCTTCATACGCTCTACCCCTCTCTCAATCCATTACCCCTAGGTCATATTAAAAATGGATTCTGTCGCCTTTCACACTGCCGACGAGGCTGTTCGTTCCTCCGCGAAGCGCACCGCCGATCTTTTCGGTACAGATTATTTGATGGTCACACCCACGACATTGACAGACGACTCGATCGGCATCTCCTACCGGCGGCGAGTAGAATACAATGATGTGAAAGAATTACCCCACGCACTGGCCGAAATCCAAGCCAAAGCCGCCGCAGGGCGTACGAAACGGCCCCGGATCCAGCCACAAGCACAGCAATCATCCGGCGACGGAAGCGGTGCGTCGATGTCACTTGTGAAGAGGACACCGGGCGTCGGTGCGGGCGCAGCAGGTGGTGAGGACCAACCCAAGAGCTTGATTCAGAGACCATCAGCAACGAAGCAGCAGCGGCCAGACTGGCATGCGCCATGGAAGCTCATGCGTGTGATCTCGGGCCACCTGGGCTGGGTGCGCGCTCTTGCTGTTGAGCCGAATAACCAATGGTTTGCCAGTGGTGCCGGAGATCGTACGATCAAGATCTGGGATCTGGCGACCGGTAACCTACGACTCACATTGACCGGTCACATTTCTACCGTGCGTGGTTTGGCAGTGTCCCCGCGGCATCCGTACCTTTTCTCGTGTGGTGAGGATAAGATGGTCAAGTGCTGGGATTTGGAAACCAATAAGGTCATTCGTCACTACCACGGTCATTTGAGTGGTGTGTACACGTTGGCTCTACACCCCCGTCTCGATCTGCTGGTTACTGGTGGTCGTGACGGTGTGTGCCGAGTGTGGGATATGCGTACGAGAAGCAATGTTCACGTTCTCGCTGGCCACAAGGGCACTGTTGCCGATATTAAGTGTCAAGAGGCCGATCCTCAAGTCATCTCTGGTTCGCTCGACGCTACAGTCCGCCTCTGGGATTTGGCTGCGGGTAAATCTATGGGAGTCTTGACACACCACAAGAAGGGTGTTCGTGCACTTGCCACCCACCCAACTGAGTTCACCTTTGCCAGTGCCAGTACTGGTAGCATCAAGCAGTGGAAGTGTCCCGAGGGTGCTTTCATGCAGAACTTCGAAGGACAGAATGCTGTCATCAACTCTCTTGCCGTCAACAATGAGAACGTCATGTTCTCAGGAGCTGACAATGGTTCTATGTCATTCTGGGACTGGAAGACTGGCCATCGCTTCCAATCTATGGAGACTCAGGCGCAGCCTGGTTCTTTGGAAGCCGAGGCTGGTATCATGGCCTCGACCTTCGATCGTACAGGCTTGCGTCTCATCACGGGTGAAGCTGATAAGACTATCAAGATCTGGAAGCCTGATGAGCAGGCTACACCCGAGTCTCACCCTGTTACCTGGGCCCCTAGCCTTGGCCGACAACGGTACTAGACCTTAGTTGGTTCTGTGTCATTAATACCCTTGTGCTTGATATTTTTCTGTTTACGACACTGTGTGGAGTTCAGCGTGGTTTTGTGGATCGCCTGGGGATTTCTTGGGGATCAAACGATTTATATCTTCTGGGAAGAGGTCTCCTGTCATCTAAAAGAATTCAACTTTATTGTACAAGTACTTTCGCAATGTTTATCGAACATTTAAAGCGCTACATGAATTTGTATATTTGGATTTTATATTGAAAGTCTTAGCCCTCCTGTTGGTGGTCAAACGCCATACCCATCAATGGATGTCGTATTCAGATATTCAAATGTTTGTCAATATCAATTCAAAACTTGAGTGCTCTAGACTGTAAATGTTGCATGCCCTTTCACGTCCAACATGTCATTGAATGTTTGTCTCGAGGTCTTCAACATTATGTTCAAATGTTGGGGTACTCCGCCCACCACCTACCTACTACCTACATACTAATACTAGAAACATGTATGTAGTAGGCAACTCTCGAGGTCCTGGCAGGTGGCATAGTATGCTCTTCCTTGGAATGGTCTGAGATCTACCATACTAACACTTACTTCAGACTTACTCCTACACCTGGGCAGGTTTGCACTGACATATGCACATATGGGTATTCAAGTGTATGCAATGGGTATCATATGCAATGCATGCATGTGTCTAAATCGAAGAACTAGTAGTAGATAGTAGTACAAAAAAAGCGAGACCGAAATGTCGTTCACGACCTTCATCCGCCTTACACGTCAACCCCTAATCCGAAGCCCTTGGCCTCGATATCCTCTCGGAATGCAGATCGCACATCCTCTGCCGCAACCCGCAACCGAATCTTACTCGTCCGGTCACCGCGATTTGGGATCGTAGACCCACCGAGCAAATTCTTCGATCCAGTCCCCTGTTCCAAGGCCAGGACGCCCGAGTTCATGAGCTCCATGGCTGCAAAACCTAGAGCACGCACTCTAGCAGTAGCACCTCCCCCAAGAAGGAACTCTTTCACCCCTGTACCCGCGGCACCAGCCACTGCGACTGCTGCGTCAGCAATGCGGCGTGCTTCGTCCAGGACATCACCGAATGTTGACTCGGCAATGCCGGTGCGGTGTACGCGGGCGAGAAGTGCTGCCAAGAAAAGTTTGCCCGAGAGCGGGAGAGACCGAAGAGATTGCTGGAGTGGAGTTGAGGTTGCTTCTTGAATGGCTTGCTTGATGGTAGCGATTGTGACACGGCCAGGCTTTCCCTTGCCAGGCTTTGGCTTGAGGGTAAGGGCAGTGTCTGGGGCTGCCGCAAGCGGTTTGTTGCGACGAGCAGGTGTCTTGCTGGGCGTGGGAGGTACTTCTTCTTCGTCTTCTTCTGGAATAATGGAGTCTGCGGCAGCGACCTCTTCTGCTTCTTGTTCGGCGATTTCAACGGCACGGCGGCAGATGTCCAGGGCGCGACGGGCATCACCGCTGACGGCGGCGACTTTCCGACTGGCGAATTGGACAGCGTCTGGGTCGACGATGTTACCAGGCACGTTTGCGAGTCGTGTGCCGATGATTTCCATGAGATCGGTGTGCTTGTATCCTGGGAACGTGATGCGGGTGAGGCCGAGACGGCTGGAAATCTTGTTGCTGAGTGTTCGTTCCGGAAGATCCATGGTGTTGGCCACGGCCAGAACAATGAGTCGCGAATGGCGCAGAGCAGGCCAGTTGAAGAAGTTGTACATGACAGATTGGTTTTTGGTGACCAGCTGATCCAATTCGTCCATCAGCACGACGCAGGACACTCGGCGTGGTGAGGGGTGGGAGAATTCTTGTTCGAGCAAGTCCAACGCATGAGAAGGCGATACGCGGTCTCCTTTCAGCTCCTTCCATAGCATTGAATAAGCCTGGTGTGGGTCTGTGATCTTCATGCCATTGATTTCGCAGAAGATGAAATCATCCATTTCCTCGGCTTCCACGGCTGCGTTCAACTGGGCCACTACTTCCCGAACGGTCGCTGTTTTACCAGTACCCGGTGTACCGGAGATATAGATACAGGCACCCGTGCCCTCCATAATGGCTGCACTGAGATGGTTGTATACTTCGTTGAATTCGTTCTTCCGGCAGGGCAGGGATTCCGGAACAGTGGACACATGAAGCAAAGTACGGGCTTGACGATATGGCGAGGCAAAGTGATCTTGTGATAGAACTCGCGTGCCTAGTGGAGTAAATTCAAGCGGTTTTTTGACAACAATTCTCTTATGTGTGGGCGTTGTAAGTGACTTCTTTCGCTGGGATTTGGGCGTCGCACTGGCGGCCACTCGTTGCCTTTTTCTCGGGGTTGCCGGTGCTGCTGCGCTCTCATCCTTATTCTCCACATACTGCGAAAAGAGAATCACGATGAGTGTTAAATTGTTTTAGTGGTCGAAAGTATCACTCACCTCAGAGTCAGCGGCTTTGCGCTTTCGAGCTGCTTTTAATCCTTCCCTAACCAAGCTGACGAGCTCGTGGACATTGTCCTCCTTGTACACCTCCTCCCAGTTGAACTCTTCCGTGTATCGCCCTTGGACCTGGTTGACACCCCTGCGGCAGACAATGCACTTGTTGTATTCGGCTAGCTGGTCCTTGTTTTTTGGAGGATCTCCGTTGGGGTATTTTGCGAAAAAGGCGTCCTTGGACATGACCGTAGCTTTGCCACTGATGGAGTAAAGGGGGTTTGTGTTGAAATCTTGAGTCAGGTACTGCTCGTTGGGTAGCGCGTCGGCCCTGCGCTTGTTCCTTGTGGACAGAAACTCATCTGGAGAAGCAAACCACATGATGCTGGCCGACTTGATCTTCTTGTCCTCTTCGTCTTCGTCCTCTTCCTCCACAAACTCCATGATAATTCCCACCCAATCTTTGCCAGCTTCCGGTGACTTCAACAGCACGATTTGGCCAATCCTGCATTCGAATGATCCCATGCGAGCTCCGAGGATGGCGCGCTTCCTCCTCGCCGGGCGTGATGATCGTCGTCGGTTGGATTTTTCTGGGCTGGCATTGATGGGTTCCTCCGGCTCGGCGTCATTTTCGGCATATATCCAGTCCCACGGGTGGTCTTCGTCACCCAATTCGTCGTCTGAGTCTTCACGGACCAGGCCGCCCTTGGTCATCCATTTTTGAGCACGCTGGCGGGCATTCTGGCGGGGCTGCTGCTGTGGTTCAGCCTCACTGGAGGGATTCGAGTTGGCAGCCATTGTTGGAATTGCCCAAGGGGGAAGAGAGTGCTCAACTCTGCAGTCTAAGGTTAGGCAGAGCTTCAAGTCGGGGATTTCGGGAGCGCGTTGAAGCGAGTCGAACTACGCGTTGTCCACTTTGGTCCTAATTTGGCTTAGCGTCCCGGTCTAAACCTTCTGACCAATCAGAAGCTTGAAATATACTACTAGTAAAGATTCAATGTTTTAGACTTGAGTACGATCATATCAGCCTGTGCTTTTTGTCTATCTTTCTAAATATAATAATTCGAAGTCTAGTTCTCGTTGATGGCTTATTCAATTATATCGCATGTCAATATCTGGCTAAAAGTAGCCAATAAAACCCTAAGCTCGTTTCTCTCTAACCTCTTCTCTTCTACAACTTTGCAAGTGACAGCCTAAGTGAATTCCACCTCTCTTCACTTCCACCGCAGTCAATCAAGTGAGTATTTATAGGCAGAATTTCTCTTTGCCTTTCTTACAAAGTTCTATCAACTCTTAAAGGGTTCTTTTTTTCATTCAACCTTCTATCTTACAACTCAATCTTTTCTTTCTATTCTACAACCATCATTCAATCTACAATACACTACTGACAAGGCCCAGATCAACGAACTTCTTATTTTCTCTCCAGAGCTTCTACTACACTCTTGACCCGCTCGTTTTAACACATCAACTCTGAGAATTTATTCAAAATTTTCAGAAAAAGCACGTCCGCAATGGAGACATCCCCAAATCCCATGGAGTAAGTTTGCTTGAAATTTCTAGACTGGACTTTGTTCTGACCTCTATTTTAGTTGGGAAAAGGCTGCAGCTCTAGGTAAAGCATCAGTTCTTGCTTTCACTCACAAGTAAGGATTTCCCTTTGAAGACGCACGTGTTGACTCGAAATATATATACAGACTGGTCTTTGCCAGGTTATGGGCGTGCTGGTAGCAAAAAGCCTCAAAATGCCCACGACTCGAATACTGAAGCCGAGAGTACACCACACTTCGTTTCTCAATCCAATTTCCCGGGCCCTTCGACGACCCAGAGCTCTGAAAATGTCAGTCACTCACTCCCGCTCCCTCGGGGGCCCCTTTCAGGCTGGAAGCGATCACCCACGAGTGCGAATGGGAGGCCTCGGGGTCCTTTTCGCCCTGGTCAAGCAGGGTCGCAGAGTGAGACTCCCCGGGACTCCCCAGCATACAAGCGGTATCTAATGGGCGAGAAGCCTGATGGTATGTATTATGTTCTTTAACCTTGCCTACTTTTGCTGACTTTGGATTAGGAACTGTGCGACTGCCCATTGAGACTATCAATGCAAGATACAGGTAAGAAACAACTCCCGTCAGTCCTATTTAGGACCATTTTACTTATGCACTCCATTAGTTCTCGAGACAGACTTCCACAGACTGAGCTGGTTAAATCACTGTCGGATCCCCACCAGCGGGAATATATCCTTCAGCGCTTATCCACGGAAACGGGTGCCTATATCAGGCAGCGCCGAAGCAGTGACCGAGTAAGTTTTCAAAGTGACAATTTGTTGTTATAAAAGCTAACGCGTTTGAAGTTTCTCGATATCTGGGGAGAAACTACGCAAGTGGATAGTGCAAGGGCCATCCTCTTCAAACTCATCGACAAAGTTGTCCAAGGTCGTACTGAAGGACCTCGCGGCTGGGGAAAGATCCACCCTATCAATGGCGAAGATGAGGAAGAAGCGATGCTCGAAGCGGCCATCAAGGAAGGGCTGGCATCTCTGCGGCTGAGACCCAACAGCTGGATTTCTGAGTCCGAGGTGAGTGATATGTGTACTACAATCGGGGCCTTCTGGCTTTAGAATTTGATCTTCCAGCTGACAATTTATGTTTCAGAGGGTATTTTACTGGCCTCGTGATGGACCTACGGTCCACGAAGGACTGGGCAAACGCCTGGAGAAGCTTGACCCCATCCGGGAAGAATTTCACGCGCATATCTATCTGCAAGAGGGCTCAACGGAGAAGATATGCATTTCTGGAGACCTTGACACGGACATGGAGCAGATCATTACCCAACTCGAAGGATTGCTGAATGAAGCCGTGGCCAAGGCCGACGCTGGTGTCAAAACTTACATGTTTGAGCCATTTGTGATGGACGTTGACATTGTGCCAGATAAAGTGGTTTTGGTGAAGAGTGATGGTAGGGCATTGCCATTCTCCAGTGAAGATCACCAGTCTATTTTAGACACGAAGAACAGTCTCCAGAGTGGTGATTTGAACGTGATCCAAAAGAACAACTACCAGCGCATTTTGAAGAGCTTTCGGGCAGCATTGTTGAAGGCTGACCTTTTCCCTGGCCACCTACGGATGCGCGTCCACTTTGGCTCCTTTGTGATGGATAGGTATCGAGAGCCCAAAAATGGCAAAGGACTTTACGGCTTTGGGGAATTCTGTGAGATGATTCTCCAAGACCGAGCTAGGGGAAAGCTGCTTCCGGGGTAAGTGATCATGCATTAACCATCTCCAAGCGTATATGCTGATCAAAACTTTGTCGATGACTAGACTGAAAATCAGTGGCGAAGAAATGCTCTCTCGTTGCATGGGTGCAGTCACTCTCTTCAAACCAGTGGATACTTCCTATGCACTCTCAGAGATCAAGAGGATCATCCCCACATACGCAGCTAGCTTCGAGTTCTCAGGAAGAACCTCCTCCAAATTTCGCCTAGAGGTAGATTTCCGACGACGCAGTACAGAGATCGAAAAAGGCTACCACCGATGGTTCTATACCGAAAATCGAAATAGTGAAGGTTTCCGCCGTCTGCTTCTGCAGGTCAGTGTAATGAATCTCTCACAGTAAGGCTGTCCCTGCTCCACTCCCAGCATTTGTGTACTGATATTTTTTTTTTTTTTCGCAGATCCGACTGGCAAGGCGACCTTGAATTTTTCGAGCCCCTGCACGATAGTCAGGTGAACGAAGAGCTGGCCACGTTTATGCGCTCAGTGAGATTCGATAACAATCTGCGAGTCCATGGTATGGCTACCGAATCTCGCAAAAAGGTGCTTTTCGATGAAAGCGACCTGGTGTCAAGCTTCATTGAGAAATCTGCCGTTCGTCTGATTGTCCAGGGAACAAATTATGTCTTAGAACTTGCTCGATTTGATCGATATACCAGAATTCGGACAGGCTGGACCACGACACCTGCCGTTTCATGGGGCGCGAGCTTGTTCGACCCTAGCTGGGATGTAACCCTTGGGGGCTCTTCCATCAAAGCCAATCCGACTGCTCCCGGGAATACAGCAGAGCATGTTAGATCATTCGAGTCATTTTTCCCGCCAACCAGTACAAGCACCGCTGGAGATGAAGGGTTCAAGGAGTATATGAAAATTGTCAACAAACTCTCTCGCCTTCTCGGCTTGGGCAAAGACGAATTTGGAAAACTCTCAAGGGATTCAATCAAGACAAAGATGGTTGAACTGATGGACGTTGAGCTGGGGATGTTATTTTGAACGGAGGAGTGAGTGGGAGTTGTGATGGGAGTTGGGAGTTGGGAGTTGGGAGTTGGGAGTTGGGAGTTGGGAGTTGGGAGTTGGGAGTTGGGAGTTGGGAGTTGGGAGTTGGGAGTTGGGAGTTGGGAGTTGGGAGCTGTGATGAGAGATGAGGGTTGTGCTGGGAAATAGCAGGTGTATGGATGGGAAGGGTTAGAAAGAGATCGCATAGTATATAGAACAATATCGAATAAGACACAACTCTTTTGATTCATATTTACTGGCTTGTCTAAAGCCGTCATCGACCTTCGTAAGTGGTATACAAGTTTAGGCACTCGCACCAGCCTCTGCCTCGCCGCTAAGCATCTTCTGTCTGAGCACTAGAAATAGTCAGCAAATAAATCTCAAGACCGATGATATTCTAATCACGATAAGTCGAAGCTCACCTTCCTCCACAACCCGCAGTTGAGAGTTTTTGCCTCCAACAATCTTCTCCAATTCATGCAGGTTTGCATCCAATCCCTTCACTTTGTCATCATAGAAAGCAATCGCCTTCTGGGGTGTCTGTGCCGGAAAAAAGGAGAGAAAGTCAGTTATCTGTCCGGCTGGAAACACCGACACGCAGGACCGTACCTTTTCAACATAGAATCCCGTTCCAACATCAACAAGCACTTTCTCGCGATCTGCCAACCGGCCCTTGACATACAAGGAGCTGGTAAGAGGGACAAGAATCTGGTCACAGCCGGTAGTACCCTTGGCTTCGGAGCCAGTCACACCGTCACTGATAGAGCGCACACAGTCGCGGAACTTGGCTTGTGCGGCGCGCAGCTTGGAGTGCGAAGTTGTCAAGTGCTCCAATTCGGAGGTAAGGCGGGTCTGAAGGGCGCGGAGTTGGGGAAGGGAAAGTGTGGCAAGGTTAACTAGATGAAAGTCAGAGCTCCATTCGATTGATATGGCTGTGTGCGGCTACTCCAAGTCTCGGAAAGCCAGCTTGCTTTCAAGCTAGGGTCTCCGTGTGGAAGAACTTGGCTGGTGTTGCAGCTGCTGATAACGGATCTGTTTTTGTCTGACAGTATCGGACTAACCTGTGCCTGGAGGAGCTCCGCCGGAGCTTGAGTCGGAGTTTTGAGCCGACATTGTGGGTGATTTGGGGTTGAGGTTGGAAAATTAGAGATTCGGAGCGCGTAGCAGAGTTGAGTTGATGCGGGCGGAGGTGGGGTTGATGGGCGTGGCATTAGTGTGTTTGTAGCCGTTTTTGTTCATTTCCACCTCCCCTGACTATAATCAATGTGGTATGCACACGCACGCTACCAGCTACCACGTGTATCTTGATCGTATTTCTTAGTAGAGTTGGAGAGAAAATAAATAAATTCCTATGATACAAAACAATATACATTTATGGCTTCTGATATGCTAATGGTACACATCCACCTGCAAGCGCCTTCAAGATTACAGCTGTGCGAGCAGGTTCTCAACGAATTCGGGCAGTTCGTCCAAGGACACATCTTTCTTCACGTCAAGTTGTCGACATTGCACCTCTAAAGTCTGGTGCTTCTTCCACCCATTGCCCACAACCACGATGACGGGGTAACCGATCAGGTCTGCATCCCCGAGTTTCCAGCCCATTCCCTTGTCACGGTCATCGAGGAGCGTGTCCACCGGCGTAGCCCGTGAAGTAAGGCCATCATAGATCTTCTCGGCAACAGACTCCAATCCCTTGCCAGGGACCACCACAACTTCATAGGGGGCCATAGCACGGGGCCAGTTTAGCCCCTTGGAGTCAACTAGTCGGTTAGCCACAGCAGAAACCATACGCGAAACGCCGATTCCATGGCAGCCCATTTGCATCGGTACAATTTGCTCCTTGCCCGATTTGATATCTGACGGCGACGCCCCATCAATTAGGGCAGGGTTAACGGAGACCGATGCTTGCAACACCTCACTATACCGAGTGCCAAGGTGGAATGTGTGTCCAAGCTCGACAGCTGGGTTGCTGGTCAGCAGACCATCAGGACACTGCGAGCATTTGTCTTCATTGTGCACGCGAACTAAGCTGAGTTTGTGAGATGACTCGGGGAACCGGTCCAGCATTGAGTATTCGATGTCAGCGACAGTGCATTCCGCCTTTTGAAGGAGGTCGCTCAATGGTGGACGCTGGTAGACTCGTACTTGTGAGTCGTACAGATCTAGAACGCGGGGTTTCTGACCCGCCAGAGGTGATTTGACTCGCGCAACCCATTTGTCTAATGGGTTCTCCACACTTAAATCGAGGTCCACGCCTGCAGCAGTGGCGATTGCCTTGACGGCGTGTGAGTTAACATGGCGCTCGACGGGCTCTGTAGACCCGTTCTGCATGGAGAATTTGGGGTACCAGCCGCGCAAAAGAGTGTTTCCGTCATGTGAGATAGCCATCCACATACCGGTGGAGACTGTCGGGGTGACTTCGGCTGAAGAATCTTCGGTCTGGAAGCCGGGAACGCTGTTTGACTCGGCGGATTCCTTGAAAATGTGTGTTTTCCCATCGGCAAGTTCCTCATTGTATACGTGATCACAGTGTGAGCAGCTCACAACACGGTCTTCACCCTTGGAACTGATGAAATGGAATTCATGGCTGAGACTGCCACCCATGTTTCCCGAATCGGCGGCAGCAACCAGATATGGCACTTTGAGTTCATCAAAAAGCTGGGTGTAGGCTTGCTTAACTGCATAGTAAGTTTTCAATGCTTCCTGAACATTGTAGTCAAACGTGTATAAATCCTTCATAATAAATTCACGGCCACGAAGAAGACCTTGACGCGGTCGTGCCTCATCTCGATACTTTCGGGCTTCAATAAGTCAGCAAATTGGATCTGGTCATGCGTTGTGATTCCTCTTACAAATTTGGTACACCCGCAGAGGAAGATTTTTGTAGGAGGTAGTGAGGCTCCCGACGAGTGTAGTAATTTCCTCCTCATGAGTCGGAGCAAGAATAAAGCGAGCGTCTTTTCGATCATGCAATCGAAATACCTCCTGATAAGTAGATTAGCATAGTATACTACGCCATGAAATAGGTAGAGAACATACTTCAGAGCTATCATTCAACCGCCCTGACTTTTCCCATAGCTCCTGAGAAGACAATGAAGAGAGGGAGACTTTCGATGCACCTGTTTAGCTTGTTAGTACTGATGCCTGTTTTGTGGGCAGTGTGGGAGTAGCGTGCCTAATGTGCGCATGTGCTTGTCAATGAGGCGCTCCAGCTTGTCCTGCACTCGCAGCCCAAGCGGGAGAAGATGGAAAACACCAGAGTATGCCTAAAAAATACCAGTCAGAACTGATTCCAGTAGTACTAAACATGATAAAGCTTGCCTGGCGGAGAAATCCGGCGCGAATTAATAAATCATTGGCATCTTCTAGTACATTATTAGCTTTGCGCGGATCATATTGGCAACCACCTAGCAGCGAACCTTTTTGTCCTTCCACGGGTTTTTTGGATATTCCACCAGTTGGAATCCAGAAATTTGACACTCGAGTTCGTCCATCATACTACAAAACATTAACATTCCCAATCAACCTCCTTGAGGGTTTTCCGGAACGCGTACATGTAAACCGCATTGCTGGACACGGAATATCGGCGCCCGTCGTACTCTTGACAAGCCACGGGCTTCGAGAGTAACAAACATTGCTGTAAGAAAATCTGAAAGGCAAGTCCTTAAAAGCCTTCCAACTCAATTACAACAATTCAGTCGACAAATAAGGAACTCGAGAAATCGCTGCGGTCACTCCTGGAGCGTTTCTTATCGGTTGGTCCGAGCGTCTTGATAACGGGCCCGCCGCAAAAGATTTCTCCGTTCATTTTTCTCTCCGTCCAAAAAACATACCGCAACTCCAGACATAACACAATGGTCAAAGGGAAAGGCAAGCGCTCTTCCGGCGCTAATGAGCCCATCCCTGATGGAGGTGTTTCGATTTCTCAATCCCAATCTACGCCTAATGAGCCTCAGATCGACGAGAGCGCCTTCGTCGGTTTACGCCAGAAAATTGAGCAGCGTTTAAAGGATCAGAGCTCCGCCAAGGGAAAATCTAAGAAGAACGATAAACCAAAGGCCCCCGTCGAGATCGCGCCTGCGAAGAAAGAGAAGGAGGTTGCCCCTAAGGCTACCAAGGCCCAGGATTCTTCTGCACATGGCAAGAAGCGGGATCGCAATGGGGAAGTGATTGCTCGAGAGGAAAAGAAGGAGGGAAAGAACAAGGTCACCAAATCTCCAAAGAAGGGTGGCAATGATGAGACCCTCCGACAAGAGATTCTCGCTATGGGCGGCACTGAGGAGGATCTTGATCTTCTCGCCGATGTTGACTCCGAATCTGAGGTTGAGGGTGTCAACGCCAAGAGTGGTGACAATGACCTCCGGAAGGAGCTTGCAAAGATGTTGGAAGATGCTGGTCACGTTGTGCCGCAGGATCTAGCAGAGGACGAGGTCGAGGAGGAAGCTGAGGAAGATGCCGAGGTTGAAGACATTAGCGACGTCGAGGACAGCGAGCCTGAAGATGTTTCCGATATCTCTGAAGTCGAGGAGGCTCCTAAGCCCAAAGAAAAAAAGCCCGAGATTCTTATTCCTAAGGAATATGCCACTCTGGTGAGAATGGCCGATGGTCCTTGGTTTTATTTTATAATGATTCTATTGCTGACAATGGACCACTAGGCCATCCTTCCCCGTTCCGATTGGTACGCGTCTCCTGTTCCTAAGATTGCCTGCGGCAATCCCCAGCAAATGACTGCCCTTCCCCGACACTTGATTGACCGCATCCACGAGGTCGCCAATTCGCTATTACAGGAGGAAAACGAGAAGTACGCCAAAGCCCAACAAACGTCCGCTTCATCATCCCACAAGTTCTACACCACCATCATGGCTTCTGGTACCCTGAGCGATAAGATCTCCGCATTGACTCTTGCTGCTCAAGAGTCTCCGTTGCACAACACCAAGTCCCTAGAGAACCTTGTCGCTTTGGGACGCAAGCGCAGCCGTGCGCAAGCAGTTGAAGTCCTCCGCTCGTTGAAGGATATGTTTGCTCAGGGAACCTTGTTGCCCAGTGACCGTCGTCTTAAGTCATTTGCCAACCAGCCCGAGCTTGTTGCTGCTTTCCAGGGTGCTCCTGGCCGCTGGACTGAGCGAGACCCGCTCCCGGGAGGCTTGCAGAAGAGCCACCTCATGCTTTGGGCTTTCGAGGACTTTGTCAAGGAACAATTCTTCGAGGTCATCAAGATTCTTGAGATCTGGTGTAACGACGAGATTGAGTTCTCGCGAACCCGTGCTGTCAGTTACGTCTACGAGCTCCTCAAGGAGAAGCCAGAGCAAGAAGCCAATTTACTCCGTCTGCTGGTCAATAAGCTTGGAGACCCTGGCAAGAAAATTGCATCGCGCGCCTCTTACCTTCTGCTGCAGCTTGAACAAACACATCCCTTAATGAAGTCATTGATTATCAAGTCCGTTGAAGAGTTTTTGTTCCGCCCTGGTCAAAGCCAGCACGCGAAATACTACGCCATCATCACTCTTAATCAGACTGTTTGCAGCTCAAAAGAGCAAAAGGTCGCTGCGCAGTTGCTTGACATTTACTTCTCTATGTTTGTTACTCTCCTGAAGCCAGCGCAACCCACTCAGCCTACCTACAACAAAGGCAAGCCCAACGGCAAGCACGGCCAAAAGGGATCAAAGAACAAGGCTCCTCCCAAGGCCGAAAAGGGAGAGGCCCAGACCGATGAAATGCGAGAGAAGCTCACATCAGGTGTCTTGACTGGTGTCAACCGCGCTTATCCATTCACCGACTCTGATTCCGACAGGTAAGAACACCCTGTGTACTGACAGATCCCTGAAAACCGACTAATCCACTTTCTACCCAGACTCTCAAAGCACATTGACACTCTCTTCCGCATCACACACTCCTCGAACTTCAACACAAGTATTCAGGCTCTGATGCTGATTCAGCAGCTTACCGCCTCTCACCAGGTCGGCAATGACCGCTTTTACCGCACTCTGTACGAGTCCCTGTTGGATCCTCGTGTCACTACATCCTCTAAGCAGTCTCTCTACTTGAATGTACTGTTCAAGGCCCTGAAGAACGATTTGAACGTTCGTCGGGTCAAGGCATTTGTCAAGCGTATCGTTCAAGTCCTTGGACTGCACCAGCCTGCCTTTGTTTGTGGTGTTTTCTACCTGATCCGCGAGCTGGAGAAGACCTTCACTAGTCTTTCGTCTCTGTTTGACCAGCCCCAAGCTATTGACAGTGATGATGAAGAAGTCTTCCGGGATGTTCCCGATGAGGACGATGAGCAACCCGCTCCTACCCCTGTCGTGGAGACCAAGCCCAAGACGTCAGCCAACACTTATGATCCTCGCAAGCGTGATCCTGAACACAGCAATGCTGACAAGACTTGTCTCTGGGAGTTGCTACCCTACACCTCTCACTTCCACCCGTCTGTCTCTGTCAACGCTGTGAACCTCTTGGAGCACAACCCTATGAGCGGCAAGCCAGACATGACCATCCACACCCTTACTCATTTCTTGGACCGTTTCGTGTACCGTACTCCCAAGGCCAACGCTGCTTCCCGTGGCGCATCTATCATGCAGCCTCTCGCTGGTGGCGACACTGCCGACCGATTGGTGGAGGCCGCCAAGTCTGCTCAGCAGGCTATGCCCTTCAACTCCGAGAACTTCTGGAAGAAGAAGGCTGACCAGGTTTCGGCCGAGGATGTCTTCTTCCACGAGTACTTCAACCGTGTCAACAAGGATAAGACCCGCGCCAAGAAGGGCAAAACTTCTGATGATCGTGACAGCGACGACGAGGTCGATCCTGAGGGTGTCAGCGACAACGAGGACAATGAGGATGAGATCTGGAAGGCTCTTGTCGACTCCCGACCTGAACTCGAAGACGGCGGCGAGAGCGACGACGATCTGGACATGGATGATCTCGAGTCTGCCTACGATGATGATGAGGATGATGTTGACGTTGAGGGTAGCGATGACGAGGTTATCTTCAACGATGAGTCCGATGTTCCCTCCGACGAGGAGATGGCCGACTTCAGTGGCTTCGAAGACGAGGAGGAAGAGAAGGCTGTTCCTGCGTCGAAGAAGGCCAAGAAGGCTGCCAAGGAGGAGAAGAAGCCGAAGAAGAAGGTGGAGGACGAAGACGAGGAGGACGCCTTCGACATGGATGTCTCGGACGACGAGGCATTCCTCGACAGCGACGACGACCTGCCATCGGATATGGAGCTCGGTGGTGTGGACCTGGAAGCTGCTGCCGCTGCAGAGGCTCCTTCAGCTTCGGAGTCCAAGAAGCGCCGCAAGCTCAAGCACCTGCCCACCTTTGCCTCGGCCGACGATTACGCGGCCCTGCTGGCGGACGAGGAGGATGGCATGTAATACCGAGTATTATTCTGCCTTTCTTTTTTCTCCTTTGCATATACTACGTTATTTTCCTTTATCAAAAGTGACGTCGCACCGACATTCTACCGTGCATTCTATATTGTCGACGGCGTTCTCCGGGTTCTTTTGTACGTTCACATGTCTTTTCTCAATGTATGGATATTTGGCTATAGCCAGTTCAAATTCAATACCAATCACAATTTATCCGTTCTGTATGGAGTAAACGTCGTAATTTTCCCACTCCTGGACCGCAGAAACATACTATCCAGAAGATCAATTAGATTTGACCACAACCGAGTGCATACTACATTCGCTTATATAGAGAGAGGACCATCGGTTTCACAACTCAAGCCTAACAAGGTAAAAGCTCGCCCCCAACTCTTGGATCTTGGCTCTTGATACCGTAAGCTACACAGTACATGGAAGCTACGGAAATAGGATTTTCGCTGTTTCACGGCACGTATGTACCTATGCGAAGGGCGTTGGTTTAAACATTCATTTTATCCTTTTCGGGACAATTCGAGTCGGAGATGCCGTCGTCCCCGAGTGAGTATGTGGACTCCGTATGAGACCATCGTGGGGGATGAGCACGCAAGAGTGGACCAGGGACGCCAAGTACTAACTAGGCCGAGACTTCCAAGTATCAAGAGACATTTTTTTCAAGATAGATGTATACCATGGAATCGATTATCTTTTCGGTGGCATGATGTGATGCATTATGCTATGTTAGATCTGTAATTTTGAGATTGTAAGATTCCAGCTAGTTATGAGAGATCCGAGATCAACATTTGAATGCATTTATCATTTCTACATTGCCGAATCGAGTTGTTGACTGGTGAGTCTGGAATGCTGAGTCATCCACACGTGGTTCTTTGCTCCAAGTCTCTCCAACTGCTCTCGATCACTTCAGTTTGAATATGGTTTTTCTTTTTCCCAGCTTTTCACTTTGTAGTTTGGCCATTTCCTTGATTTCTTTCTTTGCTTTTGTTTTGTTTTGTTTTGTCAGATATGATCTCTTGCTGGGAAATCCCACTGGCCCTCAGTAGCCGTCAAATGGCCCCAATGATCCAGTTTTCCACTCCGCATTCGGTTAAGCAGCACCCACCGCGATCGAATCAGCATATAGAAAAAGGTCACTACAGACACCTTCCATGTTTTCGGGCCTAACATGACTCTGCATCTGATCCCGACCGGGGATTCCTGGCCTCGACTCCCGCTCTCCATTCGACCACTGCTTGCGGGGTGGATTCCGGCCCACTTTGGCAAGTCGTTGCTTTTAACGGAACTGATGGTATGCGGGCGAACGCAATTTACTTTTTGCCCCCATCGCTTTGCCTCGTGGCCCCCCTTTTTTAGGGCAAAACAGGAATACAACGATGAAAAATGAAGAATAAAAAAAAATAAAAAACTGAATTTTCTCCAACGGCAATATTGCCATCGCCGATCGGCTATAAGCTGCTGCTGTAAGTGCAAGGCCGTTGAAAGAACCCTTAGTTAACAAGGTTACCAGGTCCCCCGCCCTGGACTCTGGAGGCGCCTCTCCCGAGTGAGTTTTGGGCTATGGCGCAACGCCATGGCTTGATCCATGGCTTGAAACCTCCCCATTTGCGGCAGATTTTGTCCATCACGTCATGCGCTTGCGCCCGGATCGACTTCGGTTTCCTCCTAGTTCATTTCCGGAAATCAATGGCTGTGGAGTATCATTCTAAAATGACAGGGGTATCCAGCATAACCATAATTACCCTACCATAAGATTTCCTTAGCACCTCATCTCGTATGCCATCTAATACCCCATACCATCTGTACAAATCTTGGTCATCGCTTTGGCTCCTCTTTTTCTTTTTCTGCTTTTTTATTCCTTTTGGGATTTTACTCTTTTCTTTTTTTTTCTTTCCTCTCTGACTTTTCCTTGTTTCTTTAAATCTGGCTCGTCGCGCTCTTTCGCGATAAATCTAGGCAATCCTACTGATTTCTTGCATTCAACCATACCACGGGTCTTGTAAATTCCGGTTTACCTTTAAACATCCCGCGCCACTATTCCCGGTCCCTGAATCTCATCCCGCTCGCGACAACCATAAGAGAACCAAAAAAAAAGGAAAGAAAAACTATCCGCATCACGAACCGCCAAATTCCCAAAAGCACTTTCCCTACCAGCCCTCCCGTGCCCGGTCCAATCTTGTACATTGAAGCCAGCAACAGTTTTATGTATTCGAAGGTCATCGGTTCCGTTTCTTTCCACTCCACCGAGTATCGCCAAAAGCGGTTCGCCCGCTCTTTAAGATTAAAATGGCTGCGCCAAAAAACAACCCAGCCTTGGACCATCTCTCCGATAGCGACCATTCCCACGATTTAAGTGACAAACTTGACCATGATCCCAAGCTAAAGGATTTCGATCTCGAAGGTCAGGGTCGTCGTCTATCGCATGCCCATGTTGCCGTGGACTCGTCCTCAACTACCGAGAGTGTCGGACGCCAGATTGAGCTGGAAGCTGAAAATGCAATCCAGTACCGTACATGCAGTTGGCAGAAGGTAGGTTTGGAAAATTTCCCTTGCGCTTTACAGATCTATTAAATGTGGCGCATTTTGGCGGTTGCTGACTCGATTGGTTGGCATCTATAGACGGCTGCACTGCTCTTCTCCGAGTACATCTGTTTGGCCATGATGTCCTTTCCCTGGTCATACTCAGTCCTTGGTCTGGTGCCGGGTCTGATTTTGACTGTTTTCATTGCAGGTGTCGTTTTGTATACTTCTTTGACAATTTGGTAAGTCACCTGATACAGCCAAATATATCCCAAGTCGTATGAGAACATTTCATTGACACGTCTTTTTTTTTCTTCCAGGAAGTTTTGTCTTCGACACCCGGAAATCCGCGATGTTTGTGATATTGGCCAGTACCTATTCTGGGACTCAAAATGGGCGTGGTGGTTTACTGCGGTCATGTTCCTTCTGAACAACACGTTCATTCAGGGCTTGCATTGTGTGGTGGGATCCGAGTACCTCAACACCATCTCTAACGGCGGTGCCTGCACAGTCGTCTTCTCGCTCGTCGTGGCGATCATCTCCTTCTTCGTTTCTTTGCCGCGTACATTTAGCGCTCTTGCTCGATTGGCGACCCTTTCCGCCTTCTTCACATTCATCTCCGTTGTTTTGGCCATGATTTTCATCGGAATCGAAGGCCACCCGGCCGGCTACCCGAGCGCCGGTGAACCAGAAGTTCTCGCCATCCCGGCCAAGGGCACAACCTTTGTCAGTGGCATGAGTGCCTTCCTGAACATCAGCTATACTTTCATTGGTCAGATCACTCTGCCCAGTTTCATCGCCGAGATGAAGGAACCGCGTGACTTCTGGAAGTCCGTGACAGCCGTGACCATTGCCGAAGTCATTCTGTTTAGTTTGGTCGGATCCATCATCTACGCATACACAGGTTCGCAGTCAGCATACATGACATCGCCCGCCTTCGGTTCAATTTCAAACGAGGTCTACAAGAAGGTTTCCTTCTCGTTTATGATTCCGACTCTCATTTTCCTCGGTGTCCTATACGCTTCTGTCTCTGCTCGTTTCATTTTCTTCAACATCTTCGAGGGCACGCGCCACAAGACTCAAAATACCGTGGTGGGCTGGGCCTCTTGGGCTGGAATCTTGGCCGTGCTTTGGATCATGGCTTGGATTATTGCCGAAGTCATTCCGTTCTTCTCGGATCTGGAGTCGATCATGAGCTCCCTGTTTGATTCTTTCTTCGGTTTCATTTTCTGGGGAGTGGCCTACCTTCGCATGCGTAGGGCCGAGTACGGACCCAATTTCTATAAAACCCGAGGTATCCGCGGCTGGTTGGGTGCTATTTTCAACGTCAGCTTGATTTTCATGGGTCTTTACTTCTTGGGACCTGGTACTTATGTAAGTTCATGGAAATCACTGGACGCATGTCCATTTGCTAATATTAATATACAGGCCTCTGTTATGTCCGTGGTTATCAGCTACAGAGAAGGCACTGTTGGTGGTGTTTTCACTTGCGCCAGCAACGCCCTTTGAAATAGTGCTGCGGGGCAGGAATTCGCGTTGCATTATGTTATGTTTTTTTTTGGACAATTACTATTCTTTCTTTCCTTGCGATTTCATCACATCTCGGATCTTCACTGAATCCATCCGGGGCATGTCGCACCTCCGGAGGATGTTTGATGGCCACCTGACTGAGAGGCAGAAGGACCGCCTGCGCACATACTTGACTGAGGGGTCAATGGCTTGGAAATGGTGTTTTTGGGAGCTTATATCTATGACATCAAGTCGTATGGATACCAAGTGATTTTTGTATAATTTTGGAACGACTTGGAGGATGTTGGGCTTTTCATGCTCCTATATATACGTCATATCGCGCCAGCAGCCATTGCACATAACGGCGACCGAAATCCAACCGGACGACTGGCATCGGGTCCATAATTTTGGGCCCGATTAATGTTTTGCCATCGTCAGAGACATTCGCAGAATTCGTATTCTTAATTTTTTCTATCCATCAACTGCAAGTTGAGCACCAACCAATCTAGAATGCAAAATGCCCGTTTTAGGAAAACAGCTTATGCTGACTCATACAGCATAGACGCCGCCGGGCAGCGGCCACCCTATCTCCACGTGACTTTTCCGCTGTGCTTCTCCGACGGCGGAGTAAGTTCTTCAGTGACCCATTTCCTCCCTCTTCTTCTTTTCTTTCTTCTTATACATTCAATTTCTCTTAAGCTTAGCATTGAAGCAAAATGGCCAGTGTTCGTACTCTGAAGAAAGGCGCAGACCTCGTCGCTGCCAGAGCGGCGGCCTTCCAAGCACCCCGCGCTTCTATCGGCTCCACACTATTGCGGCGGGAGCTATCGTCCGCCTCGGTGCGGCCAGCAGCCCGTGTGCCCTGCACCCGGGTTGCCCTTCCTAAGGCAATTGGAAAGACTCAGACTCTGCGTTTTGCCTCAAGCTCAAGCGAGCCTCTGAGCAAGACCCAGCTCTATGCGTTGCACGAGGCCCATGGCGCCAAGATGGTGCCCTTTGCTGGGTTCGCCATGCCGCTCCAGTATACCGACCTGAGCCACGTCGAAAGCCACATGTGGACTCGTGAGAAGGCCAGCTTGTTCGATGTGAGCCATATGTAAGTTAGCAAGCTCTATTGATCTCAGTGGGGCTCAATTGATTCTAATGCTTCTTATTCATAGGGTGCAACACCACCTTAGCGGCCCAGGTGCTCTCGAGCTCCTCATGAAAATCACCCCTTCGTCTCTCGACAAGCTGGCTCCTAACACCTCTACCCTTTCTTGCCTGTTGGAAGAAGGCACCGGTGGTATCATTGACGACACTGTCATCACCCGCCGCGGCGAAGACACCTTCTACTTTGTTACCAACGCCGGCCGCCGCGCCGAGGACCTTGCTTTCTTGAAGACCGAGATCGACGCATACCGGTCCAAGAACGGTGCGGACAGCATCAAGTGGGATATCCTCGAAGACCGCGCCCTGGTTGCTCTGCAAGGACCCCTCGCCGCCAGTGTCCTCCAGCCCCTCATCAACTCCGCCAACGCCTCCGCCGCCGAGACCGACCTCAGCACCCTTTACTTCGGCAACTGCCGAGAGCTCCACCTCACCCTCCCCGACGGCTCTGCTACCCCCTCCCCCCTTCTGATCTCCCGTACCGGCTATACCGGTGAAGATGGTTTCGAGATCTCTATCCCCACCTCCGCTTCCGCCTCCCTCCCGGAGCAAGTCGTGAACCTCCTGCTCCAGGACAAGGATACCACCCGCCTCGCCGGTCTCGCGGCTCGTGACTCCCTCCGCCTGGAAGCCGGCATGTGCCTCTACGGCCATGATATCTCTACCGCACAGACTCCCCCCGCTGCTGCCCTCGGCTGGGTCGTTGGCCGTGAGCGCCGCGATGCCGCGACTGCTACTTTCAACGGTGCCTCTGCCATTCTGCCCCAGCTTGCTAGCCCCGCCAAGACCCTGAAGCAGCGCCGTGTTGGTCTCACCGTTGAGAAGGGCTCCCCTGCCCGCGAGGGTGCCATTGTTGTGGATCTTTCCGACCCTGCCAACCCCGTTGAGATTGGTGTTGTTACATCTGGTGTACCAAGCCCGTCCCTTGGTGGTGCGAACATCGCTATGGCCTATGTCCAGTCGGGCTTCCACAAGAAGGGCACTGAGGTTGGTGTTAAGGTCCGCAACAAGGTTCGCAAGGCCAGTGTTGTTGGTATGCCTTGGATCGAGAGCAAGTTCCACCGTCCCTCTTAAGCATGAGCGGGTGGGCTTTCGTCCAGTTTTTGTGATGTCACTTGGGAAATTTCCCAATTTGTTATGAATTTCGAACAAAGCGTGGTTAATGCGTATGGTTGCACTTGTACATAAGTCTTTTTTGGCAACCTTGTTTTTTTCTTTTTTCTATATATTTAACATTGACCGTGTTTCCAGCCTCAAGGCATCTACTTCAACAGTCTTAGATCATCAATTGATTCACCTCAGACCCTCCAGTGATCTCGCGTATTTCGCTCATGATTATTGTCAGCCCTACCCGTGTAAGATTTACCCCAAGCCTATCACAGGTAAGAAATTGCTCTGCAAAATAATCACAATCAAATGGCGTTCGGTTTCTTAAGGCTTGACTGCGCCTCTACGGCTGAAGGCGACGGCCCAAGCGATTTGTACGAGATGTGGCACCGTGGCTGTGCACCGATGCTCAGCTGGGCAAACTGTAAAATTCCCTTAAAATATTGTTGTTGACTAAAACAAAAAAATATAAAATAATTCTTCTCAATCCAAGCTTCTTCTTCACTATACAAATGGCGCGCTCGAAATCTCTGAGGGAGGCCTGTGCCCATCCAGACTCACTGTTTACGCTCCCACAAGATGATCTTCTACACATGATCTATCAAGATTTCACTAGCGATCTTGACCGCCTCAAACGAGCATATTCCATTCGCTCCTGTCAAGAAATCCCTATCACTACCAATTCACCTTCCTACATCCTGTACCAAGCAGACTATGACGAAGTGAACAGAACACTAGTGGGGTTCCTCGCCTTGCGCTGGATCCACTTAGGACAATACGACGAATTTGTCGGCTCCCAGCCCCCAGACGTCAGATTAGACAGACAATCATTTGAATGGATACGACAGTTTTACACCCAAGCCATCACAAATCCCGACGCGCTCTATGCCTTGATCACCTCTATCGTCATTAACGACCTGGGCAAGGACCCCCAACTGGCATCAGATTACCAGGAAGTGACAGGCATCGACATTACAGATCTGAATCACGATGCGATTCTTCTCAAAGCCTGCACCGTCGGGCTGGTCCAATCCCTGGATAAACTACCAGCTCATTACAAGGATGATCTCGTCCGCGGCATCGAGCTCGGCGCAACTTTTAATTTTGGACAGCTGGCCCAGGCGGAGAACGTCCCGGTCTGTCTATCAGGGCTGCTGGCAATGAAGTATAAACCAAGTTGCTTCCAGCTTCGTTTTATGGAGCAGCTTCTGGATATCTCGGGTGCGGCGGGCCATATGGATTCTACTTGTGCGAAGAAACTCATTCAGCCTATCTTTGATTCCTACCGGAATGTCTATGATGCGTGCCAGAGTGTTATTGGTGGTTTATCGGATCTTCGGGAAGGATATGACTTGGTTCTTTCGAGACGGGCGCGCTTTTTACATGGGATGGGATTCAGGTTGTTAAGTGTTGACGATGCGAACGATCGAGCGTTGATGCGGCTGTTTTGCATGGGGAATGTTACGACTCGTGATAGGGCGGAGGTGTTTCAGGATACGTGGGACTCCCTAGAGAAGTCTGTCAGAGATACGCTGGTTTATGCACTCAATCTTGATGGTGTGAGTGGTGAGCCTGCAGTTCAGCCGACTTATATGCCTGCTTTTCTTAGCCGGATTGGAGGCAAGTTACCGTTGGATTGCGCTTTACGATACCTTGCGCGCGTCATGACTTTGCAGGAGCTTTTTGATTCTTCAGTGCTTGTCATTGAACGGAGTCTATTATCCGTTATGAAACATTATGTTGAGAATGGAGAGTTTGATAGAGATCCTACTGTTTTAGAGGGCATTGATGTACCCGAAGCAGTGGTTTCGGTCACCATATAATGCAATGTCTGTACGTCAATTCATGATTTACGTATATTAATGATGGGTTAATGGGTCACATTTAAATATCAGAGAAGTTTGGAATTTTCAAATGTTAATCATTTTGAGATATGTTGTAATTCAAATTGGCATCAATTGAGCATAAAATTATCATTACAGTCTCGAGGGGGGTATAGCAGAGGAAGAGACTAATAAAACAGAAAAGAAAAACAACAGACTAAGAAACGGCAAACAGGAGAACTAAGAGTGTGACGGCACCTCGGTAACAACCCGCTGTACAACATGATCTTTCTGAGGCGGAGTAGGAGGAGGAAGTGACACCGAAGCAACCGAAGGAACAAAGAGCGAAGCCGCCTTCTCCTGTTGAGCAAATCTCAACCGAGTCCGACTCACCTCCCCCTGACTAGCCAAACTGACCTTCAACCAGTCATTAGGCGTAGCCTGATCCTCCAACGAACTGCGCATGCGCACCACACACTCCCGATACAAACAATTCTTATCAAACCGCCAACTGCACAAAAGCGCCCGCAACATACCACCTTCACGACCAGTAATAAGCGCCACAACCGGCGGCCTCTCAGCCGCAATAACCGAAACCGTCATGTCACCCGTATCAACAATAGTAAACAGGCGATGGGTGTCCGGGATCCCGTGGAGCTCCTTCAGCCTCTTCAGCTCCAGTTCCCAGTGGTCAGGACCAAGCGGGGACTCAATGCCCATGCGCAGTCTGGGATGGCGCAGACTCTGCGAGAAGACGGTAGCCGAAGGCGCGTACGAGAGCCGATCATTGAAGTTGCCGTACATGGACTTCTCGATATCCCGGAGCGTCATCGTGCCCTCGAAGCCGACCAGGTGGGCCGAAAGTCCAGAGGATCCGCCGCTGCAGAGCTGGCGCACGGCTCTGGGGCTGAACCAGGATATTATCCAGGCGATGCCGACGTAGAGCGCGATACCGTACATATATTTTGCGATGTCGAAGGTGCTGTTCTCGTCCACGCTTGCAAAGGCCAGGGAGATCACGGTCGCGAAGAGATTGAAGCCTGCGAGCAGGAACCAGGCGCCCAGCCATACGATGCCCTGCGAGATGTTTGCGCGGATGCTGGTGAAGTTCTGCACGTATTGCACTTCCGGGAAGCTCTTCCAGCGGATGGGGATGCCGCGGCACCGGTCCAGGATGATTGTTGGTGTGAACTTGTCGTTGCCGATTCCGACGACGTCGCATGATGGCTGGATATCCCAGAGATGAACGGAGTATTGGTCTTGGTCTGCGATGTTTTTGAGAGCGTCGTTGTTGGCTACGGCGTATCTGGCTTCGATGTTTGCGCTGGATTGGCCTGGGCTAGGCCGTGAATGGTTTGGCCACAGACTGACGAGCCGCTCGAGCAATTGGTTGCTGTCGTTTACCAGGGACAGGCGCGCAATTGCCTGGAAGGTATCGTCTTCCTCGTCTGGTGTGATGCGGTAGGACAAAAGACCCATTGCGGCATAGGCCATGCTGGTGGTTGTGTAGCCTTCGACATCGCCAGTCACTAGTTTCGCCATAGCCTGCACGGCAAAGGTGAACAACTGCAAATCGCTGAGCTTGGTTCTGTTCGTATAGTGGTCGATGAGGTGGCTGATTGCATCTTCGGGCCGCTCTCTGTTGCCTTCGGTGCTCGATACCGTCGAGATAGGCTCACACGGCTCCCAGAAGCTTCGGTACATATCTGTCAATGACACCTCTCGGGGGAAGATAGGGTCAGGCTGTACATCAGTGGATGGAGAAGCGTGCCATAGTGGCGTGATATAGTATCTGATCTTTTCGGCTGCGAGGAGAACCTCAGGCAGGGTCCAGACACGTTTTCCCCATGTCTTCTTTTGCTCCGGGTCCTCATTTGGCAGCATGATATACACCCGCTTCGCGCAGCGCACAGCATCGCAAATGGAGTTGATATCCCTCGCCTCGTCGGCCTTATTTTCGTGCGAGATACAGTCCACATCCACCCACAAAGCTTCCACACGTTCCTCATCCGGGGCTTTATGCTCGTTCTCTTTTGCCAGAATTTCTTCTCCGACCTTGTGGAAGAATGGTCTTAGCACATAGTCGCCGGCGCCATAGTTTCCGCGCGAGAAACTCAGGAAGATGTACGCCGGCAACATGCCTGTTTTCTCATTGCGAAGCTCCGATGTGTCTTTCGCCACCCACTCGCCATTCTCTTTGACCACCAGGCGGCGAGGGATCATGAGTCTGGAGAGATTTGACTGCGGTCGCGGATTGTTCGGCGACTGATCCAAGGGATTGATGGCGTGTTTGGGCCAGTCCCAGTGCACGTTATCGTATCCATCATACTTATCGGACGAGTCATCTTCGCTACTCCACGGTTGAGTGATGACATCGATGGATAGCAAGACCTGAATGATCCACGACAAGGTCATCGTGAAAAATATAGACAGGATATGATGCATGATGCGAACACATATCTCCGCAACCCGCTGTACTCCAGTCAGCTTCGGTGGCGCGGGTATATCTGGATCCTCGCTCGGATCAACATAGCCGGAATCGTATCGTGGGAGGTTAAACGGGTTCAGACAAAGCTCCGATAGTCGAATGATGAAGGGTGTGCGGCCGACAATTCGCGCATGACCCCAGTGCCTCGGTCGACTATCCTTCTGTGCCTCTCTTGTGGCCTGCACAACGAGCCGACGGGGGATCTCCTTCGTCGTACTATAGTATGTATCCAAGTCGGGGAATTTCTCGTGGTCGTCATCGCCGTTGGGGTTAAGGTATCGGCGCTTCTCAATGACGGGTTCTTCGTGCTCGAGCTCAAGCATGCGCTCGTTCAGCTGTTCAGGGCTAAGCTTGGGTGGACGCTGGAAGCGGACACCGGTCGACCAATGTCTATTTCCGTCATACTGCTTCTGAAGGTGCTTCTTCCATGCTTGGTGCTCCCGGGCATCCTTGTTGGAAGATTGAGCGGCGCCCATATTGGCGACAAATGCCTTATATTTTTTTTAATATGGTTAGAAATGCATGGAAGAAAACAAAGGTAAGTGCGCGTGGGCACTGTGGGGCTATTGTAGGTTCTTATTACTCTTGCAATAGTGGGTGTATGGCCTTGATCCACTGTCTCTATCTAGGAGGCTCAGCTTTGGGGGCCTCAAATCCCGAGGCCGGAGTCCAGGGGCCTTGACGAATTATAAAAAAAAGGGCTAGAACCGCCTTAGGTCTGTTATGAAACAAATCAATACATTAATAGTCAATCTGACCAATCCAGTACTGGTAAGCAAAAGACTTGGGCCCCTGATGTCGCTCAGACCCTTTTTCGCCCTCTATAGATAGACCCTGGACTAATTTAGTCGAATTTAGTTTAGATAATTCAGATAATTCACTGGCCCCGCTGTCTTGAATCTGAGTTTAGCGTACGTGACTCTTGTCTGACAAATCCATCTTGCATGATTTAGTTAACTAGCTCGTCTTTTGCAGAAATGTGTCTACGTACGTTCATAGCCTCCTTTCCAGGGCTGGACATTATCACGAGGACTAGAACAATGCTCTTTCGAGAGTTAGATATGACTACATCTGAGATTTATGACTACTAATTATCAATCTAATAAACGCGTTTAGTTCAAATCCCATCCCCAAGATCCCTCTTATTTCGTCAGCACTAGATTTAGTTACTAGTTATGGAGTACGTACTCCACTGTACTGAATTTGCGGCTGTGGAAAACATTTCGACCATGAACCTGTCTGAGCTGATCGAATCTCCACTAGGGGCTACCTTGAATCCCTCAAGATTCATTCACAGTGGTTTCAGAATCCAATATCATCCTATATAGGTCTCAATACGATGTCAAGCTTGGCCGCGCACGCTCAGGGACACCGAAACCAGTTTTATACGAGAAAAAAACAAACCTTAAACGGTTGAAGTGGCCCCCAAGTGAGAAAATTCCCAAGCCAACTAAGTCAGTCCAACACGAAATTCTCGACGGTCACAAGGATTGTCCAAACCACATGGGAACGACAAGATCAACGGCATCTTTGCTCCTTTAGAGTTAAGCGCTGACAGGACAGGCCAACGCGGACCCAAGGTTCTCCACGGCACGGCACGTCAATTTCCACTTCCCCCCACTCCGCAGCGCGATCTTTCCAACCGGCTTTCGCGCTTCCTCGCTTGGCTTTTACTAGTCTCTTCTTAAACAGGCCAGACCTCGTATAGCCTCCCAGCATCGTGGGTTGCTTTTGTCTTTTGACAAGCTCGGGCTCTCACCGTGCTGTTTGCCCCCTAAAAATGGGCACAAAGTAAGCAGCCACCACCGCGCTAGTGGAGAAATGGCCTGGGAAAAACAACCCCCCCATCAAAAAAGCGGCACAACCCTGAATGGGCAGAGAGTTTCGACGATCGCGGTATGGGCACCGTGCTGCATATCGAGGCTGCTGGGTTGCTGCACGTCCGCGGACACTATCCGTATGTATTTGCATTTCGGGCGTCGCATATGCGGGATGAATCCATGCCAGTAAATCTACGGAGTAAGCCGCAGCTGGGAACATGTACTCCCTGCGAGCTTGTTCCTGCGCCCAATTTCCCTTCCGCCCCCAACGCCAGTCCACATGGACCCTGTCGTTATTCAAGCCTCTGCCGCGCACCCCCGTAATCGCTTGCGCCGTAAAGACTTGCCGCATCTAGATATCTGTTTCTCCTTCCGTAATCCGTGGACCGTACCTGGTTCGTAGTCAGTTCTTTGAAAGCTCTGCGACAGTTCCTCAGGCCCCCAGGATGCAGAACATGAGAATTTGATGGTGCCACAAAAGCTGAGTCTAGTCAACGGATAAAATAAGCCTTCAGCCTTGCTCATCCGCACACAAAATCTGGAGCCTCAACACATACAATGTATCCCTGGCACCACGAGCTAAAGGACTGGGCCAAAGACACCGGATTACAAATCGATGCCTTGGGCCTCGTCACCCTCCTCGGCGCGGAGGAGATGGACCGCAGCATCGGAAGACTGATGCCAAGTGTGTACTTCGACTACCTACCCCTCCTCGGCGCCTTTGTCGTGGCGGGCGACCGATTCAAAGAGCGAAAGCTCGGCTACACCCTCTACAACATCAATGCGGGGATTGTCACTACCGAGCTATCGGGGTGGTTCTCGCGATGGCTTCGTGCGCAAGAGTTCCACAAGTGCCGCAGTATAGTCACCTGGGAGGTTGTTGATCGGCCGCCACGAAGGAAACTGTTTTTAGTCGGCATGTTTCTCATCAGTTTGCCTTTGCATGGCATCATTCTAGCCCTGACGGTCCTTGCGGCGGACTGGTGGGGGTTTGCGAACGTTATCGCCATGGTGATTTCGGTGTTTGTGCGTTGCGTGCAGGTCGCGGAGAACCAGGCCGGTATTGACCAGAATATCCGGGAAGCGGAGCAAGATGCGGATGAGAGGTTGGAAAAGTATGAGCGTGCAAAGGAGCTTGCGGAAACTCGGCAGATGGGAAATGCGCCCGGTGATATCAAGATGCCAACTCGTCCCAAGGATCGAGATCTGGTGAAGTTGCTTGTGGTGACGGAAGAATCCAAGGTCGTGACTTTGCTTGCGCCGGCCTTTCTGGTTAAGCCTGCTTTTACGGCCGCGCCTCATATACCCAATCCGGGATTCTACTTGTTTTGTCGGGTCGTTGGCTGGATTGCATTTGCCGTTCATGTTATCAGTATTGGCATGGCTGGGCTGTACACGCAGATTTGTACAGTTGTGTTGATCATCGCCGCAACGGTGCTCATGGCTTATAAGGTCGGCAGCGATGACTCCCAGCTGTTCAGTGCTATTCGGCGCAAGTTATTCCATGTTGACGAAGAAGAGAAGGACTTGAGCTGCTGGGTCACGTCAAAATTGAAAGCCACAATCTCCTCATACCCAGAGGAGTATACGAAGTGGGAACCCGCCGAGAAAGAAACCAGATCTTTGAAACAACAGGAAGCTCAAGTGAAAATTCTGTCGTGGCCGTGGAGTCAAAAAACAGGAACCGACTTGGAAAATGCAGCGCCTAACAAAAAGTCAAGGATTGTCGAACGACGACAGGATCTGTTTGCTTGGTTAGACTTGACGCCACAAGAAGACGAGCGCATGGTTGCTTGGCATATGATCCCTCACGATCCGGCTTGGAAGGATGTATATTTGGAAAAGAAAGAGATTCATCGTCGGAGAACAAGAACTTCTCAGGCAGCAAGCTCCACATAACCTTGGAACGGATAATGAATATGTACTAAAACGAGCGATGCATGGTTATACCTTAACGAAACAAAATGAAACAGCACTGGAAAATTCCCAAGCCACCATGGATGCGATTGGAGCTATAAAGTATAAGACCAATTTATGCAATATACAACCAATGTTATGAGGGCCAATTAGGAGAGACGACACCTAGGCACCATATCTGTCCACCCCGGTTTCTGAGATAAATCAATGTCCACGCGGTGAGCGGAGGCGAGCGTCAAAGTTGCCAGCATACTCTCCACTACTGCCAACGTCGCTCAAATGCCGTAGTCCACGCGCTTGCACACTCGAAGAGTGCGACAAAGAAGGCGGCAAATCCTCGGCCTTTGTACCCCAGGTGCTCTCATTACGACCCAAAGTGAGAACCAAATCTTGACCCTCGGTGAAGAAGTCATGATCAACCCAACTGCGCGTAAACGGCTGTCCGTTGAGAGTTGCAGATTGAATGAAGCCCGATCCACCGGTATCGTCGATGGAGTTGTAATCAGCCCAGTTGAAAACGCGGAGTGTAGCCGTTTTGCCCGTCAACGGCGAAGTGATGCTCACGGACTCAAAGAACGGAACAGTGAGCAGATACACGCTCTGTCCGGGGTTCGGGAACAGCCCCATCATCGACATCGCGACAAACGATCCCATTGCTCCAGAATCGTCATTTCCTGGAAGACCGCTGGGGGTTGGGGAGAAGTAATCTGGGATGTATGTACGGACTCGTGCGGTGGACTTTGCAGGACGACCTGCATAGTGGTATTGGAATACTGTCAGGAAAGCAGGCTCGTTGCCGATGTATGTGATGTTTTGATCGTGTAGGAAGTCGAGACGTTTGACGAAGCTTGAGGGTCCGCCGAGTAGGGAGATAAGCGCTGCCATGTCATGGGGTACGAAACTGTGCAACGTTAGTCGAGTCATCTTCAAGAGGGAAATTGTACACACAATTGGTACTCCCATACGCTTGACTCGAAAGTCTCGGCTCCTGTATTCTGGAGAGAGCATACGCTTCCAGTGTTGTCAATATTTGAGCATTTGAGTGGATCCTGGTAGCCCCAGGTCCCATTAAGATATTTCGGCTGGAAGAATCCAACAAATCCGGTGTTGGTCCTGTTGAGGTATGAAGTCTGATCCTTTTTGAATAGGTTCTGCCATGCTCCTGAACTCTTTTCGTATTTCTCTGCATCGGCTGTTTTGTTCATTCCACGGGCCATCTGGGCGATGGCATAGTCGTTATACGAATACTCAAGGGTGCGTGAGATGCTTCGAGTCATGGTTCCGAATCCCTCGTAATCGAAATCTTCAACTGGGATATAGTTCAACGATTTCCAGCTTTGCAGTCCACCACGACCTTCATTGGACCAGTCAAAGGGTTCTTCTTCCGCATCTCTCTGGACAGCAGTATATCCTTGATCCCAGTCAATGCCATCGGTAATGCCCTTTACATAAGCATCGACAAGGATATTATCAGCGTTTGAGCCTCCTTGTGTATATCCTGTAACAAAAAGTACATTAGCCGACATAGGAGCTTGGTGTCTGATAGTTTCATACCCTTGCAAAGTGACATGCGACAGTCAGGAAGCCACCCAAGATGACGCTGAGTATCAATCAGAGAGCGAACCATCTGAGCAAGTGTACTGGGATCGGTAATTGTGAGAAATGGAAATTGGGAGCGGAAAGAGTCCCATAGACTACTAGCGGTTAGCTATGATCATAGGAAAAGGAGAGTCGATACAAACCAATAAAACGAATCAAAGTATGGCTCTGAACTGGTCCAAAGCGGATTTTCCCCAGTATAGTTCTGGGGGCTCACCATAGTTCGGTAGATGCCACTATAGAAATTGGTGAGAACCGATGATTGGACGCCGTTTCGTGAAACCCGAATGGGTTTGAGTTTCTCGGTCCATTTATCGACAGCTGCCTGACGTGTAGACTCAAAATCGAAATCACTAATCTCAGACTCGGCACTGGAGCAAGCCTGGTCTGGGCTGATGAAGCTTACTCCGACGCGGGCCTGCACTGTGCCGTCGGACGGGGAATTAAAGCGAACGAAGCCACCACCCTACATCCATAACTTCATTTAGCTCATCCCGAGGTCAGGGATTAAGTTCGGAGATTATCACTTACCGGGAGAGGATAGCCATTGATACTCCGCGATATTGTCAAGTCATGAACATCGCTGCTAGCTCGCGCATCAACAAAAATACCACTATCCCGTAACTTGGAAGAACTCTTGAAATCGGCACAGAAATGAAGCGTATAAGTTCCGCTGCCAAAGCTGGGCAAGAATTTAGCACTTCCAGTCATGCGCCCGGTGGACTCGTCAACTGATATAGTTGCATTGTCTTGCCGCGAATCCGATAGGTCGGAAAGATCCAACAAAACCAACGGACTGGTAGCACCAGTGAAATTAAATCGAAAAAGAGTTGTATGTTGAGCAGCAGTCATATCAGCATGTAATCCAGACGCCAGCGAAATGGCGAAATAACCCGGGGTTGATTCAACAGATCCTGGCACGTACGGGGTAGCTCGGGACTTCTTCGGGAAGACACAGCCATCCACAGTATCATTTGCACACCCCGCATACGCAAAGAGAGGGAAATTTCCCAGCGAAGGACTGCCTCCAGTACCGGAGTCATGCATACTGGAAAAGCCCGTGACATTACTGCCATCATATGCAAATCCGCCCTGGTTGTTTTCCGAATTTGTATCGGCGACAGCCTTGGCCATCCCGTAAGGCAGGGTGGCACCAGGAAAGACATTGCCTGTTTTCCAAAGAGAACGATCAGTACGAATCTACTCATGTAGGTGCACATCCACGCGGCCCCATTTTTTTTTTCCGTTGGACCCTTACCCCCATTTGCCGTGCCGATCAGCGGGTCAATATATTGGAGCACATCGTAATCGTCCGGGACTGCTGGAAGCGCAGCAGCGTGAACTAGTGCGCAACTGCCGGTGAGAAAGAGCGACACAAGGACGCGACGCGACGGCATAGTGAATGCGTGAAAAAAGATTTCCGCGTGGATTCATTTTGGCAGCGAGATCGCTGGTATTTAGGCTCTCCCTTTGGCCCCTGTCGCGCGTCGTTCTTTCCTGGTATGCGGGCCCCCTGTCGATCAACCCCGCGTCGCTGGGTTGCATCGAGATTGTGTTATCTGCAACTGTTCCATGCGCTCTGGTCGCGTGTTATGGGTTAGTCTTGTTGTAGGCTGGTGGGATTGGCTATACATGGGTCTTGTGGGCGAAATTTGACTCGGGTTATCTATATGTCATGTCATGAGCCGTGCGTGCATGTTTAGACTCGGTCATTCGGACATTGATGGTCTCAGAAGGGTTACCGGATAATTAATCCTTGGAATTCTCGATAGGAACTTGAAAGTAGTAGTACATACTACTGGAGTAATATTGAGTCAAATTCCGATCAAGGGCCTAAAAAGAGGTCGGTAATTACTTCCGACGTTTGACATGAGATGCGGCAACTTTCTTAGTATATCCATAAATCCATAGATGAACACCGGATGCTTCTTCCAAACTTGCGGAAAATATGCTCGAATCAGACGTCTGATTCATTGCGTTATTGAGCAAGATCTTCTCTTTTTAAGCTACTTGGAGAGTGAAAGTTCAAAGATCTGAAATAAAGAAAGTGACGTGGAAGATTAAACCAATTTTGCAATTTACCCAGGCCCGCGAACATTTATGCTCAGATGGTGACCGTGAACTCTATGGTATCTTCTAGATGGCTTTGTGTAGAGATCTGTACGAGCCTGGCTCTACTTGAAGTGTACTCAGTCCATGTGTATTTCCACTGGTAGGAGTACGCGTTGATCTTCGACTGCTGGTAGGGCCATTCGAGCCGTTAATTTGAAGCCCAAGAGCACACTGCATTTGAGCAAGGTTTGCGCATTCTTGTGAAGTTCTCTCCTGGCGATGCTCATCTTCAGGCAATCGACACAAAATTGTGGGCTGCCTCTGAGGTTTTGTGTCACCAAGCTGGGCGAGGCGTATACAACTGAAGGGGATCAAAACATGAATATGGGGCGCTTGGATTCCGTTTATCCATTAACTTGGATTTCAGATGGTCCGGACTGTGCCCAGCGTCTCAGATGAACGCTTAGATGTTGGACATCTGGAAGAAAGAGCCCCGGAGAGAAGATGCATGAAGAAACATGTAGCCCGTGTATGTTTGCAAAGTATGCGGTTTGGCGTGGTTCCAAGGTTGAGCGCTGCTGACTCATGGATATATCGAACAAGTCTGGAGCGGAAAGTTGACAACCTTCAAATGTTGGAGGTTTTATCAATATAGTGCTTACTTTGGGACTGTTGTGTACATAAAATCCCAGGTCAATTCCAATGCATGATGTGATCCATTTACAAAAACAACTTACATCTCCTCTTTCCATTTTTTTTCAATGTATACTAGTATTTTCCAACTTCGCCGTTCGGAGACACCGAGACCCACGGCCAAGATGCCGAGGTAACTTTTTGTTAGAATCCACCTCAACCTTTGCCTCCCCCAACAACCTTGGACCCAAACACGATTCTGATCCAACTTGGAAAATGCTCCGATTACCATACTCCCAATTTTCTTCCTCCATCAATACTCTCAACCCTCGATTAAAACTCTCCCCTGCTCGCCTCCTTGTTCAGAGTCGTTCAGCCTCATATCCCCTCTCCGCTTATAGCCATCGTTTCCAATCCACCGGTAAGCGCCTATCCCGACACAAGAGAAAGGAGAAATAGAGAAAAACAAGAACATAGCAACTAACAAACCCACCAGCACAAGCCTCATCCCCCTCCACCACCCCTCTCCCTCCCAAACCGCGCTCGCGAATCCGCCGCTTCGCAGGCTTCGTCTCCATCGCCCTCTTCGCCTTCACAGCAGGCCTAACCTACTCCTCCTACCGCATCGTCTCCAAAATCATGGCCGAGCCCATCCTCTCCGACGCGGAAACCCTCTCCGCCTACAACCCGGTCGACGCCATCGCGCAAGAGGTAGACCAAACGCTCAAAAACCACCCAGACGCCGTCGCGCTCCGCGCCAACCCCGAATTCAAAGAGTCGCGCCCCCACCTCAAGATCCCCGAGGGCATGCGCCCCCGCAGTCTGACGGCCGGCACTCTCTCCGGACCGAACAAGATTGTTGTCCCGCCGTACGTGTTCAGCGAGCGCGATGGCAAGAGCCTCGTCTCTTTCATGTTCTTGGGCTCGGAGATCTGCGGACATCCCGGCATTATTCACGGAGGTCTGTTGGCGACGCTTTTGGATGAGGGTCTGGCGCGGTGCTGCTTCCCGGCGCTGCCGAATAAGGTCGCTGTTACGGCGAATTTGAATATTGATTATCGGGCGCCGGCTATGGCGAACTCGTATGTGGCGTTGCGGGCGGAGACTACGAAGGTTGAGGGCCGGAAGGCGTGGGTTGAGGGCCGCATTGAGACGCTTCCTCTTGATGGTAGTGAGCCGGTTGTGTTGGTTCAGGCTAAGTCTTTGTTCATTGAGCCTAAGCAGGCTGCTGTAAGTGCTATGTTTCCTCTCCTTTCCCCCACTTTTCCACTTTTGGGCCATTTCTGGCTATTTTGGCTGTTGTGGCCTTTTGAGTCCCCGGTTTTTGCTGTTTCTACAGTATGTTGTTTTTTACTTGGAATGAGGCTGATTAAAGTTCCAGGCCCTTTCGCAGCTGTACCGTGGTGCGAACGAATAAAAATCTCTGTCTGGGTCAAAAGTGGCGAAAGCCCGTTCCTGGTTCCTGGCGTCTGGCGGAGACTTGATCGATTGCGCCATTTCATTATAGATGGGTTTTTTTTGGGAGGATTGTGATTGAATTTTTTTTTCCGGGCAAAGCATGAAGCAGTTTGGCTTCCATGAGACATAATTGTATAGCATAGATCATAAGATCAAGCATTATAATGCAAGAATCCTTTAAAAACAAGCTTAAATCCCCCCCCTAGACCATTCGTAAACTTCGTATTAGCGCCAAGACCAATAGAAAATGCCCCGCGATCTGCGCTCCGTTTCCGCTCCAGGACTTACTCTTACGCGGCCCGTTTCACCGTCTTATTGCCCCTCACAACTCCCTCCCTTTCCTCTCCTACAACTCCCCAAATCACAATAATCACAATGGCCACGTAAGTCAATTGTCTCCAATTCCAATTCCAATCCCAACCCATTCAAACCAGCAGCTGCAATTCCAAAGACTATATTATATTGGTATAATATAATACACATCCACTAACACCCACCCCGCAGCAACATCACCTTCCACGCCTCGGGCGTCACCCGCGCCGAGCGCACCACCCTCCGCAACCAGCAGGGCCTCACAATCTGGCTGACCGGCCTCAGCGCCTCCGGCAAGTCCACATTGGCCGTCGAGCTGGAGAAGCAGCTCATCCGCGACCGCGGCGTCCACGCCTACCGCCTCGATGGCGACAACATCCGCTTCGGCCTGAACAAGGACCTCGGCTTCAGCGAGTCTGACCGCAACGAGAACATCCGCCGTATCGCAGAGGTCGCCAAGCTCTTCGCTGACTCCTCCTCCGTCGCTATCACCTCCTTCATCTCCCCCTACAAGAAGGACCGTGACACTGCCCGCCAGCTGCACGAGGTCGCTACCCCCGGCGAGGAGACTGGTCTCCCCTTCGTCGAGGTCTACGTTGATGTCCCGGTTGAGGTTGCCGAGCAGCGCGATCCTAAGGGTCTGTACAAGAAGGCTCGTGAGGGTGTTATCAAGGAGTTCACGGGTATCTCGGCGCCGTATGAGGCTCCTGAGAAGCCGGAGGTTCACATTAAGAACGTCGACTTGCCTATTGTTGATGCTGTTAAGCAGATTATTGATTACTTGGACTCTAAGGGTTACTTGCCTGCTGCTAAGAACTAGGGTTCTTTTTGCTTAGCTTTTTTTTTTTTCTTGGAGGGGCTGGATCCTTGAGAGGGGAAATGTTGATTGGTTGATTGTATAGGTTTTGGCGCTGTGAATACAAAACATGTTTGGCATATAGATTGCTCTGAATGTGAAAAGAACTTTTCAATTTGAAGAATTGAATATACCTACGAGTACTAGGCATTGATCAGCAGATAGGTCTCTTGAAATGTTGGAATGTAGTGGTTTATTTAGCAATTGTAGTAGTTACACCTGAGAACGGGACGAAAAATGATGAACAGAATATTGAAGCCAATTTCCAAAATGCTAAGTACTTGGTGCTTGAATGGACCGGGGTGGTATATGTACGCAACGCAACGTCTTCTATCCGGGAATAATCACTGGAACTCGAATTCGTAGAACACATAGGGAGTGTATTCAGCACCACCCTCAGCTCCGTGCATCTCGTTAGGGTCATCCTTCTTAACCCGACCCTTCTTGTCGCGGCCAAATGCGTTACCAGCCAAGTAGGAGTACTTATCGTCGAGAAGTTGCTTGGCCTTGTCTGCTTGCTTGGATGACGGAGTCTGTAGCCACAAGTTAGCAATCAACCAGAAGACTAGGAGACAATAGAGACAAAGAAAAGAAAAGAAAAGAAAAGAAAACATACCCGAATCAAAGCGCAAACAAAGTCCAGCGGCAATCCATACCGCAGCACAGTCTCAACAAAGACCCTCAAAACGAGAATGTGAATCCAGACCATAACGGCCTCGCTCCAAGCCGTCCGGCCCAGTCGCAGCGTCTCCCCCCAAAGCTTGCGCTCATCACCCCCAACTCTCTCAACCTCCTTCTTTTCCTCCTCCTTACCACCCTCCACATACTTGAAGTCTCGAGGGATCCATTTCTGCTCACGGCACTTGTGCACAAACTCGACACTGTGCTTCTTGAAGGCCGTCACGGCATACAACGAGAACTCACTGTCAGTAGCAATCAACTGCGCGGATCGCGGGACGACCATTGCAGAGACAGTCTCGTAGGTCTTGAGGAAATCCTTGACTAGTTGCGAGGGCACGGCAATGAGGTGGGTTTCAATGTACTCGGAGTCTTGGACGACGGATTTCGGGTCGACGATGGAGGCGAGGGATTTTGTGGAGAGATTTCCTCTAAAAGTGCCGGTCAAGTTAGCTATACAGGACATTATGTAGTCGGGGATCTTGAAATCGGATCTCGACGCACGCTTGTTTCCGCTGGAGCGTGGCCAGGTTGTTCTTGACCTGGTTATATTGCGAGTACTTGGTCCGAATGTCATTGTCGATGCTGGCAGCTTCCTACAGCGGGAATCGCATATTAGTCTCGTTATTGATACTTAAAGGCATATATTTGAGCATTTATTTCAAGCTCCCACTCACCTTGGACAGCAGGTCAATAAGTTCCGCCAAGGGCTTATCAGCGCGGTACTTGACCTTATTCCACTGGAAAGAGCGGAGATACTGGTCCACGGGTTCTGCAACAACCAGTGTAAGTCAGTAAGTCAACCAGGCAAAGCTCCAAGCAGAAGCGCGCTTGGGAACCCTCATAATCGGCACAACGTACTATCATTGACAACCTTCATCCGCTCAATCTGCGCCTCGTCTCCGTCCAGGATATTCTTCAACGCATCGCCCACCTTGCCAACAACACCCTCACACTGTCCCTCCAGCTTCGCAAGCTCATCCGCCTGCTGGACCAAGCCGTCTAATGTGCCGATCTTGAACTCCGGGATAGGGAAAGACGCAGCGGAGCCATTGTCGGGGGTGACAGTCTTCGAGACGGCGTCGAGGGCATCGTCTTTGTGGTGGGAGGGGACGATGGAAGTGGGGAGGGAGAGAAGGAGGTATTTGCCGGGCTTCGACATGGTTCTGTTTTGTGGCCGGGCGGAGCGGACTTCAATTATGCAACAATGAAGGAGAGTAGGGCCCTCGCAGCGGGCATAAGGGTTTGAGGGGGTGTTTCGTGGATAGACGGGTGGTCGGAGCTGGAGCTGTGATGTCGTAGGCGGTCGGAGGTGATTGGTGCGGGATGCGGACACGGGTACTTTATTTTCTATGTGGAGTAGAATGGACTATGGATTGCGATGACAATCGCCTTGTTGACCTAAGTCTTTCCATAAATAGGATTGGTTTGTCGTACTCGAGGGTTCAAGACTCATGCTTGATTTGATTTACATACGGACAAGCAGAATAGACTATATCGAAAGTTGGGGGATTTTTTTACACTCAACAAAATCTGTGTATTCGAGCCTGCGATTGAGACGCATAACGCTAGACATGTTCCAAGGTTCGCTCAACATGAATAAAAATAGTAAGTCAAAACACCAAATGAGAGAATCATGAAATAATAAGTCACAAGGATGAAACCACCCAAAGGTATAATTTTTGATTTTCCCCAATGGTCACCAACAAGGTGCTTTTGATTAGAGACCGTGAGGACCCGAGGGGATGAATGACTAGCTTCGAACCTGCGGAATATGTAAAAAAGAGAAGAGAAATAGGGAGAAAAAGAAGAAGAAGAAGAACGAGGGGGGAAATCAGGGTATCTGTATCGAGCGTGCAGCGCTGATCGTAAACAGAGAGTGAAAACGGGGAAAGTTGCATGGGGAAATGGGCAAAACAAAAACACTTGACCAAGGAAAGACAATGGTATCTGTGAAAGGAGAAGCGCCGATAGAAAAGACATCCAGACAAGCCTCGTCACAGATCCCAATAATCCGACGGAGGGGGGCATGGGCAATAAAAAGAACACAGAAAACAGAAAAGAAATTAGAGACATCTAGTTGGACATGCCCATGAAGATTTCATTAACGTTCTCCGCCATGAATTTGAGGACGTCATTCTTCTTTTGCACGTCTGTCATTTCACGCGCTAAGCTCTCGGGTCTCATGATAGTCGGGGCAAAAACGACGGCGATATTTTGACAAGTCATCAGATTCTCATCTTGGCGTTCAATGACACGTTGCAAGTGGAACATAAGGAATTCGAGGACGTCGCGGTGTGAACGGGGAAGTTCACGCAGACCCTTCACCAGGACATCGATCCGGGTAGATGGATCAGTGATTTCTCCCGATTCAATGATAAGCTCGTAGACTTCGTATGTGATAAGAGGGTTGGGCAGCTTGCGGAAATACTGCTTCAGGGCAGAGGTGACGGCGTGGATATCGAGATCCGGGTCAGAAATGTCGTAATCGAAAGGAGAACGTTCAAAGCCCTCACGGATGGTTTGAATAGCCGAGGCAGCGCCAGACTTGCGGTAGATACCTTCCATATCCATGCCTAAGTATCAAATTAGAACAAAATTCCATGTGAAAAGGAGTTTGGGAGGGGAACAAAACAAACCTCGTAATTCAACTTCCTGAATACACCGAGTGACGACGGCAGGAATGATACTCTTCTCATGTTCCATGCGAGCCTCCAGGTCTACACCAAAGAGATTGCCCACGGCTTCAGAAAATGCCGGCACACTGTCGGCCTGCGACATTTTACCTCCTGGTCTGCCCCTTTGGTTTCCAAAGAAGCCAAAGCCTTGACGGCTAGGGTCCTGAGTCTGAGATCGGGGTAGGCCACCGGGTTCATCATTACCCATGAAGGCTCCCTTAAGACCCTTGACACCCTTGGCGACGTTCTGGCCACCCTTCTTCCAGTTGAACTTGCCCTTGCGAATGCTGACAACCTGGGGTCCAGGCACGAGGGTAGCTGTAGCGGGCTCTCCATCCTCATGCATGTGAGCAGTCGAGACCGACGTGGCAATCTCGTGGCTGCTTCTAGGCTTCAAGCCGTCAATCGAAGTAATGGATCTGTCCTTGTTGTGCGATATACCCAGGCCATTGGGACCACGATGTTCATGGTTAGTCTTGTAAAGTTCCTGGATCTGGTGTACCAATTGATTGTTGAGCTCAGCCAGTTGGGCATTCTTTGAAGACAGCTGTTCAAACTCCTGGAAGGCCTTTTCCTTCATGCGATTGATTTCAACGAGTTCCTCATTGAGGTCATTGCGCTTTTGGATAAGCTCCTCGATCTGTGGAGTGTATGAATCCTTCAGAGTATGAATAGACTCCGCAAGTTCCCGCAGAACGTGGTTTGAAAGCTTCCCAAGGTCCAATGGTGCATCGGAGCCGCCACGCTTCTCTGTTTCAATGTGATCCGTGAGCACGGTAAGCTCACGCAGAACAATCTCTCGCTGAGCATCCAGTACAACCATGGTTGATCGCTTCTCCGAGAGCTCAGTGTTGACCTGTTTAACATCCGCAGTGGCACGTAGAGCATTCTCCATTTCGGCAATACGCTGACGCTCCTTGCGCAGTTCACTGCGAAGCCAGGCCAATTCTTCAGACTGGGTAGTGCCAGCAGTGGGGCTCCCAATATCGACGCCGCTTCCACCTCCAATCGCGGGTGATCGGGCATTCTTTATATCCTTGCTGGTCCGCACACTTTTCTCACTCATGCTTCGTTGATGGCGGTTAGATGCGTTCGAGGTGGTGCGGAGGCGCAGGAAAGAGTCAGTCATGTCACCTCCAATGAATCTTGCCAGATCCTCATCCTGAGAGAAATCGCTATTACTTGTATACTGGGGTAGGGACGGCGAGCCAGCGCTGTCCAGGGGTCGCCGGATGTCAGAAAGAGATGTATTGCCGGAAGTGATGTTCTGCTTCGATTGCTCGGCACCAGTCTCAGGTAGTTGTGGCGACCCGTAAAGAGAGGAGCTGGGGGATGCCCCCATGTCCTTTCGCGGGATTTGATAGGTCTTGTTTTCCAGTTTGGGTTCGAGTGAATCGGCACGCTTGGGTGGGTATGACAATTGGCTAGAGGGAAGATGAGACCGGGAGGATTCACCTGAGCCATGTTCGTGAAGTCTGCGCAACTCTCCAGAAGGGCGCGCAGAGGCAACGCTGTCGAGAGGGGTATGCCGAGCGGCATCATCCTTGGAACGAGTGCTTACGGGACTTGTTGCACCTGAGAAAGCACTGGTTTCTCTTAGGGCCAACGGTAGATCCGATCTCGAGCTGCGAGCTGACTCGGTCTTTCCAAGCCTGTTGTAACTAGCATTCACAGGTGCCTTAGCTCCTGTGCCATTAGTGCTGTCCAAGTCACGCCGAGCTGACTCCGTCTCGGTACGCTCCCAGCCCTTCTCTTGATAAGCAATATGAGCAGATGAATTCTCCGCAGAGGTATGGGATGAAGGGTCGATGCCGTCACCGGAAGGCCTGGCCGATGGTTCGGAAGGCTGATATTGACCAAAGTAATCGCGAGGCAACTCTTGCATTGATTCCGACTGTCTTCGTGAAGATCGTTGGCTCTCGGAGGGGTCGAATGCCAAGGGAATAAGTAGTTCCCCACCTGCATCTGCTGCATCATTATCGCGCTGTGAGCTCAGGAGACGGCTGCTTCGGTAGGTGCTCGAGGGAAGAATAAGGTTGTCTATAGCCGAAATATGATCAGTTATCGATCTCCATAAGAAACGGGCATTGTTGCTGTCCCTACCTTGGGCGGTAGTTGGGCGCGAAAGAGAGGCTTCTGATTGACCATCGAAATCCCTACCAGGCATAACCTCCGCTGCAGCCTCCACATATCCCTCGCTCGGTGTCTCGTCAAGGGAACGGGTATCAAAGGTGGGTGGCAGAGACGGCAATGACTTATCCAACTTGACCCCCGGCCCCCCTGGTTTTTTGCTGGCCGCTGTGGCTTTTTTCTTTCGCCTGCGTTGCATTAGAGACTCATGACAATCCATGCAAAATATTCCTTGCGATGTTCGAGCGTAGCGTAAGTTTTCGATCTTTCTCTTGCAGTTGCGGCACCGGAAGCATTGGGCACAAAATGCTTGATCGCCAGTAAGGATAGCCAAGTCTTCAATCTTGTTGCCACAGGAATTGCAGCTGTAGGTACAACTGCTACAGATCAATGAGCCATCGCCAAGTAGTAGAAGGTGGGCGTCCGAGTCGAGAAGGGTGTTGCAAGTGCTGCATCGGAAACAATCGATATGCCATCTTTGACCAGCTTTAGAAGGTTAGCTAAAAGAACCAAAACAAAGAGACACCAGCTTCAAGCAATGAAAGACGACGTACAAAGTTCAAACGCTTTGCCTTCTTCTAGGATCTAAATTCCGAGACAGAAAAAAAGCAACGTTAGTTGACAAGCCCACCAACCGATACGCGCAATATTGCATACCTCTCCACAACCCATGCAGGGGAAGGGCATCTCATCCTGCTCCATAGGCGACTCGGGTTGTATGGACGGGGATTCCATGCTGGGATCCATGGTGAATTGTGTGGTTTCTTAGGCCACCCACGATGACCGTTGATTTCAAAGCCGAGTATGAGACCGACCACCGTTACTTAGCAACGAGGGAAATCGAGCAACACACGCATGCGCAAGCAGCCAGTGCCAGCGATCCAAGTTTTCACGGTGTCGAGAGTCGGCGATGAATGAGATCCAAAGATGGAGGGCGTTGGTACGGAGGGGGAGGAATGCGACAAGGGGCTGAAAGACAGCGAGGCTAGTGGCTGAAGCAGGCTGCTGAGGCGTTAGCCAAAAAGAGGACCCATCATCAGGTTTAAGCGTGAGACAACCGCCCCCCTTTGGGGTCCGGAAAATGATCGCTCATAAGTGAGCTCAAAAGGGTAGAGGACATGATACACGACGGAGTCTGGTTCAAAATGGGCGTCGAGCATGCCCCCCGGGCAATCTCCCCGCAGAAATTAGGGGAAGATTCAAATTGGAAGGGAACGTACCGAGATGCACACTACTGGTCCCAGTTAGTATGGTGTTTCAAGTAGAAGAAAGCGCGGATGTTGTGATAAGCGCTGCAGACGAGGGTTGTTTAAATTGGAGTGGATTGGTTTGCCCCTCGCGGGCGCTGGGATCACGATGCAATGTCGAGGACGGGATAAACTCCGGGAAGAAAGTACCGAGATGTCAAGCTTAAGAAAGAAACTCCAACATGAATAGAACGAGAGAGAGGAAAAAAAACTCGAGACTTTTTTTTTTTTTCAATTGACTTAAGGGGGGGAAAGAAGAAAGATAAAGTGGGTTTAAGTTTAGTTGAGAGAGAAGTGGTGGAGGAAATGGCAGAATCAGAGGAAAGATAGTAAATTGCATCTTTTCTCTCTCTCTTTTATTTTACTTCTCTCACCTCTTTCCCTCTCGGATTCGATTGTTCCCCTTCCCCAAAATCTATCCGATTTATTTAAATATTTGGCATGTTATCTTAAAATAAAACACAAAGGACGTGTATTCTCTTGACGACGCGGAGCCAGAACGTGCGGGCCACATCATGAGGGGCATTACGGTCCAATCAGATCATCACAGCCCCTGGATGATAATTCATTTCCACCATGAATATCCATCATCAACAAACTCATATCTGGACTGAAAATACAGGACATGGGCTCGGAAGTTTCAAAAGCTCGTTTACAATCCATGAATACGAAGATGAAGAACCATGAGAGATACAGGGAACTCAATCCCCCAAAAAAACTCCGGTTGGCCAAAATCACCTAAAGAAGGTATGAGGTCTCTTGAGTATCAGGGATCCACTCAAGTTAGGGTGGGCTATAAGAGATGGTGTTCCGTGGAAATGGGTCATCTGTCTCAAACTGCGCGGACCTTTTTTCCCCTGCTAATTATACTCTAGTGACTCTAGTTCCCGGCACAACTGGGGCAGAGCTAACGGAGTAAGTGCACAGGTACGGAGCACCTTGAACTTTGAAGTGACTGGGAACAAACTGTTTTCCTTTTCCGGGTTCCTTTTCCTATTTTTTCCTTTTTCTTTTTCGCCCTGTGAACAAAAAAAAAAGAAGAAGTCTAGTCTGACGGTCTTCTTCTCTTCTTTTAGATATTTTCATGCACGACGACGTCAGAATAGTGCTCTAGTCGGCAGAATCCCTGGGCTAAAGATCAATGGCTGCCGTTTAGCCCCTCTTCGCCCCTGACGGCAGATGGTGAAAGACTCTTGAATCCAGACTCAAGCCGCTGTTTCAGAATCAGCACTGAGCCAATATCACGTGGCAAGCTTAACGTGAAATTATGCTGTTTCAGAAGTCTGAATTTATCTCTTTGGAGAAAAAGAGAGAGACAGGCCAGAGAGAACAATAACGAGAAGAAAAATAAGCTAAAATTAGTTTAGCTTCCACGTCTCCGCTAATAGTACGGTTTTTGAAAAAAAAAAAAAAAGATCTTCTGAATATTGAGATCTCGGACTTGATGCATGATCATCGCACTAAGTACCACTAAACCCAAAGACAATGAACCATTGATGCAGGGGTGTACTTCTCAGATCGCTTCGACTATATCTGTCACACAGAGGATCTGACATGAGAATTTTCACCGAAACAGATCGTCACAGATCCTTGCAAAGACATAGCCAATCGAGATCTCTTGAAAAATTCAAGTTAAACTATCATTATCTTGTTGTTTTACATTTGTATGGACTTGAGCTGACCAAGAATTGGTGGTTGAAGAAGTCCTGGTGCCTTTACTCAAGTGCTTCCAAGTAAGACCAGATCATCATGAAAAGTGGAATTTACACTGTACTTGGGCGCTTGCACGTCAACTAGTACCTACTAGTACATAAAATAATATCTGAACATTGATGATATCAATGCTCAAGCACTAGTACGATAAAAGATCACATAACCCCCGGGGTTATACACATAGGGCCAGGGCTAGATGGTGGCAAATTGAAATAACCCGGACCAATGTCTACTTTCGGATTAAGAATGTGTATCACTAGTATGTGCATAAAAGGTATTACCAAAAGGGGTAATCTTGGAAGGTACAAACCTCCAGTTGGAAAGAACTAAGAGATGCGATTGAAAAATACAAAGACGAATTGGGAATATCCCGATAGTTCCGAATTGGATATCTGGCGTTAGTTCATATCTATGTACATGTTTTCCATTCGTAAGGCCTTCAAGCCATGTCTTCATCAAAAAAATGGCCCCCAATTGCGCGCGTCATTCCATTAGAGCACTTGGAAACCTGGGTATCATCACGCCCTGCGCAGCAAGACGAGTGATTGTAAAAAAAAAATAATTGACCGGTGATTCTTAACACTTATCATGGTCGGAAGGTGTAACAAGGCCCACGGACCATCCGCTCCCGAATATTGATTCTGATCTCTCTCCACCGACGAGGTGGATTGACTCTGCGGGGTCGAGGGGCTGGAAATCTTCTTACATCCGACCCGCGATCGGCTTGGCTGTCGATCACTGAGGATCCACAGCTGTACTGAAATTAAAGATGAGATAGGTTCAACCTTAGATGTAAGCTGATCCTGGTTGTCGGTGAAACCAACCCGCTCACGATGGTTGACCGTCTAGGTTCTGGAGTCTGTGGTGAATCGCGCTCGGGTCATCATGGCCCTCTTCGTCCACGTATTCCCGGAGAACGATCGTTCGCATCAGTCGCCGTGGTGCGCGACGACCGGTGAAGAGCTCGAACTGGGCAAATCCTTGCTCGGGGAGAACATCGAGGCCATCCAGGGCCACCCAGCCCCGGTGCGACAATGCACGGATTTGTTTCATCAAAGGAGTATTGAGGGGTTTGTAGGCCAACTAGAGGGGGTAGTATATTAGTATCAGACGAGTTGACTGGACTGAGAGATGTTTTTCTACTCACATCAACAACAACACCACCCGTAGGACTTTCAAGCCATTGAGTGGGAACGTGGAAGTTTGGTGCCGGCTGACCACCGATGCTGTGGGCTGGAATACCCGATACAATGATTGTCGGTTGCTTGAAATCTGCTGGCCATGGCTCATTCATGGAGTTGAGGGTGCTCACCCGAGGACGGCCATCACCCCGGGTTTGCTCACCGGAGTAAAGATCTTGTCGGTTGTAGTGGTGAGCCAGCTTCTCGGCATTGGCAAGAGTGCGATTGTAAACGAAGATATGCTGCACGCCCAAGTGAATCATCGAATACACGGCAGCACGTGCCATACCACCGGATCCAATGACAAGACCGGTTGTCGTAGGCCGGACAGCATTGGCAGGTGAAAGACCTCGACGAATGCAGTTGCAAATACCGATCCAGTCGGTATTGTCGCCATGTAGACCCTTTATCGGACCGGCACGACTCTTTTGCAGGTAAATGGAAGATTCTTGGGAGAGGCGAGGGTCGGAGTCGTCATCGTTCCGAATCGGTATCAATGTATTGACGGCACCAATAGCCCGCGCGTGAGGGGACATGGAGTGGAGAAGAGGAATAACTTCTGTTTTGTAAGGGAGACTGACACTAGATCCACCAAAGAATTGATTTTCAACAAGCTCATTCAAACCCCGAATAGTTGGGGATTGAAAGATCGAGTATTGGTGAGGCATCCCACATAGTTTGAAAGAAGTGTTGTGCATCGCTGGCGACATACTATACGTCACGTTGGCACCAAAGACGAAAAACTGCATGGGATCTAGCGCAAAGGAGCTATAAAGAGCCTGTTGCGCTTCGCGGGCGGTGATGCTTGATCGTACATAGGAGGGGTTATCGCGCATTAGGGAAGGATGGGTGACTGGGCTCAAGATAGGGTTGAAACAGCGCGACATACGTCCCAGGGAGCCGGTATTGTATGCGATTAGAGGAATAGCACCCGGTAGGCTTTGAATGCGATTCCGGAATCTTTCCACAGCCTGGTTATCTTCCGATGTCTCTGCCGGTTGACATATCCGTACCATGTCACATCCAAGTGCCTTTGCCCGCTCATATATCCTCACATATTCATCGCCATCCCATCCACCCGGCAGACGACGGAAGGTCTCAAAATGTCCAATGATACCGGTGCGACCCCGCGCACTAACAATCTCACGGAACAAATTATCATCACGAGACAAATCCACGGTCAGAAATGTGGGCGCAAGTCGTAGGCCATGGCGGACTAGGCCCGAATATGCTTCATCGGTGGACCGAGCAGTTTGTGGCGGTGAAAGATGACCTTTTGGTGACGTGTAACTTTCAACGTGGTAAATAATTGGTACTATGATATTTCTGCGAATCGTCGAGATCACTTGACTGATGCTGTCCGACAAGTTGGAGTCTGCACCCATCTGATCTGAAGGGCTAGTGACATCAATGGCTAGTTCGAATGCATCTGCGCCAAACTCAATCTCTTCAATGTCAAGATTGTTATCGCGTAAGGCAGAGAAGGGGACTGATACTGAGTTTGTATACTGTCGTGCTGGCACTGGTAATAGAGACAATGGGAACGATGAATGCTGGCGGTTCATTTCGGTAACATCACCCGTCACAAAGGCTATGAAACGGAGAAAGTCCCGCTGCACACGTTTCAATGTCAAGAAAGGAGTGGGTGTCTGTGATCTCTGGTCCATTTTTGGACCCGGCGACGGGTTATTACCGTCCTTGGGGGTATGGGCGGCACTATGTTCGGTGGCTCCAGATTCCGACAGGTTGAAGAATTCCAGATTCGAACACCCGCGATAAATTGGTCCTGAGAGCTCCAAGAAGTGTCGTACTTTTTGTGTGTGCCAGGCTTTGAGATAGGACTGGATGCTTTCCGGATCCCGGCTAACATGGATGACCGGATGTGTTTGGGCAAATTCCCGCAATAGCCTTTGCCCTGTGCGCTCCATCGCTCCAGCACCACACGCTATCACGCATCCTTCTTGATTGTCCGCTAGCATAGATTCAAAAATGCGGGCCTCCTGCAGTCGGTACTCGGCATGGTCATTGTCTTTCTTAAAAGTGGCGCGAGAACATCCAGTCATTTGGTGAAAGTATCGGTCGGCATCGATGAGGCGACGGCCGGACGTCGCAGCTAAAATTACAGCTAGACTGGACTTGCCTGTGCCTCGAATACCAATGAGAACGACGGAGGCGGTGGGGCTGAAGATGCGAGGGGTCTGGAGGGTACCCTTATCGAAGAGGACCGGAGACGCGCGGTTGGAATGTAACTCTCGGAGGGAGGTGGCATGAGGATGGGTATCGCTTTGGGAGTCCAGTGGCGGCTCACTAGGTCGCCTTGAACTGGCCAGTGAATTTGAACGAGTTGCCGGAGACCATGACACAGTACTATGTTTTCGAGGTCCATCGTCGACCTCGTGCATCTTGCGCTTGGGCGGGCGCACGAGTATGGACATTGTTGGCTATTATGCAACGAGGGGAGGCGAGCCCATAACCTTCGGGTGTTGGGGAGAAGAATCGGGGGTTAATAGGTGAGAAGGTTTGGGGGGAAGGAGAGGAAAAAGTACTAAAAAAGTTGAAGAATCTCGGGGAAACCTGGGCCTAAGCAAAGCCCTAGAGCAATGAACCACTTTTAGCGTTAGGTAAACGTGTGGGATTTTGCGGGGGTGAGGTTTTCCTTGTCCACTTTAGGCCTCGGTCAGGTTGCACCGTATTTACCCCAAATTACCAAAATTACAGGAAATTGACGTCGTCCTCAGTATGAGCGGGAAAAGTACTCTCCCGCCGACTGTGTTAGTTACTGAACGGGATACGAGTTTTCCCCGCCCCGTGGGGTACAGCAACCTTGGCCTGCAGCTTGCCCGGATTTGCAGCATTAATTCCCGAGTTGAATTATGACCACAAAAAAAAAGCTCTTGTCGAATTGAGGGGATAGAAAAGCACGGATTTTATAGTTTGGTATTGTTCAGAAAGCTCGGGCTCAAAGTATTAGAATGACAAGCCTATAAATCATGAATTAAACAGGGCTCAATTGAAAAATTCTTGGTTAGAAATCAATTTCCATTAGGTACTACGCTGGGCCCTTTGCCCCATTCTGACATTTTGCCCACCCGCGACTGGTTCACCGCTGGCAGCCCTTTCCCCGGAACGAGAATCCTGCCCGTCGAGCGAGTCACCTCGGTTGGACCGGTTCCTGTGCGGTCACCTTTTTCCTCCTTTTACATTCATCCGGCTCACCGTCTTACCCCAGGCCTCCGATTTCCCACCAATTTCTATCCTCGCACGGTCCATCCGAGGTCAGTGGGGGCCGTTGTGAATGGACATAGCTTGCCCGCCTCTCTGCGCAAGCCCGTCGGCAAAAGGTTCAACAACCCTCCTTGCGTACGCTCGCATCGCATGAAAATGCGACCGAAACCGGCTAGTGGATCAACGCTGCAATCACAATGAGCTCTGACCCTCGCCAAGCCACTGGCGCGAGCGGAAAATCCAAACGTCGCTGGACCGACCCTGAAGACGATGGTAAAATGAACGGCCCGGACGACCTATCATCCCAGCCCAAGCGGCAGCGTGTGTCGCGAGCCTGCGACAGCTGTAGATCAAAGAAGGACAAATGCGATGGAGTTCAACCGGTGTGTTCAACATGTGCCTCGCTATGCCGCCCATGCACCTACAAGGCCAATCCGAAGAAACGAGGTCTGCCCACTGGCTATATCCGCTCACTCGAACTACTCTGGGGGCTTGTCTTCCAGAAGATAAATGGAAGTGAAGATGTCATGCGCGCTTTGATGAGATCCGTCAACCTACCTAGTCACCTTGCCACAATGGGCAAGGAAGCCGAAGGCTCAGACACCCTGCTATCCTCCTTCAAGAACAGTACCGTTTTGAGGGACATTGAGCGAATGCTGGTCGTTTTAGAACAACCCGAGGAGGAGAGAGATCGCAGTCTGCAAGCATACGGCGAGGGGGACACTCCCTTGGATGTTGATGGCATCCTGGCCTCTTCTGACGCTCAGGAATGGCAGATCCCAGAAGGACTAGAGGCACGCGAGACACCTCTCTCGGGGGTATCTCCGGGCCGCACTTCCATGTTCAGCTCTGCTCCCCGGCCTCTCGTATACCGCACCCGAGATTCTGGAGCCCAAACATCAATCTCAGAAGAATTTCATTCACCAACCCTCGCTATTTCCCTCAACCCCGACGACCCCAGAGCGATCTCAACCAGCTCCCCACTCCAACTCCCGTACAACGCCTGGCCTCTTCTTGACATTTATTTCTCATACACTCAATGTTGGCTTCCCATACTGGAAAAGCATGACATCCTCCGCACGGCTTTTCAATACACTGAAGGCGATGTGTACATGACCCGAACAGCACCTGGTTCTGGCGACCATGCTGCCCTATGGGCCGTCCTTACCCTTGCCTCCCTTCAAGACGCATCTATCACAGCTCGGGAGGCCGATCACTCATCAGTTCGAACAAACCCTTCACAACTTTACAACACCGCGCGGGACCTGATCCCCGCGGAGACTGGTCCATACGAAGTTGGGCATGTTCAAGCCTTGCTTATCCTGTCTCTGATCAAATTTGGACAGCAGGAATGGACAGCCGCCTGGATGCTGGTCGGTCATTCAGTTAGAATTGCACAGACGCTAGGCCTTGACCAGCCCTCCTTCCCTTCAGCAGCCTCGAGGTCCCCCGAACAAGGCAAGCAATTAGGACGAGCTCGGCACGTGTTTCTGGGTTGTTTTGTGCTGGAGACCCTCATTGCAGAACAAACCTCACAGTGTCCATCATTACGAAAGGACGACTTAGCTCGAGTTGGATCAATAAATGAAGATGGGTTAGAAGAATGGCATCCCTGGGAAGATATGACTGGTCTACGACCGACACAAGCATCTCGAGCCTCCATGCAGCGGGGACCACTCAATGCGTTGAGCACATTCAATCGTCTTGTGTCTCTTGTCTCCATTTTGAATGACCTTTGCTGCTATAAGCAAGACCCAACCATTTCCCGATCACAATTGGAGTCGCTTGAGCTCACTTTACATCGCTGGGCGGCCGCTTTACCAAAGAGCCATCGGGTAGACCTGCAAAGTCGCCCACTCAAGGTGGCATCGCCGCATATTTTTTCACTCGAAATGGTCTATCAAAGCATCGTCTCGGCCTTGAGCTTACAGATCGCTACGCGGGAGAGTGATCAAAATATCCCTGAGATGCCCCACAAGGCACGTGCCATCGATAGCTCGAGTCGGTTATTAAGTTGTCTTCAAATATACCTGGAGACATACAGCCTGTCAGCGACCACACCTATCTTTGGTATGATATTGAGATACTGCCTTCCTCGATCCTTCTCGCGCGACCTCGTATCGGACGTTGAGCTTAGTCTCCGGAATAAGATACAATCATATTCATCACATCTGGTGCAGCTTTGGTCTGTGTCCGACCGGCCACTCACCGGCCAGACAACTGCTCAAAGAAGCCAGGGGACAATGGCATCACCTGCGATGTCGCAGCAGCCCGATCTTTCAGCAACTGAAGATCCAACAATGAGTCATGTTTTCCCGCCTTCAAGCACTCCTCGTCATCTTGCTGGACCTGCAGAACCACATGGTCCTGGTTCGGCACATCCGGTAGTATCGACTCCCGATCCTTTCACCTCTGCTCCGTGGCTCAGGACCACTCAGAATATGGATGATGGAGCACAGTTGCTGTCCACGCCCACCCCTTCTTTGACCACCATTGGCGGCGCCTCGGAGGTCTCAGGACAACCAGGCCATCTAGATGGGGGTCTAGGCAGTGGTCTTCGCCAGTCTACCTCCGCCCCTTCAAAACCCCACCCTGACCCTGGCCCAGGAATGCTCCCGGAACTTGCCCCGCAATTCCCCCCAGGTACACAATACCACCCACAACAATATCAAGATCCACCTCTTGGTATGAGTCCTTTCGTCGACATGGATGGTTATGGCCCACCACGCCGACAGCAGCGAATTGCTCCGGATCTCGATGCACTATTCGACGAATTGGCGTCGCTGGACGGTGCTGAAAAGTAAGTTCTTTCGATTCTTTTTTTTTTCAATCATCATGTGCTGTTTTCTAACCATGAGCTTCATAGACCCGACAATCAACCCGAATTCATGCAAAATCTGGGCTTCGTCTCTGATTCAGGGGTGCCGGAAATTTACTCGTTTTCGAGTCAAATTGAGCCGTTCCTGCTGGCCCAGACGCAACAAATACCGAGCAATGGATCAACCTCCGGAGTTCGGAGGGAGTCACAGTCCCTCAGCATGTCCGGAACGCCGAAACGATAATCATATTCTGCTTCTAGCCGCTGGTCGGCACCCACCCGACTGAAGGCCGCCACGCTTCCAGTCGGATGTCGGGCAAGTCTTCCTGTCATACGTGCAGCACGGATTGTGTATTTATACCCATACGTGTGGCTGGAACCTTGCATACGAAGCAAAATATCTGATTTGGCCATCAAGTATGAGCCAAGGGACCTCGTGAGGCGCCATGAATCATGAATATCGTCTTCACATCCGGTTCAAGGGGGGTAATAATGGGGGACTCGGCATTTGATGAGGTGCAAAAGAACCAGAAATCTCTTGTTTCTTATATAGTAAATATTACCTACATATTACCAGTTCATACATATCCTTCGATACCACCACATGTGTCGATTGGATAACATTTACTGAATTTCGACATTTTCAAGGTTGATCCCATTTCAAAATGTTGTCATCGAAACATTCCATTCCCATTGCCTTATGTACAGCTCTATATACACACTACATATCCAGACAAGGGTAAATCCATTTCACATATGTAACCCATGAAACCAACAGTCCTTTTGTTTTCCTTTTCCCTCCCAAAAAAAAAGAATCAAATCGCTTAGAGAGCAGCCTTGGTGTCCTTCTCCAACTCCTTGAAGTTAACCACCACGTGCTCAACAGCAACCTTATAACCGTAAACACCCATTCCAACAATAATAGCGGAAGCCTTATCACTGAAGTAAGAGTGATGTCTGAACGCCTCGCGCGCATGCACATTGCTCACATGGAGCTCGATAAAGGGGATAGCAACACCAAGGAGCGCATCCCGGATCGCCACGGAAGTGTGCGTGTACGCGCCCGGGTTAATAATGATACCGTCAACCTTGCCGCGGGCGGCCTGGATGCGGTCGACAATGGCGCCCTCGTGGTTGCTCTGGAAGGCCTCGAGGGATGCGCCTAGGCTGGTGGCCTGGGCCTTTGCGTTGTTCTCGACGTCGGGGAGGGTGGTTGAGCCGTAGATGTGGGGTTCGCGGGTACCCAGGAGGTTGAGGTTGGGGCCGTTGATGAGGAGGATGGACTTGCCCATTTTGAAGGGTGGTGGATGAGTTAAGGGGGTGTTTGTGTATGGATTGGAGTTTTGTTTTGGGGAGGGAGGGAGATTGATGAGTGTTAATTAGAATTGGGATTGAAATTGGGATTGAAATTCAATGGGCTTGCAATTTGTATAATGATGCTGTGATTCGCTCTGAACTTTCTCTCCGCATTGCCCCTCGGTTCGGCTGAGCGCTTTGCCGTGTGGGGGTTTTTGGGTCGGGTGGCTTTTCGAGGCGCTTTTCGTATGGGCTGGTAATCTTTCCATTCTGTTTGTCAGTTGTTTCGTTTGTATTGGAAATTGGGTCTTTGGGGAATTGGGGTATTGTGGGGACTAGTATGCACGTAGCTTGCCATTGTGGTTCTGGAAGATTTATATGCAGCAGCTATGTTTGCGGGTACAAATATATGGGGGTTTCGCGGGCATCTGTTTTTTTTTCCTTTTTTTTTTTTTTTTTTTTAGGGTTGTGGCTAAGGAGTAAAAAGTTTGGGGATATAGACTCGGACTATTGAAAAAAATATGCTCATAAAGAATAAATCGAAGCTTAAGCGAACATTTGAATGTTTTAGACAGTCGAGGGTCGAATAAGTGGGGTCGGATAAAGTTATTGCGGCCCCCTGCGGAGAACCGGATAGAGCTTGACCGATGGAGGGGTTTTGGAGCCTTTTTCTTATATAATCAATATTTTCATGTCCTTGCAGATATTGAAACTGCTTCATAAATGACTTAATTATGATGCAACCTCGCACCGAGTTGTCTTTTAAATTTCAAATGTTTGGATTTGAAAATCGAAGAAGAAAAAAAAAGCCAACTGAGATGAAGTCTATGTCCATTTCCTTTCTATCTTGTAATTATACGCAATAATTCCACAACTCAATCCATGATAGGTAGACCATTATCATCAAAGTATACAGGCACGCCCTTGCGGAACGAATACTGCAAAGCGGCACAGATCTTGCCCGCCTCAAAGGCATCCTCCGGCTGACAAGTCAAGGGCTTATCATCAAGCACCGCATCAGCGAACTCAGCAAGATCTGTCAAGAACGTCGCATCGAAAAGAGTAAACGCATCGGGTACAGACTGTGTACGAATACCGAGATTATCGCGGATCTCAACGTTCGAGTTGGCGCTGATGATTGAATGTCCCTTGGTACCGCACAACCGAGTCGTATCCTCGAAGCCGCTGGTGAGCGTGCGGCCAAGGTAAGTCTTGAAAATCTTGCCATTGGCGTATTCAACCAGGCCCCATGCGTTGTCGGCGTCACCGAACTTGGCCAAATCCCCGTAGACAGCCTGCTGTCCGAAGGCGATGACCCTGTTGACTTGTTTATTGGGGTTGGAGAGGCCCGACTTGACATCCAGCAGGTATCGTCCAGCGTCGACCTAGGGCGGTGTTAGTAGATTGGTCATTGTGAGAGAGAATCATTACGGTACTGACGGTATGAATGCCGAAATCGAGGAAGATGCCACCAGATTGCTCAGAAAAGGCGACAAAGAAGGCTATGGAAACATCAATGGTTAGTTTATTAGTTCATATAGAAAGGTCAAATTTGCGGGCAATCATGATCCTACCGTTCGGATCTGCTTGATCAATACCAGTCGTCTCGACAGCGTGAATCTCACCCAGCGTTCCATTGTCGATCAGAGCCCTAGCCTGGCGGTAAGACTTGTCATCTGGTGCTAGTCAGTCTCTGAATTCTCCAAAGCTTCCAAAGTACGTGTCTCAAGCGCTACTTACATCTGCGAGTGAAAGGAACAAGGAACTTGAGATCGGGCCTAGAAGCAGACTTCTCCACGACTTCTTTGGTAGTAGCGATATCGACCGAGACGGGCTTTTCGCACATGACGTGCAAGTTTAGATCAAGGGCCTGCAAGATCAGAGGGGCGTGTGTAGCAGTCGCGGTGCAGATGAGGACAGCCTCAGCACCGCTGTTCTTCAGACATTCTTGAGGGTCTGAATAATACTTGACAGTAGGGGGCAGATTCTCTGCCGCCCATTTGTCAGTGCCTGGCTTTGTATCACAGACGGCGACGAGTTCAATGCGAGGCTGCTGGAAGGCGAGAATACGGGCTCGAAGAACACCCAGACGGCCGAGGCCGAAAAGCGCAAACTTGACGCGGCGGTCACCAAGAGACATTGTGCAACGTCTGTGGTGAGGTAACAAGGTGTATGTATTTTTATTCACGCGGTATATGCAATGTAAATGTGGGCACAAGGGAGGGGAGAGAGGATATGGGAGTGGAATATGGATGGTCAGTGAAGCGGTAGAAATTTATGTGTTTCCAAATTGGACCGTGTGCAATGCGGGCTTTATATATGTGTGTTTGGATGTATACATCGATGGATATAAGCTACGGCCTTTGTTTTAAAGCAGACATATTCTGTCGGTCAGCCCAATTTCCCCGCATGGTGAAACCTACCAGTGTCCAATTCGGTGCGTATGGTGTTGAAGCCGATGCTCGGGGCCATCGCCGATGTGCATAGAGAATCTGAGTTACTGAAAATGGAGAGTTAACGGAGAGAGTTGCCAAAGTTGCCAAATGGGGGTTGGCGCATCGAAGTCTCCACTTTCCCCCCCGCACTAAGTATTGAGCAATGAGTACCTCTTTGGCTGAATCAGATCAGTAAACACGAGTCAAGATCAGATGTAAACATTTGAAGTGTCACGCGGGGTATGGGGTATAATACCAGCTCTAAATCCATTCATATTTTCGCATTATCAGACTCTGGAAATTTCACAGCCAACTTTCCAGTACCTTGGCGTCCATAAGAGACAATGGCACCTTCAATTGTCAAAGAATTCACCACTTCTGATCCCGTCTCTACCAAGTCGAAGAGCGCGGTGTTCAACCATAACCATGTTCAAAAGCCAGTCGCCGATGACTTCATGTACGACTTCAAATACAACCACAGTCTCCCCACTACCGATACCCTAGGCGTTCAGATTCCCACAGATTGCGACGCTCAGAAGGAGGCCGAGGGTATCGTAGCTCGTATCTCTACAGCGACATCAACAGGAGATGCGCAAGCTTTCGCTGATCTGTTCCTTAACTCTGGTGAGACCCTTCCCAAAAAGAATTTCGAAACCCCGACTTGAGCTGACCGCGGATTAATAGGCGTGTGGCGTGACAAACTCTCGTTTACTTGGGACTTCCGCACATTTAACTTCAAAGAAGCCATCTTGAAAGCCGCTACCGACCTTTTACCGCAAACAAAGGCTAGAAATTTCAACTTCCTTGAGCCTGCGCCTTCGGTGTCTCGCCCCTACCCCGACTTCTCTCAGCTGCAATTTGTTGTATCATTTGAGACTGAGATTGTCCTTGCTTCAGCCGTCATCAATGCAGTCCTCGCCCAAGATGGCTGGAAAATTTACACCATGCATACTGTTGCCGAGAGTCTCAAACAATTCCCCGAGCAGTCCGCACCAGATGGACACATGACTGGTATAACTAGCTGGGAGAGTCAAAGATCCGAAGCTATCAACACTGCCAACCCCGAGGTACTGATTATTGGTGGTGGCCAAAAGTAAGAAAAACATGCAACTGGATTCTAGGATATGATACTAATAAATTTCTACTAGTGGTCTCGCCATGGCAGCCCGCCTGAAAGTTCTCGGCATGGACAACCTGATCATCGAAAAGAACGAGGAAATCGGCGATATCTGGAAGAAGCGCTACGAATACCTTTCACTCCACTTCCCGCACTGGCCCGATGCCCTCCCATACTTCAAATATCCCCAGCACTGGCCCACATACACCCCTGCACAGAAACAAGGCCTATACATCAAGTGGTACGCCTCCGCTCTGGAGCTCAACGTCTGGACCAAATCAGAGGTTGTCAAGGCCGAGCAAGACGCCGAGGGTAGATGGACTGTCATAATCAACAAGGAGGGTAAAGAGACCCGCACACTACACCCCAAGCAGCTCATCATGGCCACATCGCTATGCGGTCTGCCCTCCACCCCGAACGTCCCCGGCATGTCCGACTTCCGCGGCGTAATCCGCCACTCTAGCGCCCACTCTAGCGCCCGTGACTTCGTTGGCAAGAAGGTCTGTGTCGTCGGCACCTCGTCCTCGGGCTTTGACACGGCATACGAATGCGCTCGTCTAGGCATCGATGTCACCCTCCTCCAGCGCTCGCCCACGTACGTCATGTCTTTAACCCACTCGGTCCCGCGTATGCTTGGAGGCTATGCGCCAGATGAGAACGGCAACCTCCCCGATACGACGGTGCAGGACCGTCTCATGTTCTCGACGCCAGTTGGGCCCGGCGAGGAACTTGCAAAGCGCATGGCCAAGGTTCTCGAGGGTCTTGATAGGCCTTTGCTTGAAGCTCTCAATGCTCGGGGTCTGCGGACTTGGCGTGGTCAGCGTGATACGGGTAACTCTACACTGGGACAGACGCGGAACGGTGGATTTTACTTTGATGCCGGTGCCTGTGGTGAGATTATCAATGGGAACATCAAGGTGGAGCCGGGCTTTATTGAGAAATTCACTGAAGATAAGGTGGTCTTGAATGGTGGCCGTGAGAAGGAGTTTGATCTTGTTGTCTTTGCGACTGGGTTCTCAAACACCATTGACTCCATTCGAGCTACACTTGGTGAAAAGATTGCTAGCCAGTGTGGGCCTGTTTGGGGCATTGATGAGGAGGGCGAGTATAAGACGGCCTATAAGGAGACTGGAGTGCCTAATATGTGGATCATGGTTGGCTTCCTTCCAATGACCCGGTATGCCTCCAAACTACTGGCTTTGCGACTGAAGGCTCTAAAGGAGGGAATTTCTCCAGCTCCTTATAAATTTTAGACGGTATAGACGAAATTTATTGAAAGATTCCGCGTTTCAAAGACTATGAAAATTCCAATATTGGAAAGAGACATCTGCACAGACAGAGATGGCCGACAATTAAATACATCCATGGATGTATTCAAATTAGGTGAACACTTGCTACGCTACAAACATTTGAATCTGAACTGACGATGTAGGATGTAAAAACTAGTATCTGACAGCACTTGCGACTGCTTGCTTTGCACTATATAAACAACTCTCAATGCTCTGCTAGTACATACGACCATAGGGTGTGGAGAACAGGGCTTCCCGTCCGCTCAGCCGTACTTAAGCCACACGCCGGTCAGTTAGTAGTATGGTGGGTGACCACATGCGAATCCTGACTGTTGTATGTTTTCTTTTTCTTTTTTTCCCCCCCCCTTGATCGTCTTCTTTTTGTTTCGTTGGGGAAGTATCCTTGCCGCCCTGCCACTTCAGCTCATTCAGCTGTTGATATTAAATAGTCTCCGGGTCATAACTTAGGGCCCCTTGGATATGTTTTCCAGCTTCAAGATCTCGAGAGTAAACATTGAAGCACGCGAAGTAAAACATAACATGACATCGGTAGTAGGTTCCATGACACGTTTAAGGAAGATGGTCAACTGGTCGCATCATTGGAATCACCTGACCTTCCCCAAGACTCCATCCAGAGACAAAGACTGTTTGGACCCACTTTGGGCCTCTCAGCCAATCAGGCGCTGCAAAAAAACACAGGTTCCCGCGTAGTAGAGGGCGGGACGGGATAGATGTCGCGTCTCCTACTTGTAGAAAATAAGTACTATATAGCTTACTCGTGACTGTTTGAACAATAGACAGATTGATTATCTTACTTAGTCTCAGCGGTATTTAAGTCTATAAATATTGAAATTTTCTATCAAAAGCTGTATAAGTCTAGATCCAAATCTAGAATCATCACTGCTTATACCAATCATCAAACCCGAGATCCCACACAAACAGAGGCGTATTGATACGCTTCGCCTTTCCTTGCGCAGCCAATCCATTCAACGCATCCATATCCGCACTGGACAAAGCGATGACTTGGCTATTGCTCACGATCCGACTTTCTTTAATAGACTTGGGCAGTACAACAACACCCCGGTTGACATGGTAGCTAACAAGGATCGTGGCAGCCGAAACATCGTTCTTCTTAGCAATCTCCTGGATTGCAGGATCGGACAAGAGCGGAGCGCCTGCAGCCATGTCAAGTCAGTAAGTAAGCGCTAACTTGCAGAATCTCCATACACCACATCAAGGAGGAGCTTACCTTCAGAGCCGAGTGGTGAATACGCCTCGAGAAGAATACCACGCTTATCGCACCACTCCTTCAATGCGTGCTGAGGAAGGAAAGGATGTAGCTCGACTTGGTTGACGGCAGGGACCACAGTCCACTTCTTCTCGAGTGCCTCGAGATAGGAGATTGACCAATTGGCTACGCCAATCGCCTTCACTTTGCCAGCTTTGTATACCTCCTCCATCTGGCGCCAGGTCTCGTTCTGGTCCCAGGATCGGTCGATAGATCGTGTGCCATCGGGGTTGGCTGGTAAAAGGGCGCTCGACTCATTCTGTGCGTGATTGTTAGTTGTGGAACTTTAGTTAATAGAGACAGTAGAATGACTTACCGGGACAAGTCGGACTGGCCAGTGAATGAGCTGGAGTTGCTTGTGTTAGCCGAGCTATTAACAGCCGTGTTGTGTCCGCATGATCAGAAAGGGAAGAGGGCCAATTTAGGTAGAGATCGAGGTAGTCCGTGCCTAAGGCATCAAGAGTCTTCTGGAGACCTTCGGCGACATTGTTCTGGTGGGTGTACCACAATTTGCTCGTGATAAAAATGTTTTCGCGAGGGACACCGCTATCCTTGATGCCCTGGCCGACTTCGTGCTCATTTCCTAGAAATCGTATTAGACTCCACAATCCTATTTGTTTTGTCTATCGCGAGAACCCACCATAGATTCTGCGATTTATTTATTAGCCAAGAGGATACGCTTCAAAGGAGAGACATAGATCTTACAATGCGGCGTCAATGTGAGTATATCCGTTCTCGAGGGCAAATGACACGGCTTGCCGCACTTGACCAGGCTCAGATCTCCAAGTGCCTGTATTTCAAATTAGCAAATTTTGCCCAAACACCTAGAGGTCACCGGATGTATCGTACCAAGTCCCACGGCAGGGATCTGGGCACCAGTGTTGAGCTTAAAGTGAGTCGCAGGAACCATGTTGAGTGTGGATGTGGATAAATGGGGTTGTAACGCAAGGTGTGTGTGGGCCTGAGGCTTTATATAGCAGCTCAGGGGTAAACCACGCAGGATAAAAAACAAAGATGTACGGCAATGGAGCTCTTTTTATCGTCGGGGAAGTCGCCAGAGCTCGTTTCAACCAAGAAACATCGCCCAGCTTTCAGTAAGTTGCCCTGCACAAGATCGGGTGAAGTCCGATCTACCCTCCCACTCAGAGGAATAACGCGTGGGTATGCACAAAGTGGAACCCGCAACATATTGGCCAGCTTCCAATTTTCTCGTTACAAAATACTCATCGTACAGAGTTAAGAAGTCGGCGAATTATTTCCTAGTCCAAAAGTTTGCAGTTTGCCACCAGTTTGAAGCAGAGCGCGGCGCGTCCTTCCAAAAACGGTAATATTGAAGATCGTCAAAAGGCGGGGTTGGATTATGTCATTGCGGAGCCGCAATCTTTTGGAGTCTTGGCTGCTAGTGCTGGTTATCTTTGAAAATTGAAAAATAATTCAAGGTCTGAACGTACCTTACTCATATGACCAAAACCCTTTGCTGGCAGGGGCTGAAGCTTGGGTCAACAGACTGACACCTGAGGGCCGAAAATTGGATTGCCTAGGCAATGTAGATATCTGTTTATCGCTCTTTACTACATTCCTCACATAAATGGCCCCAGCATGATACAGAATGCATCAATCTGACTCGAAACTCGATATTCATGTTGCATTCCATTGGAATGTCCGCTTATACCTACACTGAGGTGGCTTTTTCCTACAAATCAATGCCTCTCAATTCCTCATGCCGGATAGACACGCATACTTCACGTGGGTTTGCGGGAGAAAGAGCCGATGAGGCAGAGAGATCTGCAAGAGTATGAAATCTTCATTTATGTTACTTCGACGAACTCATCATTTGTAGGTATAAAAGACTAGATTGCTCTTATTCACGAGGAATAAAAAAGCATCATCCAAATCCAAAGAGAAAGCTTGAAACAGGTCCAAATCGTGTAAGTGCGCTCCCACGTGTCACAATTGGATGTCTAAAAGAATAGATTTTTCCAAAACTGACCTCTCTTTGAACTGATATTTCCAGCAATTTTTGCTAGACTATTCTTCCCGCTAATATGCCTCCATCTTTCACTGCCATTCTGACGGCCATTGGCGTCTCTGCCCTCTTCATGGCTAACACAGCCAATGCGAATGGCTGCTACTCCGGTGGTGAGACATTCAGCCAGGTAGCCTCCCACGACGACATTTTCAACGCAATGGATAGCGTTTGCAATGGGTTCGCGGGAACATTCACTTCAGGCGAAGAGAAAGCCGCCTGCAGCACTTTTTCGGGAAATCGTATCAATTGGGCTGTGAAGAACAATGACGGGAGCTCTCAGACACTGGCTGCATCTGATTGCATTGCTGCGATGACGATTGAGATCAATGCCTGCTCCCATGGAAGTGAGCAGGACCATGGTGACTTCCACTATATCGATGACCCGAACGCGGGTTCTTGCTAGATGATTCAGTGATATGCTATGATTCTGTATCTTGCGGGGTGGTATTTTGGCAGCCACAGGCTTGTCGTACGGGTCGATTAGATGTTGAAACTACGCGTGCATCTGTTTCAGTGTTAGTGCAAATGCCTGCCACCTGGGCATGTATCTTTGAACAATCACAAGTATCTGCCAAATTTATTTTTCCCCTGCGTTCGTTTACAAGTTTTCGTACATTGGAAAATGTTTATCAAGGATAAGATAAATGTTTGTCATTGCTTATCTTTGGCTGCTTATGAGCGCTCTTCTAGTCTCAAGAGCAATCCACTTCTCAGGCCAAAGAAACACCGTGGGAACAAAATATGAAGTCATCTCATCCCTTCCAATATTTTAATTTCTCCATTCTGCAGATCTTCATTCTGCAAGATGATTGTCCAATGAATTCCCTCGGGAATCAAGCAATGACTGTTGCAGATGTTCAAAATCAATAGAAACGAAATAAAACTAGAAAGCCCTACCCCATAGACTAAATCCTTATTCAATTTTTGCAAAATGATTGCTCTTGGCAAAGCTAGAAAGATATCAACCTTCCATACAAGTACATCCAGGGGTAGTGGTGTCTGATTGACCACATAAAATAACTGTGACCTCGAGATAGGGGAAATGTAGTTCAACGACTCACCTGTTTGCATGCGTCACTTTTTCTGCAGGCCTCGAGATTAGTCAGTATATATCCTACATATAGTCTTGGAAGGGCATACAGGCCCACTTTAATGTATCACAAGTAAAAAAATTGGGAGCACTTATGTCTGCCACCCATAGGGGAGAAATCAATTGAACTGAACTCACAGCGAGACAGACATCACACAAGAAACCATCTGTAATGTTGGTGTCCTCAACAGCGGGGGCCGCAACCGCAAGGGCCACGAAGAAGACAGAAACCATCACAGTGAAACGCATTCTGTTGGTACACAGTAGCTTTGGAAATTTTCAGATATGATCTTTTGAGAAGTAATGGTTTATCCAATGTTTGAAAACTTATGACAACAAACTGACTACTTCGATGTGGGGAATGAGGTCGATCATATAGAAGATATCGGTGTCACTATCTACTAGTCTTAAAAAAACACATCGTGGCCCCACTCAGCTACGGACTCGGAGTTAAGGCAGTTCCACCCACTTCTAGTACACTCGGAAGAGCAAGCTCCAATCTCTCCAACCTGTTTCACGTTGTGGTTTTTGTTCAAGATAATTCCAAAATCAGAGTACTACGTAACTTCTTGTCATGAAGGCACGGCGAATACTAGAGGTCCAGTGCAGTATTAGAAACCCCCGACAACAAGGGTGGATAGATATTGCTGGATAAAGTATTGTCAAATGGTGGCACAAAGATCAAAAAAAGGATCTTGGCATTAGGGGAACCCTTATGATTAGCGGAGATGCCGAGATCCGAGTTCATGGCATAGTTGCACACCGAATGAATTGATGCAGTGTTATATTTCATGGATCTGGGTTGCGTAGTCAAATGTCAAGATCCGACATCATATGCGATGTCGCGTGGTAAGTAAAGGTTCAATGTTGGAGCGTCTTTTTCGGTTTTTTCTTCTTGCTGCATGAATCCATGATCCCTGGTATGGATGGAGACTCAAAACAAAACCCAGAAGGTCTGTAGACAAACCCAGTATCTAGCTGATTGTTGCTACTTGGTTTGGCCGCATACATATTGGACACTGGAAACTCTCGTTGCTCCTTCTGCTGGAAATCTCAACGTGAGTTTGAAGTAGATTCAAGAAATTGTGAGCCTTATCCCTGCACAGATCTTCCACATGCGACCAATAAGCACCGGTTGAATTTAAGGTAAGTCTAGTCCTATCTCCTGCTCTTCATCACAAGTTGTGTTTTCACGACTCTCGAGATTGTCTTCGTTCAATTCGGTTTCATCGTTGTCACCTGAAGTGAATACCGGGCCTTTATCGCATCGATGATTCATGGATCCCAGATAAATGCCGCACAAACGATAGCCATCTACTTATTTCAATAAATGCTCCCAGACTATCCGTACTCGTTTCAGCGGGGTCGGACCAACAAGAAAAGTACCCGCAGCAATGTCCCTCACCCAGCCTCCAGGGGCCAGGATAGGAGCCTTCTTGGGTATTCAAGTCATGAATAAACTCAGCAGTTGCACATAGCTCTCCGATGATTACATAAAGTGACAGAAAAAAGTACCGTAACGGCATGATACCCCGAGGCACGTTCTGAGCAGGATGTGGTTCCACAACGATCATTTTGTGTTTTGCGATGGATTCAATTTCTTGGCGCCTGTTTCTTGAAGCGCTACCTCATGGTCATTCGGGTATTACCCGAGTTCTTGTCATTCAGCTGCACACGTGGGGGTCTGATTGCAACAATAACAAGGAATTCAAGGAAGTCAAGAAAAACATCATCGATTTGATTTACAATTTACAAACAAAACAGATCTGAGATCACATGATCCATGATTCATGTTTTGGGGAAGCTAGGCCGGACTGGGAATATCACGGATCACGATTGCTGGTTGTATTAATTAGTATGGACTCATTGAATCCGTCCAAATGTTTGTTTTATTGTATTGATTTATGATCTTGTAAATCCATAACGTCTTGCCAAGATTACGGAGTTCTCCGTAGATATTAGTCTTATTTTGACCATTTTCGATCAAGAATCAAGTTTCGGTGGTTCTGTTTGTTGCCTCACTGGGACTAGTCGGTAGTGTGGATAACTTTCAAGTATCCACCACAGCTCTAGACTTTTTCTTCTCTCGCCACTCAACGGATACTGCCTATCGATCACTGCTATGATTTTTGGTCTCTCGTGCACCTTAAGTAGCTTATACGGCTTCCAATAACCACTATTGTGGACTAATCTACACTCTCGCAGATTTGCAGCCGACGTTTTCGTTGAAGCTATCAGCCTTTACTCAAAGGCCTTGTAGCTTTCAGGGACCCACATCTGGCAAAAAAAGAGCAAACCCAGCCGAGTCAGCCACAGCTAACGGAGAAGAAAAGAAAGGACGAAATAAACGACGACGCCATGCTATCATTAGTCGATCGATTCAGGGGTAGCTGTGCGGAGTGCAAAACGTGATTTGGGGAATTCATAAAGACCCTGATTTCTTACGACGGTCGGCATCCTCTTAGCCTTTGGGTCACCCTTTATACTGTTTCTTGGACTCATTTTCCATTGATTGATTCACCATGAAAGGCCCCCGATCATGGATTTACTTCCTAGCCTTGGCTTTGCTATGCCCTGTTGACGCGTCTACTTCCTTGTCTTATCATCCCAGCTCGCCCATCAGCAGCCAGGCTCATATCCACACCGCGGTCTGCCATACTTCGATTGGGTTGACATCCGTTGCTTCTGTGCCAACAACGACTATCACCCGGCGCATACATGACCCATCTCCAGTTGTGGTCTTCTCCAGGACTCAGGAGACCGTCACTATCACTCCATCAGAGTCAACATTGACAGTGACAGATTACGAGACCACTACTGTTACTTCCACCGCAAGCACCGTCACAGATGTATTCTCAACAACCTCGACTGAGTTTGATACTGTGACTTCGACTGTGACTCCTGCTGATATTACATCAACTGCCTACTCAACTGTGTCGATTAGTGCCACTATCACTGCAACTATTGCCGCCTCTGCGACCTTTACTCCTATTGCAGATACTCTGACTACTACTACTGCTCTTGTGGCGCGATCATTCGAGCCTTCTCTGGAAAATGACTGTTCTCCTACAGTGGATGATTACCAATATCCCCAGGAGGTTATCTGCCACGAGAAGATTATCATCAGAACTACAACAACTTCTACTGTGACCGAGTCTCCTGCCACCGCAACTGCTGCCGTTCCTTCCACTACCGTGGTAGAGACCAGTACCATCACGACAAGCTCGGTTGTTGTTCCAGAGGATGTCTCTACCACACTTAGCTACAGCGCTACCTCCACCATTACCGAAATTTCCACGGCACCTGCTGTAACGGATACCGTGACCTCTATTGTCACCGTGACAACTGCCGTCACCACCACCTCTGCCTACGCTGCATGTGCTACCAACAACATCGCTGGCTCTCCTCTTTCCTCGGATTTTGGCGGCTTAGCAGGAGAATACGTTTATTCCCTGTCTTGGGGTACAGTGTCTGGCTACGGCTCCAGTGTGCATAGTGTCGACACCGCTGAAGATTGCTGTATAAGCTGCCAAGAGCAATCTAATTGCATGGGTACTTTCGGTCGAAACATTGGCGCGTATTACTACTGCTACCTGATCACGACAGACACCTGTTCATCTTCTTCTACCTATGGCCTTATTTACCTGTCGAACGCAGCGACATCTTACGATTTTGAGGCTAGTAATGGAAACTGTGGTCAGTGGAGGAAGTCCTCCTAGCGTGATTTGTTGATTCGGGAATGAATTAACTTGGCTTTAGTAGGGTGTCTTCCCTACACACTGATGTATGTAGAAAGATATTTTCTTCCAAATAGTTTGTTCCTATAGGGTCTTTTGCATAGAGTCTTCCCTACGTTAAATCCTTGTGATTGTGACACATTTGCATGAAAGAGAGTTTGATAACTGCATCCTGCTCATCTGGAGTATAGTATGAACATGTGTGACTCATGTTGGGTTTGAGATCGGACACCGATGTACTGGAATTCCACTCTTCTTTCCTGACTTTCCTCTTCCGCATTAGTGCTCTCACCCTTTGCCGCTTTTTGCTCACTGAGGAAAATTGAGCACGACCCTGAGCGCCATGATCCGATCAGCGAGCATTACATAAGCGAACTGGTCTGCCCACTGTGTATCACGTGATACTCACCTGAGCAGTCTGATTCACACACTGAGGCTTGAGCCTGATCTGAGCGCCCTGATTTGCTCACATGCACGAAGTCTGAGCTGAGCCTGGACTCTAAAGAAATAATTATAATCTGATTGGTTATGGGCTATGCATATATCCAAAAGCGGCGAAAGGTACATGTAGCACTAAGAAGAAATACGGCTGTAATCACTGGCCGTTTGAAGCTGAATCTACAGAAATCTCGAATTCAAATGTTAGATGTTCTAATTTTCAAATGTTCCGTTGCTCATTCCACAAATATTCCAGAATCATGGATGTAACCTCAAGGGCCAAGGCTGACAGTTGACTATAAGGCTAGCGCTACTGTAATCAGCAAGCCTGTGTGAAGTTTGCGGCTTCAAATGTTTACAATTCACCAGCTGACCAAAATTATCTGGCTAACTGTGGTCATCCATTGACAACTCACATATTCTGATCGAGCTTTGTCTTGGCAATCTCAGCATGTGGTTAAGCTTGGCGAATTAATTCGCAAGTCAAGCTCAGCAAGCATTGATTTGTCGGTCTTGGCGATACCCCTCGCGGGTTGGGGCATTTCTGGACATCGGCTCACGTCAGCCAGCAAACATTGAAGGAATGACTTCGGGAGTGATACCCCTCTTGTTCCTGGCTTGCATATTCTTTTTTTTAGTAGTTGACTTCTATTCATACTATGTATCTTGAATATATTGGAATTTATCTTTTCATTATCTCATACAACTTCAGGGTTCTATTCCATATAAGTTACCATTTTAAGTATAACTTGTACATGTGCAGCCCACGTCCACATGTGCATGGATGTGAACTACTAAGTCTTACTAAATATGCATGCCAGAGCAGGTCTGGGGTGCATTTCTTTCAGCCTTGAAACTCTAATGGCAGGTGTTCAAGTAAATATTTCAGTTTCCGTAAGGCTTGCCCTGCGCTAAACCTTCAAAGGAAGCCGATAGACTTTATTCATCGATGCTGTCTCCACTTCAAGGGGTCCACGGGTCATTATCCTTAATCTATACGGATCAGGGTCTTTCAAGCACTTGAGTGCTAGATCCACATGGAAATGTTGATCTTCAGCTTCCAACTAAACATTTTGAATAACCCAAGTGCCAGATAGGTTGTCATGCACGAGTGACGAGAGGCTTACTATTTACGCCCACGATGTATTTAGAACACCCAATTTAGTAAATTGAAGACCAGAATACTACTATTATGGATAAACAGTGCTAAATTACTTGACTGGTCATCCCTAGCGCCGAAATCCTCTTCAAATGTTTGACAGAATCGACACTGGCGAACCATCATGTGACCCGCAGGAGCAGCCACTGTCACTTGTCTCACTGCATGTGCCTTGGGAGTCCCTCGAAGGAATCAATGGTCGACTATGGGTTGCCTGAGTTTAAAGTGGCTTGCCGCTGCTTGCTAGCTAAGGAGGCATGGTAGAAGTATATGGGGGCGTGGAGTAATATTGATATTAATATCAATGTTCTCAAAATAGAGACGTCAGCGTTGAAGTCTGCATTGGCAGCCCCGCATGCACTCTCGCAGAAAGTAATCTGTGCATTCAATGATTGGATTGGTCTAGTATCATTAGTGCTTAGCATTTAGCGAGTTTCCAAGCTTCTTGGCGAAATATAGGGCCCTGGGGTATCTGGGCAGAATTTTGCGACATGATACTATTGGACTGGTGCTTAGCATTTAGCGAGCTTACAAGCATCTTGGCGAAGCATAGGGGGCCTAGGATACCTACAAGGTAAGATTTTGTGAGATGAAAATTTGATGAAGTTACTCCATAATGCCCAAGTCTCCAAGATAAGTATAAAAAGAAGTGATATCCTGCTCTAAAGAAGTTCAAATACCATCAAGCATTCTCTTCGCCCTTCTTTCTACATTCATCTTTCCAGCAGCTTTCGATCGAGCCTAACCAGCATAGCTCTTGAGGCACATACTTCTATCTTTTCACAAAGATGAAACTCCACGCCCCCATTGTTGCCATCTTCTACATTCTGATTCAGTCAACAATGGTTGCATCGCTGGCTACCGTGGACTACTGCATCACTCCAGGTAATTGCGAACCGGTAACTCCAGCTGATGGCGTTTGCAGTAAGATATACCCTTCCGATAACAACCCTCCCTCTCTTCTCTTTCTGAAACCTACAACCACTCGAGGAAATCGATAAGCTAACTTTAAAAAATTCACTAGTCAATCTCTCGAGCGCCTTCAATGATAAAATCACGAGTGCTACGATCTCAGGTGGCATGTGTGTATTTTGGGAGTGAGTTTGTTCTGTCCATTTAACTCTCAGGACTTTCTAGCAAGGCTCTCTCATAATGAACATTCGAACTAATAAGTTTGAACAACAACTAGGGATTACAATTGCTCCAATGATCACACTGCTGCACTCTCTACTACCGTTACTGATTTCAATGACATTTGCAAAGGTAGCAATTGGGCAAGTAGGATCTCCTCCTTCAAGTGTTGCTCCACCGCCGATTGGTGTGCCGGAAGCACTCCTAAATGCACTTGAAGTTCCGAGACGAACCGAGAACTAGGCTAGATGGTAGAGGAAATCATTTTCCATATGTGTGCCATTTTTGGAATGATTTACTCCCAGTCTCGCCATTTTTGATTGTATTGTTTTTGAAGACCAAACTTCCAAGGCTGCTGTCCTTGTAAGTTCTAGGTATTCTCTGGAATTGGGTTTCTCCTACTGGGTTTTTCCATTCCCGTGCGCGAATGCGGGAGTAACCTTATGTTTTTAGTACTTTTGTTCAGTTTTTGAATGCTATGATTCGATTACTACCTTCGCATGCCAACGTAAATAAATTACTATTAGAAACTTCATTGTAGGAGTTATAAGCACAAATACCAGAATGGAAAGCCCTGACCCTGACCCTGACACCCCTTCAAACATAAGAGCGTGCCTGCTAAAGCCAGTTGAGTGTAGTGCCTTTAACTTGTAGGGCAGAGTCCCTCGACACTAGTGTCAACGGGCCGGACCGCTTATCGGGCCCGATTTTGGACAGAGAACAAAAAGAAAAGCAAAAAGAAAAGTCTTGCATCATCCGTGAATCGAACACGGGCCTCGTCGATGGCAACGACGAATTCTACCACTAGACCAATGATGCTAGTTTACGTGAAATGTTCCCAGATACGCTCTGTTGAAGGCAGGTCATACAATTTCCTATTCTTAAGGTGGTTTAATGAAAATACGTAAACACACGCTGCAGACGGCAGAAAATTGAAACGTTGAATACACCGGCAATTTACTGGTGGTTGACGTATAGTTGATCTGTTTTGAAATTATAGGTTAATTGAGTCTAAATCTTGGCTAAACCCATGGCGAACCATTGTGCTGTGGCACTTTTCTCACCGGCCGCACGACGCTCAACGCGGCTCAAGGCCGTTTTTCAGCCACCCGACACTAACGACAGCACTTAAGCCACAAATACTAGTAGCGTTCTGTTTTTCATTTTTCGGTTGGTTTTGTTCATGAGGAGAGTTTCCATCCCTTCCCCTAAACAGCCTATGTAGGCTCCACTATTATAAATCTGAAAATTCTGCACGCCTAAGATAATTTACCGCATAAATCCCATCAATCAATATCTCCAGAGTATTTGAAATTGGCAATATGATTGTCTTACTAATTGACAACTGTGCTTGATAGAAAAAACGGTGACCGAGGTGGAGATCTGCTCTAGTCGGATCAATTATAAATAAGTAAGGGCATATCGATACAACAGTAGACATGAAAGTCTTGAAATTAATTTTTGTAAATGGACCATTGCATTATACGTGCTGGACGCTGAAGTCATGTAGCACATTAATGGTTCCTGGGGGAGTGACACTCAAATTTGAGTGGGACTCTCCAGTTTCATGAGATGTGACATAGGCATTCGTTTTATTGCCCGCTAAATTTCTTTGCGATTCACTTCCGTTTGTGGTCGATATGTGGGTATGAACAACCTCATGGTCAAACCGATTCATCGGGTAAATATTGTTCCTCTGTGAATCTTGAAGGCGTTCAAAGGTTTGTGGGTCAGAGACGCCATATCCTGTTTTGCCGGTTGAGAAGAGACCGGGAGCGACGCGAGCCACGATTGTCTTCAAAAGAGGCATGTTTGCGCAAATGATGGCAAGCTCGGGCTCGATGACCGTCCACATGACGCCCATTTGAACGGACCTCGTAATATCGCTGAAATCGATGGCCATTAAGGATACCAGACGGACGATACTGATGATAGAGACACTGTAATGGTATTTGTTTAGCGATGAGAAGCGGAAAGGGTAGAAGGTATGTATACGCACAGTAGACCCATGGAAAAGACACCGCACAAAGCGACCTTCTTTGCAGTTCCAAGGTGCAGTTTCCAAATATGAGGCATCGGAAGAGCCATAACCATCAAATCCGTCACCAAATTCATGACGCCTGCAATGACATATGTCGCATTTCGATCACCGCAGACGCCAGCAATTGAGGTGTCCCAGTTATACTTCAACGGCCGACACAGTAGGAAGGTTTCCAGAATTACACTGGCTGACCAGCACCACACGATAGTCATTGTGATAGCGACTTGGATCCGGAAGCTGCGCTTGGTGCCAAAGATGCGCAGATAAAAGGTCATAATCGAAGTCTTGATTAGGGCGAGCACAATTCCGTACAAAGCTTCAAGAGGTAGGATGGTCTGTAGATATATTCATCAGTATGAATAAATTCAAGCCAAAGAGCTGGGTCTAGCTGGGCATCTCACCTTCAAGGTAAATATCACAGATGATGGATCTATAGTGGCTGAATTTCGGCCCGCTCCACCGATAATGGTCACTATTCGTGCGTAAGTCGTTCATGTTTTTTCTCCATGATGGAATCGAGAGCTGAGTATCTCCAACATTGAAACATACAAATATACTCGAGGGCTATATCGGCATACACAATGAGCTGTTTATTATTAGCTCCGTCATACTTTTTCTCTTGGAAGTTTTCAAGTGAAACTCACCAGTGCTGCCAAAATAAAAAACTCGGGCAGTCCTGGACTGACTCGTCTCAGCTTGAGCGCCCAAAATCGTAACACGGTGGTGATGGTAGCTAGACCGCCCAACACCGTGACCGCAATAACCGGATTCCGGCTAAGCGGCGTGGTTAACGGGTATGTGATAGTCATGTTTGAAGCACAACTCCCGCCAGGGCTCTTATCCTCTCCTCTCCTACCAGTACCGAGTAGGGAAATAGAATCGCTGTCGCAAACTTTGGCAGTTCAACAAATGACCAGTGGTCAGCATTTTCGTTTCCTGAAAAAAAAAATAAGCGTACGCCACCCTTTGCAAACTAATTCCTTCCACGTGTGAAATTAGTGGGCATTACGGAGTTTACTCGGCAACATGTACATGAAGGCGCTAGCTTTAAATTGTGGATCTGTATCAGACTGGATGTGCTGGATTTGCCTTTCGTTCCCGACCGGGAGACCGGGAGTCCTCCGCCCGAACCAAAGTTTTCTCGGGTTTTCTTCTTATTGTTCACTACAAGTCATTGTGATAGGCTCTTCAACCCCTTAAACGTACTTTCCTATCCACCGATCTTCACCTTGTTTTACCATACTGGTCATTCTTCCAACGCTAGTTACACTCCAATTTGAATTGATGGGCCGAATTGCCGTCAATGGCCAATCAACATTCTATCGGGGACCCGTTCACTTGCAGGATTTGCATTCCTAGGAATTGTCCTTCTATTTCAAGTTAGGCTTCGGGCGTGAACTGTCAATCGGGGATAAGTTGACAAACGGTTTTCTTGGCCCAGGCCTTGTTTGCCACGTCGGCATTTCAAAAATGGATTCTGTTATCTTCGTCTCCCCACGCATCCTTCGCTTATCCTGTCCCTGGCCACTCCGATCTAAGTCTTGGAAAAAATGGCGTCTATTGATACCTCGTCACTTGCTGACTTGAGCAAAGAATATGATTATATTGTTGTTGGCGGCGGCACATCGGGCTTGGTGGTAGCCAGTCGATTGACTGAGGACCCCTCATGCAGTGTCCTCGTTCTGGAAGCAGGAAAGAACCAGGTTGATGATCCGCGAATTGCAGCTCCTGGTCTGGCAGCGACAATTTATTCTGACCCAGAGTTCGACTGGTGCATTACCAGCACACCCCAGGTATGCATAGCTTCTTGATGATTTCACTTGGCTCAAGTATTCAACCCCGCTGACTTGTTGCTAGGAAAACCTCAATGGACGACCCCTTTCCCAGCCTCGCGGGCGCACACTTGGTGGCTCCTCAGCTATCAACCTTGGCATGGCCATCTACCCCAGTCAGACTGATATCAACCTTTGGGAGAAGCTTGGCAATGACGGTTGGAACTGGGAGTCATTATCACCATATTTGAAGAAGTCGCAAACCTTTACCCCACCATCTGCTGAGATCCAGGAGCAACTATCGTTGGATTATATTGATCGGTCGGTTCAGGGTGACTCGGGTCCAGTTCAAATTTCTTTTGGAGAGGGGCCGTTCCCGTCGTTTATTGGAGCATGGCCCAAGGTATTCCAGACCCTCAATCACCAAATCAGCGGAGATCCAATGTCGGGAGTAGCCAGAGGTGCTTTTTGCAATCCAGCCACTATCAATCCCACTAGCAGAACCCGCAGTCATGCTGGCGTGACGTACTACAACCCCGAAGTGGCGAAGCGATCCAACTTGAGGGTCGTTACCGAAGCTTATGTGCAAAAGGTTATTTTAGAGAAGGATGATACACCGGATGCCAAGGCTACCGGCGTTCAATTTACCGGCAAGGATGGCATCGAGCGAATTATTTCGGTTAAGCGGGAGATTGTTATGGCTGCTGGCGCGATCAAGACCCCCCATATCCTCGAGCTATCTGGTGTTGGTGACGGTGCCCTTCTTCGATCCCACGGTATCGAGCCCATTGTCGAGAACCCCAATGTTGGAGAAAACCTCCAGGAGCATGGCCTTGTGTCATTTAGCTGGGAAGTTGCCGAAGGCCAGATGACTGGTGAGGCTCTCCGAATCCCCGAGATTGCAGGTGCAGCCATGGCAGCCTGGCAAGAATCCGGAGCTGGACCACTCGGTCTCTGTCCACTAGCATCTGCATACATGACTCTCCCAGAGCTAGCAGATGGCGAGTTACAAAAGCTCTTGGACGAAAACCTCCAAGATCAAAACTTATCACCGGGATTGAAAGCCCAATATCAACTACTGCGAAAAATGTTGGAGGATGAGATTGAGCCTAGCGGACAGTATACTTTGGCGCCATTCCAAATCCTGCCCGAAAAGGGACCCAGCCCGAAGGGCATCTTTGGCATGACAGAGCCAGAGAACTTCGTCAGTATCGTCTCCGTACTCAACCGACCTTTCTCTCGCGGAAACGTGCATCTCACTTCCTCGGATGCGAAAGAAAACCCCCAATTCGATCCTGGCTTTTTCTCACACCCTCTCGATCTGGAGCTTCACGCGCGCCATGTTCGTTGGCTGGAGACGCTTGCTTGGACCGAGCCTATGGCTGCGCTCTTGAAGCCTGATGGTCGGCGTTTGCAGAAATCATCTCGCGACATAACTCTTGAGACCGCCCGCGAACTGACCCGTGATAGGATTATCTGCCATTACCACGTAGCGGGCTCTACTGCCATGATGCCTCGTGAAATGGGTGGTGTTGTGGACTCCAAGCTGAAGGTTTACGGCATTAAGAACCTACGGGTGGTGGATGCTGGTATCTTCCCTTTGATCCCTCGTGGAAATATTCAGACTACGGTCTTTGCAGTTGCAGAGAAGGCTGCCGCAATTATTGCTGCCGATGCAAAGCTTTGAATTGGAATTTTTGCCATTGAACATCAATAGCCCACGCCCATAGATATAGAAATATAAACCTTCAATGTTCCCAAATTCGGACATGCTGTATGTGCCTGCGCAGATGCTTATATAATATCAATTGATTCAATCCTCATGGAGTAAAGTCGCGGTCCCAGATCCGCATCCTGTGAAGATAAGAGCGCATCAAGTTTGACCCCGCATAGTTTTGTCATCAATCCCGGCCCGGGATTTCGCTAGCTCAGTCGGAGTTTTGCGTCTCAGTCAAGACCCACTTCGGAGTCATTATCACAAACGATCCATGGATGTTATTCCGCCAATTGCTGGGTGATAATAGAACATTGAAATATATTCCTCATAATACGCCCGGTATTTTTCGGAATCGACATCAATATCAATAAGCACAGTGAGGCGCAATGATGGATTGGTATAGATAAATGAAGTGTATATATTGCGCCAACATTTGAACATGTGAAGCTTCAATGATATTTTGGCCATCAATGTGTCCGCACGGTTATGTGTCAACGGTAATACCCGGATTAGTCGACAATCGGACCAGCCGTTTAGGTGCCGCACTGACTCGGCCGATACCGCAAATCATCACGTCACTGCTAAGAGAAAGAGTTACTGCGCAATTGATAAGTCCAGCAGTAGGGCTATCACATATAAATCGTTTAGTAACCAATTGATTCTCCCATCTCAATTATTTTCACACCACACAATGAGCAGTAAGTCCCTTTAAGCAAGGTGGAAGAACGGTGGTCTAGAACAATGCGGGAACAGTGCAAGTACTGAGATTAATTAAATCCTAGATCTCCAACTCCCCCCCCGTCTTCCCGTTCCTCAGGATGATGGCGCCTGCGACCATCTGTCCGCTCACCCCGCCTTGTCGTCCGTTTCTTTGGCTAGTACCAATCAATCTAATGTCGACCTATCCGCCCTAGCCGGGTTGACTCTCGTCTTCTGCTATCCCCGTACCGCCCAAGCGAACGAAGAGATCCCCGATTCTTGGAACAACATCCCAGGAGCTCGAGGCTGCACACCCCAGGCGTGCTCCTTTCGGGATAATTTACCAGAGTTGAAGAGACTAGGCGTGAATAATCTCTTTGGACTCAGCACCCAGCCGACCAATGAACAGGCAGAGGTACATGAGCGGTTGCACCTCGCATACCCACTGCTTAGTGATTCCCATTTGGAATTCGTGCGGAGTCTATCATTGCCTGTGTTTGATTGGAACGGAATGACATTGGTAAAACGCATAACGCTGGCCATCCGGGACGGCAAAGTCATCCACCATTGGTACCCGATCTTCCCTTCACATAAGAATGTGGATTTCGTTTTGGACTGGCTGCGAGAGAATCCCATCGCCGGGAAGATATAGGCTACATAGCTCATAACAATTCCAATGCGATTTTGAAATGCCGAGGTTTTTTTATCGTGCGAAAAATGGAGGCTCAGAGATCATCCAGGCGTGATTTGATCTAGTGTTAAACACTATACTTGTTACCAGCTTGTCTTCATGCACAGTGAGTACTAAGTAGGCACAGTTCTTGGGCTATATTACATCAAATAGAGTCCGCAATCGTACAATTGCCAAGGGCCTTACACGGCCTCAGATCTATCGGAGTTTTTGCAAGGGTGTGCTTCTGTTGTAGCCCCGGACGGTGAGTCGGAGACGAACTACTAGTATCAATTGGATTAAGTCGCGATTGAGTTCAGTCGCGTCAAGCGGCGAAACTACGTTATCACGTGAGAGATGACTCATCCTATATCCGACGTTCCCTGGCACTTGACACCAATTAGGTTGACATTGGAAATTGCGCAAAGCGGATCTATTCTTGTCGATAACAACGTCTGAGCCTCACAAAATCTACTCATATCGGCATCGTTGCCAAATCAATGCATCCAGCGAAGTTAGGACCTTCCCGTCGAGCTTATCGGGCGTGTGCTCGATGCCGGAAACGAAAGACAAAGGTAATGACGCAGCAGAAGCCATCATGCATACTATGTGCTTACCTCGCTTAGTGCGATCTTAAATATCCAACTTGTACACCGTGTTTAAACAGAGGTGAACCTTGCCATGGCTCTGATGATCGGGCTGGGAATGACACTTCGCGAAGGTCAGATTCTGATTACTGGTATCTAAGGCCCATAATTAATGTCTATCTACTGACAACGAAGATAGCCTGGTAAGGTCGCTCGAAGAGGATGTCAGCCGGCTCGAGGCAGAATTGCAAATTGCCTCTCAAAATGTGGAGCACGCTAGTGATGATCTGGCCACTAGAATTGCAGAAGCCACATTCACAGTCGGCATGCCGGCCGCAGGTTCATTTTTTAGCACCAGCAGGCTATCAATGTTATTCTTTACGCCATCTGTTCCTCCCTTGATAATTCTTCGAACTGCACGATCGGACTTGCAGTCAATGTCTACGCGGAAATCGCCACATGAACTGTTTACCTCTCTTGTCCCGCCCCATCGCCCGCCAATAGGATTGCGCAATATACCAATCAAGGCTATGATGCGCCTAATAAAACACTACACGAGTACCATGATTCAAGATTATCCTATCATTGACAGAGACTGGTTGGATAACGTATTTCAGCATCTGTCTCAACCCCGGTCCGAATTGCATCTGACTGATTTCGAACTTTACCTCATTTATATGGTACTAGCTATCTCGTCAGCTGCACTGACTTGGAGGATCTACCCACGAGATAGGAAAACATCGCTTTCTATGCTCTCCTCAGCAATACAGCATTTGCAACAAATCACCGAGATGCGGGAGATCATTCGTTTACAAGCAGTGCTGCTTCTAGCACACTATGCTCATGTTAACCCCGAGATTATTGATACGTGGATGTGTATAACGAATGCGGTGAGCATAGTATCCAATCTGGGCCTCCACCGCCAGCCAACTACACCGATTGATGCATCCGAAAGAGAAATGCGTCAGAGATTATTCTGGATTACATACAACATGGATAGATCGCTCTCAGCGATGTTAAGATTGCCAGTGTCATTTCGTGAAGAGTGTATCTCTCTCAAGGTTTGTGGCTTCCTTCTGTGCCGGAACTAAACGCTAATGATGAATGCCAGCCTGATAACCGCATTTTTATTGATACCCCAAGCAAAGGTTGTTCGCAACGAGATAGTACCACCTACTATCGAAGCATCGAAATTGAGGTCCATCGCGTTCTTCATCTGAAAGAGGATACTCCGAAATTGATGCATAGGGGCCTCACAATGTGGATCCCAGATGTCAGCTCTTCTCTCGAGGAATGGTATATCACGACACCTCAGGATGCCCCAAAAGAGACAGTCCTATTCAGACATCTGATGTACAATTATTTGAAAGCGAAGATCTACAGGCCAACACCTCAACTCCCAACGCGAACGGCAAAAGACCGTCAAATGTGTTTTGATGTCTGTCAGAGGATCATCGAAAGCGGAAATAGCTTGTTCGAGTGCAAATTAATCACCTATCCGTGGCAAATGGTCCATATCCTTTTCGGCGCTGTGGTCATTCTTCTTGAGGCGTGCTGGCAATATCGCTTCCAGCCTTTGATGACACCCTCGGTGCTTCATGTCTTGTTCGTGCTGATACCGCAATGCCTTGAAGTACTTAGCGAGATAGGCAGGGGATGGAGTGAAGCCAACCTATGCAAAATGTGTCTTCAGTCTATGCTGGCAGAAGTCGCCTATACTTATGATCCGTCCGCGTTTCCAGGTCTATCGCCTATGCCTGATGCGGTCACAACGGAGAATTTGAAGAATCTCTTATTCGCGGATAGATTGCCCAGTGACAATATGCTGTCTGATGAAGCTGCTCTAGCCATGGAGTCTCAAATTTTCGAGAACCCCATGTACACCTGGGATATCGACGAAATACAGTGGAGCAGCTGGTGCTAGCCTTGAAATATTGGTAGCGATTTCTTGTTTTGAGCTAACATTGAAGCTTTGATATACATTGATATAAGAAGATTTGACGGCTAACAGTACCTATCTGGAGATAAAAATCAGCTTGAGGAGGATGCTATGGCTGTATATTCTAATTAAGTGTATAAAAAAAAGCAAAAATAAAAATAAACACTATGTAGAAACCATCGTTGGAAAATATATATAGTTTTTATCAATCGAGTCCCAAGCCCAGAGCTTTCTTCGAGACATCTGGACTCAAATGAGCAGTGGCGCAATTGGCTGGGTCTGGCGAAACCAGTATTCAAAGGTTCCCTCAACGACTTTGGGGCGCAGCAAATAGTCGCGCGCCTCGCGTGCCAGATCACCATCGACAGGCTTCAAGGGTCCAAAGACGCTAGCCCGAACTTGAGTTCGAGCGGCGCGTTCAAGATTAACGGCAAGATATGCAGCCTCTTGGACAGTACAGCCAACCGTCAACATGCCGTGATGAGCGAGTAAAATAGAGCGCTTAGTACCGATAGCTTCCGTAATAATTATACCCTCTTGGTCAGCAATGGGCAACCCAGGCCAATCTGCCAGAAAGGCACAATCGTCGTAAAAAGGTGTCATGTCCATCTGGGCGACCACAAGAGGCTGTCGGGCGGCGACTAATGCTTGTACCCAAGGTGAATGCGTATGTATTATACTTTGGACATCTGGGCGACCGGCATACACCCAGAGATGAAATCGAGTTGCCGGGTTTGCCATTCCATTGCCAGTAATGGTGTTGAGGTCGCCATCCACTTCGATAAAGTCTTCCGGCTTCGCCTCGTCCCAGCCCATGCCGTAACGTAGTGTCCAGTAGAAGCCATCACCGCGTGTGGAGCGAGCGCTGATTTGACCAGCGAGCCCTGCATCTTCCTGCTTGGCTGCAATTATGCGGCAAGCGCAAGCCATGGTTTCTTGTAGAGTGCGCTGAGGGAAATTAAGATGATGTTCCATCTCACTGGCTGCGCGCTGATCAAAGTACTCTTTGCTTCGCAGAGGCTTGCCGTTTAGCTTCGGAGCCGGAGCAGGGGTTGAGGCCATTGTAGAGGTGAATGTTGTTTCAGTCGTTGTTTTTCGCGGTAAGAAAGCGTTTCGATGATTTGGGGTGAGTGATAGAGAACGAGCGAAACCTACGCCTCGGATTTAAAGGGCTTCGCATTGATTCTTAATTTGTAAGGTCAGTTTATCGGGGGAATACGATTTGCTGCCATTATGTATCATTCGGAAGAGCTCTTGATTTGTCCGTTCTTGTCCGGGTTTCCCCACGACTCCCAAGCACGTTTCTCCTCCCGCATCTCCGTAAACTCAGCGTAGGTCAAGATAGACATGGGTTTTTTTTTTCGCGGAAAACTCCGACCCAGTTTCGTGAAATTCCGACACTATGCACGGTCCCCTTCCATGGTTCCAATGGTACGAAATGACGGTACAAGTATTATCGGCAAATACCTAATGAAGTCGGCGTACGGGGGTCTAATACTGTCAAATGAAATGTCAAGATCGATGCCCAGGGTGGTATGCCACGTACAAAGTACTAGTAATCAAGCGAATACCCTGATGTCTTGGCGTCATTCATATTTGTGCTTTTACGGATTTTATTCTTAGAATTCGATTTTTGATACCATAGGGTTGTCTCGATTACACCTTGCTGAAAAGGCAATGACGGGTGTCATGTGAACTTGAATGATTATCAAAGTGTCGCATTTTCAAGGTTTCTGGAGAGTATTTCAGCCAAATGTCTCAAGGGCTGAGTAAATATGCCGCCAGGCATCACTGTACTCCTCGCCGCCTTTCCAGCGCACGCGATTTGCGGTGATAATTTCGGTGCATTTCATAAGTATAGTTGGCCAACCATTACATGGCGCCCACCCTTGTTGAACGGCAACTACAAGAGCACATCCAGCTTTGAATGCTCGTGGGGATACAAACATCGGGATCTCATATGATGACTTCACGATCACTGCATCATATGTAGCAGTGATGATGTCCACGGCGGATTTCAAGATCCTAGCCCGAAGGTGTTGGAGGCTACCTGGTATATCTGCTGGGCGTGATTCGCAAGCTAGGCATATCCCATGATCCATAGAGGCAGCAATGAATAAAAGCCATGTTTCTTGTATGACGGAATTCGTCGGCGAGATTTCCTCAATCTCCTGAGCCAAGAAGCATAAAGCATCATCCAAAACACAGTGATTGTTCTGTGAGCCATGATTGAAGCAAAATAATTCAATACATGCCTTTCTATGAATCTTCAACACATTTGCTTCGTAGACAGTCGGAGTAAGGATCAAACTATCCAGCATACTCGGACGATTGAAAAGTATTCTCAGCGACCTGCTGAATCATCAGAAAGTAATATCCAAAAGCAGAAGCTTACATAGACCATCATACCGGTTAATGGAATCCAATACAGAGAGAACTGGATAGGGCGGCGATGCATCCCCACCCGAAGGTACAGGTGATGAAGGAACTCGATTGGAGGGACGATCTTCCGGGTTCTGGAAGCTGTGCCAGCCTTGCTCAAGACAGAGCCGAATTGCCAAATCATGAAGCTCCCATAACATGCCCCGAGAAGGCTCTGAGACTTCATATAAAAGAAGTGCAACAGCAGCGATCAATGAATTCTGACCGGGCTTTCCGTAGAAAAAGGGGAAGAGTTCACCGGCCCACTCACGGCAGATATGCGCGACTTGGAGCCAACTGGCTTGGGTGTAACTCCGGTGGACGGCACCAATGGTACAACTTATCAGAATTTTGAACCTTTCTTCGATGGCCAGTGTGTCCAATATCAAATTTTCGTTGATGAACTTGGCAAGGTCAAGGGGTAAAGGGTACGTTGGATATATGCACGATGTGTAGTGCGATAAAAGAGAATTAATGATTTTTGGGCTGATGGTTGCCCTAGCCGATGACGCAAATGGAACCGTTTGCGCTAATGACTCGGGTGCATAAGGTTTGCCATGCCATTCTGCGATGTTAAGGGAGCGCGTTATGGCGGAAACAATCAAGGCGGGCGGTGATCTGTGGAGATGAAATAGTTCGCTACTCTTAGTTGAAATGTTGCTTTCTAGGGGAATCCTAGATGGTATCGACTGTTTATCTGCATTGAACGATCTTGTTGATCCACCGCCGAGTGAGTAAAAGGCGTTATTTCCAATAGACTTCCGACCTACCCAGGTGAGGCAGTCGCTTTGGATGCTAGTTTTGCTTTGAGAGAATCACGTTTATCATAGAGTGTCTTTATATAGCTATTAGAAAGCAATTTTAGCGATTCATCGTCCATTCTATCTAGTCAACCCTGGCTCAGTAACGCACCTTCGAGATACGATTTCATTCGACACATCATCTATAAACGTGCACTCAACATCACTCCTGCTGCAACTGACACATGCAGGGAGCTGGTCGTCGCACTACATAGAGACCGCGTCAGAGAACGCTCGATAGGATATTCAGCCCGGCCAACCTTAATTCTTCGCCTTTTGCACCGTTGGCAGGTGCGCAGCATGTTTCCAGAGATTGTACTAAGGTGACGACAGTGGCCCTATGTGGAAAGGCGAGTCGGCCACTTGAGCCTATAATAATTCCTCTGTCCAGTGGGCAGGGTGGTAATTGGGAGAGTTGGAGGTGAACGTCTCAAATTGCGCGACTGAAGCCTGAATTCCATTAGACGGGACGGACTTACTTTGTTCCTACCATTGGAACTATATAGCAGCTGGGGAGTGTTTTTTTGTCTTCCAAATGTAGCTACCAACCGTGGCCAGCTTTTTCGAAATGGAAGGATAGCTCCGTCTTACTTTAGAATAACAAGATTGATTGGTGTACGAGGTCTACGAACTAGGAGAATGTACTAGTGCAGTGCATCAAGGTAAAGGGTCACGTACCTGGTCACGTGCCTCTAGCCAAATCAAATCTGAAAAAGAAACCTTAAAATATTAGTTTTGAAAGAACACGAAGAACGAGTCTACGAGGAACGAGGGCGAGAAAGTCATACTGTGGTATTGGGTGCTGCAAAGAAGAAAGAAGAAGAGAAAAGGAGAGAAAACTATCTACAGGGAGAAGAGTGAGAGTACCCTGGTCACATGACCAAACAAGTTTCAATCTGTCAGTTGGTGGCACGTCATTCGTCACATGCCCCTTCCCCGAGATCCTCTCCTCTGCCTTCGATCCCTTCTCGATAGTTGCGCTCCCGTCCCCAATGCAATCAGTCTTGCATCCTATTCCCCTATTCCCGTTGGATCATACAAAGCCTTTGATTTTTTTTTTTTTTTTTTTTTTTTTCAAATTATAAATAGTACAGTTACAAATCGTACAGTGTTGAGGTAGAAATCTAGAGATAATATCTTTTCATCTTTGGGTACGTACTCCGCTTCCGTACACTGACAAATTGTGGCAATACAGTGCACATGTGGTAAATCACTTCTAGTAGGCGGCCATTCTGGGGGGTCTTGGCCGCGAGGAACCCTATCGTCGTAGTCCAGACTCCAGGCCCTTTTGCCCCTCCGGATCGGGATCTTGCGTCTACAGGCCGGACTTTTCCGACGAGAATTGAACCCACTTATCCCACTTTATCTTTCTATCTATGATACTAACCTCACCTGGATCCCGAACAACGGTTTGATTCTGCGCTATTATGAGTGGTGGAATTTATGCCATGCAGACCCCTCCATAGTAGAATATTCCTCACGTCCCTAGCCCTTCTTTTGCCCTCAACCATATTTGTCTTTCCCTCACGTTCAGACCGTCCATCATACTACGAGACTCCCTAAGCTTCTTATATACGCCGCAAGATCTACCTCAAAACCGTTCAATCCGACAGTATGCATATTGTACCATATAATGCAGAACTTCGACCTGAAATTCTCCATCAGTTCATCCGCGACAATCCCCTTGGTCTTCTGACTACATCCATCCGGTCTCCCTCTCACCCTTTAATCCAAGCGAGTCACATTCCCTGGGTGGTCGACAGCGGAAGCGAAAGTGGGACTAGCTTTGGAATGCTACGTGGTCATATTGCCCGCCCAAATCCGCAAGCAAAAGCGATGATGGAAGCTCAATCACAATATTCAAGCGCTCAATATCTTGAGGAGGAAGTTCTGGTCATTTTTAACGGCCCTGTGAATCACTACGTGACACCAAAGTACTACAAGGAAACAAAGCCCAAGACAGGGAAAGTTGTACCGACATGGAATTACGAAGCCGTTCAAGTTTACGGGCGTGCGAAAATATATATCGATACGAAGACGACAGAGTTCACAGAGTTCTTAACCAAACAGCTGTCGGATTTATCTTCCCATGCAGAAACTTCGCATTTGCAACTCAATCCAAACAACCAGGACAGTCCTTGGGAAGTCTCCGATGCCCCGAAGTCCTACATTAATCTTCTGCAAAAGAATCTCGTCGGCATCGAAATCGAGATCGGATCAATAGCTGGACGATTTAAAATGAGCCAGGAAAAGTGTCTCGGTGATCGGAATGGAGTGATCGAAGGGTTTAAGGAACTGGGCACTACTACTGGAGCCCAGGTGTCGGACCTTGTAATCTATAGGGCAGGGCAATTCGATGCTATGAAACAAGCGAAGACAGAAAAAGATCCTTGAAGCACTTGAGAGAGAATAGTCACATCTTGGAAGCACTGGAATATATTTTCGTTTAACATACACAGTGGGTCAAATTTGCGGTCAACTGGCACCTAATGTAATTTCAAGCGTTACTATGGAGAAACTGCCAAGCCGTCAATACATGACCCTATCCCAAGGTTCCAACCTGGGCAGGGGTCAGACCTAGCCCTTGAGGTAATCCTAGAAACCAACGAGGAAGAACAAGCCAAGGAACGAATATGGATGTTGTATTGTTCAAAGGAGGAAGGAAGAAGCGAGACGCAGCCTGCTATCTAAAGGAAGCACTGACAAACATGGTCATGTGATTCCTAAGAGGGAATCGCCCTGTACCGGGGGCGTTTTTACATTCAAGGATTCAATGTTCCCATCAATTGATTTGTATGTGGATCTGTTCTACCGGCAGAAGATTGAAAGTCATGTATTAATTAACAATGTAGCTAGCGAGCTTTTGAGAAAAGCTTAGAGAGTCCATAGAGAGAAAGTTCCCCCCTGCATCTTGCAAGCTCTAGCGCCTCGACAGCTGCATCTAGAGACTGCCCCTTGTCACGCCTAGCACAGATCTCGGCAATGATACCCTTCTTGCCTATTACCTCAGGCTGGAAACCAGCACGGTATTAAAAGAAAGGATTTCCGCGATGGATGAGTAAGATAGCAGCTGGTCAAAGTATCCTGGTTTCATTAAGCAGCACGGCTGGTCTGACTCTCTTCTACACCTTTTAGCTCGACTTGTTTTGACCTCTAGGCTCCGCTAGCATGTGTCTTGTTATCGCAAGGAATTTTGATTGTTTTGTATATCTCATTAGTCCATTCAATTTTTCAGCTGGGTCTCGTATGAGATTGGCTTCTCTCGATCGGCGGCTTGGAAAAAGTGGAGATGATACCACTGGAGTCGGCTGCGGAACTGGGGTGGTGTCATATTCTAGAACACAGGGCATACATAGGTGTGGGAAAGCGCGTGAGTTGTCTAGGGAGCATTCAGTTAGTGGTACCGATCGTGCAGACGGGAAACCCCGAGGACGCTAGGGAAATTCCACCAGTGGGCACACTTGCTGGTATTAGGCTCTTCGTTCGGTGGGTCAAGATCGGCAAATCTGCTCCTCGGAGTGGAGCCGAACGCGGCAACATTTAATCTTTAAAGCACTTGAGGCAAAACACGATATGTGAAAGGATATTTTTCGGGGCCATTCTGCCAATGGTACCTGACTGGCTATGACTGAAGTTTGATATCACCCCGGGTTAGCGTTTTGCCGAATGTCTCTTGTGGCTCTCCGCGTATAACCGAATGCACCAAAAATTCTGAAGAGAAGGGTCGAAAAAAAGTCTAAACTACGTTCACCTTTAACTGGGGTAAATAAGTATTGGTCCTTTTCTTAGAATCGACTGCAAAGATTGTTTCTTTTTCACCACAATTGAAGGAGAAAAAAAGAAAAAAAAGAGAAAAACAAATAACCCCCCCCCGGAAATACCTGCACTCGCAAAATGGGAGTTTTGATCGAAAACCAGGCCGGGCTTTCTACTCGAGGAGCTGAGAATGTGGTTCGGAATGAGTATTGGAGAGATATCCGCAAGATTCTAGCGGTGCCTTACGACAAAGTCCATAATCCAAATGGAATGTAAGAGGGCTTCGGAGACTCACAACCGGAAGGAGAGTTCAATGCTAATCATCTCTCTCACAACAGAATCAACTTGGGCCTCGCAGAAAACTATCTCATGCATACGGAAATATCCGATCGACTCAAGTCTGGAGTGAGTATCTTGAACGGTAGTTGAGCACAAAAATGCTAATCGAAATTTAGTTTGACGTTGATACTTCGACACATTTGACCTACGGTCAAGGACCTGTGGGTTCGCCACGTCTGCTAGGAGCACTGGCGAGCTTCTTCAATTCAAACTTTCATCCAATGTCGCCGGTTTCAAAGGATGAATTTCTTGTGACCTCTGGAGTAGCGGCATTGATTGACACTCTAACATGGTGCATTTGCGATGATTCTGATGGAATCCTAATTCCACAGCCACTATATGTTGGCTTCGAGATTGATATTCAGATGCGAAGCCGCGGTCAAATGCTTCCTGTTTCCTTTCGAGAGTCGGATCGTGACTATTCTATCGATCATACCTTCGAGCCTGATGCGAACCGCAGAGCCTTTGAGCGTGCATACAAAGAGAGCACAGAGAAAGGCATCAAAGTTCGTGCTGTTTTAATCTCAAAGTAAGTCCACAATACCATCGTACTCTTTATTTATCACTAACATTGATGATCTAGCCCTCACAATCCGCTAGGAAAATGCTATGTAGGTTACAAATACCGCCATTTTGAGCTCGATGGTCTTTCGAGAGGGTACTAAATCTTCTCTCGTGTATAGTCTCCGGAAACCATCAAAGAGATAGCTCGCTTCTGCGCCAAATACGACTTGCACCTGATATGTGATGAAATCTATGCCAACTCAGTCTTTGTGAATGATGATAAGCCTGAGGCTCAGCAGTTTGAATCTGTCTTGAGCATGAACCTCGATAACATCATCAGCAAATATCGCGTTCACGTCATGTATGGCATGAGCAAAGACTTCTGCGCGAATGGACTCCGCCTTGGTGTTCTTCAGACAAGAAATAACGACTTGCTAGAAGCGGTTGCCAGCATCAAGTAAGTTGCCACTTACCATTGACCAGTATACGTTGATTGTAGGTACTAACTATCATTTCTTTTGCTACGTAGCCTGTTTGCGTGGCCCGCTTATCTTACACAAGATCTCTGGGCTCAGATACTCGAAGATGTTCAATTTCTTGACTTGTTCAGAAAGACAAATCACCAACGAATGGCAGCCAGCTATGGAAAATTCACATCTTTTCTTAAGAAGCATCGAATCCCTTACATGAAGGGGAGGTACGTTGAAATTCCCTTCCTGCATCGCACTGATAACATTGGTTCACGATTTGGTTGATCGCATACTAAAATTCCATTCCTGCAGCAACGCCGCCTTTTATCTCTGGATTCGCCTCGTTCCATCCCGCGTTCTTGACGTCGGTGATGCTTCAACTCCCTCTCCCAACACATCCGAAGTCAAAAAGGTCTTTTTGGAAACCTGCAGCCGTAACGGAGTATCGATTAAAGACGGCGCTAATTATTTTGCCGAAGAGCCTGAAGATGGGTGGTTTAGAGTGACATTTACCATTCCGGATGCTATTTTGGAAGTCGCCATGCAGAGATTAGTGAAATCCTTAGAGGATATGGGATGGTTGGAATTGTTTTAGCTGTGATCCAGAAATTACGGAGTACAATGGTTAGAACTGCAATAGACTATCAGAAACGATCTAGATTATTTGGCTTGATAAAAGAAGCGTGATGGGACGACCATAGACTCGGGAAAAATAACATCAAGAGAATACTAAGTATATTAAACAGGTTCGTGAGCTTTTATCCGTGAAGAAAAAAACTCGTGAAAGAAAATTGTTCTCAAACAAAGATTGGGAGAAAATTCCGAGTTTACTCTACGAAAGTGGACCTTCGAACACACGCTCGCTGTACATAATACTTTCCTGGTGTCGCGTGGGCAGTACAATTCAGTGCTACTCATTATTTATTGGATCCAGATTGACATATTCAAATGTTTTTAATTGTCAAATCTAGTGGCACGGAATTCGCCCTCCGATGCCTAGATATTACAGAATATTTGGCGACCACTGGTAGTTCTTGGAGAATTTAGCCTATGGAACATTTGAATTATGAAAACCTTGAATTTACGAGATATCCACTTTGGCATACATACATGTACCTAGCACTTGAGAACAATTGAATACGATGAATGAATCACAGTACTTTGTATCAGCGTAAAATGTGTATCCTATGACTCTGGATCATCATAAGCCGGCTTTGTACCAACCTGTGGCTTCACAATTTCTAAGAACTCAGAAGTATTTTTGAAGATCTCAAACGGCCATAAACAGGACTCTAGCTTTTTGACCTCCAGTCACCCCATAGCTGATATAGCTCTTAACCGTATTACCGACTTTCAATGTGCTAACGTATTGCCGAAAACGCCCCAATAGAACCCAAAGGCCAAGTGTGATTCTCTGTGTTTCCGCAAAAGTTTACAAATGTGGATCCATTGTACCCTAAAAGTCTGTATTGTAAAATAGATTTTCTCCACTTATAGTCGCGTGGTTCACTATGGGTCCAGTTTCCTGGCGCATATTCATTTCTCCAATGTATCGTTTTAAATAGTGGCTTGGCTACACCCCATGATTTCGCGAAAATTTCTCGAAGTGCCTGGGCTACACTGCTACGCAATCTGTCAATCAACCCTCATGCAAGGCTTTTCTCAGTCTCTAGTCTTTCTTGGGTCTAATATAAGGGCTACCATATCAACAACATCGCCTCTGGTCTACCAAATTGGTAGGGCTCTTTCGTGCTCATAAAATTCCCTGGTCTTGGCACAATGACCGACACTGAGAGACTGAAATGCCGGTCTAAATCACTTTATTCCCTCATCCGACATTCTAAGCCAAAGATCACCATCAGTCTAGTTGGACAGAAGGGCGGGGTCACTACTCCTTACACCACTGGGGACCGGATCGAAGGCACAGCTGTTATCCTCGTGGACTATGACACTCCATTCAATGAGATCGAAATTTCTTTCAAAGGTATTATCAAATGCATACATGTATTTCCACACCCAGCTGACCTATTTAGGGGAAGCACGTGTCCTCGTCGAGCGACGAGCATGTCCTGGTACCAGCGGTGCTGGATACAGATTTCTCAACATTCGCCAGTCTGTGGAACATTTTGAAGATTTGAGAAATTGTGTTCTGAAAGCTGGTCACCCTTACGAATTTACCTTCCTTTTCATGGTTCCTGAACGTTTATCACCACACATTTGCCAACATCAATTTCGCAATTGCCATATTGGGAAATATCACGCTATGCTCCCTCCAACAATAGGCAAGCAGCCTTGTAACGAGGATGAAAACAGGTCGTCCGAGGACATGACACTAGAAATGACGAAAGTGTTCTATACCATTGAGGTTAGAATTCTCGACAAATGTCCGACGAGCAACCCTCAAATCAGGATTCTTGCAAATTCTATCAAAGTGATTCGTGTTGTTCCGACAGTACAGGAAGATGCTACTCTTGATCTTGCCGATCAGACATACTTTTGTGCGCGGAAGGAAAATAAAGTGAAGCGGAATTTTCTTCAGCCCAGCATCGGTCGAATGGTCGCGTCTTGTGCCCAACCTAAGGCCATACAGCTTCTCATCTCCAATAGTGAAGGGAAGGAAAGAGTTGCCTCTATCGCAACATTAAAACTTGAATTCCATCCTGCGGGAGATGAAAAGCCTCCAGATCTTCATTCTATAGTTTGCAAACTTCGGATTAGCACATTTTACAGTGTGTTCCCGTGGCAAGACTTTCCTTACCGGTTTGGCACCCTGCCCCTTTCTCGGGCAGGACAAGGCCTGAAAACTTCGGTCCTTCCTGTATGCAAAATGCGTGTGGCAACACAGCAATGGCAGAAACATTCAAAGCCATCTAATGACGATCGTTTCGAATTCTCTCTGTGCTCGGATAATCCATCTGCCTCCCTTGCTGGAGCTACATACTATACAGCCGCCATCGTCATTCCTTTGAGACTCCCCAACTCAAAGTCATTTGTTCCCACATTTCACTCGTGCTTGATATCTCGCACATATTCGTTGGATATGTCCCTTTCTTACAATTCGCCAGGAATGAGCATACATGCTTCATCGATTTCCTTGAATGTTCCAATACAGATGACAACACGACGCAATGCAACCCAACTACCGTCGCTGTTCTCGCATTTTGACTGAACCTGGCAATGATATTTATCGGAAGACGAGGACCTGGATATCAAATTAAAATTAAGCAAAAAGCATCTGCTTGCCGCTTAGGATTTTTCAATTAGCCACCCTTCAATTTTCCGCTAATGTGTTGAAGCTTGACTGCCTCAGCTCTCCGTGCCGTGGCTTTTTGTATCTACCATGTACATAGCTTTTATCTCTCCTCTCCAATCCCATCTAATCACTAATTTGCGCTGGTGATCCTTCTAATCAATTTGCGGGTTGACTACTTGCGTTCCTATAGATGTTAGCTAGAGTGAAAACAAGATAATAGGCTTTTGCTTAGTATTTCCAAGATACCGCGAAAGCTCCCGAGTTGTCATAAGCGGCTGGAGATATGAGGATATCAAAATCCGAGATTCCCTTCACCGACGGTTGGCCATTTTATGTAGGCTGTGCCTCCGAATAGCGCGGCTGGTAACGTATGGGATACGCATCGAGGATCTTACGGTATTGCATACGCTACTTTGGCTGCCAGCTCTTGGTGGGAAATAATTCGAGCTTGTTTTTGGGCTCCAGGATTGTGCTGATTGCAAAACAGTCACTGCCAATCTCAACGGCATCCTACAATATTCTGAAAGCTTTAACCTTCCCGCCTGTAAGGAAGGTAGGATCACTCCTTTCCAGCTAGCATTGTTTCGCCCAAGCTGTTCCCTGGATTCTTCGAGGTGAGCAAACAGTCTATATGGATAGCGACCTCTATAGCGTTTGAGAGAGAGGTCATAAAGGGTAAAGAAAGGCTGGGTGATCTAGAGAAGGTAATAAATCTGTCGGCACTTCTCCTTATTTGATTATAGCCCATTAATTCTCGGGATGAAGTTTAAGCGGCGATTGTAAGAGCAGATTGGTCGAAAAAAAGCCCTTCTGGACTCTCATTGGTCGGACCAACAGACGGTGGCATGAGCAGTTGGAATGCTGCATTTTATTATTATAGTAAGACTTTCTCGTAGGCCAATTTATTACTTAATCAACTCGGCATAAAGCGCCGATGTTTAGAAACGCATGACTGAATTGATGATCTTAAATGCAGATAATATAAATGCACCAATTCAGTGATCATTTTAGTGATCAAATTCAGTGAAAACCTGACCGATCAAATAGGGTATTAATTGCGTCCAATTCATTTTTAATCGGTAGTCGTCACATTCTTTAGCTGAATCCGGTGACTATTTAATCAACCCGATCAGGTACGGGAAATCTTGTAAGTGATAGGTTATAACTATAAAGGCCTTATGTGGCTGCTTTAGTTTATAAGCTATTCTAAATTGTACTGGAAAACAGTATGACGGTGTGTATGACTCAGTGGGGTCATCACCCGAATGAGGATAGATGCTTACTAGCGTGCTTATCTTGCTTCTCATCCTATCTATTGCGCACTCACCCTTCTCACCCTGGGGTCACCCACCGAGCTACTGGCCGCAATAAAGCCATATGTATATATATATATAGTCAACCTTTAATGAAGCCTTGTTCGTTTAGAGCGGCGCCTATCCCTAAGTTAGGTGAGTGTGGGTAATATAGGTGAGAAGTTTGTATACTGGGTAAGAGAGTTGAGAATGGGGTGAGAACGGGGTGAGAAGAGGGTGAGATGGGGTGATCGCTAATTGCTAATACCAAAATTATTATTCATAGAAACTAAGGAAGAGAGGAACAAGCAATAGATGTTGTATTATGAAGCGAAAAAGAAGAGGAAGGAAGAAGCGAGAGTCGAGACGTAGCCTGCTATCTAAAGGAAGCACTAACAAATATGGTCGTGTGATTCCCAAGAATTATACCTACCAAATTTTTTCTAGTAGTTATAAGTATATAAATAGAGCTCTTCCAACTCTTAGTTAGATTTTTTCTTCTATCATTACCAAACATACCAAAAGAAAAAGATTTTGCGAAAGCGCTTACTATTAATATCGAGTGTGCTAAGTCATATGGATTTATATACAAAGACTATATAAGTTATAACTATATATCTAGTTATACTATACTTTGGTGGTATTTGAATAGTAAGATTGAACTGCATATTATACTAATATACTTGCTAATAAGCGTTCCCCTCTTTACTACTTAACTATCTATACTAACTAATTAATTATCTCTTATAATATTATCTCAATGTTATAATAACCCCCCTATTAACACTCAATCATAATCTGGTTAACAGCAAAGTTTTAGCATTAATAAACAGTTAACAGCATTAATAAATACTTGACCAGAGTTGATAAACAGTTAACACTATATTAATCAACAGGTGATGCTACATTAATAAACAGTTAACAGGCATTAATAAATAGTTAAATAGTTAATAAGCTTTAATAAATAATTAAAACCCATTTTATAGATAGTAACTATCAACACATCAATAAGCAGCCTATTAATAGTAAGTATAGATATATTAACAAACGGAACGTAAGTCACTTAACAGGCAGTATATCACCCCTCATATACATTTTCATCTGCCTTAGGGCAAAACCACCTATATAGTTTATTTTCTTTCACAGGCTAACCACCTTTCTAAAATCTAAATTATCAAAAAGTACTATTATAATATATAGTTAGTAGCAATCAAGAATAAAGGTAAAGTATTATTATAAATTTAGAAGTATCTATATAAATAATTAGGTTAGAGATTAGCTTAATTTTCTTATTATATATAACTATATATCTCTTTATAAAGAAATATTATATTTATATCTCTAAACTATAAATACTACTTATATTTAAGACCTTAATCTATCTAGTAATTACTTAATATTATAACTAATAAAGAGACTAACTATAAGATAATAAAAGATAGAGTTAAATAATAGAATATTATTATATTTTAATTAGTTACTTAATATAACTAAGTAGTAATTAAAGAAAATATTTTTTATATTATATAATAAATATACTAGATAGTATTATTATATATAGGAAAAACTAAAGAGAAAAAGTCTATCTATAAGATTAATAAAAATCTAAGCCTAATAATATATATTATATTTATCTATCTTAAGCTTAGGAAATTAAAATAAGGTTTTAGTCTAGACTTAGGATCCTAGTTATAATTAATTAGTAGATATCTATTAATTTTCTTATAGGAGAATATTAAAAAGTATTTAAGGATTACTTATATATAATAAAAACTTTATAAGAAATAAGTATAATTAGGATTTATTTAACTACCTAAAGTCCTAAGGCTTAACTTAATATCTCTAAGGCCTAGATATTACTTAACTACTTTAAGCTTTATTTCTCTAAATCTAAATCTAAATCTAAATTATAATTATATTATATATATAATCTAATAATCTTAGATCTTAATCTTAAATATCTACTAAGCTTTTACTATATATATTTTTTTAAATAAACCTTCTTCTAAGCCTAATTAAAGATCTAGAAAATTATTATATTACTTAGTTAAGTATTTAATAAGAATATTTAATATAATAGCTTATATAGCTATTATTAAATATTATAAATAAATAATAAAGTAAGAGTTAATTAATTAATATTTATAGGGTTAGTAATAGTTTTATAATAAATATTATCTACTAATTATTATGCTAATAGCTAAATACTCTACTTTTATATATTTTAAGATTTAAAGTAATTAATAGTATAAAGATACTTAGAATTCCTATAATAGAATAATATAATCTATAAATTATATTAATCTATTACTTAAATAAGAGGAATTTAATCTAATCTAGTACTTAAGAGCTAGAATTAGAAGTATTAACTAATATAAAGTCTATTATTATATTAGCTCTCTTAGCTATACTCTTAAGAATAACTATATTTATTATATTTATATTAAATAAGTATTTTCTATATATTAATCTAGTAGTTCTAATTAATAACTAGATAGATAATACTATTAATAATAATAATAAAGGGTTTACCTATCTTATAGAGAATCCCTTAATAATACCTATTAAGTATAACCTAACTAATAATATAAATATTATCTTTTTAGTATATATCCCTAATAATATAAATATTTATTACTAAATACCCTTTAGCTTAGGTTTTATATTCTTAGTTAAATAGGGGATAAGTAAGAATATACTTAATAATATTATTTATAGTTCTACCTATATATATATTCTTTATAATTCTAATTAAGATATATATCTTAGCTAACTTAGTTTAGGTATAATTATACTCCTTCTTACTCTATAATTAATTTAATTATTATATATAACTAATATTTTTATAAAATTAGTTTACCTAATCTAAAACTAAGAATAACCTACTTCTACTAAATTCTACCTATAAATAGTACTATAGAATCTAAAATCTTAAGCTTTAAAACTACCTATTAAGCTAGTAATAAGGGTTTATTTATAGTTATAGTACTAAATAATTTAGGCTATACTAATACTTAGGGAATCTATTATTAGCTTATAGATATAGCTAATACTAGTATAGTCTTTATTTAATATAGTAGTAATATATCCTATATTAACTAATAATCCTTTAATATTCTATCTTATAATAATATTATATCTATATATTTTAATAAAATAAGCTTTATCTTATCTAGTAATATTATTATAAAAGAATATACTAAGTTACTTCTTAGAGAGAAAATCCTAAACTAAGATAATCCTAATAATAATAATATAAGCTCTATCTATAAGATAAATTAGGATATCTAATAATAATAAATAAATAATATTATACTTAAGATACTATATATAGTTATATTAGGTAACTATAAAATATCTTATATAAAATATAACCTACCTCCTTATAAATTAACTATTTATTTAGTTAATAATAAGATAAATACTATAATAGCTTCTAGTAATCTAATATATTATAGCTATTCTCTCTTTTAGAGATATATTTAGTTTATTATTTATTTATAATATATAGAATACTAACTAAAGTTAAATAGAAATTTTATTATATATTAGTATTATTTTTATATATCTAGTAAAGAGACTAATAATATTAATAACTTTTAGTATTTCTTTAATTATAGCCTAGCCTACTTTATTTCTTTAAATAGTAAGATTAATTATATAAATAACCTAGAATATAATTTCCTTAAATATATTATTAGTAATAAAATCTTACTAATTAAGTCTAAAACTTTAGTTAATAATAGTAGATCTTTTAGTAAGGTTTATAATAATATATATAATAATACTATCTATAAATAGTATTAATAGTTAAAAAATAACCTTACTAATATTAATTAAAAGAAGACCCTCTAGGTATTTATTATAAGTTATTATCTAATATATAACTTAGATCTAGCTTCCTATAAAGCTCCTATATAAGCTACTTTTAAGGGCCTAATAATTAAGTATAGAGTTAATACTTTTTTCTTAGGATAGATCTTATTATTTTTAATTATTTATTAATATCTTATATTAATTAAACTATAATTATATCTATTAATATAAGTATATATAGCTAATAGCTAATAATATAATTAATACTTCTTTTATTATTAATAATAATATTTATTATATAAATCCTAGATACTCTATAATCTATATTATTAATAAGTAAATAAGTAATATTAGTAGTTATACTATAATTAATATAAATAAAATTACTAATATTACTACTTTATTAGACTAAAAATACTATAGTTTTAGTAAGTTAATAATTAAGAATAAAAATATAATTAAATAAGAGTTTATTTATAATAATAATAAAGCTATTAATAATTCTCTTATTCTAATAAAATATCCCTTTAATATTAAGAGTAATTATTACTAAGATCCCTCCTAATTTTAAGATTATCTAATTACCTATTATATCTATTAAAAGAAATTAAGTAATATTTATATTAGTTTCCTAATTTTATAATATAGTTTTAGTAGATCTAAAAATTAATTAATATTATTAAGTAAAATAGAAAAGATTAAGAGAATTATAGCTCCTTAGAAGTAATAAAAGCTATATAAATATATACTTTAAATCTTAATAGCTAAGATTAATATAAATATAGTAGAAATAATAATAATTAGAATAATATATTATTATAATTTAGGTTTCTAAGATTTTTAGTTATATTAAACTAAGACCTTACTAATAAATAGGTTATTAATCTAGTAGCTATTATATACTATAATACTAATATTCTTTTCTAAGTACTATTCCTTAGCTATTATAATAAATATAGAACTAACTATTCTTTATATATAATATTATAAAAAACTAAATATAATAAATAACTTTAGATTATTCTTTATACCTAGAAGAATAAATACTTAGATTAACTAATTTAAAATCCTCTAAAATAAAATAGTTTTAATTAACTTTTTTTTAACTATTTCAGCTAAACTAAGTCCTATTAACCAAAATATGATATTAATTTAGGAAATTTAAGCTTTATCCAATATTTATTTATATTACTAAGTTTATAAATAAGAAGACCCTTATATTATATTATAAATTAATAGATAAATATATCCTAGTAAGTTTACTTAATTATATCTATACCCTTTTTAATAACCATATAAACAAAATTTTAGATTTAATAATCAAGAATAATAAGAATCATAAATATATCAATAACCTATAGATTCTTAATTCTAAAAATACTAAGTATAAGGTCTATAAAACCTTACTTAATACTCTTAGCTAAATAGGTAGTACTATAAGGATAGAATAAAGTCTAGGAGTAATCTAATACTATTAGCTTTATTAGATTATCTAAATATAATAATATTTCCTAAGGGTACTTATTAATAATAATATCCTTAAAACCTTTACTATTCTTTAGAATATTATAGCTATATCTAATCCCCTTATAGATTATAATAATATTAAGATTATTATTAAAATAATTTAAGTTAATATTAGCTTACTAAAGAGGATTAGTACTTTTTAGTATAAATAACCTTACTAGGATTAGATACTAGATAGATAAGATTAACTATTATAATAATATAATTACCCTTATTAAGAGTAGGATAGTACCACTAAAAGATATTACTAAATAGATAGATAAAGTTAAGCTTAAAATAAGATTAATTATAAGGGCAGAAGGGGTTAACTCAACTATTCAAAACCTTAGCCTCTTAATATTCTAGACTTCTCTTAAGATAATCATTAATATAAGAGAATCTAACCATCTCCCAGAAACCCAATCCCATCAGTCTACCATAATCCTTACTATAGCTTTTCATAGCTTAATCATACTTAGGGCCCTTTCGCAAAACATAGTCATCCATTCTATACCCGTCTTTAACACAAAGGACAAAGGGCACACCAGGATGATCAAGCAGATGTTGGCCAACATAGGGGGAGTTGACGATTATATCGATGTCGTGTTTTGCCAACTCCTTTGCTGGACCAATACCGCTCAGCATCAAAAGCTTAGGAGTCTCAAATACGCCTTCGGATACGATGACTTCACGCGTAGCGAACAGATTTAGCTGCTTTCCGGAAGCGGTGATCACCGTTACGCCCTGAGTAGGAAGGTGTATTTCCATAGCCACGGCTGATCGCAGTGCAATGCCACACATCCGTGAAGCCCTATTCCTTATCAGTCCTGGGCGTGTAAATGCGGTGAATAAGTGAACCAACCTATTGATTTGACCGACAGAAAGTAGGTATAGGGATATAAGGGACTCAATTTGTACCTGTTGTAGGCTTGGGTGTTCTAAAACAGCAAAGTCCCTTGTATAAAGCTCCCAGGCTCGTGTAAAGTAAGGCAAGTCGGACCTAGGTTGCTTTCTCACAAGAGAGCTATGCCGTGAAGCGATAGCGAGTATCATATTCAGAATTGCAATCCATTTTCTACCAGGTTCAGGATCAGCATTTGCATAGAAACGGCGAAATTGTTCCAGAAATACTAATTTGCTGATAAGAGGAAACGAGGCGTGCGCATTCTGAAAATAGCATTCCACAAGTTGAGTAGCAGCATTTTCCGAGGGGTAGTCCGAATTATCCGTCGAATTTGGAGCAAGAACTTGGGTGTCATCGAGAAAGTTATTGGTAAGCAAGGGCGAGAGAAACCCTGACTGGCCTAAAGGACGTAATTTCGCTGCGTAGGTTCGGTCCTCTTTGCAGATTATGCAGCCAAGCCACCTCTGATGGTCTACCGACAAACCCTGTCGCCTGAGAAATTCGGTGCATTTTGCGGTCCTCGACGGTGTGATCGTTCTGTTTTATTGGGTTATTTGTTGCTTCCTGGACGTCCTTTATCGGGCTCGGGTTTAGGATCATCGGAGACGTGACAGGAAGCTAAATACCGTCAGATCCTTTGTTTGGAAAGCATCTACCTAATCATCTTACTCCATCAATAAGTTTCTCAACCTGTATAGCTAGTTGACGATCGAGATAGGGATGCAGGTTCCGGAGAAGACCCTCGCATATCTGTGTTCGAGACGTGAGATCGGCAAATTGTCTAGATAAAACATTAGCAAATCATGCCACAAGCAGTTCTTGAGATTAAGCAACTGAACTTGGCATCTCGATCTCCTTTGGTGTTCGAGTAGATGCACGTCATGTCGCTTTGACGGCAGCGTTGACATGCGGGACGCTGGCCACTACATTTTGCCTTCTGTCCACGACAAGTGTCACATGCCCGGCTGACTCTCCCTTTTAACCTTATAATTTGGGTATTTGACTCTCGCGGGATAGCAACTTTACTGCTGTTTGGAAATTGCGGGGCATAGCCTTCCATGGCTGACTGGGATGGGCCTCCAAATAACACGGTGACCTCATTTGAACCGAGGGGTTCTTCACCTATGGATCCTACAATTTACATTGCCCTGCTACGAGCGTCGATTGCAAAGGAACGTGTTAGAAGCAATTCCTCCAGTGTTTGCTGCGACCGTTTGCCTGGTTTCCCTCTTGGTCGGGAACTTTACCAATATCTCAGACAAGGCAATCGATTTGAAAAGGGTCGGTATCTACGATGAGAGTTGGAGAACGGGAGGGTCAGATCGAAATGATCAGCCGACACCCAAAAACCTAAATGGCACGTGGTTTGCGTGACTTGGGTCAAGTTTGCACCGGAGACCAATTCTGTATCTTAGTTCCTTGGCCATAAAACGTGAGTTCGTAAAAAGCTGCTTGTAGTCAGTGATAGAGAGCAGTGATGGAATACGTGGTGGGAGAGAACCAACAGAAGTATCAAATCCGATTACAGTAATATTCGAAATCAGCTATACCTCCAGACTCTTCCAACTTGATTGCCGGAAAATATACCCGGGAAACGCTAGCCCCTTTTGGAGCACCGCTCTGTTTTGCCGGCAAAACGTTGACGGTAATTAGTTCAATGAGTCATCTTGTTAGCGCCGCGGTGCCTCATGTCTCACAGTGGTAATGTAAGTTACAGATACTATTTCGGCAAGCGGTCTGAAGGCCCGAGCTCGTTGATGGTATCCAATCAGGACTTACAGCTCTCAGGATTAGTTTCCGACAATCAAGTCAAAAGAGTGTGGCGTTATAACAGATTTCGAAAACTACTGTAGTTATATCGCCTTGAATATCGAGAGGATAGGATAGGGTATCGTTGAATAAAGTTTGTAACCCAATTTGATCTAAAAGATTGTTTTGGGGTGACACGAAAACAGACCCTACGCGACGATGTAAAAATATATTTCATGCAAGTGAGCCGCCTGAGACCTCACAAACATCCTGGAAGAGAAAAATACGCCGGCAAATCCAGATGTATTCTTTATCAATACATATTTTAATTCTCCTTGGAATGTTTGCTATCCCTATGACTGAAATTTCGAATCGATTTATGATTGAGTCGGACTAGCCGTGGACTACCCTACCACGCAATGGAGATTCGAAGAGTGGTCTGCGGCTAATCTGCGTATGGTATTTAAGAGCTTACTTGCCACCTTATCGGTTCCATCGAGCTTTTGAATGGCATCTATTAGCAGTTCTCCCATGACCCGCCAAGCGAGCGAAAATAAACTCATTTTCTTAGCGCAGGATTTAGCTTACCAAAGCCTGCACTGAACTCAACCATCGCCATACCTTGAGTTCTGAGTGGCAAAAGGGCCATTCATAGCCATCTCAATATCATCATGTAACCCCCTGGGCCTCTTTTTCTGAGTCAAAGGCGGGGCGGGGGTCTCGTTTGAAGAAAGACGTGTTCTCTCACTGGCATTTCGGCTTGTTAATCCCGGTCCATGGTGGCGGATGAATTGACGGGTATAAGGAGCAGAGCCACACAGGATGATGAAGTTGGCCTCGATCACTCTAAAAGACGATTGAAACCACATTGATAAATGTCCGATCAAGAGCTTGAAGGCTGGTTCTCATATAATCAAAGTTCACTTACATAAAAAGACAGGCGAGACCAATATTATGTGGCTGATCATTCGAGGCGAGTAAGGGAACTAAAGTCACCAAGCGAGCGATACTAAGAAAGACGGTGCTAAACAAAAAATAGGAATTAGTATTTGCATAAATGCTGTCCCTCTTTCAAATTTATTTGGCCAGGTGGAAAGAGGTTCACGAACAGACAACCGATCCCAAACAAACATAAAATCCCAAGTTTTTGCAAAAGCGGCAAATGCATCTGCAACATAAATGTAATTGGGATAATTATCAAGACCACATCACTGGCGGTATTTGAAATAGCTGTTCCTAAATAAATGCTGGACCGATGCCTGCAAGCGCTAGGAACTGAGAAATTCCACCCAGCCTGGAAGGGATGGCAGGCAAAGACAAGCGCGAATATAAGAGCAATGCTGTATGCGCATATACCAGCACCGATAGTCCAGAGGGTGTATCGCCACATGCGGACAGATTCCAGCACGCGATAGTATAACGATAATACGGCCAGTTTAGCGAGTGCGAGTGTCGGGAGGTAGAGCACTGCCAAGGCGAGGATGGTCTGGCCTTTTGTCAGCACAATGTAGATGGCCGGATCAGATTTAATGGACTCGTACCTTTCGGTAGTTGACGATAAGCGGTTGAGGTATGTTCCATATATGGACTGCGAACCGTGAATGGGCATAGCCATCTATACCCACATGGTCAGTAGTTGGATTTCTGAAGGTGACCTTTGTATATTCCCACACAGAACAGTCGTTTGGACCCCAATAGAGAAGACCTATTATGGGTTTCATTAGTAAATTATTCTTGTAGGTCATCCCCGTTTGTCGTCGTACCCAGGCAAGTAAGATTGAAACTATATGATAATTAAAGTCAGCCGGATATAATCAAGTAATGAAAGGACTCACCGTCATCCCACCAAAACTTTCTTATGATGCGAATTTTTGTATATAGTCGCATGATAAGAAAGATGGTAGAAACAGTTATGCCCACCGCTACTGCGATGCGGTTAGCATTGAGTAACCAGGGCTTGGAATTGAAATCCGGCGTGATTCCTGGGGGTGGAGGACGCACCCCCACGGTGCAATTCATCATGAGCCGAAGGTCCAGCAAGCAGCGGCAGAATTGAATAATATGCACATTCTCTCCTGTTCAGGTTCCCGTGCAGGATGGATGCCAAGTGGTTTCCAAATTTTAGGGTACACTGGAGGAAAGCAACCTCAACGAGGCGAGGAAGGTTCACGGATGCCCAGTGAGAAGGAAAAATTGATTAAAAATAGAGTTCTGCCTCTGACATACATGACTTACCCCACAACCTTCTAGACCCAAGCTCGATTCGCCCGAATCCCGACTGTGAAGTGTGAACAACTTTAGATACTCTCAGGATTGTGAGACCCACAAGCCTGTTAGAATTAGCTAATCTGTCGGTGTTCCGTATCGTGTAACGTATGGGTCCAATCAATGGTATTCAACTCTCAGTATTACTGTATCCTCCATTCTGGCAATTTATACTCTCCTGATTACGTAATGAATATTTATCGGAATGGACATCTAACTACTACGTATAAGCCTTACTATGTAAGGTGTGCACCCTTTTTTACGTAACGGTAAAACCACATCGATTTTCTGCACATTTTCTGAGTTGACGTTGACACAAGCTCCCATGAATTACTAAGCGGGAGCCCAACCAATCAATAGCCAAAGGTCCCGCGGGCCCACGATCACGGTGGGTCAGAATAAATTTAAGTGGCCGACCCTAATCTGCCCAAAGTCGATTGGAAGGTGTTGGATCCCTTGTACTGATGGTATTGTCCCGTGACTCTGATACGCACTACTCATGCATTAGGGTTAGACCCGTATCTATAATACTGGGTCATGACCCACAGAACTCTACAATAATACAACTAATATACACATGCTACAACAGAAGGGCACCCGCGGATCCTACGGCTTACGGTTCCCTGCCACCAGCGTTGATCCCAAAGGAACGTACTCGAAGCAAAACCTGCATGCAGCCATCGCTTGCCTGGTCTGCTCTGAGAAATAACACTTATCACTCGGACTTTCGTGGTGCCCTCGACAAGGCATTCGATTGGAGGAGGCCCAGTATCTACGATGAGAGAATTGGAGAACGGAGGTCAGAACAAAATGATCGGCTGGTAGCAAAAGCTTAAATGGCACGTGGTATCCTGTGGGTCCGGGTCTATCCGGCCGAAGAACGAATCAATTTTCCACCGGTGATCAATTCGGTATTTCAATTTCTTGGCCATAATATCGTCCGTGAGAGGCTGCATATAGTCAGTGGTAGAGTGCAGTGCTTTGATAGAGAGAGGAATTCAGTAGAGATATGAAATCCATTACAATAGTCTGATCCCGATTGGAATCATCAACAAGGCGCTCATCCGGTCCTTCTCCCTCCGCCGTAGCCATTTTTACTTTTGCTATCATCTCCACAATTACTGGTCAGTAGTAGTCCCTCCAGGTCGCCACTAATTTTATTCTACAAGCTTATTTGGCTAGAATCCTGCGTAATTCTAGATGGTGTCAGCAGTGTAGGTGACTCGAGGACATGCGTTTATTCGATCGTCTAGTCTGATAAATTATCATACAGGCCAAATCTTGCTCTCAGTCAAGACTCTTGTTATTCATTCTGCGGTGGATTGCGAAACGACTATGTTGTAGTTCTTAATGTATCACTTTTTCGGTGTGGCACTGCTTCTCTTCACATCTTAGCCCTGAGGTCATTCGTGTAGAGCATCTTCCTTGACACTACCCTTTAAGCTACCTCATCCTAGGGGACACAGGATTATCTCATAAGAAGTCTTGTCCTTTATAGTATCTTCTGTCGGAATAGAGGGATCTAGGGGATTACCAAATTAGATAATAAGGACAGTGTATGCTATATCGGGTGCTTAATTATTGTTTAGCGGAGGAAATGATAGGATATTTATAGCTTATATGGTTACTAAGATGGACTATAGATACTCAGCCTTAATGTAGAGTTAGTACAAAAGGTAGGAGTGAGCAGGAAGTCTATAGCTAGTATTTGTAAAATCTGTTTCCCCCAGCCTTATTACCATTCTTACTCAAGTTTTTATACTATTAACAACTAAGTATCAATATCTTAATAAGGCCAATCTTAATAGTTACTTTACTTAAGATAAGGAATGGTCTATATACACTATTAATTATAATATACTTTCCTTAATATACACATTATATGCTCTCTCTAGTTTAACCACTATAGGCATAGTAATTATATATTTATAGCTAATATATTAAGCCCTCTTTTAATACTTTATAGTAATATATCTAGCTTAACTTAATATATTACGTGATTTATTTACTATAGCATTTAAATCCATGGATTAAATGTTTATTCACCAGTTCTAGTACACAGTTACAAATATAACCCACGGCAGAAAACGAAGAGTCTAGTTAGCCGTCTTTCATGGAATGAAATAGCGGTCCCTCTTGGCAAAATGAGGCCGGCCGCGGGTCACTCAGAGGTGCGTCTTCTAGCCAGAAATTCATGAAAAGCTCTTCCAACACCTGTTTAAACAGTTCAACACCCCTGGAAAACCAGTAACCGTCCCTATTAATTTTCGCAGATGGTCTCTACGAAGAGACGTAGCCGAAGTGGGATGAAAGGCGCCAGATTTCCAGCCCAAAAAAAACAGGACTTGCCTCCTCATGCTGTGTGTCATGGTCTCCATCTCTTGCCTGCATGCTTGAGGGTCTCCGTGGCCACAGCTCCGCAGTACAAGCTCTGCGTTGTCAAACATGCTTCGCAGGATGGGCTCTACGATATCAACTGTTCCTCGCAGGAGACCGCCGCAGCACCAAGTTTGCTACAGGAGACCACTGCATCACTAAGTTCTCTGCAGTATAAACTATGCGTCCACAAAAGTGCTCCGCAGGGGGGCGCTGCGAAACCAAGGGACTCTAGTAAAGTGCAGGCACCTGTATATGGTGCTAAGGACCAGTATTCAATTCTCGCTCTACAATTAAAGAAGCCAAGACCTATGCCTCCATCAATAGTTTACTCATATAAGCTCAGGCCATAGGTAAAGATACTAACAGTAGGGCCATAAGAATATATTCCGGGGCCTTTTTTCACTCCAAGATAGCATTATATAGAGAACGAATAAACCCAGAGCTTTGCTATTACAGATTTCGCCATATATGATAGTATTATGCCCAGAACCTGATCTCACAGGATATATACATATATATACAGGCTGGTCGGCTCGATCAAAGACCATCAGTCTTAGGCAAGAAAACATTATTCACGTCTATCTCACAGATCAGGAAAACTAAGATAACTATTAAGATTAGTATTAATAATAATAGGGTAGATATGGTGATTAATAGTCCATAGTAGCAACCAGCCTGCTTTAGTGAATAGTTACTAGCTTTAGTAAACAGATAAGCCTGTTCTAGTAAATAGTTAAATAACTACCCATAATAAGTTAAATAAGCATTTATAAACAGTTAACTAAGTATATATAAACAGTTAAGCCTACTCTAGTAAACAGTTAAGCCTGTTTCCATCAATAGTTAAGCCTGCTCTAATAAATAGTTAAGCTTGATTTTATAAATAGTTAACCTAGTATTAGTAAATAGTTAAGGCTGATCTGGTAAATAGTTAAGCCTGCTCTAATAAATAGTTAAATGATTAGTTATAATAAGTTGAATGAGTATATATAAATAGTTAACCAGCTTTCTTAATATAGCTAGCTTTAAAAAATAGTAAATAGCCTAGTAAGGATATAGTAACTTTACTAGTAGTTAAAGATAGGCCTATATAATAGGATAAATAAGCTATACTTATAATATCTAAGTATTATCTAATATAATATATAGCTAAGTCCTGATTAGAGTACTTACTCTATTTAGTACTAAGTAAGGTACCTGATAAGCCTATAGGTAAAGCCTAGTAGTCATTCTCTATCCTTAAGAGCTAATAAGAAGTATAGATGTTTGACCTAAATAAGTTAAGGCCTTAGAGATAATATATTATAGTATATTAGTTATAAGGCTAGAATGGCTATTACTATTTGTTGGTTAAAAGTAGATAGATAGGAGCTTATTATATTATATTATATTATTAGTATAGGATAGTTTCTTAAGATTAAATAAAGAGAAGCTTACTAGATATTAGAGATATAGATAAATAAGCTTATTTAGGATAATATATATATATAGCTATAGTATTAGATATATAATAATATAGCTATTATAGGATATTAGTAGAGATGATATAAGCTAGAGAGCTAGGGGATTTATAACTTATATCATATAATCATAATATAGTATTAATTATATAACTAAATAATAAGTAACTAAGCTAGTAGTTAGGAACTATTTGTTACGCAACGCTCTGTGGTCACAGTGAGTATCGTTCGTTAGGGCTTCTACTTACCAAGTAGACACTCAATCCTTGAGTCGTCGATTCGCAACCGTACCGTTGCCAGTTGACGTTAGGCCTTATACGGGCTCGGGTCTATAGAATAGACTCAACGGGGGGTTCTGCGTCCAAGAGGGTGTCGCCTAGTCAAGCTATACTTGGGTGCTGAGTCGAGGGACTAGAGACCAAGGATACCTCTCCTAGTAGGGGTTTGTCTTGTACGAAACTGATAGGTGAATGAACTGTTGGGTTCCAAGTAACAATGTATGGATTGATCG